CGATAGCCTATCCCTACACGGGTACTACGTATACTATAATCGGGTATATAGCTACCCTAATAGACGCGCTAGGGAAGATACTACCTATCGCGTTCGGATCTCGCGAGATGTTTTACTACGTAGTATTCATTATAGTAGTAAGTACTACCCTACCTAGCGTAACTTTAGTAGCTACGACGCTTAACTATATTCCTTTCTATTTATTAATCTTATTTATAATTTCCTTTAGGGATGCCTATTAGACCTACGCTAGCGTGTCCTTATCCTAGATTACGACACGTATACTATATACTCTATCTATGGTCCTAGTAGTCCTTAGTACGGTAGCTCCGGGTATTACTATAATCTAAGCCCACGTGTTAGGGCGCTTACCTTAGAATAGCTCTTCCTAGATTCTCTATAGACTAGCTTCTATTTAGTCGAGTCTACTACTAGGTTCCTCTCGTGGCGACTTTCTTTCTTCCTCCGTGATTCCTCTTAGGTTCCGGATAAGGTCCCGGAATATATAAAGGAGGGTCTTCTTTCCCTCCTTAGCGTCCCTCTCTATATATATTATCTAGTATTTAATTTTATCTAGGAGGGTCTCCCCTCTTAGGGTCCCCTTAGTCTAGGTTATCTATAGCGCTTTGCACCCTTAGTTAGTTTCTATATTTTAGATAGGTGTCTAGCTATCTATATTAATATTACTATATAGCCGTTTCTACCGTACTAGTAGGGGTATATCTAGCGTATACCGGGGTATTACGATACCTAAGGCCGCTATAGTTATTAGTTAAGGGTAGCCCTTAACTAATAAAAGGGGGTCAGCGTGTCGGCGTTTATTAGATATAGTCTATACTTATATTATCGAAGAGTCTTCGAGTATATATATATAGTATCTCTACACGTCGGTATCGTCGTGTATTATATACTACATGTACGCACGTGTATTAGAGGTTGTTATACTCGGTATACTCTATCGTTTAATGTATATAAATCGCTATTTTACCCCGAATTAACTAGTTTGGTCCGTTGGGGTATGAGAAGTTTTTTTAGTAGTATAATAGTATACTTAAAATAACTATATCTAGTCCGAAATGCGGTTTTCTACTCATCTCCGCGACGAATTTAAAGTCGGTAATATATATCTCGTAAATCTAGCTTTGTAAAGTACTTTACCTTTATTAATTAGTCTAAAGATTTACTAACTAGCGGTAATAGGTGATAATTCTTCTTAGTTACTATATTTAGTGCCTAATAGTCGACATATAGATATAAACTTCCGTCTTTCTTCTTTACAAAGAGAATAGATACGCCGGCTAATAATATACTATAACGTATCTAGCTTCTTTCGAGGTATTCTTTAATATATTTATAAAGAACTTCGAGTTCTAGTCTTAAAAGTAGGTAAAGTAGGCTATAAGGGACGTCTACTCCCTCTTCGAGCTCGATCTTTAGCTTATATAGTCTATGATTAGGGAGAAGTAACGTATCTCCTACTAAAAATATATCTATATACTATAAATATACGTTAGATAGCGTGTCTTCGCCCCGATTATTACTATCGTCCTTATCTTTATCGACGATCGATAAGGACGTAAGATAGATTAGCGACGATTAGGTCCGCACGGTAAGGTTCCATGCCTCCTTACTAATAGTTACGACTTACTAGTATAATTTACTACGGTATCGTTAGAACGTTAATATCTCCTTCTAAAAATTAAGGATAGGGTTTAGGCGTCTAAGCTAAGGCATCTCTAGAATCATATTCTATTAGCTAATATTAGCCACGATAAATTCATTAGACATCTACTATTTTATTATCTTCGAGTCATGAACTTTATAATTTATTATAGCTTTACCTAAAGTTCTAACTTTATATCTATTAACTATGATAGTTCGGCTAACTTTACCGAGATTATATAATAATCTATACTCCTTTATAAGAATTAATAAAATATAGTTATCTTCTATACTAGTATCCACGAGGGCCTATATAGTTTTATTACTATTTACTATAGGTAACGATACTTTTAGTAATATTAGGTCTTTACTCGCCGGAAGGCGCTACGGCTCCTTCTAAGTATATATAATTTAGCTAAGAACGCGGTTAGGTCTCGTGTACTAGCCTATTCTTTTTTTAGATTCTTATAGTTAGGTAAAATATATTCTATTTCTCTATACTTATAGTAACGAAGTACGCTATAATCCTACTATTTTACGATAGGCGTTATATTTAAGTCTATACCTTATTCTTTTCCGCGTTAAGAAGCACCGCCTTAATTATTTTAGTGTTCTCTTAACACGTTTCTACCCCGATTTACGCTCTTCTAGCGCTAATTATAGTAAGGTTACTCTTAATTAAATGTATTTAATTAACCTCGTTTCTAACCCGTATAGGGTTCGTCGGTTTTACCTAGAGAGCCGCGTTCCTTAAGGATATAGTAGTATTTATTAGCTTTCTCCTCTAATTCGTATAGATAGTTAAAACTTAATAATATTATTTCTAGTCTTTCGTGGATTAACAGAAGTAGTACTTCGCGAAACTAGAATATATAAATATTTTCCTATAGTATAGGGATATTATTCTATAGGTTTTAGAGGTATTATAGTAGTTAAGTAGGTGTCTAGTTCGGTCGTTATACCACGCTTCTTAACTTAGATAGTGCCTTTCTTTCACGTTCTCTATCTGTTCCGAGGGTGTTTAGTATAAATATAGCTAAATATTCCTAGGTTATCGTAGATAGTAGCTATACTTCCTTCTATCTATCCTATTAATCGCGGGATTATAAGTCTAGGTATCGTTCTCTAAACGAAATGCGTTATACTTTAGTAGAAAAGAGTAGAGGGTTATTAAGGAAGTACTTTTCGTAGTCTCTCTTCTAGTCTTTCTACTCCTTTTAGTTCTTCCCTATAAATATAGTCGGGTCTTTAGATTTTAGTATATCTAGGGAAGGAGTAGGGTAAATCGGTAATAAAGCGGCCGGGTATATGGTAGATTATCGTAACTCTAATGGTAGGTGAACTAATTCCGTCTGAATTAGTATAGGAAGTCGTCCACCTACTATTATTTAGCGTAGTTCTTTAAGAGACTCCTTAAGTTCTCGTCTCTTTACGAGGAGTTTCGCGCGTTCTACCTATTCTTTAAGGGTTTAAATCTCTTAAGCCTAATTTACGACGTATTCCTAAAGTTTAGCGATAGTTTATTATAATATCTCGCGTGGCTCCGCCACGACTTATTATCCGGCTTTATATTATTAGAAGTTACTTAGCGTCTCTACTATTTCTTCGTCTAAAAGCTCCGTGATTTAGTCTAATATTTCTACTTCTTAGTTAGAAACGGCCGGGATTAATACTAATTATAGAGGATCCCTATTATTTAATATAGTATTACTTATCCCTATAGTAGATCGTGTCGACCTTCTCGGTTCTAGTTAGACTATCTTAACTATAGTACTATATAGGGAGTAATTCGAATATAAGAATAGGGTTATTAGATAGTAGTATAGTTAGATAGAATAATAGAGTATATTCTATTATAGAATGAATTACTATCGAACCCTTTTAGTAGAAATCTAAGAGTATATATATAAAGGGACGCTAATCTATCTAGTATATAACTATTTACCGCCCTTCCCGCTACCTCCTAACCCTATTAGCTAAGGTATATACGGATTAGATTATACCTAAGACTAAGTCCTAACACTTAACCTTATCTATAAGGGCGAATAAGACTTCTATTAAGTATATATACTTATTTAAGGTAGACTAAGATTAGATAACTAGAGACGTTTTTCCATCGAACTCCTACGACTTATTAATAACTATCTCTTATATAGCCTTATTTATCTTATTCTTAGTCTTATCTAGTATCTAGAACTCGCGTAGAGTTAAAGATAGATTCTTCTATTTCTCCTTCTTTCTATTAATATAAAGTACTAATATTAGATATAGTATAAAGAGAGTAATAGCTATAGAAGAACTTAATAGAGGAGACTCATTTTCTATATTATACTTATTACTATATAACGGCGATAGCGATAAATGTATATCTATTACCTTATTTAACGCCTATAGTATAGAGATAAGTATCTCTACCGCATTCGCGTTATAATTAGATATACTAGCCGTATATTTAATAATAGGAGCTAGTATACTATTCGCCGTCTTGCTCTTAGACTTCCTATTTTAGACTACCTAACTACGGCTTACTATCGCCCTTACTATTAGTTAATATATATAACGCGTTTAAGGAGGAGGAGGAGCCTCTATTAAGTAGTCGGGTATCTTAAGCGGCCTACTAAAACGAGCCCTCTTACCGCTACGACGCGCTATAGGTATGGTTTAGAGGTATTTTAAGTATTATATAATATAGAGATGAGGCTAATGAGTGCCTATATACGTAGATTCGACGTATTTTACGACGTTATGGCTGCTATGCACGATAATGTTCAAAATGCTCATTTACTATGGAAAAACGTTATGTCGCGCATAGGCGTGCATGCCAAGAGTTGCGCTGAAAAAGTTACGGACGGATTGTAAAGTTTCCTCGAGCGGTCATTGACGTCATACCTCTATACTTGGAATGAACGGTGCTGGGAGATACAGGTTAACGACAAAATTCTTAAAATAGGTGATATGAAGGTCGTTTGCCCGTGGCGTGGCAGCATTGGCAATTCTAAATTCCCCGATCACTTGTAGACGCATCATGATGTGTATTGTGACTGAAATAAATCAATAGTGCACCCTGCATCCAACGATGTTCCACTTGCCTTGTCGCCTGCATACCCCAGGCCCGCCGCTATATCTCCTACGCACATCGATAGTACCCGTCCAAACCGCAGGCATCGCCGTTCACCTGGAAACAAATTGGTTTCATTTGAGCATTGAGAACAATGTTCGACTTATCCACCGTTCGGTACTTCTCTTCTACGGGTTTCATCCGTGTCTCGCAAACCCTCATGGATGAAGGACCGCTTCAAATCCCGCGAGTGGCATTTTGCTCACACAAATTGAGCGAATCCTGACATGAGATCTTGTCTCTACTTCTTTGCAATAAGGCATATCTATTCTCAACCCGTGCGTAGTTGACTGTGATCGTACTCCGGATGATCTTCAAGCCAATCGTTCCGTGACGATAAAGCATGGTTGATGCCTTTCGAATGGCCCACTCGGAACAATGTATCGAGGATGAAACGTCGGACATCCGGATTCAAACCGGGCATCTGATTGGAAATGCTCATTCCGTGAGCTAGATAGTACGCTGCTAGACCAGGACAAGCGAGGTGGTACTTATTAAGTTGACTTGGGTAGCCTTGCTGATCTACATCTCCAAGGAGAAACGGAGTGCTTGCACAGATCAAATTGACGATGGAACAAATGTCTGCTTGCAAGAGCTCTTTCGTGGCCTGTAAAGGGTAATCTGCTCTTGATTGTGGCAGACAGCGAATGATCTCGAGTAGCCTTTGAGCTAATTGAATGCGAGCTAGCCACCACCCCATCCATATGCCTGCGTGGTTTTGATCCTTAAAAGATATGAGTTTGGGCACAACGGGAAATACAGAGCCTCGCTGATCTACGTTGTTGAGGTTGATGTTTGGGACAACAACGAACTTCCAGCCTTCAGGTGTAGAATCTATCCAGGCCATAAGATCGCTTCGCGTGTTCAGGCCTTTACGGAGAAGGTCTTGGACACACTCACGATCCGTCAGCTGCCCATTGACCAGTGCGGACAGTAGAATATGTGTCGCCGCTGTGACCTTGGCGGTTTCATTGAGTAATTGCCAAAGCTGGTTTTCGATCTCATGGGAGCTGAGATGATAGATTTCTTCGGAAGTCCTGGGGAGATAAGGCGGTTCACCGCTCAACTCTCTGATCTGTGTTCTGAAGTAGATGGACCTCGCTAAAGAGTCTTCTATCGGATCTGCTTGCGGGTCACTTCGACGCATGCGGATCAGATGCACTAGTCCCCGTTCATGTATTCCCCTGGAGTCTCTTTCACTGCCGCTAAATGTCTGAATCCCATTAACTCTAGGACCCAAAGGACAGCAAAGGACTTACTTCATGCTTTTGAAGAAGGGTAATCGCAATCAGCAGTATGTCTGACTTGAAGGCCTTTGGGTGCATCAGGGCAGTGCTGACCGACTTCAAAGCTCTCCCGTACAATTTCATAGACTCTCTTTGCATGGATGCGTCACCTGAAATATTAGCCAAGTTCGCCATCGCTGCCGCATGTAGCGCATTGGTCAGATAAGTACAGTTCCGATGTCTTGTGTAGTAGGTTGGCAGGAATTCCAGATAGCCATGACCGACATCCTGTACAGCAGAAACGTAGTTATGGAAGAAATGAGCAACTGAATTCTGATTCCAATCAGTATTGGGTCGACGCATCGTCAGAGACGGCCTCTCCAGAACTTCATCTAAAGATGACGCTAAACCTGTGGTCGAACTCTTGGTCTTCTGATTGCTTCTCTGTAGTAGTGTCTTGTCGATAACTGCAGCATTCATTGATACGAACATGACCTGCCCATTGTTGAGAGACCCCGGACATTTCCGCCCAGCTTTGACACATCGTGCACAATCGGGTTTACCTTCATCGCACTGCAGAACAAATGTCAAGGTTAAAAGACCTACGGAGATAGAGGATATAGGAACTACCTTTACTTTCATTTGCCTACAGGCGAGACTGCAGAAGACAGTTAGTTCTATGCAGTTCGGCACGGCACGCATCACGAGCGATTCGGCACATACCATCCTGTACTGTATCTGGGCCGACGATTCATTTTAGGTTCAGATGTTCACCACTACCCATGCGATGGAATCGCGAACAGGCTACGGACTGATGTCAGCAATGATGAAGATCTCGCCCTCCCCAGAACCGAAGGTAGTGACTCCCTATTCTCTACCAAGCCTTAGAACTCCTTAAAACGCTAATCCTTTTGAGAATAGCTAAGTGAGCTAGCCGCAGTAGCCGAGAGAGCATAAGCAATATAGTCAATCGTCCGTCGGACCTCACTTCATACAATGACATTATGAAGGTGCACAGGACTGGACATATACAAAAAAGCAGTTAACGCTGAAGGAAGTATTAGGACATTTGGCATGCTACCTCGTCTTGGTAGGTTCAACCATCGCTACATGTATAAGATGTCTCAACTGAAGCAAATGTGACCATTCCTGGGAGGGTCAGTGCCTATATTTCCTCTTGCAGCCAATTCTCAAGTCTCCACGGATTGAGACCCGCTGTCATATATACTCTAGAGCAATAGACGGTTGAATAAGCTTCTTCCACGCAGGAGCGGGTGATTCGTAAAGTTGATAGGATCAACTATCCCCAGAGGTGTCAAGGCTCCTCATGCACCTTGCGCCGGGCCACCGCTTAGTCTTAGCATTGCTGGTACTGCACTCGGAGGTATTGTCGCGTGTTCGCAAATGACCCCTTTTATATATTCGGCAGGAGTCAAGTCATAAAGGAGATTTAGTACTTTTACTCCCTCTTTCTCCTTCCATTGTGCCCACTTGTCGACACGTATGATACCACCTGTCTGAGCATCGAATGAATCCGGTGGTGGTTGTTGGCTAACGACAAGTTCTTCACCGGGAGCGTTCTCGTTCATCTCTAGACCATGAACAATAGGCTTCTCTGTAAACTTGATAGTCTGACAAAGAACAAGTACTGGTACTTTGTTCACATCGCCAATCGTTGCGACTGCAGCAGTACCCGCGCGAGCGTACAGTGCCCCATTACCAGTCATGGCAGTGGCACCAATCAAAATTAGGCTAGCTTTCTTCATAAGGCGCGTCAAAGAATTGATACGTGCGATTGTGACTTTGATGCCAGCTGCCTGTAGAGCAAGAGCAAGGTTGGAGCCCTCGTTCAGCGGCTCGGAATCGACACAGAAGACTGAAAACGGTGTTCCTTTACCATGTGCTGTCAGAAGTGCCTCTTTGACTACGCTGCTTCCACCGTATGTTACTATTATGGCGCCAGGGCGTATCCGGTCGGCTGCGGTTTGTGCAATGATTGTACTGGCAGCAGTAAATCGCTCTTGTATGAACTCGTCGATATATCTGTTCAGATCGCGCCTGGTATCTGATTCGGATTTCGACGGGTCTTCCCTAATGACTATGTCCTTTAGCCAACGTATCGAATTTCCCATGGGTATGGACAAAGGTCGACATGATATCAAGAAGTCAATTTGTTTTGCCAGATGATGAGCAGTAAAATGACGCGCGAAAGATGTACCGACTGGTGTTGTGTACGAGTCAATCACGGCCTTAAAAGATAGCAGCATCGCTATTGAACGAGCGGTCGAGCCACACACGACATAGTGAGACATTTGAAAACCTAAGGCGAGGACGGCTGGATGAACTTCCTTCGATGCATCGCTCACTTGAGGCCTCTTTCTGGGTGCAAAGTCCCCGAACGGCTGTATTTCTTTAGAAGATTTACGAGCAGTCTTCGTAAAGTGAGTTTGCTTGTGAGCGTCACTTTCCCTATCCACGCCCGCACCTCTCTGTTGTACGTTCTGCTTTGGCCGCTGAGACTCCTGTGCGCTTCTCGGTTGATTTTGTCGGTGGCCTTGTGTCTAAATTGTGTCAGTGGTGGGTCTGGAAGGGTAGCAGTTTGTAATATCCATACCGCTGCGTTGGCAGCCCCTCTGTCGCCAGTGCTACTTGGTCTACGAACGTTTGACGTGGAGACTGAAGCAGAGGGCTCAGGACCAGTACTTTTATGAGCCGCACGCTTCGCCGCTTTTTCTGCCTTCTTTCGCTTCTTTTCCTCGGCCATATTCACCTTTGCTACTGTCGCATCCATTCCAGTCTGCCCTGCAGTCGCTGTGCTTCCTTTATCGTCATTCTTCTTTGCAACCTTATTGGATGAACCTTTCTGTTGCGCTACCTGAGCGCTCGCCTCTCCTGCCACCTCTCCTGCCATGATTCCTCTCGCAATCCTCGGTCAGGTGAGTCACTCTGGGTATAATATTTCTTTGACGATATGTGCGGCGAGGCATGCAGATTTCTTTTGATCAACAAAGTGAAAACTGTTAGCCTCCGATTACAGAAGGCTTAAGGATGTGAAGGAAGGTTCCACAGTCCCTGGATGGCTGTGAAAGCTTGGGACTTTTGACCGGGAGCTCGTTCTCGGCTACAGGCGGGCGTCGACGTTCAGGAACGGATCAAAATCAAAGCTATCGCAAGCCTTCACAGGTTCTTTGTTATATTGACGTGTTTGTCGAAAGGTGATTCACGTAAGTGATCGCGGGGAAATTTAGACCAGACTCTATTCTGCGCAGAGTCATTCAGCGCTGTCAACGGGCCTGTGCATAAGGTCAAGATTGGGCTTTAGGGTTCAAATATAGGTCTTGCTTGATCAGGCTAGTACAACTCTCGAAAGTCCGTGCGGCGTGCGCCTAATACAAATTTGCGGCCGTTACAAAAATCTTCTTTAATGCTTCGCTCCCACCTGCATCAACACATTTTCATCTCCGTCTCAAGGTGTCTCAGCCATGTCAATGTATTTGATGCTCTGGTTATATGGACAACTGGCAGTCAGCCACGTGTCCACCAAATGATGACATCCTTGTGGACGGCACAGGATCAAGAGTATATCAACTTTCATCCTTCCTGTCTATGGTCACAGAAAGCATTTCGTTTACTCACAGGTTCTCTAAGCGTGACTCAAATATGAATTGTATCGCTTCTAAAATTGCTAGAGCTCACCATCGTCATTTACAAGGATGTGTAGAGTGTGGACAGTGAAGCAAGATGGAACTACCAGTCCAGCTCTCAGTCAGAAGACTGATCTGGCCTGCACCTTATCTGTTCAAGGATGGCTCATCACGAGACATGTAATGAATACACGAGGGAACATATTTATACTACCAAATAAAGGATTCATCCCATAATTTAATGGAATAAGATATACAAGAGCAGTCTGAAATCCAAGAAAGCCTACCTTCTGATGATAATGACATGGGCCTTCTCAACGCTGCATCCTGTATCTGGGCTCTCATGCATCAAGTGTACATCCTGTTCATCCACTTTTTAATCGGTAACTTTGTTAACCTAATCGGTCTTTGACTTCCATGCGTGATCAGCATCTGTTCGAAAATTAGCACGGCGTTAATGCTAAAATCGTAAGGAATAATCACCTTCATGGATTACAGGATTTTCAATGTATTTTCGCTGGTCTGCTTTCGACGCGTGGTCAACTTGAAACCTACTGTCGCGATCTTGCACCAACTTCTTGAAGTCCAACTGGCTCTCGTTCGTAAAACTCGTCATGAGTTTTGGTTCCCCGAGGGGCAATTGGTCTCCGCGGTCTGTCTGCCAGAGATGATATACTTTGCCATAGAGCTCGATGACCTGCTCCATCTCTTTTGTCTCGGCCACCTCCCAAGCTGCAGTAGGGACAAGACGCGGTGTGGGCATTATTAGCATTCCAGACTTGACCTCAAAGACATGAGAGTGCCACAGGCAACGTTCCTCTGGCTCAAGAGTTTCGAACAGTTGAGGAGTTATCATATATTCGATACCGATGAGTCGAGCTTTGGGGTCCGGCGAGTCGTAGAGCAAGCATTGACGGACATCTGTCGACAGTCAGGAACAACGTGATCATGAACTGGCTACACTAACCTTCAGTAAGATGGCTACAGTAATGATTTGTCTCTACAAGTCGGCTTGGCTCATCTGCATATGCATGGAAAGCATTCAGGTGCGCGCAGATAGACTTGACAGGTCCCAGGTCCTGTAGTGTCTGTTAGAGTATACGCCTAGACGCGACAATTTGAAACCTGCCTGCATCAATGAAGCCCCAGCCTCGAGGACCCTGCTTTTCGTTGAGAGTGGCTCTCCCTTGACGTGACCTAGCTTCTCGCCAGCCTTGCACCTAGCGTGTATTGTATCCATCTCGGAAATGGTTGAGCGACTATATGATCAGTACTTGAGTGACATGGATCGTAAGAACGGATCGACAAAACGTCTTGTCGAGGAACGCGAGACTGATAATAGACTGTACAGAGGATGTTGGAGCTTGCGAAGTCTAAAAGCACAGAATACAAGCAGGGGTAAGATCAGGATACGATGTCGATGATTATGGCAACGACAATGAGCATTACCCCCTTTAGGAAGTACTTAATCATATGATCGGACGTGTCTTTCTCGAAGGAATGCTCGAGGAAGCGAAGAAAAGATAGCATGAGGGAGATGAGGATGAGGATGTTTTAGGGTAAGAAACTTAGCGAGTCGACATGATATGTAGAAGTGTTTATCTGTGTCCTGGAAGAAAGGAAAGAGCTCGACCCTCTTCATGGTACTTACTGTAATAGTGGTCAACAGCCTCAGGTACCACGCACAGGTTGGTACAGGTACGGTAAAGAGAAGAGATGAAAGTGGAAATAGTTCGAATGTTCTTATCAATTCTAGACATACTTAAATACTAGGTATGATACATATGCTTATGCGGCTAGCGTCGAACTGAAGAAAAAGTGACAAACACAACTTTTAACAAGAAGCTAGGAGTCCCTTGAAATGTTACGTCCATCCCTAGGTAGTGGATCTATCTACTGACGTCATTGTGATGACTTGAGCAGGGAGTCTACAATTCTAAGGTGACATGTGTCACATCTGTACAACTCCTTAGATGCGCGCCATGATTCAGTCTAAGCGTGAACTGGAAGTTCGTTTTGCGTTTTCTGTATATGTGCTACTTCATCTACGAGAGCGATCAGCTACTGAGGCAACCACAATAATTGCCTCGTATACCGGACAGTCTGTCGTGTACCTTCTTCAGCTGTTAAAACCATGATAAAATCACATCCCATACGCCTGTGCGATGCTGTGTTGCTACGGACGCTAAGGATTCAAGGCACATGCCGTCTATTTCGTAATCTCCTTGATCTTGCACTGCCATCCTGAACTCTTGTTCAACAAAGGAAGACTGTGATATATTAGCTTTAGGTAACAGTAGGGAGATGCTTTGTCTTGCCTTGCACCTAGACACCAGCCAAGCTCATTCTCGCCCATCTTCTTTGCGATGTTGAGTTCGCGATCAATGGGCATTTCATACCCGGTATGCAGTAAAGCTATCATGAAGTTCAAATCAAGACAATGATCTGGTCGGTCCTCAAGTTCGCTGAGCGCATCTGGGTACATGCCAAAGACATCCCAATTGTCGTCAACCTTACCCTTACACACACGCTCTGTAAGATCCTTCAATTCAGCTAAGCTGAACGATGATGGCATACCCAAGGGTTGGGTGCGATCGTAAAAGTAACTGACTAGGTAAACGTCGTTTGCAGCAAAAGTTTTGGCGAGGCTCGGTTGGTAGACGCCGCGGAAAGCGCATGGAGTGAGTTTACATTCCGCTGTTTTCTCTAGAATGTCTTCCGCCAATTTGCGGCAATACTGTGATGATCCAGTTTTAGGGCCAGTCATGGTGACGCTAACTTGTGGCCCAAGTGGGTGGTTTTCGTCGAGTTCAATCTTGACGTCTTTTGACATGCCGGGGATGAAACAAGGGTTTGTTATGGGCATATTGAGCCATTCTTTGTTGGGGCCAACGTTCTTTTCATATGCTTTGTTTAATACAAGAGCATTAAGCTTGTTGCGAGCCTCCATCAAACCGTAACCCAGATAAGAATGTTGGTAGAGCTCAAACTCACGACCACCGAAAGAGAGAGCGTACTTGTGGTCCCCTTCTTCCAATTTGTCGGGCATAGCCTCTTTGAACGTGGGCTCAAAGACGATCTGAGTAGAACCACCTCCTAGATCCAGAATCGCGGCGCTTGGTGTCTTATCCGGGCCGCCAATTTTACCAAGTAGATAATTGATTGTGATCCAAGCGTAAACACCTTCGTCCTTGCCCTCCATGACCTGGACGCCACCCTGTTCTTCTGAGACGACAGGGAAGGGAAAGTCATCCTCAAGGTGCTTGCGGACAGCAGCAAGTATCTTGCTGCTCTTCTCTTCGCCGAGCTTGCGTAAACCGGCAGTGGCTTTCACTGCGACAGGAGTGCAACCCTTGAGTTTATCTGGCACATTGTCCATAGCAACCTTCATCAATGGGTCCAAGCTTCTCGCAGCACCCTCGGCGTCGGTGTCATAGGAACTTAAGCCTGAGCCACCCTCTTTCTTTGCCGTCATCTCAAAGAATTCCTTTTCGAGTTCTGGGGTGGGACCGCAGTTGTTGAAACGGTACACGTGAATACGTGAACCCGTGCTACCAGCGTCAATCATAAGCGCATACTGAATGAGAGGTTTATCCGAGGAGTATGATCGTATACATTTTTCCGTGGCGACTGAGGGATCCGAGGCAACATCACCATGGGACTGGCCACCTATATCGAGGCATTAGTCAAGACCGCAGGACTGAAGGAAGATTACGTACCTAAGGCAGCTCGGCTTGGAGCGAGAAAGTAAAAGATGATGAGTATGAACGCGAGCAAGCCTCCAGCTTTCAAATATCTATTCCTTTGCCCCTGATTCATAGCCTTGAACTCGTTCATGAGGCCTGCTGAGCCTGAACGGTGTCTGCCTTTCTTCTCGTAGGGATCGTAAGGATCTTCCTCCCGGTCTGCGTTCTTAGAGGTGGGGAGTGAAACGGACACTCGACGACGCGGTGCGGAGTTGAAACTGAAATATGACCAAATTTTGGGACGCCTCTGGACGTCAACACCGCTTGACATAAGGGGGTGGTGTTGCAAGGGATCTAAGGCTGGCAGGTCCAACTGTAATTGGTTAGCCCGGTAAGTCTCGCAAACAAGAAGAAAGCGAGGTTCGGGCTCACTGGATCATTAAGTATGATGCAATGCCTTGTAGCGGTGTGAGCGAGTGCGCAGTGGTGTACAATAGCCCTATCAACACCGTAGACATATCGGTGAAGTCTCCTATCCTCAACAGGCCAGTCTGCCTAAGATTTTTGGCTAGCGTTCAGCCACCGCCGCCACACTTCCCACGTATGCAGTGGCCACCTCATAGGGCTGCCTGATGGATTCGCCTCTCCATCCTTTCCATCAGCGCTTCCACTTGTTTCTTGTAGCTAAGATATAAAGTGGTTCTGTCTAGCCTGGTTGATGATTACAAGTCTTACACGAGCATAGCGCTTTGCAATATGGATGTACAAATCTATGTATATGACTTGTCAAAAGTTGGGAGCCTGTTGCATCATACTATTGTCCGAGAAAGTGACTAACTAGATGTAGGGTCTGGCTAGACAGGTATGTTGTGGTCCTCATTAGTGAGGTTTCTGCGAATATCGAAGGTCTAATAGTCCAGTTCTCCCTTTCCCTTGTTGGAACGCATATAGGTACGTATGACTCTTGATACTAATGTCGAGCAGAAATTACAGGGTTCTGAACTTCAGCTTTTTCCATATGACAATCTCCCAGCATAGCATGAAGGATGTCTCTGATATAGAAAGCAGATGCCGTATATCATACCTCAGTCGTCTTGGGTGGCATCGAATACTTCTTCGGCCAGGGCATTCAGACAAGCCAAGCAGGTACTACCCATCATGGAAACCCAATGGAAGTCATTGACATCGGACACACCGACCTACCTATGGAGCTGATACTTGAATACCTGGAATCATTAAAGCAGATCTACACTGCCGAGGTCAGTCCAAAAAAAAGTGAAACTTCTACAATTATTTCCCACTAATATTACCAAGTCCTACGACCTGTTCATGAAAAATTGCAATAATTTGTATAGTATATCTTTCAACAAGCGCATAACAATTTGTAACCATATACAGCTCGAACGACTTCTCCATGTTTCTTGTGGGCAAGGGCATACCAGACCATATCACATCTCTTCCTCAGACAGTGCTCAATACACCTTTCGGGCAAATTCTACGACCCCAGTTGGACAGCGCCATGAGATCGATCACACAGGCGCCGACGCCTACACCCCCAGCACAAATGGGTACAAGTTCTACCGCATCGGATATAGTAACATTAACCTCAGGTGGAAGCATCAACAAAGCAAGCCAAGCCAAAGTAATTAATGCTACTACACTCCAGGATGTGTCTCTACACCTCGATGCCGCAAGGAGTAGATGCGCCGTGATATTATTTACCAGCGCAACCTGTCCACCGTGCAAGCTTGTTCATCCAGTATACGAGGATCTAGCTGTTGAAGTTGGCGACAAAGCCACTTTGCTCAAAGTGGACATTGACAAAGCGTATGAGCTGGCCTCGGAGTACGGAATTACAGCAACGCCTACGTTCATCACCTTCTTGGAAAGTCAACAAGAGAATAGGTGGTCAGGTGCAAACCCAAGTCAGCTTCGTGGCAACGTTAGCCTGTTGATTCAAGCTGCTTTACACCCCCATACTAAGTTAAACGTTCAGTCACTCCTTGGAGTTGACCTGCGGCCAATCCTCTTTACGAAACTACCGCCCCTTGAAAAACTCAAGGCAAAGATGGGAAATGTGGCTGAGGAACCTATAATCAAGTCTGTTTTAGCTTTCATCGCCGCCCGAGACTCATCGACAAACAGTGTAGTGACAACAGTTCCCGACCTGTCGGCTTTCAATATTTTCCTTGATGAGTCTAAAAATTTACCCTTAGAGAATCTCTTTCCGCTTATAGATCTCTTAAGACTCGCGTTAGTGGATCCCCGTATCAGTGGGTTCTTCGCGGAACTAGGCAATTTTTCTACGATCGCTCGGCTACTAGACCGCATCAACTCACAATCACCATGTCCCTACAGTCTTAACCTCGTCGCGCTACATATGTGTTGCAATCTATTCTCCTCACCCATATTCAAGCGCCTTATTCTACAAGATGCTGTCTTCTCCTCGCTGTTGGTGAGGCTGCTATCAGCTTCCTTCCTGGACGACTCACACTCGACTATACGATCCTCGGCAGCGTCGCTTGCGTTCAACATTGCTGCAGCGAATCACAAACTGCGAAAGGAGGAACGTCATCAGGGACTACCGAACGACGAGACAGTTGAGTTACTAGCATCACTTTTCGAAACCTTGGGAACGGAACTGATCGACGCGGATACCATTAAACAACTTGTGGCCGTAATAGGGCTACTGGTCTACCTTGCGCCGCAAGATGGTGAGATTTTCGACTTATGTATGGCAATGGATGCCGAGGGCCTGGTGAAAGAAAAAGAACGTATCACTGGAGCCGATCAAGTGGTGAAGGACGTTGGCAGGGTATTACTGGCAAAGGGTCTGAGCAATCACTAGTGAACAGTTCCACAGTCGGATAATTATGCGATAATGTATAGAATCTTATAGGTGTAGGACTTATTCTCTAAATACATCCAAATGCACACAAGGTGGAGAACTAAAGACGAGTGGAATCTTGAATGCTGGACGGCAAAGGGGTGAAATTGGGCGCTGGTACGACTTCGTCATTTGCAAAGCATAAAACCTAGGCTGCGGTCAGCGGCCCACATATGTCAAAGATAGCAGTCATGAAGTAAAGACATATCGTGAAGATGGAAGAAATGCTCTCTCATAAGTGCTGAGCAAATTTGGTGACCCGCCAGTGCTTGGCGGTACATGATGACTAAGACCTGGTCCGAGCTAGCTTCTTGCTCTCGAAAACCTTTGCTTCGACTGTCCTCTTAACCTCCCTTTCCCAACCATCACCACAGCTTCATCAACTTCTTCCACACCTCAATTCATCTCCACTCATCACCCATCAACCCATCCTCTACCTTCAAGATGGTCACTCCAGTCCTTGCCCGGGTCAATGGCTCTGCCGCCCGTGTTGCTGTTCGTTCCGCAGCTGTCAAGCCAGCGTCTCGCTTCATCTCAACCTCGGGTGCGTTCCTACAACAATTCATCGATTGCTATCATCAATTGCATCGGAATATCTTTTGACAACCTCAATTGTTACTGACATTCAATTCCCAGGTGCCCGCTTCCCCGTACGCAACAACGGTCTGATGATGAACAACGCCCGCCAGGCCTTCAAGACCTCGAACGTCGCCCGTCAGATCACTCAACAGCGCGGTATCGTTGCTGAGTCCACCGCTGCCGCCATGGTTGCCGCCGCCAAGATCCAGGGTGCTGGTATCGCTACCGTTGGTCTCGCTGGTGCTGGTGTTGGTATTGGATCTGTCTTCGGTGCCCTCATCCAGGGTGTTGCCCGCAACCCTTCCCTAAGGGCTCAGCTCTTCCAATACGCCGTTCTGGGTTTTGCCTTCGCCGAAGCCACAGGTCTCTTCGCTCTCATGATGTCTTTCCTCCTCCTCTACGTCGCATAAGCGTATCGTTTCGCTTTCATCATGCACCATGACGGGCACTGGGCTTAGAGGAAGTGCTTCGTCAAATCTTCTGTCAATAAATTATCGGTTGCATGGAACGTACAATATGGTGTAATTTTAGACTCGGTCGAGACCAGAGGGGCTGTTAAGTACTGCTGTACAGCCCAGGCAGGAATTGCTGGGAAAACTTTGCTTTGTCCATCTACACAACTTTGATGATGTGCATCTGCGATGTGATTATCAGTGCAGGGCTGTTCTGCTCGGAGTCCCAGAATAGTCGCTACTCATAAATTTCATTACCCGTCACCAGTCTGCATCGTTATATATGATTTGTCTGACTTTGAGGGTAGCTCTTACATGCCCTTACTCATATCATAAGACTCCTTTGCCAGTAGTCTGTCTCGACACTGCAGCATGAATCTAACCCTACAAGGTCCTGGAGAGCAGCCATTTGCTCTGCACTCGGCTTCTCGCAGCCGAACCCGGCAATTTGCGAATCTCTACTTCTATTTCCATGCTAGATAATATCGGTCCCGACTGCCCGGCACGACTTCGGTCATTGCTCTTCACATGGACGTACGAGGTCCCTAAAGCGTGAATGGATGAATGTCAAATTGGACCTATCACTTTTGGATTCAGCTTTGATTGTCAATCCATGGACGAGGTTGGCCCCAAAATCTCATTTAGCTCTCTCTAACCACAACCCGTGCTCTTTCCACTCCCTGCAGAAACTTCCCAAAATCCTCTCTTCTAGACCGCACATCTGCCACACTCGTGTCGTGCACTTTCATCTTGGCTGCTAGTCTCATCACAACTGCTGCGAGGCACACGTAAAGCGCGCTCATCGCGAGCCTGCTCTATTAGTGCATATCCGTGCCGTATAGAACGATGTATAAGGGGAGACTTACTCGGCAGCGACATACCGTCCTTCTCCACGCCCGAAGGGAATCAGATACTTCTCTAGATTCTCGCGCCGCTTACCGTCGTGTAACCAGCGCTGTGGTGCAAAGCGCGCGGGTTCGGGAAATACACTCGCGTTACTGTGCAAGCTCACGGATGATGTACTGATTCGTGTGCCGGGCGGCAGTACGTACTCCTTCTTCCCGCTGCCTCCTTTCCCGTCCCTTGCCTTCTCATCTGTATACACCACGGGCTCTGCTGCAACAGTCCCTATTTGACCCGTGATTCCACACGACAGCCGCAGACTCTCATGTAGAACCGCCGTCATGTACGGTATCTTGCGCAGCGTTTCCATAGGCGGGAGATGTGTTGGATCAAGCACGTAAGGAGTCAGATCGGCACGTAGGCGAGCAAGGAAACGAGGATGGGAGAGGAGCTGGTGTGTTGCGAGGGCGAGGGTGGTGGAGACGGGGACGGTGAAAGTGAGAAGGAGGGAGTGGATGTGCTCGGCGTAGAGATTCAAAGAGGTGATATTGAGGGCGATGGCAGAGGAGCCTGAAGGTGTGGTGCTAGACCGGGGCGGAAGTGAGGTGCGTATGAGTGTTTGAATGAGACTGAGACGGGGTGGAGAGGAGGTCGATTGGGATGGACGGGTGGTAAGTTCTGTACTTGTTGTTTGATGGAGAAGGGTAGTAAGGAGAGGAGATCGAGGGGCGAATATTCTCGCAAAAGGGAAATATTGCGAGCTCCTGGCTGCCTTGATGTCAGCCAAGCACTGTGACCGTAAACTGCTTTTGAAAGTACGATCATCTAGTGTCGTGAAAGGCTTGCTGAGGCAGTAGTCGCTGAGGAGATCTACGGCAAAGCACGAGTAAGCGTCTACAAGGTCTAACGGGCTCTCGCCAGCCCAATTAGCTTCGACTTGGTCGCAGAACTTCTGAGCATATCGATGAATAAGAGACTCTCGCTCTATGACGGCCGACGCAGAGAAATATTGAGCGGTAGTATCACGTACTTGAGACTGTATCTGTAAGTACTATAACCCCATTGATCATAGATAATTTTGCCTACACTAGTCTCAACAAAGAGATTCCTCGAATAGAGATGTTTGCCTGTAGTCTTCAATTTGGCAGATAAAAGGATATCAGCAAAGTCTGGATCATTCACATGGACCTCGTTAGGCCCAGTCCTTACGATAGAACCGTAGCGCTTGTGCATCTGGACAACCTGAGTCGTGTAACAGCCACCGTCTCTGCCCACCAGCGTGTCATAATAAGCCTGGTAGAGAGAGGTGACAGCAGCCAGCTTGGGACCTGGCAGCTCTGAGAGAGGGTGAATAAAGAGGCGGTAAACGACCCTGAGGAGGTAGTACGAGAACGCACTGAGTGAGATGACGAAAACAGCGGACCAAGCCATGATGACTTGCGACAAGCAGGCCGGGAGCCGAATACGAAGGGCGCAGGTGCTGTATATCTTTATTAATTGGCTTGCTGGGATGTGAAGCCACTGAACCAAGGACCGTTATGACGATGATAAAGGAGGAGCTCGCGAGAGTGTTTTCTTGATAGTCATTGGTGGGCGTGGTCTTATACCGCTGGTGAAGCTGGGGTTGGTGCGAATATCAAGGCCCGGCACTGATGATGACTGATTATACTGAGGTGTACAGCGGTAGTAGTGAGACAGATCTGATTGGGCGCATGTATTGAGATGTACTCTGTCCCGTATTCCAGCAAGCTGTTGTGTTGCTGTTATAATAGAAGAGAAGATAGGCGAACGGTGATGTGCAGCCAGGTGTCGAGATTGGGGTTAGCTGGACTGCGCGGAAAAAGGCGAGAAGTTCATAGTGCGGCGGAGTGTCTGGGCGGCAGAATAAGCATAAGCAGCCCAAACCCGAGGGATCGGCTATAGCAGCTAAAATCTCTCTGATACAGCGTCAGCCTGCGTCCGGGCCCGGGGTCAGAGGCTGACAAACGAGAAGAATCCTACTTCTCTAGTATGCAGTTGTTTTGGAGAGAGGGAGCGGGAGAGGGTGTGAGATGTTACCTGCTGCCTGTCTGCCTGCCTGTCTGTTTTTCTCTGCTCGTATTTGTCTGGCCTATCCTAAGCGGCCAAGTCACGGGACAAACTCCCCTAAATGAGATCCATCAGTAGTCTCGAACGGTGGGGGCTGGCTTGTCCACCAGCTGTCGTTCGCATCAGCTCCAGATCTTGAACTTTGTTGACTCGCGGCCTCGTCCGTTCCTAATGTCGAATCGTTCTTTTTCTCCGTCACAGGGGAGCATTGAACGCTTCTTGACATACTGCCAGTAGTGCTCACGAGGGCATGTTGGCATGGCATCATCTCCTACCAAGCTGAGGATGACCGGTGGAGGGTCTCGACGAAAGTCTAGTAAATCGCCGCCCGTTCAAAAGTTCGCCTTCATCAGTGTAAATCCTAATGGAAACGAGCTGGATGCTGAAGAGAGTCTGCGCAAAGTGCGGAGTCATGTCACAAAGACGTACTACCAGAACATTCGCGAAGCCGAGGACAAGGAGCATCCTGCTGCAAAACACCGCAACAACCGAAAAACCCTGAGTCTGCGACCAAGCCCTCATGCCATCAAGACTACTCGACATAGAAGTCTAACACCGCGAGCCGTTCCAAAACTGCGTGAATCTCCCGATGAAGATGGTAGTAATTCTGCCGGCTCTCCCAGTTCCTCCGCTGGCTCTGATGCCGGCGATATTGTTTTCCAGGAGCTTGACCCTTCTCGGCTCGATCCGTTCGATGTACTACCAATCAAGGGCCATATCTTGATGGACAGAACCCTTCAAATTTGTATGCATCAACTTTCTCGCTCTATCTGCCATGTCTAATCTATTTCATAGTCAGTCTCCCGGAGATTCGGGATTTGGCTCCCAATCTGATGCCCCATTCAGGCCTCAACTCGTGGGGAAGATTGGGTGGTAAGGAACGAGGTTGGCGCGCTGACCTTGGCTTGAATGAAGATGACGAACTTCTCTTCTCGCAGCGGCTGTATTTTGCGTCTGTCCTGTGCGATCAGATGCAGAAGAAACAGCAGACCTACGCCACCTTCCAGTATCAGAGACAAGTCATCTTGCTTCTACAGGACAAAATCGCGACGTATGGCAACACAGCACCAACCGAGACCATCTTAGCTATCATAGCAATGGCTGTTCAATCTGTAAGTCATTCTGCTAGACTTCCAACGTTTTCTAAGCCGAAAAGCAGATACTTGCGGGCGACATTGACCAAGCGAGAACCCACCTGAACGTGGCATGGAATTTTATCAACACACGAGGAGGTCTTGCGACTTTTGTTCTACCGGCACGTAGAATCATTGCCTGGTATGTTTCGGTCTGTAAGCGAGCAAACATTGCATGCTAACCGCCACCCAGGTCGGACATAATCGTTCGCACCGGTCTACGAGAAGAAAATCCATTGCAATGGGAGCTTACTCTCGACAATAATTGCGAACCTGAGCCCGCTGCACTGGCAGCAGAAGCGTTCCGACTGGAAAAACTCACACTGGCACGCTTACCAGCCAGAACACGCGTTGATGCTGGTTTGATATATCGTTTGCACCTCCTTGGACTGGCCTCTAGTTGCGCCTGGAGACACTACGATGATCATCCTGCCATTCACAACGTCTTCTTTTGTGTCATCCATCAGCTTTCACAGCTGGCCGAGCAAGACGCTCTCTCGATCAATTCCTCTACCGATGACCTAGCCGTGATTCTACGTTGTTTGTCTGTGGCTTCCAGGATATTCATTCGCGCCACGCTTGGTCATACCTTCGATAATATCGTTACAAGGCAGAACATCGCCCGACTTAAAGAGGCTCTAACGTCCAGTGCCGATGGATTGATGGTGTGGTATCGTCAAGGTGCGGTGGAGGCACTGCTGTGGATCCTCTTTATTGCGATCAAGGCGTTTCCGCATTCTGTACCCGACCATTCGTGGTTTGTGGCTCAAATAGGGCCGGTGATTAACTTTCAAAAACTCGATCGGGCTGCCTTTGAAGCGACTATGAAGGCATTCCCGTGGACTGATCAGCTTGGTATCAATGCTTGTGAGCAAGTATATGATGAGGTCAAGGCATTCCAGTCACCGATGTCTAATCAAAGACTGTCTCCGGTCTAATGTACACGGGAAGAATTCGATGAAAATGGTCAGGGGCAACGTGACCTCTGGATCGGTAATGGTAGCCATAACCAGATCAGCCAGCCCTAAAAGTTGGCAAAAAGAAAACGAGCGACTTAATTAGAAGAGCGTGATGGTTGTCACATTATTGACATTCGCTGCCGCTTTGAAATGCAGGACGGGATAGGAGTAGATGGTCCTCCTATATGGCTTGGCCTTGTAATGTCCTGTTAGGTCACCGAGATCAAGCGTACACTACGAAAATAGTCTCTTTGCGGGCACTTATCCACATGAGAGGATGGTATAAATAGCACGCGAGACGGTCGTCATAAAAATTCTCATTTCATTGTTGCATGGACCGGGCAAGAAGCATCGCACGGCTAACGACCCCAAGGTATGGCTTCGTAGTGCTTTCTGAAGATATCAATGATAAACGTAGTCTTCATTCGCGCTATACTAGACTCATATATTGAGCGAAAGGAATCTTGCATTGATCACTTTGTAGACAACTGAAACAAAGGCTTTGGCAGATCTAGGAAGTACCCTGTTGCCTCGCCTTGTTATTATAAAGTCTTGGCGTCATGGTCAAAGCTCGTGTGCCACAGCCCTCAATGCAACGAAGCTAAGCTCCGGCTGTTGTCCCGCAAGTCACGCTCATTCACTCCAAACACCGCTCCTATTACCTAGCACACTCCTCTCCTAGACTTCTCTCTCCTACTCTGAGCTGTTCTCGGAGTCACAAACCGCGTCCTCTCGTTAGCCCTACACGATCTTTCACAACGCTCTTGTATTCATCCGCGCGGAGACGACGAAGCCTCAAATCTAAGTCAAGATGACTACCCGCAACAAGAAAGTCCTTCTGAAGGTTTGGAAAAACCCAACATCACACTGTAAAGCTATGGGAATACTGCTGACACTGTCTTTGTAGGTCATAATTCTCGGCGACAGTGGCGTCGGCAAGACCAGTCTGATGAATCAATACGTAAGGCCTCTCGACGCAGAACGCTAAGATCAAGATATCGTCCGATAGAATAGACGTAGGCTCATATATGAATGTGATTAGGTCAACAAGAAGTTCAGCGCAAGTTACAAAGCTACGATAGGCGCAGATTTTCTCACGAAAGAGGTGTTGATAGATGACAGACTGGTGACCATGCAGGTCAGTTAGGAGACTTCACATACTCGAAACAAACACTAGACTGATGTGGCGTAGCTATGGGACACTGCTGGTCAAGAACGATTTCAGTCATTAGGAGTTGCGTTCTACCGAGGCGCGGACTGTTGTGTACTGGTCTATGATGTCAACAACTCCAAGAGTTTCGATACACTAGACAGCTGGCGAGATGAATTCTTGGTTCAGGCCAGTCCTATGGACCCGGAAAGCTTTCCATTTGTAGGCCTACGGGTACTGTGTAGCTTCCTATCCTGTGGCTAACTGCTTTACAGGTCGTGATAGGCAACAAGATTGATATGGGCGAGGAGAAGCGGGTGGTATGTGTTTCTGTCATTATGCTATTGAAGGGCGTCATAGCTGACAGACTCAAGATTTCGGCAAAGCGTGCATCCACATTCTGCCAATCAAAAGGCGGCATACCATATTTCGAAACGAGTGCAAAGGAAGCCTTGAACGTAGAAGACGCATTCGAAGGTAATACCCACGACCCGTTCGCTCATACCATCGTAGCAAGCTGAACATAACCTTAGTTATCGCCCGACAAGCCCTCGCCCAAGAAGAAGCCGGGGACTTCAGCAACGACTTTCCCGATACCACGATTGACGTGAATCGCGACTATCCTGACCAAGGATGTTCTTGTTAGATAGCTTGTAGACGTAATGGGTTGGAGCAGCATATCCTGGGAGGTCATAGACGGCTTTCAATCATGGCCCAAGGCGTTTGCATGGGAATTTAGCTATGGATCGAACGTGTGCGAATGTTTATGTCTAAAGGACCTGTGAGCAAACATTGTATATACTGTTCTCAGTATCGTAATTTGAGTTCTTAATGTCACGTCACCATATCGCTATCTTGGTGTTTGATGAGATGTTGCATAATGCGTAGCATAACTGTGCCATCCGTCAAAGGAGAAAAGTAGTCCAAGGGATCATTTACACATACCAGGTCAGCGAGAAGCTCAAAATAAACCTCTATTTTTCAAGGTCCCATTGTTCAATCATGGCTTACGTTGATCCCTTCAGTGTATATAACACCACTAGCTAGAAGTAGTGATACCTCGGAAAGGTCGTCCGCCCAGCTATGATTTTTTCAGCGCAAACTCTTTAGTACTATGCGTTAACATACAGTCATCATGAAGTAGTGTAGTTATATACCGTCTTATACTACTAAGAGTCGCGCTCAAAAAGGGTATAGGCACATCTATCTGGGTAAACCAAGATCGATACACCAGCGCCGAAGTGAAACCCGTTTTTTTTTTTTTTTTTTTTTTGGGGGGGGGGGGGCTACTACATATGTATGTATGAATGGTACAGATCCCTCATGATAGGGGGCCGATTACTTAGATCAAGGTGGCGGCTTGTTTGAAAAAGTGTCTCAAATGAACGTATGCAGGTTTAGATAACGTAAACACAGGCCAAGGAGATATGTGAGTTATAGTGCGACTTAGTGGTCTTCGCACGGTGAAATAACTATCTCATGAATCTCACTAGTGCGACTATATAAACATGACCGGCGACTCGCTGTCGACCGAATCTCATCTTAGTCTCATGGAAGTTCTTATCTGTTCTCACTCCTCCCAAACTTTTTCCAATTCGCCACCAACCCGCGCAGCACAGCTCTGGTGTTAGTGTTGAGACTCGAGCTGAGGGTTTTCAAGCCCTCCTCACCAATAACATCCATGGCCGCCCACAGACCCGACTCCAACGCCTCTCTCATGCCTCTCTCTAGCGTACCATCCAGCTGTGCAGCACAAAACGCACTGATCACGTCTCCCACATACTCGCCTGCGTATGTTTTCGCGACTTTCGTTTCGTCAACAAGTGCATCTCGACTGCGGCGTTGGCGTACAACGGAAGATTGGGTTGGTGAGCAGAGCGTGGTGAGGATTCGGGTGTATACAGAGGCGTGTTTGCTGGTCAGATCGTTTGTGTGTTGCACATGAGATGAAGTTGGCGAGAGAGGTGTGTGTAGGGCAGTTATGAGGTTTTGGAGAATAGCAGTGAGGATGTGGTAGCGCCCACCGAGACGGGTGCGATGTAGGAGAATGGTTGCGTGGGTGAGTGTACACAGGCCTGTGTAGAAAGGGCCTGCGGTGTTCGATTTGAGGGATGAGTGCGAAGGGTGGGATGCTGTGAGGAGAGCGGAGAGAAGGGCGTCAATGGCCGATTGAGACATGAGGAAGACTTTGGATCGCAGGGGAACCAGGAGACACGACACTGTGAGCGCGAAAGTGCCTGTTTTGATCGATTGAGGAAGCAGGGTGCAGAGGGTCGCGATCGATTGGATGAAAGCCGTGTATGTCTGACTGGTGGTCGAGGACTTTTCGAGGGTACTGAGAAGGATCGCGAGGATACGGAGCTGGCCTGTCGTCAATGTTGACTGGCCTACGGTGACAGTTGAGAGCGACGTTGCTAGGGTTGCCTTGAAATTCACGTCGGATTGACTTAAGGTCTTTTGGACTACGTCAAGTGCTTCCATTTGGGTTTGGGCACTTGCTGCTCCAGAAGTCAATAGAGCGCAACAGTCATATATGGCTGACTCCGTACTTGCAGAATTTGGCCCTACAAGCTCGGCACATTGCTGGAACGCGCGGCTCGAGAGACATACCTTTCTTCTGCTCTTGTCAAGTTTGGCATAGATCCCTTGTATTTTACCTTGACTTGTGTCCGATATTTCCCTCGTGGACGTGAGAGCAGCGAGAATATCCTGGATCGTACAGATATGAAGTGGCAGACCACTTTCCGATTTCGAAGTAGCCGCTCGAGTGGCCGATAATAGGAGACCGATAAGAAGCTCTGCCTCCTCTCGGTTTGGTCCAGACCCATGAACGCTCCACAATGAAGCAACTGAACTGTATAGAATGAGACATCCGGGGCTCAATTTCTTGTGTTCAGATTGGCTAAGACCACGATAGGTCAGTTCGCGAAGGCTCTCGATCATCCGCTTGCTACGTTGTTGTTCAATCGTATTGGCAACGTGGTATATGCACATATGAATAAACATGCGATACATAGATACCTGTTCAGAAGCGTTTATATCTAGGGAAATGGTATGCGATAGTTGAAATAAATACTCTGCGTCGAGGCAGACCTTTGAGGTTGCATTGGGCACTACCATCAGGTGTACTAGCAAGGCGAGTGCTTTAGAAATGGTAGTGTGAGCAAGAGACGCCTTGTTACACATCCAAGATGTCATTGCGTCTAGCAAATGCTCACGAGTCTCTCTTGGTATGGCACTTGGATCGACTGGTAGAAAGAGGTCGCATTGAATGCTGGCGATCCTGTTGGCCGCAGTCATTGTGTTACGATCAATCTTCTCTTGAAATATCTTACAGGCAGCGTCGATGGCAGACTTGGAGACTGTGCAAATCCCCGCAAGTGTATTTCTATAACCTGTAGAAAGCCCGAGGTCGCGAAATGACTCTAACAAGAGGCGGTACCGTGCGGCCAAATTTGATATGCAACCATCGGAACTCTCTCCGGGATTCTCTATTCGTTCTTCGTATGCACGAATCATGGTCTCCTTGAAAATACGGCCGCGGACATCTCTCGAAAACATTTCTAGCACACTAGGGTGGCTCAATAATGCGCTGATCGAGCGACATACAACTTCGTCAGAAGGTAGTCTCGAGGGGCTTAGAGAACTGTCCGTAATCGTCCATTGTCGAGTAGGAATCAGTGTCGCGAAGACTGTCTCGATACTCGATAGCAAGTAGTTATGAGTTTCAGAACCGGGATCAACAGCAGTCAAAACATTGAGAGTGTACTCCAACGCTTCGTTTCTGGTGTCAAGTGCTCTGCGGTCATTCGGTGCAACGTTCAATTTCATCATCGTCACAGCGGCTCTAGATAGCTCCATGACAGGCTCTTGGACAGCTGTGCTAGGACTTTGCGGCTTTTGTCTTCTGACCATGGTCTCCATCTTAGACAAAAGTCTCCATGACTTGTCCATATGACGCATATCGCGCATTTTGTGCTCTTCGAATACGGCCACGCATAGATCGTAAATTTGCAAGATGACCGGAAGAAGCTCGTCAATGATCTGATCGCCAATGAGTCCCTCAGTAATTGCATCCAAGATGACGACATCTGCGTTGATAGCAAGAACAATTTCAGTCCGTTTAGCAGAGGAGCTTGTCGTATGGTAATTCTCCGCTTCTTTTCCTAGACTATCCATATATATACTTAGCAGTCGTGTGAGCTGTTTTGAAGACAATGATTGTTCGAGTAGAGTTAAAAGCGATTCCCTTAAGACGGACGATTCCCACAAAGACTTGGACAATTCTTTAGTATCGTTTGCGTCTGTCAGGGATCTCACGATCTCGGCATGCCAGCGCTGAATGAGCCGTTCGAGGTTCTTTGTCGAGGCATGGACATTCACAATCGGGACCAAAACGTCGCGTTTGAGGCTTTGTTCAAGACTAAATTCTTCCGGATCTGGATCCTTGGTTGCGATTGATAATGAGTTAAAGAGCGCATCCCCTATGGTGCGAGTGCTCTCTGAGTTCTTAACGACATTGGCACCCTGAACGAGAAAGATGGACGCATCCATACGAATGACTGCGATGACGAGATTCCAATTCACTGCCTCATACACCTGCGCCAACCCGGAGTACTTCTCTATAATGATTCTAAGCACATCTGAATCAATCTGAAACTGGTGTTCCATAGCCATATCAAACAGAGTTATGAGGCATTGGACGTTGGTGTTACCTGACTGAACAGGGCTATCTGGATCCAGGGGAAAGCCAGCACATTTGGCTAACGACCGGAATAAGGTAAGCAGCCATGACTCTTCGATCGTCTTCTTCCTCTGATCAACCCGGAGCGTCGTTCTGAGTGCGACAGACCACAGCAGTGGAACAAGTTGTAAAGCACTTTCCTGCATAATGTCTCTATGTGAAGATTGTGTATGAGACCCTGTCAAATCTGATTGTAGTTGCGTTAGAGGTTCAAACCAGGAGTCAAGTCTTGTCGAACAGGCCTCCAAGCCTTGACATAACTGAATATCCCGTGCTGGCAAGATAATTTGCGATGCCACTAAGCTCTCTAGCTCCCTACGAGCAACGACTGTTGTAGATCTGAGTTCTCCGGGACTAAGATTTTGCAGGAGATTGAGAACAGGTACGAGCGAGGTTCTGGCGAATGCTAATATCGCATCATCTTTCGGGTTTGATCTTTCGCTCAGTGTCCAGACATCGATCATTGGCGACAATGGTGAAGACACTGGGCCATGTCGCTGCAAATCGTGAACAAGAATCCAATCTTCCCGAGCAGTCGGTAAGGATTCGAGAGCTAAGCACCAAAGTCTCAATAGATCAGCCGCTCTACTGCTACTAGCAGTCAAGACTTTTTGCATATGTACACAAGCGCCGGTCGCACCAGTCATACCAGCTATGGAGATAGAGATGACCGTTGTTAAAGTGCTCCGCATGGCGTTGAATAGAGATAAGCAAGTCTCGCTTACATCCCGTAATTGTAGCTCTGGTGAACGATCTTTAACCACTATGCCCCCTCGCTTGCGTTTTTTACCGCCAGAGAAACTTTGTATTGGCACTTCGGCATTCTGAATGTGGCAGTCTGTGAACGACTCTTGTAGTGCTCTCTGGAATATCTCAAGGAAGCTAGTAAGCTTTTGGAGAGATGAAACCTCCGTGATTGCTTTGGAAGATAGCAAACAGCCAAGTATAGTCCAAGATCTTGGATTCTTTCGAGCATCTCGTCCCACGGGCAACGATGAGTGGAGCTTGTCTAGTAACCAACGCAGGATCAAGCCTGTATGCGGGAGCACGCAAGATTGACCATATTTTTGCCTGTTCAGATGCTCTTTTGGCTCTAGCAGCAAGCTGTTAATTTTCAGGATACTGCAAACTTCATTAAGCTGATCGTCGAACTGCGGCAGGGTTTTGTCAAGTGCAAGAATTCTTTGCAGCGAAGGTATGCGTTCTGAGAACTGCGGTCGACGAATGTCAGTTATTTATACTATCACATTCGCATGGTTCAATCACTTGCCTCTGTCACGGCGCCCATTGCATGTCTGGATAGCTGGAAAACTTCGAAAATTTAGGTATTTCCATCAGAAAGGGCATTACAGAGCTTTGACCACATCGCCAAGATCTTGAACTTCCAGAACCGCAACCCTGCCTCACCCAGAGGAAGCTCACCTTCTAAGTCCATTACAATTGATCCCACAAGCCGTTATCAATATGTCTAATTCCACGACCAACTCCTCCATACCCCCAGCGCCAGTCTCGCGGACAAGACCTTTGAGCGAAGCGCTGCTCAACGAGAAGGTATGTCAACCTTGATACGCCTCTATTGAATCTGTAATGAAGCTCGTTGTATCTTATTGCAAGTCATTGGCGATGTCTTTGGTCAAACTTTACAGTCACCCAGACATTTACGGGAGTGTATACAAGTTAAAAGTTTACTAACCTGTTCTTTTGCAGTGGGACCGATGCCTCTCCTCCATGCTCATACGATCTGGCCTTGGCCTCTCATTCGGTGTTGTATTTTCCGTTCTCCTATTCAAGCGCCGTGCGTGGCCGGCTTGGGTAGGTTTGGGCTTTGGAGCAGGAAGAGCTTGGGAAGAATGTGATAATGTGAGTTGAAACCTCACACACTTGAGCTATGCAAGTAATATACTGGGCTGGACCCTAATCTGAGATATCCAGTCCTTCAAAAATGCTTCCTTAGCCTCGAAAGACGGTCTCCGCGTTCTGCGACCGTGACCGACCGAAGAATTGTTACTATTCGACAGACAAGACCATTCATCATCGATATCACGCTTCTGTACATTACCATAGTGGCTTTCTAGACTGGGGCGAAACACATAGTAAATCCTACAATTACGACATCAAAGTTATCTGTGCTCTTTGGTATTATCGTGACCGGTCAAACCCGCAAACTATTTGAGCAGATAGGAACGCAAGGGGCACATGTTGTTGTCATATTGAAACTACCTGTGTCTGTCTCAAACAATGAGTTTATTAGCTACAAGTTAACACGCATAATTTACTTCCAAAGGTGTTGGTGTACCTGAAGCTCACTACTTCTAATTGAGGAAATCTCTGGCAGTTATGCGAAGCTGGCTGATCATGATATCGTCGACCGGCTTGAACATGTACATGTATCCATTGCCTTTGCGTGCATCTCTCCCCTTATGGAGGCAGAAACTCGCCGGGAAAATGACTTAAGACTTGGGAGAAGATACCACCCGCTTGAAGAAGTGTTTACCGTTACTTTCATTTACCTTTTTATCTGCATCGTGCGTCTTCAGTATGGAAATTCAGAAGGAGCCAAAACTGCGTTCGACCACGCAGCGGGAATTTATCGCACGAAACTTCCACAGTTTCTGATACCTGGAGTTGGTAATTCTCGTTTAACCACGTGCAATCCCAGATTGAATTACTGGTTGGAAGCTACCAATGCACGGGCTGTAAATCGTTCAAATCACGTATTATCGTATTGGATTGCCAAGACAAGCGTCCGGGCTTGCAATCGAACAAATAGAGTTACCTTGAATAGTTGAGGATTGCCAATTGTAGTATAAAGAATCGATACTATCACGTGCTACTACCACGTGACCAATCACGCGATCTACCTCACTATCTAATTTACCTAGTTAGGGTACCTAAAACCACCATCCCCAAGCGCTATAATTCTCTACAATATTTACAAATAATCGAGGAGGCCCGCTTACGATTGGCAAGCGGCTGGAATTTCACAATTATGCTTGCAGTACAGGGTTTTTTTTTTTTGAAAGCCCGCTTGCGCTTGCCTTGAATTGCCTTGCAGAAACCCATCTCTGGAAATTGTAGAAGGAACTGCTCTCATATAGAACGCTAGTACTTAGCACTTTATACTTAACCCGTCTTCTAGAGACCCAACTCTTTCCCCAACACAACAACTTCATTCATTAGAAATGACACTTCTCAACATTCTCAGCCACCATTCGTATACTTAACCTGTACTACCCCGATTAAGTCGTCGACTTGTGTACGAAGATCAGTCGCAGTTGCTCTCGAGCCTCAATTCAGATCATTACAACAATACCTCGTACGCGCACACGGAAAAGTCCTCCGAAAATGCATAAGACGGTTTTTGAAAGCTTCAAGAGTGATCAGGTTACGGAAGAGATGCTCGATGAAGCTGCAAAGCTCTTTTCGGAGAATTACGGCGTTTGGAGTGAGCATGCGGCAGAGGGAATGGGAAAGTTTGCTAAAGCGGGTGGGTATTCCATGCGACAAGTGTGCTATTAAATTAACCATCGCATCCAGGTCGTCCCGTTCGGCTAAGCAAAGAAAGACTTCGAAATGAATATCTCCCCAGCGAAACCTCCTCCTACGTTAGAGTCACCGTTAACGATAATCTTGCTGGTAATGCCTTCGCTTGTCGATGGTCTATTGATGGTAGGACTATTTGCTGGATCACTCAGTTAGTCGTCCACCACGACTACCGTGAACGAGGGCTTGCTACTAGACTTCTCAACGAGACCAGACTAGATGGAGACGATGTCTATGGTATCATGAGTTCCCATCCAGCTGCTTGTCTAGCCGCGTCAAGAGCGTATGGACGTGAGTGCATATCACTGTCATCTGACCTAAACACTCATCTCCACTAGGGCCGATTGATACTGCTTCTCTCGAATTCATGAAAGAGAACGCGCAATCGATCATGAAAGCGTCGCCAGCAGGCTATGTTCGGGATGCCAAGCTACAAGGTTGGCTTTTTGATTCAGAAGATACTAGTGGTCTTGTGTCCAGTGTTGATACTGGATTTTTTGTTGACCACGAAGAGCCACTTGCAGCTTTAAAATGGGTGCGGAAGTCGATGGAATGGCCTCTGGGTGAACTTCTTGAGGGCCATGAGTTTATTCTTATTCTGCAAGCAAAGCGTCGTTTTCGATTTAGGTCCGATTCGTCGCGCCAGAATGCTATGTCTTGAGACCAGGCAGTCTCAGATGGAAATGCCATAAGAGCAAAGGAAAAATGTCACGGACTTGTATTGAGATATCCTGGTAACCTTCCCGCATGGTCAAATGAGAGTTGCATAACGACCCTTCGCATTGCAACATCAATGACACTGCACCATGCGTATTACCTTTGAGAGACGAACGCGACTTAATCTATAAGGAAGCTTTCTATGAGGAGCTGCTCGATCAGGTTCCAACCCCAGAACGCCTTACACCAGACTGGAACAATGGATCCATGAAAAGTAAATCATCTGCCTTGCTCTGCGCCACCAATATCAGACGCACCGCCACCACTACACCCGCGTTGACCTGCACGTTTACGTAAGGTATATTCGACTTTTACTGCCACTATTAGTGCTAAGAGTGACAAAATTTAGGCGACTAACGGATTAAATAAAGACCGTGACCGAAGGATGCTACTCTCGATGGCACGTCTTCAGGGCATAAAGTATATCTACACCCCAAGTTGACTCTAACTCGATGTAACCAGAGGCATTTTATTCGCTGAATCGCTACTAATAACTGATGTTCCGCGCGATGTCGATACTAGGACAGAAGCGTACCAGGCAAGCTCCAAGCCCGCAGCTGTATTCATCAGGCGCCACCCGCCACAATGTAGGAAGACAGCTGAAACCCCATTCCTGTATCCGCTACCGCCTGCTTGATGGCGTGACGGTCGCCTTCCATCAACAACCAGATTTCCTATGTGGGCCTAGGTGGATCTAGATGGCAGAGCTGAGATCCCACGCCTGACTATTCGGCCGCGCAAGAAAGCAGCCTTCATGCCATCGTGAGATGCTCGGAATCTAGCACATTCGGGAACGATGTTGCTATCCTCAGTGAAGCAAGGCACTCACCATCATCAGCACGTATGGCCTACTCCTCCGCGCTATATCCGCCTTCCAATGCGCTTCTGTATGACCCGGCCGTGGCGAGGTTTTCCTGTCAACACCATATGCCGGAACTCGGAAACGACTGTAAACAGCATATATATATACTCTAACCGCATGCATATACTGTCCAAGATTGTGAGAACTTGTTGATGGCTCTACCATTGATACGTTGCCTCATACCCGGCTTCTATCGGTCAGCCTGCTATCCTATGTTATATCAATTCCTCGTTATACTCCTAGCGCTTATAATTCCATCCTATAGACAAGGAAGAAGGTAGCGTGCCAATTTCAGGTCTCAAGAAAGATAAAACTAATTAACAACGAACGTAGGCCGCTTGACTCGTGGCAGCAGGTCCAGAACCCGCAGCTGCGGCGTGGAGTCACAGCCCTAGATATGCCTTCGGATATCGCGCAGCCTATGGACCCTTTGTTATATTTGGGACATGCTAAAGATAGCCCAGCCCAAACATTATCTCAATCGGCTTCCATCGCCATTCTCCTGCTGTTTGCAATATTCTGGTATGCGTGCTCATTCCTGATAAGAGATAGACAGAGAAAGAAGATGCCAATGCCAGACCAAGAAAAGGCCCACGAAGGCTCTCCTAAAAGCTTTCTCTGGCCGTGGACGCAACCCCCAAAGCGATTACCTGGGCCATACGATCCGCGCCTATTGCCCCCAATGCCGACTCCCACAACCTCTCTGCACTCGCAGCCTCATAAGGCGCAACAAAGATCGCCGCCACCTACACCACCTGCAATATCTTCTACCAACTACTCAACCAAAGTCATATCCGCAGCAGATGGAACAGAACACATATTCGAAGGAACAATCACGCAGTCTCACGGGGTTGAAGGTAGCTGGCGAAGGAATAAATGGACGGTAAGCTCTAGCTGCCCGAACGAACACACGACGTTTCATGAACGAGGTGGTTAGCTGCGCAGGTCAATTCGCTCAAACAGACGACCATGCACGAGCCTCAAGGTTAATGAGGTGCTTGGCATGAAGCGATAGGGCTGGGGTATGGACTCTAGTGTTGTCTTGTGCATGTAATTAGGCGTTCTTTGGTTTGGCGTCGGTCTTCAACAAGCGTATGACAGGCTCTTGATTGCGGAATTTATTCGATGCATTGCCGCGCAGTATTCGAGCGACGCGCGCGTCTTATCGGCACACGAGGCGGCTGTATGAGATATCGAAAGCCTGGGCTGGCGCGCGTTCTTTCATTGACAGTGGAGCTGCAGCTATTTTTGTTATTATACCTAGGTTGATACGACGGCTGTTTGTAGACTCTGCTGTCGCATACATGTTGCCGTACTCTTCATAACGGTGCCTCGTCTGAAATCCGAATTCAACGCTATTTATAGAACCACAGCATCCTTTTGATGATTGCATTTAGCATTCCTGGCATGAGCCCTGGATTGTGTTTCGATAGAGCAGCGAGGAACAAAGCAAGCGAGACCTTGGCCGAGACGACAGCATTGAGAAACGTCGTAAGGAATCTTGAAACGCTGCGTCATTCGTTTGCCGGCAGGCCACCAGGTATATACCGCCATCGCATGCCGAAGAAACTGGTCACGTCCTCCCATTATATCTTTCTCGTTGTGTATAGAATCTGATCAAATTTTCTGCACCTGCCTTATCCCCTTGTCGAATGAGCATGGCAATGTCCATGTTCAATGGACTGTCTGCCGCACCGTCGGTGAGCAGCTGATGAATGCAGGTCATGGTGGACGAGATTGTGTATGCGGGTGTCCACGCAGTTTTGAGAAGGTCAAGGCAGATTTCACCAGTCTATCTAGTCCGTCAGCTCAATTAGTGTATCCCAATACATGAGGCTGTTTGCATGAGAGATGCACAGCGGCGATGGAGAATAATTACCTTAAAATTCACATTCGGATGACATATTGGTGTCTTGAATGTGATTTCTGGAGGCGTATGCGGGTAATTCGACGGTATGTTTATGCCCAAAAGCCAACGTCCACCTGTAGAACAGCCAGAGTTAGTCTCGGTGTACCCAAGCTACCTTCCACACATCGGTTTTTCCTCGTCGAGCAACGGCTCTGTTTCCGACCCACCTTCATATGGTGTCCCCTCGACTCCGTCCATGATAGCTGTCCATTTCATCAACTCGTCATCGTTGACCGGGCCTAGGTGCGATAGAACGTAGTTTGGATCCTTTTGGTAGCTTTGTAGCTCAGAGAGCAGACGTTTTGTAGGGGACTGGAAGCGTGAGGAAGATGCCATCTTAACCAAGAGTATCTGAAGGCAGTAAGAGTACCTAGAGTTCAGCAGAATAATAAGACGCGTTGGGGGCTGTAAGTGGTGCTCACATGTAGCTCTCCACCATGGAGCTCTCTAGCTACAAGTTCTCCCCTCTAGGCCTTGGTTCGGCAAGCTTGCTTGGCGCGAAACTTATGACTACTAACAGGCTTTATTCTTTTATGTTAACTAAACATAGAAATTCTTATAATTATGTCTATTACTTGGTGTATGTCTGATATCATATTATTATAATAGATTTTCTATTTATCATAGATTAGAATCATAAGACTGATAGGTGTATAGATAGGTAGATCCCTACTAAGAGTCGCGCTACAGTAGACAGATAGATGAGTCGAGTAGATCCATGATCCGATCCGGGCCGGGAACGTCATCAGACGCGTCCAGGTCCAAGCGTCTATCCACTTCTGCGTTCACCACTAGCAAATTCCTGATTTCAAAAGAGTTCATGGTCGAGCAGTGGAATAATGACTGTCTCTGCACCCAATGCACGACTCACCACTCTACATCGCGCAGATGGCTCGGCGACATATAGCCATGGAGGCTATTCTATCCTGGGCAGTGTCAATGGACCGATCGAGGTAACAAGGAGGGACGAATTACCTGAAGAAGCTGCCGTCGAAGTGATTGTCAGACCCAGCGTAGGTGTCGGCTGTATGTATTACACACGATCATTGAAACTTTTAGCTGACAGCTTTACAAGCACCTAAAGAGCGACATCTAGAAAGCATCATCCACTCCCTTCTCCGTAGTGTTATCCTCACGCGCAAGCTACCCCGCTCGCTCATTCAGATTGTTCTTCAAGTCATGACGCTCCCCGAAGAAAGTGAGGAGAGCATGAGTCCTACTGCCTCCACATGTGTACGCAGACTTTACTACCCGCCCCGTCTACCAAGCTAACACTCATCAGTCGCTTCCACTTCTCCCACACCTCCTTCAAACCGCCCTGCTCGCCCTCTTATCCTCCGCTCTCCCGCTCAGCATGACATTTTCTTCCATCTTAGTCGCTCTCTCTTCCCGAGATCACCAGGACGTTCCCACGTTCTCCCCAACACCGCAAGGCATTCGCTCCGCAACTTCGCTCCACGTTTTCACATTTAGCCAACGCGGCCGCTGTCTGATATCTGAAAGCAGCGGGACATTCTCGTTTAATGCGTACGTGGAAGCATACAAGGTTGCAGAGAAGATGTGCACAGACCCTGTAGGCCAAGACCAGGACGAAGACATCATGGTCGGATTAGACGAGCCGGCACATAATCTGACTAGTTTTGTGCGAAGCAAAGTCGCCGAAAAGGTGGAGTCAGAGCAACGATGGCGTCGAAATTCTTGAGAAGCTTTGGTCTGTACTATGTACGACTATCACAAAAGCGTTGTCAATCTGTGGTGCCAAGCCGGGCAAAGATAGGGGTGATGCTATGAAGCTTGACCGGCCATATACGAACTTTTGGAGGGTAGAAAAATTGCCACAGGAGCAATGTCGTGCTGCGCCACAATAGTCCGAGGTCGACGCCACAATTCGCAGCATAGCCCCAAACGCACGCATCTCTTGATTGCCTACCACAAGTAAAGTCCTCCAAGCGAGCTCACAGATGACGAAGCTAGGGAAGGGGTTTGGTTGTAGATTAAAAATGATATGATATATGACTCAAAGTATGAACAAGATTATGTATGATGAGATAGTTTCGATGCCCACCGAACGCCGTGTCTTTGCAGTCATATGCATGCTCAACTGTATACGCAGACAACAAAAGTCTGCGCCTTAGTGGAAGCGATAGTATGTCTTAATGATAAATGTATAGATCGCTGCGTCTAGTGGCAAATATGCCCAGACCATTCTTTGTTCGAGGACAGGTCATCGGGGCATTTATGCCCCTCGTATATGGCGTTTCAGATATTCAAAACAATTCTTCGAAAAAGATCGCTAACAATGCTACCGCAGTGTGGTATCCAATTGGCCCGCATGTTGGGTCTAGGGTGGAGTCTCGGCTGCTCGTAAACTTTTGGTATTCGTGATGTCGTAAACTCATTGCTCAGGTAAAAATTATTTGTCCTTGTTTATTTCCAAGGTGGTGCCCTGGCGTCTTTGGTTGGTGGAGAAATGGTGGCCTGTTTCTTCGATTTCCTCTAGCCGGGAGTTGATCTCTGTGCTCATTCGAGATTCAGATTGCTGTAGAGTCAACAGCAGTTGCACCCAGGTCAAATTTATTGGCGTACCTGGTAACTTGTCGTTTTGCCCTGGTTCTCGTGTTTCGAGATAAGGTCAACCAGATGGACTTGCGGATCAAAATGGTCAGGAATTTGCCAGTTGATGATGCCTCTCTCATCTTTGAAACTATCGGTGGTCTTGGCAGCCACTGTTGCATCGTGTAGCCACTCGTCCCAGGCAGCGGTTTGAGGTGCCGCGCCACCACGACGTACCCAGTCCCAGCTCTTTGTCACTACGATGACTTTCCACAGTGCTTGGGTGAATGTTTTGCTCTTGGACGCGAAACGTTTGTCTTCTTCTGCATCTGGACTGCTGTCGGCAAAGCGATGCTGCTTGATTCTGAAAGTGCTGGTGTTCCAGTGCATTTTCGCGGGTAAAGCAGCTACGATCCAGTACGCTGCGTTAAGTATCATGTATGCAGCGGCAAACCCTATCTGAAGTTGCGGTGTAGAGTTGCCCAGAAATATGACCCCAAACATAAGCATGGTGGTACCAACCAAGGAGAGCAAGCGATAAACAGGTGGCTTCTGTATCCAATAATCGATCGTTTCCGGCGCAAAATACAATTCTCTTGCCACATCCTCGCTGCATTGCACAACCAGGAAACTTCCTTTGGGATAACGTATGACCACATCTCCTGGTGGAACTTTTCCATGGACTTGTTTACGTTTCGGGAGCTGCAGCGACCATTTGTTTCCAAATCCGATGAGGGTTGAGAGAAAGGATAGGAGGATGTCGGCGAGCATGGCACAACCATCGCCTTGCCAAATAGCAAGAGCGAGTAGGGCAATAGACAAGATACAACCAAAGCCAGCCACAACTGTGAGGGGGGCAGCAGTTTTCGCTTTGACGTCTGGCTTGTTCGGGTCGCGGACGATGGACACGCAGCGTACCGAGAAGGCATCCATGCTTTCAGCATCTCTATTCTAATGTTAGACAATGGTCTGCCGTGAAAGTGACAGTGGAACCTACAAGACTAAGTTACCAATATGATTGATAGCACTTGCACTATTCCCAGAGTGGACTGCTGTCACGAAGCCCTGACTTTGTTGAAGCCGTGAAGGTCGAGTAGGCCGCATCAGAGCTTGGGGAGCTGGTAGAAGCCGGGGAACAAACATCCATTTTGATAGTGAAGAAACTTGAGCATTTGCAAGAATCGACCCTTCACCGAGGATGGCGAGGAAACCGACGATGTCTAGCTGAAGCTCCCTAAGAGGCGGGAAGAAGGTTAGGCCGGCTGATAACGCATTGTTATCGCAGTTGCAGTTGGACATTTCGACTATGATACAGTGCTAATGACCTTGATTGGCGTAGACATGAGTGCTAATGAGGGAGGCGTAGAGAGGTATTATATCAAGAGGCGAGCCAGCAAGGCGTTTCCGAAATCAACAAGCGGCACGAACAGCGGCGAAAAGTCTTGATACGTGTGACGCATGCCAGGGGGCAAAGAGGAGAGAGGTAAGGGTTTCGTAGGTCAAGAATGCAAGTTGCAAAGGCATAGCCTCGACATCCTGCTGTGCATTGTCGAGAACGGAATGGTCTTCAGCCTCGCGGGTGTCCAGGTTACGATGCTTTTTAGAGGGGAGCTCTTCAATGTACCTAAATTGGCCACCCCAGGCCAGGCCATAAGGCTCCCAGCAATCAGTAAGCTCTTGAATAGGCTGCACATCGCGTCTGATCGTACGGGGATCGTGAACTCATCCTCATCCAAAGTCTCCCCTCTATCTACTCTGTCGCGCGCGCCTAGAAAAAGCAAACCAAGAACATACATCCAGTACTTGCCCCATACGTTGTCGCAGCTCGATCCGTGGACCCGCCAAAACCAGTGCTCTGCGCAGCACGGCCCAATCCAGTCTCCCATCCACAATTCATTTGAGCCTCGGCGGCTTCTGAGACTCGAAGACAGCGTCAAGAACGTCCTCAAGCCCTCGCGATAAGTTCCAGAGGAAGGAAACAGGGCTCTCGCGACCTATAATCATCTCAGTATGTGGCAGCCATTCTTCTTGCGCATTTTCGTATCTGCTTAGCTGCTTGCGGTGCGCGCGTGACCCATCTTCATTCCTGTCAAAGTCATTGTCAGTTCTTGTCTTTGCAAAATGTCCTCGCAGCCAGACATGCCTACAGATACATGGACTGTCAACATTTCTTGAAATATTCAAGACTGTAAACGCTTCTATCTCTGGCCGTTTTTCTGTCCACAGTATCATTTAGGACATTTAGGGTGTGACCGACGTTGAGGCGCAGCAGCTGTAGCCTTTGCTCCACACCGAGTAGTTGTTGAACTTTCTCACATGGCTATAAGGCCGGTTCTGCGGTCGGATCTTGAAATCCAATCTTGACTTTTTCATTACTATGTGTGCAGTCAATCGCCTTACTGATGATCTTTCCTGCAGCACAGCGTAGCGATATAGTGTACGTCGCCTTCAAGAACGACCAGTGTTACAGCCTCAACTGCGCTGCACAACGCATACCGCATTCGCACTAAAATTGTGCTTCAACGACAATCTTCAGGAATGAGGACCGGGACAGAGAGCCTGCCTACCTGATTTTTAAAAAAGAATGCCATCGGAGTCTGAGTCAGATTCGAAAGTGACGAGTGTACCATCTCTGACGGCATGGTTGGCCAAGTTTCCACGTCCATTTTCAGGTTCCCAGTGTGTGCCCCTCAGTTTACTTTCTAGAGTCTACAAGTCTCGTGTTTTTGTTCGAATGGGACTTGAAATGTCTCATTTCCCGTATACAGTATTCCTCTTCTAATTCTATTAACCCAAGTTCAGGTCAAAGGGAGAACGAAAACACACTCAAATCAGCAAAGACTCCGAAAAACTTCCCCGTGATTCTTGCAAGACATTGACTTCGAAGCCTTCGCGTCGCAGCTTTCGATTAAAGACAAAGGCATCCGCCTCTGACATCCAGATAGTCAGCATGCCTGCGTCGCTGATGTCACAGGAGAAGAAAACAGCAGCGTTAGCAACACTCCAAGGACTAAGAGCCATTGAGCCAGGACGCCTTCGCGACCGAATCCAGGAAATTAGCGAAAGACTATCAAAAATAGAAGAAACACTGACGGACTTGGCCAAGAAGAATGATCGAAAAGCAGAGAAGGAACTGCAAGTAGAACAGGTCAAGTTAGCTAAAGAATTGTATGAAAAGGAACGAGAACAACAGGAAATAGGGCGTAATGAAGACTCGTATTTAGGCGTCAATGCACTAAACAAGGCTTATGAAGATGCCAAGTGGCAGAGGCAACGGCTTGTAGTTGAAGACGTTGACCATTCATGGGACTATGATGCAAGATGTTCTGCCACAGAGACAGAACGAAAGGCCGCACGTATTATCTACAAGATTCGCGAATTCGAACGTGTAGTTGAGAACGATCCTGCGCAAGTCGGATCGGCAGCTGATGTCACAGCACCCTTCGGTAACAACCCGACAGAGGAACTTCCATCCGCATATACTCGAGATATGGGCGGTCAGTTTTTGACAAACAAGACTCGGATCGATCAAATGAGTAAACTATATGATATTGCGAAAGAGATGCCCAAAGGGGCACTATTGCATCTACACCTCAATGCTGAAATTCTCCCAGCTGAGCTGATCAGGAGAGCTGATCAGCTCGCAGACAACTCGATGTTCATAGCCAGCAAAACCCCACTCTTGATCAGAAAAGATTTTGACAATGCAGAAATACAAGTTGCCGTCCACCCCGACAATCGAGACCTGAGCTACAGAGGCGACATATTCAGTGATCGCCATCCTGGCTTCGCTGCTACGAAGCCTGAGAATCCGGACAAATCTGACTACAAGGGCTGGATGATGTGGTCGGACTTCAGAGAAGCATACCAAAAGCTTGCCCCAGAAGTCGGCATCACCATTAGTCATGTAGATTGGGTTAAGGAAAGAATGGTACTGAGCGAAGCAGAAGTCTATGATAGAACACAGACAGTCAATGGGTGAGTTTCACAATCATTAATTATAGATAAGCTGGCTGACAGTACTAGCATTTGGGCTCGTTTCAATCAAGGCACTCGCGCTTTCAAGGGATTTTTGAATTATGAAACGGCCTTCAAGTGGTATATCGGCGCCGCAATCGATGAAATGGTCAAAGACAGAATCATGTATGCCGAACTTCGTCCCATGTGGCTCGATAAAGTAATTCCCAGTGACAAACAGCACGGTCATGATGGGAAGTCACTCAAACTTGACCACAAGGACCAGATCAAGATTATCATTGAGGAAGCGCGCAAGAAGATAGACGAATTCCCCTATGGCATCAAAATCATCTATTGCACACCGCGCTCTATTCCTAAGTCCATGATGTGGAAGGAGGTAGACAATTGTCTCCAGCTCAAGGCCGAGTATCCTGACTTAATATGTGGTATGTTTAAGAAGTTAGACATTCTCGGAAAATCACTAACTTTGACAGGATTTGACCTTGTCGGAGCTGAAGACAGGGTCTTTCATGTAGGCCGATACATTGAGCACCTCGCTTACATGCAAGAGGCTTGTAGGAAGATGGGACCAGATTTCTCTATACCATTCATGTTTCACGCTGGCGAAACTCTAATGGATCGTGGAGGGTCGTTCGACCCTAGCAACTCCAACTTATACGATGCTGTAAGCTTTCGATCCAAGCGAATAGGTCACGGATTTGCCTTGCCACGACATACACCACGCTTTATAGAGCGATTCAAACAGGCCGACATATGTATAGAGCTGTGCCCCATATCAAATGAACTGTTGCATCTTTGTCGAAATGCCAAGGAGCATCCTTTTCCTCAGCTATTACAAGCAGGTATTCCTTGCACACTAAACAGCGACAACCCGTCCCTTTTCAGGTATGTTGCTGTCTTGCTTAGACCCAGTGGTAGAGTAAATGACTGACAGTAGCGCTTTTGCCAGTAATTCACTTTCGTACGAGTTTTACCAGGTTATGGTCGGCTGGACACGAATGAATCTACATGGCTGGAAGCAGCTTGCACTATGGAGCTTGAAATACAGTTGCTTGAACGAATCACAAAAGCAAGATGCGGTCAGGAAGTTCGATGTGAAGTGGCAGGGTTTCTGCGATATGATTGTCAAGAAATACGAGAACAATTGGGACCAAACGAAGCTCCCGTCCAAGTATATCAGCCACAACAGCACAAAGTTGATTGAACAACTAAGAATCGACGAAAACATCCCCTACGAGCTTCAGCCTGCGAGCTACGTTTCGAAATCCATAGGCTAGATCTCTTCAGCATCATCAGCGACTCGGTATACCACCTCTTTAGGTTGATCATGCATGCTCAGAGTATATGGCTAGGATAGTGCAGGCATCTTGGGACTCCAGTGTCTGGTTCTGCCCACGGAACGTACACTCTTGTATTGTACTGTCTGTAAGGCATACCCTACCACTTGCTAGATTTGTTGATAACGAGATGGTAGCGCATAGCGAAGACGGCAATGTCTTCAGAAGAAGTCTCAAATCGCGATTGAGATAGACTAAACGATAATGATCACATTTGTAAGATGGTACCTGCTCCGATAGGATGTAGGGTATGGGGCCGTTCAGTAACTGCGCCTGCGCCCTCTTCAGGTCACTCAGGCATCCCAATATAGTGCTGCGCCCGCTAAGCTATTTACGCCGTTTGCAGCCCTCGAACTCCACAATCCACATTCTACAACTACTCAGTTGCACATCGCAATGCTTATTCCCGTGCGTGCGCGCTGCTAATTTTGTTTGTGATCCACCCTCTATCTAAATAGTCTTCCTGGTCCCTCCCGGGCTTCCTATGCGGAACCTCTACCGCTGATGCAATATCTCCTCGCGAACGATAACGACCCGTAAAGCGACTCTCATCATTATATTGACTTGTAGAAAACTACAGCAGAAACATTGTCGACGGGGTGCCACGGACCATTTTCTCGGGCCACATTGAGCAATCAGCACTGCCTTGTACAACATGAGAAACTGATCAAAGCGACGTCGTGCATCGTTCCTCGAATCACTTGTCGCATACAGGACTGAACATAGAGTCTCGTATCCAAGCTCTTTGACACGCGGAAATTGATCAACAGGGCGGTGGAACACGAACCTTCCACAGCCCTTCTTTGCCTTTTCTACCCTCATTCTACTATCTCTTTCTTAGTCTATTTCCTCATTACCCAGTCTTCGTTCGTGATGGTTCCAACTGCAAACCTGACAATTGAACGGTTGTCGACTGCGGCCTTGTGGTTGAGCTGTGTGCCGGGGTTGACAGTCGCGGCGCATGCTATCACGCCGAGTGCGAGACTGCCAGAGCCCACGCCGTTTGTAGGAGGAGTGAGTCCGAACGAATTATATGGCGGGAATGGAGCCTTCCTAGCCAAAAGAAATTACGAGGATGTTACGAATTGCGATGGTGCCGGTGTTTGTAAGTGAATCAGCGGACTATTGATTTGTCCCTGACATGGAGCAGTGAAATGTGGAGGCGGCACTCAATACTGTTACTCTGGAGTCAACAACTATTTGGGCTGCTGTGACAAGTGAGGATGCGCACTTACACCTTCATTGATACCTCCGTGCTAACTGGCTTACAGGGGCAAAACATGCTATGCTCGAACAGAGTGCGTACCATATTCGGATATCGCGACGAGGAACTGTGATCACAACACCGGTGGATGCGCTCTTTGGTAAGTTCCTACTTGCTTGGGGGGTAGAGCCGGAATCTGATGCTCTTTCATAGCACAAATTCAGCAGCGCCAAACTGCGTCAGACTGGAAAATGCCGGTGGTCAATACGGAATATACTGTGACACGACTGCCAAAACAACCACATACGATGCGACAAAAGTTGACAATCCAGCAATGTCAACAGGCGTACCAGTTGGATCACCCGGAATGAGTTTTGCATCGCAAGGGTCATCAACAGCAAACTCGGCACCTACATCCACAGGAGATACGATATCCGGTAACGTAGACGAATCCCCCGGTATCTCGAAAGGAATTATTGCTGGCATAATCGTCGCCGCCATTTGTGCTGTCCTCATTGGCGCATTTCTGGGGTGGCATTTCTGCATCAAGAAGAATCGTGCGTCGCACGATCCGTCCTACACACATGCTACAAGGGGCAGCGGCGACATCCCTCTCTCAGGCTACATAGACCACGAGACAAAGTCTACAGCTGCAAGCAGTACGTTCCCGAGCCCCCCGTCCAGATACGCAAAGCATATGTCCAGCGGTCCCTGGAATGCAGAGTCCTTCGAACACGATACACCATACACACCCGGCCCCGAGGGAGCAGAACTTGACTCTACAGTCGTCATAAGAGACCACTCACCCAACTCCGGATCTATAAGCTCATTCGCAGGGAGCCAGCACGCCGAGCAGCAAACTCCGACACTCAGCCATAAGGTGTCGCCCCTGGTCGGTAGCGATGCGCAAGGCATCCAGCAGGAACCTGCGCTACTAGATGGGGCGGAAGTCAGTGCCATCTCAGGCCACCAACGGCACCCTTCAGCTGGCGATAGTCTGGCACAGCGTTACACGCCTTACCGGCCTTCCAGAGGCAATGGGCTAGTGTCAGGCGAGATAGGTGCTCGTGAGACGGGACAGTCTAGTACGTTTCCAAGCTACTTGACGCCGGAGAATGCTTTGGGGGGTGGGTTTGAGAGGGAAGAACAGCGGTTGAAGGACGAGGCGCGTCGGAGTGGTGAACACCTTTAAAGGTTGTTCAAGATATTTCTGATATGTATTAGACATGACAAGGACCCGGAAAAGGCATTCTAGATGGAGTCATGGTTTTCAGGGGTATCTGCATTGTTAGAGGTCTGCATTTGTTGAGCACTCGGATCAGTAGTCGCTAGCATATATGTAAATTTGAATGCTGGATGTACTTAGAAATGATGTATCTGTGCTACGATATTGGTCATTAGTTGCGGTGCTGATTGAGTCTGCTAACATACTATGCAAATGCTTGTTCGCTACCGCCTGCCCTTGACGCCGTCGCAATGCTCTGTATAATCGTACCCATGATGTCCTGCCCTTTGCGACTCAAGCCCCCGATTTACTGCTTTCACCCTTAGCCGGACTCCTCGCGCTGGCCTGGATCGTAGTTTCCAGGTTGTCCAGTCTTCTGGACATTTCATCCACTATGGAAAACATGTTAGTATGGAAGATACTCATGTCATGTCAGTCCTAAGGGTCCTGACACAGCCCGACACGCGTACTCTTCTCCAGAAGCTCTGCGGACACAACAGAGAACTTTGTTGTGATGCTATTCAGCATTTCTTCGACGGCCTGGCTCAATTCGGTTGTGGCATTCTCGTTCATCCTGGACTGCGAGCTACGTGTTAGTATGATGTGCTGAGCGGAGGCGCATAATTGGGTATGCGGTTCGGGGCGCTGGTACTCACAAGAGAATCGTCGACCTGGAAGGTATGTGGCTCATCTTTGTCTACCATGTTTAACAGTACTGGATCGTATATTTCGAGAAGGCGCTGAATTGGACTTGTTGCTGTAGAGCAAGATGATTCGTATCAGAGCTCATGGTCAACTGCTGGGGTTTGGGACCTCCACTCCCTCGCGCGCTTCCGCCCCGCAGTCGCGGAAAGCTTCGCTAGCGCCAAAAAGTTTCTGGAACATTGTAGCTCTTAAAACTCTCCCGAACGCAACCAGTTTTTTTTGCGCATCGCAGCTACCTCCATACACACCACCCAAAAAGGCTCCATATTCGAACTTGTGATTATGGCTCGAGCAGATAAGCTCAAGACGGCATTAGCGCACCATCAAGGCCGTGACTTTGCTGCTGAGAAGCGCCAAAAGAAGCAGAAAGAGGGTGAGAAGAAAGCGAAGGCCAAAAAAGAGAAGAAGTTACAAAAGGCTATAGAAAATGGGGAAGTCATCAGGGAGGATGCCAATGGCGAGAACACCGCGGACGAAGATGAGGGTGGTGTGAAGATCAACGGTGCAGATGAGGAGGCCTGGGAAGACGAGGACAGCGAGGAGGTAGACGAGGAATTCGACACCGCAAACATTGATGAGACAGACTCCAGCAGCGGCGAGGATAACGATGATGACGCTGAAAATGAAGACGAGGACGAGGACATCCCTCTATCAGACCTCGATTCTATAGCCTCAGACGACAAGGGCGATATCCTTCCACACCAGCGTCTCACAATAAACAACAAAGCTGCCCTACTCTCCGCACTCAAAAGCATCGCTCTGCCTGCCGACCTGCCTTTCTCCTCAAACCAGGTTATCACCTCTTCGGAGCCCATAGAAATCGCCGACATCGACGATGATCTAGGTCGCGAGCTCGCATTCTACAAGCAGTCTCTAGAAGCCGCCAAGAAAGGCCAAGAGTTGCTCAGGAAAGAAGGCGTGCCATTCACGCGGCCAAATGACTACTTCGCGGAAATGGTCAAGAGCGACGAACATATGGGCAAGATCAAGCAGAAGCTGATCGACGAAGCGGCGAGCAAGAAAGCGGCGACGGAGGCACGGAAACAGAGGGACCTCAAAAAGTTCGGCAAGCAGGTGCAGGTTGCGAAGCAGCAGGAGAGAGATAAGGCGAAGAGGGATACCTTGGAGAAGATCAATATCTTGAAGAGGAGTAAGTGCTGCTCTAAATTCCTTTTGTACCACTGAATCAGCTAACCATGGACGTAGAACGTGCCAATGCCCCTATTGCAAACGAAACGGAGCAGGATCTATTTGACGTCGGCGTTGAAGAGGACGACGCTCCCGTCAAACGCGCGAAGACCACTAGCCGTGGAGACGACAAGTCCAAGGGCAAGTTCAAGCGTGCACAGAAGGACCAGAAGTATGGATTTGGTGGTAAGAAGCGATTCGCAAAGAGCAATGACGCACAATCAAGCGCAGACGCCAGCTCGTTCCCTGGAAAACGTATGAAGGACGGACCCGGATTCAAGAAGACGAAAACAGGTGCTGTGAAACGGCCTGGGAAAGCCAGGAGAGCAGGTAAATTTTAAGATGTCGCGAAAGTATTGCATGAACCTAGTCTTTCTATTTTTCGAAAAGTATGCATTGCATGGCGTCTTGGTTGCCGTTTTATTCCAGGCACGTTCAACTATGAGGGAGAATATATCAATTCCTATGCTAATGGCACTATTTGATCCATGTTATACACTATCTAAGAGCGTACAATCCAGTGTGCATATATATGTTAAGATAACCTGCGTCGCACCGTGCAGTGTAGTAGATATCCGGGCTTACAGCTCATCCTTAATCTCCTCAAGCTTCTTCTGGAACTTCTTGAGCACGTTGCTTCGCTTGGTGATATCATCAAGCTTCTTAGTGCTAAGACCGCCCTTTTCAAGCAGACCCTGGAGGCGTTTGTATTCCTTCTCAGCAAAGGTCTCATCCTTGGTGAGCTTGCTCGCGACCTTCTGGTAGTACTCAGCACTGATATCACCTGCATCCTGAGCTGCTTGAGTCAAGGCATTCAGTGCATCTGAGCCGGGCTTGAGCACCCATTCAGCCGCAAGCTCATCCAGAGCCTTGATTGTTCCAGCATAGACATCAAGACCACCACCCGCAACACGGTGTGTACCAGCCTTAGCGTTGAGGTAGATGACAAAGTCTTCTTCAGACCGTCCACCGGTGTAATCCTGGGCGTCGGTCGAGCCCTTGGCGAAGAATTTAATGGTTGGGTAAGACTTGACGCCTTGCTTAGAGGCAGTAGCCTTTGAGTTCTCGGCCTCAGCGTCAACTTTGGCGATGGTGACGTTTGATTCGGCTTCAAATGTGTTTGCGAGCTTCTCCCAGGTGGGCGCAAGATTCTTGCAGTCTGAATCTCAGGGTCAGTACGGAGCAGGAAACTACGGATGAAAGACGTACGTCCACACCAAGGTGCAGTAAAAGCGACGAGTACGTTGTTGGTCCCAATCGTCTCAGCGAAGCTCTTGTCAGTCAAAATCTTGACATTACTGGGTTCCTGTTTCGGTCCCTTTGCCTTCGCGCCGCTCTTCTCAGTCACGAATTGAGTCAAGCTTTCCAAGTCTCTTCCTCCATTGTAGTCCTCTGGGGAATCACTCTTGCCGTCGAACCACTTCAGAGTGGGGAATCCTTGGATTCCAAAGCGCTTGCCCAGGTCCTTGTGAGCATCAGCGTCGACCTTTGCGATGGTGACTTTGTCGCCCGCTTTGAAGGCAGTACCTAGCTCCTCATAGATAGGAGCAAGGTTCTTGCAGTGTCCGCACCATGGTGCGAAGAATTCTACAAGGGCGGGCTTGCCAGACTTTAGGACGATATCGTCGAAAGTGTTCGGGAGAAGCTCGACTACGTCAGAGGCGGCGACAGTCCGTATAACGAGGGGAAGCGCGGTGAGAAGGTAGGTGAGGGCTACCATTTTGCAAGATATGTAATTAGATGGCTAGAGGGGTATCAAAAATGGGTGAGCTCTCTATATAAGTCTCCCTACACTTGTGCCGCCACTTGTTCAGGTTAGTTTAGTAAGCGAGCTGCGGCGAAGAAGCAACGTTTCCCATTGATCATATATGTCCTCACCGCAACTCGAAAGCTATCCTTAACGAATGAGAATATATTGCTTCTCGAGCTAATAATCAATTGACCTGCAACGGCTATTCTAATCACTTCACGAGGACTCATTAATCCTCCAAGGTTGTTCTAAAATCACTTGGCTTAATAGTAGACGCACCCGCGATGACTGCTATAGCATTACCAAAACTATATTCGATGCCTGCATGCGCTGAACTGCCAGGCCAGCGTTCTGAAGATCAACTGGGGACTGCTCATTCGAGGGAGCTTGTTTATTAAGTCTAGGGCGTAAACAGGAGTCGCGATATCACAGCATTATTCTTCATAACAGGGCAAGTTTTCGTTGTCGTAGACCATTCATCCTTGCTGCCTAATGTGCACCAGGTACTCGTTTGGTCCTGCAGTAGTGACTCGTTTCGATCATCCTTAACTGACAAGAGCAATATGTTCTAGCCGGCGGCCTAGATTTAAGGTGGTCTATGTTGTTCAATGCAAATTTAAAGCTTCTTCAGGTCTGCCGATGCATCTCGTGCCAATCGCTCCTTGATGTGACGCACATTCTCTGATGAGATTTGTCGTCATGTGCTAGGTTTCATAATGAGGTAGGATCGTGGAGAGCATAAGTAATATACTCGCCCTGATTGGCTGCGGAAGTTCGTTCTTGGTACGTGACATTTGATATGAGAGACTTCATTTTGGTGTATCGAGTATCCGCCATAGTTTACATTCCACTTAGTAGTGTATTCTTCTCTTTGTACATATCAGATTAAAAAGGCCTCTTATTCATTATCGCCGCCGAATTCGGCAATCCCGGCTTTCGAATTTAGGTACTCGTTCCTGCGAGCCGGAAAGTCAGCACTGATCCCTTGGGGGACGGGGACTGGGAGAGAGAATCGTGTATTCTGCCTTGCAACGGATGAGGATAGACACACCTTTCGATAGCCCATTGCATTGCTGAGTAGCCTAACACGCCAGGAATAGCCCAGAACAGAATCTGGGCCTTTGTGCGGCGAAAGGTGTTGAATACGGCAGCATTAAGCGCACCTGCAAGAGGCCTTTGTCGGTTAGGAGAGAGGGCATACGAAGTTACGCCCTTTTGCTTCAGGTTACCTATTCGATTACGGTTAGCGATCGTGGTAGTGGATGAAGATGAAGGTGGAATAGGCAATTGATGACGTACTCATGGAGCCCCAGCCTGCATGATAACTATACGTAGATGTCAGCGGATCTTCATATACAGAAGTAGACTGTGAAGTTGCGCATTTCTCGTCAACATACGAATGCGCCGCCTTGAGAGACCGAGGTGTAGGAACTGGAAACACTCACTCGCCAGGGAGCTTGGACTCGCCTGGGCCATGTCCGCCGCCAGCCATTGTAATTGATGTGTAGCGGTGGGTTACGTGATTGCCGTTTGTGAGGGGGAGATGGGGTTGCGTGATTGGGACGCAATCGTAACCTCGCAAGTTGAAGATTGAAGGTCGGTCTTGAGCTCGGACTATATTGATCACGTGAAAGGTCAAGCTCTAAAATGTACCATCGTTGGTCGCGAAAAGACAACATTGCACACCAGCTCCACCATCAGCCCCCTATCCCTACCGAATACCTCGATAGATCCTCCAAGATGGCTCAAGCTGCTGGTCTTCTCTACAAGCTTGCGGTACCTGCCGCTATCATGGCCTCGGCCGTCCAAGCATCGATCTACGACGTCAAGGGTGGCACTCGAGCTGTTATCTTTGATAGGCTCAGCGGAGTCAAGGAACAGGTTGTTCAGGAGGGTACACACTTCCTCGTACCGTGGTTACAAAGGAGCATCGTCTTTGATGTTCGCACAAAGCCAAGAAATATTTCGACAACCACCGGGAGCAAGGACTTGCAGATGGTTAGCTTAACATTGAGGGTACTTCACCGACCAGAGGTCGCGATGCTACCCAAGATCTATCAAGTAAGTCACGTTAACAAGTATCAGCCTGGCTAGGCACTACTCTTTGATATACTAATTCTCTATCTTACAGAACCTGGGCCAAGATTACGATGAGCGTGTCCTTCCATCCATAGGAAATGAAGTCCTCAAAGCCATCGTCGCCCAATTCGATGCCGCCGAACTAATCACCCAACGTGAAGCCGTCTCGAATCGTATCCGAAACGACCTCATGAAGCGTGCCCAGGAGTTCAACATCGCCCTCGAGGACGTCTCCATCACGCATATGACTTTCGGAAAGGAATTTACCAAGGCCGTCGAAGAAAAACAGATTGCCCAGCAAGAGGCTGAGCGTGCCCGTTTCATCGTCGAAAAAGCAGAGCAAGAGAGACAAGCAAATGTCATTCGCGCGGAAGGAGAGGCCGAGGCAGCAGACACCATCTCTAAGGCTGTTGCCAAAAGTGGTGATGGACTCGTTCTGATTAGAAGAATCGAGACACAGAAAGACATTGCGCAACTATTAGCCAACAATCCCAATGTGTCATACCTACCGAGTGGTGCGGGCAATGGAGAGGGCAAGCAAGGTGGTGGTGGCGGCTTCCTCTTGGGTTTGAAGTGAATCAAGACTAATGGATACAAAGGCTCATGTATTACTGAAAGATGGGGGCGCTGACCGGCTTAGTAGCATTTTCATGTAATATATTTGGATCCAGACTCAATGGTAATCTATACTCAATACCTTTCGACAAGACCTGAGACAACAGTATACGATTGCCTCAGCATATAGCTAGAGCCAATGAACAGAAGTAGGTGAGTAACAGATGCGCTGTCCCTGAAGTAAGCCTTGTGGTACGTGAGAACAATGACATGATGCAAATTCTACGCTGGTAGCTCGTAAGGTCTGCGTGTACGAAGGAGTGGTCAAGTGCACTGCATTGGGTGCACATGTAATTAATTAATAGACATGGCTGTAACTTGTTGACATGCCGCTCGCATCCTTCAGCTCCGATCAGTCTATGTCTCGAGCAGCTGTGGTCTACTACTGATATGTATATATATATATATCTGCGGACAGGCTATGAGCACTACGAAAACTTGCAATTATGATACATATCAACATCTGCTCTGGTCGGTAACATAATCGTCATTGAAGAGAGACTATTAAGAAGGAGTCGCAACACTAAGCTACGGCACATCCGCCATGTATCTTGAAGCTTACCACCCGTGTGCTCACCGAACGCACTATCAAAGGCTTGATACAAGTACAAACCTGGCCTAATGCAGCCCCGCTGTCTCGTCAGATGTTCGATTGGAAGTTTATGACCTAACCTGGAAGCGTTATGGGGTAAGGAAGACAGGTCTGTTGGTGAACAGTGAACACACTAAAAGACGCTTGTTGTTTATCAAGTCGAAGTTTCGCGGTTGAATGTTTTGACGATGTCGCATCTCCCGTTTCAGTGGATCAGCACCTGTAAGGTGAAGGAATAGTGGGGTTCGGTAGGCTCTACAGCGGCGAAACAGTGCCGTCACACCTATCTCATGAATCTGCACGGATCTAACAAGTACTATTTATAATCGTACAGTTCTAGAATGCCGGATCCTTCTCTTGTCATTAGCATCCGTAGATGATTTCTGTGAACCAAAGGCGTCAAGATCTATGGTGTGTTGACCAAGCCATATAACAGTAGGAAGTGTACCGTGGACCCTGCTATTGGCTGATTCTTTGCTGCAAATCACTACTGAATGAGACAGACATGGCGCTGGGCGCACTTTGAAGCATTTGGGCCAAGCACCGATGAGTGCACGCATCATTTTGTCTCCGTTCGGCCCCCTCCCCCGGTCAGCCAGCGGGACTTTCTCACTCCAGCCACTAATCGGCCAGCCAGCCAGCCAGCCAGCCAGCACATTTGAGGACTAGATATCTGACCAGGCTGACCTAACGTTAGCCTTTTGCTGCCCCGAGCCGGCCCAGGCCCCCCCGGGTTTTGTCCCTAATCCCCATCCCGGTTTCCATCCTTCTTTCCCTCACGCTCCTGCCCGACCGCCCACCCACCCACCTCGAGCCAAGCTTACTCCAAGGCTGGACAACCCTTGGTCCCCCATCGCATACACTTCTCCCGCCTCTCCATCTGCACCATATTGACACTGTCAAGCCTCGCCACGCCCCTCGTTGTCATGCAACCTACACAACCGCTCGACTACTCTCTCTAAATGACCCCCCTATCGATATAGGCCCCTCGTGTTGAGTCGCTGGACCGTCGAGGAGTAATGCTATCGGCAGCGCACCACGACCGGAGACAAATATGGAATGTCCCTGCGGCGGCGACGCCGACGACGACGACAACCATCGCACATGTATGCATATCGCGACTTACGACGTGAACATATGTACTGACTATACTATAGCATTGTTCGCCGTACACGCTCCCTTCCTTTGGCGTAATCAGTATTGATGCGTCCACGACCATAACTCTCACCGCCGACGCCGTCCTTACACCAGAATGTACGAGCGTGTACGAAGTTGGATCGACTTTGGTCGGACCAGGAAGTCGCTCTGACATGCAAGTGTCATTCAACGCGTCCGTAACCCCGATCGTGTATGCAACCGGCGCTGCAACCGTTATCGCGTGGTTCCTTTTCATCATGTTGGTCATCACTCCAAGAACATTCTTCATGGGTGGTGCTGGCGGGACATCAGGGCTTTTGGGAAGACGAGGAATGATCAGTGGTGCCAGTGGAAGCGCATCAGTCATCGGTGTTGGATCCAGACCTTGGTTACAGAAGATTGCAGCATTAACCGTCGCGATCTCGTTGACGATTGCAACGGCTGACACCTTTCGCGTCGCGGAGGCCCAATGGTACCAAGGTTTCATGGACGCCGAGTCATTACGAAGAGAAGTTGTTGGCGGACTAGAAATCAAGATCTCACGCATTATATCGGATATATTCTTGTGGTTGGCACAAGTCCAGACATTGATTCGCTTATTTTCACGACACAAAGAGAAGGTCATTATCAAATGGACCGGATTTGGACTCATCGTCCTCGACATGACATTCAGCATCCTCAACAATTTTCTTACCGAACACGATGGAAAACCAAGGCATTTTGTTGACGCGATTCCGGCTCTCAATTACCTTTTTCAATGCGCTCTGAGCATGCTCTACGCTGCTTGGGTCATATATTACGCTCTCACGAAACGACGTTACGCCTTCTACCACAAACTCATGCCCAACATGGCTGTTGTCGCCGTATTATCAATCGTCGCCATTCTAACCCCCCTCATATTCTTCATCATCGACATCTCAAACTATAACGTAGCCGGTTGGGGTGATTACTTTCGCTGGGTCGGAGCAGCAGCAGCTAGTGTAGTGGTATGGGAATGGGTAGAGAGAATAGAGGCATTGGAAAGGGACGAAAAGAAAGATGGGATTCTAGGACGAGAGGTGTTCGACGGAGATGATATGCTAGAGAACTCGCCACATCAAGAAGTCAATTGGCCCAGTCATCGGAACGATCGTAACCGAAGGTCTGGTGGCGGTGCCGGATATACTTCAGGTCATCATGGGCACGGTATCACTAATCGTTTCGGACGAAGGTCACAGAATCTTGAGCGCACAATTATGGTTCCGCTTGGACGAGTACATTCACGGTCGACGGACGCAAGAGGTGGTGCCACGAATATTTCTCCCACAGTCCCAGGTTACACACCATCTCCGGAACCAAGGCATCCACTGCCCGTTGCGTCCCCGGTGAGTCGGGCTGACACAACGAGCGCAACGAACACCGTCTACACCATTCGTTATCATACTATGAATGAACCAATGACTCCCCTACCTCGCCAAGCTTCTGTGCCACCACAACAGACTCCACCGCGAATGGCACGTACAACCAACACCGAGCCATATTTCGGTAAGGAAGGCCTTCAAGACCATGACGACTGGCAGCCAGATCCAGAGTCTCAACCTGCAGTTACTAGAAATAGATGGCGGTGGCCAAATATGTCACCGCTCAATCCGTTCAGAAGGAGGATCGCTGAACCTCCAGCTGAGGTGCTTGGCGGACGTATCGTTGAAGACACTGGTATGGAGAAGCCAGTAAGATCAGAGAAACCGCAACCACCACAATTTGATCGATGGGACCTCAAGGGCCGGTTCGGAGCGTTTGCTGCAGAGCAAAGCGAAAGAATACGCGACCGAGCCGGTGGTAAGCCACAGGAGATGGTGCTACCCGTCACGATCATCCCAGCCCAACCGAGGGGGAGAACCTGGTCACCTAACTACCTTGCAAATCAAGCACAAGAAACAGAACAGGAACAAAATCAGGGATATGAGCAGACCGACAGTTTGGACTCACGTACACTCGCTGCGTCATCCAATGAAATTGGGCCCGGAGATGACCAACAACTAGATTCCCGGACACGCTCTACTTCATTCACACGGACTTTTACAAGCCAGGCTACACTGAGCCTGCAGACACTGCTAGTCGAAAATCAGGACCAGGATGGGCGGACTGCTCAAGGCCCCTTCAGCTCCCCTATATCACCAGTCTCTCCGATCTCGACTGCGCCGGCGAATCCATTCCGCTCACCAACGCAATCGCACGCTTCTGTGAACGCTTCAAGGACGGATCAAGAGACTCTACCAGGAATCACAAGGCGTGGAAGCTAGAGTCGCATTAGTTTTTCAAAGCATCACAGGGCGTTTGCGTAGCATTGGAATTTCAAAGGACATGGAGAGGCGTATTCAGCGGGCGTTACAATGGCGAGGGGTCTAAACTGACCCTCAAAAATACCAATATTTTGGATACGGGGAATTCGAATTATTACTATGTAGGAGCATTCCGAGGTTGGCGCTGCTATCATGCAGCCTGTTAAAGGCGTACAGGATATTACTCATGGGTTCGTGCAGGATACCACCTTCATTTCTTTCCTTACGATTGGGCATAAGAGCAAAGGGAGTTGCACTAGGAGTAGCATGTCAGTGTGTATATAGTTGGCGGCGATGGATTATAACAGTGGACATGTGTTGGCATGTCAGGCCTGGGGATATTGCATCGGGTACCATGGTACGAGCCATGAAGATGTATGTAAATTCACATATATGTCGTTGAATTTCAGACGACTCGGAAGTCCAATCGAAACAGGCAGAAATCACGTCCAATCAACTTCACAAGCCTTGTCATAGAATCTGATATCCGTTTGTTTATTCCTCTTGCTCCTTTCGATTCCCTCTTTTCACGTCCACCGTTGTCTTAGCTATCCATCTTGCGCGTCATATGTCGTGAGTGCCCTACTGCACATTGACGTTTCATGATACCCTCCCATCGGTTCTTCATGGCGGATATTCAGCTCAGTTACTCCTCCGCCAATCTTCACTCGAGATCCTATCTCCTTTGACACCGCGGCCGCCTTCCATCCCCAAAGATCACCCTAGCTATCATGCACCTAGCATACGTCCTTGCTCCCCTCCCCCTCCCGAAACAGGACCGCATAAAGAAGAAGAAAATACTCCCAACAGATTACATCGTCGATCGGCCACTCTTTCCTCCGGAGAAGTACATACTGTACAGATATATCTAACAATTAATCCCCGAACTTTACACGTGGTATGCCAATTTCTCCGACCACGTGTCGATCGGTCAAAACATGAACTGGGATGGGCTGGGCTGAGGTGGAACCACCACCCCTTTTTAGTAATCTGATCGCGTCTTTCTCATTTGGTTGCACCCATCCATCGCAATGAATGCGCTCCTTGGTTTTCTTCTTCCTATTCGTCCGACGTATGTCAGGCTTTATTAATTGAAACTTCGTTTGAGATAGATGGCGCCGGCGCGAATGTCTGTTCCAGCATGGCAGAAGCAACCCACTACTCAACTATGGAGAAATAGTGACGTTCTGTAAGTGGCTGCTAACTAGCTAAAATCCCGAGAAAAATCGACTACGGGCGAAAGAAAAACTGGGGTGGTTCATAGTGTGCAGAAGATGCACGCCCCGCACTGCTGCACAAACCAGATTTACTAGAGGCGAGCGACTGCGATGTTGGAGCAGAAGTGCGTGATCACCTCAGAAGTGCCGGCAGAGCAGGGGGAACACACTTGGTGTTTGAGATGGGGAAGGTTTGGCGATGTTATATACCAGGAAGGAGCTCAGGGAAGTCTCGGGAGCATGGGATGTACCGTAGGTTACGCCTTGAGGTGCTGATGCTAGTAAGGTCAAGGTTAATCAGACCAGGGAATGAGCGGAAGAGGTCTGAGTGCGGATTGGGAAGAGGGGTTATATGAGAAGCGTAAGGGTGAGTATTGAGGCCCTTAATTGATATCATTGATTGAGTGAGGATGAAGACCATCATCGTATATATACCAACCAGTAGGCGAGGACCAACGCTTTGTACAATATAAACGAGTAAAGTCCATACGGGCGCATTACTAATAAGAGAAAGGGATGCTATGAAATTCTAGACTTATACAATCCTGAATAGAATATAATGTGACATATCCAAAATGTCAAAAAGCGCAAAACATTCAGCAGTGGGTATTCGCTAGTGGTCACCCACCTAACTACTAATCCACCCCTAACCAGCTTAAATAGGCGGGAGCGAACGGGACCGCTTGCTTTCTGGTTGGTATGGCCGAATGTGCTTGTTTGGTGGTGTTGTAAATTCATAAATCGCAACAAAAAAATCGTTGGAATACCAGGCCGATTCATCGTCATCGAAAGTTCGCTCCAGAAATCACATGAAGCTCTTAGCTCTTTTATACATTACCAGATTGGGCTAACAGCCCCCAAAATTCCTGGCCTCCCTTTTGGTTCTGTCGATCGCGGATGTAAGTGACGGATGTAGTGTGTTCTTGGCGTTAAATCCGAGTATTGTTGCACACAGCACCATCTGATATAAAGCAAGAGCGCATACATGACATATATTCTATATCACACTTATCATACATAAAGCACTACAGTCACACTCCGTCTTCCACCATCTTCCAAACACTCCCCCATCCATCTAATCAATCAAGACCATGGGCCCAAAGACCATCCTCGTCACAGGCGCAAACCGCGGTCCGCTCTCCCCTACCCCCTACGCACCCCTTAACCCCCAGCAAAAAAAACCATGACTACCAATACCACAACCCACGCACACGCCCACAAACTAACACCCAAACCCCAGGCATCGGCTTCAGCATCATCCAAGCCCTCGCCACGCGCGAGCCCACAAACACATACCTCCTCGGCACCCGCTCAGCAACCAGCGGCGCAGACGCAATAGCCCGCCTGCACGCCCTAGGTCTGACAGCACGCTTCGCCGCCCTCGAGCTGGACGTTACCAGTGACGCCAGCATTGCGGCTGCTGTGCAGTGCGTCGTGCGCGACTATGGCGGGTTGGATGTGCTTGTGAATAACGCTGGGTATGCGGCGATACCACCTCCCGCGGCCGCGGACGACGGGGCTGGGCTGAGGGCTGCGTATGCGGATACGTTTGCGGTGAATGTGACTGGGGTTGCGGCGGTGACGGGGGCATTTCTGGGGGTGTTGCGTGGGAGTGCGGATGCGAGGGTGGTGAATGTGTCGTCGGGGAGGGCGAGTATTGCGGCTTTGGCAAGGGGGGATATGCCGCCGGCGGCGAGCGTGCCGTATAGTGTGAGTAAGGTGGCGTTGAATGTGTTGACGCTGGAGATGGCGAGGACGGAAAAGGAGGTGTTGTTTCAGTTGGCGAATCCGGGGCATTGTAGGACGGCATTCAATGGGTTTAGGGGCAAGAGGGATCCGTTGGAAGGGGCGGGCGTGGTTGTGGAGTTGGTTTGTGCGGAAAGGGGGAGGTGGAAGAGTGGGTTCTGGGCGGAGGAGGGAGGGGTGATGAAGGAGATGGAATGGTGAAATGTGTTGGGGGTAGTTTGCGAGATGGAAGGACAACGATGATTTGCACGTACTTTACAGACAACGGAGAGAAGTCGACATGATGCACAGAGTGTTATTTTTTGCGACGTACATCTATTGAAAGAGTTACGTTCATGGGTTTCCCACGCGCCCTTCACTCATTTGGCGGCGTGATTTTGAGAGTCTTGATATGCTCATACATGTGATCCAGTCAAAGGTTACAAGCGTTGCGTTTACTCGTCGTCATCCTCAGCCTCGTCGTTGACGACATTGAAGAAGCGGAGCTCGTAGACACCCTTGGAGGTTGAGACGACGCGGAGCCAGTCACGGAGCTGCTGCTTCTTGAGGTACTTCTTGGTCCTGGTCGTCTTGTTAACCCACACGCCCTCCATAGATAGTCCTTTCTTCACTTACAAGTACTTGAGGTAGCGACCGGAGAACTCTTGGTGCGCAATCACCTCAATCTTGCCATCGCCAGCCTGGCTGATTACGATGGTGTCACCAAGGTTACCAGTGCGGCCATCGACCTTGATGCGGTCGTGCAAGAATTTCTCGAACGCGGACACGTCAAAGATCTTGTCGTTGGCGGGCTGACTCGCGTTGATGATGAACTTCTTGGTGATCTTCTGGTTCTTCTTTGCGGGGCCCTTGCCGGCGGCGTTCTTCTACATTGTGATATGTGGTTAGCATGCGCCTACTGCTCAGTGCGACAAAAGAGAGGACTCTATCGCAGGCAGCATAGCGGGTGACGTACAGTTGCGGCCATTGTACTGGTTGTGGGTTTGATGAAGGAGTGAGGGCGCAAAGAAGTGGATATCCTGCGCTGTGGGAGATTTTCGATGAGGTCGAACTTTTCCTGTAAATTGGTGGATTCGAGAAAGATATTCGCGGTGCGGACGCAAGCGAGAGGGAAACGACTAGTGTCTTGGCATGCATTATGTACTCCTCTAAGGCAGACTTCAGGCACCACCTCAATCAATATATCAGTTATAGATCAACGGTTGCGTACAGAAGTTAGCAGTAGAACCTCCGTCGCAACTAATGAGCATCGACTATCGCGCTCATGAGTACTTGAGTGCTTCGCATTCTCACCCTGAACATAATATTCGAGGATATAAGCCGCGCAACATATATCGCCATTCTCTTTCACCACAAATTGCTCGCAGTTCCCGGCCACCTAGTTCACAAGAGAGACACTACATGGATGATTGTATCCGATTGTATATGCCGAAGTCTGATCTCAGTTATGATGAAAGGGAGAACCTCTTGACCCAAGGAACGTCCAATTTTTGCTATAACTTGATCTGGACCGGTGCTAAGAGCTCTTGCATCTCTCTTTCCTCGCTGCCCACAAGCATCAGGAAATGGAGGCAGGCCTCTGAGCAGGTAGGTTTTGGTAGGAGTCGGTAAACCACGACCTACGATTGGCTAAGGACTTACTTAGCTCTTACTAAGCAGTCTTCCGTATAGAGACCCGAGGGACTTTCCTCCGCAGACACACCTTTAGGTTCCCTTATGGCTTGGGTACCTGTCCTATTACCCTATGCTAAAGCCCCAGGTTTACTACCAGCTCCACTACCCAGCGAAACCAGCATCCTCGAATCAACAACCGTATTCCGGGACGATGTCTCGCACCATAGAGTGGTTGCGGTCGGATCCCACTTCATTGCCAAACATGGAAAGGGGGTAATTGAGCTAGAAGGCCAGGTGCTTCTCTTTCTTGAGCACCATCTCAAAGCCTGCTCCCAGGTGCCAAAGCTCTATGCGATGTATCGCATACCAAGTACGGGCCATATGTGCCTGATCATGCAGCGTATGCCCGGCGAGACCCTCGATTCACTCTGGCCTGGCCTTAGCGAATTTGAAAAATCCGAGGTTTGCACGAAACTGAAAGAGCTATTTACACTAATCCGGGATATTCCAGCTCCTCCACTCTATGGCAGCGTTGATGGTAGTCGGTTTGACCATTACTTATTCTACAGCCGGGAACGTGATCGGGAAATTTGTGGTCCATTCGACTCGGAAGAGCAATTCAACGGAGCACTTGTGAAGCGCCTACGATTTGATTGGGCGCGAATGGGGAGACATAGTTTCAGGGCCGATTTCTATGAGAGGAATCTTGGGAAGACATTGGCAGGCCATAGGCCTGTATTCTCACATTCCGACCTGCAAAGAAAAAACGTGGTGGTGCTTCGAGATGCATCACGAGGCTTCGAGGTCAGTCTGATTGATTTCGAAGAGGCAGGGTGGTTTCCCACTTATTGGGAGTATTTCACTGCCCTCCAAGGTGTTAGTTGGGACGACGATTGGGCTGAGCAAATCGAAAAAATCCTGGATCCTTGGATCAACGAAGCAGTACTAATGGCAATGGTGCATAAAGACCTGATATTTTGAAAACTAATCCCCAGGCACAATATGAGCTTGCTCGATTCATAAATGGTATGAAAAGAAATAGGAACAAGAACTAAATGTACAGTGTCGTTAGAAAAAGCGGGTGGATTTTCCGCTTTCAACAGCCTTCTCATATCACTTGAACTTGATCATACAGCGGCCATAGGCTCCACGTTGTCGAATTCGATGTTCTTTGAGTTGAATTGCGTTTCATGCTGTTTGCAGCAACTGCACTATGATCTCACCATCGTGCATATGACGTCGTATGGTAGCTCAGAATCGATCCTTAGTTCGAGCTCAAAACTTTTCCCAACGCCTGTAGCATGGCAATCAAGTAATTCATGTACGCTTTCATATTATGACAGGGCTACGTGATCATTAAGCAAGAGGCTAAGCTTGCTGTACTTCAAGGCATGTTTGCCTCGAATATATACTATGGGTCACCATGATGGGATTCAAAACGTGCATGATCATCCTGAGTCCAACATTTGCTATTTCAGAACACGTCTTTACACGGTATGATCAGAAAAGACATTCGTGGTTGTGCCTTGGTGTTTCGCGACATGACTCAAAGTCGAGGTCGAGAAGTACTCGTGCCGATGAACAAAATCCGGCTGGCACCCCGACGACCTGCATACAGGTTTCCCCTGGCTGGCCTCGTTGTGTACAGCGTCTGTGTCGCTAGCGCTTTCATCATCTTCGGAATCGTATAGACGGAAAGTATGGATAAGACTGCGGTGCACTGTACGCGTCTGTTCAGTGGTTCTCTTGAACTCCTCCATGATACATTCCATGTCTAATGGGATCACGTTCTGACCGTGAACGAAGAACTTATGACGCACATCAGGTGCACAAACCTTGAGCCCATGGCGTTGGTGCGTCAAGACACCGGGCTTGAACCAAGCTGCTCTCTTCAGATGGTCTTCCAGTGTCAAGAAGTCTGCACCGGTAAGCAGACATTTCCGGAAATTGCGCTGTGTTATACGAGGAACTTTGCCTTTTACGTAGGCTGAGTCAGTGCCAGCAGCGCAGCATATATAGCCTCTAATTGATCGCTCGCTAGAGTCTCCGAAGCGACACCCTGTAGATTGCTCGTAGCCATTGACAGTGCGTATGTTGATCCAGAGCATGGGATAGTTATGACCATGGCTCATATACCCGCACATGACTACTACCCCTTGGAAATTCTTTTTGTTCCGCAAATGAATCTCCGCCAGACAGAGGTCAACCTTCAAGCCTTGATATGGACTGACAATCCTCGTTGTTGCATCCCAATTCGCACCATCTGCAACCTTTTCGATGGACCATATACGAGGGAGAGTCCGAATGAGAATACCCGCTGGTCTCGCATATGCAGCATCCAGGGTTGGAATGATCTTGTGGTAGCCATGACTACGTAGCCATATTCGTCGGTCGAGAGAGCAGGAAGTCAAGAAATCACGACTTATACGATAGAACAACGTGCCAATTCGCAGAACTTCGCTCGACTCATTCTGTAGAAGCACCCTAATGGCGACGAGGTTGTGTGTGTTCTCACGGCCTCTAAAACGACACCGTAGTATCGCGAAAGCTCCATAGTCCCAGAACAATGGAGCACACGGGAGCTGAAGCTCGACGCCTTTACTGTTGACAGAGAAGGGTCGAGACCAGGCGAAGTGGTGGCTAATATCATCGTCAATGATGTGGGCAGAACCGGCATATTGGCTAGGATCTGTTGCGTATGGGTCTTGTACATTTCCCTTGCTGTCGGTATAAGACAAGTTTGCCTCATGCAAAAATCCAGCATCCTCGCCCCACGCAAAGACGGAGTAATCATCATGATTACCAATTATCACTTCTTGTAAACGCTGAAATGCTCTGAGACGACCCTCACCGTACAGCAAAGGCATGTTTATCCCAAAGATCCCAAGCAATGAATAGGACACATCCTCGGGGCGGGTAGCTACTCGATTCGCTGCCCATGACATTCTTTCTGCGATACTTGCAGATTCAATAGAAATCTGTTGCAAGAAGTACCGTTGGTGGATCGACGTAGCTTTGTGAATCTCAGTTATGATGAAAGGAGAATCTCTTGGCCCAAGGAACGTCCAGTCTTTGGAGTAAAACTTGATCTGGATCGGTGCTAGGAGCTCTTGCAATGTCCAAGCCCTTCTGAACCATTCGCTGGAAGATATACGGATGGGAGGGTTTGGTAATGATTCGAGTGCTGGCTCAACACTGGATGGCATTCCATTAACCTCGGGGGAGCTAGAGAGTACATCGCGTAGTGCGTTCCCCGGGTGATTCTCTGATAGGTATTCTATTACTTTCCACAGTTTCGTACCTTGTGGATCGTTTGTTGTATCATTTGATTTAGATTGTGTTGAGTCTCCCAAGATTTCCTTTACTCGGAAGTCCGGAGAGCCCTGTTTTGCGTATTTGACCGCATTTCTCAACGCATCCAAGATGCGATCCTCTCGCAACGTGCCGAGTCCGTTGGTCTTTGGAACGTCGGCTTGTGGTTGGTCTCCTGGTTGCTTTTCGAGTTGGTCTTCCGGTTGGTCGTCTGGTGTATCTTTCACGGTATTCCTTGACTTCTCTACGCTTTCGTTTTCTGGTTCATTTTCTGATTCATGTTCTGGGTCATTTTCTGGCCCTTTCTCTGGCCCTTTTTCTGGTCCTTTCTCTGGTCCTTTCTCTGGTCCTTTCTCTGGTCCTTTCTCTGGTCCTTTCTCTGGTCCTTTCTCTGGTTCTTTCTCCGGCTCGTTCTTTGGCTCCTCTTTTGGTTCATCATCCGGCTCCTCGTCTGGCGCATTATTTGGTTCATCATTTGACTCACCATTCAGCTCATTTGCTAAAGCTCCTTCTTGAGCGTCCTCTGGGCCCATCTCTGTTTTGACCTTTAAATGGCCTCCTGACTCCTCATCTGAGCCATCCTCGATTCCATCTCTAGGTTCGTCTGCTGACCTCTCCTCTGGCACAGATTCAGAGTCATGCTCTGATCCGTGCTCTGATCCGGACCCTGTTTCTCGATCTGATTCGTGACTCTCAACAGCTGCTACGCTATCCCGAGCCCTCGATTGTCCACTTCCGTCTCCAGACCGCCGCGGCCCATCGACATCATTCAAATATACAAAACACACCACAGCCGCACGGTAATACTCAAACATCGAATTAATACTTTCTGATAACTCCGCACTACTCGACTTGTCGATACTACCCAAACTTCAATCAGATCTATGCCTCACCATATCTCCCATATGATGGGGAGAGTAGGACAGTCTCGATCCTTACCAGCACGTATCAATCCACACATATCCCAATCCATGCTCTCGAGCACGCTTGCACGTCTGCCGTATCTTGTGATATCCAGGCATCGACCAGACTGCCCGACGGCCGTCTATCAGGTCTTTGAACTGCACCTCGTCCTCGGAGCGGCCCCAGCGGTGCGAGAGGATGGCGTATGGGGGTGGCTTTTCGATGAACTCCCTGAGCGAGCCGCTGGCAACCTCGATGAGCCACATGGTTGGTGACACGCTGTTTTGGGGAGTCAGGAAAGGCAGGACGACATGGCTTCGTTTTGCTCTGTAGAGTGGTTCGGTGTGACCGTCGCGACTTATATGCGAGCCGTAAGACTGCTCTGCTGGATAAGAGCAGCCTAACTCGGCTGAATAGGCGGGGAAGGGTTAATACCATGCTCACAGCGACCAATATCTGTGTTGTGCGACCACATCGATGTGTAGATGTGGCTAAGGGGGTCCACATTCTCCAAGGTGCTGATAGGAGATCTTGATCGCTCTGCACAGAACGAGGTTGGCTGTCCTCGTGATTCTCTCACATAATGGAAATAGACAAAGCAAGTGTGGAAGAGACGGCTCCAGATATCGAAACCAGATCGATAGACACCTAATTGAGCGTGCAAGGATGAACTGCTCGTTCCGTCAGTTTAATCTCTTGACATGACTCTGTTGTACGTATGAGGAAGCTATGCATGGTCAACATGGGATGTCATATATAGTGTACATATGATGATGGTTGATCCATCGGATGTTCAAAGAGGTCCAACTTCCCCACCAACCCCCACCTCCTCGGTGTATATCCCAGCTCCGTCTACGTAACATCATGGCAGGCGTCAAACAAATAGCGGCATGCTACGGGCTAGTCGCACGCCATATATAACAGCCTGTGAAGCACCGGAGACATAAACATTCGACGATAATTATCAAATATAGAGAACACAATTGGATTTCCATCTTCTGCATAGAACAAAACAACAACATAACGCAAAACACCACCATAAAAAAACCCCACTGTCCATCTCATCATCACGAACACACACACCATGGCATCCAAATTCGACGTCGCAACAGCGCGTAAAGCCTTCCCCGCACTCGCGCAGCAACAAGTCTACATGGACAACGCCGGCGGCACACAAACCCTCTCCAGCGTGGCCGACTCAATCCACACATATCTCCTCTCGACGAACGTGCAGCTAGGCGCTACATACCCAGTCTCAGCAACAAGCACCCGTCAGTACAACGAGGGCTACGCCGCGGCAGCAGGGTATATCAATGCAGATGTCAACGAAGTCGGTACGTATATACATACACACACACGTGACACATTCATATACACAATGCCCAAAAGCCATGCTCAGCATGCCCGGGACATCGCGGATGAAACTTGATTTGACGGTATGTAGTGCTCGGCGGCGCGACAACCCAGCTCTTCGCCAACCTCGCCACATCGCTGTACTCGTTCTTCTCGCCCGGCGACGAGATCATCCTGTCGCTGCTCGACCACGAGGCAAACATCGGCGCCTGGGTGCGCATGGCAGCACTCCTCAAGCTAAGCATTGTATGGTGGAAAGGCTCGTACGACACGTCCAAGTACAACCCGGTACACGCCCCCGATAACCTGATTCCGCTCCTCACGCCCAGAACGAAATTTGTTGCGTGCACGCATACGAGTAACATCCTGGGCAGCATCCACGACATTGCTGCCCTGAGCAAGACAATCAAAACGCATGCGCCGGGTGCGCTGTTCTGTGTCGATGGCGTGGCGTATGCGCCGCATCGAGCCGTGGATGTTAAGGCGCTGGGCGTGGACTTTTATTGTTTTTCATGGTACAAAGTATATGGGCCACATATCTCCATGTTGTACGCGAGCAGCGCGGCGCAGAAATACATGACATCCCAAGGGCACTACTTCAAAGGTGCACCAGAAACACAATCGCTTGACACCAAGCTTGGGCACGCAGGCAGCTCATACGAGCTGGTAGCTAGCATACCACACATCGTCTCGTATCTGAGTCCAGCCAAGGAGACGTGGGATGCGATAGCTGCACACGAGGAAGAATTGACGAAGCCAATCATAGAATTTTTGGAGAAGGATAAGAGAGTGCAGATCGTGGGCCAGCCAGTGGCGGATAAAGAGCTGCGGGTACCGGTCATTAGCTTTTGGGTGGAGGGGTGGAAGAGCGAGGATGTTGTGCTGGAGGTAGAGAAGAGGAGTGCGTATGGGTTTCGGTGGGGGCATATGTATACGCATCGCTTGGTGGAGGGTCTGTGGGGCAAGGGAGATGATGGGGCAGTGAGAATAAGTCTGGTGCATTATAACACTTGTAAGTCTTCTGGTTCGAAATTGGGCCTCCTGTGTTTGCTGACTGAGTACCCGTGTAGTGGAGGAGGTTCAGGGTCTTCTGAAGGTTCTGGGTGAGGTTCTCAAGGCGTAGGCCCGTGCTTTCTATAGACTGGCCGTCTTGGTAGGCCCTTGGCCGCGCGTCTTGCATGCTAGGTATAGATTAAGTCGCGCAAAACAAGGACGTCCTCAACAATGGAGTGTATGCCTTGTCGATGCCGCTGTGCCGCCGCCGTGTTTGGTGGAACCAAGCTTTTCTGCTCGGGTACTATCTCTAGTGCAGAAGTAGAGAAAGCTTAGACAAACACCCGTGAATTGACCCGTTGATCGAAGTTTATCGCGCGTGTAGGCGAATTCTGGTGACATATCATGAGGGTTTTCCACGGTTCCGCATCATGGCTCTGTAATTTGCAATAATGTCCTTTCGAGCCTCTCCTAGCTCCTCTCTCCGTCTGAGACTGCCTGCGGCGTTCGGGACGTCGTCTACGTGTACCTTTGCCCCATTGCGGACCTTGAACTTCTCCTTCGGAACGGCGGAGAACTCAGGTGGAGCCTGCACGACATCGTGGAGACCTTTCGGCTTCTCTCTCTTGTCCTTGAGAGCGGCCCAGGGATCATCGTCTCCGTCGTCCTGCTCTCCGACCATTTTTCGCCTCTTGCCTCGCTTGCTTTGTGGTAGCTCGATCTTGTTCTCTGCTAGCAGTGCTTTCAGATTTTCCTCCTCTTCCTCTAGCTGCTCAAGCTCCTCCTCTTCCTTTTCCTTGATCTCAGCCTCCTCTTTGCGCCACACAGCTTGGATCCTCCGCAGTCTCTTGTCGTGCTTGGTCAGGTGCTCCTTCACTCCAGGCAGTTTTTTGCCTTTGCTAACAAGGCCTGATATTGGCAGGGCTTGGTCGACCCTCGCGGAATATTCTGACATGCGCTCTCCGGGGAGCATCTTTGGTATAGCAGGCTTCTCATCGATTTCAGCGTCACGTTTCCGTTTTTGAGCTTTGGCAGGAGCACCATCGTCCAGGCCGTTTCGTGGGGCCTTTCCATTCTTGTATGACATTAATCGGGCAAAAGCTTTAGGCGTGTCATCGTGGCCATAGTCGGATGTGGGCGCAGAGCTTTTCTTTCCTTTCCGCCTCTTTGAGTTGAAATTATCACTTAGTTTCGCGGCAGATTTGTTTGTGGGAAGAGGCTTGGCAACGACGTTTGGAGGCAGATCATAGCTGTGGGGAAAGAGGTGAGCAGTGGATGGCAGAGCAGATAGAATGAAACATACATGGAGTTGTCAGCCTTCTTGGCCCTTGTGTGTTTGTGTGGCATCGTCACGTAGTGGGTGTGCAGCAGTAGCAGTAACTTCTGTCGCGCGTAATAGTTACTGGCATGAGGTCGAGACTTTTTTTAGCGGTAAGTGGGTGCTGTTGCGTATATGTCATCATGAACTGCGCCAGTCCAGGCACGATGCAGCCGCGTGCCCACGTAACACGTGGGCGGAAGAAGCAAAAGCAACAGACGCGCCGCCCAATGCCCATGCATCACATTCACATCACACTGTTGACATACTACTGAATAAGTGCACACAGATGATTACCTACTCAGCGTGTTGAACCATAACTCCCTCAGGCATGTGAGATGGAAATGCAGCAGCTGACAGACGCCCGAGGCCCGTAGTTGCGGTAGTCAAGACACGGGGACATGAAACGTGCTGTCTGTCTGCTGCCTTAGTGGGGCGACAAAGCAGTCAACAGAGTGGAGGCGGGCGTGGAGGCATGACTGGCCCTGCTTGCAGCTTGTAATAGACTGGCCAAGCATACAGCGACAACGACAACGAGTACATATTTCTGTTAACGACAGATCTACAGATGGCTGAGCGGAATGTCATTAGAGCAGAACTAAACAACGGGATATATCACTACCCTGCCTGAAGCAGGTGAATGCGCCATCTAAACCTACTTTAGTAGCTCGCGCTCGCCTGGTCCCTGGCCCGCGTGCCTTAACAGCCGGCTTCTTAGCTAAGCTGAAGGAGGCAACATACAGGACGCTTTGGCACCAACACGCCCGTAAAAGACTGGTTGAGACGCAGCGCCGCTTGGGGCCAGACGTCCAGATACCCACTGCCCTGTCGCTGAACAGTGTCACTTACTATTCATGTATGTAGTCTGTGCTAAAGTTGGTTGTAGTATGCTGCCCTGCAGCAGTGTGCAGTGTGCAGTGTGTAGTGAGCAGTGTGCAGCGGCTGCAGCCTTCTCCCTGCTTTGTATTATACTTCGTGCCGCGTCCCATCCCTCCCAACAATCTTCTTTTCTCTCCCTCCGTCCCTTGCATAAAAGTAATTTGATATTGCTCCTCCACCTCGTTCTGCATACTTCCTTACCGTCCTCATATTCCACCCCATCTCTTAGCATCGGCACTGGGCAGGCCCTGCGTCGTTCATTTCTTATCGATTGGAAGGCTCCGCCCGTCAAGCCACCGCGGTCCGCTTCAGGAAAGAGCTTGGCATAGAGCGACGACGATATCAACCAAACAGAACAGAACAGAACTGAACTGAACTGACCCTTTTATCCACTATCTTTTCTTTGCCTCACCTATCTGCCCTGTTCAGACATCCTATCATTTCCTGTAGCTCTATTTGTCCGTATATATACCCTTCGACCCCCTGATCTGGCCACATTCGACATCGGACATATCTCCGAGTTTTTCCCGATCCTGTTCCGGTAGACATCATGGCTAGCAGACCTTCTCGTACCGACTCGCTCGCAACGCTCGTCAGTCCTTCTGCATCACCAGTTCCTACATTCAGCCCATACAAAGACGACCGTGACGATACCGAATTTCCGCTTCTCGACCAGACTTCAGCATCCGACGAGGAGCATGGACCCTATGACACTGCTCCAACTCCCACTAACAGGTGCTCGCGGTTCATCATGACACTTCGTCAGCGTTTTCGACGCCCAAAGCGCATAGCGCTCAGTGAATCAGACCGGCCAAAAGCTTCACGGAAATGCGTGTGGTGTAGACGTATCTGCATAGGCATACCGGTCTTGGTCCTGATGACCCTGTCAGTATTAAATCTATGGCCACGCTTGTTACTGTACTGACGTTTGCATAGGGGCCTTATACATATGATTGAAGTGGCCTTGGGATTCGGCTCGGCTTTGTTCGAGTACGAGTTCGACGACTTTCTTCCCGACTATGGACGGCCGGGCCATATCGGGGAGGGCCTGGCCGAGTATCCGACGGACTTCACACAGAACGTGCTTCCGATTCCATGTCACTCCCACAACGACTACTGGCGTCGCGTGCCGCTATTCCAGGCCCTTCATTATGGCTGCACAGGCGTTGAAGCCGATGTATGGCTGTTTGACAATGAGCTGTTCGTTGGCCACAACACTGCCTCACTGACGAAGAAGCGCACCTTTCGCAGTTTGTACGTTGATCCTCTGCTGGACATTCTCGATCGTCAAAATCCTACCACTGAATTCGCAAATGCAACGCATCAGGGCGTTTTCGATGCAGATCCTGACCAGACCCTGGTTCTATTGGTCGATTTCAAGAACAACGGTGCCGATATCTGGCCACATGTCTACTCACAGCTGGAGCCTCTACGATCAAAAGGCTATCTCTCGTACTGGGATGGCAGCGTCAAGCACGAGAGAGCAATCACAGTGGTAGCCACAGGGAATGCGCCATTCGATCTGGTTGTGGCCAATTCTACGCGCGACATCTTCTTTGATGCACCTCTCGAGTCCTTCTACGAGACTCCTGACGAGGCAGCAACAAGACTCGAAGCTCGCGGACAAGGACACAATGGAGTTTCTGAGGGCACGGACTTTGACGAATCGAACTCGTACTATGCAAGTGTCTCTTTTGGATCTGCCATGGGCATCCTCTGGGGCGGACAGCTCTCCGCCAAGCAGATGAACATCATTCGAGGACAAGTCCAAGGCGCACAACGACGCGGGCTCAAGGTCAGGTACTGGGACACACCGACTTGGCCTGTAGGTTATCGCAATCATATCTGGGACGTGCTTATCAAGGAGCGTGTTGATTACCTCAACGTCGATGATCTCAAGGGAGCTGCGACAAGAGATTGGTCGGCATGAGAACATGACTGCCTGAGTGCATTAAATAGATTTCTTTTTTTGGGCCGCATTCCATCGATACCATTCTTATCTTCTGGCGTTCGAGGAGAGCTTAGACGTGATCATACCCAGTGAGTATATAGACGTGAGGAATCATATAGATTGTTCTGCGAACTTTGCGTGTGGCCTTGATGCCTGATCCCTTCGCCGATCGCCAGCCTCCAAGATCATCCGATGGATACTTCATGTAGTCAACGCTGACAAAGCAAGCGTCGTCGAAGCTTCGACCTCCAAACAGCCGTTCTGTTTCAAGTGCCAGCATGATCCTCTACTTTCCGTCAGATTTTCCCCGTGACGAAAGAAAGTCGGCAAATGGCGCCATACTCGCCACGAATCCATGTTCTCTTCTATTAGACTGTTGCACGGTTGAAGATTCATCTACACATGGATGCTTCTCTTAGGCTCCTTACACATACTAGGTGAACTCTTCGTGGTACTAGGACTTGGCTCTCGAGGTCACGACCGCGCACAAGTGATGATACGACAGCTCTGGTTCATCATATTAGCATGGCTAACTCCTACCCATCTGCAAATGGGCATTTGTGCTTATCAGTAATGATAGTGCTTGATGGCATCAACATAGTCGGTGAGAATGGCGTGCTACAACAAGGGCCTAACGTAATCGCCCGTCGGCATTCACTCGTGTATGGACGTACACAAGTACTTCTGCTGTTCTGTTAACAGCTGTACTACTTCTACATAATACTTAGTATAAAGCTTCCTTCTTTGGCTTTCTTCCTACAACTTTAGAAGCTTCTTACTTATCATACTCATATCCTTCATCATGGCCCCGACACTCGAATTCGACGATGCAGACACGTTGCCAGTATTTGATATCAAGACTCCTATCAAACAGGCACCCCCAATCACCTCATCAGACATATCCATACACACCGATTTACTCACCGACTCGTCCATCCAGGACTCGGACACCCATCCAGCCTTGGACCCCGACGACGACTTCATCAACACCGACACCGACATCACCAACACCACCACCAACACCAACCTCCTCCCCTCCCCCTACCACGTCCTCCACCACTCCGCCGCGCCCACCGCCTTCGACCCACTCCGCTTCGACGCCGCCGCCTCCATCCAACTCACCCCCTCCACCCCCTCAACACCCCTCTCCCCCTACCTCATCTCCTCCCCCTACAACCACCCCCTCCACCTCCTCGACCTCCGCACCCTAGACCTCCAATGCGCCCTCTTCGCCCGCGCCCTCACCACCCTCCGTCCCACCCGCCCAGACTACGCCACCGCACCCTACGGCGCCTCTCTCAACTTCCACGACGTTCTCGCCACGCTGCGCCGTCTCTGTGCTGATGCTACCCCAGCAGGCCACGTGTGGACGACGCAAGCGTTCTATCTCGTGGTGTTTCGGTCGCGGCTGCGTGAGGTCGTGGACGAGGATTTCTTGTACGAGGTCGATGCGATGAGTCATCGGGAGGCGACAAGGAGTGGTGGGTTGCTGAAGTATTGGTTTGGGAAGCCGGATGCGGAGAGGCGGAATCTTGCGACTTGTGAGTTTTTGCCGCATTGTTTCTTTGTTGTCCTCAGTCGACTGGCGGATGGGAGTGTCGGGCAGGAGAGAGATGTAGATGTGGATCTGTGTGTGTATGTTCTAACAGGTGCACAGGTCTCTGGCGTAATCGCGAGGACGCGCGACTCGGTGGACGCGGGCCGTGGCATGCCAAGGCGCGCCGTGCGGGGCGTGACTTGTATGAGATGATCGAGTTTGAGACGTACTCGTTTGTGGTTGGCGATGGGGCGGAGGAGTGGCGCATCGAGGAGTATCAGGACTGAGCTTGTTACCTTGATAGATGGTAGAGGAAGGCTCACGGGTTGAGCAGACGGTTCAGTGGCATGCTCGGACGGAACGGAAGCATAGGTGGGCTGACGAATGAGTGATGCTCTCGACGACTTTGCGTCCCGGCATGCACTTTTACAGAGCAGCTTCATCTTCTTCTTCAACATCCTCATCTCCAGATTCATCTTGATCTTCAGCGACGGCGTTGGCGGCGTATGCTAGAACACATCCAGCATCAACATCAGAACATATCAAATCAAATCAAAAACATTCCCACCCTATCTATCATCCTCGCTTCTGCGCTAACACAGCCTTCATACCTATCTCCCCTCGTTCGCCTCTACTCCTCGAAAACCTGTTCGCCGTCCCTCCCAACACTTCAAGCCCGAGCACATCCCCCACTCCCTTCAACAACCCCCTCCAATACAACCACGCCAGCCACGCACCTAGATACACTACCCACAACGCCAGGAAGAGATTTAAATGTACTAGCGCCCATGGCGCGGCGGGGAGGTGTGTGCTGTGTGGAGGGTGGGATGGCCATGGGTTTGCTGTTGCGGGTTGGTGTGGTGGATGGTCGTTGTGGTGGTTGTAGTGGTTGTGGTGGTGGTAGTCGCTCAGGATAGCTGCGAGGGCGAGGGCGAGGGGCGGCATGTTATGTTGCGAAGAGAACAGAGTTGGGTGGGTGGTGGAGCGAGGCGATGAGATGTTACAGATACAGGAGAGTTGCGGAATGATGGCGGGTTTCTGGAGTGAGCGTGACCCACGGGGTGTGTGTGTGTGATTTGGTCCAAGAGGAGGATTAATCACAAGAGTACTTGTGTGTTTGTTTTTGATGTTCTGGCCGAGAGGAACTGCTGGGCAAGATCCGGATGCGAACTTCGTATGCTGATACGATGTGATGCGATGCGGTATCACACTGCGGAAGGTGTCGGAGATGCGTATTCGGGGCGCTGCGGAGTGTGAATACGATAGCTGGCGATGACTGAATTGATTCCCGTGTCGACTGAAGATGTCATATGCTGTCTGTAGTTACAAGCAAATCCAAGAATATACTCGCAAGACACAAATAAAAAACAGAGAGAAGTCTAAAAAACTGTGAGACTAGGAAGTCGCAGCGGATGTGTATATGTATACAGAAGACATCAGCGTCAGCATACACAAACCACAGCCACACCCATGATCTGCTAGACCCCAAAAGGAAAAAAAGCGTGTATTACAGGCTTCCACGCATACCTGCAGTGTGGACCCTACTTCGCACCGAATATGTGGCAGAGTAGTTATTTCCCGGTTTACTTGAAAATGGAGGACCTGTAGGATGCGGGATTCCGATTGACCTGGCTTTGGTTGGGTGGAAGTGGAGGAATGGGTCGACACTGGGCTTACACTATGCGCTATCTAAGTTGGAGAGCCTATACCAGAACGGCACATACGTAAGCTTACATGCTTCTGAGGGGCTATGTCGGGCCAAAACGATGCGGCCGTCACGAGGCTGAGGCCTACATGCGTTTCACTGGTGCGCTAAGGAATTGACACCTTGTATATTCGTCTAGTCGATTGTGTTGGTATTACTGGTAGTGAGACAAATGCAAGATTTGAGGTGTTCTATAGTCTGACTAGAGGTGTAATTATCGTATGTGTGCGTATGTCGTTCGCGTCCCTCGGATAGGGGAGAGGGGCTTGCAGCTATTGGGCTCGTCTATCATGCTTTGTTGCGATGGCGAGACATTTCAGATGAGCTCATTTGCAGACATCTTGAAGCTGTCTCCTGATCTTGATGTCCAACTGTAATAACATCTATAAGGGACGTTCTGTAAAGTAGATTGCTCGAATTTGGGAATGATGTACACTTTCTGACTTTGATTGTCTGTCTGGCTGTGGAATTCGACATGTATTGACCTAGAGGTTCGTGGTAAGTCAGGCCATTTTATTTTAATATGCACGCCGGGATGCGGCAAGATCGGACCGTGGTTCCCCTTGGCAACAGGTGTGGTTGTAACCACTACTCAAGCCTCATCGTAATGCATGTCGCCCTGAACTCTTATTGTATATGCGTCTACATCGCTGCGATAAAGTCTTTCAAAGTGTTGATAGACTCTCAACCGCATTGAGTATTACGACAAAACTACGTACTCACCTCAGGGATGCTCGTCATCTTTCTCCTTAGAGCGAGGCATTGGGAAGCTCCTTTGCTTGAGGGATATTCTCGTCCCGCTCCGATGCAACTCTGTGAAACAGCTTCTGCGCTGGTGAACGCGATTCTGTTTATTCCAACGATCCATGCTGCTTTGAATCGTCATTCTTGCTTCCATGCCATCCACTCATCCTCAAGATGCTCTTTCAATTTGGCAAACTTCTCCTTAAAGTTTCGACCACATCGCCAGCAAATTAAGTCGTTCCTCAAGTACTTTTCGTCCTGCATTTTCTTCCGTTCATCATCTTCATTCAAAGGGAAAGCGTCCACGGAAACTAAGAAATCTGTGTTGAAGCTGTTGTAGTGCTTCCTATGTTTCAAACATTCGGAATGCATGTCTCGAGAAAGTACATGTACGTGCAAATGGTTCATGGACGGATGCGCGTGGATGCCATCTTTGACATCCTGCGACCAGTCACGACCGGATGGAAAAGTCGACGGCGAGGGTGGATCATCGGCGTCCAACGATGCATCCACAGCATCATTGTATGCTTTCGACGTGGCTGAATCACGTCCATACTTGCGCTTCAGCTCTGAAGCTACTAGCTCCTTTGCACGTGCGACCTCTTTCTTGAGTGTAGCTCGCAGGCCCGGGTTTTCAAGAGCAACTATCGGATGGACCATCTGAAATTTCGGGTCGCGCGGTAGTATGAGCAGATGGACGGTTGCTTTTGGATAGAGATCGTTGATACAGACGACTTCTTCATTGTAGTAGACGACACGCGATGGAGGAAAGGTGTCTGGGCTTTCTATATATGCCCCAAGGCCATCCCGACGGGAAAATATCTTCGAGGTTTGAGTTTTTCGTTGAGATCCCTGATTTCCTGGGCTAGGTTTGGCTTGTTTTGCCTTGGGTGCCATCAGTTCCGCAACTGCCAGTACTTAGCAGTGTATCTTTGCGCCAGTGGGCTGCGTACAAGCATTCGAAATTGAACGTTTGTTGTTTGTGTTCGGAGATAGCTCAGCAGGAACCTCGGTGCCAGCCATTTCGTCAGCTGCGATCGGATCTGTGAGGCTTCCGGCCATTATTGCGGAAGTTTTCGGATGAATATGCCTGGCATGATGATGAGGTTGCAGCGTCTTGTCTCTCGTAGGGCTGAGGTGTCCACAGTGGGGCTTCCGGTTCCCCGGGAGTCGGACGCCTTTCCCGCGCTGTCAACTTCTCGCTTCAGCATCTCGAGTTCCTCCTGCATTGACATTCTCTAGATCTTTAACATTGGATTGAAGCCTGAAAAACTCGGGGCATGCATCAGTCTGCTACGTTCTGAGCTTGCCTTAGCGCTATCATGAGTCTCCACACGCCGTGGTGCTCGACTTGGTAGATTCAGTAAAAGCTTGGGATGAATTCTCGACTATGAACCATTCGAGTTCGAACTCCAGAGCTACGGCCAGCAGGATCGAAGGTGATTACTCTAAGGCTGTGTGGATGAAGGCCTTTCGGAAACCTTCATTGCGTCGCCTCATGAAGACTCTTGTCAAGGATTACAGAGTACGAGTGGGACATTAGGCAGTCCACGAATTCGAAACTATCTCGTAATTGGCATCACCTATTGAGAGCGACTCATCACATTTTCCTTGATTACTTATGAACATTCTATCTATAGAACGTCCTTTGTACGTTGCACCCGGATTCTCATTCGTGCCAAATTCTGCAGTTCGATCTTGCGCCGCATACGCCCTTGCCATGCTACGGCGCAGTGCTTGAGTTGATCAGATTTTATGGAAACACAGCTCGAGATAAGGGCTTCTCTGTGTTCTCTTGACACAAGCTTCATGGTTTGTCGACGACAAGCGGTAAGAATGATTCCGAGGACCATTACTCGATCCTACTCTGCTTTCGTGGCAGGTGGCTGTGGTTCTTTCGACAAGATCTAAGCCGACACTGAGCATTATTTCTTGGGAAATTCCATTCGGGAAATATCTTTCCGCATAAGCTGCGGCGCAAGACCGATACCTGACCTATTATTATCGCAACATACACCCTGATTAACTTGGCGATACTCAGCTATATGTGATTAGAAACCTCTGGAGGTCTGCACAGTATGCATAAAAGCACAAACTTTGTGCTGTATAGATCTCCTCGTTTCTTTTCTTCTTTCATCATCAAGCTCATCTGAAACATTCATCACTCATACCTTCTTGGTTTTATAACACCTGGTATTCTCTATATCTCTTGGCGCTTCCTATATACCTCCTAGTTCATTTCTTTTCCTCAGTAAATATGAAGGCTTACACTACTTTTGCCATTGTCTCATCAGCTGTCGCCGCCGCCGCAGCTCCACTCAATGCCGCCAAACGATGGGCACCCTCAGTCCGCATTAGCCTTGGGGATAGCGCCACCGCCATTCAGAGAGAGGTATCTTTGGATGGAACTCCTTTCATTGTCCCCGGTTCGGGAGATGAGCGTGCTGTCACGGTGATCAGCATTGTCGACGATAATGGTAACGCGGATTCAACTTGTTCGGCTTTCGATGACGAAGGCAACTTCATTCGAGGTACCAATTCAAGGGATCTCTTCTTTGCTGGTAGCAATCTCGACCTTGATCGACGCACTCAGGTGTTTGCCGTCGTATGTGCCGATGCTCAAAGTTTCCCGCGAAGTCCTGGCCGGAACCCCAATGCTACCGGCAACAACGATAACACTGGAGGACAAGACAACGCCAACCCCTCTACTCCTACTCCATCTCCCCCTGTGCCAGACCAACGTGGCGAAGAAGACTTCAAGTGGATATCCGTCGGCCTTGAGGATGACGAAGATACCTTTGTTGTTAGGATGGCCGTTCTGAACGAGGTCACTGACATCTCCAGCTTTCTCCCGAACGGCAAGATCTTATTCCGAGCGGAGGTGTTCAACTCAAATGCCCATTCAGGTGCCGTTTGCGACACCTTCGCCGATAAGGCAGGCACTCAGAATCTGAACAAGCCATTCGGTGTCAATAATAGCGGTCTTGCTACCGGGGCCACTTCGATCGGTGTCAATGTGCAGTCGATCATCTGCCGTGTCCCATGATAAATGTACAATATCTGTTTCCTATAACTTTGACTCTTTCACAGGCGTTCCTTGTACGATCCTTTACATAATTGCTTACCACAATATACTCAATACTCTTCGTAATGATTACCTCACACAATACAATGGTGAAGGTGCAATCGTTCATGTGCCACATCCATTCCGCCCTGGCTGTCTGTGAGGTACCGCTGATATGACATAGGCAGCTACCTCCACCTTCTGCAGCACGTCCCCCTTACGTGTACATTGTACGCAAGGCGTTGAGTTTGTACACCTAGGTGATTCAATTCTACGATGGCTTTGAAGATAATCTGCAGTAGAGCGATACCACACAATGCAGAACGAACACAGGGATATTAGACCTGGTGACACGAACCAGGACGAGCTTGGTCTGGATTTATCTGTACGATGCTAATAACATCCCTTCCAACAGGTTCATTCCAATGAAAGCATAGTGTGGACCTATCCCTTCACGCCCGCACTTCTGCGTTGCGCGGCTCGTGCCTGAAACAAAGGGTTAATTCAGGATTTTACAAAGTAAGGTAGTCAAATTAAGTAAGGTAGTCAAATGATCTTGCTTGCGCCGCAACAGATTGATGAACCATGCCCCATGCTGAATCGATCGTGTTGTGTGCAATTTCGGGAGCTTGAAACACGGGCTTTGATTAGTGAAAGGCTGTAAACCTGGCGGGATATCCGCTGCAGGCTCGCGGTGTTGGCTGAAGCTCCGAGTGAACTAGCGTATATTTACTACACGACCCAACCACCTCACCTTTTATCTCGAGGTCCATTTTCTACAAATCCTTATATCTTCCAGCTATCCGAGCTTTAGAATCACTTTCAAATCGCTCAATTCGACAATCTAGATAACCACACGCCCAGTATGACCCGTCTACTTGCCCTTTTCACTGTCGCAATCGCTGCCATTTTGGGCGCCGTCGTGGCTCAACCATATCCGGAGAAAGGTGACGCCTGGCGCATTCGCCTAGTTGTTCTGTGAGCATACCTTAAGCTTCCCAAGAGCGCTAAGATTTCCTAATATCAATATCAAATAGGTCACCGGAGGGTTCTGAGCTCAATGGCGCCTATCTTCGTGAGAACAATGAAAAACCAGGATACGTGGGTTTTATGTCCCAGTTTGACGCTTTCTTTTGCTCATAGAAAGATGTATAGTACCTTGCGTGCAGTAAGGATCATTCCACGACCAACCTCGGCCATGACTTCGTCACGCTTCGCTCCGAGTGGGGCGAAGACCACAAGACCATCTGGAACACCGCCATGGACAAGTGCCTCAAGGACGATGTCAGCGAAGTCTCCACATATGGCTGGACTTTCGTTGATCCCTCTGCGGGCTGTCCCAAGTGGATTCTCGAGGACCCCTCGGAGGGAAAGGGACGTGTCTATCTGAGCCGTGAGACAGAGGGCGCCTTGGAGTTCAATGCTCATGGCCCAGTTCACGCCGAGAGTGCCGATGGGTACACTATTACTCACTGTGGTAGCGAACGTAAGTCTCATTCAAGTTCTAGCGCAGTGATCCGTACAATGTTGACATTGCACAGAGGGCTGCTATGGCCACCCGGTCCGTTTGGTTGTCGAGCATGAGCAGACCGGTTGATGGACGTGTTCGGTAGCATACTGTTTCGTTTGAGCGAGTGTTTTGGGGGCGTTGTGTTTTCAGCGTAACGCATATCTTGCAATCATCACTGTTAGCTGCAAGGGATGAAATAGGTACCTCCTGATGGAGAAGATACGACAAGATCGCTTTACATCACGAAATAAATGAAGAAACCCACGCATTAGCTTGAGCAGCCATGCTTTGAATCACACTTGATTCTAGTGAGTCTCCCAAAAAGAACTGCGAAGGGTGTTGGGAAAGTGTAGGAGCTTCGACTTGGACGAGGACGTTGATCGCGTTGAAAGCGGTCGAAGCATCTCTTACAGTCCTACCGAGAGAAGCAACCGCTTCAAAGGTGTTCTGAGCTGACGACTCAACCAACAAAGTCAGACGGAAAGATGTCTTGAACGCTTGTAGGTCGCATGTTGAAGTAATTAGCTCTAAAGCGAGTGATAAATCTAATTTAGCGTAAGGAGGCAGCCCATTCATGGATACCTGGTGCAGTAGTGTAGTTTCCGGGGACCTGCCTCAGGTTGCCCCACTCCAGCCCTACAACCTTCGTCACAGCGGGGATAATCCAGCACCCCGGCAGCCAAAAAAGTTCCCAGATCAGGCATCCCAGCGCGTCTTGTTTTCCACCATGGAGCCCAAATTATACTTCCACGACCATATTTCCTCCCGCGAGGATGCCAAAGAATGCGCATCCACCGCGTGGTGGCGGACCGTCAAAGAAGCCTCCTCCAGGCTTGGATGAGGGCAGCTACATCGTCTTCTCGAACGCGAAGGATGATGACAAGAAAAGTAAAAAGCAGGGCAACGGCACTGTAAAGCCCGCAGTCGAGGACAAGGGCAGCAAAGTAAAGGGAAAGGGAAAAGAGGCTGTAACACCCGCAGATGATGCGCCGAAGAAGCCTGATGTCAAGACGCTCATCGGAGGGGCATCATGGACAGGAAAACTGCCAGTGAACATGCTGTCTGAGCATTGCCAGAAACAGAAATGGGGTAAACCAGAGTATACTATGGTATGCGGAATTAAAAGTACAGTTAAATCTGTTTGCTGATACACCGAAGCAAAAAACTCAAGATGGCTTTCGATCAACAGTCATTATGAAGACAGTTCATCCAAAGACCCAGGAAGTCACTGTTCTGCCTGCCATGGAAGTTCCTCCTGCCTATCGTAAACTTAGCTGTCAATCAAGCGCTGTTGAAGCGCGACATTTTGCTGCTGCTTATGCCTTATTCCGAGTCGCGAACATGAGGAATGTACACATGATGATGCCTCCTACATATAAAGATCTGTGGAAGAATGAGTTTCAAAGTATCAAGAAGGAAGATCAAGAGAAGGGCAATGGCTACATGTACGAAGCTGATCCGTTCCTAGCCAAATCAGAGCGAGATGCGGCCAAAGCCGCCGCAGAGAAGAAGCGAGAGCAGAAGGCTAAGCAGCAAGCCCAGACAGATACTGGGGTGTCTCAACCCGGTATTGTCAGACCTGGCGGAACCAACGGTACAAATGCTAGGAAAGATATCTGGTCGAAGGCACCGTCGGTAGAGATGGGAAAGAGACTCAGGACGGAGGTTGAGAGGTTAATTCGGAAAGACGCAGTCTGGAATCCAAATGGTGTGGATATCGATAAAAATACCCAGAGAAGCCTGGTTGATGCTCTGGTTGGTCTTGGTTTTAGGCACAGCCATGTGGAAGAGGCCGCAGAAATATGTAAAGACCGAGAAGAGGTCTTGGAGTGGCTACTGATCCATGTACCTGAAGACGACCTACCCCCATGGTGCCTTCCTGAGAACTATTCAGCTGGTATCAGTCTAGCCAGTGGGAACCTGAAGCGAGAAGCAAAGCTTAAGCGCTTGGCTGCGGGAGGGTATGCTGCAGAGCTGTGTGAAGTAGCGCTGATAAGACACCAAGATGACGAAGGAAAGGCGGCAGAGCTTCTCCAATACGGACTGTTAGGGATACCTGACCAGCTCAACATAGCACTAGACGCATCGAAACTCGAAGGAGAAGCTGAAGCCGCCGAAGCTTGGAATGAGGAACAAACTGTCCTCAGTTCAATCTTCGATGACAGGTACAAGTCGAGCTCGGAAGGGGTATGCGATGTGGAATTGGAGCTCAAGACACCAACCAGGAAGCCTATCACTTTACATGCGCGCAGACCGACTGGTGCCTACCCTAACGTCCTGCCAGTGATCTTGATTGTAGCGGACTTACCTGCATATATTCGTCTGAGCATTACACGCAGAGCATTACTGTACGCGCAGGACAATCTTCTCGGCGAATCAATGCTTTTCAATTTAGTTGATTGGTTAGAGCAAGAGATTCCTGGTATCATAGAGAACCCTGGAAGACTCGCTGAAGTATCATCAGGGGTCACGGCTGGTGAAGCAAATACACAGACGCAAAGACCGAAAAATAGATCTCGCGGACGGCGGCAACCTAAAGCTATCAGTCTGACACCAGGATCACTGATCAGCCAACAGTTACTGTCAAGATGGCAAGCTAGACAGGAGACACCAGCTCAACACAAAATGCTAAGTGGGCGCATGTCCCTACCGGCATGGAACCTACAAGAGACAATTGTCAACTCTGTGCAGAGACATCAAGTGGTCATCATCTCGGGTGAGACAGGCTCAGGCAAATCGACTCAGTCTGTGCAATTTGTACTAGATGACATGATAAAACGAGAGCTCGGAGAGTCAGCAAATATTATTTGCACACAGCCTCGAAGGATATCAGCTCTAGGTCTTGCTGATCGAGTCGCTGATGAGCGATGTGGAGTAGTAGGCGGCGAGGTTGGATATTCTATACGTGGAGAGTCGAGACAGACGCCAGGCGCTACTAAGATTACATTTGTCACAACTGGAGTGTTACTGCGGAGACTCCAGACTTCGGGCGGCTCATCTGAAGATGTTGTCGCTGCCTTAGCCGACGTGAGCCATGTGGTCGTCGATGAGGTTCACGAACGCAGTTTGGACACGGACTTTCTTTTGGTGCTGCTGCGCGATGTGCTACGCCAACGGAAGGATCTCAAGGTCATCCTAATGAGTGCTACACTCGATGCAGATGTGTTCGAGAAGTACTTCAGTAGCACTGGGAAAGTGGGTCGGGTCGAGATTCAGGGGCGAACGCATCCGGTCCAAGATCTTTACATCGACGATGTCCTCCGTATGACTAACTTCGGTGGCACTGGCGACGAGGATTATGAGGAGGAGGATGGAAAAGATCTTGGCACAAGGTTGCGGAGTGTGGGAATGCGCGTGAACTACGATCTTATCGCATCGACCGTCGCACAGATTGATGCCGACCTTTGTGGGCAAGACGGCGGCATCTTGATCTTCCTACCAGGTACGATGGAGATTGATAGAACGCTACAGGCTCTACGAAGGATACCGAACCTACATGCTTTGCCGCTACATGCATCGCTACTATCTGCCGAGCAGAAACGCGTCTTCCACGCGCCGCCCAAAGGCATGCGAAAAGTGGTCGCAGCAACAAATGTCGCAGAGACCTCGATTACCATTGAGGATATTGTGGCTGTCATTGATACTGGCCGCGTCAAAGAGACCAGCTTCGACCCGCAGAACAATATGGTCAAGCTGGAAGAAGTATGGGCTTCTCGTGCAGCTTGTAAGCAACGACGTGGAAGAGCTGGTCGTGTGCGAGCTGGAAACTGCTACAAGCTATACACTCGCACTGCGGAAATGAATAAGATGGCGGAGCGACCTGAGCCGGAAATAAGGAGAGTTCCTCTTGAACAATTATGCCTTTCAGTGAGAGCTATGGGCGTCAAAGACGTCCAAAGGTTCCTCGCTGGCGCACTCACACCACCTGACAGTGTGGCAGTAGAAGGCGCTGTTGACCTCTTACAGCGCATGGGTGCTCTTGACGGTGACGACCTGACTGCACTTGGCCGACATCTCTCGATGATCCCCGCCGATCTACGCTGCGGTAAATTGCTTGTGTATGGTGCAACATTCGGGTGCCTGGATGCTTGCCTCACCATCGCCTCCATTCTGACCGTCCGTAGCCCTTTTGTCTCACCCAAAGACAAGCGTGATGAATCGAAAGCTGCGCGCTCCTTCTTCGCCGATGGCGGCCACGGCGACTTGATTGCCGACCTCAAAGCCTACGACGCATGGCAGGCGGTGCGGAGTAAAGGCGTATCCGCTTTCGACACACGCAAATGGTGCGAGCGCTCATTCCTTAGCCAGCAAACCCTCTTTGACATATCTTCCAATCGCGCGCAATACCTTTCCTCGCTCAAAGAAACGGGCTTCATTCCGCTCACATACACGTTCACGACTGCCACAAACTCGCCTCTGAACAGACAATGCGGCAATATAGCACTTCTACGCGCCTTAATAGCAGGCTCGTTCAACCCACAAATCGCACGCATCGACTTCCCAGAGAAGCGTTATGAGAAAGTCCTAGCCGGAACTGTCGCACTGGATCCTGAAGCCCGGACAATAAAGTACTTCAATCAGGAAAATGGCCGAGTCTTTGTGCATCCGTCGTCTACTCTCTTCGACGCGCAGGCCTTCCCGACGAATTCGGCATTTATGAGCTATTTCAACAAGATGGCGACAAGCAAGGTCTTCATCCGGGAGTTGACTCCGTTCAATAGCTACTCGATGTTACTGTTCGGTGGGCAGATTGAGTTGGACACCCAAGGTAGAGGTTTGACCGTCGATGGATGGGTGAGATTGAGAGGATGGGCGCGAATTGGTGTTCTGGTGGGGCGTTTAAGGGGCATGTTGGATGAGGTGCTGAGGAGGAAGATTGAGACTCCGGAGCTGGACTTGGCGAAGGGGAGGGAGGGTGAGATCATTGGTGTTGTGAGGAAGTTGGTCGAGTTAGGCGGGATGGATGACTGAGATCTAGATCTAATCTTGCATGAACGATGTCATAGCACGGAAAAGGATGGGGAAGTTTCATCAAGCTCCCTAGCGATGAGGTGACTTGTATGAAGCGCGGGTGCTGACTGTGTGATCACGAGAGACCAATGCAATATTGCAATATGAACAGGTCTGTCATTTTGCACAACATCGAACAAGACAACACACAAAGCACCCTAACATCATATAATATCCCTGATCACAACCACTCCGGACGACCAAATCTTGGTCTCAACTCCGGCTGTTCTTTCCTTAGCTGATATTACATTTCGTAAAGTGAAGTATTCACCTAGGATGATGAATGTCGGACACATAGAAAAATAGGTCACCCACTGTTAGGGGCTTGACTCCACATCATATCATTGTTCTCTTTTTGCAGAACTTCGACAAAAATGGAGACTTGCTAACGAAACATAAGTATACTAGTGCTAAACTTCTTTGAATACATCTATGTGCATATAGATTACTTACACCATAGTATTCTTAGGGTATATCAATTCTATCAACTTCTAGTTTAGTGCTCTTTCGCCCTCGTTTTCACCTACTTAGAGTTAGTGGCTGTTACGCTATTGCTGGATCTCGAATTCTAGAATTAGTTGCCAAAGCAAGTCCGATACTCCGATAGTATCATTCAGCAGTCCTGAGCTCGCATAGCATCAGGTGGCTTTGTTTGCTTTTCGATGATCCATTTCACGTTGTTGTTACGCCTCTGGCGGTGGGTGGGTGAACCATGACCTAATGGTCCCCGAATCGAGTCATCCAATAGGTCAAATTTGTGGTGATCAAGGCTAATGTCGCAAAGAGCTTGGTTCCAACATTCTGTGTATCCGTTCGAAGAGACTGGATTTCTTCATTCCTTTCCAAGGTCCCCGACACACCTACGTGGAGTGGCGTCGGCAAGTAAAAACTAAAAAGACTTGACTATGCTTGGTTCAGGAAATCAGAATACGAAGTTACTCGCGACAAAAAGTCTTGTGATTTGAATGATCGAGAACAGAACAGATTAGATTTATGAGAGATCGTGTTTGGCCGTGCCCATTAGCCACTATCGGGTATTCCTTGATGGGTCGATTGGAAAAGGCTAACCCATGTGTGGAATGCAAGTTGTCATTGGTCTGGATTGGGATTTCCGTCAAGCGAATCAAGGGTTTTTCCAATACACCACTTGACAATTCAAGCACCCAGCAACCTTGTCTCCAGGCTATCAGTAATAGGAAAGGGCACCACTCAGGAGTCTGGGGCTTACACCGATCACTGAGGACAAAGAAGTAATATATTGGTCCCATCGGTAAGATCAGTAGCCATAGATATGGATTGCACAATACCAATGATCTAGGGTTGCTGCACGCCACACAGCTGAAGTGATGGCCTTTCCGAGATTCAGATCATTGAGCTTATCTCGTGAGTCACAGCATCGACATACTATTGGGTTGAAAGTCATCTCACTTCGTTAAATCATTGCTATAATAACAAAGGACAAATTAGATATGATATCGACGAAAAAATAGATGGGCGCATCTTGTATCAATACCGGACCACTATTTCTTCTTTGGCTTCTTCGTAGCCCTTTCACCTGATCCAGATAGCCCTGACACTGCAGTATCCTCTTGCGTGCGTTTCTCGGCCTTCATACTGGTCCTCGATGTCCTCGGTTTTGGCATCTTTGCACCCTCGTGTGATGCATTTGAGACTTGAGACATAAGTAATCCTTGACTGTGCCGTTGAGAATCTTGAGACAGGCCCTGAAGCGAAGAATCAAAACTAGACATCTCTTTCTCGGAGATTACTTGCTCATCCGGACTTACGTACTTTTCCTTTTTCAAGTTGCAGTATTTGGTACGTGCTAGTCGACCTTCATTTGCTGCCATGATGTGAAGTGACCAAAGTGCCAAAAGGATGGTCATTTTCGGATCACCATTAGTGTTTACTCCGCTTTCTTTCCATGGTATCGCCTGTAATTGGACCTTCCCAGTGTCTAAGATCGACTGTCGCAGCTCATCAGTTTTAGCCTTCAAGTTCTTCATCTCGCTAAAGTCGACTCTGATAACTATCAGATCCGAATTCGAGATTATGTACCCATAGCGTGCATGTGCTAGGGCACAGTACCACATGATCTGGCTTATAGGGCTGAGTCGACTGTCCTTTTTATGGCCTTCGTTGAGCGTCACTGCGTGATTTCGCAAGGACAATACGTCAGAGATTTCGCGAAACCCCCAGTTATGCTTGGATTCGCCGGGTAAGATGTTGGAATCATCTTGCTTCAGACATACTCCTGCCCAGTCTGGCGTATGCGGCCAAGGACTCTCATCTTCATAGAGGCGTCTTGCTTGGCCTCCACGCACCATCCTCACACGATGACCGATCAAGTCATTAGGGGTTTTATCAAGGGCTTCGATGACGATAGATTGGTGGAATTTGATGAAGATAGATTCAAGTGCATTCTCGTCACGAAACGTGAGAAACGGTGGTTGGATATAGGAGAAGTCATGTAGGTCTTCCATGTCTCTCTCGAGCGCCTGTTGCAGCCTTCGATCCATGGTTGCCGATAAGGACGCCCATTGGAATTCAGTCCACAGTCCAAGCGCCTTAGGAGTGGGCCACTTGGAGTTCTTTCTTTGGGACTTGGAGTTGGTTTTATCGGTTGAAACAGGGGCTGTCCCACCTCTATCCTCATATTGAACGGTCGGGTTTTGTTGAGTAAGATACTCACGCAGGTTTCGAAAAGACTTCTGCTTCATGGTTTTCTGCCCAGCGTTGACCGTAAGATCCGATGTGTAGTTTGAAGAATTTCCTCGAAAGGTCGAGGAGCGGCATGTGTGAGCCGCGAGCCATGCCTTATCAACCCACTGCTCTCTTTTTCTCGTCGTCTTACATCCGGAACAAATCCTATTATGCCACTGAAATGCACGAAGGTGCGCCCACTCATCATACGAACGAGATAAGAAGGCAACTGCTGCCTTCTCGCAAATAATCCAATGTTGTTCTAACTCGACCCTCCTTGACAGAAGGAAAGGAGTGATCCCGAATATCAATACACAATGGAAGGTAAGGACGGCATAATCCCTCCATCTCGTCTCACGGCCAATTAGATGAGGACAGCATACATATGCCAATGAAAAGTAGATCTGCACATATTGTCACAGAGCACCCCTACCTTAAGCGCAAAGTCGCATATCCTGTGATAAACTACACCGAGACGAGTCAAGTGTGATCATCTTGCATATCCGAGATGCGGTTGGAATGGCTGTCAGTTTGAGGGGGATTACCTATCAGATACATCTGGCGAAGCGAGACTGCCCCGCTCATCGATTTCCACCTGACATCTCCTGACGATAGTTATAAAGGAACCCTTTGTATCGTGGCCTGCCACAGTATCCATTAATGCCATCAGTCAGTCATCTGTATTCGGGTCGCCGTTTACTACCACCTTGTGACGGTCCGAAGCTGGGTCCTTTCAAGCTTAATAATCAGCCTATCACATTCGAAAAACTCCTGAGCGATAACTATCCAACCAAGCCTAGTTCCTTTGGAGGGACCTCGAGCAGCCTTGGAGCTGGGTGTAGCTATGTATTTCAAGCAAACATAGGAGACTCAAAGTATGCCATCAAAATAGTCAGTAGATATAGATATATGCCATGGTAAGACGTCGCTAATGAGCTACAGTTCAAGTTCTACCATTTGGACAAAAGTGGAGATGTTGAAAAAGCTTTGAAAAAAGATTTAACGAACGAGTCGACCATTATCTACAATTCAGATCCTTTTTACGCAGAATGCAGAGCTTACGGCAAGATCCGCCAATATCAGGAGCACCAAGGACGGGAATTGAGGTCCCGTAAGTGGAAGAGGAGGCGTAATGCGAGGACCACCCCTCTTGCTGTGCCATGTTACGGCTACCTGTTTCTGCAATTCGATGATTATTCTGACTTATTTCGAGATGATTTTGGGGTCTCTGCGTGGGACAGAACAGAGGAAGACGATATAGCTCAGATACCACTTCGAGGACTTGTGAAACAATTGATGAATGACGAAGAGCCGTTGCGCAATCCTCGTCAGATGCTAAGGGATCTCGATACCTTACTAGAGATCGACGTATGGCAAAGGGACGTTTTCGTGAGGAATTACCTGGAAGGATTACTGATCGATTTTGACATCGCATGGACTAAGCCTCATTGGATGTTCTTACTTTTATCCCAGGAGCAGCTCAATGAAGAGAGGCAGGAGCATTACGTTGACTATGATAATATGTTTTTGGAAGTTTATGGAAGAGACCATATCGCTAAAGTAAGGGCCACGGTAAACGTGGGCTACCGCGCGAAACTCAGGGGATGGTCGTGGCCCGGTAGACTTTTAAGTCTGGCTTGATGTACGCTATGTTTATTATCGACATTTCAAGAGAATCTGTCATGTTCTTCTAATGGTTACTGATCCCCGAGATTGTCTTAGCTGCTCTCTTGGCTTATAGAGAGCATGATCCGTGTTTTGTTACGCTACAAAGCCTAGTATACACTCACAGTGGATTTAATTCATCAAATCAAGTGCTTGATGATATGTCTGGAGACAATCTTGAGCTGGAAGAAGGATACGTTGACTTGTAAATCATGTACACCGTACGGTTCCATCCACTTGCCGCACCCGGGGGCCATGATGTGTCCTGTAATTCTGTCCACGTTTCAAAGCTGATGCAATGTGGGCGATGAGCGTGACCTTGCGGATTGCATGTTGAGGGACTCGCCCAAATTGCAGCTTGGTCGTAGACTTCACCGCGTGGCGCATTGGGAGGTGACGATATATGAACAACTATCATGTACTAGACCTCATAATGGTACCTCAACGGTCTCGAGTATCTCATCGATGACATCTCGAGCCGTAACTCCGTCGAGTAGCTCACGCACTGCATCTATAGAGCTACCCCATTGGATGCTTCGATCCCCTTCGGGCGTTGTAAGCACAATGCGATGCGTGTAGATCTTCCGAGCCGCCAGTGATACTAGAGAGGGCGTAACGTAATTCAAACCATGAAGGGGGGCGAGTGCTCTATCATTATGTGTCAATAAGTAAACGTATTGAGAAAAGGTAGATCTACCTTGAGAGTACATTAACATGACGCGTAGCAGCTGCGGTGATTCCACTGGATACCGCGCGATGCATTCGGAGAAACACTACGATATTATGAACATAACATCGAACGTCAGAGCTCATACGGACGGAAGACTCCAATTGTGATAGTGTCTCGAGATCCTATTCCTGTCAGATACACGCGTAGCATTATTTGGGATGGTATGACCTCTCTGGAGAACACTGATTGCTTTGGTTCGATCTTTTTGGTGGACATCGAACTGAGAGTAGGTGATCTTTCACCTAGCTCTTCGAGGTTTGGCAATTCATCGGCTGGCCCATGTCGATGTGAGATGAAGAAATGGTCGATCTATGCACATTAGCCAGGTAGACTGGACGTACGAGATTACACATACCAAATGGCGATTCATCGATCCTATATGGTCTTCAGGCAGTAGGGCGATCAGTAAGAAAGGTTTCGGGGCAACATGAACAGTAGTTCGAGTGAAGATTCGTCTGCCTCGGATCAACTCGAGCGTTTGCACCTGGACTTGATGTGGTGCTTGATCCAAATTTTTCAAGATGACCAAATTGGCAATTTGTCTCGACTCGGGTGGGCTCATCGGGCTCCTGACTGATCTCCTGCCCGGCGAGCGAGCCTTGTTAGCAGAGAGGTGTAACTGAGACTCAATCAGATCAGATCCCAATTTATCAAGGACTCAGACATACGTCAAGTCTCGTGCTTTCTTTCGAAGCAGTGAAGTAACTGTCTGATGATTCTGTTTCAAGCAAGCCATTGCCAAAGTCGTCGACAGTAGTCTGCTTGTGGCATTCGAGTGTGCTGCAACTAAGACCAAAGATGCCAGTACTGATCTATGTGAATTTTCAGCTATTGGAATGTATAATATCTGTATGAATTACAAACCAGTTTAAGTTCTTGCTCTACATGATTCAGCGCAGTCGCACTGGCTTCAACAATGAAGTGTTGATCTGCTATCAAACAAAGCAGACATGCCAGCTCCAGGTCGCTTAGAGCTTGCACTTTGCTCAACAACAATTCGCCCGGAATATCCATACTGTCACTATCAGCGTTCCATCCTGGATAATCGTGCGGGTACAGGTCGCGCACATGATCCGGATGATGGAACGAGGTTTGTGGTGAGGAGCTTGGACCTCCGCTCCGAAGCTACCTGACGTAGCTAATTACCTGTAGCAATTGGATCTCAACATATAGACACAGACTGCTCCAAGTAACATCTTCATTCAAGTACAATCTACACGATACCCGGCGAGAGATGATGCGCCGGATATCCTTTAGCCATGCCGAAACCTACTGCTGATTGGGAACGTTTAGACCAGGGCTACTACCGCAAAGTCCAGCTCTATACCTCCGTCTTCGATCAAGACCTGGACTTGGAGAATCACCATGTTGTCGGAGCTCCATATAGTGGTGCTGTAGGTATGCGCAGACTGTAGTTCACCGCCTGCATTCGCTGACGTTGCTTGAAGCCATCTACCGGAAGGAGGAGAATCTCCATTTGTACCGAGGGATACAGAGCGCGAAGCCTACGATAGACTTATATAGCTGCGCGGGCAAACTACTGCGGCGCATTAACGTGAGCGCCCATGATCGGCGTTAAGAGACCACTTCACTGACACAAGCAGTGGGACAAAGGATCAATCAAAGGGCTGGGTTGGTCAGAAGACGAAAAGCTCTTGGTCGTCACAGAGGACGGTACAGTCCGCGTGTATTATGGGCTTCAAGGAGATTTCATCCCCTTCTCACTGGGACATGTATGATCATTCCAATCTCTTCATGGCAGACGCTGATTTTGGCAGGGTGCGGAAGAACATGGTGTGAAGAGCTGTCGGTTTTACTCCTCTGGTTTCGTCGCGCTACTAGGCAACAACCATTTGGTCACAGTCTCAAGATATGATGAGCCTCGCCCAAAGATCCTTGCCACCCCTCCCTCCGAACCTGTCATATCATGGAATATTATCTCGCCTGCCTACTCACTTTCTCGGTCCGTTGAAGTACTCCTAGCGATCGGCGAAACAATACATGTGGTGGATGCAACGGAATCTGAAGATCGCATGCTGCAAAACGGTCCGTTCAAGCACTTGGGCGTGTCTCCCAATGGCAAATATATCGCTATGTACACAGACGATGGGAAAGTCTGGGTCGTAACGAGCGACTTCCAAAATAAACTATCTGAATATGACTCCAATACTGCTATGAGTCCAAAGGACCTGCAGTGGTGTGGCAACGATGCCGTAGTACTGTCATGGGAAGATGAAGTTCATCTAGTGGGACCCAATGGCTCAGCCATAAAGTACTTCTACGACGACTTTGTACATCTGATCTCAGATGTGGACGGCGTAAGGCTTCTTACTAGTGACGTTTGCGAATTCTTACAGAAAGTGCCAAATGCATCACAGGAAGTGTTCCGGCTAACATCAGATACTGTACCTTCGAAATTACTAGATGCTGCGGAGCATCTGGAGAAGAAATCACCTAAAGCGGACGACATCATTCAGCAGATCCGATCAAATCTCGACGAAGCTGTTGACATATGTATGAGAGCTGCGGGTCATGAGTATTCGATACATTGGCAGAAAGCACTCCTTCGAGCCGCGTCGTTCGGGAAATCGGTCCTGGATCTCTACAACAGCGATGACTATGTCGACATGTGCGAGACGTTGCGAGTACTCAATGGAGTACGGTTCTACGCAATCGGCATTCCATTATCATACGAGCAATACAGACGATTGACTCCGGAGAAGCTAGTGGAACGCCTGACGAATCGACACGAATACCTTCTGGCTCTGAAAATCTCACAATATCTGAGGCTACCAACAGATAGCATATATGTTCACTGGGCTAGTCAAAAAGTGCGTGCATCTTCGGAAGACGAGGAGAGTATATGTCGCATCATTGTGAAGAGACTCGAAGATAAGAATGGCGTCTCGTTTGAGAAGATTGCTCGCGCAGCTTACGACGAAGGCCGCGCACGCCTCGCCACTGAGCTTCTGAATTATGAACCTCGAGCCGGCAAGCAGGTACCATTACTGTTATCCATGAAAGAAGACACGATAGCTCTTGACAAAGCCATTGAGAGCGGAGACACCGATCTAATATTCTACGTACTCTTACATCTCAAGAAGAAGCTCCCTTTAGCAAGCTTCTTTCGCATAATCAACCCGCGTCCGGTCGCCAGTGCACTCGTCGAATCGTCTGCCCTACACAACGACACTGAACTTCTGAAAGACCTCTACTATCAAGATGACCGCCGCATCGAAGGTGCCAACCTCCTGGTCTCCGAAGCCCTCGCACAGCCGACCGTAGTCGCCCAAATCGACAAGCTCAAGCTCTCCTCAAAGCTCCTGTCCGACTCAAAAAACCAGCAATTCCAAGTCAAAGCAATAAATGAAACACAGCAATTACTACGAACACAGGATGCGCTTGAGAAGGAACTCGATGGTAGCTCCTTCATCGGCAAAAGCGTCAACGAGACCGTACTTAGCCTCGTCAAGAACGGACATTCTAAGCGCGCGGCGAAAGTCATGAGCGACTTCAAAGTCCCCGAAAAGACGCAGTGGTGGCTCAGATTACGTGGTTTGGTTCAAGCACGCTATTGGACCGAATTGGAGGAGATGAGCAAGACCAAGAAGAGTCCTATAGGATGGGAGGTAAGATCAGTCACACCTGCTCCTTTGATTCTGACCTGAACTCATCATTTGATATAGCCGTTTTTCAATGCCCTCCTCGCCGCCGGGAATACGCGCCTCGCTGGTACATTCATCCCGAAATGCACCTCCCTATCTGTTGGCGAACGCATCGATATGTGGGTCAAATGTGGCATGATTAAGCAAGCAGGAGAAGAGGCACTTAAGGCCAAGGATATGGCTGCGTTGGAAAGCCTGCGAGCAAAAGCGACAGGGACGGGCGCGACGGAGATCGAGAGGTTGATTAATCAGTTGAAGCAGGGGAGGCGGTAAATATCATTTCTACATGGTGTCTGATAAAGAGGCAACTCCATGTACTTGATGTAATGGAAGCGCCCAATTGAGTCTGGTTAACGCAACTTAGTTGCGGGCGCATACGTCAGCGCTGTGAAGTATCAGCTGGCTAATACAGCGTACTCGTTTTGGGGCAAGTGCTTGTCTTATTCCAGGTTAAAGATATACTATCGAATATGGAAATGTATAACTGCACACATACACCTACTTGCTTCTCTACCAGCCACCTGCTTTCTTGCCTCTTCACTGCCCCAGAGTACGAGAAGCATAAGATATGTAGTCTGTTGTTAGGACGAAAAGAAAGATCTTGCCGGTCTCCACGTCTGATTGGCAATTTCCTGTCAGCTATATACGGCGGCATATAGTCATTTGTTCGCTCACTCATACAGAACCTATCATTTATGCACAACTAGGACTCAAGCTAATGAGCATATTGTTTTCATTTTGTGAGCTACTGTATAAAGACTATACGAGCCTTTTAGGCTAATGCAGGCGAAAAGCGGTGCCGCTTGTAATGCGAGGTCCGCTAATAGTATCCAAGTCATGGATTGCTGGATTTGCTATGCAAGCTGTGATAGACCTAGTCGCTATGCGCCTGCTAAAATTCATCTTTGAAGCCATGATGCCATACTGCCCAAGTTCTGATTCGCCACGGCGCCAAACATGCTATCGAAACCCAGTGACCGTACCGTTGAATGCACCACCAAATTCGACACTTCAGTACTCGTCCTCTGCAACCATGGAGATGCCGAAACGCTGGTGGTCGTCGTTGATCTTGCGTCTGAAGTGACCCACCTCCTTCAAGAACTCCTCTGCCTGCTCCTGCAACAAAGCTGCAAGTTTAGCACCAATCTCCTCTGTATCATCATACTGCTCCTCAGCAGAACCATAACCTTCTTCGCTGTGAGCGTCTTCGGCAATGTTGAAGCCAGGACCACTCTTATCGAGAGGAACACCATTGGCGATAGCTTCGAGCTCGGCGGCAGAGGGGATCTTGATCGGATTTTTGATCTCCTCGGTGGCGAGACGGAGATGGCGCTTGATAGCGTCCATTTCCATCTGTAGGGTTGCATTGAGCGGACGAAGCTCTTCGACTTCCGCTTGGAGGGCCTTGATCTTGGCTTCGGATACGCTGCGGCTCTCTTCCATAAGGCGGTTCATCTGTGCGACCTGGCGCTGGTACTCCTCAAGCTCATCTGCCTCTTCGCGTTTGCGTGTACTGGCAGCCATGGCACTGCGTTGGAGAAGTTCGATTTCCTTTGCCATTTGTTTAATTTGAGCATCGCGCTCTGCGGCTGAGAGCGAGTCTTCATTGACAGTCGCACGCGTACGGATACGTTTCGCCTGATCAGCGTAACGGAGGGTGGACAGCGTTTCTTCGTAGTCTGATGGTGCAATACAGGCGACCATAGCAGTTTTACTGTTACCGCCGAGGGAATCCTTGAGAAGCCAAGTAAGAACCGAGTCTCTGTACGGCACCCTCTCTTTTGTTCTGCGACCCATCTTCTGACCAGCTTCTGCGAGTGCAGCAATCACACGACCAAGAGTACTTAAAGACTTGTTGATCTGACCCCCTTCCTTCAACCGTGCTCCCGTCGCCTCGGTCGATTTTGCGCGTTCAGACCCTGCGAGATCGACAAGACGCATGCGTGCAGTACGTTCCACGGTTTCGTCTGAAAGAAGAGAATGTGTGATCTGCTTGAGTTGAATAGTGAACACGGCATGTGAGCGCGAGGAGGTGTCATTCATTTTGGTTTGAGCGGTGGTACGATTCTGAGTCACATTAGTGAAGGTAATTGATTACAAGGTTGAAGACGTACAGTGTCACCCTCTCTCAAAAGGCGTTCCACATCAGCATAGCTTTTGATCGCAGTCTCAGTCAAGCCCTGCACGAAGACCCCGTCCGACTTGGAATCGCGGATCTTGAGAAAAAGATCTGGGCTGGATCGAGGGACCAGAAGGTCGCGAACATGCTCATTGTACACCTCAAAGTACGAAACGTGAACATGGTAATTGGTATTCGGAGACGGTTCGTTCTCGATTCTGAAGAACAATTCTTCGCAGGTGCGCGGAATCAGACCCGGCTGCTCTGCAGTACCCATCATGGTATAACTCTTGCCAGATCCGGTTTGACCATACGCAAATATACAGGTATGGTATCCATCAAAGTTGTGGTCGAGGAACTCCTCTGCGAAAGATTTGTAAACAGCTTCTTGGCTTGCGAAATGCGGATCTTCTTCGTTATGTGACCAATATGAATGGTCGAAGTTGAACGATCTATCTTCATAGACTTTGCCTTTGCTCGTCTTTGGATAGGCGGGGTCGCCTTCAAGTGGTGCTTTGAGTGTTGTCTGTTTGCCATTGGCGTCCATCTCGACTAGGCATTTGGCGTTACGGTCCGTTTCTTGTAGTGGGAAATAAGCAGAGAACCATTCAAAAATGGGGGAGGTTGATACCTCGCTTGAGAAACTTTCGTACTCGTACCACGACTTTGACATTTGCACTGTCTTCGGAAGTGGGTGAGCTCATACCGTAAGAATAAGATGGTTCAGCTGCGCGCAGAGATGGCGCTGATGCTGTACTTTCATACCCATTGGCGAGCCCGCGGTACATACGAGAATCCATGACGACTTGTTGATACTGACATAGGAAGTTGAAGAGATAAATTCAACGTGTGCGAAGCAAAGAGTGTATTCGCGGGCGAAATGATAAGTAGCTAGCTACGTAGATACGTGCGCACGGTCCGGAAGTAAACGCGACCTTCCCTGTTTTGGAGCTGCAGCTACACGCGACCCCCACGCTGTTGCTATAGAGATCCGCCGCCAAACCCCACCACATCCTAACGCGACACACCAGACGTTTTTAACAGATCACGTGAGTCTGTCAAGCGGACAAGAACTTTTCTGTGTAATTACTTCGTCTTCTTGTCCAAGTACTGATTATAAGGGTTGCGGCAGCGACTGACGCATCTCTTCGCAATGCAAACTAGTGCTCCAAGCCTCGCTGAGCAGATCCTATTCACCCGACTACGAAACGATGAAATGACACATGTTGTTGCTGAGATTCTTGACGAGATTCAACATGTCCATGAGGTTCACGCATGGACTAAAGCACTCATACTATCAGCAGACCTTCTTGTCAATGTACCGAATGTAAGTGGAAGTGTCTGCTCATGCCAGATAGTTTGTGGTGAGTGACATATCTCTCCTGGTTTCCTCGAGAGCCTTCGTTAGTATACAAATCTCGTCCTGTGGCATTTACTAATGCAAGCACAGAAGGACCAGGAAGGGCGTGTAGTAGAACTCTTGTTCATGCGAGTGAGGAATCAGAGTGAAGCTCCTCCGACTCAATTGCTTTTGCATTGTATCTTGAGGAACGATGCCATTTCCAGTGCTTTCTTCAATCGAGTTATTGAGCAACTCAGCCATACGGCATTTGCTTTGCAGTCCGCTGAGGACGACCACAGTGCGTTACCCATTGATTGCGTGAACGAGTATGTCACGAAGTCCCCTGTTCCTTTGGTACAAACACAGCAACATGTCCCAAAGAAAGACATCGCCTACGTTGAGTCCTGCATCTACACTGAATACATGACTTCCGTATTCAAGACGTCCGACGCTGCTCAAATTGGACCTGCAACTTCTCAAAAGCTTTTCGAAATCGGACTAGTCTTGATTGGTAATTCATCACGCGAGCTCTCTATCGCAGCACGAGACATGGTGTGTGTCTTGATACCTCATATACCGCTTGTCGATCATGGAACTATGCTTCTGAATCGGATCTACTACCTTCTGAGCTTAGTCCAACCATCTCACTACGCGAACACGGCGGCCAGGGTATGGTTTCAGTGGCTCTCCAATACTGAAAATGCCATGGGTAGTTGCCTTCACGATGCACTACTTTCGTCTGAGTATTGGAGTCATTTGCAGAAGATATTACGTCAAGGTTATTCAGAAGAAAGAAAGTTTGCCCTTTCAGTCCTAAAACACTCTGTGGACCTCCTCGATACTACCGTCACGACTCAGTCCATGTATTTTGAGTACGAGAACCGAGCCTGGAGCTGTAAAGAGTACGAAAAATTCTGCATTCTGTTCCAGACCATCGTTCTTGGTCGCTACCAGAATCAGGTCGATGAATGCTTGATCGATCTAGCAGCCTTGGTGGTATCTGGCAAAGTGCATAACACCTGGATCCAGACCTTACTAATGAGTGTGTTTCATGGTGATGTACAGGAGACTATACGTAGATCTGTAGGCAATTGGTTTATGGATTTCGCTAATGACAGTGCGCAGCACATTAGTACATACTACGAGTTCATTCTGACCTCCTTTGTCCCGTGGGCAACCACGGGGACCTGGTTCACAACGTCCATAGAGCTCATGGATCAGAAAGTAGTATGCGTTCATGGGAGACGCTTGTCAAGATGCATTGCAAAGGTGGTCGCTTCCATTGCTGAGAGCGAAAGAGGCACATTGATAAATGCACTCTTCAAGTACCTTGAGGCCAAAGGCGACAGCATCTACCCGTTCGCTTCTGCCTATGTATTCGAAGGCATAAGTGATGGCATCAAGACTGCAAGTGGTACCGGCAATAATGGTGTCGATCTCGAGCTTGCATGCAGATTAACAACAAGAAGTGCCAATCGAGAGATTCCACGGGATCTCATGACAGTATACTGCATTCTTATAAGGAATTTCGCCAAAATGAAGAAAGATGGAACATATTCACACAGCATCGATACAACCCAAGATGTGATAGAGCGCTGGGCTGAATTGAAAATCGACGAAATGAAGAGCTCCATACGATCAACGCAAGAAGATCTCAAACGCCTATTGCAAGCTCCAGACGCCGACTCAAATCTTATCTCTGAGAGTTCCAGACCTGTGGCCAGTACTCTCTCTCGGATACAGCATCAGATCGTTGACTCAAAATTCCGGTCTCTTCTAGGCTCTGGTCTAGTGACTACCTGTACCGATTTGGAACTTCTTGTAGGAAGCAATGAAGTTTCCAAATGTTCAATGGACGACCTCATATTCGTGATCCAGGCAGTCTGGGATGAGACAGAGACACAGGATTATCCAAAAGACGTAACAATGAGGTTACCCTGTACGCTCTTAGATCCCAAGATCTTGCAACGATCACTAGGTGATGAAGCTGGGTCTTTGCTACGTCTCATCAGTAAGGCTGTACATCGCATGTACCGTCTATCCGAAAGCAGGATTTACATGCTCAGTCCTGTCATGACTGCGATTCGTCGTGCTGTTCTAGCCGTACCTTGCTGTGTTTCAGGAATTAACATCCCGACGATTCTCATTCGCTTCTCGAAAAATCCTCCCTCGCCCAGTATAGAATCCCTCATTGAGGTGTCCCTAGCGGACCAACTATGCAAGCATGTGCCACACCGCAAGTACGAGAGCTATTACGGACGCCGTGAGGGGTTTGCATATGCCGCTGTATTTGATCTTGTATCCAGATTGACATCGGATGAACACAGCGAACTAAGAGTCACACTACACGATGCTCTTTTAGAGCCTTGGATGTCTCAAAAACTTCCGATTCCAGTCGTCACTAAATGGAAAAAGACTGAGCAACTGCAGATGCTGCTAATATTGTCCTCTGCATGTCTCGCAAGATCCGATTCGCGTGAAGGCCAGCAGCACCTATCAGACTATCTTCTTATGTTGTCTTTAGAGCCACTTCCAAGATTCCGTCATCTGCTAGAATGGATCATTCTGCGAATCTTTCTAGCAAAGCCTGATCTTAGAACAAATCTACTATCTCTCATAAAAGAACATGGAAACCCCAAGCATGCTGCCTCACTGATCAAGATAGCTGTTAAGGTGGCTTGCTTCGACGACTCTACGCTAGACTTTGCTTCGAAGCTGTTATCTCTCCTAGTGGCATTCTCTGCTTCATCTAAAGTCGCCATTCGTATTGAAGCCCAATGGAGTATCCACATTCTGCGAGACCACAGTGAGAAAAAGAAATGGACACAAATCACGGACAATCCAGCTATATTTGAACTAGACGCGTTTCTGCGTAGCCACGACAGGTTCAACGCCCCGATTCCTTCTCGCATTCTCGAATCCTTCGACCCTATACAAGACCACACGCTCAATACACTCTTCTCTGGCACCTTCTTAGACATTGAGCCCCGTGAGGCCCGCAAAATCACCTACTCAGACTTCAAGGCACTCTACGAAGACGACACCAAAGACCCCTACCTCCGCTCCATCCACCCACCGTCCATGCCTCTGGATGCACCTATTCCCAACGCTACAACTACCATCCAACCTGTTCTCACAGCAGAGCCATCCCCTCCATCTACAAACGTCACGGCTGACCCAACCCACGTCTTTGCACAAAAACCAAATGTCCCCCTTCAAACCAAGGGCCTCGCTCTCTCGCACCCCTCCCTCACCTCAACTAGCAGTTCTCGTAACGCATACCCACTCATCCTCTGCGCCTCACTTATCGATAATCCATACAATCTCGGCGGCCTCTCTCGCTGCGCAGAGATTTTCTCTGCTTCGTCGCTTCTTCTCCCCTCCCTATCTCACCTCGCCTCACCCCGCTTTACATCTGTCGCTGTAACGTCCCACCTGCACATTCCCATTTCCCAGCTCACGCCAGTCGAGACGCCAGAGTACTTGCGTGCTATGAAGAAAGAAGGTTACAAGATTGTGGGCGTGGAGCAGACGGATCAGAGCGTTGTGCTTGGGGAGCAGGGCGTGGTGCTGCCGAGGAAATGCGTACTTGTTATGGGCAGCGAGAAGGAGGGGATCTCGAGTGCAGTACTGATGGAATGTGATGTTTGTATGGAGATACGGCAGGAGGGGGTGACGAGGAGTTTGAACGTGCAGACGGCTGCGAGTGTGGTGTTGTTTGAGTATCAGCGGCAGTGGTTTGGAAAGGGGAAGGCTTGGGAGGAGTGATGCTGTTGTGCAGTAGGAGCAGAAAAGGAGTGGGTATTTCGCTGAACTACAGGTAGAAAATTGATACAAGTGCGCCAGCCGGAGATGACAGAAAGAGAGGAAAACGAGGCTTAGAGCATCTCGAATCCCAGACTGAACATCATGCCACCCCTCTTCCACTGCTCCAGCATGACCATACACTCCACCCTCCAGTCCTCGACGATGCCATCCATCTTGATATCGTTCCGGTCATACCCGAACGGATCCTCAAGCTGTCTTCCAATTCCGTCAATTCCGTATAACGTAAATGCAACCAACGCAACAATCGGTATTGAATACCATCCATAGTTGTCCACTATCGCAAATGGTAGCGCGAGCGTATATAGTGCAAGTACCTGCTTCTGATGTATCAAATGCGCAACCGGTAGGGGCGTAGTGCGGATCGTCTCCATCTTGCTATACGCATCCACAAGCGTGTTGATCTGCACCGTGAGCTGCGATGCCTGTGGCGCATGAAACCAACCGCGGTCATGTCCACGCTTGATAAAGCCTTCGACTATGACAAGCAGCTGCAGGGGTAGACAGAGGCCCTCGTCTTCGAAGCCCACCATACGTGGCGGCAGCAGGCTCTTGTACTCTGGCTCATTCAACATCTCCCCAGCAGGATGCAAGCTCGATCTCCGCCCACTTGTATCGCCATCGACCTGGTCCCGGTACTGAGTAACGCTCCACTCGTGTCGCAGATTATGCTTGATCGCATACAGCACCGCAATTAGGATCCGCACAACACGCTCCGTGTCATGCCTCTCCTCCTCGCTGATATCCACGCCTCCCTTCCCACGCGCACACGTGAGGATGCTGCGCGTCAGGTTCCGCACGCTTGTGCCACACGTACTCAGGTGGTTCCGGCCGGACCAGAAACGATCGTATGAGGTTCCATTGCGGAACACGAGCATCAGCCCGACGACAATGCTGAGGCTGGGTACGATGGTGCTAGGCAGGCCGAGATTGTTGACGCGCTGGTCGATGAAGACGATTATGGAGGTGAAGATGGAGTGCACGAGGACGGGGAGGAGGATGGAGGCGTGCACGCTGCCGGAGGAGAGGCGTAGGACGAGAGGGAGGCGGCGGGGTTTCCGGCGTTGAGCATGAGCGAGTGGGTAGGTTGGTGTGCGGACATGATGGCGTGGACGTTGCGGACGCTGGGAACGTTGGGGATTTGGTGTAGTGGGGGCCTGTTCGTCGTGGGTCATTGTGAGTGCTTGGAGGACAGTAGTATTTAGTATGATATGCAATTGGAGGTGAGAGAGGAGTGGAAGGTCGACAAGAGTGTTTTGACGGCAGATGAAACTTGCTAGGAATACACTCGGAGAAGGTCCGAGCGCCTCTAATTAAATGACCTATCAGGGTCTTGCGCTATACTCGACCTGGTGAAGGAAGCGTCAAGTTGGATCATAGTGGGGGACTTGGGTGGGGGTGATACGTGATGGTGGATATCAAACAACAGAGAGACCATTACAGTACTCATACTGGACACACCCAGCCAGATCGCTCCCATTATGCTCACACCACTGTTGAGGCCTTTCACATCTATGAATATGATCTCACAAACGCTAGCCTCTCAGTAGAGCCATTGTTGGCATTGGCATTGATGCTAATATACGGGGTCATCTATAACTTGCTCACTATGATTACAATCGCGCGCCTGGCTCAATCAAGCCAACACGCTCTAGGTACTCCCCAACCTTCTCTTTGACTCCTTGCTTGCCGCCTGTTGATCGCAACAGCTCATCCAGTTTATCTTGCTGCACCATAGATTCAATGATTTCCTCAGTGGGAAGCCCGAATTTGCGATGAGGATATTCCTTGTAATCCAATTCTTCATCTTCATTTGGAAGGATAAGACGCTCGGATGGCGATGGTGGCTTGAAGAACTGTTTAATTTGATCACTGGTGACCTGATCAAAGCTAGCCGGCTGCCAGTTCGGTCGTTCTTTTTGACGCCGGACAAGACGCGCCGTCACTCCCTCAATGAAGTCTGGATGGTCCATGAACTTCGAGGCGATTTTATGCTCTTGCTCGAATGTCTCACGAATGTTCCATTTTCGACCAACGCGCATTTGGTGCAGCGCAACAGCAACGCTAGTTGGCGAACGAGACTCGATGGTTGTGACAGTTTTCTTCGCCCATTCCTGTAGCTCCTTAGATGTACTTGGTGAATCAGCCAGTGATTTCAACTGTTCTAAAATACCCTCTACGGTCTGATGGGCAAAGATTTTATCAATGGCCATTCTCAAGGCACCAGATATTCTTGGCCTAGAAGTCGGGAGACTTGTTGCGAATTCCTCGATCGTGGCATTCACAATGTCGTTACGCATTTCCAGAGTGGCGCGGTCTTTGAAGTTCAGCTCACCAAGACGTGCTTCAAGTTGCGGCAAACTTGACGAGTGAACATAATGAGTGGCAATGCCGTGATAGCTAATGGGATTAGCCTTTGAAAAAGAAGCTCGACATCTTAAACTTACAAGACATCAACGCCTTGCAGCTGCTCACTGGTCAGTGCTAGATATGTTCCGAGTTGACCATCCATTCGTGGGAGGAAGAAGCTAGCTCCAACATCGGGAAAGAACCCAATTGTGGTTTCCGGCATGGCAAACAAAGTGTTTTCTGTGGCTATTCTGAATGGTGCGTGGACACTTAGTCCAACTCCACCACCCATTGTTATCCCATCCATGAATGCGATATAGGGTTTTTGGTACGTTGCGATCATATGATCCAGCTTATACTCGAGGGCGAAGTAGTCTTTGGATGCCTGCTGACCCGAGGGTCCCGTCTTATTCCATTCTGCCAGCGCAGCGACATCTCCACCGGCGCAGAACGCTCGACCAGCACCTTTGATGAGGACAACGTTCGTCATCTGTGACTTCGTCCATTCCTATAGCTTATCAGCACGCAAGGCTCTGTTGTCGGAGTGCCGCAGCGGACCTGCAATCGAGGGATTATCTTTCTCGCCATTGAGCCGTTTAGGGAATTTAACTTCTTCGGCCTGTTCAATTCAATCGTCCGTAAACAGTACGTCTGCTGGAAAAGAACATCATCCTTCTCATCCCCAGGCTGTTCCCGTATCAGCGCTGCATCCGTCGCAAACTGCAATTCTTTTAGCTCTTGTAGTCTCTATGGACGCGGCCCGGCCTACTGTTCGTTGTTGAGACATTGCTAACGATTGTGCATTCTTTGACAATTGTGGTGTGGGTATAGAGACGAAGCGTGAATACCGTCCCAGCGGTAAAGCTGTTCGCCGAAGACAGAGTGCGTAAGACATGTATCGTTCGGTAGCGTGGAGGGAACCTCGGATATGCGGAGGTAGGTATAGTCAGCCTGTGAAAAGGCACGGCAACACGACGAGTCGATAAAAGAGTGGAATGTCGAGTGCGACAAAGGCTGTATGAGCTGGACACAGGGTCGCAGATAACAGAGCAGTAATGTTTGGTCTGTAGACAATGATGACTACGAAACCAATTGGACGACCTGGCGCACGACTTTCTACTTCAATAATGGCAGAAGCTCTTCTCCGCCCATAATTACTTTCGGTCTTAGCTCGAAGCTTTGCATAGCTGCACGTGATCATCCATGGGCGGCTTTGGAGTTGCAGACGCGCTAAAAAATGATTGTCCTCACGACTTCTGCATCACCAGCGGCGCCTGTCAATTCGCGTGTCCTTCCGCGACTCTTGTCATCTCAATTCATTCTCCTCTCGCCTCTTTTCCCCTTCGTCTTGTACAATGATCATTCCCACATTCTCGCGAGCCGCGTGGCGGACGAGTTGTGCCTTTGTCAGGCCCTCCTCAAGCTCTCCTATCCAGCAAGCTCTTGGTTCGAAGGGCTCGATTGTATACGGGTCTGCCGTACGGAGATACGCAGTAGGAAAATTCTCTCGTGACAAGCCTCACTGCAATATCGGTATGCTTGCACTCGACCGACCTGCGCAACCTTGAAATGGCTCGAAATACTAATACGATCCAGGAACCATTGGCCATGTCGACCATGGAAAAGTCAGCCTCCTACATTATGTCCTCGAAGAGAATGAACCTAACAAGACATAAACAGACCACCCTCACAGCTGCTATCACGAAACGTCAGTCAGAGAAAGGATTCGCCAACTACTCAGAATATGGTGCCATCGACAAGGCTCCCGAGGAGCGCAAGCGTGGTATCACAATCTCCGCCGCACATCTCGAGTATGCAACAGAGAATAGGCATTACTCCCATGTCGACTGTCCAGGTCACGCCGATTACATCAAGAACATGATCACTGGTGCGGCCAGTATGGACGGATCCATCATTGTGGTTGCTGCTTCCGACGGACAAATGCCCCAGACAAGAGAGCATCTACTACTAGCCCGTCAGGTTGGCGTTCAAAGACTCGTCGTGTTTGTCAACAAAGTCGACGTCATCGAGGACCAGGAGATGTTGGAGCTCGTAGAGATGGAAATGAGAGAACTACTTAGCACCTACGGCTTTGAAGGCGACGACACACCCATCGTGATGGGCTCCGCACTATGTGCTATCGAGGGTAAACGACCGGAAATTGGCGTTGAAAAGATCGACGAGCTTTTAACCGCCGTGGATACGTGGATCCCAACCCCTGAGCGCGACCTGGACAAACCGTTCCTGATGGCGGTCGAGGACGTCTTCTCCATTCCTGGACGAGGTACTGTCGCTTCTGGACGTGTTGAGCGCGGTATCCTCAAACGCGATACAGAAGTTGAACTAGTTGGATACAATGAAGCACCTATCAAGACCAAGGTTACGGACATTGAGACCTTCAGAAAGTCATGCGAAGAGTCTCAGGCCGGCGACAACTCTGGTATTCTCCTTCGTGGAGTCAAGCGTGAGGATGTCAAGCGTGGCATGGTCATTGCCATCCCTGGATCCATCAAAGGCCACAGGAAGTTCCTTGTCTCGCTCTACGTCCTTACAAAGGAAGAAGGAGGACGTCACACCGGGTTCAAGAGCAACTATAGGCCACAGCTTTACTTCCGTACCGCTGATGAGGCATGCGATCTCTCGTGGCCAGAGGGCACTGAGGACATCAGGCACAAGACGGCAATGCCTGGTGACAACTGTGAGATGGTTTGCGAATTGTACCATCCGATTGCTATCGAGAAAGGACAGCGGTTCAACGTTCGCGAGGGTGGCCGAACTATCGCAACTGGTCTTGTCACACAGATCATACCGACCACTGGTCCTTCAGTCTTCGAGAACATAGTTTCCAAACATGGTGCTTAAATGTCCGAATCACCTTTCTTGTACATCATTCTACTGTATACTCCACTCTTGCGCTTGTAGCTCTCGACAGCGGCACCTTCGCACTCGGAGACATCTTGTTGCAGGTTACTGCAGCAGTGGACGAGGCATGTCATAGGGTTTCTGGCCTGAAGCCAAGGGACACGATTGTAATATATGAGTGTAGGATAGCAAGGGAATGAGATGTGGATAGACCATATTTCTTTGCACACTCTTGTTACACCTAGTCGTCTTCACTCAGGTCCACAAGTCGAAGAAAACGGTGTACCGCAGCACATATTCCATCATCACTAGGATTGAAAAGCACTAGCAAATATGTATAACAACAGTCAATCATTTCTATTCATCACATAACGCGCGCAGCTAACTCCAAAATTCAAAAACCCAGAAACACTCTTCACACACACACACACACTCTCTCTCTCTCTCTCTCTCTCTCTCTCCGTCATATCGTACATATCCCCAGGCTGACGCTCTAATCAGACTTTGGGTGCCTGTCGCCCTTGATGTTGTTCTGCCAGTCATCATAGTTGACAGTAACATCCGGCAAGCTACCAATATCAGCCTGCGCAACACAGAACGTCTCAAGGCCCAACGCGCCCCCGGCAGAGTTGATCAGCGTGAACGGCACGACAAGCTGGATCTGGGTCGGGTTGAGGGTGTTGGACACCTCGCTCATGCGCAGCGTCTTGGTCGGGTCCCAGCTGTCCTCCAAGTCGTCAATGTACTCGTCAATCCGCTCGTTGTTGTACCACAGCCGCTCGTCGTCGCCCTGGTCCCTGAACTCGGGGATCCACGCCTTGGACACGCGGTCCAGCGCGTCCGAGTCGATGAAGACGACGCAGTTCCAGGGGCCCGGCCAGCCGCCGGGCTTGTCGCCCCGGACGGGTGCCGTGTAGGCGCCCTCGCCGATCTGCGCGCTGTTGCCGGAGCGGTCGGCGGTGATGGTGCCCGCGGCGTTGTATTTGGCTGCTATGTCCGGGCTGACGGAGCGGTAGCCGAGGATGACCTTGGAGGCACGGGAGTGCTGGTTTGTGGCGGATGTTGGGGCTGCGGAGGCGAGGGCGGTTAGGGAGAGGCCCATGGAGAGGAGTTTGGAGGTGGAGAATTGCATGGTTGGAGAAGATTGGATGATTGGGTCTGTGGGACTGGGACTTTGGTGGATTGGTGTGGGAGTTGTTGCTGTAAACTGTTTGGATTGCTGATGTGTTGATGAGGAATTCTGAGGAGGTAGAAGGAGATGAAGTTATATACTCATCTCGAGTGTATGGAGAAGTACCATTTTACTTTGACTACCAGCGTCCGCTAAGTGAATACCGACATATCGCGAGACACCTCGCTGTTGGAGATGCTATTCTAGTCTCACGAAGAGCGATTGACATCTTGGCATGATCTCTGAATAGAAGTCTGGGATTCGAACATACAGCCTCCGACCGCATTGAAACGGAAGCATATTCAGTCGAGTAATTACATGGCGAATAGACGAACGAAAGCTGCTACTAGCTCAGGGTCTCAGGGTCATGTCATGGCGGCAAGCTCAAGCTCCTCGACTGAGCCGCATGTCCCATGCCAGCTACAGCTAGTCAGGACGCGTCCGTGCCGCAGATCGTATAATCCTGGCAGACGCAGGCAGAGGTGGAAGTCGGGGGCTTGGCATGGTGTTTTTTAGTCAAACATAAGCGCTTGGCAGCAATGACGTCGACGTCGGGGGGGCGAGAGGATGGGGAAAGCGGGCTCGAACGATGGGAGAAAATGGATATGGATCTACAATCGCTTCAGCCGCACGGAAGCTGTCAGGGTGCTTGTGGTACGCTGCGGTGCAGGAAAGTCTCCGTGTATTGGCGGTCGCAGGGGCGGCATATGGTATGTAGTAGGTAAGACGCCAGCTAACCGAGCCCCGGGGAAACCTTTAAGGATCGTGTACTGGTCACAGAACCCCATAGATCTCAGCCACGGATGAGGCGATATCCAGATCTTATAGGTTTACTACGTAGTATATTGTTTGATGTCTACTTACCATTACTGCTTCAGGCTTAGTGCATATGTCAAGCCAATGCAAGGTACCCGACGGACCAATGAGAGCACACCCAGTAGCTATAATTATCTCCAAAAGAGGAATGACCTCATATGCGTAGCCAGCCCTGTGTGTAACTTGGCTGCCTATTATTCACTTACCCACAAACAGCAACCTACTCATCTGTCTTCTTCCTGCCCACAACACTTCTTTCCTTTCAACAACCACCCAAAACCTCCACCACATCCAACAAACAAACAAACCCAGACAAAACCACACGAGTAGTCAAGAAAATCACACACAAAACAGCATCACAACGACGACGACCACCACCACCACCACCATGACCGACGTCGAAACAATCACCTCCATCCTCTGCGGCCCACCCGGCGACGACGTCTGGCACTGGGACACCGTCTCCGCAACCTCAATCCAATTCAAGCCCGACGGCACAGGCCGCCTCGTTCTCGCCCAGGAACTCAACCTCTGGATCGCCTGCCCCTTCACATACACCCACACCCCTTCCTCCCCCCAAACCACCACCACCACCAAACCCACCACCCCCCTAACAACAACCCTCAACCTAACCCTCCACCCAACCAAACTCCCCACCCTCGACGCCGCCGAATCCCTCGCCATCCCCCCCGGCCGCCTCTACAACGCCGACCTCCTCCACCCCTCCACCTTCGCCCCCCACACGCGCACCATCGCCGTCAGTCTCGAAAAAGGCCGTTTCCAGACCCAGTTTGAGCAGCGGCATCGCGACTCGGGGGTCGGTTGGCCCGAGTTTGAGTGGAAGGTTAGGTTTGAGCCGAGTGTGTTTCCGGGGAGGGAGGCGTGGAGGGAGGCGCGTGGGGCGCCGGATGCGATGCGGTTTTGGACGTGGGATGAGTTTTATCGCGGGAGGGTTGGGGTTAAGGGGGATGGGAATGGGGGGTGGAGGGGGTGGTGTGGGGTTATGTAGGGGGGAAAGGAGGAGGAGGAGGGTAGGGGGTTGGATGGTGTATGTGTTTGTCGGAGTGTAGATGGGATGGCAACGGGGGAGCAGGGGGGTAATCGTCGTAGTAATCCCTTTCGTGGGTGTCTGGATGTATCAGATGCCGTAGCACACACACACACAAGCAATATGAATCTATAACCCTGGCAGCTCACCGAAACGAAAACGAAAATCACAGCACATCACCCCCTGGAACGCAGGAAAGCAGACACCATCAAGTTAAAGTACATCATCTGCAATTCATTTTCCAACACTAACCGCGCAAAAGTGCAAGATACAACAGCAACAAGAGCAACAACAGCAACCGCTATTACAACACCTTCCATGCCAAACCATACCATGCCACCATACCATGCCCACCACACCCACTCACTCACCCGCCCAAAAAAACCGCTTTCATACTTAAAAGATGCTCCGATTTACTAACAACATACGCCGCGCGCGCGCTTACAACTACAACTACTACTACTTACGGAAAAATAAGATCACTTTATCGATAAAGATTTTTTTATTTGTCCAGAGAACAAAGAATATTCCCAGACCTCTTACCCATTGATGATCTTACCTTCAAGTTACAGAATGATGATAAAAAAGAGATTTTCAATTCTTTTTTTTTTTACCTCGTAGTTTTCTCTCCTTCTCCTCCTCCACTGTGGTATGTATACTCACCCACCCCACCCCATCCCATGGATGTCCTGGAAGACAGGGGAGAGAGAAGAAAAAAAACTAATAGAGAAGGAAAACAAAAAAAAAAGAAGTAGAATGGCATTACTTGACAACAGCCAATGCAGCAGTAATACATAAAAAAGAAAAAAGATCCGACGATTGTTGAGGTCAGGCGCGAGCGAGGTTCCTGGTCTTAGAGAGATCGCCCTTCGGAATTAGAGATGATGTATATAGATAGAGCTGGACTTGCTTTTGCTCTTTACGTCCCCGGGACGGCCGGACATAATGTCCGTGGGAAAAAGAGTTTTTGCCTTTGATGAAAGTCCCAGTCTTTTCCTTACCATCGTTGAGGCCAAAGTCGATGAGACGAGTAGTGGACGTCGAGGAGCTTGCTGGGAGTGTGGTAGATGATGATGACGATGATGATGACGAAAAGATTCAGGTTTCGGAGAGAAGGAAGGAATCTCAAACCTGCCTCTTCTTACCCTTTTCAACAAATGATGTGATGATAATCGAATATACTTTTTTGTTTGGAAAAACAAAGTCCACATGACCTCTTTTTTACCTCCACGTTGTTGTGCTTGTTGTGGTTGTGGTTGTAGTTGTGGCTGTGGTTGTTGAATTGTGTGTGGTAAATGGATCAGAACCTCCGTTTGCTGCGGTCGTCGCCGTAGCCGTCTCCACCGTCATATCGTCGTTTCCTGTCATCATCTCGGCCACCGCCGCCATACCCACCACCACCATCGCGGTCTCGAAAGCCTGGCTTACCCAGAGGTTCGCGATTTGCGCCGGTCGAACCGCGGTCTCTACCACCACCGCCGCCGTACGAGCCGCCTCCTCTATCGTCAAATCTTCGCTCGCCGCGGTCGCCTCGGTCGTAGTCGCCGTTCGAGCCTCCACCAGATCCGCCGCCAAAGCCGCCTCTGCCTCCGCCTCTTGGGCCTGATGGTGCCCCTTCTGGTGGTGCGCCCCATCCGTTGGATTGATAGCCGATACCACCGCGACCTCCGCCACCGCCAAACCCACCACGATCACCTCCACCGAACCCACGATCGCCAAAACCGCCACGGTCACCCCGGAAGCCTCCCCGGCCTCCTCTGAAGCCACCTCCAAAGTCTCCACGGCCACCACGCATGCCACCGCCAAACCCACCGCGGAAGCCGGGACCTGGCGGAGGTCCGCCGAAACCAATAGCAGGTTTGGCTGGTAGCGCCTTGGTATAGCCTCTGCCTCCGAGACCTCCACCAAGACGACGCGGCTTCCACTGGTTCACTGTACGGCCTCTTTCAACATCCACCAGTATGCGTCGATCTCTGATACGTATGCCATCGGTTTCTTTGTAGGCCGCTAAATCAGTCAGGCAAGAGCCCGTGTCAGTTCATTACCTTCTGATAACTTGTTAAGGGCAGAGAGCAACAATACCTTTCATATCCTTCTCGCGCTCAAACAGAATAAAAGCATACCCCCTATTCTTCTTCACCCGCGACGCCTTCTTCTCACCCGCACGCGTATCCGTCACAATGCGAATCCGCTCAATCGGCCCAAACCGCCCAAACTCCTTCTGCAGATCGCGCGGCTCGGTATCGTAGCTGATGCGTCCGACAAAGAGCGTCTTGAAGGCGTCCCCGCGCACATTCGGGTCGTTTGCCGGGTCGTACCCGTCCTTGCCCTCCGCCATCGTCTTCTCGTGCTTCTCCTTCTTCTCGTACTTGATGCGGTCCCGGCGCTGCTGCCAGCTCTCCGTGGGCTTGTATCCGTCGTCGTAGTTCTTCAGGGCTTCGAGGTAGCCCGCGACGCCCGTGACTTTGGATGAGTGCCGGTCTTGCGGCGCGTAGTCCATGTGAGGCGCATAGCGCAGCGGCGGTCGAGGCGCGAAGAGCGCCAGGAGGTTGGGCGGAAGTTGTGCCGTCATCTTCGCGTTTAGGTGTGACAGACGGGGATAGAGATGCGAAAGATGAAGGAGGAGGGAGGGAGGGAGGGAGATGCAGGGAAGAAAGTGTCGAGGGGAAAAAGTTGATGATGGTGATGCGCGTCGTGGGTTGCTAGTCTAGGTAACAGCCCGGGGAAATCTCGGTTGTGAGACGGCTGTCGAGAACGACAAAAGTGAAAGCCGCGCGACCACTGTCAAAGGCCGTTCGTTAGCCACGCCGCGAGGATTCACAATGCCTCAAGTAACAGCATTGAGGGCGATATCCAAAGCCCAGGTATGCATGGTTCCATTCATCCAAGACCAACAATTGCGCTGACAAAAGCACAGAATGGCGTAGGCGCCTTCATCATACAATGCAAACGCATTGATTTCCACTACTGCGACTGGTATGGCAGCTCTCGAGGCATGAAGTAAGTCCCTTTCCCATCCGGTGAGGCCTCGATAATCTTTGCTGAATCGCGCGCGGTGTAGCTCCTTCATCACAAACGAGCTATCGAAATTCGGAAAAGCACACCCCAACATTGAGATAACCGTCTCTCCTCGACCGAACAAGCATCCCATCATGGTCGGCCACTACATCAACGGACACCAAAAGGCAATCTGTGTGCGGAATCTGACGAAAGAGCAAGTCCACCAGAAGGCAGACTTGTTACGCATGGCAAGCGGGGAGAAGAACAGGAAGGTGATGAGGAAACCGGTCATCAGCACGAATGAGAACGTTAGGGGTATGTGGAGTCCGTTCCATGCTGGGAGAAAGTACGAAATATGATACAATGGGAGTATGCTGCAGAAAGAGATTGGAGATTGTACATATATCGGCATCAATGGCGCATGGGTTCTCACGACGGTTGTACAAGTTCAATACTATTGTCAAGAGCATTCCAATTGTATGAGTGGTGAGTGCCATTTGCTATCGGCACCATATACTGTTGGTATATGCAGCAATGCAGCAATTTGAAGACAAAACTACAAAACCGATTTGTCTCGTCTCGGGTTGTCACTCGGACCTTGTATTCATGCCGACTTGGCGTTGATAATATCGACGACTGGAACGCGCATTAGTAGATGATTCCCGTCTTCAGGATCTAACCGACTACTCACAGGCAGGCTTCAAGCTAGCACCTCCAACCAAGAAGCCGTCGATATCTGGCTTCTTGGCCAATTCAACGCAGTTCTTCTCGCTCACGCTCCCTCCGTAGATGATTCGGGTGTTCTCAGCAGCTTCAGGAGACACGTCCGACTTCAACCAGGCGCGGATATCTGCGTGGACTTCCTGAGCTTGCTCGGGTGACGCAACCTCGCCAGTCCCGATAGCCCTAGAAACGAATCGTCAGCGCGCGCAACGCATGGTATAATAGGTAGGACCCCCCATACCAAATCGGCTCATACGCAATGACAACCTTCGACCAGTCCTTGATCGCCGAAGCAGCACTCTTCAGCTGGCTAAGAACATGCTCCTTAGTCTTATTCTCTTTCCGAATCTAAACCCTCCCCAACAATCGATCATCAGCAATTCACTCTCTTTCCCAAAAAAAAAAGGTATCTAAATCCTCGGGAGTCTTTACCTCCAAGCTCTCACCACAGCAAAAGATGACACCAACGCCTCCAGCCAGGGCAGCCTTGGCCTTCTCGGCCAGGAACTCGTTGCTTTCCGCGACCTCAGCCATGGACACCCTGCGCTCCGAGTGGCCCAGAAGGGTCCACGCGATGCCGGCATCGTTCAGCTGCTCGACGCTCAGCTCGCCGGTAAAGGCACCGTTTTTCTTGTAGTAGATGTTCTGGGCGGCGACGGCGATTTCTTTCTTGAGAGATTCGCGCACGAGGAGGAGATGGATGGCCGAGGGGGCGACGACGACCTCTGTTTTTGGCGTACGTCAATGAGAAGATGTTTGTTCCTCTGCCTCTTTATATTGCCAGGGACCTGAGTTTGTCACGTACCGGTGTTGGGGTCGAGTTTTGCGCCGTTCAAGTTATTGACGATTTCCTTGACCGATGAGATCGATCCGTTCCTGTTCGGAGAGTAGTCAGTATAATTAGCTCCCATGATGGTCGACTTGAGTTGTTCTGGAGGGGGGAGGACAAAGAGCGCATACATCTTGAAGTTACCACCGACGAAGAAACGACGACCCATTTTGGCGGGTATATGTGTAATACGTAGACTTGGAAGAGGTTATAGAGTGATGGAATAGGAATTGAAGACGGTTCAAGGCTTCAATGGACAGGATTAGGTGGTGGTGAGAAAGTTGAGTTCATTGTTCATCGACCCGCGGGGTAGTAGGTCTTGTCCATCATCCATGGCGTGTGCCCCACCACTACGTACTATATTGGCTCAGGTTGAATATCACTTTCTTGGTATACCATCACTCCTGGAAACCATGAACTACAAATCGTCGAGTCTTTTTACTCTTCGCGCTTACTAGACTTCACACAGCTACATCTCCAGTTGGGAGCAAAACAACACAAATATATTATTATTAGACCGCCCAAGTGGCCGCTAACTCAATTAATGCCTCCCAAATTAAAATACACACTATACTGTGATTTACAAATTTGCACCATGTTTTTTTTCATGCACTGAAGGTCTCCATCAGTGCCAGGCAGGGTATCTCTCAAACATAAACATAGGAAAGATGGACGTAAACATAGACATAGAAAAACAGATTGTACAAGAAGGAGAAGAAGAAGGAGAAGGAAAAGTTGCACAGAAGTGACCACATCAATGTCTGCTATATCGTCCGGCGACACCATACCGACCGGATCTGACGTGCTCATCCTCATACGCTCTCCGGTTCTGAAGTCGTTCAATCGATCTGTTCCGGCGCGTCTGGTCCACCAAGTATTCAATCGCCTCTTTCGCTCTGTCCCTACGATCCCTTCCATATTCACTCGCAGCGTCCCTGTGGCGGTGCTCCGAGCGAGGCGCCCGGTCATGGAGGCTTAATCGATCGAATGGCAGTTCGCCTACATGACCGCGGCGAAAGACAGGTGACAAGGCTCTGGGCCGGGGCTCCCCGGCTACAGGCCGACCTCTGTAGTGGTCACCTGGCGGATAATCGTCCACCGGCGGATAGTCCTCAATGCCGTATTCATCTCGTGGCATATAGTAGGTCTGAGGTCTGTGTCGTGGAGGCGAGGGGGCGGGGAGCATGGCTGGTGGTCTGTGTTGGATTTTGTAAGTTGGTCGCATCGACGAGACCATGGGTCTCGCACGTTCACTCATACGTCGCTGGAGCGACGGGATACGCGGTATATCCTCGAAGCTGGAAGGCGCAGTACTGGCAGTCTCGCCCGGCTGAGAGAAGACTGAATTGCCAGAGCCATAAGCCGAGTCCGTGCTGGTGGTGTCTGGGTAACGATGTTGCCAATCGGCAACCTTTCTTTTGACATCTTTGATATGCTTCCGATCGATCGAGGGACTCATTCGCTCACTGAGAAGCTTTCTTGCCACCCGTTCCAAGCTCCTCTCACGAGAGCGCTTTGATTTTTTATGAACCTCGCTAGACTTGGGCACGAAGGGTGCACCCTCGAAGCGTCGTGATTTGGACTTATGGTGAGTTCGGCCTCTGCGGGAGTCATAGTCGCCTTCCATGCTGAAAGTCTCATCATCGCTTGAAGATGAACTAGTCGCGCCATCTCCAGATCGGTAGCGACCGCGACTATGACGACGTACAGGTGTCTGTTCACGGTTCATATGTACAGCATTAGGACCGGCTCTGCGCGCACTTGGTCGATCGTCTGTCGCTCTGGCTTCTCGGATGGGGACATCGAGATACGGGGCCGGTATGAAAGGGTTTATTGGCTCTTGCAAATATGAAGGGGTATTGGGTCTGGTCCCTTGATGCATACCCTGAGGCGGCATACCTTGGTGTGGTGGCATACCTTCATGTGGTGGCATACCTCGGGATGGTGGTCTACCCTGAGGAGGCATGTTATGAGAAGGCATACCCTGTGGCGGCATGTTATTAGGAGGCATGCCCTGAGGAGGCATACCCTGAGGCGGCATGCCCTGTGGTGGCATGCCCTGTGGTGGCATGCCCTGTGGTGGCATACCTTCATGTGGTGGCATGCCTTGATGTGGTGGCATACCTCGAGATGGTGGTCTACCCTGAGGAGGCATGCCCTGAGGAGGCATACCCTGTGGCGGCATACCTTGATGTGGTGGCATACCAGGCATGTTGTGAGGAGGCATGCCCTGAGGAGGCATACCACGAGATGGAGGTCTACCCTGAGGCGGCATACCTTGATGTGGTGGCATGCCCTGAGGCGGCATGCCTTGATGTGATGGCATGCCCTGAGGAGGCATACCTTGATGTGGTGGCATACCCTGAGGCGGCATGCCTTGATGTGGTGGCATTCCCTGAGGAGGCATTCCCTGAGGAGGCATTCCCTGGGGAGGCATACCCTGAGGTGGCATACCCTGAGATAGAGGCATATTCTGAGGAGGTCTCCCCATCGGAGGCATTCCTTGCGGAGGCATGCCTTGACCACCAAATGCGGGCGGGCCCTGCATCTGAGGAGGCATCGACTGAGGATGGAACTGGCCTGCGCCCATCGAGGGGAACGGGCGGACATGGACGACATCATCGTCAGATGACAGGGCATCATCATCATCATCATCATTATCATAGTCCCTCTTCTTGACAGGAGGCTTCGGGGCCTTGGCACCAGATGTTGCTCTGTTGACGCCGTCCTTAGTGGTGGCGGCAGTAGGTTTAGGCTTCGCAGGGAGAGCAGGGTTGTGACAGCGACTCAGGATCACTCGCATCGCCGTCGTTTCTTCATGACGAGATCCCCAATGTATGGGTCTCTTAGACAGCATCAGCGCCGCGATCGTCCATTCGGCTTGTGGATGGGGGTCCCTTTCTTGCTCTCTCCTGAGCAGATCATCGATGGCTTTGCGTCGAAAGTGCTGCGTCAGAGCCTTGAGGTCGTGAGAGATATTCCGTCCGTCCCTCTCGCACTTGGCGCGATATTTCGCATAGATCTTCTCGATGTCGGGGTCTGGGAGACCAATCTTGGAAGACGTCGAAAACTCCCAGGAGACGTCCTGGCCCGGCTTGAGGAGGGCTTTGGGCTTCCTCTCGAGTAGCCAGTAGGTCATAGTGGTGGGAAACGGCTTCACCGAAGTCGTGGCTTTGGAATGCGAGTCTTTGTTCCCCGATCCTCTGGCTCCCTGTGATTTGCCGTTTTGGCCGCGAGATTCGTAGGGTGGGGGCATGGCTCCAGAAGGAATGCCATTGCCCATGGGCATGGGTCCGTTCATAGGAACGGGACCAGCCATGTGAGGAGGCATTCCATACATAGGCATAGGGGCCGGCGGAGGTGGAGGTGGATGGCTCATGTTGACTGTATTGAACTCCGAAGCGAAGACGTGAGTGTCGATCAGTCAAGCCGTGAATGAAAGGCAGGAAGCTTGCTATGTGATATAGTCGCAGTGCTTCTACATGTCAGGTATATTCAAAAAAGTCAAGTAGCATACTTTCTGAGCTCTTTTGTAGATTCAAATTCCAAGGGTAGCGGGCTGTGTCATAAGAGCATTGTTTGTCCCACGCGTTTCGTACGCGCAGCTGTGGCAATCCGATCATCTATCGCGACTCCGTTGCTCGACGAAAGGATCCAATACCATGCAACTCCTGCATGTCGAGGTTTTGATATTCGCGAGACCGGTAGAAGAACACAGCCCTATTTTCTGTACATGCGGCTCTCATGAGCCAATAGCAAGGCTGCCTTGACAAGGTGTGGTAGTCCACGAACCCAAGGGCCGGTGAAGACATATCCTGCAGCCTCCCTCTGGTGTTGCCCCTGCACATGGGCTCATGAACATCTTGACCGGCTGCATGAGGGTGGTGTAAGCGATACGTTCTGCAGTTGACGGACCCGGCGATGGGTGTGTGTGTGTGTGTGTTGTGGAGTCGGGTACGGATCGTTTCGAAGCGAAGCGGTTTGACGACTGGCTAGAGATGCCTAAAATCTTGTTAATGTGCTGAATTTGGGAGGCTTTCTGCACGGAATAAGCAGTTCATGTGTTGTTAGTGTAGCCGTGGGATGGTGGTGGAGGAGGTGGATATCCATCCTGAGTGGACAGTCCCCCGCATGTTCCTTGTCTGAAAGAAAGAAGGCATCCATCAACGTTGGAACAGGGCAACAATAACTCTCGATATTGATCCGGTCTTCAGAGCCACCTTTCTTCTCACTCACCACAGTAGCCGCGGGAGCATACACTTCCACATCACACCTCTCCCCCTGTAGCATACGCACCGCAGGGCTTAGTTACCCCACGATACACTCACTGACCCGCCGGGATGGTGATCAGTCACAGTACGTATACACGATTGCATACCCACGTCCCATATCTCCTTGCCAGCAGCTATGCTATGTAATAGCCCATGTAATGAGCCTGCCTCTCAGCCTCATTCCCTCTTTCTCAGACTACGAGCGACGGGCTCGAAGCAGCATTCAGTGCTTCTATGGATGCTACGTCTCGATGACCTTGAGCATCTCATGAAACACGTAAGGACAAGGTACTGAATGCCACGGAGCGCGAGCGCGAGGCGAGCTCTCAGAGCACTCTCGCCCAGTGCGCAACACACATTGAACGCCCTCTTTGGAGTCGTAGTGTGCCCTCTTTTGCCTGCCCCTGTTGTTGCACTCGTTCTTCGCGACGACTAGAGCAGCGTTCATGACTTCGCTCTACCATGCTGCGCTAGCTGATGTCCAAGCATCATCGCACCGGTGAACGTAGAGTTAGGCTGAAATGCTTTGCCCTTTCCCGGCAGCGAGCAAGCCGCATCATGATACTGTGGATGGGATGGTTCAATCTGTGCCGCGCAGCAGCTCATCACGGACAGCTGGTCTGAGACGTGGGGTAATACCCAGTACAAGGGCTTCTGGAGCCAGGGTTCCCTTAAAGTGTCGAGCTGATCGCCCAACTATGCGTAGTATGAGCTGGTGGCGGCGGCGACGCTACCGTGTGTACGCGCGTGTTTGTACGTGTGTATGTGTGTGTGTGTTGACATTTTCCGAGGAACGGCAAACAGAAAATCCCATCCATCTTGTCCTGGATCCGAGTCCGAGTCAAGAGACTAACACACACATGATCAGGGGCCTGTCACCACCCCGAGCGCGCGGATTGGTCCAAATGAACAAAAAGCGTCCAGGCAGCAACGAAGAGGCTCAACATCAAGAGTCCTTTGTTATCATCGTTGCTTTCGTGGAGAAAATCCCCAAGCCTCGTCCCGTTCGCAGTATATTTCCAGCCTGACGAACCGCCGGGGCGTTGTTCAGTATTAAGGTTCTGACCGTCGAACGACCACGTAGCCTTCGCTCATAGGTCCTCCCCCTTCTGATCCCAGTTCAGGGCGTCGATAAAACCGTGTGATACAGGGCATAGCTATGAAGGCGGGACGAAATTTCAACGCCCTGAAAGCGCATCCATCGGGGAGATGATAAGAAGAGCCCTTTTTGTGTGTTTTCGTCAGTGAGGCTTCTCTTGCTACACGGATTCTGTAAGTCAGCCCGATCGAAAGAGTGGGCTGTATCTCTCGTACTCACTGTTACGTTTGGATACGAAGACTGCCAAGCAGCTCCCCGATAAATCATGAGGAGAGAAGAGGCCATGAAGAAGGGCGGCGGGCCAGGTTTGTGTGTCAGACAGCCATCCATCCATCCATCCATCCATCCATCCATCCATCCATCCATCCATCCATCCATCCATCCATCCATCCATCCATCCATCCATCCATCCATCCACACCCAATCCATCATGTGAGAGACTCTCCAAAGCACTCGTATCAGCGACCGGTCAATCCAGATGCAGCATGCGCAGCCGCCCAGCCCGACACATGTCCATCTCTCCCTGTCTCTCTCTCCCACAGAGCAAACAGGCAAGTCCATCTCTTTCTTCCATCCCACAGAAAACATCCGGTCAAAGGCGGCTCGACAAAAAAAAACCAATCTACCGAAAAGAATCGTCAGGTCCTCCTGTGTGGGAGGAGCGAGCGGGAGGAACCCCAAGGTCCCTTTAAACATACATGCTGCTATAGCTATGCCCTATAAGTATGCAAACAAGGCCCCAAACCCCCCCCTCCAAAACACGAATCGCAGCACGCCAACACATTCAATCTGCGACTACTAGACAAAAGAACTGGAGCTGGAGCTGGAACCCCATCCGATCCATCCACTTGATTTTTTTCTCTCGCATATAGTTTGCTTTGACGTAGCTTGTTAGCGGCGGTCGAGTGTACATTACTTCGTATGCACGGTGCTGCTTGGGAAGTGATTAGATGCCAATTACTGTATGGCACACTTCGATTGTATGGAGTCATTCTTGCGTGCGGTGCAGTGTACTATTGGCAGGATCATGCTAATAGCTGTCCTTCCCCCCCCCCGCAAAGGAATACGAAGAAGCGGTTCCTATTGGTGAATCAATCGTGTGTTTTGCGATCAGATCGAGCATTGTGGTAGTTATCTATCGATAGAGAATCGTTCGTTCATATAAACGTCACTGCTTTACCAATCATAGGCTGTTATTTACTACCCTTCTAGTCTTTGATTCGTTAGATGGAATATTCCCGTTGAAGGCTTGGTGTTCGACTTGATAATTGCCCCTTCGGAATTCTGTTTGATAGGTCAGATGTAGCTACATGGCTGCCGGTGACGTTGTCTGCATTGACGCTACGTGATTGAAGGTCATGCCAAGGGATCGATCCACGCATGCTATACTATATATACATTAGGAATCTCACGACCCGTAGACTTCGTACTCACTTATACACAGTTAAGCCCAGCTCAGCTTACCAGCACTCATATAACCACGTCACATCACATCACATCACGCACAAGCACGAGACACACAAATTCATAAGCATCCACACAACTCATTATTTCCGTCCCCAAAGTGTGTCATTTCACCTCATCCCACTAGGTCATCCATCCCCAACACCCCGTCGTCGTTTCGCAGTTCACCTCCAGAACTGCCGTTCATACCGCCCCCGCCCCTACCCCCGGCAGCGATGCTCCAGCCCGAAAGTTTTTATATACATAGGGTCTAATTAGAAATGATAAGATGCACACCCAGCAAAATACCGCTCGCGCTAGGATCGAGCGAGTGGCAACGCCGAGAAATAGAAGAGAAAAAAAGAGTCAGACACGCAATATGTTTTGCGTCGACTGTAGAAAGGTGTAAGCTAAGCACCACCACGTCTCAGAAAGAGCAGCCAAAGAGTCTCCGTGAGCAGAATGATGCTTCAATGTATTAAGCAAGGGTTCCTTGTAAGCGCCGTGCCGATGCAATGTAATGCCGTGCATATGAGTAGATTTGGTCATGTATCGAAGGGTGTTTCCGGTGAAAGGTCGAAGATCAGACATTGATATAGTATCGTGCAAGGCGCTTCGAGCGAGAGTGTGTGAAAAGGTAGGTTTGTAGTAGAATGGGCAATGTCCATAAATCCTCATCTCAGAGGCATCTTGATGTCGTCAACACCCCGCTTGAGGACGTCTTCGAGTCTCCAGCGTGGTGGCTTGAACTCAGTCTTCTCGCCTTTCTGGATCCTGTGCTCCTCCTCATTGGTTAGGCCATCAGGAATGGGCTCGGCACCACCAGCGATACCACTGCTGAGCTTGAGCTGGAGAATGTCGCCAATGCTGTCGCAAGCAGACAGGACGCGGTCGAGATCTTCTTTGGTGTGGGCGGCAGATAAGCAGAAGCGGGCACGACTCTCAACAAGAGGCGTGGCCGGGTATCCAACCACTACCACGGAGATCTTGCGAGCAGACATTTCATGCGAGAAGGCTGGGATTTTAGCGGGGTTGTACAGCATGATGGGAACGATTGGCGAATCGTCGTGCCCAAACACAATGTACCCGAGACGCTTGAGACCAAGGCGAAGGTAGCGAGAATTGAAGGCGAGGCGCTGGAGACGTTCTGCGCCTTGGCCAGGCGCCAGATCGCCGCTGATGCAGCGGAGAGCGGCCGATATCTGCATGAGGACTGGAGGAGACGGTGATTCGGCGAAAAGTGTGCCGGCATTCGTGACACGAAGCTTGTCAATGATGTCCTTGTCTGCTGCAATATATCCACCGTTCGCGCCGAAAGACTTGGTAAGAGTGCCCATCAGGATGTCGACTTCCGCAGGGTCAACGCCAAAGTAGTCACACACACCCTTCCCGTTAGGTCCAAGAGCGCCGATCGAGTGAGCCTCGTCAATGAACAGGTGAAACTTGTACTTCTTCTTGAGCTGCAAGACGGCAGGAAGATTGCACATGGTTCCCTCCATAGAATAGAGACCTTCAATGGCGAGGATGATCTTCTTCCACGGGCGGTGGGTTCGTGGTTGACCTTGAGAAATAGCCTCGCGGAGGACCTTCTCCAAGTCCTTCATGTTGTTGTGCTTGAACATCTTGATCATGGCTCCGGAGAGACGAGTTCCGTAGCGAATTGAGGAGTGATTCAGCTCGTCGGAGATGATTAGACTTCCCTTGCCGGCTAGAGCAGAAAATACTGTAGCATTGGTGACGAAACCCATTGAGAAGACTGTAGCAGCTGGCTTGCCAACGAACTTCGCAATCAGGTCCTCAACCTCGATATGCAGGTCAGTAGTACCAGCATCCGCACGGGGACTGCAAACGCTGATACCGTTCTTTCGAGTCGTAATCTCCACAGCATCCGCACAAGGACCTTCCGACTGTGCGAATCCGAGATAATTGTAGGAGCTGAGGTTCAGGGTTTCTGTGGTGGTGCCGGTGAAGTGAAAGGTCATGTTGTGATCATTCGATTTGCGGTCGAGCAGGGTGATGAAGCGGCCTGGAACACCAGTAGTAGGTCTGGCGAAGCAATCCGAGATGCGCTTCTGCAGACGCCTGGTGTAGAAGTTGTCAAAGTCGCTGTTGAGAGGAGCATAGCCATCGTTGGCCCGCAAGTACTTGTATTTCTCCGCCCTGAAACGCTTTCCGAAAAAGTCTCGTACGTGACCGAATATGATAAGGATGAGGTAGGATATATAGGTGGTGATGAGGAAGTACATAGGTGGTTCGTCTTCGATTGGGTCGGGGAAGTCGTTGCCGACGAAGCGACTTGAGTAGAGGTGGTTCTTCGAGCCCAGCGGTCCAAACTGTGCGTGTGCGCGAGCAATGCGTGCAGCCTCAGCCGGCGTAGGCGGCTGGAACAAAGTCGTATCTTCCGTCTTCATGTTTGTGCCGGTAGCAGTTGACAGGCTTATTGAAGGAAGCGACAGAGACGAAGTGCTTATAGCTGAAGGGGAATTGTACGGGTGCTGCGCTCCCTGACCAGCGAGGGCGGCCTTGATAGCGTCTGCTTCTGACAGGGCGGAACGAGACTTTGGCGAGGTGGAGAAGAAGGAGGTGAACTTTGATGGTTTGGAGAAAGAGGTCCTGCGGGTGCCCGCCTTCTCGGTTGTGGGATCTAGAGAAGGTGAAGAGCTCGCGAAGGGGTAGAGAGATCTCGTCGACGGCATGGCAGAAGGACCAGCGGAGGCCAGATCTGTCGAGACCGAAGAGATGTTGGTGAATCCGCCCGGGCAGACGCGTCGACGACGTGAGTGAGAACGTGGCGGTGAAAGGATGCGGGACGGTATAAGCGATGCTTTGGTGTAGAGTCCAGGAGTCGCAGCGGACCGATCAAACACACGAGGATTGACGGGAGTTGACAAGACGCAGACGCACTGAACGCGACGTAAAGAATTAGCACAGCGCTGGCGATAGATGGTGGAATTAATTGATGAGGAGAAGAAGTGGTAGCAAAGAAAAAAGAGAGGTAGAGGAGTAGGAGTGGTGGGAGAGGAGAGAAGGAGTAGGAAGGAAAGAAGAGAATTGGTGGAAGTGGTGAGGTCAAGCGTGAAGCGTCAAGCGTCAAGCGTCAAGCGGGTGCGGCAAGCGGCGGATCCACCATGCAGAAACGAAGCCAACGCCCAACCAACAGTGACGCGCAGTGAGTGTGCTCTCAGCAGCAATGAGCATCCATTTACACGCTGGTAGAAGACTAGAAGTGGTGGAGAGTGCAAACAGGTCTTTAATTGAAAGCCAGACGAAAGGAATCATCAAGAAATACATACCTCTACGGCGATAGACTGTCCTTGCTCGGAATGCGCAGTCGGACGCAGCAATCACTGCTTCTCGCCAAAAGAGCACACGAGCAGGCAGAGAACGCAACGAGTAATTAGAGAGAACGAGAGCGAAGAACCTGGGCCATTATTACCAACAGAGAGAAGAAAACGATCGGGTATCGAATTCCAGTAACCCTCCCTCCATCAGCCGGGGGGGCGAGTACTTCATTTCAATCGTATCCCCAGGGGGGGCTTGGCACCAAATCTCTGGTGTGTCTCAGTCTCAGGAGGGACTGACTGGAGTCATTACTGCATCACTCGAGCAACTGGTAGTTAGTAGTAGTAGTAGTATTGTCATTATTACCATCATCTTATCTCTAATTACTACCATACTATACTATAACTATGCCATGAACCCATTCGTTCCTCTACGCTCGGAGAAGACAGGACATTTTCCTCCATGCCTGATCGGGTAGTGATTATACTCCTCTCTTAACGAGCAAAAAAGTTATAAATGACCAAGTGACTTTTTTGGCAATGCTAGCCCGAGCAATGCGATTGGCTGTTGGGTTTCAAGCTGGTGGTGGATAGTCAATGCTGTGTCAGCATTCATCGCAATCCGACGGATACGAGGCCGGACTGGGCGTCGACAATCATGAGATCATGAATGAATGAACGAGCTGCTGGAAGAGACATCTAACTATCTAACTAGCAAGCATCACAATTCGCATCCAAGCCTCGAACTAAACAGTCATTCAGTCGTCAGTCAGTCGGTCAGTCAGTCAGCAGTCAGTATATAAATCATACCACGCGCAATCAAACCAGCCACCATCACCCTCCCAAAGCTTAACGACACAAACGCAAGGATGCCCTCAATAACACAACAGCCTACCGCTACTTTAACTACTGTGCTACAGTCGTCCCCTAAGCAGACCGTTCACCTGTCGATCAGGGGCAGCCCACCTACATCGCCACCCAATCCCCCCTCTCGCCTAGCAAGCATCACAACCAATCCCACCACAGCAACGGCATTCAAGGGAGAGGAGAGATCGCTCGATGCGAGATGCAGTGTCCGCCGTTCCTGGTAAGGTTCAGCGCTGGTGTTGCAGGCTGCACTAGGCTGGATGGTGAAGACTCGATGCGAGATAGATGGGATTAGTCAGGTCAGGTAGGCGGGCGGCTCGTTCTCGGAGTCTGGGATTGTTCTGCTTCCGATGGGTGAGGGAGTCTTAGTAAGCAGCTGGGGTAAGTAAATTACTACAGGGCCCTCTTTGACTGTCTTGGGAAAATGGAGAGAGAGAGAGAGAGAGGTAAGTAGATGCACGGAATCCCATCGTCCGTCGTCCGTTCCATGGAACTCTCAATAGTATAATAGTAGTAGTATCTAGAATAAACAAGGTATTGCATGGCATGGCATGGCATGCATGTATGCTTGTATGCTTGTAGGTATCCCATCCATCCATCCACTAATTACTACAGTACTAACACCAAGCAACACCGTCCACCTGCCCACTCTCTCCCTCTCTCTCTCCAACACACCCACCCTCCGAAATCTCTCCCAAACAGCACCAATCTCCCTCTCTCGCCCTCTCTCCCATAACCCAGTCCCACACTACACTAAAAACCCAGCACAAAAGCCACACTCACTTACTCACTCACTCCTTGCTTGCAGTCTTGTACTCTTGCAGTCTTGCAGTCTCGCAGTCTTGCAGTCTCGCACCTCGGTCCATCCCCACAGTCCCCCCAAATCCTCCTCCTAATAAAAAAACAACCCATTCCACCACCCTGATTGGTCAGACCCAGCCACCTTCATTCCCCCAGCCCAGCAAGCATCCAATCTCTCTACATAATCTCTCTTCCCAATCTCAAATCTCCACTCAAATCCCAAATCCAATTATGTGTTGCAATAACAAGGACAGGACAAGCGACCGACCCCGTCAAAGAAATTGCCTAATCTAATCTCTCTGATTCTGCTAGTTTTATCAATGAATCAATCAAGAAGTGGCTTGGTTGGGTCGGTCCAATGTTGATCTATCAATCTATCAATCTATCAAATCTGCTAATCTCTCTTCTTTTTAATGCTTGCTTGTTTTGGGGGGACTTGATTTCTGTTTTATTGTTTATAATTACTTCATTTAATATATATATACATACATATCCACTCTTCCTCTCCCGCCTGTTTTACGAACCTTTTCTGCACGCCAGCTTCCAAGCCGCTCATCTATCTCACACACACAATCATCTGGACATCACACGAAATACCAATCAATTCACGACATCACTCGACACACACGCAATACATACACTCCAGAGTCAATCAATGGTAGTAGTCAAAATGCAGCTTTTTTGCTAACTAACCAACAAGATGCATGCACACAGCAAGCCGCATCTCAAGCCTATCTGACACGGAGACAAAACCATCGCTTCACGTCGCTATATATCTGCGAGCATCTCCATGAGAAAAAAAAAGAAATTCCGCTCTCCAGAATCAACAACACAAAAGGGAATATGTGGGAACGGAAGCGATGCGCGCTCTGCGCGCATGCATCCCAGATACCAAAAAAAACAAATAAAGAAACACACCCGTGCCAACAAAGATCATCAGCTGAACATCCGCCGTCTGTCACGCAACTGATTGACATACAGTAGCAGCCCCGCACAGCGGCCTAGACTTCCCATTCTCACAGTTGCGCTTTCGAGGTTCGGAATGAACTCTTCTGATACAGCGATCAATGGGACTAGGGTCCAAAAGTTAAAAGGAAATCTCGGAATCAATCGCAAATCGCGTGACAACAGCTCGAAGCAACTAGTGGAAATGCTGAAAAGGATTCAAAAGGCCAGAGACGATACTTTCTCTCTGATTGCCCGTCTGCGGCCGTATTATAAAAAGGTCAAAACGCCATGCCCACCCATTCGTTCAGTCTGCGTCAAAGGTTTGTGAGGAGGTTGAGGTGTCGGACCGTATTAAGTTCCGCAACTGAATTTCCAAGGTATAACGTGAATTAACAGTAGGAAAGCGCTGGATTTATGCCGGAAAATGCTGGTAAAACCAAAAGGAAATGTTTCGAGTCTTCGGCTTCAGTAGTCTTTGCGCAAGTTCGGAATCATCTTCTTTGGACTCGTGATTTGCAGACCCATCAGTCAAAAGACTCGTTTCGTTAGAGAGAGAGGTGGGTGGCCATTTGCCCTCCTATTGCATAGTGTGGTCTGGTGAAAGACTCGCAGGATCTATAGTATCGAATGACACCAGACTATTCATCTCGAATTGATCCATGTGCTCTTCCATCGGAGTGTGCACGTATGGCGTATGCGGCATGCTGAGCGACTGCTTTGCATACATATCACTCAACTGCAGTGCCTCGTCATGGAGACCGGAATCTTGTGACATGCTGAACATGTCTGCAGAGTCGCTCCGTCCCATTGACGCCAACGGTGGGGACTGATTGGCAATCACAGGGTCGCGTTGCTGCATAGGCATGGGTGACACTGAATGAAGCATGTGGCCATTTTCTGGCATCGATGTCATAAAAGGAATGTTGTACTGCATATTGAAGTTTGCAGCTGGCATGCCGTCGTTCTGATGACCAGTAGAGAAGAATGCGGGTGTGCCAAACTCTGAGGGTGAATTTGCTGTCGTAGCCGACATGGGGTACTGTCGGAAGTCCATGCCGTATCCAGCCGAAGTGTCGATGCTCAGATGTGAACCGATAGGAGCCTGCATCACTTGCCCGTGCCCATGTTGAGGGACCGGAGCAAAGATCTCAGGGTTAGGAATGTAGGGAGTAGGTTCGGGCGATACAAGGAATGATGGCATAGGATGGTGTCGAAGAGCAGCAAAGTCAATCGCGATAGGCACTGAACGACTGCGCTGGCGTTTATGGCCACGGGGTGGACCAAGAGAAGGACCGAAAGAGTTGTCAGGAAACACCGGCATCTGACCATGACCGTGACCATGATGAGGATGCACAATGTGATTTGGTTGGGAAGCAGGCCGATGGTTGATAGGTGAGACTGGGGCTGAAACAGCAAAGGAGGTTGGGTCGAAGGTGTTGTGTCTGTTCTGGAAGGACTCGAGCGACACGAGCTTTGCAAGCTGGCCGCTGAGGACCTTTGGATGACCACCGAGCTGGTGAACAAGTACCTGGGAGGCCTGCTGTTCTTCGGTAAAGTCACCACACTGATAGAAACCACCCGACCCTGAGGAGTCCATGAAGAAGTTTGGTGGGCGGTTCAACTCGACGACGAGACCTCCAGGACGCTGTGATGCTCCTTCGGCGTTGCTGGCCGCATCTCCATTCTCGAGTGTGATATTCTTAATGTAAGAAAAGGGATACTCGATTTTGTAGCCCGCAGAATCGTTGTTGATGTAGTAGGTGACACAACACTTTTCTGGAGAGTAGAAGATGACCAAGTCCATGGCACTCTGGCCAACACGACGCCATGACCCGATGCTGAGTGATCGGCAGGCGAAATGATGTATGACAACTTTGGCTGAGCTTGAATCGCTGTTAAGAAGCATTCCGCTACCGTAAGCAGCAACTCCACCAGTCCTGCCCATGAAGTCACGACCAAGGCTTTTGCCAGATTCCATCGCTTGGAGAGCTAGATAACGACGCATCGAGTCTGGGATGTCGTTGCAGTCTTCACCGCTCTCGATGCTCTTCTTGGCAATGTTCTTTATCTTGGCCCGTCTGTTCTGGAACCAGATTTGCACTGAACGCTCCGTCATGTTGATGTCGTCAGCGATTCTCTCACGCACAACAGCAGTCGGAGTTGGGTTCTTGTTGAATTCCATCTCCAAGGTCATCAATTGATCTTGAGTAGCCCTTTGCCTCTTCTGGTTCTTCTGTTGTTGGGTAAGGGTGCTCTTTCGTGGTGGTCGACGGGCTGCGGAGGCAGCAGATAAGGGTGCGCCCATGGATCCGTTTGTGGTAACACTGCCAGAGGCAGAGGGAGAAGGAGTGTTTGACATCCTGAGTTCTTCAGGCGCCTGCATCGTATAGTGGTATTGTGGGGAGTTGAATGAAGCCAGAGCCAATGATGTGATCGCACTGTGGTGATGGTGAGACCAATATTATGTCACTCAAGACTGTCGTGATTCTCGATACCAGAAGTTCCTGCGTCTGTTCGTCCCTGATTATTCTTGCGAGGCTGGCAAGAAAGGGTGAAATGTGTATGGTGCGATGTCGTGAGCGAGCTGAGAAACACGACCAGGGCGATAGTAGTCCGGTATGAAAGATGGCAATGGTAGATATATAGATATGACGCTCGAGTAGCGATGTTCTGAACCCAGTAAAGAGGTGGGCCGGTGGACGAGATAGATCACAGTAAAAAGGGCTTCTTGAATGAAGGGACAGCTGAAGAGCCAAAAAATGAAGGTGGTCGAAAAGTCGTTGAAAGAATGAAACGACTAGTTTCGGGAGAAGAAGAAAGAGTAAAAGACGAAGAGAGTGTGAGGACTGTCGAGACTTCCGATGATAGGAAGAACAGGAACAGATATCCGGGGATGAGATTGTTGTTTAGTGAAGTAGTAGTTGGAGAAGAGAGACTCGACACAGAGAGAGGAGAAGCCGAAGAAAGGGAAAAAGGGCCGGTGCTCTCCTGAGCTGCCGCCGCCTGAGTAGAACGGCCGAGTGTGGGCAGAAACGCGCGACGGGCAACGCTTAGCAGGTGGACTTTTGGGGGAGTGGACTGGACCGACTGGACTGACTGGACTGACTGGAACACCCGGCGTGCCCCCTCCCCCCAAGAAAGGGTCTGTGCCGTTTTCCTCCTCACTCTGCAGCCATGCAGCACACACCAAAAGCACCAAAGCAGTCAGGCATAATGCACCCCAAAATCCATCATCCCCACCACCGCACACGCGCGCGACGACTGACGACGAACTCCCTTTCTGCCTCTGCCTGCTTATGTCGTCTCCACTCTAAATTCAATTCGCCGTTGCAGCCAAGCTGGTTCGGTGAGTCAAACGATCGCTCTGGTTGTGCAGTTGTGAATTAACACGTCCATTTTCAGTGCCCTGCCACACCACCACCATCCTTTCCAAAAAACCAACCTAGCCGTTCCTTTCTTAAGACCTTGCACAACTGATGAGTGAGTGACAAGAGAGGGCATCCTTCTGCACGACGCCCGATCCAGCCTATCCTCTCTGACCGGGTGGTAGTCGCGGTAAGTTGGCGCCGGCCTAAGCCAACCCAAGGGATGACGAGCATTCACCACACACACACATACTCACTCTCTACCGTGCTATGACTGTCGGTGAAAAAGGTTCAAGGCGAAAATGCTCCATAGAGCTGTGACGTGGCTACCTACATTCAACACAGAGAAGAGATACGACCCCTGCGTCTGTATGTTAAAGCGACGAAAGAAAAAGTTCCTGGAGATGAAGTGTGATGGACACGGCCCTCCCTTACAGAGAGAGAGCCCCCTCGCCCTCTCTCCTGGCACCATGCCGCCTCAAGGCAGGGAATCAAGGAACGTGGGCGCTTCGGCTGCTGACAGAACCCCTGCCCACGAGCGACTGTCGGGAATTCAATGCTGGTCTAGTGGAGCTGCGGCACCCAGGGCCAACCGTGTTTGCAGGAGGCCCAAAATCGAAGGAAAAAGCTTCCGAGAAGCAGGAGACGATGGTAACAGGCCAGTCAGCACAGCACAGCACAGCAGCAGCTCAGGGGCTGACCAAACAGCGTCCTGTGCCTTGCAGGCTTGTTGGCTGTCAACACACACACACACGCAGACACAGACGCGCCTTGCCTGAAATACGAAGACGGCCAAAGCCAACACCAACTGCTGCAGCAAGTGCGCGCTTCTAATTGGCTGCTGCCATCCTTGCGCCTTTACACCTTACACCTTTTCCACCTTAACCCTCCTCTGAACTCCACTCCCTTGCCTGTGTCTACTAAATATCTCTACTGTCCGAGTCCTCTTCCTTAACACCACCTCCATGTCAGCATCCATCGTCTACAAACCACCAACAAGCCAACAGCGTCAATCCTTCATGTCGTCTGCCTTGCAGTACAGACATTTAATCTACTTGCTCGCTAACGTTTGATAATACTCCCGTACTCATCATCACTCTCATCATGACCATCATCATTAGACATACAAATTTCCTGTCCGTCACTCGTCTCCTGCGTTCGTAGGTTATTATCATTATTTACCCGGCACTCTGAGATCGAAATACGTATACGTCAGTGACCGTGCTGACTTTCTGATACACGCACACCCGCACACGCACACATTCTCTCCAGTCGTCAGTCTCACAATACGCACACGCACAGAGACACACACTCATGCAATTCCTTCACTTTCCACATCACCGTCTCTTGCCATGACCTGATAACATAACTCGATAACAACTCGCTCCAAGGCCTGCTTTATCGCGTTCTTGCCATGCATTTCTTCTGATGCTGAATCTACTACACGTTTCAGATCTCGGACGATGGACTGCTAGTTTAAGATCTTGTTCTATTTCTCCTTCATCGCCGAACGCACCGCACCTCTCGAGATCTCGATATAGTTTTGACTTTTGCTTTCCTTGTTGGGCACAGACCGCCCGTCTCGCCATCCATCCCTGGCTCCTCCAAAGTATCATGGGAGAGCCATTCCGCTTTCGGCTCTTCTAACGCAACGTGACTCAGTTATCTGCCGTGACGGCCCATAGCCCATCCCAAGAAAATTCTCCCCCGCGCGCACTCTGATTCGGAGGGAGTGGTGCAACGTCAAGGAGTTCTCGACGCACCAAACGTCTCCTGGTGCGCCAAGAAGGAAGGTTATCGTAAAGCCACTGTTTTCGATGGCCGATGGCTGCTGCTGGCTAGTCATTTAATTAGAAACTTTGGTTCGCCGCTCCGCACAAGCGTTAGTAATGGTGCCTTTCTGGAAGTTCTAGCTCGAATACTGGAACTCCACGCCAATCGCTCCGACAATGCGCTCCCTTCGCTTGAGATCAATAAGCCCACCCAGCGTGAACAGCATTTCTTTGAAGCGGCCCTCCCAGAGCAGGCCAATACGCCAGTCCTGGTCAACTCGCGCTTTCAGCACCCCGGAGACGTCATCGGTTGGCGAAGCACTGCCATCTATCCACTCTGGTCTGATCTTGTTCTTTGCCCATGCTATATCTGCATCGTTCGGTACTTGCCGTCTCCAGAGCTCGCAACCCAGCTGGAAATCGCTCTCGTACGAATAGAAATTAAAGTTGAAACGTGAGCAGAGCGCCAAGTTCCTGCCTGCCTTGACGGCATATGTGGAGGACAAGTTCCCCATGAGCGGATTCAGCGTTAGAGTCATCGTGTACGGGAACCCAGCGTGCTGAGGCAGAGTCGTGAACCTGAGCCCCAAACTTGCGCCCCCACTCTTGTTCAGGATGCCGTAGTAGAGCTCCGCGCCTGCGCTGAAACGCCCATGGACGGGCTCCCTCATATCATCCGACTCTTGATCCTGCGCAGCTATCCGGGGATCTGGGCCGAAGTTGTATAGTCCCCGTATGCCGCAGAGCCCACTATCAGTGCTATACAGATACTCCGTGCAATACTTCCCGTGGTCGTTCTGCACCAGCCCTAGCACCGTCCCCCCATTGTTCAGTGCGGAATCGCTGACGCAGGACAGCCGGAGCTGGCGCGTAGGGGAGATGCGCCGCAGGTAGAGGGCTTCGAGGGTGCCTCGAGGCAGGAACATACGGCCGTACATCAGCGTGTCTGTTTGCGCAAAAGTCTCAGCATGGACTGTTGGTCTGTCTAGAGGTTGTTGCGATGGAGTGCCCTACTCTTGCGATCGGTCCGTCGCCCGCCCTGCCACCGCTCCCACCACCACGACTGGTCCGGCGTCCGCAGGTCTTGCAGGTGTCTGTAGCCCTGTATGACTTCTTCGAGCTGGATCTCGGTGCTCTTCGAGCTTTTGGAGAGGGGTAGGGAAGAGTATAGATAGCTGATGCTGCCGTCGACTAGTCCGACTGTGCCGACGGCATAGCTTGTGCCCATCTGCGGCGACGCGAGCGACGAGACATTGAGGCGGAGACCGCGCGGTGTGTCAAAATCCAGCAGATCTGGAGAGGAGTGCGATGTTAGTACCTTTGGAAGAGCTGGAGCGGAGCAGCTGGGGACGAGAATATGTACTTTGCGCTGTGGCTGTCAAGCTGCCGTAGCTGTTGTCGATGTTCCAGTGTGTTGCGTCGTAGAAGGCCCGCTGGATGTAGTCCATGAAGCCCAGCATGGCTTGATAGATGGAGGGCACTGCGGAAGCGCAGAAGCTTGACTCTAGAGGTTAGCTATATTGTAGATGTCTCTGTCTCGTCGAGCGATGGATGGGATCGCCGAGGTGTGGCTCAACTACTACGGAGCCGAGATTTGCGCTGCGGAACCTCCCCGCATGTCGGCAAAAAATAATGTGGGTAAGTCGGCGGTGAACTTTTCAGAGAAATACACTTTTTGCATTCGAGCAGTCGAGCGCCATCTACGAAGCAGCACGAACGACCAGAGACTGCGCCGACTACACCTCTCAAGAATAGACATCGAACACCGTCGTCCGTGGTACTCTCGACATGCCTAAATCAAAGCGCGCAAAGGTCGTCCACCTCTCCAAGACGGAGAAGAAGGGCAAGGAATTGAACCTCCAACTCGCGGAGAAGATCAAGGAGGCTGCAGACCAGTACAAGTACATCTTCGTCTTCTCGGTGAACCACATGCGAAACACCTATCTCAAGGATGTGCGCGCGGAATTCTCTGACAGCCGGTGAGTTTTACATGTATTTGCCCAAAATGATCACACACGCAAACTGCCCCAATTCATTCATTCACCCACAAACAACCCTCCTAACCCATCCCCCCCAACCCAGCATCTTCTTCGGCAAAACAAAAGTAATGGCCATCGCCCTCGGCCTCACCCCCGAAACCGAACACCTGCCCAACCTGCGCCACCTGACAAAACACATCACCGGCGACAAGGGCCTCCTCCTCACCTCGCGCCCACCCGCCGCCGTCCTCGCCCACTTCGCCGCCTACGCCGAAACCGACTACGCCCGCGCCGGCGTGCGCGCAACCCACACCTTCACCGTTCCCGCCGGCACCGTCTGCTCGCGCGGCGGCGAGCTCGCGCCCGAAGACGACGTGCCGCTGCCGCACAGCCTCGAGCCCATGCTGCGCAAGTGGGGCATGCCGACGCGGCTGGTCAAGGGGAGGGTTACGCTGAATGAGCCGTATACGGTGTGTGTGCGCGGCAAGGTGCTGAATAGCTATCAGACGGCGCTGTTGAAGACTTTTGGGGTTGCGATGGCGGAGTTTCGCGTGCGGGTTCGGGCGTAAGTACACTCTTTTTTTTTCCGGCGTTTACTGTTTGCTGTGCTGGTTGGTTCGTTGGGCTGATTTTCGTTTTGATTTGCAGGTATTATAGTACCGAGACGCAGGAGGTGACTGAGGTGGAGTCGGCTGGTGAGGGTGAGGGTGATGACGGTGACGACAACGACGACGAGATGCAAGGCGTAGACGACGACGAGGAAGTCGACGAGTTTGACGTCCCGGGTGTGGCGAAAGTGGTGACGTTGGACGATTTGGAGGAGAAGAAGGAGAAGAAGCAAAAGACGAAGACGAAGAAGGCTCAGTACAAGGACATCTGAGGGCTACGGATCATCTGCCTATCTATGCATAAAGGGGGGGAAGGGAGGAGTTTATGGCGCAATTTGAGACCTGTTCTGTGTACCGGAAGCATCTGTTTGTCTGTCTGTCTGCTTCTCGCGAAGCTTGGAGCTGGCATGGTAGCGACACTTTGGATGTGCAGTACCAAAAAGCATCAATTGCATTGATTGAGCGTTCAATTTGCACGTCTCCGCCGTCAGGTTACGTGACCAGCGTTCGACAACCCTAGTAACTACATACACTCCACGAATCACTACCCGATATATACATGCAACACCGCCCATCCTCCAAACCCTTCTCCAACCACTTCCACCCCCCCTCCAAACAACCTAATCAAACGACACAACCCACCCCCTCATCACCGTCCCCCCAGCCACCTTCCCAACAACATACCCCACATACGCCCCCGTCACAAGCGTCACAGGATAAGCCTGCCAGTCGCGATCCCAATCCAACGGCACAGGCACACACCCCAGCCACGCGCCCAGCAACGCGCCCAGCGCCCCGCCCACAACCTCATCCACAGGCCTCATAAGCCCCAGCACCCCGCGCCACGTACGCGCGCTCACACCGTGCGTGTAGAGCACGGGAAAGGCGGATAGCAGCGCGAGATGCAGGCTGAGGAGGAGCGTGTGTGGGAAGTGCGTGGTTAGGGGGGCGCCGAGGAGGATTGCGAGGGCGGTGAGCGGGGGGAGGGCGAGCGGGGGGGTGAGGAGGAGGGAGAGGGTTGCGGGCTGTGTTTGGGTTTGTTAGCATGTATGTATACATATGCATAGACCGACGTAGCAAGGTGGTTTAAAGGAGACCACGTACCCAGATCCGCGCGCCGAGGCTTCCTTTCCGCGTCGCGGTGCGCGCAGGCTTCTTCGTCCATTTCCCACCACTGCCATTACTAGCGCTCGATGCCCCCTCTGCGTTCTTCGTCGCGCTGCCCTCGCTCGTCGGCGGGAGGCATGTCACTGCGTATACGCTCTGCAGCACGGCCGTGACGACGGCGAGTTGGCTTAGGCTGGACACTGGGTCGGCGACGGTGGCGCTGAAGCGGGCGGTGTAGATGCTGAGGAGGAGGATTGGGTGGATGTGAGTGTATGTTTGCGCGAGAGGGGTGTTGAGGAGGGTGATTGGGGTGTTGGTGGGTTGGGGGGAGTCTTGAGGGAGGGCGGGTTTGGTGGTTGTGGTTGTTGATGATGTGCTCATCTTTGGGCGTGAGAGGTACTGAAAGAGTGTATTGACGAGCTGTGGAGTGAGTGTATGGGATTGAGGTTGTGGTGTGCGATTGAAGATGGATGGATTTTGGATGGTCTGTGCTTAAGCTCCGCGAGATGTTTCATCTATACTACAACTTGGATACAGGTAATTGATGTATTCGGATTGATCTCGATATGTCTATGTCATGATCGAAATCGCTTGGCTGGTTCAGCAATATCAACTCAGGATATCTGCCAGGCCTCTTTCCATCCGCGACAATATCACAATTCAAAGCCTCTGTTGCCCCACCGTTCTATAAGCCTTTTGCTTCAAATATTCGTGAAATTGTAAATGGTACTTCACGGCTCATTCGGTACCAGATTTCTCAATGAGAGGTCATACACGACGTCTTCAACTTCCTTGACCTAGACAGATGTAATTGTCAGTGCTGATCTAACGAACCGTCCGCAAAACCCTACCCTGTATTTAATGCCGTCACTCCTGCGACGTAGACTATCATTCTTCAAGTTCAGAATCTGGAAGCCGGCATGCACATCTTTGATGAACTGGCTTATCTTCAACGGAAGCAGGTTATCACCAAGCGTGACTGAGTTTCGTGCAAGTCGTGCCTGTGCTACGGTTAGTGATACTTGGGAGACACTGTCTAGAAGGCTGGAGAGACATACTAGTTCGTCGATGAGTGAGATCAAAGCTTGCAGGTACTCCTCGATCGTAATATGGAACGCATCGCGGTCCTCGAGATTGACAGGCACTACTATGAGTTAATATCCTCCTTTCCGAGACACATTCAACACCCGTCTGACCTTTCATGGCCGCACCAACTTGCTCGATAGTAAGAAGCCGGCCCTGCTTCCCCTCTCCATCGACGCCGTCAAACCCGCCTAGCCACCCGCAGAAGAGGATCCCAAAGATCGTATCCTGCACGTGTCTTGACCAGATATTGTTCCACTTGTAGTAGGGATGCTTCGAAGCTGACTCGGCAAGTCTGCTAATTGTATCAATCTCATTGCGAATCGAAGCTTCGGCGGAAGAGGTGACGCTCAAGACTTCTACGCGTTAGCTATGTGATGTTTTGCCGGGCCGATATAAAGCACTCGTGACATACTCTCTGAGGGGATTGTCGAGTGGGCTCGAGAAAGGATGGCATGAGTGGATTTGCCTTGCTTCTCCAAGGTCGAGACCGTTTCTTTCAGGTCCTGTTGTTTGGAATGCGTCAGGCCAAAGCTCGAAAGGCTTTGGTGGGGTAGTTAGAATAAAGCTCACCTTTTGAATTTGAGAATCTTGGTCCACGCGGGTCTGCAAGTCCTCGAAGATCTTGGGGTTGACCATCCGTGAAGCCATATTGTAGATCTTGGTTGGTGAGGAAAGGAGACGAGCCTGCTTTGATATATTTGAGTCCAAGAACACTGCGGGCGTTTCACTTGACAGTACGGCAAGCAGATTCCACTTGGTTGCAGGAAGGAGAGATGAGAATAAGAACAGATGTCGAGTGATGTATTAAGCAAAATTTGGACATTGGGTCTTGTATGACTATACGTGAAGCACTTCGCCAATACGTTCAAAGACGTGGTATATCACGGCCATACAACTGTAGTTCGACAATCTATATAACGCCGATGACAATAGACCTCAGTAAGCACTCTTCTCAGTCCAACTTCATACTTCAACCACTTCACACCAGTGCATCATGAATGCTTCACAACTGCCCAGAGCCGCCTTCCTTCCATGAAGCTCAACACTGAGGCCGATCAACGGTGAAAAAAGGGTTGCGTCGGCTTGCGGTAGTGCAATGGTACAAGCGACACGGTGCCGAGAGACATGAGCAAGCCCAGAGGTCCCTCAGCTGGGTCCAAAAATGGTTTAAATCGAGTAAACGTCACCGTAGTGACATTTCAGCGATTAAACTGAAAAGAACAGATACTACACTTGATCTAAGCCTGTAGAAGTGTGTTAGCCAACAGCGGATATAGAGGAGATGGGTTGTGGATAGCAACCAAGGGGAGTGGCTTACCAAAAGGCAAAGAGAGCTGAAGAACAGAAAAAAGTGGTGGAGGTCGCCAGCTTTTATATGTTTTCGTGGATCTCGCTTACGGGCACGGATCAACATGACTAGCGCAGAACGTGACCTGATGGAAGTGACGCTAGCCCTAATACAGAACTCGTCTGGCTCGCTCACCAAGAGACTGAGTCACAGCATTTCACCCAGTTTGACAATATAACGGATCGCATGTTTGTCACGGATCGACCGACGTGGCACAAGTGTAAACGGAACGGTGTTGCCCTTCCAAGCGTCGTCTGCCACCAACATACAAGTCTTCAATCTACAGTCTCGACTCTCGAGGATGCATTGATAGAAACAAACAACTATGATATACTCAGGTCCTGCCCGCAAGAGAATGTGTCCGAGATAGTAATCTGCACTCAAAGGATCTTTTAGAACTCAGAGTAACCTTTAAGAGGCTAGGGGTACTACTGGGTATATTCGATAGCATGTCTCAAGCGGTACTCGGACGTAAAGGAGTGCTAGGCGTATCGCGTATCTCACGGATTTCGAGCTACCGTTGGATCGGACTTTGTCGAAGTCTTCAGGCGAACGGGCATAGTATGAGTCTATAAGCCGTCGTATTAAGTTATCATCTTATGCCATCCTAACCATTGGCCCCTCCAATGCATGTATATCAGTATCAGTAAGCTCCGAGCAAACACGTCATGGACTATCCAGAGACTGCAGTCATTAAAAACTCACCTTCCCTGCAGTCTAGCACCGCGCCCAGCACTATGCTACGCTCGAAAACTCATTGACGTCCGAAGGCTACGAGCCTTACCTAGTCGACTACACTTTGCTTCCATAAAGATACTGAAAGACAAGAGGCGATGATATGCAGGCAACTCTGCAGGACCATGGGAAAACATTGAGGGTTATGCAGTTGGGAACAGGGCACTACACTCATTTGACTACTACGCAAGACCTTTGGACATTGTCAACAATGTGGTTCGAATTTGAGAGCAGGTAATAATCTAAGATTCTCTGAGGGCCAGATGATCTATAATAGACTGAGAACAAGTGGAAGGACAGGGAACCGTTGATTTCTGCATCTATGGATTACACTCTCGTCTTGATTCAAATACAGAGATCTTGTACTATGAATTAATTGCAACTTTGACGTCTTTGATTGTTGATTTTCCTGTCTTGGTATGAATGTGATTAGAATCCGAGCTCTCACTTGTTCAATGAATTACATAGACACCAATCACTAGTCAACCACTCATGCTTTTTCAAGTTCCTGTTAGTAGCATCATTTACATCGTAGATTAGCCGCGATGTAGTCTGGAAGGACTTGTATGTGCCCTCTTTTGACGTTACGGATGACCCAAGGAGAAGCTTACCATACTACATTGCCCTAATACGCTATATCAATCGTAAGAGCTGATCACCAGAGTGCTCTTCAAGTCGCCCGATGTTCAGCACAACTTGATCAGGAGTATGCTTATTCTCGCAGCCATATACAAGATGCTCTTCAATACGTCATATGTCCATGACAGCAGGCGCTCCTAGCACAAACTGTCGACAGAAAACCACTCACAGATTCCTATCTAGGAATTTGAAGATTGTATCTTAGTGTTTCCGATGTCCGTAGCATGTATCTGGGTTTCTCTGGTTTAAATTAACTGATTTACACCTCTTGGTAACATTCTATACATAAAACGATTGATAAGATATGTTCAGCCAAGGAGTTTGTGAGTGACGATGTTTATAAAACAGTACTAAGGAGAAAGGAGGAGATTGGATAAATGTCTGTTACTGTTGGATTGACTGGTCGTATCTAATGAATCTTGCAATATAATACTCAGTATCGAGAAGTCCACCACGGAACAAGATGAGGTGAACAATTGTTAAAAACTCATCGACTATAGAATATTCAGAGCAGACCATGTATGTACTGTCGTCTCGCGTTTGGAGACTACGATGCAAGCGTTCATTATTGATAAGTAGGCAGCGGGCATTTGCCCATTTCGGAATAAGTCAGTCAAGATGAATATCCAGAAGCTAGGCCATACCATCGACAAACAAAGTCGCCACTCGCAAGTATGATTTTCGATAACAGACACTCAAAGCCCTAGATGTTTTCGCGGCATCTCCGTGAATCGGTATTCATCTTTAGTCTGTACTGTATCCCGATCGGAGGGGCCAGTCCCCGCCGCCCCACGTGGTCGTCCCGCTTTTGGCGGCACGGCGGCCAACCTGGCTGAGGCAGCAAAATGATAGGCTGAAGAAGCCGTTGACAAGAGGCGAGGCGGGGCCCAGTGCAAGGGTCTGGCCAGATACCTAGATCTGGCCCCGAGCTTGCGAACAGGCTTATTAGGTGGGCTGCAGATGGATATGTAATATCAGAGGAGCTTGCTCCGGCTTCCGCGGGTTAATATCTACAGTCGTTGTTTCCTCGGAACCCATACCATTCCATTCTCCATCCACCTTTACACTTTGCAATCCGCGCCAGGTCGCATTCATCCACGATAATATCGAGCGACCGTTTCGAAACCATGACCGGATCTATTCACGCTGCAGGTCAGCACTCGGGGCTCGACAAGCACAACACACACCCCTCTTCAGAGGATGACGGCGGTCTGGAGACACGAATGGCTGTGTGGAAAGAGGAGCTGCGATTCGACAATCTGGTCTCCGTCCACGAACTATCATACAAGCGAGCGGGCCATCTCCTCACTACAAAGACTGAAGAATGTCCTTCGCACGATTGGATAGTCACCATCGATCCAGAGACAAAGGACGTGCATATCCGCATTGCGAAGGACGAAGAGGCTATGGTTGAGTATTTCGACAACAAGCTCAACCAGGTCTCTACGACCAACTTCATCCGCACATCGATCGAGAAGTCAGCCCAGAGGGTCTCGTGCACGTGGAAACTCAACTCCGGTCGGCCAACTGGAGAAACCGAGGTCGCACTCTTAGTCCTGTACTTGTTCGCAACGAGGCAATGCAAATCCATCGAAGTTAGCAATTTCGGCACGGCATCGGAGCCAAAATACGATATCAGTAAGGCGAGGTGCACTGGAGGAGAGCTTAGTCAGACGGAGAAATCGTTCTTCGACAAGATCAACAAGTCAGAGGGCGCTATTTGCTTTGAGTCTACCTCGCTGGAATCGTACAAGTTGTACTCTGTCTCTAATTGAGCTTGTCTGGTCGTCTATCATGCCTTCATCATCCTATCTTCTTTTCATGGCCCCTTCACCTTAGGCATGCAGGGCTAGGTATATGCTACCGCTGTCTTTATAGCAGCCGTTATAACCCCAAAATTGCTTGATCATTGGTGATAGCTTTGGGACCCCCGTATATGCTAATGTCCGTGATTCGACGGGCTGACCGGAGTGACGTGAAGGCTCTGCGGCGGTGTGGCTAATGCTGAAAGGATGCCAGACGGGGTAAATCTGACGACAGATGGTCAACACTTGAAAGTAGCAGTTGATCAGAGTATCTCGTCTTCTTCTGTAGGAGCTATGGACACGGAAGGCGTGATTGAAGATGGCAACGGCTGTCTCTTAGCAGTGGAGTCTGCTGTCTTTACATTACTGGCCTCTCGCATCGTCTCATCGTCGTCCATGTCTTCCCAGTCCTCGCCATTATTGCCTTCATCTCTCAGAGCGTCAAACTTGTTTACAGGTGCGATCGTAGCAATATCGTTGACGTCCTCCCATGCCTTAGCTCTTTCCTTGATTTTCTTCGCTCTCTTCACGCTGAGTGTGGTCTTGGTCTCTAGTTTCCCGGCAAATTCGTCGGCTTTTTGGCTTATCTTCTCCCTTCGCAGCTTCTGATGCCGAGTATGCTGTCCCCGCTTCGGACGTTTCGATACGCCGGCGGACGTATTTGCGGCCAGGACGGAGTGCCGTGGAGCTCTATCTCGCGGAGAAGATGCACGCGGTACGTTCAACAGGGACTTGTCAATGTTTCCGGCAAGGGTGGGAGAAGTCTCACGGCGCGCAGCACGAGAGTGTAGCGAAACCTCTAGGTCCTGATGAGTCTCATCGCATTGTAGAAGGTAATGAGATACTGACTCTTGCTCTTTGGCTTTGGCGTTTTCCCCATGGCGGCGAAGACGACCTGCGTGGACGTATATATCGCAACGCTTCTGAACTACAATGCGGAATCTGGAAGTTTTGGGGATAAGTTGCCAGAATATTTTTAGCGGGGATCGGTAACGTGGGGCTGGGATTTCTAGCGCGTGAGATCCGGATCCATCAGATATCCTTACCAAGCTCTCCCAACCACTGTCCTCGCATGCCCATGCACTGTTGAACGGGCTTCCTTGTCACTGTTAATCTTTGCCGACGACCAAAATTTACCATACGCCTCTCTGCTGTTCCATTCCTTTGGTGGAGGCTTTGCTCTCCATGCTTTATAAGAAACGTGCTTCGACATATCGCACCCGCCCTTGGTGGCCAAAGTGAAAGCACAACTGGAGACAAACATGGAGCACACCAATATCTTCCACGCGCGCAAGCAACTTCTTCCTCCACAGGACAACGAAAGTGGTTATCGCAACATGTCTGCATCGATATTATCAACAATCTTTTTCATCATCTGCGCTGGTATCTTTTTTCACCGAGGGAGCACTGTTCACGGACTTCTATACAATCTTGCGGATCTGGCATCGCGGATATTAAATGTCTACGCTCCCCGCCCGCTGTTGAACTTCGTGATAATACTCAGGAGGTCTCTTCATATACCAGGATATGGGTCAAGCAGATTGAACCCTCTCCCAAGCATGAGCAAGTTCTTACTTGGCTCGAATGTTAGCACCGGGGTTCCTGCTGGCCTGGGAAATTTTGATAACTCATGCTATCAGAACAGCATACTCCAGGTACAGTTACCTGATGTACTCCGCGGTCTGCATCTTACTGACCTCCAATAGGGGCTGTCATCCCTCCCGTCCGTGAGAAGGTTTTTTTCAAACATGACCGTAGAGTTCGATACATTAGGACCCGATTCTATGGTGGGAACACTTGCAGACCTTCTAGACACCTTGAGTGACCCGAAGACAAACGAAAAGACGCTATGGACACCACAAAAACTAAAGACTATGGACAGCGTAAACCCGCAAGACGCGCACGAATACTTTGGGTCGATGATGGATGTCACAGAGAAAGAGCTTGCCGAGGCTATGCATGCACGTCCGCAGTCCGCTGGGCTGAAGGAGCTAGATGGATCAACAGCTGAGACACCTTTGGGAACACAAGTTATGGAAGGCTTTGCCTCTGGGCAGTATAGAAGGGAAGAAGGCATCGCTCGTTATGGGAATCCACTAGATGGTCTACTCGCAGATCGCACCATGTGTACGGAATGCGGTTATTGTGAAGGACTCAGACTGGTCAGTTTTAATTGCCTGATGACTCAGTTCCCGAAGAACTTTCCGCAATGGTATACTTTTCAGCTTGGGGACCTACTTCGCGAGTACATGAAATTGGAAAAAGTGGGTCCTACATACTGTGCTCGGTGCACATTATTGCAGAACAAAAAAAGCCTGGAACGATTGCTAGCCACGTGTGCTACGAATGGCCTCTCTTCTTCAGCCGAATTCGAAAATACTGCCCGCGCGAGGCTTGATTCTGTTAGAGATCTACTGGAATCAGAAGACTTTGGGGAGAACGACAAGAATCTGACCATCAAATGCGGCATTTCAAAGAATAAGTGGACGGAAACACTCAAAACGAAACAGTCTGTCATTGCCAGAGCGCCACAGTCATTAGCTATCCACATCAATAGGAGTGAATTCGACGAAAAAACGTGGCAACTGCGAAAGAATACCTCACCAGTCGAGTTCCCAGTCTTCCAAGACATGTCAGCCTGGACGTTGGGTGGCTTGGAAGCTGAGAGCAAGGATTCTCAGGATGCTGTACAGTTGTGGAAGATGGATCCAATGCAGTCTATGCTACCAGAAGAGGAGGTAACACGCAAAGCTCTTGGGTGGCAACTCCAGTACGAGCTACGAGCCGTAGTACGGCATCAAGGTTTCGGCCACCACAACGGGCATTATGTCTGCTACAAGAAACATGCATCCTCACTCGAATCCACAGGGAAATCTGACGCCAATGATCATGTCGATGTCAGTCCTGAAGATAAACCTGAGGAGACGACAGATCATCAGTCTGGGCGTTGGTGGAGTTTTAGTGACGAGGATGTTCGCCCACAGGATGAACGAGCTGTATTGAAAGCACCGGGAGTGTTCATGCTATTCTACGAGCGAAGAATGGTAGATCCACCTCGATCGACATCCTGCCGTCAGGAAGTATCAGACACGCCCAGGCAAGCGGTGCCTCATACGACGGATACGACACAAGATTTGGTTGAGCCACTTAAGGTGACGCAAGAGGGCCACAAACAAAATGCAGAAACCCCAACAGGACGACTAGCTCAATTGACTGATGATCTGATGCGAGACTTGAAAGCTGCTAAGGGTACCAGCGAGAGCCAGAAGGACCATGAATCGGCAGTTCCTGAGAAGCCCATGGCACCACTCGCCAAGCTGCCTCTTACATCTGACACACCTTCTGAGATTCTTAGTGGTCCTCCAGACTCAACTCCCCCAACTCCCATAAGTTCTGCATCAAAATCTGATCAGATCCAGCCTACAGAGGGAACGTATAGTCCAGATAAGGAATCAAAATCTGTGCATATGCGCACAGCTGGACACCCGTCGATGCATCGAGGGAGGGGTGAATCGCTCCTAATGGTCGCGCCTACATGATCAATATGGACTATTCATGGATACAGACTGTTTGCATTATTATTAAGAGCCTTGGGAGCATTTCTTCAGGCGTTGGACTCCAGGTCACACTGTAACGATACAGGCTGCGTGGCTCAGATACTGTACATTGAAACTTTTAGATACCCATTACGACACAGCAGTAATAAGTTCAACCTGCAAGGTCATGACCATTCCACTCAGTATGCACGTGACAGTACGTGTTGTAATCTTGGCGACACTCGCTTGTGCTAGCGTATCAGGTTAGCTCGAGATTCGCACCACCACAATTTTTGCAGAGGTCCGATTACCCAACATCATCGAACGACATTACGACAACCAGCAACCGGCAAAGTACGATATCCTCAATTCCACACTTGCAAGCGTTTCAACAAGCTAATATTCTTCGTGAAGATGGTCTCCGCAAAGAAGCACGTCCCTATTGTGAAGAAGCGTACGTTCTCAAACCTGTACCGGTCCTATGCGATACTCCCAATGGCGTCAAACATCGACCACATCGCCGCGGCCGTCACATTGTAACCAATGTATACTGACGAGAGCAACAGACACCGCGCGCTTCAACCGCCACCAAAGCGACCGCTTCAAATGTGTTGACCCTAGCTGGAGGAAACCCAAGGGTATCGACAACCGCGTCCGCCGTCGGTTCAAGGGCCAGGCTGCTATGCCCAAGGTACGACATCACATTATTAAAGAGAAGAAGAAGTGAAGATTGTGGGACTAGGAACGATTGAACGGGAAGAGGAAGAAGTTGTGTGCGATTTGGAGTATATCGCTGACTAGACCTTCTGTGATAGATTGGTTACGGATCCAACAAGAAGACCCGCCACATGATGCCTTCTGGCCACAAGGCGTTCCTCGTCCACAACACAAAGGACCTCGACCTCCTCCTGATGCACAACCGCACCTTCGCCGCAGAGTACGTACATGTGGGAACCAGACAATGGTACAGGATAGGATGTTAATATGACGTTACAGGATCTCGCACTCCGTTTCATCACGAAAGCGTGTCGATATTGTTACCCGTGCCAAGCAACTAGGTGTCAAGGTTACGAACGGCAAGGCCAAGATCACCACCGAGTCATGAGCGGGAGTTGGTATGGGGAAATGAAAGGGATGTGCATTGTGTTCTGCGGAGTTTCCAAACGGCTCGAGGATTAAAGAGCCAATGTATGCAATTTCTGGAAGCAAAATGGAAGCCATTGGGATCAAAGCACCCAAACCAAATGGACATTCCACGACCGCTGGTGTGAGCATACGTAGCATACCCACAAAAGCCTGTAATTGGGCACTCAACCAACGCATTCATGGGCGACCAGTCGGGTACGTTGAGGTCTATGTAAGGCGTGACAATGCGAAGTGACACAATGTCGTGTGAGAACGGTGTGAAAGATGCAGTCCGGAACAGCAATCGGAGACGTCTACGGAAATTCCCAAATCCCTCGTATTCCGAGATCTGACTGTGTAGTGAGCATGTCTGCAAACGGCCCCTAGATACGGCCAGTGCCAGCAGTTTGCGAGGCTGTGGGGACACATGGGAAGCCCGAATCGACCATACATAGTAGATCCACCATGCGTCGTGCTTACAACACTCCCGTACATAAAAAGCCCCGCCAGAAGGGTGGCTGAGGAGCGAGTGTGCGTCTGGGAATGAGAAGGGTGAAAATTGCGTGTATAGGGGTGAGCAAGAAAGAATGGGCGGTGGTTGCAGCAATGCTCTCTCTTTATGCAGATCAACGTGTTGAATCCGCAGTATGCTATTGGACTGTCTCGAAGTAAGTGCAAGGACGGTGAGTAGTAGTAGTTTGTTCCATGTACAACCATGCCCTACGCCTCATGCATGGCTGACATTTAGCTATCTTGAGAGCAGCCCGGTATAATGTACATACAGTAGACTGATAGATAATAGGCAATGTAGCGCGGGACGAGAGGCCAAGATGGAAGCGTGCATGCAGTGCAGGGGGTGTGGGGCCAAGGGAGCGCACCGGGGCGGCGGGACAGCTAAGAGGACGGGCGGATGCTTGCATTTTCGGCTGTGATGGCCGAAATGCATTATCAGCAACTTGGCTTCAAAAGGCATCCACATTTACTGCATATTATCAGCATCAGAAGATCCCGTTGCCGTGTCTCACCGCTATGAGCTATCAGTCAGCCAGCAAGCAGCAAGCAGCAAGCAACAACAACAACAACGATGACAAAGACCAACGATATCGACAAGGACAGAGCGACAACATGGATGCCAGGGGCTCCCGGTGTGAAACGTTCATGTCATGTCCTCGATATCATTATTATTGAGAGCGTCGATATATGTGTGCTTCCTAAGGTAAGGTAAAGTAAGGGTGCTTTTCATTTCCGGGTCCACGCCGCCATGGTCTGACATCTGAGTGGTCGGTCCAGTGTTTCCCCCCCTTCTTACCAGGCAGGCTCCCTCCTTCTGGTCAGTGCCAAATTCCAATCATTTCTGACGGTCCGAAACGAAGGAAGGGGGGAAATCTTGTTCTGTGTCTGTGTGTCTGTCTGTGTGTCGGTGTATGGGCTAGAACTCTGAAGGTTCGACGTTCTCAAACCTTCGAGGGATGGGATGGATGGCTTCCGAGGCTACGGGTGGACTGTGAATAGTGGACTTGTGGACACGGACGCACGCGGTGCATGGTGCATGGGTGTAGTGCATCCTGTTATGATGATGATGATGATGTGTGTGTGTGTGTGTGCGTGCTGCATGCATATGGGATTATGTGTTCTTGGCCGTGTTCTTGGCTGTGTATTATGTGTGTTGTGATATCTCGCTGAGTGCTCGAGTCCAGTCCAGTCCAGTCCAGTCAGCTTTGCACATTCTCCCATGAGTTGCTGATAAGGGCCGCATTCTACTAATTCCGATAGATTTGCATACATCCTGACTGCTAAAAATACTGTACTGTACGCTGGCGTTGCAGTAACTAAGCTGACCGCTGGCCCCCCCTTTGCTCCTTGGCTTCCCCCGTTTGTGGCTACGTTGAACCATCCGAGAGTAGCACGTGACACGGCTGGCCCTGAAAATTTCATTTTTACATTTCCTTCAGAACGCGACATCATTCATTTCTTTGATCTAAAATACTACTAATACCTCTTGTTACTTACTATTACATCTCTGTCTTGATCTACCTTTCTTTTTTGCTTTCTTGTATAAAGTCTTTTGTCCTCCCGGCCTGTTTGCTTTGCCTGTCTTCCTTTGCCCATTCTTCTGCAACGACAAACAACAAGCCATCCCAGAATCCCTGCTCGCTCACGCTTGCATATTCGCCCCATCAACAAAGCCTTCTTCACGTCGAGCCGAATCCCCCCCAATCTCTTCTTCGCCTGAATGGCACCGAATCTTCTTGTTGCTACTACAAAGTTGTTTCAGCCGCACAAATGGTTTTCTTCGCCAGACTCACAACGTTCGGCCCCAAAGCCTGAGCGCACCGTAGAACATTGGGACAGTCCCGTTCCTGGTACCTATGAGTACGTTCCTGGCCGTGGATGGTCGCTCATTGCCATCGACCAGCCCGCCGCGACGTTGATCAAGCCCATTTCTGTCAAGTACTCTCGTGTGTTGAAGCGTCACCTCCTCATCGACGACTACAACGACCGCAAGCGTGTTGCGCCCATCAAGGACTCCAAAGGCCGGACCAAGGAAGTTGGCTTCTTCCGGCTCGACGACGGCACTGCTTGGGTCAACTTCACGGACAGTAACGGCGATTTTATTCCCGGACCATACAAGCTTTGGATTCCCGATGCGCGTACCGGGAAATTCAGAGACATGTTGAAGGGCGATTCTCCGGAATGGCGTGGCCGACAAGCCAGCCGTGCTCCCTCCTTGGCCCCATCTCACTGCAGCGCTTGCAGTCCTGGTCCGGAGCACAAAGGACGCAATGCTCCAATGAGTCCCTATGCTACTACTCCTGCTGCCTCTCGTCCTAACAGCATAGACGCCAAGGACTTCTTCTCACACGTCTCCGCCGCGAGAATCGGTAGCAATGCTTCGTCGTCGCAGAGCAGTTCCAGGAACCTGAGCGTCAGTGCCACCCTCACCACGGCTCCCACTACTCCCAGTGACAGTCTTCATGATGCCATGGAGCTCTCTTCCAAGCTCGAGGCAATTGGACAACATGCTCGAGAGGCTTGATTGCGAAGTACCTTGTTGAGGATACCCTATTCCTACGCGCGTAGTCAGGCTACAACGCGCTTCACTACATCGCTGCGACACCTTCTCTTCACCATGTAATTCTTTTTGTCTCCATTTTCAACATGATTGGATTGTTTCGTTATCCCATCCAATCCTTCGCGTCATATACACTGTGTTTCCACATCGATACCCCCCCCAACGGAGATCAGCATCCTTGCGTCTGGATAGAAAAGTCTTTTTTGGGAAGGGATAGATAGATGCGTTTCGGAGTCATTCGTTTTCATAGATCGGGCAGGGTAATGAGGCTTATGAATTATATTATTCACTACATTTATCTCTCGTCTGGTTTCGTTCTTGGCGTATCCCGGGTCTTGTTTGACCTTACCATACCACACTTACACAGTCGTCCTCAGGTATACCATATATTTATCCAGGATGGTGGTCTTCGCGACGAGCCGCAGACTGGGGCCCTTCGTTCCTTGTATGTGTTCCGGGATCTGTCGTTGTCTCACTGGACGTGTTGTGCCTCTCACAGCGCTCTTCCATATGTTTCCTTTGTTGTGAGTATCCGGTATTGTGCGAGCTATCGAGGTCCTCCATATGTGTCGAGGAACTTCTACTGGGGTACATCACCACTCCTCCAAATGGTGACGATTTTAGTGCATGTCGCAGGCAGAGACAGGGTACGCATGCTTGAAGCAATTGCTTATGGTAGGTATGGAGCACGACATGTTTCTGGAACCTGGAACCTACAAGGACGTGAAGGACGTTGAACAAACACAACTGTTCTTGTGCCTTTCCTTATTCACCGGGCGACCTGTACACCGCTTCATTCCCGGACCCAACTCCGGATCCTAATCTGGACAGGGAGGAGGCCCAATGCGGTCGCCGTTCACTTTGATTCACTTTGATTCACTTTCACTTAGCGAGGCGGACGCTCAGATCTCTTTTTTTTTCGCACATTGCACTTATTAGCTTTTTCGTCTCTCTCTTCCCTTCCGTCTCCTCCTTCTCCTCTCCAACACTTTTCAATTGTGCTATATTTCCTACATCACACTTGCTCAACAGCCTGTCACTAGATTCATCTCTGTATCTCGACCTGTTCTATCATTTGTACCGTCTCCTTGGCCAGCATTCACCATGGCGACCCTTTGCGTATCTCCAAAAATGGACCCAGCTCAAGGTGCGCCCTGGGCTGATCAAGGTTCTGAGATCCCCATCATGACTTCGTCCGGCAATGCCCCCTACGGAAACACCGCCAACCACCAAGCTCCTAACGCATACTACATGGTCCCAGCCAGCGACGTCACCTTTGACAACCAAGTCGTCGTCGAAGGAAGCACCATCGACTACGGTGTTGGCGAGCGAGTAGGCGGCTATGCAAGCAATCCAGGAAACCCTGGCGGCACATGGGGAAAGTCCCAGAAAGGTATCGGACATCCCATCTACGCGATGAGCATGGTCACCACGCTTGCAGTTCCTGATCTGCACCCGGTAGTGTACCTCGCCTAGACTGTGAGAAGTAGTTTTTTGTTAACGTCGGCGTGTCATAGGCAGGAAGAAGCGAGGCGGGAAGAAGCATGCGCAGCGTAATGTGCGCGGTGGGTTCTACGACAATAGCTACACCAACGGCAATAATTCAGTCCGTGGTTCTTCTAGCAACAAGCAGTCCGCGTCTCGAAGTGGTTATGCCACTCATACCCCTACGACCTATCCTGGTTATCACAACAACAACAACAATAACCACCATACATCCCCCTACAACGCCTTTCCGGGCTACGCCCAAGGTCCATACGGCAACACCTTCCACCACCACCACCACCACCCAGCCAACCCCCCCCTCGCATTCGAACACCCAGACAACTTCGCCTTCCTCCGCGCCTCCTACAGAGAGCACACCCGCTCCACAACCCCGATCCCAAACACCCACACCACAACCTTCCACACAGGCCTCGCATCCACACCCCCTTACGCACCCACGACCGGTGGTCCCTACGCCACAATCGGCAACCCCTACGCCCCATTCGACCGCGAATACCATCACCGCACCCCCCTCAACCCAAAAGCAACCGAATTCCACCCTTCCACCAGCATAACCACCACACACAGCGACGCAGACAACACCTCCCAAATGAATCCTCGTATTCCTCCCCAAACCACCCCGCACGACCTCGCACGTCTCGCAGCTCCTGAGACGGGCGATTCGGATGTACCCGGTCGGGAGCGCAGCGTTTCTGTTCCGTTGGCTGGGCTGGGGTCTCGGACTGCTTCTTCGCCCCCTTCTTCTTCTTCTTCTTCTCCTGATGATGATTCCGCTACTGATTCCGCTGATTCCGCTGGTTCCGCCGTCGCCGCCGCCAGAACCACCACCACCACCATCACCCCCCAGCACCGCCACAGCCTCTCGGCATCCCTGCTCCCGACCCTGCCACAGCCACAGGGCAGACGGCGCCAAGGCCCACGCAGCCATCTGGCAATGAGCAGTTGGGCGGGTATACTGACCGACAACCACGTGCGTGAGGCGTGAGTTTTGGGGTTGGGGGATGTTTCCCTGGGCTTGGCGGGTGTTGGGCAGGGTAGAGAGGAGAGGAATGGGTGGTTTGCTTGACTTTGGAGGGTTGGGGTTTAGGGGTGGGAGGAGGGGAGGAACGGGGTTTGGATGGGATTGGGGATGTGGGTTTTTTGGGTTGCGGTTTGAGGGGGGGTGTGGTTTGTTGTGTTGTGTTGTGCTGGGTTGTGTTGGGCTTGGGCTTGGACTGTAATATCGTAGATGTGGTTAGGGTTGTAATACTATGACATGTTGTATTGCTAGGTGGAAACACTGTGGGTGATAGGAACATGTCTGTCATCGGAAACATACACACACATACACACGTTCATATCTTCACATCTCTCATTCGTCCTGCTCGTCCCGCTCGTCCCATCAGCCATCAGATATATACATTCAAAGCATCCGCATTCCCTCCTCATCCCATCACCATCCCCATTTCATCAATCTCATCCACCCCATCGCCCATCGCCCATCTCACACCCAATTGTTACAGCAGCGTCAATGCGGATCCGCTGGACCCTCACTCATCGTCCGCGATGAAACCAGCAAGCAGTCAAGATGAACAAGATCTGACCACGCCGAGATAAAATAAAAAAGTTTCAAAAGAACTAAAAGGGCTCGCGCAATTTGGCAGAGCATACCACAAAAGCAAGCCCATCCATCATCAATCACTACTACGCCCCGCGCTTCGCAAAACAAGGAAGGATATCTCAGTCGGTTCGGTTGGTGGGCGGGCATTAAAAAAAAAAGAACAAGCAGCTTCTAACGGGCTGCTGAAAGAAAGTAAGAATCAGTCAAAACGCCACGTGGGATCAAAGGTATATATACATATACTTGGTGGGCATCGAGGTGGTTATCTGCTAGAAGTTGACGCCACTGAGCGACTTCTTTTCTTGTTCAGCCAGTCTCCGAGTAGAGTATCGAGCGACGAGTCAAGTTCCTTGATTCGCTTCGTTTCTTTGGCAAACAGGCCGGCCATGATGGGGTGGTCGGAGCCGACGGGTACGACGCCACTCTTATCGTGGACGACCAGAAGCAAATCTCGGACGTCTGTCGAATCGTCCATGTACGTTCTTAGGTGGGCATCGGACCAGGCCGGCCCGGGCGGAGGCGACGGTGAGGCGGCAGAATCTTTCGCAGCTGGGGCTGGTGCTGGGCGGGATGGCGGTTGGGATGCGGGTTGATGTGTTGAAGCTTGTGGTGCAGGAGGGGCTTCGATTGGCATATCGATGATGGAAGGGCTGGATGAAGGCGACACAGGCTCCTCTTGGCTGGAGTTGTCTAGAACAAGCGCTGGTGGCTCCGTGGTATCCACCGGAGATACTTGCACTGGTGATTCCAGTAGATGGTCGACAACAGTCTTCGTGTCTATCTGCATTCTACTGTTGTCTGGATCCGCGAATGGATTCCTTGATTTCAATGAACGAGACTGAGATGTCGTCGTTTCGGCTCGAGCTTCTGCTTTGGTCTCTTTCTTGAGAGAACTCTCCGTCGGGGAACTCTTGCTGCTGGTCTGAACGCCATTTTCTGAATCGACCTTGCGCATTGTGGAGGTCCCGTTTTGTATGGGTTTAGGGTTGCTAGATAGGTCCGACCGTTGGCGAACGTCTTCAGGACTGTCGGTGCGAATTGAACTGATGACCTTCTTTGGAGATGTCTCGCGCACACTCTTAGATTGCTTCTGGATTTTGCCTCTGCTGCTTTGACGTTGTGGCTTCTCCATTGAATCAATCTCAGACTTTTCTGTGGTCGAGTCCATACTCTCCTTGGTCTCCATGGAACCTCTCGAAAGCTCCTCTGATACCTTCTCTTCCCCATAGTCGTCGGTCGATCCCTTCTTTTTATCTTTGCGCTTGAACAGTCCACTGAGCATACCGGGCTTCTTCTCTTTCTTCTTTTTGTCGTCTTTGGTTTTTTCGGCAGAGCTACTCTTCTCCAAAAAGCTATCCAAGCTAGGACCGCGCTCATGCGAATCGGATGAGCGACCGCTCGAATCGTCCCTCAGTATGTTCGGAGTAATGGTGATCTTGCGGGTCTCGGTATTGTCGTCCTTGAAAAAGGAATCTGTATTGCGCATTGTACCATTTTTCGAGATCTTTGGACCGACTGTATTGATGTCAGCAATCAAGGCGCTACCTGGGGGAGAGACTTCATTACGAGGTCTGTCATAGGACTCATCGCTTGTTCTACTCTCGTTCGTACCTGCTCTTGCCTTGTCTTGGGTCTCATTATTTTCTTGGCCGTCAGACTTGGAATCTTTCTTTGTTCCATTCACTTTCAGTGGCTCTACAGCCAGTATTGCATCGTCGCCGGAACGCTCGTCCGTCTCCATCTTCTGAGCCTCTTGTTGTTGCTGCTGCTCAGCGGCAGCCATCAAGGCCTTTTCAACATCTTCATCGTCTTCTTCGTCAGAGGAGTAGTCATAATCGGAAGCTTCGACGTATGTGGGACCCCCAAACGTAACGTTCTTTGCATTCCGGCGTCGGATAGCTTTCTTCAGCGGATTTTTCGACCTCTCGGCGTTGTCACCAAGCATTGTAGCGGATAGCTATGCAACGTCAGCAATGTGTCTTTTTGCAGATTAGGCCCCTGCCAAACTGGGTAATCACATCAATGTTTCTGTGCTTATTCAACCTTGCTAGGCGTTCCGTAGGTGTTTCGATATGCTCTGCCGGTAGATAGCCTTCGCCGTGTGTTAGTCGCTACGCCTTCAGGATATCTTGTCATGTACTGACCTATCGTGCTGTCTTTGACAATTCGCACAAGCCACCAGTAGCTATTACTGTCGTCAAGTAATACCATGGTATCACCCTTCGTGGCGTTCGCTTGTCCTTCGACGGTCGCTACGAATGTATGTAGGGCGTAAACGAATTCGAAATCGATATCCTCTGAGTCTCGTAAGCATTCGCCTCCCCAGCCGCTATCGACAAAGCGCGGATCCGTAGAAAAGGAAACTTTCATGACGTCCTCATCGTCGGTCCATGTGGCAGAGTCATCGCTGTCGGTGTCCCATCCGTCAGAGCTACCCGTGGGTGAGGTAGGTGAATTAGGTGTGCCAGTTGAGCCGGGCAAGGTGGATTTGGGCAATTCCGGTAAAGGACGAGGGCTAAGAAGAACTTCATCGTCGAAACTATTATCTAGCAGAGAATCGTCAATTGGTAGAAGAAGATCGCGCAAATCGTCTTCACGTATGTCTGATACAGAATCTTGCTCTCTGTTCTCTAGACGCTTGTTGATGGCGCTCACGAGACGGTCTCCGGCAAGTGGTGTCAGTATGTCCCGGCTCTCGTCCTCGGATTCAGCGTCCTCGGCTAGTCTGAGCGCCTGAAATTGCGGATCCAGCTCCAGGTTGGACGATAGGGTCCCATGATACTCACCACAGCGACGGGACTCCGCCAGCTGTCGATTAAAAGAAAGAGGAAGATGTTTAGGAGAAGAGGTATACATAGAAGAAGCAGAAGAACGTAGTTCTTCCGACGAAGAATTTCTAGACCGTCGGGCGATGCCTAGAGGAAGATGGAGCGGAGTAGACAGAAAAGGAGAGGAATCGCCTTCACCCGGTGAAGACATGTTTTGCAAGCTAGAGGTCCTTGTCTGGCGTGGAGGGGTCGAATATGCGTTCCGGCTCGGCGAAGCTGAAGAGAAATTATACCCACCATCGTCGATTGAAGGTGAACTCGAGATCTTGTCCATCATGTCATCATCAAGACCATCGTCTACGTCTGCGTCATCCATGTCCGCATCGTCCTGCGAGCCAGATATGCCGCCATTTTGTCGCACAGCAAGCTCGTCCTGTCGTTGGTCCTGCCCATTCTGGACTACTGTGCTCTCGTCGTCCGACCCAGGTTCATCCCGCAGTGTATGGCGGTTGTGATCCCAATGCTCTTCATCCGCACGCTCTTGCTCGACTTGTCTGATAGCTGATTGCTGGTGTGGTGCGGCAGGACCAATGCCGAGCGGTGCAGGTTGGGTAGGCTGTCGACTGTGATCTTGCGCAGAGGGTGAGTGCTGGTCTTGCAGATCAAGTGTGTCTGTGACGTCCCAATCAGTGTCCTATACAACAGGTAGGCAGATGTGTAGTTGTATGTCTTACCAGCTCGTATTATTTGAGGTCGTGTCATCTTTCAAAGGTTCATGTGTCAATGAGAATTCGGGTAAAGAAAGTGAAAATTGTCGGCCAGAGGCTCAAGAAAGGCAGAGCCCCCCCGAGAAGTGAAAGAAAGGAACCAGCGACGAGAGAAAGAATCGAATAGTGAAGCGACAATGCTATGCAAGGAGTGATGAGAGTCGAAATACGGTCTGAAACGAGTTGGGGCGCGATAAGAGGAGAGATTCGCGCTGCCTGAGGCGGTCGCAGCTGCCAGGAAGACACGCTAGAGAATTCGAGTCGAGGCGCAGACAGCGTTTCAGGAAGATTCACTGTCGCCGTCGTCGTCGTCGTCGTCGTCGTCGTTGTCGTCGACGTGCTGCGTGATGCTGCAGCGCTCTCACTGCTCAGCGACCAAAAAAAATAATAACAGGAGGCTGGAGCTGAACAGGAGTTTATTTTCGGACATCTGGGGGACGTCCGGGGGGGGGACAGTCGCAAGTCACAAGCAGGTCCCGTGCTTCGTCCAGCTTAGCGCGTTTCACTGCCGATCTACACTTTAAAGGGGGTTTTTGACACTTTAGAGTTGCTGCTTAAGAGGGGGCTTTGGGCGCAGACTGCACAATCACTACCACAAGTGTCCTTTCTATATTGCCGCGCTTCTAATGAGCATATTTCTCCGGTCCTGCAGACATGCTACTGTATTGTAAGTATAACACAGTGTTGTTGACATCAACATGGCATTCATTCATTCATTCACTCTAGTGCCAAGTCCTACTCCTCCCTTCCCATTCACTGCCTCACTGCCCCATGTCGGATCGCATCCTCTATATAGCCATCTGAAACCCAACATTCTCGTCAAGACACGTATGCGCCGCATCCTGCTCATCATGCCCTCCTCACCTTTTGAGTGTCTTCTGCTTCTCTGCATTCTCTACCAGCTTCTGCCCCTGAATGAAAAGACCCTTGCGCTTGCGCACCCTGTCCATGTACCGCTTAGCCACGTTTTCCTTATCCGCTAGCTCGCCAAGATCCTCCAAGTCGTCTTCTGTAAAAGGCACCCAGAATGGGTCTTCGTCCAGCATCTCAAATCCATGGAAGATTAGTTGAGGAGACGCAGCTCCCGATGTGCGCTTCCGAATCTCTTCGCTGAATCCAAACGACTCTGCAACTGGCAGCAACGAAACGATCGAGAAGAATGGCGTGCCTTCTTTCATCTCTTCAGACACAATCCGGCCTCTACGTCGTGTTATTACAGCATAGACTCGGCCAAGGACCTCGGCTATGAATACAATTAGTCTTTGATGAATCGAAACATTCCATGGTGATGCTCACTTGATGCTTGAATCTCACAGCTGTACATCGCCAAAAGCATACGTGGACTCCAGTCCAGGAATCCTTGACGAATCGATTCTCGCACAGTCCTTATGACTTCGCCGGTAAGTCGGCCAAGCTTGTCTCGAGACGAAGATTCTTCCTCGTCTGGTAGATGCAAGCCAACTTCTTCTAAGAAGACAGCGACTCCTTGCACTGGCTCGTTGCAGAGAGGCCCCTGCGCTGTAGCAAGCTGGAAGGCATATGTAATTTTGTCTTGGAAGTCTCCGGGAACCAAACTCGTAGCCACTCTTTTACCCCCTTCATCGTCTGCAGCATGCTCGTCGGATGTCTCGAGGCTGCATTGATAATTAGTACATATGCTGAGCAGACTGCGAACAGAAACTTACGCTCTACTTAATATACCATCCTTTGTTGAGTCTATAAGCAGATTTGGTCCCACACGCCGTGGTCCAAACGCAGCAATGCGATCGATGACCCCTTTCCATACTTCACGCTCTCCTTTTGCCTCAGCAAACGCAGCCAATAGTTGTTCCTTGAATTCCTCTAGTGCCAGGTCCGCGCCCGAATCCAAGATATCATCTGCTGCATCTCTGGCTTCTTCACGATTTGGAGAAGTGGCTCTAGATGTTGTCGTGCTCTCCGAGTTGTGGTCCTCGCTGCGCCGATTCGAGTATAGGTTCCGAATCGGGCGTGCATTTCTACTCAGGAATTCAGTAACGGATGCCGGCAAAGGTCGCACACGAAGTCGTATTGACACTTGTTTGGAGTTTGTCAGGCCGACGACCGTCCCGCGAGGAAGATCTTTGTCCTTTGATGGGTTCATCTCCGCTGCGCTGACTATACTTTCGCGGTAGGGCACGATAGGCTCGCCAGCTTGGATCTCGCATTTTGCGAAACGTTCTCTGAGATCCTTGATACATCGCTCCAGGTGGAGCTCACCAGCAGTAAGAATGACGTGCTCACCGCTTTCCAAAACTTCGTATTCGGCACAGGGATCGCTCTGTTCCAGCATGCGGAGTCCGTTGATCATCTTGTCCAAATCACTGGGATTCTCAGGCTCCAAAGCTACTCTGACGATCGGCTTACTACCCATGTTGACACCTGCGAGATTGACCGAGCCTTCTAGCTGGCTGCAAAGTGTTCCAGACTTGAGGATGTGTCCTGCTAGTCCAGCTACTCCAAATACGACGCCTGCCGGTACTGACTTCAGTGGTTCCAGGCCGCGTCCCATCAAGAGATACAAGGCTGTGATGGTGACCTTTTGGGGTTCAGGTCGCTGGTGGGGATGTTGAGGTGTGAACTTGGGTGGTAGTACGAAGACTTCGTCGCCAACTGTGAGAGAGCCAGAATACAACCTAGCAAATCCAATCAAGTGCTCGGGGTCTTCGTCTTCTTCCGGAGGGTCTGTCTCCTCCTGTTCTCCCCCGTCTTCTCGCATGGTCATCGAATCGAGTGTAGTAGTCATGTTTCCGAGATCAGTGCTGGTGCCATTTGCTGAAGCTTGAGCTTTCGCAATTTCTGCGCGTTTCTTACGGCCAAGTTCTCTTGCTTCTTCAGCCGTGAGGGCACCACCTCTCCTCTTGTTCTCTGGCAGTTCACTTTGCCGTATCGCAACCATCTTACTGACATAAGCGACTACCGGGTCTCCTTTCTCCTTCTTGAACTCTGTCATCGCAGTGCGAACCTTCTGGTCAACATGATCTGCACCGGGAGAAGCGTCAATAATAGCTGGAAGTCGGGTATGTTGCGCATCATCAGGTGGTGGTAGGTACTCGATCACAGACACCAGTACGGCTGTGGAAAGTGGCAGCCAGGATGCGAATACAGTAGTCAATAGCGCACGTGGATCTCTGGACCGAAGAATATGAGGCGGTACGGATATGCCGAGAGACTTTGTTATTTTTTCCACAGTTGCTGGATCCCTACGGCAGGTCAGCTCGCATTTGAAGGGGACAAGTCCAGATCAACTCACCCTTTGCCCTTGTCTCCACCTGTTGTCGCCTCATACACCGCCCATATGTTATCCAGTACAAGCTGTACGAACATAGGTTTGAGATTACGTCCCTTGAGATGCTTTGGCGCAAGCACACGCCTCGTCTTCGGCTCTAGATAGAAGTCACCCCAGAGGACCTTTTCCAGATTGGCACGTTTCATCCCAAGCTTTTTCTCGTAGATCGCAGAGAACTGTTTCACAGTGAAAGCCCAACCGTCTACTGCACTGCTGAAGATGACGTTGTTGTTTTCCGGGGCAAAATAGATATCCTCGTCATCCTTTTCTTCGTACTCGTTTGTAGTTGTTTCTGACGAAGTATCATTTGCAGCAGACGCAACATTCTCCGCCCTTTCTTGCGCTCGTGCAGAAGCAGCAAGTGTTACCCGCTCTTCGACACGATTTCGCCATTGTAGATCGTATTCCATGCGCTCCCCCTGGAAGAAACTACCCATGACGGCATTTACTTGCTCAAGTAGTTGACTCAGGTGAGTATAAGCTTCTCCAGGGCTCATTTTCAACTCCGTGATGAGACGGTCCATCTTATTGATGACGAGGATAGGCTTGAGTTTTTCGACCCAACAATGCCTCAGAACGGTAACTGTTTGACTGCATACTCCCTCCACAGCGTCCACAAGGACAACAGCGCCATCACATAACCGCGATGCAGTAGAAACTTCACTGCTAAAATCAATGTGACCAGGAGAATCTATGAGGTTGATCAAGAACTCTTTTTGTTCCGGTGCTGCATCAGGACTGGAACGGCGTAGTAGGGCAAAGTACAAGGAGATCGCTGATGACTCCATGGTGATGCCACGAAGCTGCTCATCCGGTCGAGAGTCGAGATATCGGATCTTCCCTGCCAATTTTGGAGATATGATACCATTGGTGGCGATCAACGCATCCGTGAGTGAGGTTTTACCATGGTCCTAGATTGGTCAGGAGAGTTCTGGATCGCAACGCCATCAATGATACTAACCACATGGGCGAGAATGCATATCTAACCTTTAGGTCAACACATGTATATCAAATTATGGAAAGGTGGTTTACAAACATTTCGTATTCCCTTTGCTGCCTGCTGCAGATGAACCAATTTTTCAGGATTGACGACCGGCATTGTGGCTGGCGTATATCAGTATCACAGTCGGGACCGATATTATGATACGTCGTCGTGTTTTATAGTCTTTCGGAAGCGTGTGGCGCGCAGCTGTGCTCAGTCTGAATCACTCTGACTCAACCAGAAGGTCTTCGGTCAAGTATACAGCGCAGAATGCTCGTGCAACATAGATTTCCATGCAAATTCGTTCTATATTCCATGAGCAAGCGAAATTTCTATGTAAGATTTGCCTGGTATTGATTATAAGTTTCTGGGACAGCAAACTTGCAATAGGCGACGTCACATGCTGGCAAAAACTCGAGGGTTTTTAGCGTGTACCTGCATGGATGGATGAGATAGATGTACCTACCCCACCAGCCCAATCTTGGGTACTCTCTACTCAAGAACACCCAAACTCTGTCTGGGATTAATACTGCCACAATGACGAAACGGTCCATCCTGATCATCAATCCGAACACGACAGAGTCCATGACAACGGCCCTTGTGCCGCTCGTGAAGCAGCTACAGTTCGAAGATGTTCATATGGCATCCCAGAGGGCTCCTGTCAACATGGCTAATATGTAAGGCGTAGACACATTACGGATATTTCACAGCACCTTCAGGTCCGAAAAGTATCAACAACGAAGATGATGCTGCTGAGAGTGCGAAGCATTGCGAGCCTGCCTTGATCCCTCTTCTCGATCGATACGATTCCTTCCTTGTCGCGTGCTACTCGCAACACCCTCTGGTTCATATTCTTAAGAAGCACATTGCCGCAAGTGACACATCACAGCCTGTTACGGGCATATTTGAGGCCAGTGTGGGTCTAGCTCTACAGATCATCGCCCCTTCTGAGAAGTTTGGCATAGTTAGTACGGGAAAGGCTTGGGAGGATATCTTGACGGAGGCAGTGGCCGAGTTCTTGGGCACGCATAGCACAGACAGCAAGAGGTTCGCCGGAGTTGAGACTACGGGTCTCAATGCAAGCGATCTCCATGATGCGCCTGCAGAAGTGGTCCGGAAGCGCATGAAGGACGCAGTCCACCGATTGCTACAGAAAGGGTCGGTTGGAGCTATCTGTTTAGGATGTGCAGGCATGGCAGGCATGAATGAAATGGTAAGAGAAGCGTGTGTTGAAGCCTTGGGAGAAGTAGGTGGTCGACACATAAGAATTGTTGACGGTGTACAAGCTGGTGCTGCATGGCTGGAGGGCGTGCTCCGTGCAGAGATATGAGGTCGGAAATATGAAGCAAAATTAGATATGTTCAGCCGCGTGTGCGTGCACAATCGCATCAAATAGCATAATAATTCTCCTTGGCCAAGTTCGTAAGAGGCGTGCAATTTTGGAGCGCTCCTGGATGGCCGAGTTTCACACGGTGTTAAGGGGCTGGGACAGCCATGAAGATACAAAACTTCACAATTGGTGGTCGAATCGATACAAAGAGCTAGCCAGCAGCAGTGTGAAGGCATTATGTTGTCTGAACTCTGACGACGGCAAAAAGTAATGATAATAAATAGATTTGCAGATCCATTTGCAGATCGGCGGGTTCGTCCAACGGCTTTTGCATGACTCGCATGTTTGGCACGCATGATACGCGCGATCAGCCCAGCAAAAGAGGCATAATAGTGAGACAGGGCAGCCATCTTTAGCGATGGTGGAGCCCCCCCGGAGCCCCAGCCCCCCCACTAGAACCCTGAAGTGACAGATCATGCTGATCGGACTCTTTGCTGAGGCTATTATCGTCGCTTTTGTGCTTCTGCCACCTAATACCTGCGCTGCCACATACATACTACATATTAAATCAACTACTACCCACATCCTTTTCCTTCGTCACGAAACTGTCTTCACAAAAGCTACATTCCAGCTCGCGCGTTTCTACTCACCGATTTTTCCAATATACTGCCAAATCGTGAAGCGCTGCTGCAACACGCCCGCGCGCAATGTCTGTTTCGACGATACCTCGCATGCGCACTGGAACTGCGACACCGTTGATGGCGCCACAAGCTACGGGAGGACATGCATGTCCACGATGTGATACCATGCCAGAAGCTAAGAGAAGAATACTGGAGTTGGAGACTCAAGTCCGAATACTCACGGAAAAGGCCACCGCTGCGGGTACGCTTCCTTTTTGCGATAGTTACTGGTCGCCTTGGCTGCGTTTCAGACCTAGTCCCATTTACAAGCAATGCTGACCTCAATTTACGAATAGTGGACAAGTTGGCAGATTATGAAGATCAGTTACAAAGGCTTAAAACCTCGCAATCCCCCATATCGCCTTCGGATCTCACCTCTACGCCTGTGGAAGCAGCACTGAACGAACCCGTCACGACTCCACCAGTAGAGACCAAACTACAATCACGTTTCTCGAACCTCCTTTCCCGACGCTCAATTGCACATCTTTCTACAGTGTCCAGTCGATCAGAGGCGGACCTCCAAATTGCCCTCCAACGTGAACAGGACCTGCGCCAGAAGGCAGAAGGCAAGCTCACACAAATGAATACCGAGATCGAGGATCTGTCGGTGCAGCTCTTTCAGCAGGCAAACGAGATGGTGGCTACAGAGCGTAAAGCCAGAGCCAAGCTCGAGGAGCGGGTTGAGATGCTGGAGAAAAGAGACGATGACAAGAGAAAGAGACTAGACAGACTTGAAGGGGCTATGAAAAGAATCGATCGAGTGCGAGATCTACTTGCGCCCTGAGCAAGATTTGTCCGCCCCGTGAAACTACATCGTTCAGGGTATAAAAAGGCAGCGGACAACCCTGCAAGATCTTCAGCTTCTCAGTAGGCAACATTGCTTCCTTGAAAGATTACTACAACACTCAGTACCATGCCTACCAAGCATCATGGTATACTAGTAGAATGGCGACATGGACCTGACCTTGCTCTAAATTCGTCTGGGCTTCCGGTGCAAACCAGTCACCAATCGTCACATGCGCCACCCACGATCACGGTGTTCGTGACTTGGAACGACTACCATACGTGCGAGTGCGGATAATATCGGCGACAGACGCGACTAGAGTGCGATGGATTTATCACAAAGGGAAAGTAATGGCGAGCGGGATTAGCAGTAGCAGAGACTAGGAGGATGCTTGTTAACAGAGCTGCGAAACACGAGCTATATCAAATGTTGATTTTAGGTTACATCAAGAAATGCTTGCAGGGCTAATATATAACGTAGTATCGTCAAATGTAGTGCGCATATCATCTCCACCAGCTGCATGAGACTGACAATACATCCATGAATATGAGACAAACTGCTGATGAAGTGGGGCGTTCTGAAGCCCGACTGCCCTAATGTCCAACTCAGTTTGAAGCAATATAGGCTTAGCAGGACCCGGATTGCCTGAATCCCAAGACGATGCGATGTATGTGCCTCGATCTGTACATCGAATGACCGTTTTGGGAACATAGTCTGGAGTATTTACATGCAAGATCTAGTGATCGGGCCTTCACTTTACCGGAAGTGGCCTAGGCGAAGTACATATATACAACTTCTTGCATCCATGTAGAATATGAGGCTGAGTAGCAGTAGGTACGGCCCGGTCATGCCATCCCACTCTTGACTCGTGAGCTGTAACTTCGCAGTACTAGCTGGCTACCTACTGCATACATACTACCTATTGTTCTGAAACATGTTTGCACAGCCTTTCGCTTTGCCTGATCCGGTGGATCCATCAGCCGGCATTCGTGCAGTAGTAAGCATAAACTCTCAAGCGAGCCACTACCATTCAACCATTGCCAGATCGTACACTAGCGTTGAGTGTAAGCAACCAACTTTTCTTCATCCAGAACGTGCAGCCTTGAAGGTTCGAAGGTTCGAAGTGCAGCAGGCGCCGGAAACGACTCCTCCGAAAGACTCGGCAACAATTGCAGCACCCAGCATGTGGCCGCCATGTATGTATGTCTTGGACTCGTCGTACACGCGCTTCTCTGGCAGTCGTGCTCTCAAGACGCTTCATCGTCCGTTTCGTCATGGCACTACGCCATGAAGCCTCAGACCAATGCCGGACAAGAGCCGCACCACTGATCAGGTGAGAGGCTTAGCGCTGGGATAGTATAGCTATGGTAAATATGTCATTTTGGAGAACGCAGGACTGGATTGGAGAGTTGAGCGAACTGGTCTCAGTAGAGATGATGAGTTGTGAGGCTGTTGAGGTTGCTGGAAGCGCTGCACTAGTCCCGATCAGTCTTAGCCCCCATCATACGCGCTCAGCCCTCTCGAATGAATGCTGGCGGCAACAACAAGCGAACATCCATCTCTGCATCAATCTGTCTCGTCCGTCATCATGAGCGCCAACAAACGCCTCTATTGCTTTCCATCATGCAGGGCTACCAGCCATGACAGAGTGCCGGCGCTTCTGGTAAGCACGGGTACAGACATCTGGGCGAGTCCCAAACATAGAGTATTACTACTTATGCACACAGCCTACCAGCGGCCGTGCTTGTACATTGGATGCGAATTCTTTCCTTCTTTCTGACGTTTGTCGTTTGACAACTTTCCTTAATACTTCTCTGTTGTTTCTTTGCCTGTATCAGTTTCAGCCGTTGATCGGCCTGTTCTTTGGTTTCCCATGCCCTCTCAATTTCTCTCAGGTCAGTACTTCTCCGTCAGATCAATGCCATCGCATGAGAACTGATCAGGCAACAGATCTTGTACAGTTATGATTCTTAGACTCTGCGCTCTTCTCATTGCCACGGCATTTCCTGTGTCTTTAGCATATCCTCAAAGCATTCATGATGCTGAAATTCCATACGAGTTGTCTGTTGTACCAGAGTGTGCAAGGGAGTGTCTGCGCGAGTCTCTAGCGACGACTTTTTCTTCTGATTGTAAAGATAGTGGCACGAACGACATCCAGTGCTACTGCGCAGCCTATGACAGCAACGGCTTCACTTTCGGAGAAGCGGCATTGCGGTGCTTCTACATGAACTGCCAGAGTGATAAGGAGGAAGCATCACGTATATATAACGTCTGCGTTGGTCAGCCAAAGGCAGTCCAGCGAACTATGGGCTCAATACCCATCACCCGGTTCCCTCCATCAACGACCGTGTCAACAGCCCCACCGTTAATTACATCGAGTACGTCAGAAGTAAAAGGTACGATGATGTTGTGGCCGTACATGCCTACGCCAATAACGACATCAATTCCAAATGAGACTCCAGGTGCAGCTTCGGATGCTACACCGGGGCCGTCAGCTGCGGTAGCACCAGCACCTCACTCCACGGGACCATTGAGCACCCCTCAGATCGTGGGCATATCCGTTGCTGGGGCCTCGGCTCTTATCCTCGCTACTGGTGCAATCATTCTTGTGACCTGTACTCAGCAACGGCGAAGACGACGAGCTATGGAGCAAGCGAAATTTGATCGTATGGAAAACAAAAGTGAAAAACGAAGTCCTCCAGGAAGCCGCGATGGGGAGGGTAATTCATCCTTGAAGCCACTCATGTTGCCTTTTAAGGTGTTAAGAGATCCTCGCAGTGGCCCTGGAGGAGTTGGTATAGCTCCCGCGCCTCCAAGGTCGACAACTCCGTCACCGCGTCGGTCCGTCGTCGGCCTGGCGCCAGTACGGACGAATCTTCCCAGGCTGCAATTGAACGACCAGCGACCAAGATCACAGTGGATCAATCCAGATATTCCAGTGGAGCAGATTGGTTTGGCTATTAGTCCAGAGTCGGATCTTGGAACGTCTCCAGATAGCATGAGAAGCACGAGAACAGTCTCACGTCTTCTCCCGGCAAAGCCTTCACCTCAGCTCGCTCGTCCAACGAGTACGGCGTCTGGTCTGACAGTGTTCGAAGAAGATCGATACAGCAGATCAGTGCGGCAGAGTCAAGCGGCTCGCCCGCCCCTTGCTCGACTCTCAGCAGCGAATGCTCTGACTGAACTTCCAACCCCACCCACTCAAATGAGCCCCTTTGCAGACCCTACAATGGTGCCTCGGCCACTAAACCACTCAATGCGTCAAGTAAGCCATCCACCCACGCCGCCTCCGCCTTTTCCTGTTCCTCCAATTCCAGTGTCCGTTCCGAAGGCGCCGTCAGCGTCAGAGCCATCTATGCCGTTCACCCCTGCTCCCATCAAATCCAGCTTAGGCGGGCCTAAGGAGCCGCCCGTGTTGTCTCTCAACATACCCATCAGACAGTCACGGACACCTCTGCTACCAAACTTTGAGACCTTCCTTTCACAAGCGTCTTCCCCAATACTACCTCCAAAGCCATTGTCCGCAAAGCCACTGCCTACAAGAGTGTTTGCGGCCCCCGAGTATACATCACCAGCGACCGAAGTCCCTCCTAGAACACCAAATATGGCGAACCTAGTGGGAACACCACCAACAACGAGCCGAAAACGTGGCAGCAACGATAGTACTAGCACCGACGGTTCCGAAGGTTATGTACCGAAGTACTACGCCAGCCCACGAAGTACGGCTGGTGCTGGAAAAGTTGACAAACCGAGCAAGTCACCAAGAATCATAGATATCGGCACAGCCGGCTCAACCAAAACATCCACACCGCTGTCTCGGAGCTCGACGCACAAGTCGGCATCCGTCCGGGACTCAATGGCTTCCTGCACGACCTTCGAGACCGCCGACATGGACGAGCCCACGCCCCCATCAGACGAAGAAAAGACTCTACCCGCCATCCCAGAATCGCCCATCTCCGGGCTGAAATACCCCAAGATCCCTCGCGCATCCAATCAAGCCGTCCCCCGCAGTCCCCGCAGCTCACATGGCTCCCTCACACTCGACACGCGACCCTCACTGCTACAGAAGCGCCGCGGCGACGACGCAGCTCAGGATCTCGAAAAGCGCCTGTTTGTCAGCCCGATCTCGTCTAGTCTCCGCTCCAGCAACACGACGCATAGCAGAGTGGGTAGTGATGGCACGCTGCCTCAGCAGGTCACGTACTCGCAGCTCGCGGTCAAGTCTGGGCCTGGCAGTGCGGATATGTTCGGCCCGTTGAAGAGCCCGATGTGGGCGCCGCGCATCACGCCGACGCGCCGGGGACAGGATCTGTTTCTCTCGGTCTCGTAGGGTGGGATAATGAGGATCTGTAGGCTGCAGGTCGCGACCTCTTTATTTCTGGGGAAGGGGGGTCTTTTAATATGGTATTGGTGGTCCGTCCTCCAGGTGAGACACGCACACACACATACACACAAAAAACCACGTTTCCTTTGCGTCAATTGTAAACAGCAAAGATACCCCATTCATTTGATTTCTTGCAAGCTTTTTCGGTCCAGGTCTGGGTCTGGGTAGGTGGGTGGGCATCGTGAGCACTCTTTCTAGCATTGCATAGAACCTATCAGAGCAAAATCCGCATCCACGATATCAAAGTGGCATTGTATCATAGTTTTAATTTGGAAATGAAATGAAAAATTTAGCAGTACATCATACATTGTTCATTCCCAACTGTGCCACCATTATTCATCATCGATCGTGACACAATACGCTGCAGAGACCTAAGTGGACAAGGGATTTTAATACTTTTTATGGCGCATGAAACGAGTGCACGGTCAACGAAATGGGGATATAGCTCAATGGTCAGAGTGCTTGACTACGATGATGTATGTATTGTATGTACATGGGATGTGAGATCAAGAGGTTCTGAGTTCGACCCTCAGTATCCCCTGTTCCTTTTACTTGTTTTTTGGTTGGGTTTTGTGGTTTCTTGGGGGTAATAATGAATGAATGAATGGATTATATGGAGATGTGGCCGGAGGTGGCTTAATGTGGTAAGCCGGATATGCCAAGAGGGTAAGGGTCTTCAAGTCCTTCTGCCTTAGGCGCCGACGCGATGTCGGAGACACTTCCGCGACCGGTCGTCCGTGGCGATGTGTCAATAGTGTTTACTAATTACTGGTGGAATCCGTCGCACTGTTACTAAGCACTGGATCGGTCCATTCTAATACATACATAAATAGACCTTGCTCTATGGGATATGTTGGTATTTATCTTTATCCAATAGAGTCGGTGGTATTTCGTGTATATGAATAAGGAGGTATTGATTATATACTACTACTTTCTAGCACAGACTATAACTGTTTCTTGTACGTATGTACGAATGAACCTAAACTCGCAGAGCTCTTACAACCCCATGGCTATCCATACTCAGGATATATATATATATATATATATATCCAGATATATACATCTCAAATTGCGGGTTGAGGAATGCCAAGTGCCATGCTACAAAAGTCACAGATGAATTGTAACTGGGCGGGTCCCCCCAACTAGCGTGGACATTTCATCATGGATGGAGGGGCAAGCCAAGCCCAACAACGCAGTTCCTGTTGCTCTGTTTCTTTTTATCGTCTCCCTCTCTCCCTCCGAAACTTTTCTTCCGACTACAATATCCCAATTATACCCATTCAATCCGCCTTTCACCATGGGCTACACAGACGTTGACCAGCTTGCCATCAACACAATCCGTACCCTCGCCGTAAGTACTTCCACTCTATCTATCCTTCAGCTTCCCGCTACTACCCTACCCCACTATTGATGAGCTCTCAGCTCAACATACAGTACCCTTTGTTCTTTCGGCCAATTCTCCCCAGCCATCAAAGCCAGCGTCAAATTGACAATACAATCTAATCATTCTGCTATCCTAGATCGATGCTACCGCCGCTGCGAACTCCGGTCATCCCGGAGCCCCTATGGGCATGGCGCCAGTCGCCCACGTCCTCTTCAACAAGTTCATGACTTTCAACCCAAAAAACCCCGACTGGTTGAATCGCGATCGTTTCGTGCTATCGTACGTCCTAGCCTTTTCATATCTGTAGCAAGCGAGGCAGTGGGATGGTACTGGGAGCTTCGAAGGATCGAGGACAGCCGGTGTTGGCTTACTCGGGGCGTGATTGCCTCTTGTCAGCATTGCTGATAAGGATCTTTGTGTGACGAGCGGAAGAGAAGTTTGCTCAAAGTACCCGGATGTCGATCTCTAGCCATTGGCAGTCGTGCGGGTTGCACATTCGAATCGACACAGCTGTTGTAAGCTGACGCTAACTCTATTCTCATAGGAACGGACATGGATGCATGCTCCAGTATGCTTTGCTACACCTTTTCGGCTACGGCGTCTCTCTAGATGACCTAAAGAACTTCCGCGTAAGTACCAAGAGTGTGGTTCACAATGGCTTCCTCGCTCATAGATAGCAGCAAATCGACAGCATCACCCCAGGTCACCCGGAAGCACATGATACCCCAGGTGTTGAGGTCACAACCGGTCCTCTGGGTCAGGGTTTCGCCAATGCCGTCGGTCTGGCTATTGCACAACAGCACACCGCTGCTGTGTTCAACAAGCCCGGATTCGAGCTGGTGAACAACCACATCTACATGTTCTTTGGTGATGGATGCGCCATGGAGGGTATCGCCAGTGAAGCTGCTAGCACTGCTGGTCACCTGCAGCTAGGCAACCTGATTGCCGTATACGACGACAACCATATCTCTATTGGTTAGCATGATGATTGAGTTTTGAAAAACATGACCGACTAATTAATCTGCAGACGGCGACACCAAGTGTGCTTTCACTGAAGACGTTACGAAGCGATTCGAGTCATATGGCTGGCACGTCCAGTGGGTCAAGGATGGTGACAACGACCTCGAGGGTATTGAGGCCGCTATCAAGGCAGCCAAGGAAGTGAAGGACAAGCCTTCCATGATCCGCCTCACAACCACCATCGGTTTCGGCTCCAAGCTTCAGGGTACCGGCGGTGTTCACGGAAACCCTCTCAAGTCCGACGATATTCAGCAAGTCAAGCAGAAGTTCGGATTCGACCCTGAGAAGACCTTTGTCGTCCCTCAAGAAGTCACGGACCTGTACCACAAGCATGCCGCAGACGGCGCTGCTGCTGAACAAGAGTGGAACAAGCTTTTCGAAAGCTATGGCAAGGAGCACGGAGACCTACACAAGGACCTCACCCGTCGTCTGAAGGGAGACCTACCAGAGGGATGGCAAGATAAGCTGCCAACATACAAGCCAGGTGATGCCGCCATTGCCTCGCGTAAGCTTTCAGAGTCAGTACTAGAGGCCATCTACGAAGCCGTGCCTGAACTCCTCTCCGGATCTGCTGACCTGACTGGCTCCAACAACACCCGGTGGAAGAAGGCAGTCGACTTCCAACCCCCCAACCTTGGCATTGGAGACTGGTCCGGACGTTATCTCCGGTATGGTGTGCGTGAGCATGCGATGGCTGGTATCATGAACGGTCTATCCGCCTACGGAACCATCATTCCTGCTGGTGGTACTTTCCTGAACTTCGTCTCATATGCTGCTGGATCTGTCCGTCTCTCGTCCCTCTCACACCAGCGTGTCATTTACATCGCCACCCACGACTCGATCGGTCTTGGTGAGGATGGCCCGACTCATCAGCCTATCGAGACTCTTGCCCATTTCCGAGCGCTGCCCAACATGATGGTATGGCGCCCAGCTGACGGTAACGAGACTTCTGCTGCCTACTACATGGCTCTCACGTCCAAGAGCACTCCTTCTATCCTTGCCCTTACCCGTCAGAACCTTCCTCAGCTCGAGGGCTCTACCATCGAGAGAGCCATCAAGGGAGGCTACGTTGCCCTCGAAGACAAAGACGCGAAGATCACCCTAGTATCGACTGGTTCCGAGGTGTCACTCTGTCTTGAGGCCGTCAAGGTGCTCAAGGAGCAAGGTATCCCAGCTCGTGTCGCATCCCTGCCTTGTGTCGAAGTGTTCGATGCCCAGGACAAGGAGTACAAGCTCAGCGTTATCCCCGACGGTATTGCATCCATGTCTGTTGAGGTCATGTCCACTCTCGGATGGGAGAAGTACAGTCATGAGCAGTTTGGTCTTAACCGATTTGGTGCTTCTGGACCATACAAGGAGGTCTACAAGGTAAGTTTAGACGTAGATTCGGACTCTCTTCACATTATTGACGTTTCCAGAAATTCGAATTCACTCCTGAGGGCATCGCTAAGCGTGCGGCCGCAACCGTCGAGTTCTACAAGGACGTCAAGCCTCTCCGCTCGCCGCTTAACCGTGCCTTCCAGCAACTCATCTAAAAAGTCTTGGATGTGCCTACCGATACATGTGCATGCGACAGACGTGGCTCGCGGATAGCCACTTCACGACACGATGGACGAGGATCTTGGCCTGCGTCAGCGATTGAGGTAAAATGTTTCAAATAGCCCTATAGAAATTGAGATATGAAGCTTCAACCCACGTGTTCTGATCGCCATTGACGATGATATTTGCGAATATCAAAGTCAATTTGACGCTACCACGCACTGCTGTACTCTATGACACTTCTTTCCATTATTTTCATTAAGAAGGTAGGTCATTCATGTAGTAATGTTTCTTTGCGTATTTGTGAGAATTTCAGATTCATATGGTAGGAAACGGGAATAAGGAGCTGACTAAATTCCGTCACCGGCCTCACCTCTACGTCCTGACTCTTCTCTCTCTTTCTCAACCTTCTTATGTACGCTCATGGAAAGTCACCTCACGCAATAATGTCTTCTACCTTTCCTTCCGTACAGTCCTTCTTCCAGCCCACGTTTGCATCAATATCGCGGAGCGGCTCGAGCTCGGAGCTAGGAAAAGACCTGACTGGCGATGGCTTCTCAGCAGAAGACGTTAACAGCGTGATCAACCCACCAGTAAACACCAATTGGACACCGACTCGCGACTACGAAGAGACTGACATTGCCGACCTTGTGCCTGGTCCGAGATGTGTGACGTTCATGGGCAGGATAGTGAACGTATTCGATCTGGTCACGCCGAGTAAGAAGCCCAAGGCGGCCAAAGGGTGCTTGAAGATGGTGCTGAGGGACGATACCGGCACTGTCACGGTATGTGTGTCGTGTGCTCAGCTACAGGCTGAATACACCAGCGATGGCGATGTTCCACACTGGGCTTCTAGTTTGTGGCCTACTACTCACATCGCTCGCAGGTCCGCTTATGGTATGCAAAGACTGTGTATACGCTTCGTCTCGGACAGCTTGTCAGTGTGTGGACACAGCACATCTCCAACGGTGATCATGCCAGTCTTGCCCCGAGCAACGCACCGCTCTTTGCAAGCGTGTTTCCTGAGAGAGAACGATTGTGTCACATCATGGTGCATGTCCGCAGTGACGACGGACGGCTCTGCAAAATTCCAAAAGGCTACATCGAGGGACAGCATCTGTCGAAGCTCATGACGCTGAGGTCCTACCTGGACGGCGGCCACGAAGTCGAGGAGGGAAGAGTCCTCGTATGCGTAGAGAGCATAGGCGCAAAGAAGACTAGTAACCATTCCCCCAGTATCCCCCCTCAGCACAACCCATACTAACACTCCCACCCTCAAAACAGTCACAAACAAACAAAACACCACAACAACCCTCACCCCCCTCACAATCTTCGACACCACAACCTCCTGCACCCTCACCCTCTTCGCCCACGCCCCCTCCTCAACCCCCCTCTTCCACCCCTCCCACACAATCCTCCTCCTCACATCCCCATCCCTCCACCTCTCCCCCAACTCCACCCCCTCCCTAACCCTCTCCCAAACCTCAACCCTCGACATAAACCCTGCAATCCCAGCAACAACCCACCTCCGCACCTACGCCCTCCACCGCGCCATCCAATCCCACATCAACCCTCCCTTCCCACCCCAGCACATCTTCAACATCCACGCCGCCGCATCCTCGGCCCTCAGAATCCGCTATACCCTCGCTGACATCGACGCCGCGGCTCGTGCGAACCCCGCTGATACACTGTCTGGCTATGTCAGCGTGCTTATCTCGCGTGTCTGTCTTGTGCGGCTCAGGAGGCGGTGCATGCTTATGTGTGCTGCTTGTCCGCGGTGTGGGGTCGGGGTGTATGCTTCTGCGGTTGTGGCGGCTTGTTCGCGGTGTGAGGAGGATAATGATGATGATGACGGTGGGCAGGGTGTTGCGCTGGCGCTGAATCCGGATGTGCTGGGCGAGGTGGTTGATGAGACAGGGTGTTTGCGGGGTGGGAAGGCTGTGTTTTCGGAGGAGGCGTGGGGGCAGTTGTTTGGGCGGTCGGTGGGGGAGTTGGTTGGGTGTGAGGTGGAGGTGTTGAGGTATTTGGAGGAGAGGATGGCGGGGGTGCGGGTTACGCTTTGTTTTGGGTGGGTTGGGGGTGGTGGTGGTGGTGGTGGTGGTGGTGGGTATGGACGTGGGGATGGATATGGAGAGGGGGAGGGGGTAGGGAGGTTGCTTGTTTGGGGGGTTAGGGCTTGATTTGGGGGATGGGGTGTTTTGTGAGGAGATGGATGGGCGGGTCAGACGGGTCGATGGTAGGTTGTGTGAGTGAGATTATATCTACGTGAGATACTGAGAAGTGTGTTAGGTTGAACTTTGTACGATACAGAAATATGCTTGAAGCCTTTACTCTTTACTCGCCCTCGCGCGACAAACCACATCCCCTATATCCAAGGCCTCAAACCGATCTACGAACCTGTCTACCACCCCCTCGCCACACATCTATTTTAGGAGTTGTGGGATCGGAAGTGGGTGCATAGAAGTGTGTGGATGAGGACTTTGGAGTATGCTCGGACGAGGTTGCTAGAGCGCATTCTATGCTATTTCGAAAAGAAACGTCGACGTTGGAAACAAAAACACCACGAACTCCATCCCAACATGCTCGATTCTACCACTAAACTACCCAACCCAACACCTGATATCGTGCGTGGTCCAGCAGTCACTCTGGCCTCACCCCTATGTGTCTAGTATTTCTTACTTCTTACGAGGACGCAAGGGTCTGCCCTCACGCTTTCTCTTCTGCGGAGTGGTAGGTAGAGCAGAATCTTCGCGGTGCGAACGCGATTCCGGAATACGGAAGGAGGGCGGCGGTGATACCACCGGCCGATCTGATTCGGTGTCTCCGTCACGACTGATCTCCAAACCCACATCCTGTTCATGAGTGTCCTCTGCATCCGTGTCGCTCTCAGACTCCGGTTCCATATCACGGACAATGTAGACCATGCCATTCGCGACCGGCCTCAGGATCTCGGCCTCGACGATATCCTCGAGGGAGGCGTTGTCTAGTTTGCCTCGGTACACGGCCAGGAGATGCAGGATCCAGAGCAGAAGATTGATCGTGAACTCGTCCTTCTTGCCGTATCGCGACCACTCGATGGCTTTGTACTCGACGATGGCTGCGTCTGTGACGTTGCCGATGACGTCGCTCATGCGGGCCCCAGGACTGTTCGGCTCATAGCTGCCAATGCGCAGAGCTACCAGCTCCAAATTCGTGATGATATATCCGTAGCGCGCCCTTCCAAGAATGCAATACCACAGAACTTGGGCGATGGGCGAAAGACGCGCGTCGCTCGTAGTGCAAGTGACTTCCCCTGTGGCCTCGTCGGTGATATCGGAGACTACAGTGCTGTCCCAGCTCCACCCAGTTTTGGTCTCGCCTGGGAGTATGTTGATATCATTCTCTTCGCCACATATACTAGCCCAATCAGGGAGAAATTTTGGTTCTGTCCGGTCTCGCAGGTATGCTTGCCCTCCTCGGACTAGTCTCATCGGAGGTACGACTTGGCGGGGAGTATTCTCTAGAGCTTCTAGTATAATAAATTGATTGGATTGAATCAAGACTGACTCCAGAGAGTTTTCGTTGCTGATTTGGAGTAGTGGCCTATGCAGGAAAGGTGGGTCACGTAAACTCGATTTTCGTTGAGATAGAGTCTTCTGGAGCACATCCAAGAGTGGCTCTGGTTCAAGTGTTTTCCAGTCCCTGATGATCAACGGCTTCGGATATCTCGCCGGCTTGCTACCGGATTTCTTAGTGCCTTTGGGGGTACTATGTTTGCTCGTACCGGAGATGGAAAGTCTCTTGTCTCGAGGCTTGGTTGGTCTCAGCTGATCTCTAGTGTTAGTATGGACTGATTCAAGATCCACAAATTTACTCACGATAGCATGTCTAGTAATTGCAGGATTCTCCTGAATCAGGTATTCGTGGAGTGTGCGTACTTGGCCCATGTTGCGGTAAGGCTGTCAACTATGTCTATAGTGCCAGGGCAGACATGGTCCACCGGCATACATTGATATAGAAAGACATCTAAGACTCAATGACAGGGCTTTTCAGGCAAACAAGTGCCTTCTGCATGAACCATCAGCAAGATATCTGCCGCGATCATCCATTGGAGGTTGTAGATGCGCAAAAGAGGAGTTGCTGCCAGCTATCCTCGACGAAGACAAGCCAAGCCATATAATCTCAGGGGGTGTATGGGTGTCGGGCAAATTCATGTGATAGGTATGCGAGTGTTTGCTTGCTCCGGTGTTATTTAAGTGGCCATCTCATCCCTTATCTTGTGTAGCAGTATCGATGAATAGATCCATCAGCGGTTCGTTCGCGAGGGTGACCCCCGCACCCGACGGCACGGATCGAAGGCTGTCTAGAAGAACCAATCTACTGGCTTTAAGCAAAACGACACTTGTTGTCACACGATGATCCCTCCCTGATGGCGCTGCCTCATTATCGGCTACCTATCAGTGAAGCTGCCCCGATCAATAAACAAACCGTCAGCTTTGAGAATGGGCTGCATGATTAGCGCGATGTGACAGAAATGGCCGAATTTCGTAATTTGCTCTCTTTGTCTTACCTGTACAAGGGTACGCCAACTTCAGCTCTGTGGCAGGAATGCCTGCCTTGCTTTGTGCAACTTAACAAGGTCAGCTTTTGTTCCGGATCTTCAGAGCGAGAAGACCTCAAACTTCGCTACGACATGTCGCTGGCGCGCTTCCAGCTCGCATATAGTCCTAGAAGGCCATTGCCACCTTGCGAAGGACCAAAGCTGTTGCCATTCAAGAGACATAAGGGTAATATCCACTTCCTAAAGCTTCTTAGTTCGTCGCCGCGCTTGGACGGATCTGAAGGAGCCGAAGGAGGTCACAGCTATGTCTTCAAGGTTCGCATAGGTAAGAAGAAGTATGCACTAAAGGTCGTAAGTAAATATGCGCATAGTTAACCACGGCTTTGTCGTTCAAGCCTAATATGGGTCTAGTTCAAGTTCTTCAGTGTCGAGCAAGAACGCTCCTCGGTATTTCCTACCGATAAGGTCAAGGCAAGCGATGAGATAATCACCTATCACTCCGATCCATTTTATGCAGAGTGTAGAGCATACGGAAAGCTGCAAATCCATGAGCAACAGCAGCAAAAACAACGAACAAGAGACGAGAGGCGGCGACATCGGGAACATCCACACCGACTAGCTGTACCCTGCTACGGCTATCTTTATCTCTCGGCAGAGCAGTATGGGGAAATCTTCAGCGAGCAATTCGGGATTCGAGACTGGGACTGGCCAGAAGAAGATGAAGAAAAGAGCTGGCGGGAGAAGCCACCGTTCCGAGCTTTGGTGAAAGAGCTCGTAGAGTCCAAGGAAGCCATCGTTAACGCAGAAGAAATGGAGCGAGATCTACACGGACTGAGGAAATTGGGAATATACCCAGTAGACCTGTACGCGAGGAATTACCTGGATGGAAAACTTGTTGATTTCAGTAGCGCGCTGATATCTCCACACTGGTGGCTCGATTCTCTCAGACCACTGCGGCGCCAGAGGGTGTTGGACGAGGAGCTTTTACTGTTCAGAGAGATGATCAGAGAGGCACAAACCAATTCCTGAGATATTGCTGCGAGGGGCTAGACACTGTCCGGGGGAGGAGATGAGAATTAAAGAGAGCCAAAGCCAAGGAGATGAAATGATAGCATCATGAATGATGGTGCTATGTATAGCCATTCTGAAACTACATTATCACTTCGGAAACCAAGTATCGCTCTTCAACCTCGCAGCAATCATTGCGTACGAGAGGAAAGGAGAGGTCAGAGTGGCGGCAGTCAGCCTCGATGGGAGATTGGGCATAGCTTCAAGACGATGGAAGAAGCCTTGCCGAGCGGTAAATGTACGATATCTGGTAGTCAGCGACGAGTAATGATCTCTAATCACTGCATTGATAGCGGGGATAGGAGGGTGAATAAGTGAGAGTTTGAAGGAGAAGAAGGAAGACGAAGAAGAAGCTTGAAAGAGTAAATGATTTAGCTACTGTGTACTCGGTACTTATCGATAAGAAGAGCTTAGCTCCGTGTCCTTAAGGCCGTGTCTAAGGACGTCACTAACCTTGCACTGAGAGCTCTCCCGACATATCAAACTCAGCTCAGCAGTCGTCATCTACCACTCCTTTACAACAACACGCATTCCATGAATTCACTCACGCGAACCATACGAAAAGCATCAATTCAAACTATCCAGTCACCAACAGTCAGGGCATGTACGACTTTGCAGCTATCAGCCATGAAGCTAACATGGATGCTCTAGTCGCCACGGTCTCGCAAGATGCATATCCAGTCAATTCCCATGTGTACGAACTCGGTCTGATGCCAGCAATACATTAGTACTGACATGGCTCAAGGGAAGGGTAAGGGGAACAACTACGCTTACCTTGTTTCCGACGACTCGTACTCGGAGTCCGTCATCATCGACCCGGCAAACCCACCAGAGTATGTATGGTCCTGGCTGAAGAAGTCGTAGCAGTACTGACGTCCTATAGAGTCCTTGCAGCCCTCAAGCCCCAGCTCGAGAAGATCAATCTCAAGACGATCATCAACACCCACCAGTGCGTGCCATGCCTGGGCTTGACCGTCCTTACTGACCAGTAACAATAGTCATCATGACCATGCTGGCGGCAACAATACGATGCGCTCCTCCCTTTCTTCACTCAACCTCAGTATAATCGGTGGCAAAGACTGTGAATCGGTCGAGAACGTCCCTGCGCACAATTCAACTTTCACAATCGGAAAGGGGATCAAGGTCACGGCTTTGCACACGCCCTGCCATACGCAAGACAGTATCTGCTTTTACATGGAGGACGGGGACGACAGGGTGGTGTTCACCGGAGACACACTCTTCATTGGAGGTCAAGACAATGCCAGGAGAACGATTTCTAAGACAATACTGACTGAGATGCAGGATGCGGAAGACTGTTCGAGGGGACACCGAAAGAGATGCACAAGGCACTCAACGAGGTGCTCGCTGCATTGCCAGACGACACCAAGGTTTTTGTACGTTGCTCTAATGTTGTGTCCGTGATTGTCGTACTGATGCGATACAGCCTGGACACGAATACACCAAAGGCAACGTCAAGTTCGCCAAAAGCGTTCTACCTGAAGACCCCGAAATCAAGCGTCTCGACGACTTTGCAACATCGAATGAAGAGACTCAGGGAAAATCGACAATTGGCGACGAGAAGGTGTGTACAGTGTCAACTTCACGAAGCACCTACTGACATGAGCCAGAAATTCAATGTGTTCATGCGCGTGGCCGACCCTGCTATCCAGAAGTACACAGGCGAGACAGAGCCTGTCGCTGTTTTGGCGAAGCTGCGGTCTGCTAAGGATAATGCGTAGTGCTATCACTCTTGAGAATGTACAATGTGGTGGGTGGTGTGGATAGGTGGGTGATGACTGATGAGAGATGATGTGACAAGAAAGCGTGCAGCATTTGAGGTGTTTAGAGAGGTGTGGATGGGTGGTGTTGACAGAATCTAGCTCAGGGGTGTTGATAAAAGGAGTCAGAACTTTGACAACGTGTCTTGTTCCACCATACCTTGTAACGAGAAGCAAAGGCATAAGTGAAAGTCGACCATGGACAACTTTATTCACATCATAACACTCTGACACCAAACTCTACAAGTCCAGCGCATGTGAACTGTATGTAGACTGTGCCCCTTTATTACCCTGGTCCGCTAAAACGACGCTAGAACCTCGGTTTACTCGCTTCTTCACACCTTTACACTTGTCTCGTCTTCACATAGTCATCTTCGGCTTGCTTCGGCCCAATCGCATCGTTCAGAATGGGTTGAGCAATCGAGTTTAGCTCTGCGGGGCATCAAACGTCTTCCTCATGCGTGTGCCCCTCGTCCGAGTCCGTAGCAGTCTTGGCACCGTTTATGATGATCTTCCCAAGGGTGCTTGCAGATATCCCCGACACACGCGTAGTACTGCTGCTCTACAGCCCCTGTCTGTCCATGTACGACCTCGATAGATAGATATTACTCCCTCAAGCGCTATCATGGCCCCGGAAACCCCGATTGATACTCGTGAAGACGGCAATGGCACTTCTGCGGACACTGCAGACACTGCGGAGCAAGGAGAGCTTCTCTGGCAACATGCGGATCCAAAGAGCACGAATATGTGGAGATTCCTATTGGAATTGAACAGAAAGTACAAAATGGAGTTGAAAGACTATAAAGAGCTGTATGACTGGAGCGTGGACAACATTGCGGAATTCTGGGGCGAGGTCTGGCAATGGGTCGGGATCCGAGCATCCAAACAGTATGATCAGGTACCTACCAATTGATTTCTCTTCTGTGCATGCGCAAGTGTGTATGTGTGATTGACATGTCCATAGGTTGTAGATGCGCAAGCCCCCATGTTCCCCCGTCCAGCCTTCTTCTCCGGCGCGTCCCTCAATTTCGCCGAAAACTTGCTGTTTCCCCTCTGTGAGGTTGATGAAACTGCGCCTGCTATACTGGCGGCGACGGAGACTGACAGAGAGACTGTGTCATGGGCCGAGTTGAGACAGCGCGTCGCAAAGCTCCAGGCAAGTCTCGCGGCATTGGGACTAGAGCCAGGAGACAGAGTTGCGGGCTATGTAGCAAACCACACAAATGCGCTTGTGGCGATGCTGGCGACGACGGCGCTGGGTGGCATATGGACAGCAGTATCTCCTGATACGGGTGTGACTGCCGTGCTCGACCGGATGAAGCAGATCGAACCGAAAGTTCTGTTCTCGGATAACGCTTCCTACTACAATGGCAAATCACACCCGGTCATCCCCAAGCTCGCCGAAATCGTGTCCGGACTTCCCACCCTGGAAGCGGCCGTAGTCTTCGAAACCATATCCGGCAATGATATGACAGAACTGAGAGACATCAAGCTTGCCGACAATCTGGGCTCGGCCTGCACGTACGACTCATTCCTCAGAATCGGGCCCCCGGTCTGGAACCTCAAGTTCACCCAATTACCCCCTGATCACCCAGTCTACATCCTGTACTCCTCCGGCACCACAGGCGCTCCGAAATGTATCGTCCACGGTGCCATCGGCACCCTCGTCCAGCACAAAAAGGAGCACATCATCCACTCCTCCATCGTCCCCGGCTCCCGCTTCTTCTACTTCACAACCTGCACCTGGATGATGTGGCACTGGCTCGTCTCCGGCCTCGCCGCCGGCGCCATCCTCGTCCTCTACGACGGCTCCCCATTCCGCTCCCGCTCCCCAGACCTCCCAGGCCACAGCATCGCCGACGACCTCGCCATGCCGCGCCTCATCGACGAACTCTCAATAACCCACTTCGGCACCTCAGCAAAATACCTCAGCGTCCTCGAGCAAAAAGCCCTCTTCCCCCACAAAACCCTCCCCCTCTCCTCCCTCCAAGCAATCTACAGCACCGGCTCCCCCCTCGCCCCCAGCACCTTCAAATGGGTCTACACCGCCTTCCCCCCCACCCTCACCCTATCCAGCATCACCGGCGGCACAGACATCATCTCCCTCTTCGGCGCCCCCTGCCCGCTCGTCCCCGTCTTCGCCGGCGAAATCCAAGCCCCCGGCCTCGGCATGCGCATCCGCGCCTTCGACCACACAGCCACCGACATCACCCTCTCCGGCGCCCCAGGCGACCTCGTCTGCACCCGCCCCTTCCCCTGCCAACCCGTCTCCTTCTTCGCCGACGACGACCCCCCAGCCGCAAAGTACCGCGCCAGCTACTTCGACCTGTTCCCCGGCGTGTGGCACCACGGCGACTTTGTCCGCTTCAACCCGCGCACGCGCGGCCTCGTCATGCTGGGCCGCAGCGACGGCGTGCTGAAGCCGCAGGGTGTGCGGTTCGGTAGCGCGGAGATATATAATGTGCTGCTGGCGCATTTCGGGAATGATGACGTGGACGGCGGGGTTGCGGATGGGCTGTGTGTCGGGAGGCGGAGGCCTGGGGAGAGTGATGAGACGGTCGTGCTGTTTGTGAAGATGGTGGAGGGGAGGGTGTTTGGGGAGGGGTTGGCGGAGCGGGTGAGGCGGGTGGTGAGGCGGGAGTTGAGTGCGCGGCATGTGCCTGGTGTGGTGGATGTGTGTGTGGATATTCCGGTTACGACGAATGGGAAGAAGTGAGTTCTGCTCCTTTTCTTTTTTGGTTCGATTGCGTTTTGGGACGAGATATTGTGTGCTGACAATCCCATCACCAGAGTCGAAGGCGCGGTAAAGCAGATCCTGTGCGGAATGAATGTCAAGACGTCGGCGAGCGTGGCGAATCCGGAGTGTTTGGACTGGTATCGCGAGTGGGCGCGCACGCACTGAGTGATCTGTCTGTCTGTCTGTTCTGTGATGAGAGGGACTTCAAGATAAAGATTGAACGCCTTTTAGTTTGCACGATAGGATAGGATATATCATACAAGAGTCAGGTGTTGCGGCATCGATGCCGGTGAGGCGAGGGGATACATCAAGCCCAAACAGCGCGCGAGACATGATACAGCACGGATAGTATATACAATATAAAAACACGACTCCTCACTCACTACCCCCCTCACCCCCGCTCCCCCTCAGCAACCCTCCCTCAAGCACCCCCAAGCACGCCCCCAACCCCCCTCAAAACCCCCTCCAACGCCCCCTCATCCCCACAAGCCGCAAACACAACCCGATCCAACCTAACAAGCACGTACCTCGCACCGGGAAACTCCTCATGAATCCGCCCCTCATTATACATAGCTGGGTACGGACGATCCGCAAGCAGGGCGCTGGCGGCGTATTCGGCGAGGGATGCGGGGCGGAGGAGGGTTGTATCTTTTAGGTTAGTGGGGAGGAGGGAGATGAGACTGGGATAGGTGGTGGAATGAGTGTGAGGGGAGGGGAAAAGAAGGAGGACAGCTTCGGAGCCGAGGACGGTGTTATCGGAGAGTGATGCGATGCGAGGAATCAGGTCTGCGATCTGCGAGATGAATTGTGAGAGTAGTGGTGCAGAGGGCAGGAGCACGAGAAGCTGTAAGACGCCCGTCTTTGCGCGATCAAACAATATATCATCAAGCAGCCTGACCTCACCCCCAGCGTCAGCACCACCACCGCCCAACACCACACATCCGATCTGCGGACACACCATCGACGCGCCCTGCGACCTCGTCTTCATACCGCTCAGCCCAATCGGCACAAAGCTCACGCCCGGCTCATACGCATACTCAACAGGCCGCTCATTCGGATTCTCGATCCCGGCCTTCCAGGCGGGCACGAGGCGCTGGATGTACACGAGCCATTGCGTCAGCGTGCTCTTCACGTGGCTTTGCTCGATCCAGATTGCGTTGCGCAGGGTGAGGGACAGGGCGTGGACGACGTGGGTGCGGCGCTCGCGTTCCCAGGAGGAGAGCACTGCGGCGATGGTCTGGGGCGAAGGGGAAGAGGGCTGGTTTAGGAGATGGGCGAGGCGCCATGCGAGCCCGCTTGCGTCCATGAGGCCGCATTCGACGCCTAGGCCGGCGAACGGGGGGAAGACGTGTGCGGCGTCGCCGGCGAGGATGCTGCGGCCGATGAACCAGCGATTGCATGTGCGGGCGGAGTAGCGGTATGGGTTGACGGTTACGAGCTCGAGGCAGTCGTGCGGATACTCGACCATGCCGTGTACGCCGAAGTCGCTGCCGGGGCGGCGGAGGTAGGGGTAGATGGTGGAGTGCATGACGGTGTTGGGGTCGAGGACGGCCATGCCGTCTTCGTTGTCTCGGGTTGCGATTTCGAAGCGCCAGGGCATGGGGTCTTCGGATGGGCGGCCGAGGCGGCAGCTTACGACGGGGCGGTTGGGGTTGCATTTGAAGATGAATGAGTTGGGGATGAATGCGTCTAGGACGCGGTCTGGGGTGTAGCCGATGGCCCATAGGGGGAAGTCGGGGTGGGATTCTGGGGTGGGACGTTTGACGAGGATGTTGACGCTGCCGGCGAGCATGGTCCATCTGTGTTTGGTTTGTCAGGGTCAGGGTCAGGGCTATGGAAGTATGGTCGTGGAGATGTTGTTGGCTTACGGTAGGGTGCTTTCCATGATGACGCCTTTTGGCTCCAGATACTTCTTGCGAGTATATCCGATCTTGCCGTCGGCTCCGACTAGAAATCGAGACTTGACTCTCTTCTTTAAGCCTGCATGCTCATATTCCACGTACACCCAGTCGTCATCTTCACTGATCGACGTAACGTTGCAGCCTGTGCGGAGCTCAGAGTACTCGTCTTTATGTATAAGGTCATGCAGAATGCGCTCCATGACAGGCTGCTTGAAGTGCAGATTAGCATGCAGCGCCGAATGCCCAGTCTATCCACTATGAGCTTTTGGACAGTTGCCATTCTCACTGACACAGCTTGCTCACCTGCAGTTCCCTCTCCAGGAACGGGGTTTTCTGGAACCTCGAATCAGTGCCACCAACCATGGAGATGAGACTGTTACCTGGCAGATATCATTAGCGTGTCATTCGCATCTACTGAGAGTCCCTGTGAACGACGACGAACAATATCCAATCTCGCTGTATATTTTGGAGTACAGCCCAAGACCTTGCAGCAGCCGAACGGAATGTTGCCCCAGCGTAAATGCACGTGGGTACTTGTATATCGACGTGTCTTTCTCGAGCACTATGTTCCTGGTTTTGCATCTTAATCCTAATTCACTGGAGAGGAGAAGGCCCGTGGGGCCGGCGCCAATGATCAAGACATCGGTGCTCTCGTACTGGGCGGTCATGTCCTTATTATTCATAGTCTTGCTGGAATGTTACATTAATAGGCAGGTACTGAAGGAAGATGAGGGACCCAACTGTCTGGGCGGAGAAGGAGTTATATAAGCTGTATAGACTAGTTGCTAGTGTTGTTGTCTTGCGAGACTAGATACAAGCGTGATGGCTTTGAGGGGCCGCGACAAATGACTTCAGTGCCCGGCCGTTGAGTGTATGGTTTCTATCGACACTGGAGTATGAGTGGGGGCCGAATTTTGTCAGTAACGAATAAGTGCTGACTCGGCATTGTTGCCATTGTATTTCAATCTGCAGCCTTGTCGTGGAACCTGAGGGTGTTGGGCACAACCGGAGTCGCTCTCACTTCCGATACACTCCCAATTACGCCTCGAATGAACGGCTGCGCGTCCTGCAACCCCGCAGGAAGGACTCCAGTCTTGCGTTCCCGGGACCTTGACTCCGTAGCTAAAACACAAATGTTTTCAAGAACATGCTTGATAATGTTTCCATCACTTGATCTTGACGCAGTCTGCTAGATGCGGCAGCGCCGTGGCGAATGCAGGCCCCAGACTCCAGTTTCCTAGTTTCATGAGATGATTCTCGAATGCGGGACTGATGATCCACACCTCATCCGAGACGGGCGACTTGAGAATGGGGGTGTTGAGTGATCGTGTGGACTGAGTTGCTGGCGAGTACGGCGATGCGCCAGAGACGATGCTAGACGAGAAGCTTTCTCGAGCGCTAGGCGGTGCTGGAATGAGGCATTCGCGAGGATCGTATGGCCAATTGAGAGAGATCGTGGTTGTGAAAGGGATGAAGAAAGTGTCAAAGGGCTGGTGGGGAGATTGAGATACCATTTTGTCGCGTAGCTTGGGCCATGGCAGATGGTCCATCCACGAGGGGTGCGGCGTAAAGAGCTGACTGGGCCTAGGTGTCATCCAGTCGGGAAGACGATCGTAGTTCTCTTGAGTCGGATCCAACTCCCAACGCATGACAGAGAACATGACGTAGATCGTGGCGACTTGCTCCGGCAAGGTGGAGATGTCTGGAAATGTTCTTAGTATATCTGCGAAGACTCTAGACAGTGGGTGTGTCTCGATGTCGCGGTCCGGATAGAGAAGAGGAGCAAAGTTTGGCTGTGCCGGGCCGGTTAGCAGCCTCATTGGTGTGCCTCTGGCTGCTAGTCCACGCCGTTCGGCCATGAAGTCAAGCATCAAGCCATCTAGGGGACACGTCGCTTCTAGCATGTTTGGGAGCATGGCGTATGGGGGTGGTTGTCTGCCATTGTAGTCTGCGGCGACGACAACCTGAGCAGCAGCTGTGGTGGTTGTACCTCGAGTCGGGGCAGAGGCCATGTCTAGCTTCGCTTGCTGGTTGCTCTCCAGTAGAAATTTGACACCCAGTCTCTCGTCCTGACTATACTGAGCAGGAGGGCGTTCACTTGGTTGTGGAAGCGTCTGCTGCCAACCTCTTGATTCGCCGCTACCATTCATAGCCGCGGTAGATGACCACTGACCATTGTTCTGTACTTGTGGTGGCGGGTTATTACCCAACACATGTTCCAGTGAATGCTCTTGTGAACCTGGATTGTTCCTCACAATGGCATCTTCGCCGTACGGCGGTTTCGAGACGGTTCCGTTAGGAGGAAGAGGTACAGGTGCCTGAGCAGCAGGTAGTGAGTTTCTTTCGGCGGCAGCTGCTAGATCTATAGGTTTGAAGGATGGATTAGTTACTGCTCCAACGAACACACATGCTAGTGACGACGTACCATGGAGACTCTGGTTCCCTAGCAATGGCTGAATGATGGCTATGACAGAGGCGAGGCGTCGTTTGATCTCATCATTCTCGGCGTGTATGGCCTCTTTCTGGCGTACGACCACCTGGAGATCATTGTAAGGCTGCTGCGATTCCAGCTCGCGTATCCTTTCGTTCAGTCTATCAATCTGCTGTTTTGTTCTCTCGCGGATGGCGCGTTGAGCCTCACGGTCGTTGGCACGTTTCCGCTGCAACTGCTCTGGCGTGAGATTTGCAACGCCACGAGACGACGAGGATGTGGTGGCAGCGGAGGCTCGTTTGCGTTTCGTCGAAGGAGTGAGGGAGTCTGCCCCTGGCGAGGAATCGGCGTATTCGTCGTTCTGCATGGTCTCGGTGGGATCTGCAGCGAGCCAGCGGCGGTGATGCGCGCTCCTAGTGAGTGGTGGAGTGGCGCGGAGAAGGTGGTGGGACAGGTCTTGTTCTGGGGAGGCGAGTGGGAGATTCTGATTGACGCCATCAAGGCGTTCGCGATCAAGTTCGAACAGGGATACAAAGGCAAGACTACGGTGATGGTAACCAGTCGAGCTGCACATGATGACATGATAATCGAAAGGGTGATTGGCATCAAGGAGAAGGGAGAGGGGGCCAAGGTGCTGGAGGACTGGGTACGGGCCAAGCTGTAGGGAGGAATATCGTCATCGGATTGTCTTTGTAAGTACAAAGCGAGTAATACTTAGCAGATGATGTCTGAGATAGTTCACTCTGCGTGTTGACCAGATATTTCTCGAAATAGCCAGAGTGAAGTCAACATGGATCAATTACACATGGCATTTTGACAATTCGCCATTTACGCCCGTGCTCCTAGCGCCTAGCGGCCCCGCAAGTACGGCTTGTCTGCTCTTTCTGCATCGATACGGTGTGCGAGTTGATTACATCAGGTAATTATGTTGAAAAAAGAGGTTAGTTATAGCTCAAGACATGCTGTTCTGATGCCTAACACACGGTTACATGTATTGAATAATTGAAACTCAAAGTAGTCAGCGCTTACTGATGTATCCTCTTCTAGACAACCCCTAGCCTCAAGAGTTCCTTCCTTGGACGGCCCTCCTTTTCTGGCCTCATGCAACAACAACAGTAAACATCTACAGTCTCAGTAATCAATCAATATACACTTCTGCCATCATTCACTTCCACACCGCACCAGCTTTCTCGTCGATCGAACTAGAAAAATGACCAATTCTTAGGAGACAAACGATCGGATTCTAGATCTCGACTAGCCTCGTCCTGCAGTGTGGCTGGTGCTGGTGCATTCCCACTCTTCTCTACAATGTCGCCTACTGCCGCCCAATCAGCAATCTCTTCTTGCAGGTTGCCACCATTCAGTCTTTACCTGGTAGATGATGGACGGCTTCGTTTGTTCCCGTGATTACTGTCCTCGTTCTCGTCGTGGTCGTTGTCGTCGTTGTCGTCGCTGTCCTTGGGGATGAGAGGGAGCAGTATATCAACTGTTATTCACTCACTCTCCTCATCGGTCCGCCCTGCCTGAACGGTGCAGAAATGCACTCGCACTCTGCGCTGTCCGAGTCAGCCACTGAACGCGAGCTCCTCAAGTCTTTCCCTCCCGCCACGTGCTTTCTGTCTTCGAACTGACCCAACGTCTCACCAGATATCTGCCTCCCGTCTACTTTCGCGCCCATCACCAGGACCATATTCCCATTTCCTCCACTGATCTGGCCCTTAATGCTTTTGCTCAGCTAGGCGCTCTGCGTCTCAATGCTTCCCGATGCTACATCTCCTTGTTCGACCGCAACTACCAGTATGTCATCGCTGAGTCGTCAAAGACCTTGTCTACCCAGAATGACGCCGTCCACGATACTGGCGATGAGCTGTGGCTCGGCCAGACCAGGATACCAAGACATGCCGGTCCATGCAGTCTTCTCGTAGACAGGGCCGCCACGCAATCGCGAAATGGTAAACTTGAAAGTCACATGAACGTCGTCCCCGATACCCACGCCTCCAATACCTTTCAAGGCCAGGCCTTTCTTCCAGGTCTGAATGACTGGATTCGCTTCTATGCCAACGTCTTGCTAGTCAGCCCAAGAGGCGCCATCATTGGCGCTTATGCCGTTCTGGATGACAAGCCTCACGATCCCCTGTCCCACTCTGAGCTTCAATACCTTGGAGATATGGCCAAAACCGTCATGGACCATCTGGTCTTGTCTCGGACGCGAGAGGAGAATCGTCGCATGGGCAAGATGATGAGTACGTCCGCCCACGCTACACATTTCCTGTCTAGAATACTCACTTTCTACTCAACCCAGCTGGTATCGGTCAATTTCTTGGTGGCTACGCAGGCTTGAATGCCGCTCGGTCAGATACTTATGGGAATACTGTGACTCCACAATACCGCCAATCTCGTCCCCAGCCTTCAAACGACTACTTCTCCTACCAGAAGCAGCCCAATCATGACCAATCATTGAGTAACCCCGGTCAATGTTCGCCTCAGCATTCGTCCACTTCAAACAAGTCAAATAACTTGCCATTCACTCCTGCACAGGATGCCTCGACTCCCAACACGATGGCTTCAACGCCTGCGCCTGGAAGTGAAGCTAGCGGTTCTGACATTCAAGGTACATTTTCGAGAGCGGCAAACATCATCCGGGAGAGCATGGACATGGATGGGGTGATGTTCTTCGATGCTTCCATCAATTCCCACGGAGGTAACGAAACACCTGCCCTGTTTGGGTGTTTGACATCATACTAAAGCAGCAGCAGGCCTTCTTCGGACCGACGACTCAACATCGTCCGACATGTCGAATAAGGAAGACTCCAAAGGGAACTCGTCGACTGAGGACTCCGAGAGCCGGGATTCAAATCGAAGCACCATGTGTAAGATATTAGGATACTCTGAACTACGAAAATCCAGGCAACATGAGGACGAGATGCCCCAGACACCTGTTGAGACGCCCGATGAAAGCACCGAACGAACTTTGCATTTACCTCCACGACTTCGCGAAAAAGATCTGCAAGCTTTGCTTCGCCGGTATGCTCACGGGAGGATCATCAATTTCGATAGAGATGGGAAGCCGTCATCCGGTTCCAGCGACGGCGAGGGGCCAAATACATCTGCCACCGACAAGGAAGCTGAAAACATGATGGAAGCGAATGCAGCCAAGAAGAGGCGCAAAAAAGCATCCTCGGCCTCGTGCGACGCCATCGTCGGGACTGCAGTGCCAGGTGCTCGTGGTGTGGCTTTCATTCCCATCTGGGACGCCCATCAAGAGAGGTGGTACGCAGGAGGGCTGATATGGTCTACACGCGCAGACCAACTGTTGATCACTAGCGAGCATCTCACCTTTCTCAAGGCGATGGCCTCCACCATCATGACTGAAGTAGCACGGGTCAATGCTCTCAGATCAGATCGAATCAAGGCCGATGTCCTCCGCTCGATATCCCATGAACTCAGATCGCCTTTGCATGGGATCTTAGGCAGTGTAGATCTGCTTGAGGGGAGTGCAAGATCAGCCTTCGAAGTGGACATGATGCATTCGATTGAAACTTGTGGCAAAACTCTGCTTGACACATTGGATCATGTAGGTCTCTCTCTTTTTCTCTCAGGGATGTCGTACGGCTCCTCCTCTTCTGCCCTGAAGGCGTCTAAACAAGTCGCCACAAGACTATTTCGTGGTCTCTCCTGTACAATTTCCATTCATTTTTTTGGAGTTCTATACAGTCTCGTTAGAATGCCGTACTGACAGTGTTAGCTCCTTGATTATACGAAAGTGAACCGTACGCTGCATCTTCGGAAGCATGGTGCCAGACTCGCGTCAGAGACTGGTTCCCGCTCAATGGTTGCCTCTACGGAGAGAGCCATACGTCTCGACCTAATCACAGAGGAGGTAGTGGCTGCTGTGTCGTCCGGATTCGCGGCTCAGAAGAGATCATCTGCACAGACTTCGACTTCGGAAAAGACAGGAAGAGGTCTCGACACGAGCGCCGAGTACCCCAAGAACTTTGCGCTGGATGATCTTACAGTCATACTGGACATTGACAAAAGTGTGGATGCCGCCTTTTTGACCTCAGCCGGGGCATGGAGAAGAATTGTTATGAATATCTTTGCAAACTCGCTCAAGTATACCGAAAGAGGCTATGTGAAGATCAGACTCGTAGCAAAGGCCGCTCGTAACAGTACACAAAAGAAGTTGGTCTTGACGGTGACCGATTCGGGCCGCGGCATGTCCGAGGAATATCTGCGGCACAGGATATTCATGCCATTTTCTCAGGAAGACAATCTCTCATCCGGCACAGGCTTGGGACTCAGCATTGTCAAACAGATTGTCGATTCATGCAAAGGAAGGATTGCTATTGAGAGTAAGCAGGATGTGGGTACGAAGGTTACGGTATCAATCAGTATGCTGCAGTGTGCAATCAAGGATATCGGCTCCGATGGCAGGAATGGGAGCCTTGACGACTATGCCATAGTCTCTGGTAGGACGCAAGAGAAGACTGTGTGTCTGCTTGACAGAGGCTGGAGTATGAGTGGGGAGTCGAAAATCCCGAGGGAGAGCTTGTCGGCTATGATAACGTCGCTCAGACAGACATGCACTGAATGGTATGGTATGCATTTTCATCTGGAATCAGAAAGCCACGATCGGATCCATGATGTCTATCTTGCCATCGAATCATCGTCGGTTGTGGAGACAGATATCAACCGCCTTCTCGACCATACCTTCCTTACCGTACCCAGCAGCAAACAGAAGCCGATCCTGATTGCGTTCTGCCAATCGTCCGTCTCAAGAAAAGAGGCCCTGGATCCTCTGCGGGAGAAACACCGAGACACCGTGGTGCTTGAATACGTCAACCTCCCGTAAGCTAGCCATAATATGCTGCTGAGATATCTTACTAAAGCGTCCTAGTTGCGGTGTATACAGGCTGGGCAAAGCTTTGTCCGTTTGTTTGAAACGACAAAATGAAGAGATGAGTAAAGGAGGTCGTCCTTTTTTCAACCCTGTACAGACAGTCATCCGCATTGATACGATCCCAACCAAGCTCCCCGAGTCCATGGAACACGCCCAACCCTACAACGACCTCTCAAACATCACTGAGGAAAGCACTACTCGACCTCTGCCTCCTCATACCTTCGAACCTGCTTCATCTACCACCGCTAACAAAGAGATCAACACCAACCCTGACAGCCCATTCGTACCGAAAACCACCCCCTTCAACAGCCCATCAACTCTCAACCCATCCTCTCCAACCTCCCCCAGCTCCACACCGCCCCAAACTTTCCTCCTAGTCGATGACAACCCCATTAACCTCCGCCTCCTCGTCGCCGTCATGAAGCGCAAGTCCGCCCCTCACATCACCGCCACCAACGGCCAAAACGCAGTCGACCTCTACCGCGCCGACCCCACCGCCTGCCGCGTCATCCTGATGGACATCAGTATGCCCGTCCTGGACGGCCTGGCCGCTACTCGCCAGATCAGACAGCTGGAGAAGCAGCGCGATCTGCCGAAATGCCATATCATCATGGTTACGGGCTTGGCAAGCGAAGAGGTGCAGCGTGAGGCGGATGCGAGCGGCGCGGATGGGTATATGGTTAAGCCGGTGCGGTGGAAGGAGTTGGAAAGGGTGCTTGGGGAGATTGAAGGGGCAGCCGAGGATGGAGGATGAAGAGGGCGGCTTCAGGGGTGGACTTCTGAACTTGAGAATGGGCGATGCAGTGAGGATGCAGATCGATGACTGCATGTGACGGCGAGGTTTGATGGAAGACCTCACCGTGTTGAACAGCGTCCGTCGCGCCGAACCAAGCGCTCACTATCAAGACGATGAAAGAGGAGGCGTAGCACGAGCCGCGAGAACGCGACACAGGCGGAAGTTACACAACACCAACGCGACCCAAAGACGAGAAGACAAGACGACGAGGTGATGATTAAACCTATACCTCACATACCGAGACCATATATATATGTATGTCTGTATCTCAGCACAGCGATGTAAGTAGGAGAAGAGCGGGAACTTTTCCGGATGCCAGACGAGTCTTCGGTTCTACGTTGGTATATCTCCCCCTCTCTAACTTGACGCGAGGGGTTTGGTATATGTGTTTCGCGTCGGGATGGTGTGTGTGTATATGTATGTATATGGTCATGGATGTGTATATGTACACTCCTCCAGTATCGTCCTATCCTATCCCATTCCAAGTCACCCCATCTCATACTAACCACCTGCCATCCCCTTTCGCATTCTTTCCAAATCCCAGAATGACAAATCTCTCCCTTTGACCGCTTCCTCTCATCTTCTCTCTCGCTCCATCTCCATGCCACAACAAACCCACGGAATCCGGGACTTCAAACCTCCCCGCCCAACCTCCCCCAGAACCGGACGCTACCCTTCCCGCGCCGCCCCGTACCGCCTATCCTTTCTCACGATTTCTCATATTCCTTTTCTCTGTTTCAAATCCCCACATTGAATTTCCAAAGCTTTGTAACTGAGCTGACACACACGCCGAAAGTGACGCAGATGCAGACTGAGACTGAAGTTGAGATTGAGAATGACGCAGCCCGCCAAGACTTGTTGCGCAATTAGTCAGTGCTTTGCAATACATACACCACACCAACACACACACACACGGCGGGATGATATAATGTACGGAATGGCGGATCCAGGTGAGACCGCGACCGGGACTTGACATGACATAACATGACATGGGTAATGCGTGACGAGTGGGGGCACGGCGGTGTATCGGACCGGAATAGGCATAGCGTGGTGTGTGTTACCTCCTTATGCTCCCCCCCTTGGCAGAGAACAGCGACGAACGACAGCGACGAAGGGACAGTGATGATGATGCTGCTGCTGATGGAATTGGGATACGCGGATCTTCTGACGGTACGCGGGAATTGGTTGGATTGATGAGTGTGTGTGTGGGTGGATGTGTGTATATATAAAGCCCCAGCTGCGCTCCTCTTTGGGGGGTTCTTGTGTGGTGCGGTATCGTGCGCATATTGTGATTTCTGATATATCTCAGTGGTATTATATTTATATCGTATACCATCCAGCACACATCACACATCACAGACATCTTGTCTACCTTGTTCTTTTGGTTGGTTTTTCCTTGTTCCTTGCGTTGTCCATCAGGCCGAGGGGGGACATAGATGTGTGTTCATATCCTGCTTGCTGCTACGATGTCGCCGCTGTATGATGATTGCAAGAACGACTCTAGTGGCGGTGGTGGTGGTGGTGCTTCTGCTAGTGCTGCTGCTGGTGCTGCTGCCGCACCACCGATAACATTCCGCTTCGCCCCCGACGGCAAACACATCGCCGCGCTCAACGCCACAGGGCAGCGCCTCGCACTATTCGCATACTCGAAACACAGCGTCACGCGCATCATGCCTGCGGCCGAGCCCGGGGCAAGCGCGCAGGAAGCACAGCGCCGCGAAATCTGCACTTCCAAGCACTCCCTACTCTCCGGGACGACGACGCTACACATCCACGGGCGCGAAGTCAAAGTACGGCAGTCGTGGGAGGGGCTGCGGGATGGGCGGGATATCGAGCTGCCTGGCGGGACGATGTTGGAGTGGCGGGCGGGGAGTGGTGGAGTTGAGGAGTTGAGGGATGCGGATGGGACGCTGCTTGCGCGGGGGAGGAAGCCGGGGGTTTTTGGAGGGAGGAAGGGGTGTGATCTGGGGGCGTATGGACGGGCGTGTGGCGATGAGTTTCTGCTTGATTTGGTGTTGTGCTCGTGGGTTTGTGCGGTGGTGAAGGGGGGGAAGGCGGAAAAGGATGCTGACGACGATGAGGAAGAAGTGAAGGCGATGGCGGAGGTGTTTGGGGCGTTGGCGGGGGTGGTTGATGGATGAAAGGGGGTTTTGAAATTTAGTATTGGATTGGGGCGTGTGCGAGGGCGGCTTGGGTGCGTAGAGCGTCGAATGTGAGGAGGAATTTGCTGGATATGCCAAAGGGTGCGTGCGAGTGTGGTGTCCAGTGTTTTTCCCAGGCTTGTTGGATGGCGGCGCGGCGGGTTGGGTCTGGTTGTGCGACCCAGGCGTATTCGAGGGCGATGGGGATCCAGCTTGCTGCCATGGGGAGATATTGGTCGGATTGAGCTACGAGGTCTAGGGTTTGGTTGTGTAGGTCTAGGGAGGTGCTGAGGAGGTCTTTGTTGCTGGGTGTGTAGACTAGAAGGATCCCGTTGAGCGCGAGGGCGACTCCTGAGGAGATTGCCAGGCCTGAAAAGGCTGTGAAACGCTGTGCTTGTGAGAGAGCTGTCATGTCGATGGATGTCTTGGCCTTTTTCAAGATGGCTGTATAGTACTGTTCTATGGTTGGAAGAAGAGAGGGATCGTACTGCATCAGACGGGGTAGGTTCAACAGGAATGAGATGACCGTATGTTCATTTGCACCTGTGCCCGTACCGGTGAGTATATCCTTCATCCAAGGAGCCATTCTGATGCTGGGATCGAAAGCCGCTTCAAACATCTATACAATGGTCAGGGCTCATAAGCCGTAGAGAGTCTACCAGTCCTTACAGTTGCTGCCAGCAATGTACGAAGCAGGTTCTGGTCAAACGGATCCTTGGAGAATCGCAGCTGCGTCCTCGATATGAATGCCACAAGCCCCGCGCCATGACCAACCGCGTTGCTCTGGTCGCCTCCGATCCATCCCTGACAACACCATACGATGTAAACAGCGCAAAGAGTCAGACTTGAGAATACCTTTTCCGGATCTTGCAACGACATCCGGAGCTTGGCCAAGGCGATGCCGTACTGCCCGAACCGTGCCGGAGAGCGTTTGTTGGCGGCTATATCATCGACTGTCGCAACTAAACTTGCCACAGAGGCATCAAGAACATCATTTTGTCCAAGCAGTCGGGGCAGTTCGATGATCAAGGGCCCGTATACCAAGGGGAGGTTGAAACGAACATCTTCCACAGCCAACTGATGCACGAGTTCTTGGGCTAGACTAGTAGTAGCATTTTGGGGTGGTCTGAGGATAGAAAGAGGTTCCTGATTTGCAGCGAACGTGACGAGGCGAGTCAAACCATGTTCACGTTGTCCATTGACAGTGAGAAACTTGTAGCGTTGTACCCCGGCCCCTATACACGGAATGCCTAACCTCGTGCATCTCGAACAAGCCGGCCTAGCTTTATCGCACTGGACCCTTCAGAGTCAGTAGAACTGGTAGTCGTGGATGTGACAGATCTCTCTATTATGTGGAAACCTGGATTTGGCTGACCTTCTTCTTCTGCTTTCTACAAGCGTCGCAGGAATCGCTCGAGGGTACTCCAGGCATCTTTCAGCAGTCACACGCGCTGGGATATATAATGGCCTTTCTTAGTGCTTCAAAAAAAGAGTTATAGTGCCTAGACAACCTGTAGTAAACGAGATCTTGGCTCGCTGGCTGGCTGATTGATGAGATCGATGAAAAGTGTAGCATGTGGCTTGATAGGCAGGAATCGGCAAACATGGGTCCGCTCAGCCCTCGAACAGCTGTATGCTGACATTCTTGGCCCATCATTGCTGCGGGATGCATCATTTTCAGCCACATGACTGACGAAGAATCTCATATTGACCGATATTCGCCAAAAGGGGTGAAATGTGTTCGGGTCAAGCAACTCGCAAGTGGTCCAAGCGTTGCGACGTGGAAACTCAGTGCCAAGCTTTCATGAAGTCATCACGTGCGCGCTTTGTTTTGGTGGATTGACCGTCACAAACGCTCTCGATCCGGCCCGCGCTTCTATGCCAATGCAATCACGACGGCCATACCAATTCTGCTCCCAACACAACACCTATCGCATCACCACACGCCCAATCATTAGCTACACGAATATCTGCGCGTTGCGCATGCCTTTACTGCGCGCCGACCGTGCAGCTCGAGCCTCTCGACCGCGTCGCACCCGCGCCATACCCTAGAGTCGGCCGGACCTCTCACACCCATTGACACTCCTCGCGACGCATGACCTCCATGACAAGTATAGCGATTCGACAGCCATTGCCAGTGTTAAGCATGTCCTCGGACCAGCGGGGGACGCGAAGAAGAAGTGCGCGTCTTGCTTTCGAGGACGAGCAGCCCGAGCCAGCAGGGAAGAGGACGAAAACAGATGCAAATGGGACAAGTGGGAAGGGCACATCTCGAGCAAATGGCGCGACTACACAACCGAAGCGGACGAGGGCTGGTGAGTGCATCTTATGGAGTGATGAAGGCCTCGGCTTTTGGGCAAGAAACTGACTTGGGCTGGGCAGCATACGATGAAGAGGATGATGGCTTCCAGTTTACTCGAGGACGGACGACAAAATCACGCGCTGCGCCAGCACATAGACCTGAACCGATTGCGGAAGAGCCAAATTCAAAACCCGCCGGGGTGCCATCAGCAAAACGCAAAAAGACCCCTGTAGCTGCGGCAGACCTACAACCTGCTCCGCGCAAAGAGCCAGCACGGCGGTCCTCACGATTGTCCGGTGAAACCCTTCAAACTGTGCCGCCCAGGGCAGACCCAGATCTAGATCGACAGACGAAACGACCGAAGCAAATACTCAGCAAGCAGCCTATATCAAAAGTCCCACAGACCTTCCTGGATGCCAACGATGAACGGGTAGAATTTGTTGGTGCGAACGAGCCGGCACTCAAAGTAGCAAAGAAACGCTCACCGACAAAAATCGCGTTACCGTCCACCGACACTCCCATGAACAAGCGCAATAAGGAAATGCGGAAAGAAGGTGCCACGAGCAATCGGAGGAGCAGCTCAGGCCTAAGGGGTCGACGTGCCAGTGCGCTGATGGAGAGCGGGCAGTCCTGTAAGATTTCACCTTTGCATGCTGCCAATAGTGGGCTGACCTGAGAATGTAGCTGTTCCACACGAGCAAGTGCCCACAGACGACTATTACAAGCATATCGACATGGATCTCATAGAGCCCAAACGTATGGCCCAGCTCTTGACATGGTGTGCGTCAAAAGCGTTACTAGAGAAGCCGAGCGGAGCTGCAAAAGACCACAATGCGATTATGGCTGCGCGGCAGATTCAAAAAGAGCTACTAGACGACTTTGCTTCGAAACCAGCAATGTCAAACTGGTTCAGCAGGCCGGTGAGTCGAGATCCGCATCATGCGATGAATTCGAGACTGACACAGACAAAGGACGACTCCCCTTCGACAAGCCTAGTGCGTAAGCCTAATCCGAGGAACGTAGAGAACGCGGCACGACTGAAAGATCTTGAAGCTGAGATTGACAGGTTCGGGCCAAAAGATGGACCTGCGGAAGACACTGCTGACATGCCTTAGACTTGAAGAACAAGAACGCGCGTGGAAGTCACTGACGCAGGCTTCTACCTCCTTGCCAGAACCTCCTACTCGTGAACGCCAGAAAGCCTCCGCAAACGTCCCTGATAACATCAACCCGAACGTGCTCGATGATCCCGTACAATCCTCCATCCTCGCCTCGCTAACTGGTGTACCGGTCGACTTACCTCCCGAACTTGCCCCGGTCTCATTCGCACCAGACTCGACACCGACAGATGTATCTGCTCGACTCACGACTCTTTCACAATCCTTAGAGCCTACCATCGACGTGTTCGCGGATGGTGTGCACAAGCTATCGCAATATCGACAGACGGCCGAACGGGCGGCAGAGAAGATCTTGAATGGCACAGCTGAACGACTGGAGAAGAGGGAGCAAGATGTAAAAGAGAAGGTCGGCACAAGCAATATTGGAACGGACGACGTTCTGCGGGCCCTGGGCGGCATGTTGAACCGCCGGTGACTGTGACAATGCACACATGCATTACGCATTGCGCACTGTTGTTGACGAAAGTTTTGGCCATATGGGTTACGGAGTTTAATGGCATGATACCAGATTGCAGCGGCGTGTCAGATACCATCAGCGGGCGGGCGCATTTTTCGCATTTCATGATTGACGTATGCAGGGCGCACAACACGGAAAGACGGACGCAGAATAGTTCGGTCTCCGTTGAGGGGCAGATGGAGAGGTATGGCCGTTGGAGCAGATTTTGTATATAGGCAGAATGGCCAGTCCAGAAACGGAACGAAGCTTCATCATCATCATCATTGAAGCAAACACCGATCCAATGCTTTCAATTTCCAGAAACCAACTCCTCTCGATGCAATCCCACCGACTCCATCTCCCTTCCCCCCTTACCGACTCCCATTCTTCTCCCCAACATCCAGCGCAACCAAAAACCGGCTGACACAGTTATACGCCGCCACAACCCCCGTCACCTCCACCATCTCCCGCTCGCCAAACACAGCCCTCATGCGCGCCCACACCGCCTCCGGCACCTCCACGCTCCGCGTCATCGCATCCGTGTACGCCAACACCGCAAGCTCCCGCTCGCCCAGCCCGCTCCTCCCATCCGCGGCACCATACCCGTCGTCCGTCTGCCGATGCCCGGCGTACGCGGGGCTAGTCAGCACGTATTGCATCACGGCGTCAGTATAGAGTGCTGGGTCGGCGCGCTGGAGCAGCGGGGCGTGCGCATCCCATTCGTACCATGCGTTGTTGAGCGCGGCGACGCGGCAGATGGCCAGTTCGAGGACTGAGGCTGGGAGCGTTGTGCCGGTGCGGATGGCGCCGAGGAAGGAGTTCCTGTTGATTTGGGGGGTGTGGTGTTAGTGCTTGCTCTGGTGCTTGTGTTTCTGCGTGGTGTTGTCTTGGGAGCTTCTTACCAGCCATCTGCGACCGGCGGCGAGTGGAGAAGGGCGAGATCGAGGGGGATTAGGCCTCGGGAGCCGCGACGGGCTTGGACGCGCTGTACGATGGCGTTGTCTGAGTCAGAGGTGAAGGTGGGTGGATTGGAGACGTATGGGAGGCGCATGGTGGGTAGTTTGGGGGGAAATGTCAGGATTGAGGAGTGTAGGGTAGAGTTGGATGTGTATGGAGGGGGAGATGGAGAAAAAGAGAGGAGGAGGAAGAGGAAGAGAAGCTTGAAATCATGGCTTTTGAGAGAGTTTTAGTAAGGGATTGTGGTTTTCCTCACGTTGGATTGCCGATGATGCTGCCGCGGGTCTGGTGGGCCGGGGAGTGGGGTGCGGAATGGTCCCGGTGTTTGGGAGTGTGCCTGAGGCTTCTGCTGGGTGGGTCTAGATGGATGTGGTACGGACTAAGGGATTAGCCGTATTAAGTATTTTGTTGTGTCTGTGACGTCCAATACACTTCGTGGCGGTTCAAATCTGGAGTAAAAACGTTGCATTAACCAGTGGTTTACTAGATCATCACGATATCAATATACCCAACATGTCTGTCACGCATTCTCCATCTTGCTCTTTTGAATCTGCACTTCCTGCGCATTGACCTCGACTTCCGTGACGTATCCCTTGAACTTGCGGAGATTGATCTTCTTCTCGAACCTATGAGAGTCATTGGTGCGGGTTCTTTGTAGGGGCTACGTGCTTGGACTCACATCTCATCTATCTCAGCTGGTGTCCGACGTGCAACCTCGGGCATGATGAACCAAGCGACAACGACGGCGATGATGCCAGTTGCAGCAAAACTAGCAGAGGCAGAAGAGTTAGCACGATCATCTATGTATAACCAATCATTATGTAGACTCACAAGAACCCTGTCTTGACACCCCATTTCGTGATAGAACCGTTTATCATTAGCGGAGTGGTACTGTGGATTGTTAGCCAACCACACCGAGCCAATGATTTCACGTTCAAACGTACAAACTGAATAGGATGGCAACCATATTCGAAAGTGCAAGAGCCCAGCTTGCAGTTCTTGCTCTCAGGCGCTGCTGTGGGACTTCGGCGGCGTACGCATACCCTATTGCCGATGCACCTGTGGTTGAGAATGTTGCCAAGCACGCGAAGAACACCAACAGAGAGCTGAGGTCCTCGCGCTTATAGTCAAAACACCCTAAGACACCAAGGGAGAGCAGCGACAAAGAGGTGACGCCGTATGGATAAACAGTCAGAGGTCGTCGCCCAAATCGATCTGTTAGTGTCGAGGTCAGAAGCATGGAGAGAAGTTGTACACAGCCCAGGATGACAGTAACCTGGAACGGATTCGTGAACCCTGCGTATTGGACTGGAAGTGTGAGTCTACATGTCACCGTTTACAGTAAGATATAAACTTACAGAAATAGGTTGCATAAGTGTTGAAAACTGCCAGTCCGACAAGCTGCTGAGTGATCTTCGGCCATGATGCTATCAAGAATCGTATGAGGTTCTGCCCCTGAAATACAGACCAGATGCCTGCTTCGGAGTTCTGCTGAGCAGTGTGCTGCTCTTTTTCGATCGTGGCAGCCATTATTTCCTGCATTGCGCGTCAGCGTCTGTACGTTGAGAGACTCGAAAGTTCTTACAATGTTTTCATGGACGCTATATCCTTCGATAGATCCGTTGTATCTCTGCAGCACCTTCGCCGCCTGCTCTGTCTTGCCTTTACCGACAAGCCACCACGGCGTCTCTGGGAGGAAAACGAAGATAAGACCCATGCCACCTACCATAGCCCACTGCGAAGAAAACGTATCAGTACAGTCACTTCTTGCCACTAACATGAACTGACCTGGGTGTAAATTGCGAGCCTGAAGTTCAGCGGTTCGAGCTTGTGGATCTCATTGAGAGCAATCGAGCCACACAGTTGGCCAAGCACAAACCAACTACGGATAAGAACGTGAGCACCACTCTAGATCACTGTTTCAAAGATAGACGAGACTCACAATGAATACGCGTTGATGAGAAATCCTCTCAGCTGCGTCGGCGCAAGTTCCGCTAGGTACACTGGCATTGTAGCCTGAAGCATGCCGACACCCATTCCGGAAAACAGTTTTGCCACGAGCCAGTGCTGCCAGCTAGTTGCAAATGTCTCCGCGAATATGCTCTGGTTATCATGTCAACAATCATGCAATATGACAGATGGACGTCAAATCTACTTACAGCTACGAGGAACACCCACAATGTATACAGTGCAGCCTTCCGTCCCAGACCATCTGTCACAAATTGCAGTCCCTATGTAGTCATGAGTAAGGCATAACTTCAGTACATCATTTGTATTGGCTTACGAGCTGGCCAATGGTCTGACCGGCAGACTGGATACCGCCCCATGCCGATATATACTTTCCTTGTATCACCGTTGTGCCCGCAGTAGCAAACTGCGCGATGAAGCCTTTGTTCGAGACAATGCCACCGTTCAAGGTGATCTGATAGCCGTCCAAGGAAGCGCTAAACGCTGCGCAGAGAGCGACGAGAGTGATGAGTTTGTGTCTTTTGATAGCATCAAGGACCCCAAGGTCGTCAGACTTCGATCGCAAGGCCGGTTGAGTCAGGACTTCGATATGAGAGTGTTTGTCAAAGACCTTCTCCTCCAGCGTGCTTTTAGCCTGCTCATCGGCCATCTTGCGTGGCTAACGGACTGTTTCGATCCCAGGCTATGAGAAGTACACGAGCAAGGCCTTGATCGACACCAAGGGGGGATACAAGGCCGCATATATCTAAGTCCTTGTTCACTGTCCCACCGGCACGTTTAGCTATGTGATAAGTGTAGGAACGATAGCGAGTATGCTGTTAGTCTCTTCCCCACACCCCAGATCGTCGCGAAGCTGGGGAAGCAAGGGTAAGGCAAGGGTCCAAACATCGCTTAGCCAACCGAGGAGTATTGTCTGGCCTCGTCTCGCGGCTATTTGTCCCGAATCTACTGAAGACTATTGGAAGGATCACTCCTATGGTGCAATTATGCATTATCCGAAGCATGGTTTCAAACGCCGATGGATGTGCGCGTCTATCACGAATTCGTCAGAATGAAAGGGCTTTATATCCACAGGAATGCTCACGTCTGTTGTACTGACCATACTCAGTCTATGCGCAAGTGAGCCGAGGTCTCCTGCTGCCTTGATGCTATGTGGAGTTCGGTGGAGTCGTGTAGTCAGTCTATACTAGAGATGGTTCGTATCAAGTTCATCCTATGCATTGACTATTGCAGGTATCATGCCGGTAAAACTAGGCCTGGAAGATTGAAGGTATGCTAGGAGAGTGTATCAAATCTCGTGACTCCACACTTGTGTCTGCATTATAGCTGAGGCTGCGATGCGCTCGAAAATCTCCACTTGGAGTGCAAGCGAGTCAATAAGGAGTGATCTATTCATGTTCTCTTGTATAGATGAACGATCCAATAAGGAGCAGGCAATGGGACGAATCCCTGTCTGGATTACCATCACTTAACCCTACTAACATGAATGACTCTTGTGCGAGTCTAGATTACTATTACTTAAATCTACTAACATGAGTGTCTCTTGTGCGAGTCTATGTTTCTCGCTTCATGCCTTCACATGTTGGAAGGTAGGACCATTGAGCGCTGGCGCATGCCCAATACACTGGCAAGGCTGAGGTCGGGCAGGATGCTTGTCACTCTGCATGGTGCCTAATCAGTTGTTTAAATTAGTGGTGTCCTTATCTCTAGGCGTTTCCCATCTTTGCTCTGCCTCAGTGCTCACTTCGTCAAAATCACTGTCTAGGAACAACATGAGCAGTACTACGGTTAATGATACTGGTTTCACGGTGTTATATAGGCCATATCACACAGAGCCACAAGTCGAGTAAGCCTTCCCTAGTTCGCCCACGGTGGTGCTGGACATCCCAAGGCTGCTCTCGGCATCGATAGTAAAGGCTTACCACTTATGTAGTATCGTCTTCGTCCATGGACTGCAAGGCCATCCTTATAAAACATGGGCAATCAAAGTACTAAAGCCGCAGCCTGAGTCGTCGCAGAAAGGGACCAAGCGTAAATGGAAAGTATGGAAAAAAACTCGTTTTCGATTGCAAGAAAAGACAAGAGAGCCTCATGGCGCAGAATACCAGACTATGTTTGATGAGACTCAACAGTCCGACCGGCTTAGAACAGGACCATCGGATGAGGTTTATTGGTTCAGAGATCTTCTTCCCAAGGTTTGCCCAGAGGCTCGAATATCAACATGGGGTTACAACACAACAATCGTCGCGCGTCCAGGCACATCTACGAATAAGAATCACCTTTATTCTCATGGAAAGGATTTGGTTCACGCACTAAGTCGTCATCGCCCGGCTAAAAGACCCCTCATCTTTGTTGGACACTCTCTTGGAGGAATCCTTGTGAAAGAGGTACCCAGTTTCACCATGCTTGACGCGATTTACTAAATTCTTAAGGCACTTGGCATAGCTTACTCTTATCGAGGCTTGCACCAAAGCGCTGATATAGTGGATATTTTGGTATCTACAACAGCTGTAGTGTTCATGGGTACTCCACATAGGGGCAGTCCAGCCATGGCTGGGGTAGGTGAGTCGGCACGCAAGCTTGCGTCGGTCCTCCGCCTCGATACCAGTCACTCTGTACTGGCGTCCCTGGGGCTTAGTAATTCTGATCTCGAGCGGTGTCATGAAATTTTCACCAGCCTATGGACCAGCTTTTCTTTCCGCGTTAAGACTTTCCAAGAGGGCCGGCCGCTTGCTGGCATTAACCTCGGCACTCTGAATGAATTGGTATGTTGACTAGATGAGAGAACTAGCACAATTATCTTAGTGATACTAAGATGCTGCCAGGTGGTGCCTCATTCCTCATCTTCCTTTGGAGATCCGCGAGAAAGAGCAGAGACCTTAGACTTGAACCATGTGGAGATGTGCCGATTCAAGGGAGAAGACGACCCTCATTACATGACTGTTAGCTCTACCCTGAAAATTCTATACGAGCAAGCCTGTCCCTCGAACGTGGTTTCCAATGTGCCAGTGCCAGTGCCTGGTCTAGACGAGGGCGCCTTACCATCTGTTAACAGATCACCGGTGATACCGCGTAAGTTGTCCCACGCAAAAAATTCGAGTAATCATACCTTTGACTAATTCGTAGGAATATTGCGCTCCTTACAGTTTGAGAATATGAGCTTTCTTCCGAAAGACACAATATCAGGGACCCCGGAATTCGAATCGCAATGGCTAGCCACGCATCTACCCTTCCAACAATGGTTGTCGCGTGAATCTGTCAATCAACACCGAGGCCTTCTGTGGATCAAAGGTAAGCCTGGTGCAGGAAAATCAACATTGATGGAGGAAATTTTGTGGATTGCGGCTCGGCGAGTTCCCCAGGAAAAGATACATTTAGCATCTTATTTCATCGATGGGACTCGCAGCGCTCTCGAACACTCTACGCTTGGATCGCTTCGGGCCTTGATTTACCAGCTACTACCCATTAAGAAAGCTTTACAAGACCCGATGTGCCAAGCCTATGTCACGAAGTCATTGTCTGGGAACGAAATCACGTGGACTTTTGAAGAAATGAGAGTGCTTCTACTACAAGCTTTCACCAAGCCTCAAGAGGAACGGACAATATTGGTCATCGATGCCATCGACGAATGTGGTCTAGAAGAAGGTCGAGCGCTTGCTCGCTTCTACCGAGAACTTACGCATGTCGCGTACAAAGCGGGAACACTTATCGATGTGTGTATATCGAGCAGAACAGCACTATCGGTCTCGCTAACTGCACCCTGCCAAACGATCGAAGCTGATGCTCTAAATGGCAATGATATTGCCCGTTACGTAGAGTCGAGCCTTCCGCACGACATTGAGAGTTACCAGCTGGAGAGGATCAAACGCAGAATTTGTGGAAAAGCGTCTGGAATTTTTCTCTGGGTCAAATTAGTTATTGACCACCTGCGCCAAGACTGGGATGCGGGTGACGATATATGGCAGATCATACGAGGCCTTGATAGGGTCCCTGGTGACCTCGAATCACTCTACATCACCTTGGTAAAATCTTTGAGCCATGATGACCAACCTTTCGCGTTCCGTCTTATGCAATGGGTCTGCTACGCTGCCAGGCCAATACGTGTTGCTGAGGCACACCACATTCTTGCTCTAGTGTCCCATAGCAAATGGGACGCGTTGAGAGATTGGAAGATGTCAGATATGACAACAAGCAATGATTCACAACTCATGAAGAAGATTAATCGTCTAACCCGAGGCTTGCTTGAGTTCCGTCCCAGACAAACCGTGCCGTTGGGCCTGACGGGTACCATTTCTCCAGTGTCTTCCATGACTGAGGGAGGCTCGCTTCGTCCACGCGCGGGATCTTTCGAACTCAGTGAAACCATGCAGCCGATCCATGAAACAGTAAGGCAATTCTTCCAGGAGGGCGATGGCTTCAAGTACTTTGATCCAGATTTCTTTGGAAAGCGAGATGCGGCTGCGGCACATGTCTACATTCTTGAAACTTGCATAAGATATGCGTCCCTCAAGGACGTAAATCCACACATATTAGAGGACAGCCCTGCTTCAAGTTCATCCTCAATTCCTTCAGATTCATCAATATATATCCATCGCAATACCTCTACGGATGCTTTAAGTATAGGATCCTCGGCCAGCTCGATGGGATCAGTCCGTGGTAAGCAGTATACTATACAGAGTACGGATTCAATGAACAACACACGACCAGCGAGCGTTCCGAAAACGAGGCCAAGTACACCAGGGCCTTATCTCCAACCAACACTATCACTTTCTTCTTGTAATGACTTATCAGTATCCGTAGGTGATACCTGTCTGCCATCCGATGATTCAATACCATCGTGGCTGGATCTCATTGACACCGATGTGGGACCTGTCTTCGAACCTGATCTCATGGACACTGATGTGGGACCTGTCTTCGAACCTGATCTCGCACTTCTGAAAGACAGACTACTCGAACAAGGCGAGGCCGCTTCCGGTGGTGCCGGCGATGATGATTCGCACACAACTGCAGAGTTTCCGCAGTTGCTCAACTATGTTCAGGAGTATTTTGCCTTCCACGCACACCGAGCAGATGACCTACATGTTGATGCCAAAGACTTCGTCAGGGATCTGTTGTCGATAGCAAACGGCAGAATGGGAGTCCTGTGCCCTGAGGATCCAAACGCCACCATTATTTACTTTGCTGCTCAGGAGAATCTGGCATCCTGGATCAAGGTTTTACTTTTCGATTGTGATGTTGACCCCTGCCCGTCAGGTGGCAAACTCAAGTATCCCCTTGTCATTGCAGCGAACAGAGGTAGTGTGGAGGCTTTCAAACTCCTAAATGACGAATCCATGGCATCGCTAAAGTGCAAAACTGACAGGAAGGGAAGAACGGTGTATCATCACGCCGCAGCATTGGGTCATATCAAGATCCTGGAAGTATTACTTAATGACATAAACGCTCGCGAACACGTTAATTGGACATGCAAAAAAATAAGAGGAAAAACTCCTCTTCACTATGCTGCCTTGCAATCAACAGTCGATGTCGTTATATTGCTGTTACTAGGAGGAGCGAATCCGACTATAAAAGACGATAAAACCAGGACTCCGAGCGACCTCCTGATACGCAGTAATCAGCGTCAAATCGCGGCTCTCCAAGTCCTAGAAATGGCAGAAGACGCATATTCGAAGGGCATACCGATGTCTGCTGTCTTTCCGTCATAAGGAAGAGACCGCAAGAGCCAAAGGAGAGACATTCCTAACTTTTCAAATGGAGCAATACAAATATAACTCTGCAACATGTCAGACTAAGACGTCAAGGGAAGAACGAGTCAATCTCTGACATTATGCAAGTGCATATGCCCTAATTTAATTAACAACATGTCAATGGCGGAAAAGAATTTGCTCGTTCACCTGGGAGCCGCCGAATGAGAACAAATATAGAAGGTGCCAGGACTGCATATGGGAGGATAGATACTGCCATATGTGATGCATTTGTTACTACGGATCTCTAGTGGTATGAGGAGTCACTGAAACATGTGACCCCTAATGATATACAGTATTATGATACGGCTTGTAAACAAAGACGGTACTCCCTGTTCCCGGTCATAGCAAGTAGGCACACGCGAATACACCACATACCCTAATCCTTAAAAATTAGCAGAATTCGATCCACGTAACCATGCTCCACGATCTGGCGACCAGGCGGCTGACTAGCCAGCTCTACAGCCTTCGTCAAGCTTAGTTCAACTTGCGTTCCACCTTCACTTAATGTCGTCCAGTTCACGAATGCAACATTATCTCTCCCGACTGCAACTCTTGCTTCAAATGCCATCTCCAAGCGCAGCCGAGGCTTGAAAAGGATTTTCGACGCACCGGCTGCGACGACTTGCACCCCTGCCAACTCTGTACAGAACTCGTATAACGGCACACTAGACCATGCATGGCAATCTGACCGCTGCCTCACATCATCTTCCTCGCATGTAGATAGATTATTGGCCACCATTTTGCGCCACGGAGCAATCGCACGAGGCCAAAATTGTTCATATAGTCCATCTTCTGCCATCGAGAAAGCGCGAAGGGCATAGAAGAGCATCATATACGAGCATTTCGAGAACTTGGACCCTTCGGCGAATGAATCAGTCAAGAGTCGGGTATAGTCCTTAGGAACCGCGCAACCTGAGAGAATGGCGAAGACTTGGCAGTGTTGGGAGTATGATGAGTCGTCTGCACTGTTTGCGAGCGAATCGGTGAAGAAGGTGCCGTCGTAGCAATGCTTGCGGACCGCTTTGCGGAGAGATGAAGCTCGCGTTTCGTACTCGGTGGCGTAGCCAGGTCGTCCGATGTCTCTTACAAGCATTGCGGTCTTGTCGAGGACATGTGCAAGGAGCATGCTGAAGTATGTGTAGATGTTATTCTTCCTCCCTGCAGTGGGCACTCCTTTGTCAGGGAAGTCCTCCGTCGCACCCCAAGTCGTCACCCAATCGACAAACTGCCACACATCATCAGGTAGCCCAGCCACGAGACCGTCTTCGTTGATATAAGCGTCGAAGAAGTCCAGAACACCATCTATGCGAGGCAGGAAAAGTCGTGAGAATCGAGCGTCGCCAAAATAGAGATGGTGGTCGCAGACTTGTAGGATCCAGTAGAGAGGAAACGCCGCAATGAGTTGGTTAGTGTGCGAAGGGAAGCGTGATTGTGTCAGACCTTCTGCAGTGACGGAGGATGCGAATAGTACTATGCCTTGCCGCATGAGCCTGTCGTCGCCCGAAAGGAGGTAGTGGAAGAGTCCGACCGCGCGGCTGTCCATTGAGTATTGGAGCTGTTCATAGAATGGACAATCTGAATAGCCGTCGAGCATGCAGTTTTGCATCGTCCTGACTGATATGTCCCATATGCTGTTTGTTTCGGCATCGAGCGAGTCGTTCCATTTTGCTTTGATGTCGAGGGGGTAGTTGATTTGTGTTGCCTCAAGCTCCAACAGTTCTACAGGTGCATCGCCAACTGTCAACTCGATGCGCAGGATCCGGAAAGTGCGGAACCAGAAAGGCTCGTATTCCACAATCTGCTCTTTAAGAACGCTTAGAGAGACGATATCACGCGGTCCATGGATTTGGCCATTTTCGACGTCCAATCTGTTTGCTTTCTTTCGAAAGAAAGGGTACGCTGGCGGTTCGAGCTCATAACCTTCTGAATAGATGATTCTGATGTCCAGACTACTATCTGCGACCGGTGCATGGAATCGCCACTTTAGAAAAGCCGTTGAATGGCAATCGGCTTGTATATCTAATACATGAGTCGAATTGGCGGTGAGGAAAGCACGCGATTCCGTTGTTGTCAAGACTTCAGCCCATGCTTCTCTCGATAGTGAACTCGCACACGATCGGATGTTATGTACAGCTACAGCACTCTGCTCGGGTAACGGTATCATTCTCTGGCGGAGCCGCCACGGCAATAAATCCCCATTGAGTGTTTTGAAGCCATATCGCCGAATCTTTGCGCGTGTAGGATTTCCTACGTGTCTGCGCTCATAGATCTGGATGGTGTGAGTACTGGCTGTTTTTGATCTACGATATTCCATCGACTAACGTGGAGGAAGACATCATCCACCAGACCAGTTGGAAACTCGATGTTGTGGTCTATGTGAGCTTCCCATGACTGCTCATCTGTGCAAAAGTCTGTACTTAGGCCATCCACATCTATAGCACCACATACTGTAAGTCCTGGAAACGAAGTCCGTTCGAAAGGCATCGCCCCTCTCGAGGAGGCAAAGTACCGGATGACAGCGAATCGTATAATGTTCTTACCGGCTTGCAGGTAGGGAGCAAGGTCAATAGAGTCGTAGAACCATATCGCTGGACTACTTCTGCTCGGTCCAACGGTGACTCGCTTGCCATTGACGAGAAGCTTGTATCGTGTATCGGCAGAGAAGTGCAACACAGCTGACGTGGGTGTGGCTGGAAAGTGTTCCGTGCGAGTAAACCATACAAGTCGACCAGCTGTGTTTTCCGTGGACGAGTCGATCCAGTCCTGCACCCATATCCAGTTGGCATTGAGTCGAGCAATCACCTGGATAGATCAGATTCATCAATGTCACGAAACCCTATAGTACTTGATAGCACTCACTGCCTGTTCCTCGGTCGTCACTTTCTCCATGCTGTTACGTGCTAGGCAAAACAAAGCTCGCTGTTTGTTTGTGTACAACTAGATGTCCGCGTCTTCCGAAGATCCGAGAGTCAAAGTCCGGCTCACGGGTCGGTGAATGATGGAAAGAAAAGAATTGAGCAGTCCGTCCATCCACCGATTCGGCCGATCGGCAACTGAACCGGACTATCGTATTGTTCGGGTGAAGAAGAAGCGAGATGCCGGAGTCTGTAGGATGAGCGTTGCTAAGCTTTGTGACCATGGATTGTTTTCCCCGCAGTGGCGTTCATTCGCCGGGTTGTTGATCAGGTCACGCCAATAGCACCACCGGATGCACCCCTGTGTGGCAATAATTATGCATGTACACGTCCTAATTAAAATCATGCGTTAATGTTATGCCTGGGATCCGTGGCGTATAGGGCAAATGGACAACTTAAAATGCATATATGACAAACTCGCAGTGTCTTTCGAACGATAGTAAACAATTGTTGCCAACAACAAAGACGACCAGGGTGAATATGAAAGCGACCCAATCACCTATAAGGAGCCTTTCATGGTTGCTGGCCATCATTGTTCCTTGTTCTGCGCTGACTTTCACCGTCCCCTCTTCACCGCCATCGAATGCAAGCCAGCAACTTGATCCCGCACCGATTGGCGTTTCGTCAGTGTTGAAATGTAAAATATACATGTGTTGCGACTTACATCTCTAGACTTGAGTTTTTCGCATTTCCAGCATACTTTACTGACGTCGCATCGACCTCGCCATGTCTTCAAAATTTGAGAAGTCTGACAGGGACTTGGCCACCACTCAGGATAGGGGGAACGACACAGTACGGTCCAGCCATATCTGAAGTCGACTCGACGTATTAATGAGTACATAGGGATCGCGCGACGTATAGTGCAAGTCAGACCACGGCTGTGAGCTACACTGTCGCGGCACCTGGTGATGCTCCGTCGACTTTGACTTTTGGTCCCTCTTTTATGACTTTGGCGAATACATATGGGGGACAGACAATCATAGGTGCGCATTTCGATTTGCTTTCCATAACGAAAATCTAATATAAGACAAAAAAAAGGCTTCAATCGGCGCTTGAACAATCAGCCAAACACAATCCAAGCTGCCCGCAAGGCATTGGATGAGATGGACAATCTCAACTCGATCGAGCTTGGAAATGAGCCAAACTGTAAGCAAACACTTTCCCGTCTGCGGAAGAGCAAATCAATAACCTGCCCCTGTCCAGTCTACACGAGCTCAGACCCCATTGCTGGCGGATCTTGGAGCGGGACCAAGGACTTTGCAAGCCAAGTATCATGGCAGACCGCGGTCGGCTCAAATCTCTCTACCACAAACATCTTCTCTGCTGGCGTCTACTTCGACACAAACACCTTCAGTATTGCCGGACTAACCGCACAGGAAAGCAGCACTGCCGCACAGTATGTAAGAGAATACTGCTCTCACAATTACCCGCAGTCTCAGTCCTCCGCGAATCTGGCCTCTCTCATGAGCCATAGCGCCATCAAATCCCAGATCGCGCCTTTCAAGAACGAAATCACCGCGGCCAAGAACGCTGGAAAGTACCACATCATGGGCGAGACGAACTCTGGTAAGATACACACATTGCCTGAGCTTAGACAGTATAACTAAGCGCCAACCCCAGCAACGCAAGGAGGCGGAGGCATCAGTCCCACATTCGGTGCCGGGCTATGGCTCATGGACTACTCCATCCAAATGCTCATCCTCGGCACCAAAGCCCTATACTTCCACCAAGGCACCGTCGGCAATTGTAAGAAATCCCCTCTATCCCCCAGTCGCCTACTCCCCACATGATAACCATCAACGACCAGGTCAATACTGCTGGTGGGGCCGCTACAGCATGGGCGCACCATACTACGGCGCATACTACGCAACCATGGCCCTCGCCGGCGCAGACCAAATCGCCCCTCTCGACAGCGGGACCACAAACTACGCCGCTTATGCCATCTACAAGGCCGGAAAGCCCGTCAGGCTGCTGCTGTACAACTCCGACTACTACGTCTCGGGCACACGGAGTGTGCAGACTTTCACGATGTCCGGGCTCCCCGGCACGGCTGTGACGGCGAAACGCTTGACGGCGTCAAGTGCGACGGCGCGGCAGGATCAGGGGGGGAATCCGACGGTCGGGGGGCAGACTTTTGCGAATGGGACGTGTGCGATACAGGGCAGTGCGGTTTCGGAGAGTGCGGCGGTGGTGTCTGGAAGGGCGACTTTTACGGTTGCGGCGAGTGAGGCGTTGTTGGTGTATTTGTGATTTGCTGTGCTGGGTACGGTCGAACGTGTTTCTGTGCGACAGTGAAGGGCTATAGTTTTGAATCATACAGTGCATGTTGCTGCGAAGAAGAAAGGCTGATAAGTCCTGTTGGGTACAGTAAGATTCGCGTCTTCAGGAGCAAAACACTCAAACTTCTGAAGGCGCATAGAAGAGACACATCCCTAGGATGTAGAATCCATGGTATGCTCTATTAGTAGCGAAATATGCTGCTGTTCAGCAGTGAAATACTCACGCGCTGAATAGTGGATAAATGAGCGCTTACCACTGGAATTCCAAACCCGAATAATTTTGCATTGTGTACAGTAAGATTGAATTTGCCAGAGACTGGCAGGTGGGTATCGAAATGGTCCAAAAGGGACCAGAACAGACAGAAAATAGGCAGACAGAGCCAGAACACACCACACCAGAAACCACACACACAGAAGGCCCCACACAGAGCCACAGACGCACAGAGCCACAGAGCTACAGAGCTACAGAGCTACAGAGCTACTCCTCCTCCGGATCCGTGTCAGCACGCAACGAACGAGCCAGCCGAGAAACAGAACGGCGGAGCTCAGAGAGCTCGGCCTCCAGCGCAGACACACGGTCAGTCAGAGCTTGGTGGGAGGATGACTGGGCGCCAGAGCGGAGTTGCTAGGTCCAAAGTCAGCCAACATAATCCAAGCTGATCCAGAATGAGACAACATACCCTCTTTCTGGGCGACTCAGAGGGAGAACCAGCAGAGATTATGGATGTAAGGTGGCGGGCTCCACGCACCAATCATCTATACCAGAAGGACCAAATCTCGAAGCTAATTCAGAAGGCATATTCTCGATGCCTAGTATCAAGCGTGTTTCTCCTAAGTCCTTACATTTCATGCGGGAGATGACATCTTGCTTGAAGTTTTGGATGTCCAAATGCTCCCCCACTAGTAAGAGATCATCGACATACGCGGCGATGACAATGCGGCCAATAAAGACACATGGATCAAATTGAGATTGGCGGAATTCGAGAGTGCGGAGGATATGGAACCACTCGCGTCCTGGTTGTTTCAAACCGTAAATTGCTTTCTTCAGCTTTATGATCCTCACGAAAGATGAACTGAACTAGCCGCAATGGACCCAGTATAAACGATGTGTGTCCCAACTTCCAACTATATGCAATGCCGCCTCCAGCACCGGACACGTAGCTATACCGGAATCAAATGCTAGAATCTGTGACAGTAGAGATCTAGATCTACATATCAAGAAGAAGACATCTTAATATGTTCAATTGGCTAAGGGGGAATATCTCTCTACGTAGAAGTAAAATACAAGAGTCTCAATAGTAAACATTGGTGTACAGAGTTCTATGAGGTAGAAACTATAATATATTCTACTAGCTATGGTGAGATCTAGTTCTTGATGAAAGTAGAGTGTTAGAATATCTATATTTAAACACCTAAGTCTACACTGCCAATAGGTAGAAACCTTACAAAGCTTCATTGGACGTAGTAAGACAGACCTTTTGCCTCATTAGAATAAAGAGGTGTCCTGACCTTCTCTTGATACCCCACTCTTATGCCCGAGCAGAAGCCATTCGAGTCTCGCCTCCTTCCTATCGAATGAGTCTTCCGGGTTATTGCCAACCCTACAATCAGCATCCTTGATCTTATAAATGGCTTAGGAAGCTTCCAGAGAAGGATTCCACGTAAGCCTATGTACTCACTGCGGAGAGTAGCTACGTGTATGATCCAACTCATTCTGTGTTCCTGACTAGTAATCAAGATATACTGGCAACCCATAACTACGATGTGTTACACTGCCTATTCGATATATGAACCTTCAGGTAAGAGCTATCATCTATAGTCTTACTTGTCATCCACACCCAACAATCATATATACAGGCAAAATACGGCCATACCCCGTTCCTCAACCTACCATCCCCTGATCATGGACATGCAGACTGTCTTATATGCGGCCTTGGGAGTGATCGAACTGAGCGTAAGGACTGTAGATGCGCAGACACGCAGGGAAAGGATCTGGAAGAGCATCGAAGGCGACGCTGGGATATAGGAGGTCGCTGTGCTGAATTACCCCGAACCATGTGATATTCTTGGTGGGAGCATAGTACAAGTTTTGCTCAAGCGAGGTCTCGGTAAGGGAGTGTACAAGGGCGAGGTCGATTATAGAGGTGAAGAGATCGAGTGGAGGTAGGGGAGGAGACCGAGCGTTATATTAGGTGATGTTGTTGTGGATGCGGCTGGAGATAGGGTGACAGTGTGACTGTTTGGAGACTGGGGGATACTGGAGGATCCTGAGGGTGTTTGGTACGATGATATATTCTATTTCGTTTCGCTGTGAGGCTGGCTCAGGCTTTTCGTATTCGGGTAGGGGGTCAGTGAGGAGGCCAGGGGCTCGCATTGTGTAGAAGCCATGCTGGGCGCGGATGAAGATAACTTGACTGGGATGAAAGGGCGGATATTTAGGTATCTACAGAAGCTTTTGAGCTTTATCAAATCTGAAAAGGATAGAAGCTCCAGTGACTGTTTTGAATGATTGGAGGCCATGGTGTGATGCGAATCGATAATACGATAGCGAGTGATAATACAGCTCGCCGTATTAGAGAAACAAAGAGAACTACACACTGAAGTGAAAATAGACTCGAAGCGATGACCAAAACAAAGAAGAGAATCACGGGTAGTGCGTTGTCACACAGTGCTCGACGACCGGGTGAACGATGCTCCTCGTCCGTCCCGTAGAAGGCCACCGAAACAATACACGCACACAAGCTCTCCAAAAATCCAATATCCCACTTCCTCTCTCTCACTTCCTCTCCAACCCATCTACATCGCCAGCATCAACCAACAACCCACATCATCAATCACCACATCCACACCCACAGCAAACCCTCATCCATCAACCCCCTATTCACAATCTACCCATCCAAACCGTAAGCAAAAACCCTACCCAACCCCTCAAAACCCACATCTCACCTAACAAGACACTCCAAAAAGCCTCTACCCATCCCAAACCCAGGACCACACAACCTCCATCACCAACCCTCACCCTTACCACCCATCACGCTCAATGCCCTCCTCAACCCCCTCCGAGGCCCCCACGCCTGACATTCGGGACGCCCCAAAGGACACCAGCGCCACACCCGGTAAACCCACCGCTCCTCCACCTCCCCCTCCGAAACAGGCCTCCAAGCCTACCGAAAAAGCGCCCGCAACTAACCCTCCCGCCCCAAAGGAGGCGGAGCTCTCCCAGGCCGAGACAGACCGTCTGGGAAAGCTGCTTTACGAAGCCGTTGCGGGCGTGAACACGGACTCGGAGGGTGAGGAGGAGGAGGATGAGGAGGAGGGCGAGGGGGAGGGTGGGAAGTGAGTTTGATTAGGAGGAGAAGGGGATGGGGTCAAGGGTAGATATATTGGTGGGGAATTGAATTTGGGATTCGACGTGTTGTGTGTTTTCTTGTGCTTGATATGTTTGCTATGTGATGTGCTGTTGGACCGTGTTGTGCCGTGTGATGATATAACATAATTTATTCGCACAGAGAGGATAGAGTGTGCTGGTTCCGTCTCCTTATAAGACTCCAGAATGCCGTACGAAGGTGCCATACAGCTGATTTCTTGCGATTGGGATCGTTATAGGATAGCTATGTATCAGGCAAGACTGGGTTTCAGTATCACCAACTCACTACCCATGCTTATATCCCCAATTCCTAAAGCTTAACTCGGAGCTACGGTACGAGACCTATGATTAAACTTCACTGCTCGAAGGATAGGATACAGCTTTCTCAAGGTCAAAGCAAAAGGCTTCTAGTTGACGATTTCCCCTACAGGAGGACTGTGCTTGGGTCGAGAGGTGTTTTATGTGCGTAAAAGTACACACCCAACAGCGATTCTACCATCTCCCTCACGCTCCCTCACGCCCATATACACATATCCACAAGCCAAGAAGCTGACTTCCACGGTACTTTCATACCTCCTATACATACTATAACGGAGGAATAACACGTCAGGTGTGACATAACGGCGACAGTCCTGCCGTGGTAAACACGGCGTATAACGTATCTGCCGACTCCAAATACCTCGCAACCCGGTTCCCGAGACCACACATCTCAGGTCCAACAGCTCCATACCTCCATTCCACGAATATCCCCAGCAGAATATTTCTTGTATGACACTCTATGACAGTGTCATATGTCATATACTCTACCCAATCCTGCCCAACACTGCGCTTCTCTCTGATTGAGGTCAAGAGGTGAAAAACCTCAAGAAGACATCTATCCACCAGATTACGATTACCCAATCCACAAAGAGCACGGTTCCCGTCTCTCAGAGGCAGAAGCCACTAAAGTCGAAAGACTTGCCACTGCCTTTCGATAATCAGACTATTTCAGTAACTTTCGGAACTTCATCCAGCCTAGAGAAGTCACTCTACCTTCATCCTCACCTCCCTCATTAATCTAAGTTCCCCCTGCGCCTAGAAAGAGGTCAGCAAGGCCGGAAGACTTCGAATTCCATTAGTAATTTATAATGGCTCTTGAAGAGAGCGATGAGAGGCAAGGAGGCCTAAGTTAAGCTACCGAACCGCATAGAAGAAATAACCCTCTAAGATCTGAGGAGAAATATCAGCCGAACAGAGAATACTAGAAAAATGAAAGGAGAGGTGGCAGAGAGCAAATAGGAACCGAAAAAAAATACACATCGACCGAAACTGTTATTCTTGTACAGCAGGACCGCAATGTGCTGTGTAGCAAGCGCGAGATCAAGCAGTCCTACGTACCCTCAGGACTAGGAAGAAGAGGAAGAAGAGGAAGAAGAGGAAGAAGAGGAAGAAGAGGAAGAAGAGGAAGAAGAGGAGGAAGAGGAGGAAGAGGAGGAAGAGGAGGAAGAGGAGGAAGAGGAAGAAGAGGAAGAAGAGGAGGAAGAGGAGGAAGAAGGAAAAATCATGACGGGCATGATGTCAGGGACGGCCCTCATGAACAATTATTTTGGAAAAGGTGCACTGGGACAAAGAGGGCCATATAATGATAATATTATACTTATACTAATGCAAGCGAGTGACAGGACACTACACGGCCCTTAAGCACTTCTATACCATGAAAAAGACACAAAGTGGAGCTCAACCCAACAAGTACGATGCCATGTACTCATAAGGCCTAAAGATCCCATTCTCAGTGCCGCATCATACTCTCACCCGGAAGGATGTCACTCGAGTCCTCTTGGCTACCCGGGTATCTTAAACCGCGGGGAACACCTCCAATACTTGTCTGAGGCAGTGGTAAAGGCCAATACTGCCGGGACTGGGAAGCAGATTCCATTCCCCGGGGCACTTCTGTCCAGAGCGGATGCCACCCCGTGCCACGTGTTGGTATTTGGCGAGATCCATACATTGATTCCATCAGTTCCCGGGTCGCCGCTCTCGCTCCAGCAAAACGATCGTCTTCAGACATCAAAATGTGACCGGAAGAAGGCCCTGCCTGCGATACTGCTCGCTCTCTAGGAGTGTTCAGACTGCTTGTAGAAACTTCAGGGCGTGGAGAACCTGCCACTGTCTGCGATGCTTGAGCTGTAGCAATGTTCTGGCGATTCGCAGCCAATACAGTCTGCGGAGTACTAGCGATTTCCTGTATCACTGGTCGCTTTCCATCAGTGTTCTTCGAAGGGCTGGTAGCCATGGCCTGTGTTGCGACCCTCGTTCTGGGATCGTCCTGATCCCTGAGCGCTCGAGCAAGCGCTTGTGTCACTGTCATTGCTTCTTCGAGTGCTACAGGACTCATGGCAAGCCTAGCGAGGGCGTGTGTAATCTCCCGTGCTTCGACGAGCCGAGCTCTAAGGTCAGGCTGCTTCCTGTATACTTGTCACCCACGACGTACTCTCAAGTTTCATGCATGCAGCCGCAAAGCGTCATGATAGTGGGGAGAAGAATACTCACCCGTCCGTGTCTGTGTCGCTCGCCCTCCTTCGTCTAGATGTCTCCCCAAACTCCTTCTGGAAGCAGTCCCTCAGCGCCTCCTTCAACAGATGAACATTGATCGTCGGATAAATGTCCCATCGCTCTGGGGGAACGCCCGGCCCATGGATCCTGCTCTTATGTACACGTGCTTGTATAATCGAAATCACAGGCCCACGAGCACGAGAATATGCCTCGAGGATTTTCGGGTAGTTCTCCCTGTCCGTGAACCATTTGAACTGGACGTCGTTGAGGGTGTCGAGGTAGTAGCGGACATATTCACCGAGCTCTGTTGGCTCTACATCAGTGTCATTGTCGTCGCTATCTGATAGCAGGTCTTGTGTAATGCCGGCTGGGGCGCTTTGGGGGTCGTCCGAGAACAGGTTCTTTACGGGGGTGATCCGGAGCGGCATCGTCTTGGAATTCAGCGACTCCGGTGTGTCTGACAGAGTGATACAGAAGTCGAATGATGGGATAAGAAGCTGTGTTGACAGATACTCGCTGTTGAAAATGTAGCGAATGAAGGTTGTACTGATGACAAGACTTATATAAACTTTGGAATTGGATGGAAGAAGAGTGAGACCGGAAAAAGAACGAATTAATAAGGGAGAAAATCCAGGTTTGCTCTTGCATACTGATGAAAAACTCCTAACAAGGAAGGAACTCCAGATCGATGATGCTTTGACTAACATCTCTAAACGAGAAGGCATGAAACGCTCTCTTATCATCTCTGCATGCAAGTTTCCAGGTAGATGGAAGAAGTAGATAGTACGTAAACTACATAATCGCAGTTCAGAGATCTAGATGAGATAGCATTGATAGCTTCATTCCAGATTATCCATATCCAAGCTATATATGTAGTATGCTCAAACCCGCTTCGTGATTCATATGTCGTCTCTCCATGCCATAACTCCAGCAATGCATCCCAACCTGAACGTCAAAACAACAAGTTACTATACTCGGAGACTCGATGTCAATTCCACCAGGGTCTGATACTGCTTGCTCCTAAAGTCATCCTTGATCAGACTACTCGAGTCCGCGACAAAGTTCACCAACTGCTGACTCTCGCTATATTTCGGCCAGTTCGGAAAGTTGCCACCACCAACATTGGGGTTTCCGTTCAAGATGAAGTTATAGTAGTATCCTCGTGTAGCCCTTGCGGCGTAGTTTGGAAAGATGCCGTAGAAGGTCTGGATGATATCACTTCCATGCAACGTGCCCAGGATCGGTAATCCGTAGTCGTAGCTAGACAGATAGCTCCAGGATGGCGTATTGGGGCGCACAGCACTTGTGACAGCAAGGAAGGCGCGGCGCGTAAGAGTGAACGTAGCATCACCCAGAATTGCGGCGAGACGTTTGTATTGCGGGTATATGTTGTTCAGTCCGCCAGTGCGGAAGGGACTGCCCTGGGCCGCATCATCAGGGTAAGAAGCGACAAGTTTCTCGACCTGTTCCCGGGTGGACTGTGGGAACCAGTTGCCATTGACAAAGTAATTGACGAGTTCCTCGGTCGTGGTGACGTTGCTTTGGAAGAGCGCAAAGAGCGTGCCTTCGTCTTCTTGATCGCCTATGATGAAGGGAACATCGGCGTACTTGCCCTGTTGAATGAGGAGCTCAGGTGATTGCGTAAGTACGATGCCATCGGGGCGAGGCAGGTATGCAAGGTTAACGGAAGAGTAGGACAGGATACCGGGTAACGAATTGACAGCATTGAGGTAGACGTCGTAGGGCGCGTCACGAAGACATTGAAGCTTGTCAGAAGCACCGCTGCAGCTTGTGTAGGATACGACTTGGTCATAGACAGCCTGAGCCTTAGGGTGGTCGACGTCGAGAGCAGGGATGATACTGCCCGAGTTCATGATAGCGCCACGGAAGAGAGGTTTTCCATTGTAAGTGTTGTCACCGTTGTAGAGGATCATCTGGTCAAGAACGGAGATGGCTCCGGCAGATTCACCCCAGATTGTGACCTTGTTAGGATCGCCTCCGAACGCTGCGATGTTATCTGCAACCCACCGCAGACCAAGACGTTGGTCGAGCAGACCAAGATTGGAGGCACCAGCTTTCTTGATGTCGGCGCCTCCGAGAAAGCCGAAGCCTCCGACACGGTAATTGACTGCAACATAAATGAAGGGCTTTCCATTGTTCATTGCGTCCTGAAGGAGCTGTCCGCCTTGGTATGTCTGGGTTGATCCAAGTTCAAAACCTCCACCGAAGATCCAGAAAAGAACTGGCAGCTTCGAGTCCTTTGTGGTTCCCTTGGGACGCACGACGTCGATAGTGAGGCAGTCTTCGGTCTGGCCAGTGACTTTCTGAAACAGTGGAGTATTCAGGAGCATGCCGATTACGGCAGTAGGGAGGACTCCGAGATTGTCGTCTACGTCGAAGAATTGCTGAGGACATGATGGACTTGTCAGTCCACCGGCGTTGATGTTGCCATAGGGAGACTTGAGGGGCTGAGGCTTCTGTAGACGCAGGTTTCCCACTGGAGGCTGAGCAAATGGGATGGCCAAGAAAGTGTCGACGTCCAAGATGCCGGCGCGGCCCGTGATAGTGGCTTGTGGGTTCGAGATTGTGACGACTGGATTGGCTCTCTTCTCAACAGGTACAGCGACGACGAGAGGGAGAAGCGGTATGATAAGGGCTTGGAGCAGCATGTTGACGAAGTGGTATTCGCTGACCTGGTCACTGAAGTAGCTGGAATGGATAGTGAGATTGAATCAGCCTGGTAGAGAAGTATGGGAGCGAGGTGGTCGGGGGTCTTTATATATGTAGTACCTATATCGACGCCAGGTCCGGTGTTTATTATTGTGGAGGATGGTCGGTGGACCTGCATACGGTAACATGTGCTCGGCACGACACCCCGGCCGTTGATCGACAAGTTATTCATTCCAGGCCGCATACGGACAGAGAGCCGGCAACAGCACTGGCGTCAACGCTTGTAGCACCGACACGCCTCTCCGTATTAGGCAAGTCGTCGTCGTGTAGCGGAAGGCTTGTTGAATATGTTTATAATAATGTTGCGATCGTTCAAGTGTTGACAGGTGCCGTCACTACCGGCGGAGGTGGCTTGCGTGTCTCTGAAATCCGAACAGTACATGCCCTCGCCGGGCATGTGAAGCAATAGACCATATTGAGCCTTATACAGAAGTTGAATGCACTCTTCGGCGTCGCTATAGGATGAATGCTACGTTCTCAAATCGTCCAGGGAGCGCATCATTGCATGCCGAGGCAGCATCTACATGCACGACTGTACGACTTGGACAACTTGCACGATGACTGGCCGATAAGCCTTGTCAGAACGGAGCCGCCGCTGTCATCTTTCACGAGAAAACGACGACACCTGTCGATCGTCAGTAGACGGCTGTGCAGTTACCATGTACTTGGGCGCGCGTGAGAAGTGACAGCAACCTACCAGGGGACAGGGGTTGGGGACAGGGACTGGGGGTGGCTGATGTACTAGCGGCGGAGTGTGAGCAGTGATAGTGACTATAGCCATATAGGACTTGAAGCCCTATAATACAATTCGTTCCATTGAATTATGCGTGGCATGTAGTCATGTAGTCATGTTTTCATGTAGTCATGCAGTGTAATATGGGGCTGTGGGCGTGTTTGGTCTGGAACCGCGCATGTGCCTGTGCTCCCCCGCAAATTTACCCCAGAAAGTTCCCCAGAGTACCCAAGTGCCGCTCCCAGTCATAACGATATTACCCCAGTGTCATCCCAGTCGCCCTAGAAATATCCCTCCTCACCCTGGCCTGAGCCTCACGTGGAGCACACAGTCCCGCAGATTCCGGGCCTATTCTGGTTGATACTCCGCCCGGCTGACGCTGATGTCAACAGTGTTAATGCTAGGACTGAATGTTGATTGCATCAAAACACGGCCAGACTCCTGTATCAAGACCCTCTGTCCGACCCTCGCGAGTCACGCACCTGCCAACGCCTGGATGCCTGAATCGTCTTGACAAGAGGGCTGAAGCAAAAACAAGCCCAACGCCGGATCATATACCGGATGGCGCGATGCATGCAACCGAGTGGCACTTTCTATCCGAGTATTCTCTTCGCAGCTTCGGAACATACACTTTCTTCCGTTGTGTGAATACCGAGAGAGATGCATGTGAAAGAGTTGAATGGCGGAGTGAATTATTAGAGACAGCCAACGTTCGGCATGGCTAGGATGGAGTTTAGTACTCAATATACCCACTTATACCTATATATACCCAGCAGATGCCCGCGTAATACATGTACCGATCAGGCATAATAGGTACTAGGTACAGACATCCACAGCTACATGGACCGTGGAGAAACCTCCGTGCCCGCAATCTCCACATCAACCTCACCCTTGACCGTTCAATGTTCAATGCCCAACAGATCAATGCCTACATACCCGATATTGCGGCCTGCAGGAGATCATCGACCTCGAATGAGTCACATCTTTCATGCATCTCAACGCTCGTGTCACCTTCTCATCCATCCTACACACCGCCCATGTCGGCTTGACCTCAGGTTCTCCATCTCGAATACCTTGGTTCGGGCGCCAGTGACCATATATGAAGCTGTGGCCATCACGGAATAAGGCGAATCTTGCTCAGCATGATCATGGTAGATGTCGGCTATCTTAGACCGGGGACGAGCTGTCAAGGATGCTGACAAGGCACTTCATCGCACAGCAGCATATGCACCCACACTCGCTCAGAACGCCTTGTAGCCGTTCCACCACACATAACATCCCACACCTACCACACTGACGAGAGCATAAACTAACTCCAGCTCCACCACCGCCCATATCCACACCGTGCCAAGTGGTGGGGCTCTCTTCATCACTGCATAGTAGCCCTTCGTATTGCCCGAGTATACCATATAACATCCTGCTGACACTGCCGTCGCGAGGAAGAAGATTTGCTTCAGAACTCCCAGCTTTTTCGCTGTCGGCGTGTGAAACAGATAGACCATGAACCAGAACACTGGCAGCGATGTGCCAAACCTGCTCCAAATATCTGTCCACACTATCTCTTGCCGATACTGATTGTTGACCAGCACGTCCAGCATTAAGTGAACCATTGACAGCGAGAATGACCACAGAACTGCCTCAGCTGCTGGGCCCATTGCTTCATCATTCCATGACACCACCTCCCCGCTCTCTTCAGTAAAGCTCTGCTTCGGGAAGGGCTTGCCTTTGTTTAGCTCAGCTGACCTCTCTTCCGCAAGTTGAAATAGTGTTTTGCCTTTGGGTCCAGATCGGTCAGGTTGCGCGTATTTGATACCAGGAACTTTCGAGTCGAGGTGAGGTGAGGACGAGGGAGCCGGCGTTGGTTGACCATTGCGCGCAGCTGCGCGTCGCTCTTTGCGATTTCGTGGAGTGTTCTCGTCCCCCATCGTATTTACACAAATTAGGACGGATTCAGTGATAGGATTGGTGTTCTGCTGTAGTTATAAACAATAGACAGCTTAATAGGTAACATGAAGCAACATGTTGAAGGACTCCGCAAAGTCCGCCTTGATTTGCCTGCCCCGAATGGGCGCACGAGCCAACTTCCCCTTGAGGTCTGGCGTCTGCCCGTAAGTCCCAATGATCAACATCGTGCATCGCGTTCCCTGCACTACATACAGACATACAGTACTCTACTGTACTGTGCATGTCATCGAGCCTCACACAGCGCTGGTCAAGATGGACTGGATACCTCTCGCGCTGTTTCCCGTATTCGTGTTCGGCATTTGGCTGTTTACATCGCAAATAACCCGCAGCTTTCCACCAGTCCAGGGCAAGCGCATCGTGCTGCTTATCGCCCATCCTGATGACGAGGCCATGTTCTTTGCTCCCACCGTGCAGGAATTGACCCGTCCAGAGCTTGGGAACCATCTCAAGATTCTATGCCTTAGCACGGGCAATGCCGACGGGCTTGGGGAGACACGAAAGAAGGAGCTGGCCAAGAGCGGATTACTGCTCGGTCTGAGAGGCGCAGACGACATCCTGTGCATCGATGACCCGTGAGTATCGCAATACTGGGATTCGTGTGACCTACTAATGATTGTGCAGCAACTTTCCAGATTCAATGACCACCACCTGGCACCCTAGACTCATCTCAAATCTGCTTACCGGACTGTTTGCACCAAAAATGGCGTCTATACCCCCAAACAAGAAACCAGAGACCACTGTCGATATCATCATCACATTTGACAAAGGCGGAGTGTCATCTCACCCGAATCACATCTCGTTATACAACGGCGCGCAGTCTTTCCTCAAGGGCCTTATGCACCGACATGCTGGCTGGGATTGCCCCATCAAGCTTTACACACTGACATCGATCAGTATCTTCCGCAAGTACTTGAGCATCCTCGACGCCCCTACTACAATGTTCTGGGCACTCTTCACGCGGAAAGACAAGTCCGACTCTCCAAGTCCACTCATATACTGCAGCGGCCTTCAGGCGTATGTAAACGCGAGGAAAGCCATGACTGTTGCACATAAAAGCCAGATGGTCTGGTTCAGATGGGGCTGGATTTCTGCCGGACGGTACATGGTCTTGAATGATCTCCGAAAGGCAAGAGTGGTATGAAGAGCAGGCGCTGTTCACGCCGGACATGCCTATAGTTACCAACATTATTCACTATTTCTGCTTCGGAAGATCAACACACGCGACCAACAATGAAATCCTTCAATTGCCTCTACGTTTGTGGCCACATTGTTCATTTAAATCGTGCCTTCGAGGATTAGACAACACATTCACCGTTGAGAATGACACTCATGGGTTATGCATAAATACAACACCTCTCGAACCTCAGAATCTCTATATACCAGTTCTGGAGGCCCCAAAGCAAGATTGCATAAACTTTTCTTACCTTGACCTATCATTACGAGACTCACCTTCCCATGTGTCAACATCATAACGCAACCACTGGGCTTACTGAGGCGAAACTCTCTGTAAAGCCAAGGACTCTCTACCAAAGGATGGCAGATCTTGTCACACACACACACCTTCCAGACCTATCGTGACGCAAAAGTCGATATCGGAAATCTACATGATCTGCTCAAAGGAACATGTCCCAAGGCATCATGCAAGAAGACTTAACAACGACAACATACCACAACCGAAGCATTATAACGTTCGCGAAGAGCTGCAGTCTATCTCCCGCCTATCAGACTCTGCTTGTATGACTTCTACCGAGTCCTTTTCTACTATGAAAGCAATGTCAGATGGGTCTTGTTCATCTGGCCGTGAAAGATGTGTCAGCCCTGCGAGTATCGGTCATGCTGATCCAAGTTCCACACTGCCAAGTCCCAGTCGTATCTCTCTAGACGAGCAATACATAGCTGCTACTTTTGAATGCGTTGAGCCACTGCGCTCCATCAGCTCTTCAGGTCCTACCCGCTGTGATATGCAAGGTCATGGGGCGGTAGATGTGATCACCGAATCCAAGAATCCCGGCACCGATGCAAGGGCTCCTGGTTTCGGGCATCTAAGAGGCGGTGCTGATCCGGAACCTGCCTCAGATCCGACTTCAGTCCCGCCGGCTTCACTTGTACCAAAGGAACCGGCCAGGATTCCTCGGGCTCTCTGGCTGTTTGCCGCTAATCGACTCGGCTACAAGGCCCATGCGCCTACTATTAACCGGTACATCGAGGTCGAGAAGAAGCGAGCGGAGAAAAAAGTGGCAGACCAGAAGAAATGGGCCGAACAAGTCGCACAGGAAGCACTCGCTAAAGCAAAGCGCAAAGATGCAGAGACGCGCGGCCAGGAATTGCTCCGACAGAAAGGTGGTATCCTCGGATTGATGTTTGGCCAGGTCAGAGGTGGCGGGGATGTAGAGCCGCCGGACGGATATCATACACCGGACGAATACCATCCGCCGAAGGACCTCCGGCAAGACTTGAACAGAAGACCGATCGACCCGCAAAGTCGCGTGCCCAACTATGTATGGTATCTCGCAGGCGGGCGCGGACCTACGCCCACGTGGGAAGACTATATCAAGTGGCGCGAGTGCCGCCGAAGAGGCCAAAAGTGGGAGCCTGGTCAGACGGGCCAGCAGCAGAAGGTCAAGCCAAGGTCAAGGCCAAGCTTCATGGAGAATCTGATTAGGGGATTGTTTTGTATGAAGCCAAGGCACTAAGTATATGGCGATGTGTATGTACTGACAAGTCGAATGCAGCGAAAGCTTTGCATTGTAGGGCTTGAAGCGCTTCGATTGACATGCATATGTAGTTATGCCATATCTCGACGATTGGCATGGACATCTAGGTGTATTATATGTATCCAATCACTGACATTCATGTTTCGGTATAGCATGTCTTCGATGACTGACTGATGAATCTGTACTACCTGCACTGACCTTCGCTAACCAAAAATATGATACCTTTCTGGAAGAAGACTACCCGTGAACCAAATCGAGAAAGGGATTTGACTCTTTGCGGCATTCGCGTGTTCCACTGCACCTAGCAGAGTTGATTCCAGCAGTCTGGACTGATTGACTCTTCGACATGCCAGGATCTCATTCACCACCGAAACACAGCACGATGTCCGGTAAGCTCCAGGCGCTCACGTGTCATCATGATGCTTCTCCTTGTTAAATCATGTTCTATGTATACGTACCACCCGATCATACCTTCTCATCACTTTTACTGGATCGAGATTCCGCTTCCGGCCCCTTTGCGTCGTTCTCCCTATGCTCCAAGCCGTTGTCTTTCACCAGTATACAGCTCAAGAGACAAAACCCAATGAGCGGCACCAACCAAGTAAATACTGTCCTTAGTCCCGTCATATAAGCATCGACGATGGCTTCTCTCTCCGACTCTGTGAAGCTTTCCAGGCTCGGTCGAGCATACGCATTCTTGGCGATATAAGACAGCTCGCTGGGCAATGCGCCTCTCAAGGAGCTTTGGAGGATCGCGGCACTGATGGCAAGTCCTGCTGCGCCGCCGAGTGATCTCAGGAAGTTGCGATTAGAGATGATGACTGCACGTTGATGTCGAGGCGCGTGGGCTTGCAAAGCGACCAGCACCGGCTGAAACACATTGCCGACGCCGAGGCCAGTCACAAGTGTGATAAAGATGATAACAACGGCTGATGTGTTCCGGTCAAATAGTATCATAAGACCGGCGCCTAAAGTCCAAATCGCATATCCACTCCAGATGACCTCTCCGTACCGACTGGCCCAGGAGATATATTGCCCGGATAACGCACTCATGGCCGCCTGTGCGATAACGAGAGGTATCGTAAGAGAAGCTGATATTATAGGCGACCAGCCACGAACATTTTCAAAGTACAGTGGAAGATAGTATAGTTCGGAGTAATACGCCATTCCAAACACCAGATTCTGAGCCAGCATCACGGCGACTGGGGTGATAGTGAACATCGACACTAAGGTTTTGTCAGCTACAGTTTGACATCCACGGGTCGTCAGCAGAGCTTACAGGGCGTCATTGGCAACTTCGATATGAATGCTTCCACTAGCAGAAAAGCTACAAGCGCCACAGCGCCTATGGTCAGCATGACGATGACCATAGGTGAGGTCCATTCGAAGTATGCCCCACCTCCAGAGATTGGAATGAGGAGCAGTATTATGGCTACTGTTCCTGTGAGAATCCCCCACCAGTCTATGAGCTTGACTTTGTCCATGACATGCCCTTCTACAGGCTTGCTCGGAACTAGGAACCACCCAGAGACAGCACAGCACGCCCCCATAGGAGCTAACAGCCAAAAGAATCCACGCCAGGTCAAGTATTGAGCGAAAGCGCCACTCACAAGGGGACTGTGCCGTCGTTAGCAGACGAGTATGGACAGAGTTGACGCTCGACATACCCAAACGTGTTACCGAGCCCGATACAAGCCCCCAGAATACCCTGGTATTTGCCTCGCTGTTTCAACGTTACAACATCAGACACAATCATCATTGTCAAAGAGTTGATGCCGCCATTAGCAACACCAGCCATGCCGCGAAAGACATAAAATGCATATGCGTTCGGTGCGATTGAGCACAAAACGTCGGCGACAACCAGCAGCGCAATCGCGGATAGGTATATCACCTTACGCCCGAAGATGTCAGACAGCCGTCCGTAGAGGACTTGGAAAACTGTGTTGGCGATGAGCGAAGACGTCCCTGCCCATGATATTGTATCGCCGGCATCGAGGTCCCTCGCGATAGTTGGCAATGCAACCCCAATGCCGTTCTGGTCGGCATAGCAAATGAAGAGTGAGAGCGAGAGAGTTGCATAAACGATGACAAGGCGTTTGAGTGGAAGGATGTTGGTTTGGTCCCGGAGTTTGAGCTCGACAGCGTTTGGTGAGCCCATGCTAACAAGCACAGTAAGAGGCTAACTGCGAAGAATGTTCAGATGAAAGTCGGATGAATCATCTATGATCTGCCTCCCAAAATATATTAGACCAGATCCTGAAAGGTTGTATATGTGACCTCGTATTCGCATCGCCGCCACTCAGACTGTCGGAAGTTTCTTTCGAGAACTTTTTTCTCGACAGTGCTTTTTGCGCGGGACTTTGGTGACCGTGAGCCTGCCAAGGCTTGAAGTCCAATATCAACCGTAACATGGATGTTAATTAATCATCAGCTCGAGATGGCCGTCTCAGAAGATGGTGCAGCGGGATCCCATGGTCGATGGATTCACCGCGCCGTTCCGTCACTCGTGGCCCACAAAAACAAAACGACCCTGTTCAAACCCCCACACTGCTTGGCATACAGTTCTTTTGTCTTTACCCCATCTTACATAGCGGGCAGTGTTCTTGTTACATATCGTTTCTCCCTTGATTTCGCCATGACGAAACAAATAAGTTCATTCGCAAAGTCTCTCAGCTCACACTCGCTCATGACGATAGCTCTGCCATGCTGCTAATCAGCTAGTCAGTCGACGTCTCTAACAACAGCACATTCATTTATCGAATTTGCATTCATCCCAGGGTCTATTTGCTGTGATCCAAGTCTAGAATCTGCCACAGCTTGCTGCTTGACATGAAATCACACGTCATACAGATGTGTTATGGATAGATCATCTCTGATCCTTGTCGCACGTCATCTTTCTCTGATTTTGATGTACTATGTACAAGGATGTACTACGTAAGAAGATTGTACCAATATTTCTTCTCAACGCCTGTCTCACGGTGGATCACGTACTTATAACACCTTCTAGTGCGGCCTGGGTAATGGGCTGCACCATCACTATACTCTTTCGGACTGGAGGTCTTCCTCGACATTGGCCTATGAATACATTCTGGAGCCATAAGACCTAGCTAAACGTACAAGGGCATTTGAGTACTTTCACTATATCCGACACCGACACTCAATTTTCGTCTTCCAGACATGTCCATTCCGCAATTTCGACATAGTAGACTGTTGATGTGTACTGATCGAAGTCACATTTTGATTAACCTTCACCGCTTAAACACTGAACCTTTACAGCACAGAGGAGTGTATCGGATGATCTAATTTCAAACAGAACCCTCACAGCATGTCTTCCGTCGTCCAGCTTACGGCTTGCTGATGCTAAGACGCGCCCCAGAGATCCCACCTTGTATCTTGATGGAGGACCCACGACTCTACAATTTTCTTCTGTAATATTGTAAATGCGACATCAACAGCAAAGTCCGCTACACTATCCATGCCACATTGACAACATAAGTGAGACTCGGTGAGAATGAAGGGCGTACCCCTTTCAGGGATATCAAAATCGGCATCCAATGCTCTGTGACCCCTTATGAGCGGAAGCATAAACACCACTTACAACCCGCTCCCAATCGCTGGTTGGGTATGCGAACATCAATTCAATGGCTTCTTTGCGATCTTCAGTTTCGTCCTCGGTTCTCGTGGGTACGGCGCACAATGAAATGCTACACAGCGCGTTACCAAATCTCAGCCGCCTCGCGACTCCCCGAGTTGTCACTCATCCTCTGTCTAGACCTGGCAGATGTATACCTGCAGTGCTAATGCGTGCCGGGACTTCTCGTGGCATCTTCCTCCACGGCGACCACATGCCTCAGACCAAATCTGCCTGGCCTCAGATTCTAAGCACTATAATGGGCTCTGGCAACGGAGACAGGAGACAACTCGACGGCGTCGGCGGCGCCACTTCAACGACCTCGAAAGCAGCCATTGTGTCTCCATCTAGCCACCCGGATGCAGACGTTGACTTCACCTTCGCTCAAGTTGCCGTCGGCGAAAACAAAGTCGATCTCCGAGGAAGTTGCGGCAACATCTGCAGCGGTGTCGGCCCATTTGCCCTCGACGAAGGTCTTGTCCGCGTCAAGCCAGGCCAGAAACAGGTCCGATCTCACGTTCCGGACTCCCGTTCCCCTCAAACATATATTAACAACGTCTAGGCCGTCGTCCGCGTCCACGACACTAACACCGGCGCTCTCATCTCCCAAACCCTCCAGGTTGCCCCCGATGGCACCTTCCTCGCAGACGGTACTCACAAGATATCCGGCTACGCCGGCTCCGGATCGCCCCTCAAGCTGTCCTGGACAAATCCCTCCGGCACCGTCGGGACCCGCCAGTTCTACCCGACCGGCAACCCATCCGACACCCTCACGTTTCCGTCCCTCTCCACCGGCGAAAGCACATGCATACAAGCCAGCCTCATCGACGCCGCAAACCCCTTCGTCTTCGTCGACGCAGCAACCCTCCCCACTCCAATCACCCAGTCAGACCTCGACAGCCCAGATCTACACACCGCACTCGAATCAACCCGCTGCCACGCCGCCGTCTTATTTGGCCTCGCACACACCCCACAAGACGCCGCGCGCACAAGAGCAGTCCCCAAAATCGTCCTCTGCTACCCTCCCTCGCCCTCCTCGCACGTCGATATCCGCGTCGTTCCATTCAGCATGGGCTCCCCGCACCCTTCATTCCAACTCACCGGCACCGTCGCGCTGAGCGCTGCTCTCACGATGCCTGGTACGGTGCCCAGCCTCATCGCTCGCAAGGCTAGGTCTGAGGAGCCCCTGCGAAGCCCTGAAACGGGAGGAAGGGCGGGAGGAATGGGAGGAGTGAAAAAGGCAATCGCACATCGCAGCGGCGTCGTCGAGGCCGTGGTCCGGAATGTAGAGGACGCGAGCGTGCCGCTGGGCGTGCGGGTTGCGGATGTCAGTGTCGTTACGACGGCGAGGAGGATTTTTCGTGGGGATGTGTTTGTGTAGATGGCTTTGTTTGGGGGTTATCTTTGTCGTAGGTATGGAGGGGTAGGGTAGGGTTGTGTATAGGGAGGAGAAAGGGGGAGATGGAGTTGGCAAGGCTAGAGGGCGTTCTCCAGTCAGAAATTAGCGCTGCATAGCATATTTTATCGTATCTTATCCTCATCTTGTCTAGTGTCCTTTCGGGCAGTTCAAGGCATTAGTTATTCAGTTAGTTAGTACAATGGATTGCGTTTACAAAAAAGCACAAATAAGTCGCATAATTACATCACATTTACAGTCACGGCACGGAACGGCAAAAACCTAATACGACGTGGAACAACAAATTTCATTCATTTCATATATACACACATACACACACGTATATCCATATATGTATATGTATAAAACCCCAGGTAGTCGCCTACACCAAAGCCGACAACCCAAAAGACTCTCTATCAGATCATATCTCAATCCGCTCGACGCTATACTTGGGCACCATCTTACTCAGCTCATAGCCGATCTGGCGCATACTCTTCTTGACTTCTGTGCCATTGGGCGCGTTCTTCATGAGCGCTGGGGCATCCTTGACGAGCATGCCGAGCGGGAGGATACGAGAGTCGGCGTAGGCGTCGGCGCCATACAGGGCGTCGCTTGCGGTCGAAACCTTATACGGTTTCTTGTTGTGTTGTTTGTTGCGCGAAACTGCGGTGGTGGTGGTGGTCTTGGATGAGGAGGTCTTGAGGCGGTGTTCGTAGCGGAGAAAGTCGGAGAGGAGGCCGTTCATGAAGGTGACTTCGTGAATGCCTTCGGCGACAGCAGAGACAACTTCGTGGAGGTCGTGGATCAGGGTTTCGGGGCTGTCTTCTTGCTCGATCGTAGTGGTGGATGTGGTTGGATCTTGGGAGCGTTGCGAGGCGAGGAGCCAGCCACCTACGCCGATTGTATCGAGGACGGTCGAAAGGAGGTTTGCGATTATGATGATCTGGTCGTCGGATGAGGAGTCGTCGTCTTGGGGTTCGGAGGCTTCGCTGTCGAAGTAGCGGGATGCCCAGCCACCGCCGCTTAACTGGATTCGCAGTAAGTTCAGGAGAACAAATAATTGGTCGTGGTCCAAGGCTGTACGGAGACCAGCTACAATAGTTGGCTTTGGGAACGTGTATAGAGCTTTCAAAGCCCCTTGGAAGCAGCAAAACAGAATAAAGTTGTTTTCGACATCGGCGGATGGCATGTTGTCAAGATATGCGTGGGTGTCGTCAATCACATCTGACATTGAGCTGATAGCCTTTTCAACATCCTGATCATTGTCCACTCCGTTGATCGGCGGGTCACTGTGAAGTAGGAGACGTGCATTGAGTTCTGACACAGCCTGAGCGCCGAGTCGTTGTACTATGAGCTTGATTGAGGATGTGACCTCGCCAATCGATAGATATGACCCGGACTCCAGCACGGTACGTAGGATGCCAAAACTTGGGTCGAGGTCGACGAGCGCTGTAACAACATCACCATCATTGACGATACGCATGTCTCCCGGAACGCCTGAATGGATGCGCAGTGCACGTTGTATGGTGTTCTTATTGAAGCACTCTGTCAAAAGTAGGTACTGGAAGATATTTGGCATGTAAGCATCAGCCACGATTGTGGGCATCTTTAAGGGTAGTGTAGAATTTTTGGTTTCCGGGGCCCATGAGAAGAGTTTCGATAGAGCGTACATCGCGAGAGGTTCGTGCCTGAAGCGGTCCTTTATATCAAACCTTGCGGGAAAGTTCCAGGACGGTAACGGCACCTCATCACTGGGTGCATCGACATCCATGCCGTCATGCTGTGGTGAGGTAGTTCCATTGGTTTTCAAGGCCTTATTCGTCCCATTGGTGTGGCTTTTCGCCCACGTATCAAATTCCGTAGTGTCTCTTTCGATGCCAACAGCTTCAGCGAACTCCCGTTCGAATCCAAAAACATCGTCCTGCTCATCCAGAAGATTAATCTTTTCCTTGAAATCCTTGGCCAAATCCACAGGGCCTGCACTATTCTGGGTGATTACTTGTGCTGGCAGGCCATTTCGAAGGCCTTTTCCAATGGAGTCGATTAAGAGACTTGCTTCCTTCTTGCCATGTCTCCGTGGAAGAATCGAACCGAGCGGAAACCCAACCAGTTCCGTAGCTGTAGAGCCAACAGCTAGGTCGAGTGCTGCAAAGTAGCCAATGAACGTGACGTCTTTCATAGTAGACTCAGCTACACCGCGGGATCGCTTCTTGTCCACGCCGTTCGGTGGTTCAGACTGACTGAAGCGCAAAGTGGCTTGAAGTGTCTGATAGGTCAGGTCGAAGAGTCCGCAGTACAAATCAGATACGGCCAGAGCAAGTGATGGAGTGAGCCTAAGGAAAGACCGAAATTGGCCATCGGAGCAGCCGAGATACGAGACCTCCTTCGGTATAGCGTCGTGGAGTCTATAGGTGACCAGTCCATCAGGCGCGAGATAAGTAACAGTTCCTGTATCAGCCTGTACACTAATCTTGGAGGCAGCCAAGTCCGCCGACATTGTAGCTTTAGGAAGGCGCCAGGATACAAGATGTCTAGCTGTAGCGTCTCGAGATGTTAAGCCGGATTGAAGCGCTGGTCGCAGTGAGAAGGCATGGAGGTCAAGCTGCGCAGATCCTCCCAAAGTGGTAGCCAGCACCACCACAGGTGTGCCCGCAAGCACTCCAGGGTCTGCTTCCCTAGAGCCTTGCAGAATTGCGACAACATCGTCGCGTCCCTTGAAGAGACCGCGGCTCGCCTGGAGGGCATTGGTGACGTATGCATATCCTACGCTCATACTAGTGGCATTATTTCGAGAAGGTTGGGAGGGAAGGATAGACCTCAGGTCGGATGTCCATTGCAATGTCTGGAGATCCGATGATAGACAATCCAGTTTACCGTCTTGGTAAACAACAATAATCTCAAAGACAAACTCTTGACTATAATAGCCACTAGCGGTCGGTACAGCTTCGATCGCCACCACGTCTGACCGCTCCTTTGGTATGTCAAAAGTGAGCTTTCGCATGTTGCCCAGTGTGCCGGGCTCAGACTCTTCATCGAAGCAAATGACCTGTGGACTCCCTGCTCCGTTCAAAGCCTGCACAGTGGAGGAGTATGTACATCGACGGGCAGGAAGACCTTTGGAAGGTCGACGATAGACACAGCAGGGTGTTGTGTTGAAAGAGGCTTGCGGAGGAACCGCATATGATGCGACTACACGCGATGTTTGAACCTGTATGACACTGTTAGGCCAGTATGTAGCCCATATAGCCATAGCCCTACATTGTAGATATGAATACCTTCTCCATCAGAGCTTACGACAATTTCTGCTCGCTTGCGTTTCCTGGAGCCGCTGAGCCCATATGCTACCGATGAAAGGATTCGGCCACAATGTGAACCGCCAATGGGTTGTGTCAGAGTAGCAATCGCGAAAGGATTGTCAAACTCTTTCTCAGCAGACATAATGGTAGTACTGGCCAGTCTAGGGACCGGTAAAGTTGTAACAGCTCTACTGCGCCGTAGAATTTTGCGGTGGTTGTGAAGCCAGAGAATTGAGCTCTCCAAAATAAAAAGTTCGAACTCTTGGCGCTGTACTGTGGCTCGTGCTTGGGGCGCTGATGGGGCGTGCATAGCTGGTCTAGGCTAGTCCCAATTGGGTCTAATGCAATCCCGCTCCCGTGTTCAGGCGCGTCACTCAGGACGCGTGCCTCCATTGACTGAATTGAATGCTCGTTCAGCAGAATCAGCGAACACCCCAGTCTGAATCCACGACAGTTCCCTCCCCCGCGTAACTATGCACTATTGCTATTCCTTCTGTTTCAGTTGAGCTCAGGCGCATGGCGGCTCTCACAATTGGTATCGCTATGAATCTCGGAGACACGAAGTCACTGCATCCGTTCTTCAGCAAAACCCAAGGTCAGTCTGGCTCCAATCCAAGAGCTCTGGAGAATTCTCGTCCGAACTGAGGTGTCTAGATACGGACTATCGAGCAACAAACACCCCCAAGCCTCATCAGGATCCTACTCTACAGGGCCAAGAGCGCTTCTCAGCGTCGGATGCCGGATCTGAAGAAGTCAGGAATGAGCCTTCAAAGACGCGCGAGCCTCGTCAAAGAAAGTCACTCGGGCAACAGGCAGTATCCGCAGAAAGCAAAGCACTGCTAGAGAACTTCACAAAGAACCCGGAGCTCAACAGGTCTGAAGAAGCCTGTAGATCAGCTAGCGCGGCGTGCGCTATCAGCATAGACCCAAGGATCGATGGATATTCATCTGGAAGGAGACAAAAACGACGAAAGATCAGTCTGGAACCTGGCGATGGGGCGCAGGTAACCACGCCTGTCACGACAGGTTCCCCATCGCCTAGGCTTGAGAAGCAGGAAGACCTCGGAAATCTCCCATCCAACGAGCCGAACCCAAATCTTGATTGGCGTCAGCAATTACAAAATGCAGCGGGCGAACCTCCTGCACGGATTCTGGTGGAAGCTTCAAGCCCGACCACTTTCGTAGTCGACATTCCACAGAGCAAGCATATTATCCCAGCGACGCCCCCCGCCGAGATGGATTCTGCCTCTCTTTCCCCAGAGACACGTACAAGAAGATCACCTAAAACTTCGAATACAGAACAGTTGAATGATGAGTCGTCTATACTAAAGCCGATGCCAGCTGTATTGATCACCACCCCTAAAAAAATGCTGCGATTGAATTCAAGTGGCAAGTTCAGCTCTCCCATCTCAAATTCGGCCGCTAAAGAAGGACGGAATAAGGCCCCAAGGACTAGGTCGAAAGGCAAAGGCGTGAAGGCTATTAGTTCTTGCATTGCTATCATCCGCTACGGTACCATAACTCACCCAAGCTCAAGTAATTCGAGTTCGGTCGTTCTCCAGATGGATCGCGAACGTACAACAAAGATTGGACATGAGATTGATAGCATCATGAGCGGAACATCAAGAGTTATGGCTGCTACAGTCCAGACTCATGAACTAAACATCGTAGCTGCACCCGTCAGACCAAAAAACCAACCCAAAACAACGCATCCATTTTTCATGGGCAAGCGCAATGTAAAAGATGAGAATAAATCTACAGTAGAAGCTCCTAAGACGCAATACTCAAAGAGAAGTACTGTCACTCCTGGGAAGCTTCGAAGTGATGCGAGAGTGGACGGCACGGACGCAGAATCTAGTGGATCTGGCATCGCTCGCACAAGCACTGTGAAGCGCCCAGGCTCGTTAGAAGCACCATGGCCAAGCAGAGGTAATGCTCACACAAGAGGCTCCTTCGAACCGGATTTGCCAGATAGCCCGGGATCTGGTCGTTCTGCTCTAATCCGTAGACGATTGAAAGCAAATGCAACACATATCGTTGAAGATGAGGACATACTCCGTACTTTCGGACAAGCATTGAGAAAGATTCCAATATCAGAAGTTTGCGCTGATAACGGATTTCCACCACCGTCCAAGTCGATACGCCTGCCACGAAGACATGTCACCAATGGAAGCGTAATTCTTGACAAGGTCAAGCGCCAGCTTAGCGATGTCCTAAGGGCCTCAGATTCTCAACCAAACGCCTCATCTACAGCGGTACTAGAGCCACACCCGGCAATTTTTGGACTCCTGGACCAATTTGAGGACACCTTAACCTCATTTGACAGGGGCACGTGTGACACTCAAGCTTGGACGCACAAATATGCTCCAAAGAAAGCGTCCGACGTGCTTCAAAGCACACAGTCCATGGCTATTCTTCGGACTTGGTTGACAAGCCTCAAGGTCCAATCAGTCGGTGGCGTAGCAAAAGACTTGTCGGAGAAGGCTCTTGGCAAGGGTAAACGTCAGAAGCCTGCGAAGAAGAGAAAGAAGACCAATGAGCTGGATGACTTCATAGTCGATTCGGATAGCGCCAGTGATCTGGATGAGCTTACAGATCCTGAAAATGTATCCGACGGGCCGTTCAAAAGACGCAATGGCCCTAAGTCTCTGATACGAATAGGAGACTCAAACTCAAAAGGATCGGTTCGGAAATTAAAGAATTTGATCCTAATTAGCGGTTCTCATGGATGTGGAAAGACTGCCGCAGTATATGCTATCGCAAAAGAGTTGAATTTTGATGTCTTCGAGATCAATGCCGGCAGCAAAAGAAGTGGTAAAGATATCACTGAACGAGTCGGCGATATGACTGAAAATCATCTCGTCAGCAATAGACAAGATGATCCACTGACGGTAAATCTTGTCGATTCGGACACCGAAAGAGCTGCAGAGGCTTTTCAGAAGGATATAGCAAGCGGTCGACAAGGGATGATGACGTCCTTTTTCCAAAAACAAGCCGGAGGGAAGAAGGCCCAGCCAGAAGCCAAAGTCGTGAAAGAATCTCAATCGAAATCAGCACGTGTGGCGAGTCAGCTGGAGACGACAATTCGTCAACGCAAGTCACAACAGCAGTCTTTGATCCTATTGGAGGAAGTCGACGTACTTTTTGAAGAGGACAAAGGGTTTTGGAGTACTGTTATCGATTTGGCAATGCAGTCGAAGCGCCCAATGATTCTGACGTGCAACGACGAAAGTCTTCTTCCGATGGCTGAACTTACCTTTGAGGCCGTCCTGCGATTTACGCCTCCATCCGAAAAGATAGTCTCAGCATATCTTCTCCTGATGGCTGCTCGTGAAGGCCATATTCTTGATAGAAGAGATGTGGTTTCGCTCTATAGGGCTAAGAGCGAAGACCTTCGGGCTAGCATTACAGAGTTGGATTTCTGGTGCCAGATGGCAGTTGGAGATCGAAAAGGAGGGCTGGAGTGGATTTATCAACGGTGGCCGCCTGGTAAAGACGTTGACAGCGAGGGCAAGATTTTACGCGTAGCAAGCGAAGGCACGTATCTTAGCGGTATGGGTTGGATTGGACGCGACACTGTCCACGAATCTGCGATCACCGGTATGGTCATTGAGGAGGAGTTGACGAGACAGTTATGGGACAATTGGTTGGTCGACCCCGTCGACACCGCCCGCATGTGTAGCACATTCGCATCGCCTCAGCAAGCTCCCACTTCCCATTCGCGTGAGCAACTTGAGACTTTGGATTTCCTAGCGGAAGGTCGTAGTGCAGCTGATGTCTTCTGTCGTGTCGACCTTCCGGCCACACGTTCCGTAAGTTCTTTACCTTGGGAATATAGTAAGTACAGAACTGACTGTTACAGGCTTTGGCGGATACTACGCAACCCGCAATTTCTGAGAAGGCCCGACTTAATTACATCTCTGGCCTGCCGCTTCTCCAGGCAGACCATGTCAATGACTACAGGAATATCGACACACAACTAGCCATAGCTATGGCTTTGAAATTACAACACCTCTGCGATGATACGGGACCTATGAAGGCTAGAGCCTCGTCCATTGAGACCAAGTCTATCGATATTATACTCGCCAACAAACAAGCAGAGGCAAATTTGCCCGACTTCTCGCCTGAGAACGTTTTGGTCACACTAAATCCGATCACCATCCCACGTCATGACCAGCTTTATGTTGGTACACCAGCAAACTCATGTATTGTCGACCGGCCTCTCTCCCTCGTTGTAGTGGATGTTGCTCCATACGTTCGGAGTATTGCCGCTGCCGACCTTAAGCTGGAAGCGGCTCGTCTGCGTCTTTCCAACTTGTTATCCGAGGGCGGACGAGCTACTAAACGCGCACGTACTACCAGGGCCAGTCGCAGCGCACTAGAAGGAGGTGCAAGAGAGACTACGCGAAGAGAACGATGGTTTCACAAAGACTTGAATCTCACGGCCGTGTTGAAGACTGCAGGCGAGAGCTGGGCTGGGATGAGCACCGAAGTCAAAGACGACGGGAGTGATATGATGACCACGCTTAGTGGTAGCCAAATTAAAAGTCAATCAGCAAGTAGCCAAGAGGCTTAGATTACTCACATATCATGATGCATCACTAAAGGGGGGGCAGTGAGGCTGCGGACATTTGAGAGTTTTGGCGTTCGAAAACATCACATCTATAGAGCATTTTCAGGGAAGGTCATGCGACGATGAGACGTATTATGTAGAATAGATGTAAATCATGCAGACAGTTCTCATGTGAAATCCACCTTTATAGCGACTCATAAGAAATATTGTACACAGCATACGTGAATAGGGTAGCATAATTGAGCGTGGTTCTGTACCAGATGTATGTCATGTAAGCGGTACATTTAGACGTCTTTTTTACGATCTGCATCGTGTCCGGACCAGGGTTTTTTTTCGTAGCATCTTTTTCTTTTTGGCTCCAGCAGTAAACACTGGTTCTGTGTCCCAGGGTTCTGTATTGCCGTGTTGGGTTAGATATACGTCCGGATATGGTTTGGCGTGCGTACTCGTGTCTGATTTACGGCGTCTTTCTCCATCAATATCCGGAAATCTATAAATAAGGACTGAGTATTACTTCATGGGAATCTCCTTCTCCATGCTAGTGTCACTCTACTATCATATTCTCGAAACCATATTCTCCATATCATATACTTCACATCATATCCTCCAAATCACATTCTCCAAATCGTTTTCTACAGACACAATGACAACCCTTGTAGACCTACCGACGGAACTACTTTGCATGGTCGCTGACCAAGATTATCTCTCAGCGGACGACTGCTTCAGCCTAGCATTGACATGCAGAACGCTTAACCATGCGATCATGCCCATCTGGGATAAGCATCAAAAACTGTATGTTCAGTGGGGACGTCTGATCATAAACCTCAATGACCGCTATGGACGGGCACTGGATTTCACCAAGTCAGTCTTTGGCGACGCTCTCTTGACACAGTACGTCAGAGAGATGATCATCGGGATGCCCAGCGACGCCACAGGAAGTGGATTTCCCCCTGACCACGGAGATTCCATCGACCGGGAATCGGAAAGCCAAGAACTGTATGAACTCATCAAGACTCTTCGTCTTGTTTCTGAAAGTCACCAGTTTCTTGGCTCTCCAATTCGGTTCATTGACAACTCATCAAGGAGCGATATCGATTCCATGATCATACATGTGGGTGAGCACATCATACCAGTTGCTCTCATCTTAAGCCAACTTCCGTGGGCATTGTTGGGACTTACTGGATTTACGCGATCGCCGGAAGCCGCTCTGATTCGGATGCCTGATACACGGAACACCGACCTCCTACGAATTTTCGCCATGCTGCTTGCAAGTTGTCGGTACCTCCAACGCCTGGAGATCTGCGATCAGAACCGCGAACGCAATGATGACTTCCTTTTCGCCCTTTTTCAGATGCTCTGCAAAGAGTGTTTTGTGTCTGGAGGCAAGTCAAGTCTCTCCAGGCTCAGGCATCTTTCTCTTCGATCGCACATGTGTAAGGACATCTCCATCTTTGCTCGGGAGAACAGATCAGAACCCGAGGATTTGAAGTTCGACTCCTTCTTCATGGCATTGCTACTGCCCCGTTTAGAAACTGTGTACGGCTTCGGAGTTTGCAACTCGTACTACAACAGGCTCCATCATCCGGCTCCCAGGTCCGACAGACATGGACGAAGGCATGTCGTGTACCCTTGTAACAATACCATTTGGATGGAAGCCATCACGGGCTGTAAGAACCAGATGGGCCTACACAGATCCTCACTCACGACAGTCGAGTTATTTAACTGCGACCTATCATACGAGATCTTACGCCACTATTTCCAGTACACGCCAAACCTGCAGCACTTCGCGTATTCTGAAAAAGAAATCAAACGAGGGAAGTTTGCCCCGGAGTGGAATCGACAGGACCATATCGTTCATGCTGTGGCTGAAACCCTATCGAACAGTCTTCAGACCCTCTTTATCCGGATCATGGACATGGATCGGTCCGATTTTTGGACCTCCGAATTATCTGCCTATTGGTCTCAAGACAGCCGCGTGGACTTCTCGCGTTTCAAGCACCTGCAGTCGCTCCGCGTCAACATAAGCACCTTTGCTCAACGCACCTGGCAGGACTCGTTCAAGCACCACAAGAGTTTCAAGGACGACATTACACATTTACTTCCCCCGAACCTCTGTGCACTCGAGTTCTTTGGTACCAATTATCTCGAGGATATCGCAGATTCCCGCTCGAGTTCCGCGGCGAAGCCTGCTATTGTCGCCGTCAACTGGACTTTCCTGGGCAAGGTTCATGGCGTTGTTTGGCGAAAAGCTTAGGAACAACAGCCTAGCCACTCGCATGGTAGTCTATCATGAATCTCATTCTGGAAAGTCAAAGAGACGTGATTTTTGGACCAGAGGATGAGGTATCAGTAGCCGGGAACGTGGGATGGGATCCCGGGCTCACACAGATGATAGATGCTTCAGTGCTGCTATGTTGGTATCCAATAGAATCAATCTAAAAATGTTTAAAAAAAGAAAGTGGACGTGATCGTATCCTAATACCATGCTTATTGCTGTATTAAAAAGCCTCTGAACTCTGACAACTTCACTATACTTCATTATGCCATATCGTTCTATTGTGCCATGAGGCCCTTCCAAGACAGCGCATTGGCCGCTTCATAACATACTAAAGCCCCTGAGGTTGCTATTGCATGGATGTAACACCGCTAGCTTGACACCTACGCAGCCTTGGTATGTCTCTCGGAGACTTTTTAGTAACCTGCATTGGTACCAATCGGCAACAAATGTCTCAGAACTGTCCGAAACGGGTAATAGAATAAGTTTGCGAGGCTAAACGTCCTGGGCCATGAAGCACACCACAGCCCTTTTCTCATACATGCTTACGCTTCTGTCTACGCGTATTTCGCTCGCTTATGGAAGTTTGAACAAGGTACAAAAGCCAAGACTGCCATCAAGGTAATCAGCAACGCAACGACTTACAAGCTGGCCGCTCAGCATATATATAAATACATCGCTGTCATCACGAGCCACCACCATCACCACCACCATAATCATCATTCAGGAATTCCTCGATATTTTCAACAAACAAAGAACAAAAATGGCATCCCAACCATCCAAGATCCCGAACTCCATTGAGATGTTCGACAGAACTGCCGACGGCTACGACGAAAACACAGGCGGCTGCACCGTCGACGTCGCCCGCCACATCATCTCCATAAGCCCACCCATCACTTCCACCTCCACGATCCTCGACAACGCAAGCGGCACCGGCGCCATATCCCAGGCCATCCTCCGGCCCTTCAAACTCAGTCAATTATCTCCTCCCCACGTCACTCTCGCAGACGGCGCCGCAGGAATGATCCGCGTCGCCAAAGCCGAGCTTGCGCGCCTCGCGCTCCCAGTGCAGAACACAGACTTCGTCGTTGCGCCGGCGGAGGATCTAAGTTCACTGCAAGACGACGTTTTCTCGCATTCGTTTACGAACATGGGGCTCCCGCTTTTCGTGGACGGCGAGAGGGCGAGTCGCGAGATTCATCGCACCGTTAAGCCGGGTGGCACGGCGGTAGTAACTTCTTGGAGGAGTTTCGGGTACCTTGATCCAGTTCGGGATGCGCAGGCTGTGGTCTTGCCGGGGACAGAACCGTTTGATTTGCCGCTAGCGAAGAAGTGGTTTGATCCGGAGTATATAGAGAAAGTCATGCGGGAGGCCGGGTTTGAGAATGTGCAGATGGGTAGTTTCGAGGCGTGGTATGCAGCGGAAAGCGAGGAGAAGATCGCGAACTTTTTGGTGAGGTTGACCGAGGCTGTGCCGTGGATGAAGGGAAAGAGGGACGAGATACTGGCGGAGCTGCAGAAGACTGTGGTAAAGTATGCCAAGAAGGTAAAGAAGATGGTGTACCACGGAGACAAGGAGATCGAAGTAGAGCTGGTTGGTCTTTCAATGATGGCTATCGTGGCGGTCTGCAAGAAGTAGATGATTGCTACTGGTAAAGTGGAGCTCTGATTGGGAAAAAGTATATTCTCCTTTTTCATTTACACCTGCTTCCTGTGGCTCGACTGTCCATACATTTCTGCGGGTCCATCATCGCCAGCCAGCAATGGGTGACTTTAGGTATACCACACTATCTCCCGTCGGGCCAATAGACACCAGATACAACCACACGTAGTGTTCGTTGATGAGGATTCGTTGATCGTGCAGAGACTTGCACACCATAGGCATGATTTGAGAGGCGATAAACTTTGTATCCTGGCAATTATGCCTCTCAGGCATCATTCGATGCAATGTCTTTGCTCGAGCAGCATAACAACTGAGGCTCTCTTCACCGCGGCAACCCACTGCCAGAGGCTTTCTTCCTCCTTAACTGTTCTCCCACACTTCCACCCTTCGCCGAAGCACCTTTCTCACCCAAGATATCCTCCGGGCCCTTCTTTACCAATTCTTCGAGGCCCAGGTCCCTCCATGTCGGCTCACGCTGCTTCATAGTCGCGCGCTGGATGCCGAAAGCCGCATGCTGGTCGGGAACAACATCGTCCTCGTCTTCGGGGTTCGGAGGCTGGAGATGTGGTGGTATGGTGATATCATCGGGAGTGAGAGGCGCGCGGGTGAAGGCCTCGAAGAGGTCGGCGTGGTGTGGGGAGCGGAGGTGGAGCTGTGTGCGGGAGGAGTCGCGAGACTGAGGGTTGTAAGCTGAAGGTAAGTTGTATATGGTGGAGCAATTCATACCATTAGGAGTGTATAGTTCGTGCGAATGAGACTAATTTTGAAGGTATCTGGAGGTGTTACTAGGCACCAAAGTGATTGAAGTGTGGTAATGTTTACAACCTTGTGACAAGCTCAAAACCGCTAGTCTAGATATGGCTTAGCATAATAGAACAGTTATATCTGTGATTATGCCAGACAGTAAGAGGGATTCTGCTAATCACTATGACCAACCGGTTCTTACTCTGATGTCCAATCTAGTACCGTTATGTTCGATGAGAATGTAATGTAAGACGTACAAGACACGAAGGTCGAGATGACAATACACCTGGCGCGTAACAATGGGTGCATAAATAGGTGTTTTACCCTCGTCGACTCTGTAGCAACGGTGGAGCTTCAACATTGAATTCCACGCTCGTTATCTACCACATCACGAAAGTTTTGCAATTCTCTATACATGTCTCAAATCGTAACTAGCACCACCCGGAACGATCTTATCTTTGTAACATCCCGCTGAGGCGTGAGGAGGAACAAGTGTCGATAACAATGCAGCCCAAACGCCAGAAGATCAGGGACTTCGCAAATACCCAAGAGATAGTCATGTCCATGTCATATTCGCACAATGTCCACACGAGCCCTCTCGAATATCTTATTCGGTACCGTACTCGCGTTCTCCCTCTCCTCCTCTGTCAATTCCCTAGGCATGACCGTAATGCGTGCATACGTCCCATACGCCTTCCTCTTCGCCATACTCCCTGGGTTGATCACGAGCACATTCTCCACCACCTGTACGACACAGATCAGCCAGTCGTTCACGCGAAAACTATGATATACAACTTACCCGGGCAAAAGGAGGCAGGACACTCGGCTGAATCAGCATATCAGGCTTCGCACCACTGAACTCGCCCAGCTTGACATAACTCGTATCAAGCATCGCCCCAACCGGACGAAACTGCTCACGCACCTCATCCCCTGTGTAGTTTTCCTTGACCTCACCCACAGCAGTCATGTTCTCACGTGCCGTGGGCGGCACGATCGGGCAAAATGTCCGCTGCTCGATGACAGCCCGCGGTGCCCGTTCCATAATATTAGTTGCCTTCGCGCGACCTCCAACGCATTCTTCTCTGCGAATCATATCGAACACATCTAGGCTATTCATGCCCACCAGAAATTCATTCATGCTGAGTGTCATGGGGTGCGTGACAGCGTGTACTCGTTTCGCGGGTAGTCCGAGTTCCTTCTTTGGAAGACGATCCTGTGGCCATGCAGCATGGCGAGAGACAGCATCACGGAGAGAAGGTACCAGGACTACATGACAGGCTGGGTTGGCAGAAGTGAAGGCGGCAATCTTGGTGCTGATATGCTGTCGGAAGAGGTCTGCGAGGGTGGGCGATTCGGAGCCAGGAGCGGACGGCGGAGGAGGATAGGAACCTGTGCGTATCAGAGGGTGCTCGGCGTCTAGAAACGGCCCAAGAAGAATTATGGCATCGGCATGGATGGCTTGGGCTGTTTCCAGAAGAGTACTGAGAGTGGAGAAGTCGAGGTCTGAGTCGGTAGTGTAAGGGCCTGCTGCAGAGATAATGGTCAGGGGGGCAGCATTATCATCCATAGGGCCTGAGAGGCGGGAATTCAAAGCATCCACCTCATCTGGACGGCTTGCAGCTTCGACTTGGACAGGGAGAGGGATGATATCGGAGACAGTAAAGTAGTCTCCTGAGGCGTTAGTCCCGCGTAGGGCAACTATTTTGCCAGGAAAAAATGCGTATTCAGGAAGATTACCAGTTCGCAGGGGCACTCGGAGGCCCCTTCCAGTACGTCTAGATGTCTCGAGGACCAGGGACGATTGATTGAGACGCCCTTCGCTTGAGTCAGACGCTATACGTCCCACAGTCACGATCTCACTTGTGCTTTGATTCGTTGGATTCCCGATCGAATCTCTGCTGACGGTACCAGACTCTGTAAGTATATCGATAAACTCGTCTATCCTATCGTCCAAGACTTCTGATGCCTCAGAAAGCTTCATGGCCATGGTTTTGTACGCGAACTTGGCCATATCGGTACGAGCCTTGATCTCAAATCGAGGAGCCAAGGGTGCTTCCTCGTTCGAAGGAAGCTCGATATGGCTGTTAATTGTGTGTTCGATTTCAGCTTTCTTTGCTCGATCCGCAAAATTAATCCTGTTCCAGAGTGTCAGCCGCCATATAGCTAGCGTCCAGGTCCTACTCACAATGTAGCATTGGCATCATTTGGTGTCTTGAATTCTCCAGGGGAGCTCGCGGCGTGTGTCTTGTTGACTTCAGACCCGGGTGTCTCGAAATTCGACTTTCTCTTTACGGTGCCGTTTGTGTTGTTTGCAGCAGGACGTGGAGTATGCGCGACAAGCCCATCAAGCCTAGAATCAGTCAGTACCCACGCAACCGCCCGATAGCTACTACTTACATTCCAAAGACGTCTGAGTTTGCAGCTGCTCGTGGGGTAGCACCGACCACTCTTTTATCTGCTTGTCGGGCGTGATTCTTCGAGCGTACATCTTTCTCTAGAGAATCCTGCAGATCTTTCTTGAAGTCTCGCGCAGTCTTCAAATCTAGCGTCGAGTTCTCTGCGCCCATCTTTATGCTGTATGATTCCCACTTGTAGAACATTTCCTGGGCATCGATAGAGTGCAGGCGCATGATAGCTTCCAATTCGTTAACCAGAGCTTCCGGGAGATCCTTCCCTGGGGGAGCGAAAAGCTCATTGAGCTCAGAGTTGACTTCGGCCATGTTGTTCCTTGTACTGATTGATGTCGTTCTGCTGTGTGTGGAGGGCTCAGTCGAGTTCACGAAGCTTTTCTGAACGCGCGACAATCCGGAGACGCGACCCTTGGACCGAGGACGCGTCTGTGGCAGGGTCCATTTAGCGCTGCTTCGAGCTTAGCAGGCAGGGTGGGTCGGACCTAAGGGGCACCGTGCACCCAAAAAGAAACCCGGGCCGGGAATCCATCTCGTCCTCTGCTCCACCCGATCTGTGCGATATGTGTCCGCCGCCACGGAAGCCAGTGCGGTGAGATTAAGCTCACCAAAGAGGTAATGACCCGTGCGTTTTCTTAGGCGTTCACTCTCATTCCGAAACTCGTCCTCATGAACCCTTGCAATTGCCAACTCTTCCATCCCTCGATTGTATTAGAGGAGTTGTCCTCATAATGGCGACCACCACAGAACCCCAAGCTGTCCCAGCAACAGATACACTGCTTAATGAAAAAGTAGCCTCTCTTACCGTTTCCGATGATGCGACACCAGCGGGCTCCTCCGATAACTCCGAAAAGACCTCCGAAGTGGCTCCTGGCCCAGCTGTAGTTGCACCTGAGCTATCCTCGAAGCCCGTCGCAACCGAGACTCCGAAGGATGACGAAGTGTTCAAGCTGCCAATTGCACACCCGCTCGATACGTGCAAGCCTGGGTCTCCACCGGAGCCCACAGCAGAGCAGCAGAAGAAATATGACACTGTCCTTGCCGCCGTCGAGGCATGGACTGAGATACCGGACACTGCAAAAGGCACCTCCAAAGCACCCCTGACCGACGAAGAGCGCATGTGGTTGACTCGCAATTGCCTCCTTCGATACCTTCGTGCTACCAAATGGGCTCCAAATGAAGCCATTACTCGTTTACAGGCCACACTGACATGGAGACGGGAGTTTGGTATATATGACAAGATCACTGCAGAACACACGGCGCCCGAGAATGAGACTGGGAAACAAGTGATTATAGGGTACGACATCAACGGAAGACCATGTCTGTACCAGGATCCCTCAAAACAAAACACTCAAGAGTCTGAGAGACAGGTTCACCACTTAGTGTATCTACTTGAAAGGGCGATCGATATCATGCCTCCTGGACAGGAGACTTTGGCCCTCGTCATCAATTTTGCAAATTCCAGCCGCAAGACGAGCCCATCCATGGCCATGTCTCGTAATGTGCTCAACATTCTGCAGACATACTATCCGGAACGCCTTGGAAGAGCGCTCATCTCTCAATGTACGTGTCTCAAAATTAAGACTGATAGAATCTTTTATTAACCAGCTGAAAGTGCCCATGATTATCAGCATGTTTTTCAAGGTGATCACACCATTTATAGACCCTCTCACTAGGGAGAAGATTCGATTCAACGAACCGTACACTAGCAATATCCCGCCATCGCAATTGTTGAAATCTTGGGGTGGTGAAGCTAACTTTGAATACGAGCACGACGTTTACTGGCCGGCATTGGACGCATTCGCAAAGCAGCGCAAGGAAGCCTTCCGGGAGCGCTGGATCGCCAGGGGAAAGAAGATTGGTGACGATGAGTGGATCTTGAAGGGTGGTAGTCCTCAATGAAGGTCCCGTTCTACTCGTCTGTAGGTCGATTCTTTTCGTAATTTGGCAGGCTATACAATGTCGATGTCCACATAGCATAGCGCAAGATTGGTAATAGACTATATAGACATACCTGATACTAGTACCACGAACTTGCTCTTTATTCCCACTGACACAGGATGGAAGTCCTCGAATATTGGCCTCTTCCCAGGTCTAGACGCGAAGTAATTAGAGATGGACGTCAGTGTAACTCTAGCACCTCCTTTTCATGCTCCTTATGAGCAAATAACATCTAGATTGTCGCAGTCCAAGTGATGCCGGGTTTGAGCACACGAAGTACAAGTTCTCCTTGATGAAGTAGCAAGTCCAAACCTTCACGCAAAGCAGAGCGCGCATCAATCATCCTTACACGGCCACTGCAAATCTCCGTAGTCAATGTTTCAAATGTATTGTCAGCCCTGCGGTGGCTTCATATAAAGTTACCGGTTCATAGATCAACGACAATCTGTGGAAAATAATTTGTACTCTGGAACACTGCCATGACAAGCCCATGAGCACTATTTAGAGTCGGCGCTGCGTGTAGAAGCTTAATGTTTGAAGTTGACTTCTATGAAAAAGAGAATCTAGGCATAAGTAATGTTGTAGCATGAACATGATACTAGTAGATTGAAACGAATTGGTAAGGTGCATACATCATTCAAGATCATCCTATTATCTCTACGAGTAATTGTACTTGTTGGTTTTAATGCGAATCAGTGACTCAATCACACTACTTGAGTTCTCACATCCATCATGATTCCTTTCGCCTCTACATCAGTCCTTCTGACACGACCCGCTGGTTCTGGTTTCGGTAATCGGTCCACATCACGCGTACATTCGCTGACTCTGCAGCCTCCTTGAGCCCGGCTTCTAGGAACTCTCGTTCTTCTTCGAGATATGCTGTCTCCCAGCAACTACTTTCGCGAGTCAGCGGCGTTGTGCGTCTCATAGTGAGCTTCTTTAGTAGTGGCAGGCGGTGTGGTTTCTTTCGTAGCATATCTACGATGACAGCTTGATGTCCTCGTAGCTCAGGGAGGAACTCGAGGATGACGAGGGATGGTGGGAGTTGGTCGATTGTGAAATGATAGATGCTTGCGCTCATATTCCTCTTCCCGATGATGGTGAAGTTGATGGTCAGCGTGTGTAGATGTTTGAAGTTTGCAAAACTACTACACATTCTTTCGAGCCTTGGTCGTCCATCTTGGTTGCATGAACACTCTTGTCTTTGTTCGGTTACTTTAAGATTCACTGTAAGATGGCGGAGCGTTGCTGCAGCCACTTTCGCAATACAAATCAAGACTGTGCAGGCTCTGAAACTGTCGTTCAAGCTATTTACACTCGTGTAGGAGAGTTCTTCGAGGGCTGGGGCACATTGTAAAATTGCTTCGATAGACGTTGGCCTTAAGTCACAATTCATTAAGCTTGATGCTTGCGATTTGAGTTTGAAGCCGACGATTTTTGTCCTCCAGAAGGTCCTCCACATAATCCTGTGTCGCAGAGGATTCGTGATTTCTGGACATGGTAGAATGCTTGTTGATATCGTCTTCGGTTACATATGATGCTTCGATTGATCGCAGACTTGGCAGAAACATCATAGCGTATATGATGTGCTTTGGTGGTCCATCAGGATACACTGGATCCGGTGGAAAAGAAACATGCTTGAGCTTAGCCAAGGCTTTAGACGAGGGTATATAACGGTGGGCAAGGCAGAACATGTACCATGTATCATACCAGGTTTCATTTGAATCGTAATGTGCCTCATTCCCTGCTCGGACTGTGAGCTGCCTCAACTCTGGTGACAAGTATAGTAAAACACTCAGCATAGCTCTGAGTAGCACGCAGGCCACTCTCCACTAGCGAAGAGGATGTTTTCCACTTGTTTCGCGAGTAGATCGGTGCCTCCCGCCTTGTCAATGTAAGCGGTTGAAGTAAGCCCATATTCTAGGGATTTGGCCAATAGTGACTCCTTGAAATCGCCGAACAGTCTAGTCAAGACTGTCGGCTGATCCAATGAAAAACTATTGATGGTTAGACTTGTGAGATAGTTCATCTTGTACGGATCAGACAAGAAGCCAGAAAGAGCGTCCGCTGTGTCATCTACATGGTAATTAGGAATTACAAGGGATTTGTGTTGAATCCAAAGCTCGCCATGACGTCGTAGGGATATTTCCAGGCCTGTGTGTATCCGCTTGCATGTTATGGCGAAACTAAAGCAGTCGTTGGGTAAGAGAAGGTGTCTATCAGCGATTGAGCAAAGTAGCTCGTTTGGCAGGTGTGTGACGTGTGCCATGTGTAGCCAAAGTGGATTTGGAGACTGAAGAGAACGCTCCTTGATATTTTGCGTTGTCGAACAAGCAGGCAAAATAAGTTGTGTAGGGCGGCGGCCTGGGTGCCTGTTCGATGAACGCGTTCATTCAGAGCAGGCAGATGAGTTCATCCATGGATCCGATATCCCACAGTACACACTCCTGTCAGCGGTTATGCCACTCGTATAGTCCTCAGCATAATAAAGCCTGAACGCCATCAAGACCAAGAGATAGCTGCCAAGTTGTGCCAACGAGTCCGCTAACGTTCGCTGGATCGACAAACAGAACATTGCTAACAGGCCCTGCGCCGGCCATACCCACACCCGGAGAAACACTGAGCAGTCTTTTCTTGACATCATCCGATAACAAGTAGTAAGTTCGGATTCGCGAGGCTGGGAGAGGAAAAGCTAATTATTTCCAGAATAGGCTAAGATATATATATAGTTCAAGGCTAGGTACATGTCTAGTGGCAGCCATCGGGCGGACATAGGTTCCAGAAACCGAAAGAGTCGGGTTTAATCCGTCCGTAATTTTTTCAGCGCAAATCTTGGCACGTGTCGCGTATAACACGTTTTTTACCGATGCCTCTAATTCTTAAAAACCTATATTTCCTTTAATAACTCAAGGTATATAGTAAAGATATTAAGAAAATAGAGATTTTCTCTATTATCTATCTCTATAAGAACTTTTAGTCTTTAAAAGAACTTAATAAATACTCTTTAAATATAAATAGAAGTATATAAGATCTTTTAATATCTTCTAGAGTCTTAATACTAGAGTTATTAACAAAAATATAGGTTTTTGAGAATAAGAGAAAATGTAGTGTGTTGCGCGCGCAACACATGCCAAGAGTTGCGCTGAAAAAGTTACGGACGGATAGGCTTCTGCGGTAAGTGTGTGCTTGACTGGCGTCATTTGTAAAGTCGCAATCTACGATTTATCCAACATGTCAGCACTATAGTACGGCCAAGCAGCATGTCAAATGTTTATGCGGACTATCGATGCAAACACAAGGTCATGAATCATGAATGGCTTCGTGCAGTTAGACTACCACAGCGCGATTCCAATCGCAATGAACAAATGTTTACTTATTGCCCTATACACCGCACTTCAGTTCTCTCAAGCTCTGATCCCTTTAGATACCACCGGTCATGTCGTTTCCACAGCCTCCAGCTCCTGTTAGCAACATAGCCCGTCATCGTGTCTTGTCTCCCACGGCTGCGGTCCGTGTTTCGCCATTATGTCTTGGAACGATGAGCTTCGGCGAGAAGGAGAATCCAATGACCGGGACTTGTGATGAGAAAATGGCTTTCGAGGTGATGGATAGGTTTTTCAGTAAGAGATGCTCACTGTTAAGTCCATGTCGAATGCTTATTCCTCGAACCTGCGGGTGGTAACTTCATCGATACATCCAATAACTACGCCAACGGCGAGTCCGAACGTATCATCGGCTCTTGGATGACCTCCCGATCGAACCGCGATCAGATCGTCCTCGCAACCAAATTCTCTTCGCCGTACCTCCTTGGCCAAGGCTATGACACCAAACACAGCAACTTTGCGGGCAACAGCACCAAATCCCTCAAGCACTCAGTCGATGCCTCCCTCGCAAAGCTCCAAACGTCTTACATCGACATCCTATACATCCACTGGTGGGACTGGACAATGTCGATCCCAGAGCTCATGCTCAGCCTCAACGCACTTCTCAACCAAGGCAAAGTGCTGTATCTCGGAGCCTCAGATATGCCAGCGTACGTTGTTGCCAAAGCAAACCAGTACGCACGCGACCATGGACTGCGTGGGTTTGTGGTCTATCAGGGGCGTTGGAGTGCGGCGAATCGTGACTTCGAGCGTGACGTGTTGCATTTGGCACGCGATGAAGGCATGGCAATTGCGCCTTGGGGTGCACTGGGAAGTGGACAGTTCAGGACAGACGCAATGCGGAAGGAAGCCGAGGCGAATGGCGAGAAGGTCAGGATGAGTATGGGGGCGATGGAAGGTGCGGTTGCAGTATCGAAGGCCTTGGAAAACATCGCGAAGAAGAAAGGTAACGTGCCAATGACAAGCGTGGCACTTGCATATGTTATGCACAAAGCGCCATATGTGTTTCCTGTCGTCGGTTGCCGGAAATTGGAACATTTGGACAAGAGCATTGAGGCAGTTGGGCTGAAGCTGGAAGATGACGAAATCAAGGAGATTGAAGAGTCGTCTCCGTTTGACCCAGGCTTTCCTTTGAACGCGTTTGGTGCGCGACCAGCGGAAAACTGGATGTTGAACATGGCGGGCGTGTTTGACTACGTGCCCCCTGTTCAGTCCATTAGTTTGAGCTGAGATTGAAGCTACTAATTTCACTTCAGCATATTGTTTCAAGATCTATGATTATTGGGCCGCAACACTTGATCATCTATCCTTTGACAGGGGAGATTATCACGCTTTCCTCAGCTTGATTCGTTTGAAGTATTTCTGCTTCAAGTCAAAAAATGAAACATTCATTCCTTACACATTAGTTGATCCCTGAACGATAAGATATGAGCTCCAACTAAACTAGCTTGATCTTCTAGAGACTCTGTCCACAGGTTATTAAGCCACTATATGTATGTGACAACGGTCTAGGAGAAGAAATGTTCGAGCGCATTCTAGAATCACTCCACCATGGACAGCATAGACTTCCCAGACACATCAAACCTTTCCCGTACATTCATCACCTTAGTCACTTCCCAAGGCAAGGAACATAGAGGATTAAGATTTGTGGGCACTGCGAGATCTGGATTGAAAGCTCCTCAAGTATTCGGTTCAAGAACTGAAAGAGAGCGTGGACAGCGGTGTTAGCGGTATTAGAATTGAATCCGTGGCTATATGAAAATGATTATGACTTCCTGGCTGTCTTAAAATACCATTCAGTGCTAGGATATGACAATCCGTTCAGTCACAAATCCTGATCTGCTCGTCAGTGTTGGGACTGCTCACGACAGGCAGAGGTTGGACTAGGAGATGCTCTGAGTCGCATTCAAGATATCTATGTATGAATTCTCCATTCGCTTGGGTATGGGTCGGTCTACAAGAAAAACACAGAGCTCCCAATCAATGCAAACACCACTAGCCCGTTCTCATGTTCCGGTATTGTGTACGAAAATGACAAAATCGAATGTGCAGTAGTTGTTAGAGGAACGCATTAAGCCTTTGCTTTTAGATCTACATGAGCTTAAGTAATAGCCATAGCGTGAATGAAAGTTCTCACGCACCCATACGGGTGGCGATATGGAACATAACACTACTGCACACGAAAGGTTCCTTTATAAGAGTGTAGTCCGACCCAACCAGCTCAAGCCTTGGCCCCCAATCCATATGATCAGGTCACTCTCAGAGAACGCCAGACCATACCAACCGTCCTGTCCCTGTCCAGCTGAGCTGTGGAGACTAGTGAGCACTCAAGCCCGCCGGACAGCCGCTCGTGCGCCAGAAGTGTGGGGGGTGGTGTTGTGATCCAACCTATCTTTAGGTTAGTGTTGGGCAGCTAACAGGCGAATACGAGTCTGGTTCTTGAACTTCCTAATCAGGTAAACGTTCTTGAAAGCGATCGGCCAGGAACACAATAAAGCCAAGGCATATGTAAGATATTCTCTGGGTAGATCCTTGTTCCTCAATTATAGTCAGAGTACATGGTGATGGAGCTTCGATCTGGGTATCATTGATAGAACTTAAGGGCGTTCTGTGTACGAAGGGACAGAGGTGGTAGTACTTGTAAGAGCATATTTCTGACTTGAATGTGTCAGAAGGTCGAATGGTAGACAGTGGGTGATTGAATCTGATGGCTGGGCAGTCACTTGATCCGGTAATGTACCACGCCGTTGAACGATCTGCATCGTGTCCGGGTATCACGTCGGATCCATCCTGGAAGAGGCTTGAGAGCTCGTATTTACAATCTGCATGTTTTACACGATGGTACATAGCCAGTACCTAGAAAGGCTTTCCCTACGCGATCAAGCTCTGCATGAGTCCACCAATAGCTGAAAATCCACTTTTACTGTTTTGGGCTTCCCTCTGAGGGAATTGTAATGATACTGCGTGAGAAAATAGACCTGTATGCGCAGATTCAATCCCTGAGTATGCCAATCTTGTATTTTTGGTAGTATTTGAAAGTAGTATTGATCTTATAGGGTCACTTTGATCGAAAAATTATAAAGAGGGCACCAATTCCACAGTGCCTGACTATCGGCATTCATAACAAAACATCCACCTTCAAACGCAGCATCAATTGATCAAGCAACCATCACTTCATCGACACTGTCCATAATGCAATTCAGTACCATCTTCATCGCAGCCCTAGCTGCCATCTCCACTGAGGCCGCTACCATGTCTTGCTACGCCAGCACCAACTACGGCGGTAAAGCTTTTGCAACATCTGGAACGTGAGCTTACCAGACTATCTCTTTACCATCCACGGGATTCTGACATATTCCAGGGGCACCTTCCCTCTAGGTTTCACTGCTGCGTCATACAAGTTCAGCAGTGGCTTTGCCGATGGTATATGTGTCAAAACTTGTGCTGGTGGCCGTGTGAGTTTTATCGACGTAACACTTCTCCGAACTTCAGTGCTGATATCTGTTTGTTAGGAAACGGGGAGCTTCTGCAAGGGTCGCAGCAATGCTAATGTTGCGTCTGGAAACAGGTTCAACAAGATCGTCATCGGAAAGGACAGCACTGTTCTGAACTGCTAGGCATCTCTACGATCCCAAAGCCTTCTCTTCATGTTATAAAGTTGTATGGAAACCTAGAAGTGTTCATTTAGAAATAGCAATTGAAGAGATTGACGGCTAAAATGTCTCATTCCATGTGACACACTCATGATCCCATGAAACGGCTTTGGACATAGAAGCATTCTCATCAGTGCATTCTTCGATCCAGTATGTGCAAAAAATTGCAGTAGATAGTTATAATCCCAAGATAAGTGGTATATCAGTGATAAAGGAGGGGATAGGTGGGTTTAGCTATAGGAATAGATGAATCAAACTCAGAATCGCAAGGTCGCGGTCAAGTTCTGGCCTCTTTGATCTCCCTACGACCATCAAGATCTCATCCACAATCTGAACCATCCGTTCGAGTCTTACGGTCTCAGCACCGGATATCCAATCGCCTTGTGCACGTTCTTCTTATACTGCCCTCTAACATTCCCTATATCACATAAATTAGCTCAAATCATCCACATACCCACACAACAACTGACCAACAGGCTCGTAATTACAAACCGTCAAGAAAAACCCAAAAGGAGTTTTCCTGCAATCTGCAGTATAGCAGCCCAGCCTCTCAGACCCACTCCACACCACCTGCGTGAAATGACCCGACACTTTGCCTGGCTTCGTCGGCTCGCTGGCTGCGTTCGGGGATCTGTCATAGTTGCTGAACTCGTTGTTGTACCACATGTTAGAAACAGTCGGGCCTACGTCGTCTCTTCTCATGGCCCCGGCGAGGTTTTGGCCTGCGCGACTAGAGGTGATGTGTTAGTGGTTTAGTTTTAACATACATGAGCAGGGCGGACTTACTCGTGCTTGAGCTTGCAGATATGAGCAGTCCTCTTGGCTGCAGCTTCAAGTTTCGGGCTCCAGGAGAGAGATTCCGAAGTGTGGTTCCAGCGGTGCACATTGTGGTAGTTAAGCATGTCAGTCTGATACTCGCTGAGGCCTGCTTGTTCGTCGATTACATCGTGGCCGACGACGGCGCCGACAGCAGCAATCAAAGACGTGATATTCGTGAATATTTGCATGTTTGATAGTTAGTAATAAGTGTTGTAGAAAGTGTGCTGATGGACAATGCCCCGAGGAATGTGCAACGAGTATGGTGGGTTATCAAAGATACAAATAAGTCACGATGAGATGTGAATTTTAATTGTTTATATCGGGAACTCGCAGGATAACAAATACCGCGTGTGTGCGGACACTAATATCTCCAAACCTTGGAACTCATTGATACCCGAAGAATACATGATATTCAATTCGAGTTATACTCGGTCTAGGAGACTAGCCTACCAAGAGGAAGGCTCCGGACATCATCCCCTCCTCCATTCGAGGGCGGCTCTATGAAGTTTAGAAGTAGCAGAGAGCCTTCTTGGCTGCGAATATATCTGCAGACTTGCGACACGGACTATGAAGCTTGAATTATTCAACGAGTCAAATCCACTAGACTGGTTCCTGTTGAGTGGCAATAGATTTAGTTCTAGACAGGAGGATATCTACTTTCCACAGTATTTCTCCTGCTCACGTCTGCTCGAGGGTCGCGGCGACCAATTGTAGCTTCGAGAGCTTGGAGCAAGCCTTTCTCATCGTAACGTACAACGTTCTTACCTTCAATTTTTCTGCCATACAGCCTAACAGTCTCGATTCCAAGCTTGTTTAAAACAACCTTTTCGACGACTGGTGTGTTCAAGCCCTCAAGGTGGAGGACATGTGTGACATAGGTCCGATAGTCATTGGGTTGAACGCTTCCTTTGAGACCACGACTACTTGCGCATGCTTTTGCAATCGCGGCAATGAAATCAGTCGCGCTGTAAGGCGCTGAAGAAGGCCCGGTCTCCCGATCTATGTTACTGTTTAGGATCAGGATCTTGTAGCGAGCTTTCGTCTGTGCAACTGCTTCGCCGACATCCGCCAAGACCAGGTTTGGTATGATAGACGTGTATAAAGAACCAATACTATAGATTATGCATTGCGCATAGTCTACCGCGTCGACGACCTTCGGGTTGCACCGTGGACGGATTTCTTGGCCATATGGATTGATGTACCAGATCCTTTCGATGCGAGCAGGTAGTTCCTCCTCGTCTGTCTTGGAGAAGGTGATGTACTGTTTCCGCAGAGTTGGCAGCGATCCTGGCAGCGTCCCGTCTTCGATCCGGTCGTGCTCTTCAATCTCTAATCTTACATTTTCAGGAAGAGCCGTAGGAACACTTGGATGAGAGATGGAGTTCTGTCCAACGATAATTGAGCCGTCACTCAAGCCTGCGGAGATGTGATGGGTGAAATTAGTGTTGATAGCAGGTAACACCGACACGTTGTCAGGAACACCACAGATGTTGCTCAAGAGGTATATGGCACTCTCAAAGCTTCCAGAAAATAGACGTGCCCTAGGATGTGTCAGTTTTAATTGTTACATATCTCATCAAGTGCGCAAACCCTGTCAAAAATAAATTCCCTACACTGGCAGAGGAGAAGTTGAAAACAGATGAAGGCCGAGCTCGCTTGACAATTTCAAGGTTCAGCAGATTCAGAAATGAACGAATCAGCTCCTTCTTTTCCGACGGAATGTCAGTCCACAAGACATGTCGGGCTTCAACGATATTCAGCCATTCTTGCCTCGCCATTCCTGGATCATCCTGCAGGCGATGATTGAAGAAGGCTCTGATGGCAGCCTTCTTGGAGTCGTCGTCATTTGGATCATCGGGAATGAGGCGAACGAGACGACCTGGGATACTTGAGCATTAACGATATGTGTTTCTTCCGTTCAACACACTTCTCACATCTCCGATACCTATGATTTTGGTGGTCAGCTTCGGCCGAGATTTACGTATAGATGTAGCTCTTCGTACCGGGCCCTCCGAAGACACGAATCAACTCAGAGGAGCTGCCGCCGTTGTCGCTGATAGGTATTACATAGCTCAGAGGGCATTTCTTTTTCTCGACGAGTGATTTGAAGACGTCCACGAGATTATTCGCCGCGCTGCCACCTGAAAACACGACAATACCTCTTGCACTCGTCATGGTCGAAACTTGTGGAGAAGGACCCCTTGAAGAGGGGCAGAAATAAATAGGCCGATGCGATAGATAGATGTCGCGGCCTAAGTCGTCGCAGTCGCAGTCGCAGTCGACTTTGATTACGCCGATGTTGATATTTCGCTCATCATAAGAAGACAGACTGTGCGTGGTAGACGAATGAATGCTGAATCCTCATGACATGTTTTTCCTGGTATTTAGCTTGTATGGGAGTCATGTCCTAGTCCGAGCACCTACGATTGGTCTAGGCCGTGATAACAGACCAAATGAACCGCCACTGGAAGCAAACATGTATAATTTTGTAACTTGTATCGAAGACTAGGAACCAAGTCCTTTTTTCTATTGTAAGATGACACGCTTTATAGTACATTGCGTCCAGAAGAGGATGGTAAGAGGTAAATTGTGACCTCAGTACCAGTGAAACAGCATGTGTCGATGACCGGAGCTGATGCACTCTTCGATATCGTTACTCTGCGATGACCTTGAACACATCCATATCAAATCCTCATCTCCCAGGTCTGCCACCTTCAGGAACTCGCACCATCTTTAGCCTGTGCCTCTCGTTCCGCAACTCTTCTTCTCTTCTCTAGTAAGGCATCTCGTCGATCAAGCAAGAACTTCTTTTGGTGGCCTTCCACGCCTGTGAGCCAGTACCCAAAGGCGCCGCCGATGCCTGCAAAGACAGGGTACATTCCCCATTGCCCGGCAGTCCTTGGAACAATTGGGACCATTTGGATGCCGAGCTGCCACATCCTCACAGCCACACCTGTGCTTTGGTCAGTAGATGTAGCTGAGATTGCGTTGAATCGTAGAAGCTTGCAGTCACGCATGTCCATACAACGTACCGAAGCCGCTCCAGAAGAGGATCTTTGACACCATTATGAGCTATTCCTGCCACCGCCCAGTGTGAAAGATTGTAGGACTCTAATTGATTTGCCGAGCTATCGAAAAAAACGCGCTCATGTACCTGTCAAATGAATCGTGAACGGGAATGAGGTGTAGGTCTGACCTGATAGCTTGACGGGAGGTTCAGATGCGGAGAGCCTGAGTGGTCGTTCTGGTAATTAGTTCTGGCGTGTCGGCAACACTTCGGGATCACCCGTTGACAAGAGCACGACACTCACTCTCCATGTCCATATCCCATACGACTTAGATTTAGAAAGGTTTACAGAAAGTCATGTCTGTGGTTGAGCACAAGCGCTCACTGGACGATAACGATGGTGATGGCATGGCCACACGCAAAAAATTGAAGATCTCGGACTTGCCTCTCACGCCCGAGAAGAGGAATGCCATTGATGAGCTCCTGCACAGATTCAAGAAGAAGGGTGGCTTCGACGACCTACGCAAGACTGTCTACGCACGATTTACTAAAGATGTACATACCGAAATTTGTCCAGTGCCGTGTCTCAGCTTTACTGACAGCTTTCACAGGATGCGCGCTCCGCCCTTACCACATCCCTCCAAGAAATAGCTGATCAAGAGCTCGAAGCGAACCCTAATCTACTCGCCAAGGAACCAAGAATGACTGCACCTCTGATTGCTGGAGCTGCTGAGCGTGGAGACACGTATACAGCTGCCATGGTCGCCGTAGATGGTTTTATCGATGATCTACTTGGATCGATTGCGATTCCGAAGTTGCGCGACATCCGTGCCAACGAAGTAGGCTCAGATGTCGCGGCTGCCGAAGCAGAGAAGGGAAGCAAAACCGACGATGATTACCACCGAGAAGTCGAAGAGCGACGCCGGGAACGTGCTGCGATTCGCGAAGCCGAGCTTGAGAAAGAGCGCGAGGCTGAGAGGAAACAGAAGCAGGAGGAAGATAAGCGTAGACGTCGTAGAGAGGAAGAAGAGGAAGAGCGAGAAAGAGAACGTCTCGAGCGCGAAGAGAAATATCGACGAGAGCGAGAAAGGGAGCGTGAGAGAGAACGAGATCGTGAGCGAGAAAGGGAGCGTGAGCGTGAGGACCGTAAGAGATACTACGATAGATCACGGGAGCGAGACTACTCAAGAGATCGAAGCCGCGACGACCGTGAGCGCCGAGACCGCAGACGACGAGACGACCGCAGCAGGGATGAGTCTGTGGAAGTCGGTACGCCTGTCAAAGATAGAAGACGGGCTAGTCTTGCAGCTAGTTTGAACTCTCATCCACCGGAGGAGTCAAGCATGGAAGACTTAGCGCTACAAGCATTGCTGAAGGAAGGCGAAGAGATCAAAAAGTCAAGACAACGACCAACCTTCGAGAAAGATGAAGACCTCGAACCGATCGTGATCCAGCCACCCACGAGGAAGTCTCTAGTACCCAAATCCATCAAGCCTGTAGATCCAGCTGCCGCTAGACTGGCGAAGTTGGATGTCAACGTTAATTCTTCGATCAGCAAAAGCGTCAAGCCAGGCATCAAGATTGAACTTAAGAACACCACCGAATCGCCCGCTACACCAAAACCTCTGGACCTCAGAGATGGACTTCCGGGGCCAGAGATAATCAAGTCTGATACAGAAGTGCAAGAGAAAATATCGATTCGTTCTCACAGTCGCGACCCGCGCAAGGACTCCCCTGAAGCGATCCGCGCCAGTCGGGACGACGATTGTAACGAGGAAAAATACCGCGACCGAAGATCCTCACGATACCGCGACGACTATGATAGATCCCACAGCAGGTATGATAAAGATCGCGACCGACGCTCTTCCAAATACGATCGAGACTCCCGCCGAAGCCGCTCCCCAGACCGACGTCGTAGCTATCGCGACCGCTCCACATCCTCGGCACCTCGTCGCCGCCGCTCTCGCTCACGCAGTCCCAAGGACATTGACCGCTACGTTCCTGGCTCTATGGGCCGCAAGAAATCTGATCGAAGTCGCGACGAGCGAGATGACGGCGAGATCAAAGATCGCGATTCAGAAAAGCCTAAGGATAGGGATCATGACAGAAGTGAACGCAGAGATCGCGAGAGGGATAGAGATCGCGACCGAGACCGGGACTATGACCGCGACCGCGACCGTGACCGCGACCGTGACCGTGACCGCGATCGTGACCGTGACAGAGACAGAGATCGCGATAGGGACTATCGCAGCAGCAGAGACACGCGAGACTACCGCCGTGATGATCGACGCGACAATCGTCGCGATAGAGACCGCGATCGAGGTGCAGGAGAAATTGACCGGTATATGCCTAGTACGAGTGCGCGAGTCAAGGAGCTGAAAACTTATCCCGAACGAGAGCGAGATAGGGAGCGAGATAAGACTCGTGGCGATAGGGATAAGGAGAGGGATCGCGACGATAAGGATAAGGAGAGAGATCGCGATAGGGATAGGGATCGGGATCAGGATCGAGATAGCAGACGCAGAGATAGGTCGCGGTCGCGGTCAAGAAGCAGGGGCTCAAGGAGATGATGGTTTAGGCATCACATCATATGATTCCTGTAGTATGATATTAGGCATAGGGAATCACGGTAGCGATGGAGGCAGCGAACAGTCTCCGAACAACACTATGTATTTTAAGATTTATCCGGTTTGGTCGAAAGTAGTGTCTATGGTTCAAACGAAGGTCCTGCAAAGCATTTACAGCACGTCACATGAATTGCAACCATCCCCTCCACCATGGGCTCAGATCGTGCATTAGTTCCACCTGTACACGAGAGCAGATGACTGGATTAGTAGTCATCGCCACGGCTGATGATCTCCTTGACGGTAGGTCGGAGTAAAACGGTCTCAACGAGTGTCAGCGCGCCAGTTCAGGTCTGTGTTGTACATTGGCTTACATGCTCAAATTGGGCCGTATAAGAACCCTTCTTATCGACCAAGGGTGGATAGTCCTGGACGATGCCCTGCTTGACGAGGTTGTTTAGCTGCGCGAGAGTGAGCACCTGCATTTGTAATCCAGTGTGGAGATAATACGTACGCCGAGCAGGTATTTCTCCTGCCCAAGCCGGTCCAGATAGCGCCTACACCACGGCAGAGTTCCGAAGTTCTTCTTAATCACACTGAGCAAACTCTTCGCCGAGCTCAGCCGCAAATCTGCTTGCGGGGGGTCGCCACACAGCGCGTAATGCGAGCACTCGCCGCGCTCAACGCACCGGCCGTTTCCCGTGCTGCCAAATGTTTCAATGGCAAACACATCTCCTTCCTCCATCTTGGTCATATCGTTGGTCTTGACAGATGGCACGCTCTTCGTGCCCTGTATGCTATACGGTAGGATATTATGGCCGGTAATATTCCGGATCGGTTTGATAGGGTAAGTAACGCCGTTGATCTCGCACTCGTAGCTTTCCATGGTTTCCTGAATGTACCCGCCCAGCTCGCCCAGACGCATGTCGATGCCGGCTTCGCGTAGGCCAGTGTTGGTGGCATCTTTGACGGCCGCGAGCAGGTTGTCGTACATGGGGTCGAAGGACATGGTGAATGCGCTGTCGACAATGCGCCCGTTGACGTGCACGCCGATGTCAACTTTCATAACGTTGGTGGCCGCGAGCGCTTGCTTGCAGCCTACGTTGGGCGAGTAGTGGGCTGCGATGTCGTCGAGGTTGAGGCCTGTGGGAAAGCCCATGCCCGCTTTTATGGCGTCACCTTCGGTGAGCCCATCATGACCCACAAGGCGGCGTACAGAGTCCTCGATGCTGTTTGCGATCTCGGTGAGTGTCTGACCTGGCTTGATATTTTTCTGCGCCCATTGGCGGACTTGGCGATGGGTTTCAGCAGCCTGGCGGTAATCTGAGAGGAAGGCAGGGTCGAGATTATCGAGATGGCGCTTCTCTTCGTTTGTAATACGATTGAGGTTATCGTCTTTGTATTCGACTTCTTCACCCTTGGGATAGGTACCGTGGGGAAAGAGTGTGGAAATAAGGACTGAGGGTGGATCAGTCTGCGCGGTAGCAGCCTTCTTCTTCTTTGGCTTTTTTTTCTTGGTCTTCTTCCTCTTGGCTGCAACCTCATTTAAAGCTACATGAATGTTGCCAGTCTTCTGTTCGTCTCCGTCGTCGTCGTCGGAATCATTCCCATCGACATCTGCAACCGTGCCGTTGGTGTCTTTGTTCTCGCCGCCATTGTGATTGGTGGCTTCGTCCTTATTGACTGGAATCGTCAGTCGGTGATTTCTTTGTAATATAGATATGGTTCTGACATACGTTTCATTTTCTGGAGATCGTCAACGGGCGATTTGGCAGCCATGTTGACGACTGTCGTGCTCTTGTTTGGTTACGATATGTTGAAGTGAAGCACGGATTATGACCTATGTTTAGAGTACTGTGCTTCATTAGACCCTGTGGGGCCCACCACGTGGGCTAATCCACTTACGGTTAAGCGGCCGATGCGCCGTTCCCGTCGCAATGAATAAATAACTAGTGTCTCTGTGGGGCTCTTCTTACAACGCCTGTGTTACTTTTTGCCGTCTATATCACACCAAAACACCATCCATCTACAAGCGCTTCCTTTCGTGATAAGTGTGCGCGACCTACGACCATGACTGATCCACCACCCGCGAAGCGACGGTGTCTAGGGACTGACTGCGAGAATGACGCTGGAGATCTCCAGTGCCCGAGCTGCCTAAAATTGGGAACAAAGGACAGCTACTTCTGCTCACAGGACTGCTTCAAGAGGAACTGGGTTGGTATTTCTGCATCCCTACACACGCAACCCATACTGATCATGGCCGCTACTCCACTCAGGCTACACACAAGGTTATGCACAAGACAGCGCAAGGCAAATTACAAAATGGTATCTTCTCCAAACTCATTACCCCAAGGGTTGTGTCTGAGCCCGACCCCGTGACAGGCTTCGTGAACCCTTTTCCAGCATATCCTTATACCGGATCTGTTCGCCCCGTCTACCCACTTTCAGCAAAACGCGAGGTCCCGAAGACCATACCACACCCAGACTGGTCGGAGACGGGCATTCCTAAAGCCGAGAGGCGTCTGAACAGAACAAAAATTGAACTCCTGGACGCAAAAGGTCAAGAAGCAATGCGAAAAGTTTCAAAACTTGGTCGAGAAGTCTTGGACATTACTGCTGCCGCGATCAAGCCAGGCGTAACAACAGATTACCTTGACGAGATCTGCCACAACGCCTGCGTGGAGCGAGAAGTATGTGTTATTACCATACGAACATGGCTAACCTTCTGACATGAACTCTATAGGCTTACCCTTCACCTCTAAATTACAACCGCTTCCCCAAGTCCCTATGTACTTCTCCGAATGAAGTAGTATGCCACGGAATACCCGATCACCGGAAACTTGAGGATGGTGACATCATAAATCTTGATATCTCATTATATCATGGTGGATACCACTCTGATCTGAATGAGACGTACTATGTCGGTGACAAAGCCAAGGCTAACCCAGACGCCGTTCGCGTGATCGAGACGACCAGGGAATGTCTGCAAAAGGCCATCGAGCTGGTGAAACCAGGCTGTCCAATCCGAGACTTTGGTCCCGTCATCGAGAAGCATGCGAAATCGCGCGGTTGTAGTGTCATGGCGACGTGGGGTGGTCATGGAATCAATACTGAATTCCATCCCCCTCCATGGATTCCACATTACGCCAAGAACAGGGCAGTTGGAACTTGTAAACCCGGCATGACCTTTACGATTGAGCCCATCCTCACTCTGGGGAGACCCAAGGAAGTGTACTGGCCAGATAATTGGACGAACGTTACAGTTGATGGCAAATTCGCTGCTCAATTCGGTATGTAGCATTTGAATCAACTGCTAAGCATAGTGCTGACAACCCAAAGAGGACACTCTACTCGTCACGGAGACAGGTGTAGAAGTTTTGACTGCTCGTCTACCAGACTCACCGGGTGGCCCAATACCAATGCCCACAACGAAGGACATAGCAGATGGTAATGAGACTAAAAACGCCTAATTGAAAATAGACCTAGCATACAGATAGACAGACAAGCAGAGTCCTAGGTCAAACATTCATGAAGGTGGAAAGATCACGATCTAGAAGCTTGTTCGAGAAATCTCCCCATGCGTTGTGATGTTATTGACGGCGATGACGACTATGATCTACCTAGCCAGCGAAGATCCGGAAGTATCCGGCACTGATACATGTTGAGACCAGTATAGATAGCCTGATCAAACAACAGCTCCATTGGCATTTATGGAGAGCGATTAGCGCCTATCGTTTATGCCGGACTAGGATCTGCCCTCGAGGTCCGCGATAGAGAAGTCTTTCCAGCAAGACATTGATAATGTTAAGGAGAAGTGGAAAAGATGTCTGAACGAGGATAGTGACTATTCCTGGCTTGTAGTACGGCAGCGAAGGACTACTGAACTTATGGCACTAATTTTTCCCGCTACACAAGGTATCCCCAGATGCTCGGAAGTGTATTATTTGTTCCACTTCTAGTCAGTCCGCTAACTTATAAGGAGAAATACTACGGGTTGGCTGCGTTTCATCTGATCATTTCTGCTTTCCCGAAAACGCTGTCTAAAAATAGCCTGTCTACGCTCTGCCTCTGTATACTATACCGACTTCGCTCTCAGAAAACCAGACTTGAGATTCGACAGGCGACCACGGGTTACGATTCATACGTATATCCTCCAATTTGATATCTAAAGGGCCATGTTTCCACAAATATGGCGTTCCTAGACTGAGTATGCAGCCAACCCTGGCGGCGGCTACTGGTCCTACAGCAGCATAACCTAATATAATGTCCTGGATCTCAACCGGCAACGCTAGAAGGGGCGTGTTGATAAAACTGATAGCTGGAGTCAGAGCCCAGAGAAGGTAATCTAGAGCCAGTTCCGATGGAGGAGCGACGTCGGGATTGCCATTAAACAACGACTGTGGAGCAGTGTGCTCAAGTTCATACGGGCCTATGGCGCGACATAGTACGATATGCTTAACTGACAAGATAATGTACTCTGGTCGCTTGTGTGTATAGTCTGTCCCAATAACGGCTACGGATTGCTGAGAGGCAATGTGTTCCTTAGCTTTGGAAAGTCCGTTCTGTATTGAATGGCAAACAATTAGGTGAACGTCTCCTATTGGTACAATATCTGTCTCGAATGGCGTCCACGCGGGCAATTCAGTGATATAAACCCACTCGCCCCCTACACCATGTCGCAAACCGGTTTCTTCGCGAATTTCGAAATCTAGAGTTGAAAGCCGAATAATGCCTCGTGCAAGAACTCGCAGAGTTATACTGTTATAGTCGTTACGAAGAATATGCCGCCATTGGACATCAAAATCGCGAAGAATGCGATGAATGAATGCGCGATTTCTTTTATCGACTTGAACTTGAGGCTTCCAACACGGCACTACTGATGGTTCCAATGTCGGATGTAGAAGTGAAGGTACGGGCGGCCCGAGCGATTCCATATCGCCTAGAGTGACTGGACTACTTCGAAGAACGCCGAGTGGTATACGGGCGCGATGGTGGCGATTAATATAAATTAGCACATCGTTTTGGAAGTCGAAGGTCCAGAGGGCTTTGAAATCAATTTCTCGGAAGTCGCCAAAAGGGTTGACTATATCGTATGGCTCTGCCTCTCTCCATCTGAACGGGAGGTCTGCATGCAGAGTGTCGAAAGTTGCAGCTACAAATGTTGTTTTATTTTAGAGAAAGTTCTTTACTAGTCATAGTTGCTTCTCGACCTTTGTCTACATTAAGCAGGATTTTGGAAAAGCGCTGAAGCTGCAACTCATCATCTTCGTCTTCGACCCTTCTACGGCCGGTGATGATTCGTGTTTTGAACCGAGAGTTTGCTTCTACCAAAGACAGCGGGAAAGGTGCAAGAAGATACGCAATATGAGGTCTCATGGTCTTTGTGATGAAGATGGGAAAGAAGACCAAAACAGGAAAAATGGGTGCAGGTAATCAACTAGCTGGTGAAACCTCGTGGGTCTCTTGATAGGGCTAAGTCGTGATTAAGGAAATGACCGCCCTGTGTCTGGAAATTTGACTGACGTAATCCATCCACGGGTCAGCTGATCGTACTAGTAAGCTAATATCGGGACTAGTATATTTTACATGGGCAAATTTAATCAATAAGTCTACTATATCTAATCTATCTACCTACTAATTATATATCCTAGTCTACTAGTAGTACTATAATAAAAATTCTATATTATCTCTTTTCTAAATTATATAAGCCTCTATAAGTTATTAAAGATAATTAATAGAGTCTAATATTATAATATAAGAGATACATATATATATATAAAATCTCTTTAATACTGAACTATTTTAGTAATATATTATATAAGAGTAGCAGTCTAAGCTTACTTTAGTACTACGGCACTCTCTGTTTGAGAATCCGCCTTTGCCGCGCGATACTCTTTTCAACGCGCCAGGTTGAGATTGACAGCTCGAGCGCCTGATGTGACGCGTGTCTCCAGGCGCAGCTCGTAACATGCATGAATAGAGTTTCAAAGCAACGAACCTTCACAACGAGGAACATTACAATGCCAACAGTTTAATGCGCACTGTCGTATTTGGCTGTCTACCCTGTCTTGTCACGGCAACAGGGCTGTAGACATTGAAGCTTCCACGAATCTCTTCTTTCCAATGCAATACTACACACCGCGCTTGATTTACCCTGGACGGTATGTAGTAAGGGCTCGGAGATCACCAATGTGTTCGAAGAGATAGTCATAAACTTTACGGGTTTCTGGCACGTAGGTAAGCTTCTTCAAGGAATGCGATTCATGCTTGACCGCTGACTGATATTCGATCTGCCACTGGGCACGCAACTCTCGTGACAAGAAGGGTGCTTGCTGTCGCAATAAATTCGTCCATGTCCATCTCGTTGGCGTCCACCTTGGTCTTGAGATCTTCCACCTGTTCCAGAGATCTTTCATATTCTTCCGTCTGTTGGGCTTTACTCGTTGCGAGGACCTCGAGGGAGTCGAAGGGAAAGGTACTCTTGAGCTTATCCCACCTCCTGTCTCCAATATGCTTCCTCACCTGGGCAAACGGAATGCTACTCACGTAGTTGAAACCCGAGTGGAGTAGCATATGGAACCATAGAGCGCCCGAGCTCTCAGACCATTCGATCAGCGAAGACATTTCCTTGTCATGGATGTCAGACATGCGCTCCTCCTCTTCCCCAAGCACACGTTTGTAGATCTCTAGGTGCTTGAGATATCGATCGAGGATCACAGCAGATGCTCCTGCCTCTGCCTCAAACTCAAGGTCATAGAGGTTCAGCCGAGAGTTAAGTAACCACCACGGCGAGGCGGCCAGCTGGGCAGGGCCGGCGTAGGACCACTCAAGGTCGACAACGCCCACAATAGTCAAATCGTCCTCGGTTCTGACGAGTATGTTCGAGAGCCCGAAGTCCTCTGAGACGAGCTTGAAGGGGCCCTTTGCGGTGTCCGGGTGGACAAAGTCGCGCACTATGGTGCGCAGAGCGTTGAAGGAGGCAAGCTTGTTCTTGGCGTCCCACAGGCCACAGACTGAGTTGGCTTGCTGGGAGAGCTGTTCCCAGTCCTGCATGCACACGTGGTCGAAGAAGTCATTAGTAGACTCGAAGCCTTCGCTTCGTTTCCCTAGACAGAGCGTCAATTTATCAATTGCCAGGTCTACGACGAAGGCATTGACCTACCGAACGTGTTGACTCCACCCATCTGAAGGATATCATGGATTTTAAAGGTGAGCGGGCGTATCGGCGCTACGAAATTGGTGAGTGGTGTCGGGAGGCTGCCGATGCGCTCAAAGTTGAGTTGAAACAACATGAGCTGGATTCGGGCGAACTGCCGGTAGATGTACTCGATGTCGGCTTCGGCGATGTCGCTTCGTATAAGCCTCTTCTCGGGCCTCTCCTTCCACAAGCTTTCCAGACTGACGCCCTCTATGAAGTCCATAATAATGAACGGGCCGAGGCCAAGAGGGTTGTCGGCGGCAGTACCCCAGCCGTGAACCTTGGGTACGGGGACGTCAGTCTCTTGACGAATGCGCATGAGCGCCTCCACCTCCATAGCAACCTTCTCATCCGCCAGGTAATCGCAGACGACGCCCTTCTGGGCGAAGCGGACGAGCCAGATGTCCCCGTTGGTGAAGTTCAGTTTCTGGCTAAGGTTGTAGCCGCCATTGATGAACTTGACGGTGCCATCCGTGGCGCAGGGCAGCCGGTATTTATGGTACGTCGAAACCCAACGGGCCAGTTCTCCCCTCTCACGCATCGCAGCGACCTCGCTGACCCAGCGATCTTTCTGAACTTCATGGAGAATATCGTAACGTTCGTCAAAGTCCATAATGGCACTAGGATGAAGGTGCAGGGGGACGCTCGATAGACAATAGAGCGCGTGTGCTGAGGGAAGCCGTGACAGTTTGTATGGAGTTAGTGGATTCGTCGTTTGGCTAGAACCTACCTACCTTGCACCTGCATCAAATTGGAGCGAATCAAGACGGGGCACTTCTTGTAAGCCGGCCGCGATGCATACTTTGTGCCACATCTCGTTGAATCTTCGATACGAGAGCTGGAAAATAAAGTCGTCCAACTTCTCGTCCTTCCATGGTGACTTAATACAGTCGACATCGCGGAGCGCTGGCTTACTCAAGGACTCGTCCGCATCTGTTTGGCCAGCTTCAAATGTATCATCTTGTATAGCGCGCGCAACAATGAGACAACTAAGGCATACAAGAGGAAATGGTACAACGAACGCAGAATATTTAAGTGGAAAGGCAGTCATTTTAAAGCTACAGCAAGGAGACGTACTCATGCATTGCTAGCGAATTATTTTTACTTCTCTGGCATGAGCGGGGGAGGCAGGAGGGGTTCATTTTCGGAACCCTGAGCCTGAGCAGTCTGATCACAAGGATGTGCGTCCAACAAAGAATGTAAAAGTAAGTAGTTTCGAATATTGTAAAGTAAGCTAAGCAGTAGAACTACAGGTAATGTAAGTGGTTGAAAAAAGTCGATGTTGTCGCAGGTGTATGGTGAGTTTTTATCGACAAGAAGAGTAGTGCAGAGCTTTCTGAGGCTATAAACTCCAGGTGGAACTGATATAAGAAGAGCAAGATATGCTATACATTTTTGTCCGATGCTCCGGGACCCAGAAGATCTGAACAGACCAGACTCTGACCATAGTGCGTTATGGACCGCATTCCGAGGCAGTCGTTGGTTCACTCGTGTATGGACTCTACAAGAGCTTCTGGCGCCGCCAGCTATAGTATTCTATTCTAGCGGCTGGGTCGAACTCGGAATGAGATCCACTCTACAGGTTCAGACCAAGCAAGTAACAGGAACCGACAAGTCTCTATTAATTCATCGAGAGCTCATTACCACTATGGAGGTCGCGTCAGGCAAGAGAAGTATTGCCCAGAGAATGTCGTGGGCTGCACACAGGAAAATTTCGCGTATCGAGGATAGGGCTTACAGCCTCATGGGTATCTTCCAGATCCAGATGCCACTCTTGTATGGCGAAGGAGACCAAGCTTTCATCAGACTCCAGGAAGAAATCATGCTTGTTAGCAATGACCACAGCATATTTACTTGGGGGTTATCCTCCAGGACTCCGATTACAGAACCTTCCCAGGCCATGGTACCTTCGTTCCTCGCGAACACCCCTACATTATTTGCCGAAAGCGGAGACATCATTTCTGATGAGCTCTCACCAGCCATGCATCCACACAGCTCAGATAAGCAGAGAATCTTGCTGAAGACCTTTGTCGTAGCAACGTCGGTGGCAGTCGGAGGCATGGGTGGATGGATTCTACCTTCGCAACGTATAGTACTGGCATTTCGAGAATGTAATGACCTTACAAACTTGATTGCGTTTGTGTCGTACTTTTCGGGCGATACTCAGCAGTACTGCCGCCATAGTCGACAATTCCGCAGGATCTCCCGAGACTCGCCACAACTGCACGACCCCTGTTCCATATAAGTCTCTAGTTCATTCCTCTTACTCGGCATCGTACGAGACTGGGGCGGTGTGCCATTGGCATTCTTCATCCGTGCTCTTCCATCAGATATTTCCATCGAGGCCGCGAAACCACCGTCACGCTAGGATAAAAATCAACGATTAATGAGCCTGCAGAGGTCAAGAAACGACAACGCTTTGCTCTAAGAACTATACGCTTAGTATATACGACTATCCTGAACAAAACGATCCACCAACAGAATTACTACTATTTGCGTGTACCTCGCAGAGTATAACATGGGTCAATGTCGTAGCAACAGATTCCTCGTCAGACGAGATCACTAGCCTCCTCACAAAGCAGCAAGATTTAACAGAGTCCCACTGCGATGGGTACACCATTAGTATCAACTCCGGAAAGTTCATTAGACTAGATGATGACGATATGCATATTATTCCTGTCGACATTCGTAAGCAAATTGAGGAGCGAGACAGCGCCTGAAACAACAGAGAAGATGGCACCTTCAATTCGTACCTTGTACATCGTTAGTATCGCAGGCTAATCAGGTTCGTGTCAAGTTAATCATCCCGACTGCTCACGATAGCAAAGATTATGATGATGAATTTTTCACATGGCCTATATCATCAGTATACATGCTAGATCTGTGATGGACTTATTGAATTTACAATACCAGACCTACGTCAGTGGCGCGCGCTAGCCTTAACAGGCAAACTGAAAGATCATCAGTGTGAAGACCGTTGGCCTGCTCCTACATAACACCTTCGTAATCTACCCGACTTATCCGTCCTCGAGCACGAACAACCCTCATGAAGTGGCAGACCCCTCGCACAGTCCCCTTCACATTCTCTCAGCCGCGCTTCGATCACACGGGTACACTTCTCTCCCCATCCGGCCCTCATTTCACATTCCACAACCATGGCGACGAACACTCCAAGCTCTCAAACAAGCTCAAGAACTATCCTCTCAGTATCATCCGTATTGCAGACAAAGCCGTTTTCGCGGAGATCAATTGGGGCCACGATCCATCCGACACGACGGTGACGGGATTGCAGCATGGAGCAGCCCCTATCACAATTAACGGTGGGCTCCTAGACGCGAACTTGGGGTTTCAATTCAACGATGGTACTTCTGGACCACCACATATCCTCCGTTGGGTATCCGCGGGCTGGAACAACAGTTTCCACCTTCAGGCTCTCTCCTCCCTCGACACATCTGGCCTCAGTCTTGCACCTCCGGTCATTGCGGTCTTCCGGCCGCGCTTCGTGACGGGAGTGAATAGCGTGTTGGAGTTCCATCGTGAGGCGCTCCGCACACCGTGGCTTGCGGAGTATACGGTCGTCAGTTGTATCTGGATAGAGTATGATGCATTGTTTGCGACGAAGGATAAGAATTATGTGAAGAAAGGGGGTGGACGTACGTTGCAGCAAGGCCTCCACACCATGGATCAGGGATTGGGGTTGATTCAAAATATTCAGGCTGGGGATGGGGGTGGATCAGGAGGGGGTGGAGCAGACGGTGGAGGTGGAGGCGGAGGGGGCGGAGACGGGGGCGGAGGTGGTGGAGGTGGTGTATGTTGAGAACCGATGGCGTTTAGTAACGGTATGTTTAATTGCTGAGTATTCGAAATTATTCAACGATCTCAAAACATGCTGCAGTAACATCTAACACTTCAATAACTGTTACATAGAGTAGATCGTCGTCATATTTACCGCATACTACTCAAAGATACTAATTGTTAGATCAGTATCTGAGCAACTACATGAGGTTTTAGATTATTTTATTGATTGTGTTCATCTCATTTACTTAAGTTTGTCTCTTGTCCTTCAAGCGTAACTACTTTGGAGCCGACACCTTTAACACTTATGCGAATGTTAAAATACTTATACCTCTATCACCTTACCAAGTAATATATCTTATTTTTATATTACTGAGAGTTAGTGAATGACTGGAATGCTGTGACAGACACATATAGCAGCGGGGATATAAAATGGGATATGTCTCATTGCAGACTCAGTCAGTCAGTTAGTCATTAAACAGTTTGCGAATAAGGCAGGATGCTGGTGATGAAGAGGGCAAGCATTCGTTAGCAGACGAACGGATGACGCCAGACCAGCGCGAAAGGATCGTTCGTCTTCATTCCTTTTGTAACTACGGGTAGCACGGAAGGTCCGTCCAGTTGATACCCCCCTAATGATTGATGCCCCTGTCGAGTCACCTAGTCCATCGCAACACATAGGGGTAGCACTGAATTTTCTACTCAGCTCGAGGTTCGTCAGACTACTGTCAAAGCCAATGCCCGACAACGATTAGTGGATTTCAGATGTCTCTCCATTTAGACTGTGGTTCGTAATTATTTTATTTTATATATAGTACATAGTCCAGGGGCTACCGAAGGATATATGCGTTTTCCAAGCTGAAAACTCTGCTCTATACCCTAGAAGACTCTCATATTCATAATACTCCTATAGCACTGGCACGTTCCTCGCCCTGTATTCAAACCACCTCGGCAATCTACGTCCCCATCTCTGCTCTTCATCACTCCTAATCAGATCCTCAATCGCACTACCCCACCTCACCAGCTTTTCCTCCTCCCACGCACTCACCATGAGCCCCAGTCCAAACGGAACCCCGCTGTCCGAGTTTACCCCCACAGGCAAAGTCAGCATTGGGTAGCCTGCCTGCGCAGCAGCTTGATAGGTCTGGCCTACGGATGGTGGCACAAGCAACGCATCCACACGTCTCCCTCCATTGGCGAGTGCCGCATCAATACCTTCGAGCCCTGCAGAGCGCCGCAGATAGTCTACCGCCTGGAAATACGTCTCGTTTCGTACGCCCCTGGTGGCGAGACTGTCGAGGAAGGAATCTTGGCCTGAGTAAAACGCCGGGTGACCTCGTCCTTCGTTATTCGGTACTCCACCCTCTTCGCCGGCGTTGTCGATGTTGTACTGCACGATGTCCGCCAGGTTCCGGATTGGGGTGTTTGTGAGCTCGGCCAGATAGGAGTTGATGTTATTGTAGAAGTCGACGCATACGACGGTGTATTCGCTTTCGTTGAATCGACCTTGTTTATGCTTACGCCCAATCCCAACCATTCGGCGAAATTGTCTCTGCGGCGTTGGGGAATTCAGTGCCGTTGATTATGGTGGCGCCTGCAGATTCTATATATTTGATCAAAGAGGAAAGAGACTTTTTCTGTTCTTCCGCGGCGTACGTCCAGAATGTCGACCAGGGGATACCGAACTTTGCTTTTTGAAGGGAGGTTTTGGAAGTCAGGAACTGGGCGTAGCCGCCGGTGGGAGTCTTATTTGACTGAGCCAACGTATAATCGTCGCGGCTGTCGAGGCCGTAGATTGCGTCAAGCACGTAGACGGCATCGCGGACTGAGCGAGTAAATGGACCGATTGTATCTTGGTGTTCTGATTCTGGGATGACGCTTGGAACTATCAGCATGTATCCCACTGCTCAGTGCAGATCAAGACCTACCCAGCTCGCGAAGTAAGCCCTACCGTTGCTTGAAACCGACCAGTCCGTTCCGCCAAGCCGGATCGATGACTGTGGCATACGCCATTAGTTCCCATGATAGATCCCAGAATGCGAGTAATGCTTACCACTCCCATCAGTCTCCGTGCCCAGAGTGAAAGGTACATTGTTCGCAGCAACAGCTGCTGCACTACCAGAACTACTTCCCCCTGGACTTCGAGTCAGGTTGTACGGAGTCCGCGCTTGCCCACCCCTTGCTGAGTAGCCTTCAGAATAATTGGTCGATCGCATATCGGCCCATTCGCTACATGTCGCTTTGCCAAGAAGCAAAGCTCCAGCTTCACGAAGTAGGTGAACCACATGAGCATCGCGAGGAACCACAGAGCCTACAAGTGCCCATGAACCAACAGTTGTTTCCATCTTATCCTTGGTTGCTATGTTGTCCTTGACCAAGAATGGGATTCCGTGGAGAGGACCCCTGACATTTCCGGCAGCACGTTCAGCATCGAGAGATTGGGCTATAGCAATATGGTCTGGATTGATTTCAAGGACGGAGCTGGTGCATGTTAGCGCGGTGTCCAGTCGTCCTTTCACGAAGATGCTGAGCGCGATCCCCAAGAACGGCGGATGTTACATTATGAATCAGGATTTGAGAGAAGTCCTATTCAAGAACCGCCATTATAATATGTGACGACTTACTTCACGTATCCATCCACTTGCATGATTCTCTGTGTGTAGCACTGGACTAGCTGCACACTCGTCAGTATTCCATTGTCTAGGGCTTCCTGCATCCGATCGATTGTGGCCTCCTGCAATGCGAAGCCATGGCAGTCTGGCATAGGAAACAAGTCTGGAGTCTCCGCTTTGTCTTCAGGTGGAAAGTAGAATGGAAACGGGTTGTCAAGGACCTGCTGGAAGGAGAACTCGAAATCGTTCGCACCCCTGGAATCCAAAAGATGGGCTTCCAGAGCCCCAGTTCGCGATCCATGTGAAAATGCCGCGAATACAACGGTCGTCACAATGGATTGGACGACAAAATGAAAGAGATTTGCCATGTTTCTTAGTTTAAATACCGTGCTTGAAGGTTCAGTGACAATCCAAACGAGACGAGGATACCGTTTTAGGCTAACAGTTCAAAATTCGCATGCCAGCTGTTACCATCCCACATCTATATAGGCATTCAATTTGCGCACTGTCTCAACTGAATGATAAGGCAAGTGGGCGAGACCCATAGATATCAGAACTCATGGATCTTACTATTCTACTTTAGGATTAGGCGCAACACTACAATCGTTAGCCCGTATTCATACCAATTCCCTCAGCCCTCGAATACTAACCCTATCATTTGTTGACAGTATGAAAGAAATAGGGTTGCGTTATCTGGAATTTCCAAGCAAGAAGCCGCAAGAACTCACCTCATACATTCTCATTGCGCTCAAAGTACGCTATTCTATCCCATCATTATGTCAGTGTCACACCTTAGTGAACCCAAAGCAATACTAAGATCTCTAAGTTAAAGGGATTTGTAAAACTGCTACTCTATCATGACTGACAGCCTGATGACGAGATTGACAAGGGCTCAAGTACACCTACGTGAAGAAATACCTCGTAGCCGTATAAGGAGCATGGCCAAGTCCGAAGTGCCTTGTCTGTGGAATGTGGTGTCAGGTTGACAAGGGCTCAAGTTTAAAAAATGTCTATAAATCTTACAATGGCCTTGTCAGAGATAAAAGGTGAATATTTACAGTAACATATATTACAGGCGCCTTTCTAGCGAGCTCATATGCTAATGATCATCGGCGGCCAAGCTTGTGTCTCGCGATCCTCTCCTGGATCTCTTGCCATCCGAAGTCCTTCCTCTTCAGGCCCTCCATATCGCCTTCTTGTATTACTACCGTAGGCGCGCCAGTCCCCTGCCCTTTGTTATACACCTGTCCAGAAAATACTTCCCGCGCCACTCTCCTCAGGTCTTGTATGCTGACCTCCTCAATCTTGCGGCACATCTCCTTGACACCGACCTTCCGCCCATGCACCTGCACCTGTCTTCCCAAGTCTTCCAACCCTACCATGCGACTCTCCAGGTTCATCAAGAGCGAGCTCCTCAGCTGGTTTTTTGCGCGCTGCACCTCTTGTGCCTTCAATGCCTTGTAACCGTGTTCGTGACTTAACGCGTCCAGCTCACGACACATGACCTCAAGCATTTCACGTATCTGACCAGGCATGCAGGACGCCGAAATTCCGAAGACGCCACTATCGGTGTACGAGTTGTTGAATGCAACGCAATTTTCGACCCATATGTTCTGGTTGAGAACGTTGGTGTATAGGCGGCTGTACATGCCCTTGCCGGGGCCGCCGGCACTGAAGGAGCCACCGCCCCCGAGGAGTATTTGCAGAATCGCCAGGGCATAGATGTCAGGTGATTCGATGGAAAGGGCTTCGAAGGCGAGGTTGATGTGGGAGAGACGTGGGAGATTTGGGTTCATGGGTGGGGGGATTGTGGGCAGGGCGAGGAAGCCTCCAGTATAGTGAGATGGTGCGGCTAGCTGGTCTGGAGTCGGAGTAGAGATGTCAAAGAGCGGATTCACGGAAGCTTTGACCGTGGCGGAGGTCGAGAGGTTTTTGAGGAAAGGGATTTTGGAGAGAAGTCGTGACGGTTCTTGGACTGGTAGTCCAGTTGAGGTCTTCGCCGTGTTGGTGGAAGCGGGATTTTGTGCATGGTCTGACGGCTGGCCTTGAAGCGATGCAAGATGTGCTTGTAATTCTGATGGGCTCGGTAATGAGGGACCTTCGCCATTCTTCATGTCTCCAAAGTAGTCCTCCACTAACCTAATCGCATCCGAATGATCCACTCCAGCGAATGCCACTACCATTCGCTCCGGCTTGTAGAGAGTCTTTAAATAGGTCTCGATGGTGGACCGGTTTATCTTGTCGAGCCGGTCCTTTGGGCACAGAAGGGGGTTTCCTAGTGTGTTGCCATTGTAGGCCGCCATATGCACTAACTCAGGTAATATGAGCTCTGGCTTCGACCATATCTCGCCAATCTCGTACTCGGCCGTGGCCAGTTGTGACTCCAGCTCTTCGTCAGTCACCAATGGTTGTCGGATGGTTTCAGCAAGCAGGGCAAGAGTTGTGGGTACGGCGGAGTTGAAGGTCGCAGATTGATACATCAACGACTCTCTTGACGAAGCACACTGAATGTTTCCACCCAGCGACTCTATTGACTCGAGCATCTGGTCCGATGTACGTGCTTTCGTCGACTTCAGGGCTAGACGATCGACTATGTGGCTTGCGCCGCGTAGTGATTCATTTTCGTACCGCGATCCGGCATCAATATATACACCTACACCAGCGAAATGACCTGGTAGGGCCTCTGTCGCCACACGAAGACCATTGGGAAGGGTCGTGACCTGATCAAGCTCTGCTGGATCCTGAACACGAGTTAGATGTCTCATATCCTTTCGGGTCATCTCAGTCATGGACACACCTTCTCCTCCACGCAAATAGTAGCAAGGCTCCGAGTAGAGGCTGTTTGCTGTGATGGATGCGCCTTTGGCAAGCCTTGAAGCCTTCGGGGAAGAGCCCGCAAGGCACGCGAGGATGACATGATAAGTAGGGCACAGCGATGCCGTCGAGAATGAAGGCGACTCTAGGGAAAAGTTGACGACAGGGGATTGGGGTATCTTCGGGTCTATTTCTGATGTAGCGTGGCGTCGCGTGCCACAGTGGCACAGTGGCACAGTGCTAGGCAGAAGTGGCCTGAGGCTGTATATGCTGCCTGGGCCAAGCCACCGGTGACAAGCCACGAAGCACTAGCCACGATACACAAGCCACAAGCATCCAATAATAAATCACTGAGTGTCAAATGTCTGTGTTTATTTCCCGCTGCACGTAACAAATATTAATGTCTTCTCACTTCGACTCGTCCGGACAAATGCAACGTCGACATCATTGTGCAGCATTCTCTTGTTCTCTCCGCACCACCAGCCTTGCGATTCTTTCTCTCCCTCTCTACCTGCCTGGACTTGGCGAGCTGCGGGCAGGGCGCTGACACTGGACTGGAACCACACACCCAGGCCGAGGACCCCAGGCAGGCCAGAACCCAACCAACAGAACCCTGTAGGTGGTCTGGATCTGATTCGAAGAGAGCGGCACCCTCTCCCTGATAATACTTCTCACCGCGTCTCCTCTCTTGCCGTCGTCGTCGTTACGGCTGTGTCTATTGCATTTCTCACATTCACACAACCTCACAACGCTTCCCAGCCCCGGATTACACTCCTCGTGTCTTCTATATGCTCTGTTCAAAAAGCCCCGATCACATTGCCTATATATTACTGCTCTCCGATCTACAAACAACACCACCTTCACCAGAACAGCCCCGATAGTCGTTCCCTATCGCCGCTTCCCGCCTCCCCTCTTCTCGTCGTAGAACTCATAACTTACATACCTCCACCTTTCACTCACGCTGCCTCACTCGTGCTTTATTCGAACCAGCGGCTACGACTAATAAACCAATACCAAGCGGGCTACCTCCCCATACAATCATCTTCCTTCACTACTCTGACAAACCCTGCGTCACGTCACACTGAAGAATATGTTCACAACGCCCGCTCCTCCAGCCCCTACATTATCCACATCAACCTCCCAGGCCTCGCCGTCTTCTCCCACACGACCCAGCAGACTGCGCGGTCTGAGCTACCTACGAAACTATACACACAACCATATTCATTCACACTCTGCGAGCTCTCGACCAACCTCAGAGAGATCAAGAAGTCACCCCTCAGGTGCGGAGAACAGCCAAACGGAAACAAGTGAAGGCACACCTAGCTTGTCTATCAACACGGGCGTCAACATGGGACCCACAAGAAGAGGAGGAGCTCGGCCCACTGGAAGGCAACAAAGTGATACTACCCCCGCAAACACCACAAATACGCGCATAACGCGAAGTAGAGCAGGAAGCACTGGAGCTGGTATAACCCTCGGCAGCACATCGTCGGCTACAAACATGAACAGCAATACTGGTGCGCAGACTGAGAAGGTTGATGAATCAAGAAAACCCCCTTCCATTCGCTTCATTCGACATGTCGATCCCCGCGCTCCCCGTCCCTCGCTGCAATTCGACCCTATTGCACGCACACTCCCTCATGACGCTGCCATTATCCATGTTGGCCGATTCTCTGAACGGGACAATCTTCCCGACGTTCCCATGAACGTCCCATCATCTGCGCCGGTTGGCTTCAAGTCGAAAGTGGTCAGTCGACGACACTGCGAATTCTGGTTTCAAGACAATCGCTGGTATATCAAGGATGTCAAAAGCTCATCAGGGACTTTTCTGAACCACATTCGCCTGAGCCAACCTGGCCTCGAATCAAAGCCATTTGAGGTCAAGGACGGTGACGTAGTGCAGCTGGGCATAGACTTCCGTGGTGGAGAAGAGATGATTTTCAGATGTGTAAAAATCCGGATAGAGTGTAATCGAGGATGGCAACAGGGGCTAAACAACTTCAAGTATGTATCAATCACGAAGATCTCTCAAAGTCGCCGTATTTAACCATCACGCAGTAAACAAACCCACAAGCGCTTACGAAATCTCGCCAAGACCAATCAGGCCAAGACGCAGAGCGACGCAGCATCTACTCATTCATCAGAGTGCGCCATATGCCTGATGTCGATTGCGGTACGTGAAGATCATCATTAATTTCGAAATATCCCAGACCCTGACCTTTACCATCAGCCTTGCCAATCTCTCTTCGTCGCACCATGCTCCCATGTGTGGCATTACAAATGCATCCGACCCATTCTCCAGGCACCAACTGCTCCGACGTTTCTATGTCCAAATTGTCGTGCTGTCACCGATCTTGAAGCTGACGTCGATGAGCCAAACGGGTTCAGCGAATCAGACGACAGCGAAGTAGAAGCAGCCGCACTAAACATGCACAGCGAGACCATCAATGCGGTGCCGGATACTTCAGTTGCAGACAACTTGCCTCGTGTCGACACTCGCAGTTCCCCCAGCAGTGCTCCAGGTGCCACTACAAGTCACGCTATGACCGCATCAGATACACAAGCACACGATAATGATGTATCAGATGGGGATGGTCTATTAGATGTGATGGTTGGCCTATCTTTCAGTGATGCTCATCACGTGTCCGATGACACGGATTCTCCCGTTGAGATCCCACCTACGGTAGCCACCAGCACCAGCGAACCCGTCACTATCAGCGTCAATGCATTCAGAAACCGCACACGTAACCTATCACCAGACGGTGGTCTCCCCGACTCAGACTTCCCTATGACTCCAAGGAACGACATCGGACCTTTCGTGTTGGATGGCAGCGCTGGACGTTCGACCAGCGATTCTAGAAGGCAGAATGACTCTGGAGACGATCTTGCCATGTCTGGATAGACTCGAGTCAGGATGGATGCTCAGCTGACGATAATCGTTGCACAAGTAATCGCCAATCTTGTGAATACTCTTACCCAGCATTGAGTCTACGTTGGCATATTATCCCACACCATTAATATTAAGCCATTGAATTACCGACATCCATCTTCGCAATGTCGAGCCTGGGTATCTCCGGTCTATGATCAGTGGATCTGGCGTCTGAACTTTTAAATCCAAGGCGTATGACATTGGCGCAACCTCACACATAGCTAGATGGCATGTACATGTACTCTACGGATACAACGACTTACGGATTGCATTTTTTGGCGTTTCAACGGTCACATATATGGTATAGTCCTAGTATAATGGGTAATCCACATTTTAATCATCTATTCAGGAGGTTAAATCTCCCTCATTTGTGTCGGTCCTATTTGTCCGACGTACCTCGATACGCAGGCTCCGACGCTTGACACGTGCTGTTGCTCGCTCACACCATTAGGACGATCTTCATAACCTCACGCAGCATCACTCAAATATACACGCTTAATTTGGCGCCGATTGTCATCCTGTATCTGTATTCCTCTTTCGCTAATAAGCATATTGTGTCGAAAATGGAGCGTTCGAAGACGCCTCACTGATGAAACATTCTTAACTTGACGACGGCAAATCGCCTAGTCGTCGTCACGGCCTGGTTATAGCGAGACGCGGAGAACGACTTCATCTGTGCATAGCGCCATAGCTGCCAGATGGGCTTCCTGCCTTGCGGCTCGCACATCCTTACCTCCTATTGACAGCATTCGCCGCTTCATCGTCGTGAAGGAGTAAAGACAAAGGTTACAAGCGTCTCAAGGTCCCTTCACGACATCCCCTCATCGCAATCAAAAAATGATGGCGTTTGGAATCTGAATACTGGGTTCTCCAGGATCCTGGAGGGCGAGCTCCCTCCATCGAAATCAATAGCGTACATTGAAAGCCTGCTGGCTGTCCAAATAAACATCTACGTTTGCTATTTTAGGGGCAGGTCAGTAAGCTTCTAGTGCGCCGCCTGCATACCGATATACGTCATATGCGAACACAAAACCTTTCTACTGTCCGTACTACTCTCTGGAGAATGTGATCGTCTCTCCATGGTAAGCTCTCGTACTACAACTGTTATCACCAAGACATCCCATTGGCATGGACATGTACGAAGGAGAAAAAATGATAGTATCTTCGCAGAAACGCGGATTGGTGACGGTTACACTAAACACCACTCGTGCGCAGATTGATTCCTCACATGACAAGAATGGCCGATGACGATTCTTCTGAAACTGCTTGTAACGCTATGCATTCACCTTCAGAGAAGAGCTAAAGCGTGGGGGCCAATTGCCGAATCGGGTAATATTTGAACTGTTGAACCTTACCTAACGGTCCCAAACAAACCTTTTACTCAAGGACAGCAACAGCCTCGTCTTGAACTGTCAGGCTTCTCCATATATACATAGCCCCCAATGGAGTAAAAAGCTTCCATCGACCTTCCAATCCCGTCGTACTGGCTCAGGGTCTATTTGCAATACCATCGAGTCCCACAGTAATGGCTTGCCGAAGGAACCGTGATGCCGCAAAAGCAATCAAGCATGCATATAGGTCCACAGATCGACTTGAATAGCATAGTTAGCGGAACGCCGATCACGAAGCTTTTCCTCGAATTAAATGGGAACGTTGAGGCTGATGCAACAGTGTACCCTTAAACTCCAGATGACGTCGATCGTAGCACTACTACAAGAAGTATTGTTACATGGGACAGTGTGATTGCAAGTGTATAATAATAATAATATTAGTGTTTAACTAGGAAGAACTATATATATAGCCATATATATGCTCCACAGGCTCAGGCCTCCTCTAGTATTGGCTGCTATGTATACAAGAAAACCTCCTGTGATTAGCTCCCTGACTAGACCCTGTTACTAACCTAACCTGGCCTAGTCTAAGTCCTCGAATCCCATTAGGTGATAAACTTACTTCTTATCCTTATATTAGGCTTTTATTACTATATTAGTACCGGCTCTTAATAACGCCCTAACTAACTATAGTAGGTATTACCTTTCTTATGATTGGGTAGGTCGCTAGGCTAGGCCTAGTCTTTTATTCCTGTGTTACCGTGTTTTTTTCCTATCCATGGGAATATAGCTTTACGCCGGGCAGTAGTCATTAATTAAGATGACTAATGCCGGAGGGGGTGTATATCTAATAGGTCCATGCCTTAGCACTAACCCCAGCTAGGCCGAATTCGGAAATTGTTCTTCGGGGCTGTGTAATCGTCTATGGGTGGGCGGGATACTTGATTGGGTATTACCGTCTGTTTCGTGGTTGCCGAGCCGGAGTAAGCGCGAGCTAAGCCGGATTAGGGTGGACAAGGCCCCGGTATGTAGTGAAAATTCTATGATTCGAGCTAAGCTAGTTATGGGTCTAGCCGCTCTAGGCGTCGCTCTGCCACTCAAGGTGGCTTAGCAGGTGGCTATATTAGGTAATTCTCATCATGTGATGACGGTATAGTCATTTTCACATTACCTAATGGTCGCTCAGGACTAAGTAGTCATGTGACGGCAACCTTCACGTCACGTGCTCGCTTAGCCCCGCACACTTTTGACAGAGCGTGCGAAAAACTGGTGTGTGAAGATTGCAAGTGTATAAAAGCACACAAGACACCCTCCACGAAATCATATATTATCCCTTTACTCACACCAACCTCACAGCCTTCCCCAATCAATCCAAAACCCATACCAAAACTACTCCCACAAAAACACAATGAAGCACGCATCAACCCTCCTCTTCGCCTCCCTGGCCGCCGCCCTCCCAGCACCCCAGGGTAGCACACCCCCCGACAACACCATCACCAAATACACCCCCAGCTTCCACCTCCGCGCGCTCAATACTGGCGAAAACCAAGCCCTCTTCGACAACTCCACCTACCTCTCCTTCTCCCACATCAGCGCCGGCAACGATATCGCCGCCCTCGCACCACTCTCCTCCAACACCCCAGCCTGGTATCTCAAGGGCACAGAGCTATACCTCCAATCCGGCGGCGCCGTGCTGCAATTCGCCGGCACGCCGACGCAGGGCTTTAATTTCAGCGTCGTTACGACCGGTGCTCAGGATGGGAATGGGTTTACGCAATACGGTATTGTGGGCTCGGAGAATGGCACGCCGACGTTTGGGATGTACACCAGGCAGGGCAATGAGCAGCAGTTTGTGGGTCATATGAGCGTCAGCCAAAATGCGCCGTCGTATGGGTGTAAGGGGGATACGCCGGTAACGCAGGATAGGGTTGTGGTTAAGTATGGTAGTATGCATGTTGATCCGGTTACGCCGGAGGGGTGTAGCGAGGTTGTGTTTGCAGTAGAGTATGTCTAGGGGAGAAGGGAAGTATTAATAAGGGTTAGGGGAAGAAGATGTACTCATATGCTGTTGAGATGTGTTGGTTATTCGCAATGATTTTTAAAGGACATTTAAGATATATTGTATTGATGTGAGGATGTGGTAGAACTTTGTCGTACTTGTCTGAGTTTGGGTATCGTGCGAGCTTGGCTCCCGGCATTTCGAAAAGGATATAGGGGACAAGGTATTTGAATTTCAGAGAATGCTAACAGAAAAAGTGAAGAGAGCTTGTATCAACACAGCAAACTCGGAGAATATACACTCAGGTTGTCAAGCTCACTATCTATATATTTATCTCTCTAGCTTTATCAGATCTATATATTTATCTCTCTAGCTTTATCAGATCAAAACGCATAGTGATTACACGAGTATCCCCCGTAAAGCTTGATTGAAGCCGACTTCGAGTAGGGAATCTAATTCTTACTTCACGACTACTCGAATCGTATAACCTCAATTTACTCGGCTGGACTCACATCTAATAGGAAATATCTTCACCAACGAAAGGACGACCCGAATGACGTTAACAGCAGACCAACCAAAGTTTGTCGAACGGCGCCGTCATGAAGCACCACGTTTTTTTTACCTTGCAAACTCCCACTTTGCAAGCAGTCATTCTCCTATTCGAATCATTGGGTTCTATTCCCGGTCTCTAATCGATGAAAGACACTTCTCCTGATGAATAAAACTAAACGAAGCAGTCCACCGACTAAAAATCGGATTCAAGAAAATGACCCCAAAAATGACAAAAATGAAAAACAAAAGGCTCAAGCCCAGAGTCGAACCCTGGAACCTGCGCCTCTGCTCCCCTGCAGATACTTAGCTCCTTCATCTGGTGCTTTGCTTCAGTGGTAGGTCTGGTATTTTAACCACTAGACTATCCTACCCCTGGGGTTATGAAAACTCTACCTACTAAATTAATTATATACGCACAGACTTCGAAAAAAGTGAATATCATGTGGGTAGCAGCGCGTAAGTGAACAGCCACAATGATCATGGTACCATCGCGGTGTTAACTTTCCAAGAAAGCCATGCGAGTGAAATTAAAAATAGAGGTCATATCCCATCAAGAACATCCATGTAAACCCAGAAATCTTGCCCGAGGAATTGGAAATAATAGAATGATACCTACGTGTGTCCATGGATTTTTGGTGTTCATGTGAGGCAGAATGCGCGTTTTGACTGAGAATCAGCTTGATACAGCAATTTTACATGTACTTATGCTTCTCTTGTCAGAATCGCGGAGCTCCAGTCTATATGCAGCTGCACAGACCAGCTTGAGGTTCACTTTGCGACAATAAGCGGGACACTTCTTGAGAGTCACAGCACGATGAACGGTCTGTCGAGAGATCGTGACGTGCTCTGAAAGTCAACTCCTTTCAACAATCATCAGCTATATTGCTGTAGATGGACGTCAAGCACAATCAATGATAGTCAGGATTTAGGTGAAAACAGACGACGAGATTGAACACAAATCTCGAGTCAAGTCATTTCTGGTCAAGTCTTGTCAAGCGTTCTCTCGCATTTTCTTAATATCTGTATAAAGATTCTTGCAACGAGTTGAACGTGACAGTGGAGAATACGATGTGACCTCTGATCCTAGATGGATATGTCGGACCCTGCATGGATCCATCGTGCGAACCCCACCTACCCCACCATATATGCACTCTATGATGAGATCTCTACAAGAGGGCGATCGGAGGCTTTGCCATACAGATTGCAAGATGAACGAGGTATAATAGTCCCAGACTCAAAGGAAAAGAAGTGTGAACATGGTATACCAACATCACTTGACGATGTGGGTGAAAGAAGGTATCAAATCGCTACCATCGAAAGCGGGAGTCATCGTGTCAGCGAGCATCGAGAACGTGGCTGAAAACACTTGTCGCTTAGCTTCGCAAGGGAATCCTAACCTCGGGCGAGGCATACATGCATGAGGCTGTGGAGATAACACAGCTAGCCGAGCGTCTATATTATTCCCGAACTATAGGTTGGCTGTGCCCACAGTAGAAACTACTAACATGATAATTAAAGGCTTTGGCTCAGTCTGTCGATTTGAGCTCCAAAAGCCTCTGTTGTGGCCCAAAAGGCTTTCAGGTCCATCACTGTGATCCTATCGAAACTATATATTGAAACGAATTCGCGATAAGTCGTAAACATGGCTACTGCTCGTGCCATTGTCTCACATGGTCCGCTATCTGAGAAGAAATGGAAACTAGAGGATGTCAAGATCGTAGATCCGAAAGATGACCAAATAGTTGTGAGAATGGTTGCCAGTGGGGTATGTCATACCGATATCAATTTTGGCAACATTCCAGAGGGCATTCCAGGAGCGCAATACCCAATCATATTTGGTCACGAAGGTAAGTTGCTGAACTGCTGGTGTGGCTCTGTCATGAAGCTCACAGCTCTTCTGCAGGCTCTGGATACGTGGAGAAGATTGGAGACAAGGTAAAGAAAGTTGCTGTCGGGGATCCCGTGTTGCTGTCCTTTTCTTCATGCGGGAAGTGCCGACTATGCGAAGACAAGCACCCTGCACATTGCGATGAGTTCACACCATTGAATTTCATAGGCAGAAAATCTTTCGCCAAGTTATCATCTAGCGAGCCGGATATCGCTGGGTCGTTCTTTGGCCAATCGAGCTTCGCGAGTCTCAGTGTAGTGGACGAGAAATCAGTTGTCAATATCAAAGGGCTGGTAAACAGCAAGGAAGAACTGATCAAGCTCTGCCCGCTGGGCTGTGGTATCCAAACAGGGACTGGATGTATAATCAGTGTGACGGAAGCGAAACCAGAAGATACTGTAGCCGTTATCGGGTTGGGAGGAGTCGGTCTGTCATGTATCATGGTAGGTATACTCTCAACGAGCAGCGTATTAACACTAGCATGCTGACAAGTCTAGGCGGCCAACATCGCTGGAGTGAAGACCATCATCGGTGTAGATAGGGTTGAATCACGCATGCAGCTCGCAAAAGAACTGGGAGCAACGCATACCATCAACACATCGAGTTTCAGTCCCGAGTCGCCACAAGACTTTGCTGAAGCAGTTCAAAAGATCGACAAGAATGGTCCGACGATAACCGTAGATACAACTGGTGTAGTTGACTTGATCCACCAGGCGTATGATCTTACCAGAGCGCAGGGTAAAATAGTACCACTAGGTATGGTGCCGCCAGGATCTAAGCTTAATATCGACATCACAGATATGGTCGTAACAGGCAAGAAGATCATGGGCACCATTGAAGGAGATGCGGTCCCAGATGTGTGGATTCCCAAGATGATACAGTGGTGGAGAGAGGGGCAACTACCCTTTGATAGGCTCATAAAAGTCTTCAAGGCGGAAGACTTTGAGGAAGCAGTCCACCAGATGCATACCGGGGAGACTGTGAAGCCAATTATCACCTGGTAACGGTCGTACGAGCTGTATTGAATGCGGTTGTCTTTCGAAGTTGTGGTCTGGATCGACTGTACATGATTTGTCGTCTCCTATGTATGTACAGGTGTCGATGCAAACGAGGTTCACAAGTGCGGCATTTCCGTAAGCTCAAAATTGTTCTGGGACCACCTGTACATAATATCGCTCGGACCTCGCACGGCTTCTCCAGGTACCATAGCAGCTGTGTCCAACTTTATGATGGTACCGAAAGGACGTCCGGAAGGTTCGGAGGTCGAAGGCTGTCAGCGTGTGGCGAGCAAAGTAGGGACATTTTCTGGCTGGTGTCCAGCCGACGCGTCTTTGTGCAGTGTCGATGTCCGATCTGATACGTAAATTCCTTGAAAATAACAACACGCTATGCCGGTAGAGGTTTGAAGCATGAAGCACTGACTGTGCTTGGACGGCGGAGAGTGCTGGTAATTTCGTTATCAGATCAAAACAGAGGCTGGGGAGGTGGGGCTTGACTCGGACGCGTCGAGCGCGTCGCTCTTGGTCCGAGCTTTCAAACCTCTTTAACTACGCGTGCGGTTCCCTTCTCTGTATTCTTCCTCCCACAAACATCATTGTCCATCCTTCCACCACTGTTCTACTCCTCGTCTGTATATCCAATACATTCAATTACTCTCACATTGTCATAAGAAAGAGGCAATGACTACCCAAATCACTCCCTCAAAGAAGGTATGCTCGCCACCGCGTCTCCGTCGTCATAGACAGGTACCTTGGAATTGCATAGCTAATAACGCGTTTTAGGCGGCTGCGGCCATTCAAAAACTGAAGATGGGCAACTCTCCTGCGAAGAGGATCGACTTCTCGGCTGCGAATAAAGAGAACGTCAGTGTCGAGGTTGCCGTTCCCATCAAGGGCATTCCCGACCTACCCGACGAGGAGGAAGATATCACGCCATCAGTAGTACCCACACTGAAGCCAGAAGAGGCTGATGAGCCCCTTTTACAAGAGAACCCTCAGCGATTTGTTCTCTTCCCTATCAAATATCACGAGGTATGTCATGACCCTGAAGGTATCGACGCGTCGACGCGTAAAGTGGTTTTTGTGCCAAGCTAACGCGTCACCACGACAGATATGGCAGATGTACAAGAAGGCAGAGGCATCTTTCTGGACCGCGGAAGAGATTGATCTGTCCAAGGATCTCCACGACTGGAACAAGCGACTGAATGATGACGAACGTTTCTTTGTCTCTCACGTTCTTGCTTTCTTCGCTGCTTCCGATGGCATAGTGAACGAAAATCTGGTCGAGCGTTTCAGTGGAGAAGTTCAGATCCCAGAAGCGCGATGCTTCTATGGCTTCCAAATCATGATGGAGAACATCCACTCCGAGACTTACTCTCTCCTTATCGACAGCTATATCAGCGAGCCGAAGCAGCGCCGCTACCTGTTCAATGCTATTGATAACAGTACGTTGCGTCACCACTACTTGGCACCAGACCCTGTGGCTAACCACTATTGTAGTCCCTTGTATCCGCAAGAAAGCTGACTGGGCCCTACGATGGATCTCTGACAAGAATTCGACCTTTGCATCGCGTCTCATTGCTTTCGCCGCCGTTGAGGGCATCTTCTTCAGTGGTTCTTTCGCTGCTATCTTCTGGCTGAAGAAGCGTGGTCTGATGCCTGGCTTGACATTCTCAAATGAGCTCATCTCCCGTGACGAGGGTATGCACACCGACTTTGCTTGCCTCCTATATTCTCACATCAAGAATCGCCCAAGCCCTCAACAAGTACAAGACATCATCGTGGAAGCCGTTGGCATTGAGCAAGAGTTCTTGACGGATGCTCTTCCTTGCGCTCTTCTTGGCATGAATGCCAAGCTGATGTCACAGTACATTGAATTTGTTGCTGATCGCCTCCTTCTTGCGCTTGGCAACACCAAGTATTATAATTCCGCCAACCCATTCGACTTCATGGAGAACATTTCTCTCGGTGGCAAGACCAACTTTTTCGAGAAGCGTGTCGGCGACTACCAAAAGGCTGGTGTCATGGCCAGCATCAAAAAGGAAGACGACACATCAGCAGGGTCAAGCAACGCCCAAAGCGGACATGGAGACTTCTCGTTCGATGACGATTTCTAAACAGATCACCCTTTCTTTAAAAAGTTTTTCTTTCGACGATACCTCGTCATGCGGTCAAACATACCAAATGACGCTGTACTCTTCTTGACCCAAGATCTTCTTGGCCTGCCATTTGCATGTCGGGTACATTGCGCTTGGGACTTTTGTACATGCGGCCTAAGGGCTATCTCACATTTGTTATGTCATCTCTACATCACTGAATATTGCGACGGCGTTGATGGATGATGAAGATCCTGGTTTGGGTATAAGGGATGGGGATGACGTCTATTTATGTATATATCCACACAGCGCCACTACGCGCTTAGAATAATTACATTTCTACCATTGAGTTCATACTACTATTGATACAACCTATTCAAAGTCACTTTTGGGATCTGGCGCACTGTAGCCTCGGCGCTGCAAGAAGCCTGCAAGAGAATGCTCTACTTTCGCAAACTAAGGGCGTCAGTCATCCGAGTTCGATTCGTGTCCTTGAATACAAAGCACTTACAATGCTCTTCTCCTCAACAATACCATCCTTAATCCAAATGCCACGCGCCCCCATCATATTCGCTGTCATAACATCAGTGAACAGTCGATCTCCAACCACCGCGATCTGGCTAGGCGAAGTAACGCCCGTATCCTTGTCAGCTTGAAAGTGACTCAGAATTTCGAGATGGCATCCTGGTTTCTTGGTATTGTGTCGAAGTACCTTGACACCCGTGTTGCGCTCTAAAAGCCGAGCTTCTTCAAAGTCCCGATCCGTTGCTGTGCCAGCGGTGTTAGACACTATAAGTAGTCTCGAAGAGGGATATGCGGCTTTCAGTGCTTCAAAGCGATCCTAAGATATATCAGTGGCGGGTCTTGTGCGAATAATGAATAGATTTACATGATATGGCTTATACACTTCATTCGCATGCGGGACCGCGAAACAATTGTCCTTGTCTAGCACTACTGCTCTGATATCTGCATCCTTGCCATCATTGCCTTTGGTAAATGCTTTTGATAGGGGGATCGGGAGCTCATTAAAGGTGGAGATTGTGGCATGAGGGAGGCAGAGCGAGGGCTGGGTAATAAGACGAAAGACGTTGAGCGTGCCTGAGATGTTCATTTGAGAGATCATTCAATTCTCATCCTGATGATCTTTGGATTTGAAGGTTTAATAAGCTCGATGATAGCACGTGCATCCTGTTTCATACAGTTTGGCTCGAGCGCCTAATTACCGATCGGAGCATTGCTCCTAATAATGCACCCCACCCCGAAAGGTCGGCAAGACCACGATTATCGTCATATCGCAGGTCTTTTGTGTGCTGTCACCCACCAAATTGATCCTCAACATGGCTGCTAGGACCTCAATTGCTCGCTCTGCTCTGCTTTTTAGCTCCCCAAGGCCACAATGGATGTGCAGGTCTATGGCGTTGAAGCAAAGTCCACTTCGGAGTTTCGCTGTTAGCTCTCGCTGTAAGTAAAGTCTTTACTGAGGCTGCGGAGCTTGAGCTGCGCTATTGCGCAAGGGAGATTCGCACTCATACGTCAGTGTCTAACATGTAGTCTAGCTATGGAGAAGAAATACACCCAAGACCACGAGTGGATTGAGCTCGACACAGACGGCAAGACCGGTACGCCCTTCAAACACCCACATGCATATCGACCTCTTCGTACTGACACTTCCAGCAACGCTCGGTATCTCTAAACACGCTGCCTCTGCACTCGGCGACGTCGTCTATGTCGAGCTGCCCCAGGACGATATGGAAATCGTTGCCGGAGACGCCATCGGCTCCGTCGAGTCTGTCAAATCGGCCTCCGACATTCTCACACCCGTCAGCGGTCAAGTCGTCGAGACGAATAAGATTTTGGAGGAGAAGCCGAGCGCGCTGAACAGTGATCCAGAAGGCGCGGCCTGGATTGCGAAAATCGTGATTGAGGGCGCGAGCTTGGAAGAGGCAGCGAAAGACAGTGAGCTTATGGATGCAGAGGCATATAGGAAGTTCACCGAGGAGGCGAGCGAAGACTAAACCCAACACAAGAGCAAAAGATGTATGGTCTAGGAATGTAGATCAATGGATTCATAGGCTTGGGAATAAGCGCATGCTGCGCCGCCTTCAACGACGGCTTTTCAACATAACGAGCATGGATTCTGGTATATTTCGCGTATCTGATATGACTGACAGCGCGTGGCCCAACTGCGTCTGTTCAGAATGTAACTGTAATCCCATTCACGGAGCTCTTTTCCAACTCCTCGATCAAATGAATGACCATTGCCGACTCCTCCGACCTGACCGGAACCTCCCCCTCCCCGGCCATAGCCTTTGCCGTTAAGCGATAATACTCGACCCACGTCGGTGGCTCCACGCCTTCATGAACCTCTCTCTTCGGCATTCTATTGACAGTCTTTGTCAACACCCCATATATCTGCTGCGGTCCTCCCCCAAATCCTGCCTCATCCCCTATGATCCCCTCTTACAGCTGCTGCTCTTGCACATTCAAACTTTCTCCAACTGCATGTGTCATGTCAAATGGGCCTTTAGTATGCGTTGGTGAGAGCAAATGGTAACAAGCTGACAGGGAGTTGATAAAATGCACAATTTGCTTGTGAATTCCTCCTGGGCTGTGGGAAGTTACGGGACCTATGGAGGATAGGCTTGCGACCCGGTACCTCCGTTGTCGGCAACTCGAAGCTGGAAATGTTCCCAATCCCAACATTCACAGCATGCTGGGAGGTCTATGGCATCTGTGGAGATACCGTTTCGAGCCTGTAGTGCAATGCTCGGCGAGTGTTATGATCACATACAGATCTCGAACATCCGCGTATTATTGCTAAGGCATCAGGTATGCAGATAGTACAACCAACGCATGACACCTATGGCGCACATGTTATAAGCTTTCAAACTCTGTTACATCAAAGCTCGCAGAGATGCCGAAGCTAACTAAAGTCTGACTCACCTACGTCATGCCGCAGATGCATTATAAATCAAGTGCGGAGCCGTCAGAGGACGGCTCGTCCCAAATAGGAAATTTATAAGGACGTGCGCGATGAGGCGCACCACGAAACCATGGTGTTGTAAGAATGCACAAATAAAAGGCGTGCACGGGAGGATGTGATCTTGGCTTAATGGCAACATCAGGAATAGATCTCGTATGAGGCGGATGGAGCTGAACAGGTATATAAGTAGGATCGAAAGTAGCATGTAGAGCAGCAATTACATTGAACGCTCCCTCACTGCAATTCCGACCTATAGTGGAAGTATAATGTCTCACCAACAGCCAACGTACCTCATAACAGGCGCGACAGGCTCGCTTGGCGGCGCAATACTGACACATCTCCTTACGACCCAGTCCATCCCCGCTTCACAGGTCACAATCACCACATCCTCGCCGTCCCGCGCTTCCAACCTCGCTCAAAAATTCTCCACCTCCCCAAAATTCAAAGGTCTGACCATCCGTACTGCCTCCTTTGATGATAAACCTTGACTCATCACCGCCTTTCGCGGTATTGACAAACTTTTCTTCGTGTCCACTGACACATTCGACGTCGAGAAACGCGAGCGACAGCATCGCAATGTCGTAGAAGCGGTCGTCGAGGCAGCCGTGGGTCATACATTCTATGCCAGTCTGGCGATTGGTGGAGCCGGAGAGAGTAAGACAGCGGTCATGGCGGCGCATTTGATGACGGAGAGAATGTTGAAGGAGTGAGTATTTAGATCCCTTCATCATTGGTCAAGGAAGCAAAGAATGCTGATGAGTAGCAGATCAGGCGCAATGTTTACATCCGTCCGTGAAGGCGTATATGCGAACTGTTTTCCGGTATTTCTGAATTGGTATCCCACTAATCGCGCTCAGAGGCTACGTCTGCCTGCGGACGGAAAGATTGCGTGGGCTGTTATCGATGAGTTGGGGGAGGCTACGGCGAAGTTGATGGTTGAAGGCGGAAGAGAGAAGGAGACTGTGAGTCCCCGAATGGTGAAGACTGACGTGCTTATGTATACTAACTGCTGGCGAAGGTCCTTCTTTCAGGGGCTAAGGCTAACTCCTTCTCGGAGCTTGTCGAGGCAATCAATTCCGCATCTGGGAGATCTGTCTCCATGGAAATTGTTTCGACGGAAGAGTATATCTCGTTGAATTCCTCAAACGACGAAGGCGAGAAACCGATAGACTTCTTTCGCCATTGGAGTGCGGTGTATGACGAGTTGGCAACAGGAGGCGCCGCAGAAACGTCGACACTTTTGGCTCAGTTGCTTGGTCGAGAGCCGAAGAGTGGCGTGGAGTGGATCATTGAGACGCTCCGGAATGATCCTGAGTATACCTGGCATCAACAATATATGAATCGAGGGCCTACAAGGACTTAAAACCTGAACTCAACGAGACCGAGGAAAAGCTATGGGAAAGACTTCATTATGTCTTTGACAGCCTTTGCTGCTAGTTGTTTCCGCTGCTCTTCTGGCAAGCCCGCACTAATGTCTAAGCTCTTGTCAGCTGTGTTATGTCATTAGTATATCAAGAGCGTACCCTTTACAGTCTGGAGTTTTCCCATCATCCTCTCTAGGTCCTCAACCTGCTTCGCTTCTTCACTCTCTCCCTCATTACCACGCAACGCACCCTTCATCCCAAACAGCTCTACACCCATTTCGGCCTCTTCACCATCCAATCCTTCCTCTCCGTCTCCCTCTTGTTCAAAATCGCTGTCTAGCAAATCATCTCCGTCCCACTCGTTCGCCTCTAACGCCTCCTTCACTCTTTCCACACCCGTCTTCTCCCCAAACTCATTCTTCTCCTTGGCTTCACTATCTACGTACTCGAATCCGAACTCACGACATGTATACTCCCACTCATCAGTCTCCATTTCCACATACGGCACCGTGGTCTGCGGCATCGCAACCGCAAGACACACTCCATCCCACTCGTCTCCACACGCCTCTTTGATAACGGCCTGCACAGCACGCATGCTATCCTTCACTGTATCAATGTGCTCAGGGGAGCCAACATTGGCGCCAGGTAGCGGGCGCCGGAAGCAAAATATCCATGCGCCGAGCGCGGACACGACGGCACATGCTTCAGGGGCGAGAAATTCGGCCGTCCATGCAGGGAGTGAAGCAAGTTCGTCAATCCAGATCGGGATGGCGGCAGTATAGTAGGGTGTTTTGAGTGAAAGGGTGTGGGAGAGGCCGGCGGTGGACGAGTCAATGGGCGATGGCGCGCTGCCGGTCAGGTCTGTGGGTCTGTCTTTAGTATCATGAAGCGGGGGAGGGGCAGCGAATACATATATACCTTTGATAAGGTCTAGGACGCCGGCATTTGAGGCACCAACAACGAGCATTCGGCGTGGGTTTTTAATCTCCATAGTGGGCGTGAATTGACTTGTAAGTGGAGCGAATGGTTAGCTCACATGGTGAAGGGTATTTGGCAGAGACGCGGAGGTGTACTATTTCACCGCACACACACGTGATAACAACTTCAACATTGGAGCTCTACGTTCTGGCTGGTTGAATCAATAGCTTCAGGATTGTATTCCCATCTTCCTTGTGTCTATTCCGTTGTCACGCCAAACGCCAAACTTCTTGCGCGTCAACTTGAGTGACCAATTCTGTGCTTGCCACAACATTGTCCTCCTGCCGGTTTCGAATGTAGATTGTGCCCTAGCATGTATCGTGTCTGAGAGCTTCTCTACTCGCTCACAACCAAAACACCGCTTTACGCTCATCCTCTTCTGTCTCCCCTCTGTTGTCCTCTCGCACGATTCACAGTTGCTCTACCTCTTGCCAGACCCACACCTCGTCCCCTCGTACCTCTCGCTCGGAACATCGGCGCATTCCTAGCACCGGATCAGTAATTTTCTCTCAGTACCTCAGAGGCCATGCGCCCTGTCGGTAGGGCCATAATCTTGGGGCTTCATACCTCAACATATCCGGTACAATAAAATATCGCACATGCGATCCGCGAATGTAGACTTGATCAAGATGTGACACACGGCCGTCGCGTGCAGTTACAGTGATATCTTTCAGCTGAACGTTCATGTTGTCTTCCGCTGTGGCAATCTTTAGCAACTGTGTGGGATAATGAATAATTGAACGGGAGTAGCATGCGACGCACCTTCGAGGAGCTTGCCGCGGTAGACTTGACCAGAGGTGATCTCAATAGTAACTACATGACCCTGTAAGTGTCAGTATACGTATCGTTCAAAGCGGAAAGTGGCGCGTGAAGCGTGCGGCTTCGTACCATTGCCTCATTCAGTAGCTTTATTGGGATGCCGATTGTACTCGTCATATTGGCGGTGGTGTGAGCGCAAGATAGGATTTATATGTGTGAAGAAAGCGGATAGACTTCTCTCCGTCGTCTGAGTTGTGCTGTGGTCGCGCGACGTTGTCGAAATCGTCGTACGGAAATCGTAAGGTAGTAATGAAGTTGAAGCTCAAGCCAAAACGAATCCATGCTCTCGCGCCAAGCCTTTCAAACTAGCGCCAATTTGACATTGGGAACTTTCTGAACAACCTCATTATCACGGAGCACGAGCAACATCACGATCACCTCTCGACATGGTGCTATACGAACTAATAGGGCTTGTAAGCTATCTATCCTTGCATAATCTCTACTCTTTGCTAACACATCCAGGTCCGCCCTGGTAACGTCGCGGAAGTCAAAGAGTATGCCTAACTCCCCTACATCACAACCCAAACATATATATATTAAAGTTCTCCAGAATTGTCCATGCAGCCGGCAGCATAATCCTCAACGCTAACGGTGTGATCCGGGGCATAACGAATTGGGGCGTCTTTCTCCTCCCAAAGCCTCGCCACGTACTCGCCGCCAAACACCACACCGCGCACCATTTCCTCATGCGCTTTGATTCGTCTGCTGACACCCAACTGACGATGCGGCGTCTACTATCACGAGATCCACGTATGATGAGACACTCATGTGTAAAGCTAGGGAGCAAATTGAGTGATATCAAAGATGTGCCAGGTGCGATTGAGTGGAGTACAGCGTATAAGGGTAATAAGAATGAAGAGTATGAGAAGAGAACGGAGGAGCTACAGATGCTCTTGAGGGAGAGAACGAAAGCTAGAGGACTGGCGGCGGAGAAGGAGAGATTTACGGCGGAGAGGGAGGGACCGAACGGATGGGCAGCGGGCGAGAGGCCATCTTTTGTAGACCAATAAAGACTGCGGCTTCAAGGATACGAACGCTAGAGGCGCTTAAATTATCTGTAGTAGATGGAAGAGAGAGCTGGTTTCGTGGACAGCGCACGGGATTCATGTATATTATACTATTCATGCGTGTAGATATTTACCACAGGTCTCCTTGGCCGGTAGTGGTCCAACGAGGTCGAACGCCATCGAGAATGCAAACACTTTTAAACTTCCATGCAGCACCTTAAACGGATTTTGCGATCATGAGTAATACCCAATCGGGCTTTTCTGTGTCGATTCCTTTTCTTCATGCTATACACATATCAGTGAGAACTTGTTACGAAACCTAAAGTCTGTAGTACTCACCTCTAAGAAGCCTGTGGCAGTGATGAGCAGGGTGAAATTATCCACCAGATCATCTAGATCAATGTTTCTGTCGAGTCGAACGCCGCCCACTCCTGCATTGCGCTTGAAAACACTGACCATTGTATTTCGATTCTCTTTCAAGAACTCTCGACCTTGCGCTATTGTGCCTCGATTCTGAGGACCACGACTCAGGACAACCGCGTTGATCACGCGCAAAACTTCGAGTAATAGATCGAAGTACTTTGCCAAAGCGTGAGGATTGTCAATCTCAAGCCCAATGTCAGGATCGGCGGCGAATATGCCAGATTCTCGAACCGCACAAAACAAGCCGCTGTTTAGTACGTGCGCTGCACCAGTGGAAGTTTGAGCAATGCGGAGCAGTAGAGAAAGGATTGCGGAGTAGGAGGATATAAGGAGAGGGATGTCTCAGAAGATGTCAGAATCAGATGTGGAGGTACACATTGGACAGGGGCAACCACTCACCAGGAGCAGCCGCAGCATGCAAGTCAGTAGGCATCGTCTTTATGGAATCGACGCAAAGTGAGATAAAGTTGAAGCGCACGAGTCTTTCAAGAATGTGTTTTGAGCGTTCTTGAATCGATAGGTGAACCAACGACTCCAGAAACATAAGTGCAGACACTCGGCAGGTACCTTGACCAGCATATGCGTCCTCGCAGATGACCTCCAGATAGTAGTCGCCTGCAGCTTCAATGGCCTGAATGATATATCTACGCAACTGCTTATGCTTGCGTGATGCGTTGAGTTGATACCGGTAACATATCTGATAGCACGTCTCGCGCAAGAGGGGCTCGGCAACTGCAGTATAAATACCGCTTAGAGCGGTCTTGAATAATTGGAACATACGATCGTTCGCGTATCCTCCACTTGTAATATCCTCGAACGTGGGCGAGGTGAAATTGACATGTTGAAGAAGGGTCTTCGACAAGCGGAGAAGTTCTACAGCAACATTTGTATCGTCCTGGTAAGCATTATCGATCTTGGGAGTGATAAGTTGTAGAATCTGGAGTATAAAATTAGTCCGTCCTGCGTCATCAAAATCGCCATTCTCGAGTATGATGGTAATGGCTTGGACCCAAGCCCGGAGTAAATCTTTCTGGGAAAAGGCCACGCTCTTTTGTTGGTTCATGCCATGAAGGAGACTGAGAATCATCTGGCCCTGTTCTTCAAGGGCTTGCTCTTCCTCAAGAGACTGCAATCTGCCTTCACGTTTCAAAGTGTTACGTCGCAAAGTAATTAGCTGCGCAGCGCTGGCCAGATTATAATAATCGTTTCCGGGCTCCCTACAAACTTCAAAGTTTAAGCCTTCCATTGACATCAATTGCATCTCTGGAATTTGTGGTCTGTTGGCCACTACTTCCATGAAGTCGTAAAGGTCCAGTATGCTTGAATTTCGAATTGACTCGCCGTTCAATAAGATAGTTGTTCCCATGATAGCAGATTGAACTTTGCCCTTGGACGATGTTATGTTTTCTTGAGAGACCCATCGAAGTTCTCGGCCCATATAATCGTAGAGTGTTGATCGCATTGTTAAGTAACTTTGAAATGCTAGCGCTGAGTCTGACATATAAAAGGTCTCGTCATCAACAGACGCACCCTCCCACTGAGTGTCTGGAGTAATGATATGCTGGCGTAGAAGTATGTCGTATAGAAAATTATTGGCTCGTAATTCCGACATCGTGATGGAGGACGATAACGGTGATCTCCATAGTCGTTGGAGAACTTCAAAGCAGCTACGCTTTAGGCCCGTGAGCCACGAAAGGAACGAGTCTTGCTCCTCATCGGGATAGTAGGTGGCGATTTGAACGATCGCATGGAAGAGGGAGTCACCTCGAGCAAACAGCCCCTCGTCTGAGATAATGAGCTGGTTCTCAGAAGTAGAAAACCCCAGTAGCAAATGGGCTAGACATGGTCGACTTGGTGATACGCGAAGACAGCCGTTGAGAAAATTAAGTATTGTGGTCTTGATGATGTATCCACTTGATTCTGGACCTGCCATAACTTCACGCTCGTCAACTTGCATTTCAGACACCAAAGCCCTTGCTATTCGCTCAGCATCATGATCTTTCTCGACGACTCCAATCATCTTACTACGACCTGATCGGTTGGAAACCCCGTCCGAAGGGCCATTCAGCTTTCTTGATGCCGAGAGTCTTTCAAGCAGCCTCAGTGAAGCTATGGTCAGGTCTTGATGGCCCGTTCCACAATAGAGACCCAAATCTACAATTAAGGTAAGATTGGTGTACACAGCATCTTCGAATGATGCTATAGCCGCATTCGCTACCGGGACTTTACGATTCGTCGAATTTAGCTTGATCAACGGTCGGACGAGGTCCAAGTACGTTGACTGAAGGCTCATGATCTGATTCATGACTTCAATACTAGACAGGAGAGAGAGAACGAGAGGAGAATCTGGGAGGGCGTCATTGACTTCGTGAATATCCTGATGTGCAGTTTCGAAAAGAGTTTGGATGACTTTGTCGTTGAACATCCACTCCATGACGCGCGCGAAAGGATGGAGTTGCATGTATGTTGAAAGCGATGAGGACTGCATTGCAGTATCAACATCAACACTAGCCTGGGCAACATTCGCTAACACTATAAGATCTTCGTTGAAAGACCCTAAGCAAGTCGAGATGAAGTTGAGACAGTTCCATCTCATGACTCGCCTCTGGAGTGGTTCTAAACCATCTTGTTTTTCGGCGAAGATGCGGCCCATCACGAAGTCGATGTAGTTATCTATCCCTGGCATACGATGGCTTGATCCAAGATTCTCGGGAAATGGCAGACTATCTCTCAAGCCGCTATCATCCGACGGTGGGGCAATCAACGCACGTAACAGCTCCACGAACGCGTTTGATTCTTCATAGCCACTCGCTATAGTATGCCAGACATACTCCTGAGGAGTCTTTAGCTGAGGTCCTGGCTTCCCGTGCGTATTGAGGCCTGTATGGAGCCAGGTATCCAGGTAGGTCCATATGTGAAACGCGATGGCTGTGGTCTTGTGGCTAAGGAAGGAAGATAGTGCACTAAACGTACTTGCTCGGAGACGGCTCTCAAGGTGTGATTGACAAAGCGTAAGAAGCATTGGCACAATATTGGCCGTTTGCAGAACCCAGTCGCGTGCGACACTGCTCTGGGAGCACAAGTGAGCTAGAAGACGTAGATAACTCTCTAGCATCATTGCACTTTCCGGTTCAACGATCTGATCCGTGGCACTGAGTGGTGCAGTCTGTGTCACTCCCTGTATACCTGCGTTCTTATCTCCAACGCTCGAGGAATAGAATTGTAGCTCTGTGAATATTTGAGAATAACTTAGCGAAGTGCTTCGCCGCGATCGTATGGTCATTTGAGGAGCCTCTTCTTGAAGGAAGCGGTGGGCAGCCTCGGCACAATCTTCTCCGACTGAGATAGCACGGAGCATTTCGCAGAAGGCAGCAACTCTGGGGGTCGTCTGGCGTTTCGCAGCCCATTGCAGGAATCCGTATAAGTTGCCTTCGGGTTCATTCCAGAACGCAACGGCGGCATCTGACGATCCGTCGTATGCGAAACAAATGATGATAAGGAATCGCTCGAGATGTAACTCGTACTCCACGTGATCCCTTTGGAAACGCGATTGAAGCTGCCGCCTTTGCTCATCCTCTTCAACTTTCAATTTGCGTAAAGTGTCTGGCATGTGGCTGATGAATGCATCCACAAAGCCTTGAAGTTGTTCCATCACTAGAACTTGGAAATCTTCAGTAAATGGGACTGTGTCAGACGGTAATGTAGCAGCGTCCTTGAGAAGTAGGGAGACAAGACCCGCGCGAGCAGGGTCATACCATCTATCTGGTCTCAAGCCTTGACAGATTGACAGCATGAAATGCAATGCACCGTCTTTGATGGAATCCATGAAGACCTTGGAGCGTTCGTCTGCCTCTGCAGACAGGTCTACGCCCTGCAAGGGCGACTCAGTGGAGGCCTCTACATACCGCCCACTGTACTCAGCTAGCCAGTATGCTATGACAGTTGCTTGGAAGCTCCGTACCCCCCATCCAGCAGATTCTGTGGTCGAAACGATTGACTTATGAAGGGTCCTTGCCTCCCTCAGTGAAATATTCTTTGCTTCTGTGGGACCCAAAGAGCTGATCAGGAGCGTGAGTATAGGAACATAATGGATGAGGATCGCATCATGCTTGTCTAGTCTCTTCGCGGCTTCCTGAGTGACAGAAAAGCCATCAATTCCCGGGCTAGTTTCTTTGGTCATGTAGCAACATATACCAGCAAGAGATTCGTGTTGGCGTGTTAGGCTGGCCTTTTCCAGCTTAATGAGCTCTTCTATTTCTGCTGATGGGCTTCGTTCCATCATGGACAATTTGATGTAGCGATCGTGAAGATCTTGTAGGCGTTTCTCAATTTCCCCCATGGCTGCGAGACATTTCTTCCAAAATAGCACTCCATTTCCGGCATTGCCTGTCCTGGTGTTATATATCTCTCGCTTCACAATCTCTAGATTCTGAGTGACATCATCGTGTAGTTCATCATCCTCCTGGCCTTCCTGAGATATCTTTATAACCAACCGAAGGCATTCCAGGAGAAAGTGTCGCCTCTGCTGATAGCGTATGAGTGCCCCAAAGAATGGCGGTCGATCGAGTTCATTCGACTCCTTACTTGCAGTGTGAAGTAGTTGCGCGGATTCTAATTCGTCGAGATCTAAGGTGTTCGCAAGTTGAATGGACTGTTCGCGGAAATCGTCGTTTACTGAGTATTCCCCATCGTCAAATACGATGGACGAGTCTGAGTAGAAAAGCTTGATCAGCTGAGGGTCTCCTTTGAGGGCGCAATTTCTCCACCTTGCACGACTTTCTGGCGACTGCCGTCGTCTCTTCGTTTCTGGTCTAAAAGATTCCTGAAATCATCCACGCGCGCCTCTAGCTGCAGCCATAGTCTGTCCAAGACAGGAAGTCGTGATTCTGATAGTGCTTGCAGATCGCGATGCAAGTCTTGTAAAGACTCCAAGCTGCTTGCATCTGCCATGAGAAGAAAGAACGCCGTTGGGCATGTATAGAGCTTGTGTCGCAAACCACGCGTTCCTCGAAGCTTTGTCGAAGCCAGAAGTGAAGCTATGAATTGAGTCTAGTCTACCTTAGGAAAGGCGCTCCGCTGCTCTAACTACTAAAGTGGACCAACAGTTGACGAGGGTTTCTCAAGCGTCCAGTGTATTATGTATAATAAAGTGATAGATTACTATACCACATAGTCTAAGCAGCCTTACTAAGTAATATGAAATAAGCTTAAAGTATATATATGGTTATAGTCTACGATGTTAAAATTAAACATATATATAAAGTATTATTATAAAGTCTATCTATAAGGTTAAATTAGTTAAAATCAGTTAAGGTTGTTAAAAATAGTTAAAGACACGTATAATAGGTATTATATTAAGCCTGTACGATTAAAATTAATTAAATATATATCTATAATAGATAATTAGCTATTTAGAAGAAGAGATAGATAAAAGAGAAGTAGAAGGATGCCGGAGATTACTTCGGCTAAACTATTACGTATATGATTACTCAGTAAATCTTTGTTTAGTACATAAAGTACACTGGACGCATGAGAATTCCTCCCAACAACACCCTTGCACGCCCGGGCCTGAACTTGAACGCGATTTTCCGTACATGATCATACGGCTCCACGTAGCGCGAGACTACAAATAATTGGAGAGTGACGTAGACGTTTTAAGTTTGAAGAGCTTGGCAAGACTATCTGGAGTGCAAACGCTCAACCAAACTCTTACCGGACGACATACGAAAGACGCTTGAGCCGTCTCGTTTTCAGACCATGGTTAGCATGTTACAAGTATGAGTGACTTAAATCTTGCAGATGTTGTCGGTAAGGCACCATAAGAGAACAATATTTTCGGGAATAGTTGTTGACAAGTCCTGCAAAGATCGTCTCGATTCTTCTACGCAAACAGAACGCAAAGAAGCCCTGAGAGACCTTAAACAAATCTTCCAGCACAATCGTCACAAATCGAAAAGGAACACGATCACAGACAAATCCTTCTACGCGTTATATGAGGCTATATTCAGGGTCAATTCTCTGGAGCGCTCGCAATATGCCAGAGCTAACTCAAAGACCCCAAAGACTGCTAGCGCGAATCGTCTTGAGCAAGGCGCCGACGCGCTTCGTCAGTCAGTCGAATTTGGAGTACATAGACTTCAAAGAAGAACCGTCAAGGCTATTCTGGAACATATCGTTCAAACGCTGCCTATGTCAAGTGGAGGCTATTGTGAGCCTTTACTAATACCTTATTCAAAATGCTTGCGAAGTGTCCTGGAGTTCCAACCTCACGCTGAGCATTTATCATCGACAGATTGGTGTGAAGCAGTCGATTTCTGCATCACTCTAATAGTTACTGCTGAAGAGCATGACTCAATGGACAGTCTGCGCATACCACAGTCTGGATCACGACGACGGGATGCTTCGACGGACAGTTCGTCCCGATCTGGTACTAAGGAGCCTCTAGAAACCCCTCGTCATGGCGGAGTATCTCCATCGGTTGCTCAAGAGCTGGTGGTCTGTTTGCGCCAGCTTGTCACTGTCCCAAACGCGCCCATCTTTCAGAAGGCGCAGGTCTCTCTGAATTCACTCACTAGATTTCTGCGATCGGCTAGGAACGTCGGTCTGGCGCACCAGGATGCATTTGCCGCTATCAATTCAATACTTACAGCAATACACCTGCATCACAATGATATATCGCAAAGAACAATCGCTCAGCTTCTACCGGTCATGAGAGACCTCTGGCAAACACGAATAGCGTCCTCTTTGAAGGAAGAAATTTTAGCGACAATTATCATTTGTCAGGAACAGATTGCAGTCATGCTACAGCTAGAACATAATCACTACAATGAGGAGGTGAGACAGGAGGTTGAAGCTCTATTAGATTGCTTACACGCCGAATACTTGAAGCGACTCCCGCGCGATCAGTTGCAGGTCGAAGACCTACGACTTGAAGTCGGCGAGGTTTCATGCGAATATAGCATCCTCTCGACCCCAGCGTTTTCTTTAAAGAGCGAATCTCGCCACGAACAACAATGGGCCATCTTGAGTATCATGGGTACTTTGACATTGATGCTAAGTCACGATCACTCCGCAATTGAACTGGATAGTCAGGACATTGACGACCGCCCGCGAAAGCGAAGACGCTATACAAGTCGCATCACTGCGCTGTTAGATGACCTCAGTCGGCCTGGTTCAGATAGAGTCGCATCGTTACAAATACTGACTTTCATGCTGTATCGTACGCCATGCTCCGCGGGCCTACTTAGTCAGATCCTTGACAGACTTATCGGTTGTGCCTCAGATAAAGCCGGTTCCGTCTCTGCATGGAGCCTTCTTTGCGTTGCATCGTAGGTTTTGAGCACCATGACTGTGGATATGTGCTTTATTGACGCTGCACAGAGCGGCTCATTCGAACAATTCTATCGACACATCACTTTCCAGTTCATGGATGAATCTGTGGGAACAGGCAGCGCGCAATGCTGTTATTCCGTCCTCTTGCCGACCTGCCTGCCTCGCTATGCAAGTGCTCTTACAGCTCGGTATCGTATCGTATTCTGCCATAGCATCAACTAATGAAACCATGTTCGCGTCTATCGACCTGAGCGGTCCTGCTTTCATAGCTGACTCAACGCTCAACTTCTTCATATCAATGATAGACTACGCATCCGCCACGAATCCCAGTCGATGTGACTCTATCACAGACAAAGTTGTTCAGTGGATATTCAGCAAATTCTCTATTGGTAAGTCGAAAAATACGTCGACCTCCATCTCGGCTGACACAAATAGCTTTCTCAAGCGAAAGATCCTACGCAAATCACGGGAATCAGTCGTTCAGTGCGGCTGACGTATTAGGCGCTCTCTACTACTGTTTAGGTATCACGTACCCGACCACGGATGCTTCTGTTTTTGCATCTGGCCCCATTGCACAAGCCTGTTCACACATTAGCCTACACCATGAGAAGGCTGTCTATCTCCTACTTCTCGACGACACGCATTTCTTTTGCAAACCAAGACGACGAAATAAGCATATGCGAAACTCGAGTGAGACGATCACGCAAGCTGCTGTTGGTCTAGAATCTCGCATCATCGATTCGTGTATAGCACAGACTGAGGACGCTTACCAGCAGCTGGAAGTCTGGTGGAAAGAACGCCCTCAGAACATATCTCAGATAATGATTAAGGGACTTACGACTCTCGCTATGGTGGTATCCGCCATCGCGCACAATAGACATTCAATCAACAATTACAAAGCCGCATCCTTAAACAAACAGACAGCCCGACTAGTCAAGACTCTTGTGGAAGTTGTATTATCTCCAGAATCCGAATCTGCGAGGCTCGATACGCTCATTGATGCTATGCGTCCGAGTTTGCTGCCGATGACTGAATATGTCCATGTGGGCGGGAATGCTTTCAATCACAGCGGCATCACACTCTTGGCTATGCATATCACTAGAGGTCTAAACAGCCGCGAAAGCATCCACGGGTTGTCTCTTCCGAACAGCCACCAGGAGGATATTATGGATCTTGATGATGAGTTTGATTCGCAACCAACGCCCGACATTGATCATACACAGCTCACTGAGCCCCCAAGGAAGGAGTCTGTTGTACAGTCCGACCCATCCGCGGCGAGAGCATCAGTCTTACTGTATCTCAGATTCGTCACTGCTACATTTGAAGCTATAGACGCCGAACAGCGAATAAATAGTGTGCCAACTACCTTCATTGATCATCTAGTATCACTTACCGCCAAAGAGATGCATTATTGCCGAAGCTTTTTGGAACAGCTCCTCAATGCGAGAATGATTGTAAAATCCGCGGACCTGGATAACTGGTTGACGCACCTCGGAGAGACTATTCTAGGACCGTACATCTATAATCGTAGTGAAGTTGGTCTTTGTCTATGTATCGACGTTCTAACGACTTACATGGAAGTCTGGGCTAAGACAGATGCCGGAGATCTGCACGATTCTGCTTCGGAGATGTACGAGTGGCTATTGAGAACACTCCTCGAAACCGACTGCGCATCGCCGATGACTCAAATCGGCATGAGTAACTTGTTGTTGGCTGCTCATGCCGAGAGTGAGAGCTTCGCTGAGTCCTCCGATCTGCCATCGCCACGCACAGCATTGCTTACCCTCCTCCGATCTGGCTCCATAGGAGTCAAGTACCACGTCTCTACTCTTCTACCGGAAATGTTCCAACGATACGTACTCGCCATGCATGATGGATTTCTCAACGATATTACCGACGTCCTGCCTTCATCATCTGATTGGTTAGAAGGTTTGGCACTGCGACTTATTGTCTTTACAAAACTTGGCTCCCTGTGGCCAACAATTTTAAGAAGGTGTGTATGGTACATCTTCGAAGCTGCTGGTAACGTCGAGCTTTGTTTGGAGCATGCGACAGTATGCATAGAGGATGTGGCTCGTTCGCTCAATCTGTCAAGTGCACAAGAGCTCTTCGCATTATTTTCGCGGCAATTGTTCTATACCTGGACGGACCTCGCGGAGCCCGATACGGCGAAGCTGTATCGTGATATTCCGTACTCCATCTTCAAATACAAGTCGCTTGCACAGTTGTTAGTAGAGACGAGAGATGAGGCTTTTGCGCAGGCTCTCATGCGGGGCTCAAGGGAAGACATGGAGACCGTAGCAAGTCAAGTCGGCATCTGCGAAGACAGATTGACGGAAATGGCCATCTGCAAGGTGGTTGCATACACAATATCTCGGGACACAGACGATTATGTGCAAAAGCAAGGTACCGGGCATGGCAGCGGGCCAGACTCGTCAATTACCAGTCAGGAAAAGGCTGTGAGCACCAAGTTTGGGACCTCCAAGTACAATGATCTTCTTAGATCGCATTTCCCTCGTATCCTTGGCTTGCTTCTTCTGCACACAGACTTGACAGACAAAGTCCATATTGCCCCTGCTAAGAGTGATGTGTTCGCCAACGCATGCAAAGTTGCTGAAAATATTATGTCATACGGTCGTTCCGATCATAAGTTACCCCCAGATCAACAACCATCATTTGGGTCTTTTACCGCATTTCACCGTATTGATCGGCTCTGTCGCCGCGCTGCCTACAAGTCCGAATCAATATGGACTTCTGACGTCGTTGTATTTGTGATGAGAATGTTGCTGTTACAACTACGGCCGGAATTAGGCTCCCTTCATGCTTGCTCGGTCATTCGAAAAATTAGGGTACTGGTGGCTCTTGCAGGAGATGTCGCTCTTAAAGGTTACCCACTCCACATGAGCCTCCATGCATTGCGCCCTTATCTTACGGACTTTCAATGTTCTGACGATGCCTTGGGCATCGTACAGTATCTCTTTGCAAATAGTCAGCGGAGTCTCCAACTCGACCTATCATTCGTATCAGGAATTGGTCTATCTATACTACTCTCTTTGCGCAGATTCCTCGAAATTTCTCAAGATAGCACAACTCAAGAATCACAATATATATCAACAATGTCCAAGGCCACACTATTCCATGTTTGGCTTTCAGCATACTTATCAGACCTTGCGAAACAATCATCCAGTCACAACAACAAAAACAACAACAAAAACAACAACAAAAACAACAACAAAAACAACAACAACAACACCCTGAATCGGCCGCAGCTCTCTCACGAAGCATTTGGCAACATGATGACGGCAGCCGCAGGAGTTCAAGCGAACGGAAACTCTCGCCAAGGGACTCCTGAAAGTACACTGTTACTTGAAATTCTCAAGGATGACATGAGCAACGATCGACTTCTTAGTCGGCCATCTCAAGAGCTTGTGTTTAGTATTCTTTGTAAAGATTTCAAGTACGCTTCCTCACCGTCTGACGATATCCTGGGATCAGATCAAGAAGCTACTCGGTATGCCCACGCCGTATGGCGTTCCTGTCAGCATCGACATATTCCCCAGTCATATCTGCTATGGGCTTCGCGAGCTCTCGGTCGAGCGTTCTCAGCACGGGGCGAAGTCGGATTTAATATGCGGTACCGAGGACTGGCTGATTCTGATGTTCAGTCACAAAATAGAGATACTAAAAGCCCTTCCTCGCACTCGAATATCATGCGACTACTAAACGATTACCTCTTCAGCGGAACACGTCCTGAAGCTGGCATGGTAGAACAGACCCTGCGATCGGTCCTGTCTCAGCTGAAAGGTGATGAACGAGACGTCAACATCCAGGCATCACTGTCCCGAAATATCATTGAGTCGCTAACTTGGGACAAGACATCAAATCTAGAAGACTTTCATAGTGTCCCAGCGTTTGATCTCACCGAGTCTGCATGCTCCAGCAAGAAGTCTTACGAGCAATGGATTCGGGAACTGGTGGTGAGTCTGACTCAGGTAGGCTCCGAGGACATCGTTCTTGGTGAACTAGCTCACGTAGCCTTCGGGATACCAGGTCTCGCGCAAAAGATTTTTCCATCCGTACTTCACATAGTACTTCTTCAACAATACGATCGTCAGAAAATAGTGAAAGAGATCCTCTCCTGTGCATTTAATGACTGGTTCGAACAAGAAGACCACCATTACCTGCCCCAGATCAGGAGTATCGTCACTGCTATTGTTTATCTTAGAGGACAACCTGTTCCCAACGAGAAGTCGTGCGCAGATCGCGATCGTTGGCTCGACATCGATTTCTTGCGTGCATCCAGGGCTGCAGCGAGGTGCCACCTCTACCGAATCTCGCTCCTTTTCCTTGAGACATATGCTTCTCCACCCATTCGCATATCTCGTCGCTTCTCTATTGTATCCACCAGTGTTCCCGTCGATTTGCAAATAATCGTTTACAAGAACTTGGACGAGCCCGATTCGTACTATGGGATTGAGCAAGAACCGGACATCCTCTCAATACTGAACCGCCTTGATTACGAAGGTAATGGGATGAAGGGACTTCTTTTCAGGGGCGCTAGACTTGATAGTCAAATGCGCCGACTAAACAAGACCTCTTTCGAGGACTCCAGAGGGGTCATGACCTCACTCTCAACACTCAATCTAAACACTATAACGCAAGCACTTCTATCCAGTTCTGGCTTTCAAGGCGCAGGAATTGGTAGCATTGAGAGCACCCTAAATACGGCCAGAAAACTTGAGCAATGGGATATTAGAGCGCCTGAGTCCCTCGAAACCGAGGCAGCCACAATATACAGGGTATTCCAGGCAATTAGTACATCGAACACCGCGACTGATGCAAGATCCCACATTGATGGCGGCCTTATGCGAACAGTACGAAGTCTTTTATCGCAGGGTGATCACGTTGTCAACAAAGAGTCCTTCTTCCGTGTCTTTGCTGTCTTGTCTGAGACTGATGATATTATGAGCCTCTGTCACGAAGGCTCAATGGACGATAGATGGGCCAGCTTGGATAGTCGTGCCTCGTGGATGGAACGTGGAAGGTAAATCGAGCTAGAACACCCTCGAACTCCAACGGACTAATACATTTAGGGTTGAAGATTTCCGTCCCATTCTTTCATCACGAGAGACATTACTCGGCGTTCTATGTCGCAATGCACGGCTCCGGGAAAGCATAAAAGCGCCACCGGATCTAGTCTATCAACTACAAGCCTCGAATCTATTAACAAATTCCAGGATATCTCGCAAACATGGTGCTCTTCAAGATGCGCTTGCCTGTGCTACCTACCTCTCTGATATCGCGGAGGATGCAAAGGAGTTTGGCATCCATTTAGAAGGACCTGCATTGTTTGAAACCGCTCGAATTCTCTGGGACCAAGGAGAAACGACTCCAGCTATCCTAATTTTGCAAAAGTTGAATGGCTCTAAGACACTTCAACAGCAGCTCCCCGAGGGCACATTGAGTCAGATACTGTTGGAGCTGGTACGTATCGTCACAAGTCATTAACATGTAAAAATTGCTAACTAGCCAGGGACGTTATCTCGCCGGAGCAAGAGTGGCAAGCGCGCAAGAGATTGCTGGGTCGTACCTAAGGCCGGCCATCAAAGAATTAAAAGCAAATACGAAAGGACGACAAGCCGGTGAAGCGTTCCATACATATGCATCGTTCTGTGATGCTCAATTGAACAGTAATGAGCTGAGCGATGAACTGGCGCGTGTTCAGGCGCGAAAGGAACAGAAAGGACGAGAGATTGATGAGTTCAAGGACGTCTTGAGGTCACTGAAAGCCAAGGAGCAGAAACCAGAGCGTGACAAACTCAGAAGAGACATTATGAGGATGCAAAAATGGTACGATATCGATGATCAAGAATACGGTAGACTACGAGCCAGCAAGGAGACTTTCGTGAGTGAGAGCTTGAAAAATTACCTACTGTCTTTACGCGCCTGCGACGACTATGATAATGATGTCTTGCGCGTATTCGCTCTATGGCTTGACTTTCCGGATGCACCACAGGTCATTGAGGTCATGAAGAGCTATCTCGCGAAAGCGCCACCCGGAAAATTCGCAATACTGATGAATCAACTGTCATCGAGGCTGCAGGTGGAGAAAACTCCATTCCAAGAGGAGTTGTCCGATCTTGTATTTCAGATCTGTCTTCACCATCCTTATCATGCGATGTACCAGATATACGCTAGTTGCGCATCTCTTGGAGTTGATGCGGCAAGCAAATCTCGGCACGCGTCTGCAAAAGAAGTAGCACATATGCTCGAGAGGTCCAAGCCGCCTAGCTCGCGGATATGGAAGGCAATTCACAGAGCCAATGAATGTTACCATCAGTTCGCGATGGTCACAAAAGATGAAATCAGAAAGCTCAATAAGGAACCGACGTTAGGAGATCTCCAATCAGGGAGACGCTTACAGACTATAGTGACGAGCTTAGAGATTCCGCCTGCGACATTAGCAATCGATGTCCGACTAGATCAAAATTACACCGACCTCCCTATCATTACGAGTTGGCGATCGAAGATCTCCATTGCTGGAGGAATTAGCGCTCCAAAGATCGCCACAGCCGTGGCTTCGAATGGAGAGCATTTCAAACAATTGGTATGCTTCCGTTGCGAACACGCGGTCGTCAACATGATACTAACCATCGCGTAGTTCAAGTCCGGCTCTGATGATCTTCGCCAAGACGCGATTATGGAGCAAGTATTTGAGCAGGCCAGCAAACTTCTCAAAAACCACACGTCAACTCGTTTACGCAGCCTTCATATCAGGAGCTATAAAGTCGTGCCTCTCAGTTCTAAGAGTGGTGTGATTGAGTTTGTAAGGGACACCATTCCGTTAGCAGATGCCGTTCTCCCTGCGCATCGCAAATACAATCCTCGGGACTGGAAATCTGACGACTGTCGCAAAAAGGTATCAGAGGCATCAAGTCATTCTGAGGAGCACAGAATCAAAGTTTATCGCGAAGTGTGTGACAATTTCCACCCAATAATGAGATACTTCTTTCTAGAGCGCTTCGTAAACCCTGACGACTGGTTCGAGAAGCGCCTCGCATACACCCGCACCACAGCAGCCATCTCAATTCTTGGACATGTTCTTGGACTTGGCGATCGTCATTGTCAGAATATTCTACTTGACCAAAATAGCGGTGAAGTTGTTCACATTGATCTAGGCGTTGCATTCGAAGCTGGCCGTATTCTTCCCGTTCCAGAAGTTGTGCCCTTCCGCCTAACACGAGATCTCGTCGACGCAATGGGATTTACTAAAACAGAAGGTGTGTTCCGTCGCTGCTGCGAGTTCACTCTCGAAGCCCTTCGGGAGGAACGCGAGAGCATTATGACTCTCCTCAATGTTCTCCGCTACGATCCCTTGGTTAGCTGGACCGTATCACAGAATCGCGCTCGGCGCATGCAAGAGCATACAGAGCAGCAGGATGCTCCTGGCGGTGGTATCACTGGTGATGATCTGCTCAAGCAGAATTCAAAGAAGCATGAGAATGATTCGGGAGAGGCTGGAAGAGCTTTGGCAGTTGTGGAGCAGAAGTTGAGTAAGAATCAGTCGGTATCGACTGTGGTGAGTGGACTGATACAGCAAGCCACGGATGAGCGTAATCTTGCCGTGCTCTTTTGTGGTTGGTCTGCGTGGTGTTGATATATAGACATGTGGTAATGGAGCATACAATGTACGTGATCATGTCGACCGCTTTTCCCTAAATGGATTTCATTAAAGTCATAAGATTAAGTGTTCGATGAAATCTTCCACAGTCTGCGGGGATGGTATATCCACTTATGTCCTCCTCACCATACAAGGAGTGGCGTGCTATCTTTGATTGAGCAGTGTGTATTTCTCGTCCCTACAAATATATTCTGAAAGGCCAGAGATCCGGCATCTCCGCACTTCGGTACGCATTATAAGTATAGCTAATAAGAGGGATCTTCGTAGACCAACTCAAATCTTCAATTATGTAGAGACATCCTTTCGATACCTAATATCTCGAAAACCGTCACTATCGCATGACAGGATCTGTTTAACTAGAGTGTTCGAAATCGAGGGTTTCTACATGATCCTATGTAGTATTCCTCCTCCTAGTTAGATGAACATCAATGTAGTCAAAACACATATACTAGATATCCTGACAGTATACATCATAGATAGCATCTTAGAGCAATCAGAATTCACATCTTCGCTCCGTGTGAAGCATAAATCGAAGTCCTAACACGAAAACTAGCCAAACTATACAACCAGTATCGAGTAAAAGAACAATCACGACGTTACCTGAACTTAGATCATATATTTTCATTCATCGGATAGTTCTAAACCAGCTACCATGGTAACGTCATCTCCACGCAGTTCACACACCTCCCATGCATACACCTATGAATCTGACATCTTGTCACTTCCTCCATAATTCCCGGGAGCTGAGGTGGCACAAACCACGCACACTTGCAACAACGCCATCCAGTTGTGCTCTTGGTAGGCAGATACGCTGGGTGTTCTGGGACCGGCGCTTGCTGCTCGATGGGCTTCGAAAGATCCGTCGCAGGGTCTGCAGAAGGAGGCTCCTGTTCAATGATAGCGGTAATATGGATGTCGGGCAGAGGGTTACCGGAGAGGTCGACCGGACGCGGAAGGGAAATGCCGGGGGAGGGCACCGCGGGCGCGCCGGAGAGGAGAAGACGGTTGGGCGGTGGGGGAGAGAAGATTGTGCCGCTAGGGCGCCGGGTAATAGTTCTGTTTTCAACAGGGACTTTCGACTTGATATTAGCTTGCGTGCATATGGTTGCGTCGGGCTGAATTTAAGATCTTTTCGATGCTGGACTGACCAGGAGCGCTGTTACAGAGGGCGATTTTGGTAGATAGGAGCGTTTCCGGTGACAAAACTGCGTGCTTGCGAATTTTTACTAGGAATAATATCGTTAATCTAGGCTATGGGTATAATTGGTGTACAATCAGTATGCTGTTGATAGTGAAGACTGACCAGAATTTCTCTCGCTGAAGGCAGGCATTGCTGAAGCTAGATTATGGTGGATAATCAGATATTCAAAGACTGATCTTCGAAGTTCACTGGGTCAGGACATACACGACAGAAAATATGATCTTATATGCTACTCAAGCGAGTTTAATGGGCCATACTCGACACCACCGGGCACAGATAGTAAGTGTACGCTCGCTTGCAAATATTTCACAAAACATCACTTCATTCACTAATGTGTTTGTTCAAACCTCCGACTCGCTATCTTCGTGAAGAGCCAATTACTCACGGACATGTGCCCGCGAATCAATCATGCCAACTCAAGAGTACGCCTCGTAGAACATGATAGAGAATTACGAGAACGACACATTTTAGTGACAGACTTAAGTATCCATTCATGGAGCGATATAAATACACTACGTGACAAGCACTATGAATGTGTTGATCTTGAAATGCAACACCTAACGCGGTTATGTGTCTACATGCATTTTCTACTTTAAGCTATTTAAGGCTTAGGTATCCATACCTAGCTCTTCATATCTACCAAATCTCATCGTACTCTTGGCATGCTTCTTCAATATATATTTCTTTCAAATATGGCTTTTTGAGGTCTGTAACTTTCTTGAACGCCCCTCTCATAATATTGAGCCATCCTTCGTGTCGTTCATATCGATGAACCGTTGTGTAATCCCAGTACTCGGGCCACCAACCGGCGAATTCCCAGTCAATAACTGCTGATATCTTTCCATTCTTGCATAGAATATTGGTATGTGTCAGATCACCATGAGCGAAATATACTTCGTGACCGTCGATATGCCGCAGGGAGGAGGCTGCTGCTGGTACCAGAGCATCGTTGAATGCTGCCTCAGAGGCAAATGGTCCGCCATCATGATCCCGAAGACGAATGTCAATGAGACCCCTTCCTAGTGCATTACACAACAGCCATCCTGCTTCGATGAGATAGGGGTTCCGTATACTTCGTACTTGCCGCACAAAATCAGCAATCTGGGCGGTGATGCAGCATTTCTCCGAGCCTCCTAAGTTGTCGAATACTTCCCCGAGTTGTTGCCCAGGCATAGTCGTCATGACGAAATAAGATTCGTCGCTGGTCTTTATGAGATCTATGGGACGTGGAACCGGAATGGAAGTGTTACTTCGAACAAGTTGTAGAGCACGGAACTCATTCTCGAAGTCAGGCCCGCGCTCTATGTGACCAAACTTCATGAACAGCCCACAAGGAAGCCGTTGACTACCTCCAAATTGATTCGCCTGACCATAGAGGTACTTTCCGAGCTTGCAAAGCTTTCTGTAGGTCCATAGTCGGAGCGTGGATGGCATCTGGAGCCATACGCGGTGTAAAAGCTCTGAGAACATTTTTGCCGGTGATAAGCATTGCATTTCTGGGCAGACGAGGATACAATCGTGGGAGATGTGTCTATATATCTGGCGCTGTTACTTATTCAGGAATTACAAAGCTGATGTGAAGAACAAGCGTAAACATCACTGTGACACACAGTGTCGGTAATTTTAATGTGACATCCCACAACCATAACATCATGCCATCGGGAGCGAGGGGTGAAGGAGCTCGAGATGTTAGAAGACTATAGCGTGAAAAGTCACGGAAAAGTACTTCACCGAGTCGTCCATAAATTCATGATCATAAGAGAACACCTTTTACGTCACGGCAAAATGTGCAAAAAGTATATAAAGAGAGGAATAGGTCATGTTGATTCCGTACTGGACCTAGAAACCCGCAAACATATTCTGCTGCCAAAATGGATAAAGGCGCGAAATCTCAACGGGATGAGCGGCGCAATGCTAATTCGCATGGGTACTATCCTAGAACTCAGCTCATGTTCAACAGCACGGGTCAATCGACGAGTCAATCCCAGATCAGTCAGAGTAATCCTACGCAGCGAATGCCTCCTTCAGGGTCTTTCTTCAGACGACAGTCAGCAAGCTCTATCACATCCGTTCAAAGTGCGGCATCATCAAGCTTTTCTGGTCTTTCCATGAACTCCAACGACTCCAGAAGATCTATTTCGGGAGCCTATGGACCCAACAACCTCCCTCCGACAGAGGACATGTCAAGTTCAAACAACATGACGGAACGCCCGGCGGCTATCACTCGTCAACAACTTCCGCTGCGCCAAGACAATATCAAAAATTGGTCCATTTACGTTGTACTTAGTCACCGCAGTCGTACTAGCAGCATGCATTGGTCCATTTTTGTCCCCACAGGTGTCCCGTACGGCACTGTCTGGCAAGTCGCAAAGAACAAGCAAGGCCTCTGGCACCTGGACACCCGCCAGGTCCATCACCTCGTCACTTCTAGATCACTAGCCGTGATGTATGAGATAGGCACTGTGAACAACCAGACTTTCCGATCATTGCACAATATTCTTTCGACTGTCCCTGTTGGCGCGAATCCGGGAGAGTATTTCGACTCGCGAGTATGGGTTCGTAGGGCCCTTTCCATGATGCAAGTCAATCGCTTCACCAGTATCGATTCCGCTGTGGATACGGTCAACAGATGTCAGATGTCAGTGAGCACAGGGTCTCACGGCGCAAATATCATCAACATCATCCCGGTCGTACGACGCCTGCAGCGCCAAGACTCTGTTGGTTTTGTCGGCTCTTCCGGATCCGGTGGGATTCAATTTGGATATTGAAGGGAGACTATCCTGATTAGAAAGCTGCCCTCTGACAAAGACTGACGCTTCGATCTTGTGCTCTACGACTGGGTTGGCTTCCGGGCTCGGTTCGAAAAGACGTGGCCGCATTTTACATGTACCGTCCATACCTATAATTTAACTTAGCACCTATATAAGGTAATATTACTTTATAAATATACCTTGATCTTAACTTTTAGTAGTAGTAACAAAACTACTAACTATAATACTTAGCTAAATGGTTTATATCCTATAGCTAACCATAGGTAGTAGAGAGGTCCGGGTGCACCGCGTGCATAAAAAGCGGCCATGACTGATCGAACCGAGCTTCGTTCTACAGCGCTGTCCCTTCGCGAGAACAGTCGTGTAAGGGATAACCTTTATCCCTTGCTTCGCTTACTACTGAGCCAGTATTTGCTCTGGGAGCAGTTTCGAACACATCATGTGAACAATGGATATTTTGTTGTCTATCTTAATATTACGATTTCTTGTTTGAAGGATACGTATTTAACCTGCCAATACTGTCGAGTTCTTTACGGTCCATCGATCTCTATCAATGATTACATGGCGTCCCAGCGCACGAACTCACTCTAGAGATCTTGAACCCACCAGGGATACGTTGCTGAAAGAAACCTGCAGGATCATACTTAGCAGCAGCATCCCGAATTAATTGGATGTTCTCAAGTCCATAGCTGCCAATCGGATCTTGACTTGCATCTGCATAGTTCAGATAGATAAGATCGTTCCCGCCTCCAACGGACTCCGCAAAATCATGAACCATCGCGGTGATATTCGCACCTTTCGCATGTGCGATCGCCTGCTGGTCTTCGCCACCTAGCACACCGATTCCGAGGACCCATAGGATATTGTTCTGGTTTACGTGGTCGAGACCAAGCATATTACCAACTTTGCGGTGTTCGATCGCCCCAAAATATGATGGCAGAGGCTGGAAGAAATTGAGGGTGGTAAAGTTGGACGCACCAATGAGCTCGCTCATTTGAATGACGTATTCGTGGTGTAACTCGGTGGCTCGGCGTAAGATGCTGAGGTCATTTTTGAAAGTGAGCGTGAATGAAATGCCCCTGTCAAGAGTCAATGTTCATTCATCTGGAATGGATTGATGCGGCTCAAAGACTCACCTCACAACACCTTCTAGGGTCCCACCAGCTGCTTCTGCGAGACTCATCTCCGTCCTCAATCCAGGTTCAATTGCCGGAATAATATCCACCTTATCAAATGCCCTCGTATTCGGTTCCGCCTTCGTGTTAACGGTGATCGCTCTCATCACTATCTCTTCACTTGCTGCATCATACGAATAGTACGGCACAAGAGCATCATTCACGTGCTCCTCGCTTCGTTCTACAAACTCAAACACCGCCTGAACGAATTCCTCCTCATACTCCGTACTCATCGTCTTCTGGCCGTACGTCAGATTGCGCGCCGGAAACGCCTCTAGGTCAAATCTCGTCACGACGCCGAAGTTACTGCTTCCGCCCTTCAGCGCGCGCCATAGGTCGTCGTTGGAGGTTGCGTTCGCGTTAATGATGTCGCCACTAGCCAGTACGACTTCAAAGTTGATCACGTTGTCGCAGCCAAAGCCCGTACGCCCGGTATAATACGACATCCCACCACCCAGTAGAAATCCACCCACTCCAACATTCGCGTCTCGTCCTCCTGTCACTGCGCCCCCCTGTTCGCCGAGTCTCTTGTACACATCGCCCCACCTGGCGCCCGGCCCGATCGATGCTGACCCATTGTGTTCGTAGTAATCCACCGAATCGAGATACTGTAGATCGATCGTCACGCCGCTGTCGACATTGTTCGATGCGTCGTTGCCGTGGCCACCACTTTTGACCGCAATGGCCCAGTCGCCAGCGCCAGAACCGACTGCACTGAGGGTGGTGAGCACGAGGGATACCTCTAATGATGTGTGCGGAAGTACGATGCACCATGGGTGGCGGCGGGTCGCTGTGTTATACCAGGTGAGGAGTTGAGTGGAGTACGACGGAGAGAGGGGGGTGAGGATGCGGTCACTGAGGCCTGCTGAGATGAGGGCGTCGCACTGCTAAGTATTAGATGCCCGTAGTGGAAAAGTGGGATAAGACAGACAGGTGTGAGACCTGTTAAAGACGCGTGTGAGAATGGGATTGTGGATAGAGCTGCGATGAGGTTGTGAATGGGTGACAGAAGCATATTGAGAGACTTTTCTAAGGACAATAGATATCGTTTTGGAGAAAGAAAAGAATCACTGTCGACGAGCATCAAGTACTTTTATAGCACACTCCACTTGCGAGAGAGAAAGTTCGGTCGCCATGAGACCAAGGAACAGTACACGCGTAAGCTTCTTGGTGGTATCATTAAACTCTGACATTTCGAATCCAATTGACGTATACCAGTCGTCTAGTTGGAATTGCCTGTTGATCTGCCCAGTGTCAATCTGCAGCGTAAGCGGGATCGTAGAAGCATTGTAATCGCCAAGAATGCCCCTAATAGTACTAAACCGAGGGACTCGTCAGCGTTCACCTATCGCAGCGTCTTTTGAGTTTCCATTGATGTCGTCAAGAACACTTCTAAGCAAGGCTGGAGTAGGTTTACGTGCGGTGATGCCAAGCAGAAGAACATCACACTATGAACTGATCTGGTCCGAATCTGCGATAGGTGCCACTGGAGTAGTCGAATCCGTATCAGCATCCTTCTTAGCTTTTTAGATGATACTCCAAACAAATTCTTGAACAGGCGGGTGTAAGGTGACGAGGCTAAGCACTCTAGCTGGCGCAAGGAATGGCAGAACATTCGTTCGAGGCAGCAAAACTTAAAAATGATTGAACCCGGACTTGAACCGGAGACCTTCAGTGTGTTAGACTGACGTGATAACCAACTACATTCATATTAGTGGCTGCACGGGAGACGCATGATCTGTGACGATTTCTTACCTACACCATTCAACCCGGTGGAGACAGAGGGTTTCATTTTACTTTATATTTTTGTAAGATTGAGAAGTCAAAGTAAATGGGCTAAGCCATTTTCGGCTTTAGTGCAGCTTCATCCCCTACCTGCAAAATTTGACATGCAATCAATCTGTCAGTTCTCTTATTACTACCTGTAAGAATAATCATCATCATCATCATCATCATCATCATCATCATCATCATCAAGACGAATAATATCACTTTCGCATCAAAAGTAACTTGAAACTGCTAATTTTCAGTCATTGCAATTAATCGTAGCCATTGTTTTCAGCCACCATCGTTATTTCGAGCTAGCGTTTAACAATTTATGGACTTGACTAAGCATCCTGCATCGTGGGACTTGGTATTGAATTTGTATCGGTTCGCGTGAAGGTCATGAAACATGATTACGAGGGGACGTATAAGACCGCTTGAATTCTCTTCAGCATGTCATCAAAGACCAAGCCATATCTATCAGCAGCTACGGTGTAGTCCTTACCGATTCCTAAGCAACAGTTCTGACAGCTACAACTCCCGCGATGCAACAGATCCTGGAGCCGGTATTGCGAGGAGAATTCTGACACCCGCGGTCGAGCCTCGATACCGCACACGATGGACCTATACGGATAAGAAAGCTGTGACCAACAGCACTAATAGGGACGATTCTACTAACGTCAAAGTTTCTATCAAGAAGAAGGACCTACATATCATGGAACCTCTCAGATCTGGTTTCGGTATATACGACAAGCCTGGCATTGGGAGAGCAGCCAATCTACCTGGGACTACGCAGCACGAAAAGTTCAAGCATAACGATACCATTAAGTTTCGTTTACCCAATCGAACCCTTCCCATCTCTGTAAGAGTGACAGTGCCAAAATCTCACGGCAAACTGCCCGTCATGATGCTCATCCACGGCGAAGGCTCCACTAGCAATCTGACCCGCCAAAACAGCTATGCGCCCCTGGCCGAGTACTATGCCTTGCATGGCTTCGTCGTCATTCAATCCAGCATCAATGCCAACCTTAACAGCACGTCCTGGCGCAAATGCATTACAGACTGCACTCACATCCTCGATAGACTGTCTAACGTTGAGGCCCGATCCGCCCCAAAAGGTGCTTCCTTTGATTCGGAACGGGTCGTTGTGGTAGGCCATTTGCTCGGCGTACATACCGCCAGCGTCCTACTCGGCATGAGCCTCGGAAACCCAGACACAGACTATACCACTGTATACACGAACAAGGACAAGCGCATAAAAGCAGGTGTTCTTCTCTCTCCGCTTAGTGACGATGAATCCTTGCTTTCCACAACTGTCAGCGACACCAAGCCCTTCCTTAGGCACGTAGACTATTCGACGCTGACCACACCCACGCTATGGGTTAGCGGCACAGAGCATGAGATGCCAGAAATAAGTGTCAGCGAGAAAGAGAAGTGGAAGGATGGCTTCAAATCGAGCCCGGGATCGAAGGACCTGCTAGAACTAAAGGGCGCGGACTGCCGGCTCGGCGGGATCTCTGGTGAGACTACAGTCGAAGCGAAGCTTAAAGAGAATTTGGAGGTAGTGGCGACGGTTCAGCGCATGACACTGGCGTTTTTGCGGAGTCAAATATACAAAAAAGACCGGAGCTGGTCCACGGCGAAGGATGTGTTTCAAGGCATTGAAGGCCTTGGAAAAGTGATCAGTACGACGGAACTTGATGAAGTCAAGGTTAAACAAGTTCGACCCAAAACCACCGGAGTTTGAGACTCTGTGGAGCAACCGATGTCACAACAAGTCGAAAACATGCTTAATTCAGGTCTGGGTAAGACGCTCGAAGGGGTGGAATGTGGCAAAGAAGATGCCACAAGTTTCGCCGTAGAGACGCTTCTCAAGTAAATCCAAGCATGCTGAGAAGACGGATGAAAAGCACACTCCACAAACTCCAACTATAACATCCGAACCATCGCCTTTCGAAAAGACTGCATGATCATCTGCTATCATATCAGTCTGACGGCAGAACTCCACTTTGACTCATGCCGCTCAGCGCCTGGAACAACTGCTGCCCAGATAGGAGGCAAAAAACAGAACATGAGACTCAGGAATGAAAGACCACGACGAAAAGACCGACCTACCATCCCTTAACGCACGTTCATACGCCGCATGAGCTATCTATGACACTGTCGCCGTCTGCCGGCACACCAGTGCAACCAAAAAATATTGACAACACGGTGCTGTGCCATACGGTTTCCCATCACCATACAGACACCACAAGACAGAAGTCCAGGGCGTAACCGTGCAAGCACCGCCCAATCGCCGTATCCAATACCCACATTCGTGCCGCACTGCAAACAGCAATCGGTCTATCTCCATACAACGTACAAAAATCGATTCCACAAACACCATTTGTACGCGCGCCACTCAAGCATGTACTAGACGCGCACACTTGTGCCCATTCTATTACATATGCATGGCCTACGCCGTACGCCTGCAGTTGCATTGCAATGGTATAAGACGTATATGCACAGGCATATCTGTGCTGACGCCGCACGCGTATTGTACAGGCCCCAAATGCAGGAATTGGATGTTTCGTCTGCCTCCATGTCTACCTCTATCAGAGGCGCCCCCACGTGTGTACTATTACACTGTGCCAGATGCCAGGCGCTGCATATGTGCCGCGCCGTGGATGTGCCGTAGACATGCATGTATGCATGCATACTGGACACGAGAGAATGGGGCTGATGGTATGCGGGGGCGTCTGGGTATCTAGATTGGAATCTGACATGTAACCTGGAATCTGAGATCGACCTTTGGAAAGGCGGTCTTTCTTGCCTGTCCTAGACAACGCCATCATTCATCCGTAGGATAGATCCCGCCTGCTGTCAGCAGTGATGGTCTTGCAGTGATGGACTTACGTTTTCATACATATGCACGAGGCATGGCGAGGAACTAACTGGTGTGCAAACGGCAGGCTGAATGGCATGGTAGCTAGCATAAGCGCACGATGGATGACTAGATACAGATACACACAAACACGTCGTGAAGCACGTATATACATACATATGCACGTTCTCTAAGCGAGCTCCTCCGTCCATCCATCTACGAACATGTGTGTGACTGTGCTTAAGAGATATGTCTGCAACGGCAAATATCACAGCAGGCAACAGGACTACTCATTCCCAGCATGCACTCCCTATCGCTTCCCCCTCTCCAATTTCCCTTGGCACACACATTACCAGTGTAGGCCTCTATGTCGAGATCTAATAGAAAGCCATCCATATTCGTATGATCTACGAATAGTACGCATTGCGCATACATCCATTCACCCATTCACGCGCCATTGCTCCCCTTAAAGTGCATGTATGGAGCATATTTCATTGCACACAGCGCATTTTCACATCCCTAACTCCGTCAAACACATCCAACATAACCCAATCTGATCACTCATCCATCGAAGATCAAGTCCTAATAATACCCATCCCCAGATCTCCCATATCAATAAAAGCCCCCACCCCCAATACTTACCTGCCCCATCCTATCACAACACTAACACGCCTCCGCCGCCGCCACGTTTCCTTCGCTCCCGTCTCCGCCGCGCGGCCGAGCAAGCTAACCTACCATTGGAAGAAGCATAGGTAACAAAAAAGTCCCAGCGCCATGGTAAATCTAAATCTCACACAATCCAGGCGCACTACATAATTCCAACCTTGTGGACGACGCCACGCGAGACCTGCACGTCATCAACCACCAACACCAACACGATCAACGACCCATGACCCATGATCTACGACCATGACCACTATTACTGATCACCTACCCAGGCCCAAAAAAGAAAAGAAAACCCCCATGCGTGCGCGTGTCCCGGTGTGGACCTCCGTATATGGGATAGTGAGTGTCTTATATGCAAAATATGTACAATTCAGGTTCGTGCAGAGGTGGGGGTGTGCATGGCTTGGCAGGGCATACATACATAGATGCACAGCTCGCGTGGCAGGACAGGGTTGGCATGGGAGTTGAGATGAGACGAGACAAGATTGAGAAGAGGAAAGTAGAGACGATGTATGACCGTTTGACCATGCGTGGGGCGTAAGGCTGTGGGTGACTAGACGGCTGCTCGTGAGTAGGAAGGACTAGAGGAAACGCTGCGTGTCGTGAGCGGGATGAATGTGGATGGTCAAGGTCTGAGCCATGGATCGAGCCATGGCAACAGTCTGATGTATTCAGTGTGCCCACCGAGTGGCACAAACAGTATAGCAGGTAATATAATACATAGTACAAGAACGCCGTTCGAGATATGCCAATCTTCGAAGCCTGCCAACCTGTTCCCGAAGCTAACATAACCGTCCGTGGGTATAGCGTGAAATATTAAGTCGATGTGCGGTTCTGCGGCCAATATGAATGTGGCGAGACAAAGGAGAATCGTTACGCGGTGGTGATATTTTGGTAGAGGAAATGCATGCGCGAGACGGCGGGATTTACGTGTCTGAAGGTGTAGAATGGCGTTGTGGAAGAAGACTGGAATATGTCATGCAGGGAAACGTCTATGATAATATGCGGCGACTCTTCATGGCGTGCTCTAAGCTAGCCGGGCTAAGGTCGGCGTCGTCCGGAAGTTCATCCATTATGGGAATCATATCGGAAAACTTCTCTCCCCCACGGTATGCGAGAATTGCTGGTACACCAGCAGCTTCGAATTCTGCGTCGAGGTAGTGGAGCTTAACGAATCTTGTGGTGGCGTGGGACCGGGCGAGCTTTCGCACACATTTCTCAACCATGTTGCTGATCTCAGACTTGGCCATGTTAGTTTTCTAATACGTCGTGCAGGTAGGACAACTTACAAGATCATCATAGATTAGTACGACAACGACGGTGTCGGCGGGCACTTTCTCAATGGCCTCTAGGTATCCATTGGCGTCGACTGCCGCTAGACTGCCGTAAACTCGCTTGGTGGGACTCCGGGTCCGCGATCTTGAGGTATGACGGACGGCATTCTGGAGGTCTTTCAGGCGATTCGCTCTCCACTTCGCCATGAAGCCTTCCCCGTCGTCTTCTTCCAATGAGCTCTTCTCCTCGGCTTGGATGATGATGCTCTCACTGGAGTAGGCGGGATGAAGCGCGGTTGGGGTGTCCTTGTAGCGCATCTGGCTGGCCTTCCTGGCTTGCTCGTACGCCTGAGCGTCGGCAATGACACCTTTGGGGCCGGTGTTGGCATTTGAATGCAGCGATGGGAGGTAGTATCGTCCGACCATGTTGTCTCTGCCTCGTTCTTCTTCGCTGTCCTCGTCGTCCTTTTCGTAGAAGGTTTCTCGTGGTTGGTCGTCAGAGCTGTCGTCGGACAGGGCAGACTGATCTTCGGGATGTTTGTGTGATGTGTCTTTGTCACGGATGAGTTCGTTAAATTCGTCTTGAGCGGCGCTTGACATGATGAAAGAAGAGGAAAAGAGTACAGTACTTCCGGGGTTAAGTAAGTATTTGTAGAAGTGGTATGGAAGTAGTAGTGTGGGCCAGGGAGGCGGATACGGAAATGCTTGGACCAGAATAGAGATGCGCAGGGGGAGGGGGCCAAGGGAATGGATTGTTTGGGTGATGCGGCGTACGACTGAGAGTGAGAGGTGCGGAGGCAAGGAGAGGCCTGTATGAAGGCGCAGCGAATTGAGGTCTGTGAGGAGTGCAGGGGGCCCAAAATAGTCGTGGGACGTGCCTGGCCGAGCGTTTGACAGCGAAGTAGCGTCACAGGGATGGGGCTACCACGTGTAGGACGGCGGCTAAAATCGAGCCTAACGTCAGTCATGCAGCGTTACGGCGCGATGGAATGTTGGATGGAGTGGCAGGACAGCTGGCCTGTGCCGTAGCCAGTGGATGTTGTTCTTGATGTTGATGCTGTTGCTGCCACCGTAAGGTTGATTGTATGATGCACTGTCGAGGGCGAGGGTTTCTGAAACGACTTCACGCACGCTGCGTAATGCGTTGTGCCACGTTGACGGAGACAAAGCAATGCTTCGAAACAGCGAAAAAAAGTCCGAAATAACGTGGGAAATGAAGAGGTCCAGGTCCAGGGAAATCCGGACAGGAAATGCGAGCAGTGAAGAGCGCGGGGACCCGATACGATGGTAGGAGAAGCTATCCAGCCGAAAAGGGGTGCCTATAACGGGCCGTGTGCGTGTGGAAGGTGGAATGTGGAATGTGAAATTTGAGTGGATGAGTTGGAATGATCAACAGGAAGTGAGACGTGATGTGTGAAGTGTGAAGTGTGTAATGTGCAATCTGTGTGAGTGGGGAGGGATGGAGAAAGAGAGACGTAGCTTACTCAGCAGAAGTGGTATGCAAGCTACGAATACTATGCTGTGGTATACCGTGTAGGCAGCCGCTGAAGCAAGCGACCAGCGCTGCTCAACTTAGCCCTGCGTCTAGGGAGCAGGCAACACACAGGTACCCAGCTTCACCCTTCCACCTCTCACCACTCGAGAATCACTCCGATTCGCTCAATCACAGCCTCACAGACACAAAACTCACACTCACGCACCTCAGCAAACTCTGCTCCTCCGCTGTCGTCTGACCGCTACGCTCTACACTGTACTGCCTTCGCTCTACTCCCGTAATCCTGGCCTGCATCCTCATCCCTGCCAGCATCATTTCCAAGGTTTGATGACTCCACTTCATAACCACTCTCTGACTTCTCACATGCCAGACTGTACTCCGTCCTACCCAGCTTTGCGACGAACGCTCTGACTGGTACAAATAACTATGGTGAGAGAACGAGTCTGTGGATGTGCCCCTTGCGCGTGCGCTGAGCCATTGCGGATAAAAATAGATCAGCTTTGCCGCGCCCTCACACCGAGCATGTCCACATCCACGTTCCGTCGTCGCTACTCGCGCGCAGAGTCATCAATATAGGAGTATTGCTTTCGGAGATGCAAAAATAATGCATTGCAATCAATTGGTCTGCCTTGTTCGGCTACCCTAACTATGCCCTGTGATGCACTTGCCTACAAGTGGAAAAGAGGAAACGATTTGCCATGCTTTGAAAGGGCCGACTAGTCATATTCGTTCCATGTTCTGAAGAAGCCAAGGAAAATAACAGCATGGCATGACACGTTTATCTCTGGCCTTTGCTGGCATCCAACAGGCACTGCCATGGCATCGCGTATCGATGTGGAGCTATGCCTGGTGCAAATGATGAAGTCACACAGCGCATTCCCGAAACGCCGTATCTCGCGATACAGTCATTGGTCCTCGGCGCGCGAGACGGTCCTGCACCGACCCAGACCCACCACCAGTCTTTGCTTTCGAAAGGCTGTACATTTTCTCCCTTCCTTGCAGTTTTCCGTGCCTCCTAAATTGCTCCACCATGGCTGTCCGCCAGGCACGGAGTTTTGAAGGGTCTAGACGAATAGCCTCTCACGCTGTCCATGGTTACAGGGACGGGCACAAAGTTTTGGGAGATGCAGGGGTCCGTGCGACTTGACTGTTTCACATTATTTTCGAAAGTTCCTTCTGGAACCTGAAACGTCGTTGCATGCTCCGAAACAGTCGCTTCTCATTGGTTGAAGAGACCCGCATTACCCATGATCGATCACCCTTGCTGTGCTATTTATATCCTGCCTATACATTCTCCTTTCAAGGCTCCGGCCCACTCGGTCCACGCGGCGCAGTGTGCAGCTTCGCTACTCTGCGTGGAAGATGAGCTTGCTATTATTCCCTGACCGCGTCATCCGTGAAAATACTTTTGGTTATTTACACGTCATGGTTAATTATGGGCGCACATGATGTGTTCGCCATGATCCAATGTGGTCATGTACGCCTTGTATCTGTGTCGCTCTGCTTGCGATCAGCACGGAAAGCGACTTTGTGTGAATTGAGCGTAGAATAGCATTTCAGTAAGTGAGGATCGCGCTACCTGCATCCCTCTTCTCTAGATGAGCAGGGCTTATGGAGAAGGCTATTGTACAGTCTCGTGTTATCGTGCAGCTTCGTATTACCCTGGCAAGCAGACAGTATCCATGACTGTCCATTCATCTTGGAGGCAGAGGACCCCCCTCCAGTAGCAAGCGCCTGAAGCGAGCTGTGGCCCCCTGCCGCTATATTCACCTTTCTAAAAAGTAAGCAATGATCGACAAATCGAAAGGATTGCGGGCGGCAACGGTTGGATCACGCTTTCCAACGCCCTCAACCCAGCTCAGATCCCGCGACAAGAAATGCTACTGGTCACCAGATCCGAAGTTCGCATGCGTAACTGGGCTTTCCTGTGTTGCGAGTCCGGGCCAGTCCAGACAACACAAATCAATCATCGCTAGTTCGAACGTTATGTCCGCATCGCATACCTGAAAGCTGTCTTGCAAGGCTGTTCTATCAAGATCACGAGAGCTTTCGGGCAGCAAGCTTCCTAGAAGATTTGCAAGGCTTACTTTCAACAGGCCATGGATTCCAATCCTTACGTCTGCTGACCACAAATCCAGCCACATATCCAAGAAACGCAGTACAATCTTCAGCCAGATGGGCATTCATGGGCGTCCTATCGGCCTTTCTTAGTGCCGAACATTTCGGGAGGTGATAGTACGGCCATGAGCAGTAGACTGCCGAGAAGTACAAGGAGCAGAATCCTGGAATACAAGGATGCTATGCTACGTGCTCGCCCGTAACAATCAGCAATGTTTTGTCGTGGTCCAGGCCCTCTCTGCTGTGGTTGAAACAAGAGGCTGTGCACACGACCATTCATTACAGACCTATCAGACAATTGACATTTTGAAGTCATAAAACATCACAGCCACGTCTATTCAAGACTCGATCATAGCAGGTTTTGCATTGTGGTAGAATCTAGGAGGGTGCATACGACTGGTGTTATTCATCATCTCATTACTCACGTACATGGTTCTAGTTACCGTGCACTGTTGACAACTCATCAAACGCCACAGATACTTAGTTCGAAACACATCGAATCCATCAAAGTCCATGTGCAAAGGAGACTGAGATTAAGCTTAGGCGATCACGGATCATCCCGGCCAAATCGATCCATCGGCCAGGTCACAGCGCCAGGAACAACTACATATCAAATCATTTCCAAACACATCACATACACCTGATGTCAGAGACGATGTCGGTTCGTTTCGACGCCAATCCATATTCCTACCTTTTGTCAGCTAGCTTGGACTCGCTATCAACACTGACCTTCTGGAGCTCTGAAACCGAAAAGAGGGTATTGACGCAGGGCTTCCCCGCTCAGTGAGAATACTAATTGCCACCAACGGTGTCAAGGCCAGCTAGTGAGTGTCGTTGGTCTGTAGTGAAGAACGCCATCTCCGACGATATGTGTGCTTCTTATACCGACCATCAATGCCGTGGATCTAGTCGGTGCTAAGCGGCACAGTCATCGATTCATCAACAATAATGACAGCAAAGAGTCCTTGCAATGTGACGTACAACAACATCACATGTCTGCGATAGCAAACGCGGCCGACGGGGAATGGCCTTCACTAGTTGAGATACTTTTAGAAGGGATAGGCAACAACTTGTCATATTTGAGAAGATCAGCATGGTCTCGTTGCTTTCTCGCGCAGTGGACAAACAGGAATGACCTATCGGTAATGAGAGCATACGAGCGAGAAGATCTACGGGCATGATCTATTGCCCGTTGGAATGCACAGCTGGAACAATAGCCCAGCTGGGTTTACTTTTCCCGCCAACGCAGACATATTTCGCAATCATAGTGGCTCTGCAACATACACGACGAGTGCTATTGGATTACGGTACATATAGCCCTTCGGCATCGAAGTTCTTTACGGCATCTTCGAAACAAAGTATCACGCTCAACATAGCTAGTCGTACTTAAAACAATAACCAACGGTTCTACGTAAGATCCTTCGTTTTCTTGTCAGGAAACACGACTCGCAGTTTCACGTATTGAAATGCTTCTAACACCCCTATTCTAAGCTTGAACAGGTCCGTTCTCCATGACAATATCCTTCGCTCTACATGAACCCCATCTTCTGTATCAAATCTTGGTAGCTCTGGACGGGTTTCGTACGCTGACTCTACACCTCTCACACCTATATGACGATACCTACCTTCAATCCGCATGACACAACCTTCATATTTCCACAGGCTACGAAGAGCCATCGAGGAAGACATCAACTATTGTCACACCACCCATAACAATGCATCATACCCCGTCTCCTTACCTATCCTGAGCACTCAATCCCCGTGGTAAAAACGCGCATCAACGGCAGAGATACTCCTTACATAAACAGGGTTCTGAGGTCCCCAGGAACACCATCGCATTGATATACATGAGATACACGCCTTTGTATGTGTATATCCGACACTGACTGCATCGACGCCATACACCCTAGCACTTATCTGATCCAAGAGATTTGCCCAGACTACCAAGTCATATTGAGTCGTATTGCGTCGGCCTATATGGCCTCAGGTCAGTACATGTAGCTACTTCTTACGTTATACTACGGGCACTCCTCTGCCTTGCGAGAGCCCTAGCATCATGTTACTTCACATCACACCATACCATCATAACATCGACTAAGATACCACAAGATCTCCCCATCCATACATGGTTCCCATCCCCTACACATCTTCCCTCTAAGTGAGATTCATCCGAGGTAGGTCTTAACGTCGTGTTGAATTCCTAGAGGGAAAATGATCAAGTATCCCGTATAAATTTCTAGCGGCTATACTCCGGTATACAGCAATATCTCACCTCGTCGTGGACGGGCCTTGGATTGATAGATGATATTAATTCGTATACTGATCTCTCGGCGATCATGGTGATTGGCCGCCGTGTGCTCGTGGCTTTGAGGGATGTCCTGCAGATTGATGTAGATAATGGGAACGGAGGGGCAGGATGGAAGGAAGGTGGGATTTTGAGGGAGAGTTGGGTGTGGTCGCATTACTGTTGCTCTGTTATATGTGTATAGATAGAGTTGCTTTGTTGGCTGTGTGGAGTAATGTCTGATCGTGAGCGGTATAGAGTTACAGGATCTAACAAACCCGAATGGAATATACGATGCCTTTCCAACACCTTCCAAATAACCCCCTCCCCCTTCTTAAAAACACATACATCCCATCCTCAACATGCAATACTCGTCTATGATCTTCAACCCATAACAGCCAACATCAACAGCCGTCTCAACATACCGCACTATTCCTTACCGTCATCACTGTCGCTACTACACTTCCTCCTCCTTCGATCTATCAAGGGAAATTGTTACATTCGTCGCACCATCATCATTATCATCCCCACCCTTCTCATCCTCCACGTCTCATAAACCATAAACGTATGTATACTCTCAACCTCAACGCCATATTCAAGCAGCCCGTACGAGATGACATGGACATCACAACGCAGGTGCAGACTCGAGCCACGCGACCAGTATTCGCTTTCAAAAGGGATAAAAACGAAAGTAGTCAGATAGAGAAAGACAAAAAGGTAATTGATAGACGAAAGGTAGACAGCTTGGACTGGATTGGACTGGACTGGTGCTCTTCTGTATTTTGGGGGGTCTTTTCAATTAAAGATTCTCAGTGGTCAGGTTGTTTTTTTCTCTTTTTCTTGTTGTATAACTGTTATTAGGTATGCCTACGTGGGACTCGATCTGGGGAGGGACTGGATTTTGAACTTTTTGGGGTGGATGGATAATATCGGGAGAAAGGGGAGGGAGGAGAATGGCACAATTTGACAGTTTATCGACTTAAGAAGGGGCAGAGCAGAGCAGAGCAAACAGAGGAGTAGTCAGACTCATAGAGGCGCGAAAGTGATCATGATCGGCACAGCACGGCACGTAAACAGGCGAGATAGAGAAGGCAGGAAGAGTGAGCAGCGGAAAAGCATTCCAAAAGTTCCGTTGTCAACCACTATCGAGGCTTGTAAAATGTACCAAAAAGCCATGCCATATTTCTCTCTCCGTTAGCGGGTGCAAAGGCAGTGATGCCAAGGAGGGAAGGGGTATCGTAAAGAGTCGACCGACAACAGACGAAGAAGTCCAAGTCCCAATCAATCACAGCATCACAACGTTCCCACACAACAACCCAACAAAACCCAACAGGACGCCGAACAAGTGCACACCACTCTCTAAACTCACCAACAAAGATCCATCGAGCGCCATCCATGTCATCGACGTCGGGTACTATGATACCCACGCTGGTTGTCTCTCGCTGCGTTGACCTGTGTCCTAAAGTCGTGATATAGACGCTCAATCTCATTCGGCGTTGCCTCTGCCATCGCATCCACGATTCTGTCTGCATACTTTCCCTTCTTCTTCATGCTCCACTTGTCTCTCGCCACGATCTTCTCTGGTGCCAAATAGCCCTCATAGTTTAGCCAGTCAACGATCCACTCGTTTAGGTGATACCGCCAGTGTTCCAGGGTATGCGCAATCTCAGCGTTGCCTTTGCAGAAACTTCCGACGTTCCAGGCCCGATTCTCGTTCGGTATCGGGTTACCTCTCGCATCTCTTTCGACGTCGTCGTCCTTGTCTGAATTCGAGTCATCCGAGTCTGTTTCATCCGCGACATTTTCCAGTGACTTTCGGTGGTACGGCTTTCCTGAAAAGCGAATGACAAATGATGCGGCATGGCTGCTGCGGTTGCATGCCTCACATCCGCCGAGATCAATCCCACCGGCACCACCACCCAGGTCTGTGATAATGATTTTAGGTCGCGCGTTGAGCGCCATGATAAAGTCACGATTCCAAATAGATGATTTGTACTTGCTGCCGCCCAAACCTTGAGCTTCATCGTCGAGACGGTTAAATGCAAGTTGGTAGATTTCATTTTTCATCTCGAATGCTGGATTGATCCGTTTGTGGACCATCCACTCGACCACATATTTGAACAATTGCTTCGGTTTCAGTCGGGCGTGGGCGCTAAATGCCACAGGCATGTCGATGGGAATTCCGATCGTAGCTTCATCGTCCTCGAGGACAAACCCTTCTAATTCTGCGTCATAGTTCTCTGGCTCTTCCTCTTCCTCTTCCGCAATTGAGTCTTCAGGCCCAACGTCTGATGCAGTATTTTCTGCGCTTGAAGCTTCCTCCTCGTTCGACTCTTCTGGGATTGGGGCGTTATTGCCAAGGCGGCGACGTTTCAGAGCTTCTAAAGCTTTCTCGCGAGGATTCAGCTTTCTCGGTCCCGTGCTTCTCAAGCGGCCTGCTGATTCAGGTGGGGGAGATGATTGGAGAAATTCAAGGTCCTCTTTCAGGTCTTCTAGCTCTTCTGAGTTTCTTATGCGATTTGGGATTCTCAATCGTCTTCTTTGGCTAGAAATAATCTTGTCATCTTCATCATCGTCATTTTCATCCTCATCAATCTTGTCGTCATCATCTTCATCCTCGTCTTCCTCGGCGCTCGATCTCTTTTCTTCCTCATGTTCCTCTTCAACAAGCATCTTCTTTATTCCTTTTCGAATTCTAGACGAAGGTGGAGCTGCCTTGCTATCTTTGCCAGTTTCTTCATCATTAATGAATCCCATGTCAGCCTTCCTACTGGGCTTTCGCTTTGGTTTGTATGTTGGTGATGATTTCATAGTTTCATCGCCACTAGTTTCTGGCTCACCGATAGCACCTGTATCAACATCGTCGTCGAGCTCTTGCTCTCCTGATTGCTCGCTGCTCTCATCATACGTAGGCCGTCTCAGACGTCTGGCACTTCTCGGAGCTTGTACCTCGTCTTCATCCTCATCATCCTCTGCCTCGATAGCCGCCTTCCGACTGGAACCCCTAGTGGTGACTTGGGTCTGCTTCTTCGGCGTCGCAGTTCGGGGCCTAATAATATCTTCCTCGCACTCGGAGCTGCTTGAAAGCTCAACCACGGGCTTCTTGCCGAATATCCCACTCGCAGGCCTGAACTTCTTCGCAGCTTTCCCTTGTGATACTTTCCTCTTCATGGACGGCGCTGATGGGGAAGGCGATCGCGACACCTTTGTTCCAATATGTTTTGAGAAATCGATCTTCGCTTGCGATCGACGAGCTCGTTTAGAAGCTCTCGTTGAGTGTGAAGGAGGAGTAGGGAGAGTACCGAAATTAGGATCTACTGAAGTTTTAGTAGTGCTTCTTAAGATTCAGAAGCTTGCTACAAACTTGATTGTTCTTCGTCGTCGCTGTCAAGTGCGGCAAGCTTTCTCTTGAGAGGAGAGCTGTCGTAGGTCACTGCTGCAGCACGATGTCTGACTGCACTTGGTAGCTCCGTAGCTTTAGGAGAGGACGAGGGCGCAGAACTGAAGTTGAGTCGGGCCTGGCGCTTTTTGGCGCGTGATGAACGTGTAGCCATATTATACGAATTTGAAGTTGTTTGGTGAATAAGATGAAAACCAACGCTGCGCCAAAAAGGTGAATTGCATAAGAGTACAAAACGAGGGGTACGCGGTGCCCAAGCACAAGAGAATACAAGTGAAACCAAAAATTGTTAAGAATGAGTTTTCGAGGGATTGCTACCTAAGCACTGACGTAGCACTTCAACGCGTCGACAGAAAACCGCGCTACTGTGCCCTGTCACGTGGGCTACACAGGGAAGCATTCCATATTCTCAGAACCAGTCTAATGTCATGTAAGATTATTGAATTTCTACATAACTTGCAATGGTCTTTGGCGATATCGGGTTTGTATGCTTCAGGTCCGGTATAACTACTTGAGATGATTTGCATGGCCTCCGAGATGGCTATGGCTTTATCTCCTATTTGAAGCATGAAGGAGAAACCGGCTGATAGCTATCTCATGGTAAAACCTTTAGTTGATATCACAAGGATTGGATGGCACCGCGACAGTCAAGCCAAGCCTCGATCGGTGAACCAACTATCCAGCTGTAGCATTAGCCGCTGCTTCTCATCGTCCGACGCAAATGCCTGACTGATTGCACCCTCGCATAATCTCTTCACATCTGAAACTGTGAGATCAAAGTGACGTGCCGCCAGAGCATATTCTTCAGACAGTGGACTGCAAAAGATGCCTACATCATCAGTCTGTGAACTGATCAGGATTCAAGCCAAGAACGAGCGTCGAACCCGACCGGAACTTACGCCGAGAGCCACAAGATTTGGATGCTGCCTCCACCAACCAAAGTGGTGATCAGGGTACGAGCCAACGATCATCTTTGCATGGACGTTGCAGCTTAGACATAGCTCGACACCAATCTGGCGAGAAACTATTTGTCTTTTGAAATCATCATGTACGTGCACAACGTGACCCAGCCTGCTCGGTCCCCAGCTGAGGAGTTCGGAGAGATCTTTGTCTGTGGAGGTACCGTCGAACTCAGCAAAGTGGAGCGTTATTGGGATACCGGCGTCTTTAGCACGGCAGAATGGAGCTCTGAACAGTGAAATATCGCCCTTTGAAGGATCGCCGCAGAGGTCGATACCAACGACGCCAGAGGACTGGTATTTCTGGGTTAGATTGACGACTTCTTCGGCATCTACGGTGTTCCAACGACGGTCGACGGAGAGGATTAGTTTGGATGTCATCTTGCAATCTGGTCTTGAATTGTGAGCTTTGATGCACTGTAACACCAGCTGCACATAGTCATCTTTGGAGATATTCTCTTTCGGAATCGCTCGTGGAGTAGTCCTCAATTCCAGATATACCACGCCGTCTGCTTCGAACTCATCTAGCACAGCTTTGGTGCTATATTCAATGCTACTCCTGTCGCTACATAATGTGTATATGTAGGAAGAAAACAGTGGAAAAAAGCTTTCTATTGTCAGCGGAATGACGGATATGGGAAGTAAGTCATGATGTGTGCTAGTGGCTTGCAGTCAAATTATTACCGGAGAGGCATTATTGCGTGCCGGTGCTGTTTCAGATGGAAGGATCTGGAATTGGAAGCTTACGTATGCAGATCGTAATCCACTTTGCCTGAAATGGCGGTAATAGGGTTCTGCAGGGTGAAGTTGGGATCCAAGGATAGCCTGGTCTGCCAGATTTCGTACAGACACTGGCGGCTTATGCTGCCAGTCAAGTGAGCGTGAAGCTACCAACAATGACAGTGTAAGAAGTGGGGCGTTTAAATTGTTGAGAGCAGCACACACATACCTCGACCTTGGGCAAAGCGAGAGTAAAGTTTCGGTCGATGGTCATCTTGGGAGTCATGTCGAGTGGAGCAGAAGTTCTGGTTGCGGCGACTCAAGGGCGAGTGCTTTTAACAAGTTCTTGGGCTGGAACCAGCAGAATTCGCGTGAGGAAATGATGATGCGGAGCACAATGCGAGTCGGAGTGGCCGTCGATGGTATGTTTTGTTTTGCACGTCGTAGTATTGTTATCTTCCAAGGACTACCTAGTAGTCCTAGGCTGAGATGAATGAGAGGTATAGATTGTACGGTGGCCAAGATGGAAGATACTGCGCAAGCAGATAACAGGAAAAGGGGAACTGGAGGAGGTCAATCGCTTCTGCACGGGACACCCTCCCCATCTCAGCTGGCAGATGTCGGCCGTCCGTGGGGAGTTCAGGTACCTGGCAAGTCTTGATTAATATGGCCATCACCACGACGTTTGATCTCGGATCTCGGAAGCGACAATCTCGACAGCCCGGGAGTCAGGATACATGGAGAATAGCTGGCCATAATTAGGTGGTATAGCTGCAGCTGGCTCGTTCCGCTAAGCTCTCGGCCGTTTTCTGGAAGAAAGAAACTGCCTGAGCAGTAAGGATTGAGGCATGCAGCTACCCGAGCTCGCAGGATCCTTGCTTGCCCTGGCCGTCAGCGTCAGCGTCAGCGTCAGTGAGACCTGGTCACGGGACACTAGTAAGTGAAAAGACAACCAACAAACGACAATGCTGATGCTCCTACTTCTTCTGTCGACTCTTTTTGGCCTTTCAGATTAGTAGCAGGTAAGCAAGCGACTCTGTCCAGGCCTACGTATATTGAGTGAGCAACAGATGAACCGAATCTGGCTCCTAAGTCATCAAGTCATCTAGTGGTAAATCACGAGACCTGTCGAGAAGTTGATGCGTAAGGGTGGATGGAATGTCACGATGGCGCCGAGATTAACTACCGTATGTTCGCCGCCAACCCCGCATGGATCCCATAAAGACGGGGGGACGCCAAAACAGCAAAAGCATTTTGCTATCAGAATGCTGAAAGGAAGTTGTAGAGTATGTACTGAATTGATAGTGTGCCATGTCGCGTCATGTGCCATTGCGATCTCCGTAGGTATATACATATCGCCTAGGCCCTGTGTTGCTAAGGTGCCAGCTTGACCTCTGCGGCTTGTGGGACGTGCTATGCCATGCACTCTGGCCGTTTTGAAGATGGCAGATGTCGCGCAGTCTGAGATGGGTCGGATGAGATGTCCTGCAGCGATTGACGAGGAGCGCCAATGGCTCGCATCCATGGCCAGCTGAAGCGTTTTGCGTCCACAATAAAAAAGCAATGAGTGTTTCCCATGATTCGATGTCGGATTACGCAGATGAAGCTCCGGGACGTACACAAAACAGCAGGACGTCACGCAGCACGGCTCCAGGCAATCGTGCAGCCGGCGCGATTTACGTACAGAAGAGTCCGGTATCTCGCGCCGAGATCAAAACGGAGAGCAGGAGGCTTGACAGGGACAGGATTGCGATGGAAGTCATCGCTTTGCTTTCATCTTCAATACCTGAGCTAAGAAGGATTTTCAGAGATGTCCTCATCCGGGACATGCCAAGAATCGAGGGAAATAATCGATTGGACGTGCCATTCAAGGTTTTTCGTCAATACAAGTTTAATACAATAATTCAAGAATCAATTGGTAATAGTCAGTCAAGTTCAATAAGAAATCGGTTAACAGTATTGGGCATCCCCTCTACTCAGGCACATAAGAAAGGGTTAATTAAGGTTCCACCTGCAGTTCTCCCTCTGGTCTAGTCAGCCAGAGCCAGAACTCAGTCGGTCCAGTCCCCAATCATCGCAATGCCAGCACTGGACGGGAGCCCTAGGAGGGCAGTGACGGCCAGTCTAACCGCTTTAGGCCACTCCTTCCCATCATCTCCCTCTCTCTCACACCGGGAACGAGTCCACTGGTCCTGCCTTCCCCCCCCAGGCCCAGGGCCACACAACCAATGCACACTAACTAACTCCTTCCTCCAACACTCCAGCTCTTTCCACTTTCCTACCTACCTCCTTCCTGGGCTCCTTCCTAGGCTCCTACCACTTACTAACTCGCGCCCACTGCTCACTGCTCACTGCTCACTCCAGCTCTCTCCCACCACAGTCTCGTTACCGTTACTAAGAGCTCCGTGCCCAAGCCCCAAACCTGCATTTCCCGCTACACCCTGTGGCCCATACCTCAACCTCTTCACCTATCCTCTACTCTACCTCACTCATCTTTCAACCTTTCTTCATCCTCGCTCAACTCTTCCGTCGAAGCTCTACAATTCCCTCATAACGCAACGGCGTCGAGCAGCCGTTGCTCCCTTTGCTTTGCTCTGCCGTCGTTCCAACTCTTCCGTGCGCCTGTTCCATCCGGCCCCAGCTGTTCTCTTCCTTCGGTTCACGTCCCCAAAGTCCACCCCTGGATCCCTCGCCCATCGCTGTCTCATTTTCCCACACGGTCTCCTACCGCCATCGCTTGCCGTACCTCTTGACACGTCGTCCTCGTAATCATGGCCGACGAGTCTATCCAACAGAGGATACAAATTGCCCGTCGCGATGCCGAAGCATTGAAGGACAAGATAAAGCGCAAGAAGGATGAACTTGCCGACACGACCCGTACGTTTCAATTGTCTCCACTGGCTCACTAATCCTCGTCATGCTGCATCGTCTGATCATTGCTAACTAACTCTCAGTTCGTGACGTTGCAAGACAGCGTGTCGATGCTCTGCCGCGATTGACGATGAAGACGAAACGCACATTGAAGGGACACCTTGCCAAAATTTATGCTATGCATTGGTCGACGGATCGGAGACACTTGGTGTCGGCCTCGCAGGATGGCAAGCTGATCATCTGGGACGCCTACACGACCAACAAAGTTCACGCCATCCCATTGAGATCGTCATGGGTCATGACCTGCGCCTACTCACCAAGTGGTAATTTTGTTGCCTGTGGTGGTTTAGACAACATATGCTCAATCTACAACCTCGCCTCTCGAGATGGTCCTACGCGCGTCGCTCGTGAGCTGTCTGGTCATTCCGGATACCTCAGTTGCTGTCGATTTATAAGCGACCGCAAGATTTTAACATCATCCGGAGACATGACCTGTGTGCTGTGGGACCTTGAGACCGGCTCCAAAGTTCATGAGTTCGCTGATCATCTGGGAGACGTCATGAGTCTGAGCATCAACCCGCTCGACTCGAATCAATTCGTTTCGGGAGCCTGTGATGCATTTGCCAAGCTTTGGGATATTCGTCAGCAGAAGTGTGTCCAGACTTTCGCCGCCCACGATTCAGATATCAATGCCATTCAATTCTTCCCCAACGGCAACGCTTTCGGAACTGGCTCCGACGACGCGTCATGCCGTTTGTTCGATATTCGCGCAGACCGTGAATTACAAAGCTACACTGTATGTACTTGCCAAACCCAAGAGCTGCTCTGGAAGCCTCGTTCAACGTTTGGAAAGACACTGACGCGTTCACTAGATCGGTGAGCCTCTCTGCGGCATAACTTCCGTTGCCTTTTCTGTGTCTGGAAGATTATTGTTTGCCGGATATGACGACTTTGAGTGCAAGGTAGGCACAGAATTCTTGATCGCGCTGAAATCCTTCTAACAAAGACCCAGGTCTGGGATGTTCTCCGCGGCGAGCGTGTTGGTACGCTTCAAGGTCACGACAACAGAGTCAGTTGCTTGGGTGTCAGTATGGATGCTATGAGTCTTTGCACAGGGTCATGGGATTCAATGGTACGTTGAACCAGACTTTGCTAGAGATGTCTAGAAGCTTACAAACATGCAGCTACGGATTTGGGCTTAAACGCCAAACGATTGAAAATGAACATAAAGACGAGATTATGTGGAGGCAGCCCACATACATCACTCCCTTCCCTACGTCAGTACTCTGCCATTCTACGCCCTCTTCTTACATACCCATATCACTCTCGGAGTTCAGCCATCGGTCATTTTCCAAAGAACCTCACCTCGACACTTCCTTGCGGACGCATAATCATATACGGGACACGACTTGGAGGAAAAGAACGACATGTTTTATCTACATAAACGCTCTGATACAATCTTGCCACCAAAACGTAGGACTCGTCCACGGTCCGGTAATCTCTAGACGCCGAGGTTTATTTCGCGCAGTATTGAAGCAATTGTTTGCAATTTGTCTCTCTCACGCTTCGGGGCGGCCGTGTTGCCAACTTTGATCGCGATGGCGCTGAGTCTTAACAAATTCATTTTCTACAATCTCTCTCGTCACCCTTGCACTCGGCTACTCTCTAATATGCTTACCGAAGCTTACGTCCATTCCGTCCTGGCGTTGTTTTGGATGGGATAAAATCAACTCTTATTCAAACGATGGATTGCTGCGATGCGGCTTCTGACCGCTCACGAACATCCATGTGCGTCTGATGTGCTCGTCTCCAGCTCGTGGAATAATGGGCCAACAATTGCATGGCGGAACTATTCTCTTCATTGTCAGAATTACCGGCCCCTTTTTCTTCTTTATACCAATTTCCTCGAAGGTGTGGACAAGGATGGAGTGTGTTTTATGGTCTGTTAGATATGAAAATGTGGAAAGAGCGATATCGAAATGTAGCTACATAGCTCGAGAGAGGGAGTAATATGATTTCCTTTAATATGCTGAAATCGCGAGACAGCAGGACGATAATGATGGCAAGAATACTACGCTATATGTATAGTGACCGATTCCGTCTATTTTAGACAACCTAACCGACACCGTATTTCAATCCCCTCGGTGCGTCGTCCGGGGTCATTCACTTTAGAAGAAGCACGATGCCCGGAGAGTACAATACTGACCGTATTCCAAACATAAAAAGCAACAAAAGAACGAAAAACCCGAAAGAGATCAATCAAGACAGCCCCAAAGCTCTATCCGTTTCCATATTTTGCGTTCTGATGTAAGGATAACAGCTATCTGAACAGCTAATTAGAGCTATCGGAGTGAGTGTATGACCGTTTACTTGTTTGGGGGCCCATTTCCGTTCTCAATTTAAAGAAAGAATACAATTAGACTTTCTGCTCGATCAGACAGACTTGGCGCTTCTCTCAAAGACATTTGGATCTGGAGTATCTGGATTAGAAATGCCACATCCACCACGCATCGCATTGATTCTTAATCTATTTCCTCATGCATGCGAGGCTTGAGGACGGGTGGGTGCTTGTACCGCGTTCCGTGAATTAAGGTCGCATCTAGCCCGGCCGGGGCGCCCTACGATATAGCGCTAGTCCCGAAAGAATACTAGTGGCCGTGCATACATCGCCTGGAATATCCAACATCTACAGACCTTGTCTTCATAATCGAAACGATTATAACCACAGCCACCACCATCATCATCACCCTCAAGCAATAAATCCTGTCCAACGTAATCTGCGATATTCCCTCGTCAATTACATGGCCTGAACATCTGCGTGGCTGTCTGAATTCAAGCCCGTCACTATTTAGCTACCAGCGCGAAAGAAAGCTTAATAGATAGCGTAGGAACCGATCTAAACTGCGCGGCCTCATCCGACCGGACTACTACTACCCACTACCTTACGACGGGCTAGCTAGAGGGTAGTCGCAGTATGACGTAATAACGTAGCCTGCGATTGTAATTCGTGTCTTTGGTGTGTGGAGGTGTGAGGGTTAGCTCTAGGTGTGGAGGTTGTGTGACAGCTACTATGAGCGCGGAGTGCAGGTTGTGTGTATGTATGTGTAAGTATCAAGCTGAATACGCTGACAAATCAAGCTATTCATTCCATGCTTTGCAATGTCTAGTACCTCGCGAGATCTGAAGATGTAGTAATCATGTCGTAAAGATATAATACAGGGTAAAGATATACCCATCTGTGGCTCTAGGAGCTCTGATGTATGCCTCGGAAGCTTAATATTGCACGTAAATCTACGACTACAAACAAGGCTATGTATGAAATACCATACATAGACATGCCAGACATGACTGATACACCAATATACCACTGTCACAGCGCTCACAATTAACAGAGGCCGCGAGGGCTCTGAGTTCTGGTTCATAAGTATTATTCGAAATGCCTTCGAGCACGACTTCGTCATGCATTGTGCTCGTTTGTGTGGATACTTTTAATCTCACAGCTACTCTCTCCAGTCTCTCACGTGAATGCGAGATCATGGCCTTAGGATGCTGCTCTAATACTATGCAACGCGCTAGCCTTCCCAGCTACACTCAGACAAACACCTACACTGGCAGATCAAATGGCCAGATATCTCTGAGATCGTCTTCGTTTCTGATTGGCTCATCATCGTCCGGCTGCTGGGTTGCCAGTACTTCCTGTAATATTCCCGCGAATGCCTCTCGGTGCGCGGACTGGGTCGCTTCCCATTGTTCGGGAGGAATCCAACCGTCAGACTCAGTATTTAGCAGACGTGGCAAGAGATGCTTTAGCTGCTGTTTCGCTTCGAACAGCTTGTAATCCTGCTGATGGCGCGCAAGTTCATCAGGGGAGGGTAGTGTGAACGGACACGGTTCTGTGAAGCCAAGTTCGTCCCAGTGTAGCGCTGTTTGGATGAGCTCCTCGTGGAAGGCAACGGCGCCGTCTGCCCAAGTCCGGTAGGAGTAGCGGAATGGTCGGAGCAAAGATTCGTCTATCAATCTAGCTGTTGCCAGTTTTGGGGCTAAGAATTGAATACAAGCATTAAACACTTTTGCGCACGCCTCGCTTTTAGGCTCCGTACGGTCTTCGTTTTGATGATCAGGAATAGGTTGCGCAAAGTCTGGTATCTCATCTGCGTGCCAGAATGCTGGCTGGATGCCAGAGGATTGCCAATCGATGATTGCTGAGATGGTGGTGGGATCTTCTGCTGAGACGAAGATGTTTCGGGCGTGTAGATCGGGATGAAATATCACAGGTACAGCTGCCTTTTGGATACGAGAGTCCATGGCCATCTTACTTAGGACTGAGTGACCCTGTTCAAGCAGTCGGCGATGTGTTTGGACGGATCCATGGTAGCGTGGTCGTCGTGGAGATAGGTCTGCTGGTGGAAGTCTGGCAATCCCATTATCTATTAAACCATTACAATATGCAGCAAGATTAGGCCCTAGAGTAATGCGTTTAGATTTATGCTAATAAGTAAGACTCATAGGTCGACTTACAGGGTCCTCGATTGGGGTGAACATCATGGAAGTATCTAGGTTGTCCGACGTTGCAGTCCCAGTAGATGGCTCCGCAATGAGGACCAATAGCAAATTCCTGGTCAAATGGTAGCTTCTGAGCCGCGATGTATGGAGTATCCGCAAAGTACAAGCTGCCGTAAGCCTGGAAGTCGAGGTCGACAAGCTCTCTTAACTTTTCGAATATTGCTCGTATACACTTTATCTGGTCACTTACGTCCATACTCTGCCATTTCTCGTGCAGTGAAACCCCTGGTGCGTGTTCCATGATGATGTATTCACTACCAATGGTATTCGAGGGATCATCACTCCATTCTAGTATCTTCGGAATGGGGATACTTGTTTTCGCTTGTACTAACAAAGGCAAAGTGGTCAATCAGTCACTCAACCACCTTTGCTCCAGCATCTTGGCTTATAACCTACTGAATTTAATCGTCGCTACCTCAGAATTGGTAGTCAAGCTTTGCGGTCCAGCGACCGAAAACGGCAGTCTCGCAACGACACGTTTCGCATTATCAGTGTGAAATATAAACACCCGATTGAAGCCACCTTCCTTCTTACTATACGAAATGATAGAATTGGCACCAGGACAAAGCGCAACAACCCTACTACGCAGTGCATCGAAGTCGAATCGTACAGTGCGTGCTTCTCGTTCTAGCGTATCCCGATGGAGCCATCGGCCACTTGTATAGTGGAAGGGATCCGAGCCTGTGGTTGCACCTGCGCTCAAAACATACAACTACAGCAACAGGACCGCGCGAAATGCTTACCGTCTCTATGTGAACTAATCATCCGCCCGGAAGAGAAGAATCTTGCATGGGTAAGAGGACATCCATTTGATGTTGAGAGACGCGATGATGCTAGGGTGTACACGCAATGGAAAAGAGTACCGGTTCTGGCTGGAGGAGCGTGCTGCGTACAAGGAAGTCGCGTCACGAAGGAGGGCGCCTTGCTAAACACCGGATGGTGCATAGAGCCTGTGGCTCAAAGCGGAATTAGAGAATATGCTAATTAATTGAAGTAAAGAGATAGAATGAGAGTTGGGAGGTAAGTAAAGCTAGCTACCCTCTTAAGGAAGAAATTACGTGCTACTCAAATAGGTGCTATATTACCCTAGCCTAAACCGGTCAGTATCATTTCCCTACGAATTCTATAATATTTACTTCACCATGCTTTCATCTTTAAATATCTCTCTTCGTTTTATTATATGTTTAGGCCCTTACTTATCCTCTACTACAAACGCGATTTCCTAAATTAGTACTTGTGACGTCAACCTGGCCTAGACAATTTATCATAGGTAGTAAGATAAGATGTTATAAAGCGTCAAGAATATTGGTAGATGATAAGCTGTATCTACTATGACTCAATCTATGATAAATATGAAGTCTAAAACAATACTAACGTGTTATTACTTACTTATTCGCTAAGGATGTAGCAGATAGAATTTTAGGTTGCATGTGGTCGGCCGCAGAACCAAAGTTGATAATCTCCTTGCAATAACATGTTAACGCCCAAGTTTTGATAAGATTCAAAAGAAGAAGATTGCTAACGTTTAGTCAGTAGTAGAATCCGCGTCTGTGGTAGATATTTTACCGTCTGTTCTCTGCTATACATAGTACTCCGACATCCGCACAGAAGATCTCTCTAACGAATGAACCACGTAAAAATAATTATACCACTACCATTCAACATCTTGATGGATGTTTTGCACCTGAGTAGGAGCGAGGAGCTACACTAACAGACCTGACAAGGTATTTTCCGTATGACGTAGGTGTAAGTCCTCTTAGTAGCTCTCGAAGCTACGAGGATTCCGGACTTAAGATGAGCTCCAGTCAATGTAATGCTCCAAACTGTCCATATAGTAAGCACTACCTGAGCGGTATAAAGAGCAGATGACAGTTATTTCATTAGTGCTCGCAACGCTAAACTAAGGTTACATTGTTATATGAACCGGACGAGAATTATGTCCGATTGACCGAAGCCGGGATAGTGGGGCGGGCGGTGTTAGCTGCGCGGACGAGAGTTGTATCCAAAGGGCCGGATTAGTGGGGCCGTTGGTCTCAAGTGAATTACTATATAAACGTCTTGTGTAAACATCATGTCTTGGTATATCACAAACAGCGACATCGTAAAATCATAACAACAAAATATCACAACATCACAATATCACACCACCGTTCCCCTCTAACCATCATGGCAATCAAATACGACAACGTCATTGTCTTTGGGCCCACGGGCGCAGTGGGCCGCGCAGTTTCCCAAGAAGCTGCCAAGCGAGGCGCGAAAGTAACACTGGCTATGCGCGACCCAAGCAAGAAGATCCCGGGCCTCGACGAGCAACAGGGCAAATTCGAGCGCATCAAAGCAGATCTCGGAGACGTAGCCTCTGTCGAGAGCGCCATCCGCCAATCCGGAGCAAAAGCGGCCTTCTTCTACCAGATACACGGAACGGGCGACGGCATGAGATCCGTCATCGAGACAATGAAAACCGCTGGAGTCGAATACGTCGTCTTCCTGTCCTCGTTCACCATCTTTCCCGAGGAAGATCCACATGATGTTAGTCGCGAAAGGCTCATTCCGTATCTGCATGCTTCGATAGAAGCTACGATTGACGATCTTGGTTTGGCGTCTACCATGTTACGCCCGGGGGCGTTCGCGTACAACATCTTCCACCAGGATGTGGATCGATCATCGGATGTATGGAAGGCAGAAATCCCGGAATCCGACAGGAAAGCAGATTGTATCGTACCGAAGGACATCGGTCGAGTCGGAGGTGCGGTCTTGGTCGATCGGCCTGCAGAAGGACAGAAGGAAATTGTATACCTCTATGGCCCTGCGCTTCTTACCCGCGAAGACATGATTGCAACTATCGGGAAAGTTTCGGGTAAGCAGATCAGTACGACGGTGCAAAGCACCGATGATCACATCAAATCTATGGTCGCCAGAGGTCTCCCTGAAATAGCTGCAAAGTATCTATGCAAGGCAGATAATGGTCAGCTCCACGATCGGTACTATGCGGATGGGCGCCATGAAGAAGGATGGGAAAACATCAAAAAGTACTCTGGCTACGAGCCAACGAGTTTCGAGACTTTTGTTGACGAGTACTTAGCTGAGAACTGATTTCCTGTATATCGTAAACTTGCAGCAGCTTGGCTTAAAATTCATATGTTTTCCGCAATTGAGTGCAATGTTGATACTTGCGGTCTGAAGAATGGCACAGAACTAATTCCCCTTTTGCGCCGACCGGTAGGAGCAACATATGCCCAGGCTCGAGGTCCAGACAAGCGTTGAGTAAAGAATCACACGATCCATAATGTAACGGCTCAATAAGATATTAAGGAGAGACCTACGGCGAATATGCACACGGTTGCCATTCGACTCTCCGAGCTATACAGTTCTTCCCACGACTTAGCTCAAACCGCTCATGCAATGGCACAAAAGATTCCCTTATGCTTTCGTTATCGCTAAAATGCTCAACCAATCAACCGAATCAAACAACTCACTACTACATCCCTACGCCAACTCCGCCGTGGTATGTTTGTGTTGCGCCCCAGGCGCCAACTCTACCGGCACATCCGAATACCCCGTTCTCTGCGGTTCATAAAACGACTGATCACCACTCGCCACCGGTGCATAACCCGGATAATGTCCCATTCCCGTACCCTGCGCTTCGTAGCCCGTCTCTCCGAATCCCTTGGTAGCGTCATTCAGGGGCGCCAGCTTCGCACCTTTTCTCTTGCGCAGCCAAAATACCAGACCTCCTATCACGAGGGCGCCTACGGCCACAACGCCGACTACGATACCTGCGATTGCGCCGCCGGATACACCGCTCGAGGAATCTGGTGCTTGTGATGGTGTTTCGGACGGGGTAGGGGTTGATGTTTGTTCGACGACGGAGTTGGTGGACGATGCGGATGAGACCAAGGAGCTGGCCGAGTCGGGAATGTCGTCTTTGAGGATGAAGAAGCCTCGACTGGGGGCTTCGATATCGCTGTCGTTGAACGTGGCGTCTACGTCGGCGACGGCGGGCTTGAGGCGGTACACGAATTGGCCATTGTGGTTGTTGATGTCGTCGTCACTCAAGTCGACGGTCCATTGGAAGCTTCCGCCATCTGTTGTGTCGATATGGGCTGTTCGGACGTGTCAGTGCGAAGAATGGGGCGGAAAGGAGAGGCCGTGTTACGTACGGGCTAGACACTTCCAGTATCCCTTCTCGTTACCTGCGTCTGCCGTGCTGGTGACCCATAGCGATACTTCATTTTGCGCGTTTAGGATGGTCTTAGGTTTCGCGCCCAGTCTGCTGTAGACATAGCCTGAGATGCCGGTGTTCGTTGCTTGATCGCGGGTCAGTAAATTGGCCTCGGCGTACTATGATAGAGGGGTGGGCTGTACAGTTCAACTTCCATATTACTTCGGCGACAGATCCTTGCTTGAGTGTAAGGCTTGAGTCGAAATCTTTTGTCTTGCCATCAGGTTGTGAATATGCCAGTTGCGCAGTGGCGAAAGAAACTAGAGAAAGGGAAGACGCAAATAATCGTATGGCAGTTAACACCATTGCAATTCAGACACAACGAGATTTCGATTACGAGAGGGATAGTGGCAAGAGTGTATGAACGAAGGTACGAAAGACAAATGCAAAGGTGAAAATGAAAAGGACTCGGAGGCTTTGGCGCTCCGCTTGGTCTATAATGAACGGACTCTGTAGGAGAGTGGAGGCGCAGGTAGCATGCAAGTAGTTCGTGTAACTCCACGACCTTGAAATTGTAACCATCTGGTTGGTCCTATCGTCTGCTCCTCAGCCGCAACAGAAAGTTGATTCGCACTGCTCATGCGCTAGTAAGGTACCACTATACTGCTTGTGGAAATATCTTTGCTAGCGCATGGGGCTAGATAAAGATAGAAATGAGCTAATCGAGTTTGGGGCTTGGAATGCCGGACAGGCGCCGTTCTCACATGGACACCATCTAGCTCTGGACATCTTGATTGGGGTCCAACAAGGCAGCGTGGGCCATTGGCACCATTTAAATAGTTCAGATGGTAAGAATGTGAAAAGGCATATCAGATTCGGGCACCTGCTCTGTTACTTCACCAGTTTCATAAGTTTGGTAAGAACAGGGTACGTGGATGCCAACTAACCCTTGGCGGGAATCCTTGAACATGCTGAAATCACAATATGCGTGTGGGTTTCGGGCTATTACGCGCTATTCCATGTCACTGGTACGACTCTTGTATATTATATGGTCAAACCGGCCCTAGTCTTTGTCGTGGACTCACCCTGTGGTGAGAATAAGCGTCTCTCCGGCTTTGAGTTATCACCAGGTATCAAGTATCTGCCTCTAGGTCGCACATACAAGGTCAGCACCAGAATCCTTCCTTCTATCCAGTCGAACAAATCCATGCGTGGTAGATCCTGATTATCCTACTCGACACGGTGACTTACATCTCTTCCTCGATGACTTACTTAGTCTGCACAATGATATGCATAAACGACAGAAATGATCTTAAATGATAGAAAGCAAAGAAAACGGAGGTTAAGAGGTCGAAACTTTTTGTCGAACGATGTTGATATAGTACAGATAGTAGTCTAGGGATCTAATTGAGAATGAACTCATGGACAGTAAGGCAAATGCAGAGATTCCGAGACGCACATGAGAAATTATACATGTGCCATGAAAATACCCAAAACGCCACGCTTATCCATGTTCGACACCGAACCGATGCAGAATAAACAAACAAAGACAACTGGAAATATATGCTAGTGGATGGGGAGGCCTTGGGAGGGGTTTCGTTCAATGCGTGACCGGGGCAGAACTCAAAGACGCCGAGTAGGAAGAACGCCGAAGGTACCACTCAATGTTCAATGAGACACCATCTCTGCGAACGGAGCCGCTTCTTTCAGGTCCATGACCAGATCCTCCACATTGCTTAGATATTTTCCTAGTGTTTTCTGCTTCTCTTCTGTAGTCCGGGTATCTCCCTCAATGTCGCCACCGTTCACAATTTCTGCTCCACCCAGTACTGTGCGTCTTTCGAATGCACCCAGCAACTTGCTTGGGCTGCGATTTAGTCCTCCGATTGGTGCTGTGGAAGATGCGATTGAAGGGTTCTCTGGCATGAGGTAAAAGTATATGAACTCTAGGAGCTTGAGCTTGACATTGTGTGCGGTGTTGCGTGATTTGAAGAGCGATGTCACCGTGAGAAGACCGTCCATGTTCTCGAAGACGCGCGTGTTGGCCGGTGTGCTTAGGAGAGAGGAGACTAGGACGAGTAGTGTGCTACATTGAATGGCAGGGCAATTATACGGATCGAGTAGGTCGAGAAGAAGCTAGGACATAGTCAATTGTCAAAGTCCTGTGGCAGTCTAGCGATGTAACAAGCACATACGTTCATGTAGGTTTCACGACGGAACAGTGACCGCGATGGTGGGTGTAGAAGGAGGATCCCCTGGAGGACGTCTAGAGCCTGCTTGATAATGAGGTCGTTCTCATCGCCTGCACGAATCCATCAGCCAACATCCGAGATCATCTTCAATAGAACTTACTGTTTGGCATTCCCAGAAGCCTCTCGAGACAGCTCACCAGCCTGGTTGCGACATTCCATTCGAAACCTTCTTGTAACCTGAAGAACTCTCTGAATGCAGGATCGCCAGTGAGCGTGCTCAAATTCTTCTGCTGGTCACTTGCGGGTGCTATAGATGTCCTCCGTTTGGTAGGGGACAGGTTGTTTGATGTTCCTGGAGCAAGGCATATTTGCGCGAGAAGTCCCTCGATTTGTCGTAGGCCTTTTCGGATCTTGCTGCTATCTTGGGCTGCAATATTATCAAACGAAAGGGAAAGTAGTGCCTCCATGCCGACAGCGGTGCTTAGGAGCCCTTCGCGAGGGATGGTGAGGTGAATATAAGTAGGATAAAATTGATAACATGAGAGAAGCAATGATGATAGCAGAAGTCCGTTGTTGCAAGGCGCACATTCTCAAATTGCTGCCCAGATTTCCAGGGTCTGGGAGTGATGGCGTAGGTTGCCATGGTGATGTGCTGAGCTGTTAGACGCGCAGACCAGACCGCGGGGAAAGCTCCAATCCGATCCCGACTAGCGTGCGTGGCCCAGATTGCCGTCGAGACCTTGCATACGCAATGACATCTATCCCAACCCTTATAATCTCCTACGGGAAGGAATATGAACAAAATGATGCCATTCCACGCCCAAAAAGAGAGGACTGCGCATGAGCGCCGAAAATATAATGGTCACTACGAGGGTCGAACTCGCGACCTTGGCGTATCAGGGAAGGCTTATTAGCACCACGCTCTAACCAACTGAGCTAAGCGACCAATGAGTGGATTTCGAGCCAGACTCTACATATCTGAGAGGTTTCTCGACGGCATAACGTGTTGCGGAATATGCCCCTCGTTATCAGACTCGGTGTATCCGCGTCAGCTATCAATTGTCCGTCATAAGGCTCGGCGCTACTTAACAAAACAACATCTCAGGTTCCGAGATGCGACCTTGAAGATCTGATGTCTGCCTGACGCAGCTTCAGCTGCCGGTCAGCTTTCTATGGTGTTGTGGCCTGAGACAAATTCACGTCTCAGGTTTGGGGACACATGCACGTCAGACCATAGGTCAAGCAACATCGGCCACTAATACTTTAGAAGATAAGGTATCCTTCCACCTTGCTCTTGCTCTTCCATAGAGGGGATTGTGGAGACGCCCACCCCATTACCCTCCTGCCGCGGTTAAATCACTATCGCGATGGCTCATGAGAATCCAACGTCTCCGAATGCGATCCCGCCGCGTAAATCCTCGCATGGAATGGTAGCTGCGACCGCACCAGCGCATCCGATCAGCATGGCAGAGAAACCAATCTTGCGACCGCTCCCCGAAGAGAATTGGATATCGTCGAGAAGGAGGCAGACTACAACGTTGCTGCCTCCGCCAGAGGATCTCAAAGATCTAGGCAACGACCTAATACATCAAACCAAACAACCATGGAATGTAGAGAAAGAGAAGATTCTGTTGGCACCTTACGACTATCTGTATGGTCATCCCGGGAAAGACATTCGGTCGCAGCTGATTGCAGCCTTCAACAAATGGCTCAAGGTGCCGCCGGATAGCTTGTCGATCATAACAAAAGTTGTGGGCATGCTACATACAGCATCGCTGTTGGTGGATGACGTGGAAGACTTCTCTTCGCTTCGTCGTGGAGTGCCGGTAGCACATAATATTTTCGGAACAGCACAAACAATCAATAGCGCAAATTACATATATTTTGTAGCGCTACAAGAGCTGTCGAAATTAAACTCGCCCGATTCCCTCCTGATCTATACAGAAGAGCTGCTCAATCTTCACCGAGGGCAGGGCATGGACCTCTATTGGCGTGACACATTGACCTGTCCCACCGAAGCGGACTATCTCGAGATGGTGCACAACAAGACTGGTGGTCTCTTTCGGTTGGCTATCAAGCTGATGCAAGCCGAGAGCAGTGTCAAGATGTAAGCCTATATCAATATATGTATCGAAATCTCTGCTAATGACCTCCAGCGAATGCCTGCCGCTAGTAAACACGATCGGGCTGCTTTTCCAGATCCTCGATGACCACCTGAATCTGTCCACGTACACGTCGGCGAAGGGCTTCTGCGAGGATCTGACGGAAGGAAAATTCTCTTTCCCAGTCATTCATGCCATGCGCGCCGATCCGTCGAGTCTTGTGCTGATTAGTATTCTGAAGCAGAAGCCAACGGATGAAGACGTGAAGAAGTACGCAGTCGCGTACATGGACAGTATGGGAAGCTTCGAGTACAGCAAGAAATGTATCATGGAACTAAACAACAAAGCTCATACATTTGTGGAGCAGCTTGAGTCACAGCTAGGCTCGGAAGGAAAGGAGGGAGCGGAAGGTATCAGGCATATCTGTGATAAGATGGTAGAGAAGCTGCAGGAGCCTGTTGTGAAGGTGTAAAGCGTTGTAATATGTATGTACCAAAACACGTGGGTCGATGTATTGGTTACTTAATGCTTGGCAGATCCCAAATGTCACGGTATACGCGAAATGCACATTGATAATGTGTTGACAGCTCTCTTGAATTACTCAAAGCTACTCGGGCTTCTGAAGTTTCCTGCCTTGGAGATAAAAACAGGTATCTTGGATGGCCTTCAAATATTGCTTAGCTTGCTTATATGGTGTATGGGGTCTTCTGGTAGGATGAGGCCTCGACACTTCATTTCAAGAGCCGTCAGTGTTACCATACAATCCACCACCATCTTGTGGATTTCAACATAAGAAACGGGAACGTGTCGGTCCCCCCAACAAGCTTGGTGATATATAAATGACATTAGCATACTTAAAAGGTGATGCTGCAGTGATAGGCGGTACTGGAGATATCCTGTAGCCATAGTCAGATGTCTGCACAACCCAAGACGAAGAAAGCATCCTCTATGATAATACAACAACAACTCCTCCTACAAGTCCTCCAGCAACGCCTCAATCTCCGCATTGACAACCCCAGCCCTCTCCAAATGCACCCAATGTCCCGTCCTCACCAACTTCGTCCTCAAATCCACCACCCACTCCGCCAAAAACCCCCTCTGCATCTCCCCTCCCACCCCATCATCCCCAATAAACAACCCCGGCACCTCCACCCTCACCCCTTCCATCCCTTCCTCATCCGCCAAATACATCTCCCCCATCCACATCCCATACCACCTGGTCACCCCAACATACCCCCTCCCCTCCCGCCCAAACACATCCAAATGCGCCCGCTGCAACTCCGACGTATACCACCCCGCAACTTCATCCACTTTGCCCCCTCGCTCCACAAACTCCCGAAGCGCACCCAAGGGCCGGAAATGCGCCGCCCATACTTCCTCCTCGTGCGCAGCGAAGAGCACGCTCATCACACTCTCCGCATGCGTCTCACACGCGTGCTGTGCAGCAGGGGTGCTAATGTCGCCGAGCCAGGGTATATACCCCAACATCTCACACCCGGTCGCCTCCCTCGTCGCACGATTGATAGCATGTACATCGAACGGCGTGCCTAGTTTCGGTGGGCCGACGGATAAGAAGACAAGTGCGGAGAAGAGCTCCGGATGATACGCAACCGCGCGACTGAGCAGCGTAGCCCCGAAATCATGACCGACGCCTACAACTCTGCGTTCTGTCGGAGTGGCATGTCTGATGAGCTGGGCGAGCTCTGCGGACATGTTCTTGAGGGTGTATGCGGCGACGTCTGTGGGCGCGGAGGTGTGGCCGTAGCCGAGGAGGTCGGGGACCAGGACGCCATAGCCACTATTGGAGAAATGTGTTATTTGGTGAATGAAGTCGGGGGCGTGGGAGGGGAAGCCGTGGAGAAAGAGGAGGGTGTGGGGTTTTGTTGTTGCGGGGATGGAGATGTAGGAGTAGGTGTGGGAGGTTGAGGGGATGGTGTATGTTTTGCGGGGAGGGAGGGATTCGAGCATTTTGCTTGATGGGGGATTGAGGGCTGGGGATTTGTGAGGAGTGTGTGAGAGGAAGTGTTGATAATGATTATGTTGAGGTCGAAGTGCTGATTTAAGCATTGGGTGTTTACGTCTTGGTTCTTTTTATATATATCAGCGGAGACTTTCTACAGCCACGTGGGAAGTGGGGCAGTCTACGAGTAGTCAGAGTGCGAAGCATAGAGACACTAAGACTGTCTCTATACATAGCTACTATGAATCCTAGTATAATACATGGTAGGAAGATAAGTATATTATAAGACTCTAAATGTTCCAAATGAGTGTGCAAAACTTTCGTTGAAGTTTACGAGAAGCTTTAACTTACATACATTTTTATATTTCCAATTACTGCTAATAGACTTCCTAAAGGAGACATATGAGATGAAAGATGTCTCCGAGCTGAGTTCAGACAAAGTGTTTGTAGAAGCAAACGCATACACCTGATACACCAACCCGAATGACGTCATATCCCCCCTCTAGCGTAAATGAAGGTACTTGCAGGTGTTGAATAACCGTGGGGGAAAGAGAGAAGGCTTAAATGGTAAGGAAGGGACTATGAGGAAACATGTATACCTGCCGTAAGTATGAGTATCATGTCGATTACACGACCTACACTAAGGAAAAGATCAGATGCCCATCGTTAGGCAATATCCTGATGGACAATGGAGAAAAGTTACCATTGCATCTGATCTGGCCTTTCACGTTCGCCTTGTATAGCACAACTGGAAAACATTCTAAACTGGAAGTCGTCTGCGGCTATTCTCTGGCTTGGGGGAAAGGTGGAGATGTATAGCCGTTGTTGGTATGTCACGAAATTGTGGCAATTGGTGCCTTGCGACAAGAGAGTTTTGTTGCGCCACCTTAGGCAATGATCACAATGGGGATTTAGCGTATGTTAGGTTCGGGACAATTAGTGTAAATAGTCTCAGGACAAGTGTGTGTTTTACGTCCGGGCCATGGTTCGTTGAGACACGGCACACTTGACATCCGAGGACCACAGGAATTGTATAATGCCTAGAACGGACTAGCGCGAGAAACAACAGATCGGACTTTTGTGGTATGCTCATGATTGTGCTCGACCTTGGAGTGTCTTGTGATCTATGGGCGATTTTTAACCTCATAGTAATGCCCGCATGTCGTGGTATGAAACGACTGTGTTACTTGCCAAGTCGAACCGAAGCATCGAGTTGCCACGACTTGAGTAGATTGACACATTGCGAAAAACTAGAGGCCGAGAAAAGCCACGTCGCAAACATCGCTCTCCAAGAGCTTGTTAGGAGTTGGCTTGATCTGCAGAGCGAATGACGTCATTTGAAGGGAGAGACCAGCTGTTGAGAATCGCGACGCGCGATAGCAGGGCAGCGGACAGCACTGCCAACATGCAGCAAGTAACTTGTGGACGATTTTGACAGGACTTCGATCGCTGGATCAATGATGCGTTTGACGGACGTATGTATGGACTCTCTGGAGCGCCACAGCTCGATCTTGCTCAATGGTCTGTGTGTAAAGACGACGGCGCGGGCGCTTCCCCAGATTGAACGCGTCTTGTGAGATGAAGTGGCTATTGTTTGGACATGGCTCATTTGACGCAAGCTCCATTCAGCTAGCGACTTGCTGAGAGGCTCACGGACAAGCAGCTTGAAAGTTGGAATGCGACACTCTGATGCTATATGCTTTGTGACGAACTTTTACTCTGGCCTGGACGCGGACAAACGAGGAGGAGTAAGTATCCCATCACCAGGAATACCCAAGAGTCAGAACCGGCTGCAGGATCGAGAAGATCGAAAGGATCGACGCTGTGGCTGGAGCTGCCGTCGCACAGATTGACGACAGATGACGAAAAGCAGGGAAAAGCTGGCCAGGATCGCGATACCTCCACCTTTGCTGAGCTTGTCCCTGGCTGTCTGCTGTCTTCCCCCTAAGTTTCTCCGCTAATTAGCTACCCATGTCCCTGTTCTAGCCCTCAATCAGGGGGCGTCCCACCCAAATTGGCCAGCTAGGCAGCCAAATTCCTCTTTCGTAGGCGCAAACTGCTCGTCCATGGCCCCCTGGGGATCACTTACCTACATTATTAGATAGACCTGCTGCAAGCCTGAAGGCTACAGTTGATAACGTGCCGCTACTGCGAACAACAGCAATAATAACAAAACATTGGATGTTGTGAAATATGACTGGTTCCTGGTATCCTATTAGTGCTGGCGTGCTTCTAGACATCCATCCCGTCCAGACTGATTATTTATCATTTATTAGTTTTACTAGTAGTGCGCGTGAGGAGTGCGAGTGAGGGAATGAGATGAGTTGAGTGCTGGGGGCTGCCCTGGTGCTGGTGCTGCTGCAGCTGGTGGAGCTCCAACGCGGGAAGGAGCTTGGGCCAGGATTGGTGACGTATTCTTGACCAAAACGCGCCTTCTTCAACCTGTACTTGCACTTGCACACGCCTGGCACAGGTTTTGCGTTGCTTGGTAGACCGCACACCGTAGCTACGCTAACTCAAAACCCAATCGCTCTTCCCCTTCTTCAACGCCATCTCAAAATCTCTTCCTCTCCCATCTTGAGTGAAAGCTTTTGTTTCCTCAATATCGCAATTGCATTTTCTTGATACCCCAATCCTCAGCGACTTCCTTTGAGATACCCAAGATACCTTAATCATTCCTTCCACCTCCCCATCTGCCACCCATCTCACGCAATTATGGCCTCTTCCAGCGCTGTGAACAGACCCACCGACGTCAAGCAAAAGGAGACTGATGTCAACAACAAGCTTCAGCTCTACGGCATCTACTCAGGTCTGTATCCTTGTCATTGATACTCCAGGCGATCAGCATCTAATCTCGTATCCGTCAGCTTTCGCAAACGGCAAAGCTCCCTCAAACAAACAGATCGACATCGCCCTCAACAGCTTCCTTGCTTCTAAGCCCATCTCCGCTCCATCCAAGAAGCTTTCTCCAGAGGGCCAAAAGCTCGTCGAAGACTTCAGAGACGTCGTCACCAAGGCGAAGCTTTTGCTCTTGACAAAGAACAGCGGAAATGTCCTCCAAGACTTCATCTGGCAAACACAGCAGCTGGGCGAGGTTGATGTCAAGGCCCCAGGCGCTCCAGTCGACAAGGACACTGCCAAGCAGCATGGCAATGAGGCCCTCGATGGGCTGAGAACACTCGGAACGCTTCTGATCAGTAACGGTCAATTCCGCAAGCTATGTAAGTGTGTCAAATAACTTTTCGCGTGTATTACTAACTAGGTCAGTGAGTGATGCTTCAATTCTGCTCCGCGACATCGCTGGTGACGCTGCTCAGAACGCTGCGAACGTAGTAAATCCCGACGAGGATGCGTTGAACCAGATCGATAAGCCAGCTGATGACAATGTTTGGCATGACACGCCGGATCTATCCGCCGCCAAACTCAAGGAGCAGGCAAAGAACATCTCCCCGTTCAAGAAGTCGGATCTCGACAAAGCCGCCGCTGATGCCTCTGAGGCTGCTACTGGTACGCGTGATCCTAATGCTGCCGGCGATATTGCAGCGAAGGAAGCTCAATCTGGACAAGACCAAGGTGTTGACGCTCAAGGCGGCCTTGCCGCTGGTGCATCTACTCTCAAGAATGCTGCATCCGAGAACATTGACGATAAGCAGAAAGATAAGGTCAACGCGAAGGCCAAGGAGCTTCGTGAGAAGACTGATAAATACCTCAAGAGCAAGATGCCCAAAGAACGTCGCGAGCAAACCATCTGGCGTCTCAAGAAGATGGTCATTGAAGTCCAAGGTCACCAAGATTGTATGTATTCGCTCCCTCAATCGCACCACGCATCCCAACGCTAACACTACCGTCAGACCTCCAAGCAATCGAGACTCTCCTTCGCCTCGCCGAAGAGTACACTGGCCACGGAAGAACTCTCGCCGAGCACGGCCAAGGACAAGTGAAAGGTGCCCACGGAGCTGGTTCTTTGAAAACTGCTGAAGCTGACTTGAAGGTATATTAGGTGTTAAATCACAAATCCAACCAATGCTGACAAACCTGAAGACTCTGATCGAACGATTTGCCAACAGCACGTCGCTCGATGACCTTTTCGAGTCTATCAACGCCATCTACAAGGATGCTGATCAGGATCCGGAGCTCAAGCAATGGTTCAAGGATGTTGACACTTACATTCGCAAGTGCCTCAAGCAGCAGGGCTTCATCATGGAGGATGAGTCCACTCGTCAGTACAACGAGCTGTATGACCGTGGCCGCTACCTCCTTCGCGAGAAATACCGTACCCACACCGACCGCGTCCTCAACGAGACAAAGTCGTATGCCAACCAGTTTGATGCGGACCCGCAGAACAAGGAATTCGGCTTGAGCCTCCAGAAACTGTTCCAGGACCTCGGAAACGATGAGAATGGAAAGCCGACGTTTAAGCCTCATCTCGTCAAGGATCTCACAGAGGTCATCTTACCTGCCGTATTCGAATCTGTCCGATACGTCCCAATCCCTCGTATCGAGTACTCGGATAACCAGGTCGATGCCATTATCGAGAACCTGGTCATCGAATCTGACAATCTTATGCCCAACATCGCCGAGTTTGGAAGCGACAACTACTGGCGCTGGGGCCGCAAGCAAGTGGCATCCAAGAATAAGAACAAGGTGATGCTGTCTGTGTCTGGAATTCAGATGGACCTCAAGGATGTCAGCTACTACGTCAAGCGCAAGCAGGGTACCCCTAAGATCACTGACAAGGGTGTCGTTGACCTCTTCCTCGGTGGCTCTGGTCTGTCGTTCAAGATCGAGATGGAGACTGCGGACAAGGACAAGAAGGACAACGCGCATTTCTTCAAGGTTAACAAGGTCTCTGTTGACATCAAGAACATGAAGATCAAGATCAAGAAGTCTAGCCACAAGCTCCTCTTCACTCTCTTCAAGTCTCTCGCCCTCAAGACTCTGCGTCCTGCTATCGAGAAGGCTATTGAGAAGCAGATCAAGGATCAGGTCAACGCGCTCGACTCCAAGTGGTATGCCATCCACAAAGAAGCAGAGAAGGCCAAAGAGGACGCTAAGCGTGACCCATCGCCCGAGAACGTCCAGAACATCTACCAACGATACTACGCTGCCATGAACAAGAAGGTTCTCGAGGGCAAGAAGAAGGCCGACAAGGCGAAGGAGGCTCAAGTCAATGTTGCCGTTACACAGCATGACAGCATCTTCAAGGACATTACCCTCCCTGGCGGCATCAGTTCCAAGGCTACCGACTACAAGAACCTTGCCGCAAAGGGCGAGAAATGGGAATCTCCTGTCTTCAGCATCGGCAATGCTGCTGAGACCCCGAATGTTCCCTCATTGAAGCCCATCACCCGAGCTCATGCTAATGGTTCATCTGCTATCCCGACCACCACCACTGGCGCAGTTCCTGCCAACGGTTTCAGTGCTCAGGTTGATGATGCCTTCAAGTCAGCTCCTGGAGTTGTTAACGGCTCTGCCAACACTGCTCCTGTCGTCTGAGTCGACCGTAGCAATGATGCATGGCGCACGATTCCAATCATGGAGTGTCGATGACAAAACCGAACGGTAGCGAACATACGTCGCCATCCAAGCTCGTTTCATTTGTTAATCCTTGACTGTCTGCTACAATCTTCTTCAAAATGATACCATGTTCGCTTTGTGCGTTGGCACCATGAGGAGGACCAGGCCTATCGGCTGGTCGAACGGTTCTAGGGGTCGGTATATATGTGCTTTCTGTAATCAGGACCAGTGAAAAATGAGGAATGGTTTCGAGCTTCTGTGTATATATACGCAGGGTACGGTGGAGGGGTAATATTAATGAAACTCGTGCTATGCTCGTCGTACTTGATTCAAACCAGACTGTCTATGTGCCGTATACTTACATGGGTGCAGTTTTCGGGCGGTTTTCTTCACCCCTGCCTGCGTTCCTGAGGGCTGATCACGGCGGTATTGATGTTCTAAGCTATTCGTGGACTAGTGCCTCCATGGCAGGGTCCCCGGAGCCGTACCAAGCGCAGACAAATATTATGCCGTGCGCCGTCATTCCATTTCTGCCTAGAAAGAGGGTCCTACGATCGGACGTCAATTCGCATTCCCTTGACAAAAATTTGATCGCACTCCTTACTTGGTATCTACCTGGCTGGTAGTACCCCTGCGCTCGCTATCATATCCTTCGCATATTCTTAATACATCTATCAAGACCCTCTCCATCAGTTTAACTGGACCCCGCGCTTCCTCTCCACCGCGCAAAGCAGTTCAGAGACCTGCGCCCATCCTCACCATGTTTGCCAACTTCAAGGCCGCCAAGGTACAAAAGCGCACTGTTGTTGTGTCTAAAAATGGGGAGATGTCTTCCCCAAAGACGCCCTCCCATAGCGGGATCGACGCCAATAATCTGAAACGCGCCCACAGTACTCCCAACTTGAAGCCGTCCAGCCTTGTCAACAGAGGCCCGCGACCGTCACCAAAACCGTCTTCGCAGAGCATTTCGAGACATTCTACGCCACCTAGGAAGAAGGCACCGGCCAAGAGGAAGATTGTCTCCGAGATTCAGAGAGTGGAAAGCAGTGATGAGAGCAGCAACGAGGAAGAGGCGGCAACCAGAAAAAGGACAAAACTGAGCACTGATCTTACTCCCGATCCTGCAAGAAAAACATGGGTCACAGAGGAAGATTTGCGCAGGAAGACTTCTAAGATAATCCATGGCACTGACTTGGTAGATATGGTGGACAAGAGAATACCTATGTTTCCGGCAGAGGACAAGCCTGCGACGCTCTCTCTGAAATATCCCAGCAACTCTGACTCAGAGAGGTATGGATGGGGAAGCTTTATGGCATATAAGCGTCAGACTGACACACTCTTAGATTTCTGCTCATGAAGGGTCGTGAAAGTGAAAGTTTCGATCCCGTGGAGGATATCGTTCAGACCATTTACCAAGTCTGCAAACATTACTTCCCACCTGCCCAGACCGAAGAACTCACAGACGACATCAGCGGTATACCGCGCCGTTTGCGAACGGCAGTCTACAAGAAATCCCAATCCGACTTTCTAAAAGTCGTCGAAGAATACAACACTCTGGTGTCCACTTCTCTCGCCGACGGGACCATCCCCCGGGCTCTCCAAGCCTCTCACACTGTCTCTCTTGAACTTGTCGAACGCATTCTCTCCCAATGCACATCCCGCACCGTCTCCCCACACGTAGCTCTCCTCCGCCAATACGAAAATGGCGGCAACAATGTCTACGGCGAACTGCTCCCCCGCTTCATCCACCTCATCTTCCGCGAAATGGCCCTGACCTCGTCCTCCGTCTTCGTCGACCTCGGCTCCGGCGTCGGCAACGTTGTCCTCCAGGCCGCCCTCGAAACCGGCGCGGAGAGCTGGGGTATCGAAATGATGCCCAACCCCTGCAAACTCGCCGCCTCGCAACGTGCCGAATTCTCCGCCCGCTGCGCCCTCTGGGGCATCCGGCCCGGCGCCGTCCACCTGCTCGACGGCGACTTTACAAAAAACGACCGCATCACCGCCATGCTGCCGCGCGCAGACGTCATCCTCGTCAACAACAAGGCCTTCAACCCGGAGCTCAACGAGCTGCTCATGCTGCGCTTCCTCGACCTCAAGGAGGGCGCTCGCATCTTCAGCCTCAAGAGCTTCGTGCCCGCCAACTGGGAGATCAAGGAGAATAATCTCGAGGATATCCGGAATACGCTCAAAGTGGAGCGCCGTGAGTATTTCAGCGGGAGTGTCAGTTGGACGGATGCTGCCGGGGAGTATTTTGTTGCTACAAAGACGTTTGAGTTGCTGCGTGAGTTTCAGGCGAGGAAGGTGCGGAGGGCAAAGAGGTAGGCTATAAGGGTAGATGGATCTTATTTCGCTTTCCTTGTGCGTTTTGTTGCGTTGAGAATATCGATGTTGACAGGTAGGTGTGATCTGGCTTGGCGCGAGGAGAAAATATTTGGCATTATGCATTGTGTTCTTGGGCGGGCTACTTGGTTGTACTATATACCCATGGATGGATCGATGAAAGGACAAATGGAGCGAGGGGCATTTTTTTCAATTGGCATATCACATCGATTGTAGGATGATGCAATGCAATTCGTGCATTGGGTAACGAGGGGGAAAAAGTCCGGGCATGCATGCATTCTTTAGCTTTGGGATGATGTATTATGTACCTACTATCCATGATTGCGGCATGATTACGGCGATGGAGGAGGACGGTATCGGCATTACGAACGATAGAACACGTCTCTTCGAGCAGACTGGATGGATGGATGGACGGATGGATAGAATCTGGTTTCTTGACAGGTGCCGCGAGGAAAAAACATGTAGAACGGCAGATTTGTATGTGCTTGAGTGTTCTCATGTTTGTGTGTGATTCTAAGGATTCTAAGCATTCTAAGGCTATGGATGCATGCTGGGTACCTAATATGTTGAAGAAAATGCACACCCACCCTACCCTCTAGGTGCCTAAGTCTCCCAAGTCCGATCAAACCCATCCGCTGTCCTGTCCCTGACCTGCAGAAGAAATCCGAGCACCGCACCTTCCAAATGCCGACCTAACTAACTACCCACGTCCGAGTCAAGCCTATATGCAAACTTTGCTAGAAACCTCAACCTCAACCTCAACCTCAACCTCGTTTCCACAAGACCACCCCTACCTACTTCCCACCCATCACCTTCTGAAACTCCGGATCCTCGCTATGCTTCTTATAATAAACAAACATATTCCCCTCCGGCAACAGCTCCTTGGGGATATTCTCCAGCACACAAGCCTTCAACCGCTCAATCCCCGCCTCATTCTCACCGTCCCTATTCCAGACCGCAATCTTGACCAGGCGGCCACGCGGACTATACGAGATGCCACAAATCTCGTCATTGAACGAGGCACGCTGCGTAGCAACGGCGTTTTGCAGAATCTCGCCGCCGGCCATGACGGCGAGCTGTTTCCAGAACTCTGGGGCGTGCGCGGCCTTGACGCGGAAGGTCCAGCTGCCGCCGCGGGTGTTGCGGGCGTCCTCCCACTCGGGCCGGACGCCGTGGTGGAAGAGGGCGATGGTGTCCTTGTCGAGCAGCTTTGCGAGGTCGAAGTTGTTGAAGACCTCCCACATGTCCTTGATGTTGCGGATGCCTTCCTCGTTGGAGAGCTTGGTGAGGGCGATTGCGGAGGCGGCGGGCCGGCCGTGCCAGAAGTCCCAGACGTGGATGAACTGCGGGACGCGCAGCTTTTGGAGCACGTCGTTGCGCATTTCGCGGCCACGTGCTGGTGAGGCGGTGGCGGAGGCGGCTTCTTCGGAGAGGGCGGGCAGGTTGGCGGTTTGGAGGCCGGGGATACCGGGGCGGGTGGTCATGGTGAAGTTTTTGGAGAAGGAGCTGCGGATGGGCGTTTTGAGGGATAGCAGCTGACTGTAGCGGGTGCTGTAAACGCCGACCCCGTGGACGAAGATTTCGTTGGTGGAGAGACGGCTGTAGTTGGAGTCAAGGGGTTGCACAGCGTATTTGCTATGGCAGTAGAATGCGAGATCTTCTTGAGGCAGAATTTGTGCGCCTTTGAAGAATATTGATTGTGTGCGTTGGGTGATGGGAAGCGTGAGTCGGGAAGTTAGGCGCACACTGAGACGAGCTCGGCTGTTAGCCTGATCGCAGTCCTTGTGAAGAACAGCCTGCGGTGCTGAGTACTGTGACTGCATGGTGAGTGAGCGAAGTTTTTGGAGGTTTCAACGTAAGCAGAAAGTCTGGTTTTACAAATTTGGAGAAAAGTTGAAGCTCAATCGTGGGAAAGAAAACGACGCAGGAGATTTGCCCTTTTAACGAACTCGAGCAAGTCTAGGTGAATACCAGAGTAGATAGCGAGAAATCAAGAAAGAGAGAGGTTGGGAACAGTCTCGTGTGCCTTAACGGGAGTCATGGTGGAAGTGAATGAGCATCTCCTCCTCCTCTTCAAAGACCTCGGCGACCTAGCCTTCTCTAACACAGGCCAGTCGACAGTGGCAATAGAAAGTGAAATACTACAGTGTGATCTTGACACAATGCCATATCTCAAGATACCTCGTCTCCCTGCTTTTTGCCGACATGCGCCAAGACATGGTGTTGAGGAGTGATTTCTCGCAAGCACGCATTCTATGATCATTGTTCAAGACATTGATTTAGGAGAATGCTTTGATGAACTTTGCAACAAGCAGAACAATGATGAAATTGCCTACTTACGTGTGCTATCCAAATAGAATCGGGCGATTTGGCAAGTAATTCACTTCACGACTAGCGTCGTGAGGCCCTGAATATGGATCTGGCGGGGCGTTCAGGGTCGACGTTGCTAGGGTCCAACAAGAACGCGGAGGATTGATTCGGAGAAAAAACGAAAGGTAAAGGAAAGATGGAGATGATGACTAGACAAGTAAGAAGATATAGAGAGTTGAAAGAAGGCTGAGCAAAGGAAAAAAGGCCACCAATACTCTGGTTGGATGCGCCTCAGCTATTTTGTTGTTGTACCTGCAGCGCGCAACCGCCGGGCAGAGTCAGATGCGTAGAAGGATGAGTGCAAAGTGGATCAAGGGCTTGTTTCGGCCACGTTTCAGAGCGTCTCATTCGTCAGCTGCAGTCTAAACCCTTTACCGCCTCGGGCAGAACTTTTACTCTCGAAACTACCACCAATAATTTCTGGACCCCGCGAAATTCCGGCGCATGAAACAGACTCCTGCTCACAACGAAACCTCACTTACACTGGGGATAACAATGCCTGTTCGTAAGCGAAGCTATGACGAAGTCTTCACTTCTGGGGCAGATTCTGCGAAGCGCCCTGCTAGCCGCGGACTGAGCTCGCCGTCTCGGCTTCCTTCAGAGTCGAGCAGTATATCGACCAGATTCGGATCTGGCCACTCAACACCTCAGCCAACACTTAGCGAAGTGACGCATACTTCCACTGTCGACACAGAGCTCACGCTCTCGGGCAACGAGAGTAGCGAAGTCTCCGACTCCTCCGACGATCCCAGTTCCGACTCCGAGAGCAGCGAGAGCGACGATGAAATGAGCGATGGCGAGAGCATTGCGGAGGATGATGATATCGTAACGGTGGTGCCTCTGGGCCAGCGCAAAACGAAACCTCCCTTCCGTCTCGATGAGGATGAACGCAACAATGGAAAATCCCTGCGCGAACGCACTCGAGATTTCTTACAACAGATGAAGGCTGCGAATGAGGCCTTGGAGCATGACAGGCTAGAAGGGAAATTATCAGAATACCAGTTCGAGGTCACGGATGACGCACAAGAAGGTCAATACATCGAGATGAACCTAGGACTTGGGGTGCTCGAACAGCAGGACGACGGGGAGAATACGATGAGCGACAGTGAGAGTTGTGCAGGTCAAGATACGGCAATGACGGACGCGGAGGCAGATGTGATAGGGAAGCTGTTAGGGCGGAGTAAGACAGAAGGCGCAGGAATTCAGGAACTCGAGGCGTGATGCACTTTCTCTCTTCACAGCCACTTTTACTTTGATACCCGCTTTGGCAAGCATATCTATTGTCGCTACTATATGTAAAGATGTTGCCAGTAGCTGCAATGGCTCGAAGTCATGCTCCGTACATACGCCTCAAATGCAGAATTGTTTGCTACTACAACAGCATGCCAACTATTTGCCGATTGTCAAATACAAACGATCACCGATATCGCCTAATCCGGGCTTGATCATGCCACGCTCATCAAGCTCTTTGTCACAGCCTCCAACCCAGATGCTGACATCAGGATGGCGCGCAACCTTCTTCAGTCCCTCCTCACTTGCAATCACGCCGATGAAGATGACTCTCTTGACACCCCACTCTTTCAGCGTATCTATCGCTGCTTCGGCTGTCTGGCCAGTAGCGACGACCGGGTCAACAATGATAGCAAGCTCAGCAGGACCAGAGGCGGAACCGGGTGTGATCAAGGCTGACGGCGGAGCATGATAAGGCAGATTATTGTAGTACTCCACAGGCTGGAGCGTAGTCTTCTCACGGTACATACCCAAGTGATGGATCGGTACAGGCTCAGGGAGCAAGGAGCTTATCGCGGGCACCATGGACAGACCGGAGCGCAGAATCGGGACGATTGTGAGGGAGGCCGGGGAGAGCGATTGCGTTGCGAACTCGTAGCCGAGTGGAGATTGGTCCTAGATTACACACCATCATTATCAACCTTGTCTCTCGCCAGGCAGCGTGATATGGAGACGCACAGTTCCATCATCTCTCACTTGTAAGCCTTCAGCCAGAGCTTCAGTGCCAACGAGCAGCGCGATCTCGTTGACCAGAGAGGGCACGTCCCTTGGGCTAGTGCCCTTGCTTCGGAGCTTGGATAGTTTCACCCGAACACACGGATGGCTGGAGACATGGACGTTAGAGGGGAGAGAGGAGGCCATGATGGATTGAAGTTCTGTGGAGAGTGTAGTGGGAGCTTTGGACGACTAGAATAAGACGTGCGGCTCCGATGCAGTGCAGGTCAGCAAACATTCTGAGTCGTCGTCGTATCAATAGCGGGACCAGCACGCGAGGAATCACGAACCCTGACGCCGATCATTTGGTGATACTAGTCTTCTCCGCGTCATGCCAAGTCCCCAGCCATCAATTGCCCAGCTCCCTGCATCGTATCTACTTTTTCTCCGCATTTCGTCTCCTGAGTTCTTTTGTCTGCGCTCCTGTTCGTTTATATCCTGTTTTCCGTCCATTCGTCCGCGTGTAATCGCTTCTTACGCGATTATGAAGTGCGACGACGTACTCTCCATCTAATCTAATCACACCATGAAGAATCGTGAAAGTCCTCCACCGAGTCAGCGACATGGTCATTACGAGCAACAACGCTTTCTGCGACCAGCATCGCCGTTTGGGGCGCAGACAGCTAGTTCCCATGCCCTGTCGCCGCAGCCACAGCCACAACGGTCAGAAGCTGATAGTGAAGAATATCAAGGTCTCAATGAGATACTTGTGTCAAGCCTCGGTACTCGGTCAGAGAGCTCATGGTACAAGCATCATAGCTTGGAAGAGGAAAGGCCGAGGAGGCATGCGGATGGAGGAATTGGGAGCAATGGTGGACACGGTTTCACAAAGCGGCATCGTGTAGACGAACACAACAGTACGGTGGACGAGTACAACGAGCCAAAAGCATTCGGCAACCTGGACGAAGAGATCGATGTCAACGTCGATGGACAAATTCGCTCCCACGGTATACATGGCGGTACATACCTTGAAGACGCACGGCGTAAAGATCTCGGCTCTCAAGGCGGCCAACAATCCTTCAAAAGCGGCCGCAACACTCGACCTCCGTCACGAAACGATGAGCATAACTTGACAGCCCTTCCGCGGCCTCATACGGGTAGATCACAAAGCGTTCGATCGAACTTCGGGCCCACCACATCTAGCGACTTGAAGCCAAAGGCAGACACGCACTTGAACAAACCACCTTCTCACGGCGTCTCCCGCTTCGCAACTGAGCTCTATACCGTCTCCTATCTCATCTTCTTCTCCATCCTCGGTACTCTAGCTCGTCTCGGGACTCAATGGCTTGTCTTCTATCCCGGCGCTCCCGTTGCAACGAGTGTGCTGTGGGCCAACTTCGGTGGTAGCTTGCTCATGGGCTTTCTCGCCGAAGAGAGGCAACTGTTCGCGCACGAATGGGGCTCTCCAGCCCATGACACGGATAAGGCTTCGCACCTAAAGACCAAGAAGACTATACCACTATATATCGGCCTCGCGACTGGCTTTTGCGGCTGTTACACATCCTTCTCAGCATTCATGCGTGACGCCTTTCTCGCTCTATCTAATGACCTCCCAACACCTCTCTCGCACCCCTTTTCCGGCCCGGGCATCCCGTCTTCTACAAACACAACTCCGCGCCACAACGTGAACTCCCTCGCCGCCGTTCTCGCTGTGCTCATCCTCACCATCTCCCTCTGTCTATCTGCTCTATCTCTTGGCGCTCATATTGCCAGTCTAACTGCCCGCTTCACGCCTACCGTCCCCCACGTCGTCCTTCGCCGCATCCTCGACCCTCTCGCTGTCATTCTTGGCTGGGGCTCCTGGATCGGCGCAATAATCCTCTGCGCATACCCACCCGCCGACCACTGGCGCGGCGAGGCACTCTTCGCGTGTGTCTTTGCACCCCTCGGCTGTCTCCTTCGGTTCGGCCTGTCGCTCTGGCTCAATCCCATCTCACCCTCGTTCCCCCTCGGCACGTTCGCGTCCAACATACTGGGCACGGCTGTTCTAGGCATGGCGTGGGATCTGCAGCATCTAACCAGCCTGGTCGGCGGTGGTGTCGTCGGGTGCCAGGTCTTGCAGGGCGTCATGGACGGGTTCGATGGGAGCTTGACGACTGTCAGTACGTGGGTGGTGGAGTTGAAGGCGTTGAGGAAGAGACATGCGTATGTGTACGGGGCTGTGAGTGTGGGGCTGGGCTTGGGCGTGCTTGTGGGTGTTATGGGGGGTGTGAGGTGGGGTGTTGGGTGGGAGGGTGTGGTGTGTGTCACTGGGAGGAATTTCTGAGTCTGAGTGGGTTTAGTTGTTCGGAGTTGGGAGGGGTGGTGTTGTGGGTTGTGTTGATAGGTGGTATATGCGGCGCAGTATATAAGAATTAGGGGGGCTTGGGGGGGTTGGAGAGGATATGGCAGCGATGATGACCTTACGCGTTTATGATACGATCTTTTAAAGGATACGGATAGTTAATTTTTTGGATGATGTAGAACATGGGTGTATGATTGATGTGTAGAGAATGATTATAAAACACGATTTCTGGCTTTGTTATCCTGTGGGTCTTTGGGATTCACTTCTGTTTGGAGCTTGTGATACTAACACATAGGCTTTAAGACTGCATTTTCGTGGAATATTGATTCGAAGTCTGCTTCGAGAGTACGTGGGTTCTGCTCTGCAAGGTGGATACTGTAGGTTTCACAGCTGAGATTGTGGACTGGGATCATACTCATTTGGACGAGAGAGAGAGGGAGAGAGAGTGTGTGTGTGTGTTGTGACATGCCATGACAATATCGGAGTGTCTTTCAAACAATCTCTCGTTTCTGGTAACTGGCCGCGACTTGCCCGATGATCAAGCATCCGAGCGAGTCGATTCTACAGACTAAGCGATTCCGACTTACGTTGACCATGCAAGTATCGTATATCTGAGAAGTCTGAGAATACCCCATACACGCTTCACGTCCAACCGGCCATGGGTCGACCGGGTAGCGTGAACAAGCGAGGTTAACTTCGAATCGTGGCACGATGTAGATATTTGTTCAGCTTTAACAGGGTTTTTCGTTTGAGCTTATTTGGGAATGTCTCGACTTCGCATTCGGGGGACTTGCATTTTATATGATGAGCCGCTCGTGGTATTGTCGGTGATGTCTGGAGGTGTGTGACGGCCTCTTCCTGCTACTACTGTATATATATATGTGTGTATACAGGAATCAGGGCAGGAGTATCTACAAGAGGTTCGTGGAATATGGCAGAGTCAGTATCGTGTTACCTGTCGTGGCTAGCGCAGAGTGGATCGTGGGCGCAAGTGCGGTTGCAATACTGAAGAGCGAGGTGGATCTTATATGTTGCGTGCCCACTTCGTAATGAGGAGGTTGGGGAGACTGTAGTGTCGAGGTTGAGCTTTGAGGGATGGTTTGAGGAAAGGCGATATGCGGATATGTGATTGCTGGGCGAGATGGGAGGATTGTAGGTTTGTTTGTACGGAGATGTGTGAGAGAGTGAGGCACCTTGTGGGATGTTGCGGGTGGTGATGCTATGTAGCCTGTTTGTCTGGGATGCGCAGTCGTCAACTGCGGTCTTGGTCTAGATTGATGGTGACGAATACGCGGCTTGCATCTTCTCCAAGGCCGTAAGCCTTAAATTAGGGGATGTTATCAAAGCCCTAAACACTTTCCACGAGAGCAGCACCGAGTCCTACGTTATCACAACACCATTGGATTACCGTGTCATTTCCGGTATTTCGGCATTTGCATCGCGGTCGTTTGAGCATTACGCTTTCATCTAATCTCAACTGTCCTAGCAATTGGTGACGTGCGTTCGTTGACATGACATGCATAGTCGACGGAATCAACAGCTTTTACAAACACTGGGAAAAACCGCGGCCGCGAAAATCGAGAAACAACATCGGAATCGGACATGCAAGTCACTTTCCAGCTCAGAAGGATTGGTGGTGGTTCCACTTATGATCGACAAGATAAGAATCCGAGTAGGGCGCGGGTGTGGTTACGCGCGTACTATTTGAGACGGGACGGCGGGTTGATGGCTTGCACGTGGTTGATAGTCTATGCGATGCCATAGTCGTAGCAGTTGTTTTGTGGGTGGTTGGACGATTTGAGAGGGGTGAGAAGTGATGATATGATATTATTATACTGGAAGCTTTGTTCGAACTTCGAAGACAGTATGCTTGCTTATGTATGGATGAGTACCTAAAGCTTCAACGCAAGTTCTGCTTGACATCCTCGAGATTATAGTATGGTCATTGTCATCGTACCGAATACGCTCCTTTGGGATTTCTTTCGGACATTTCCTGAGCTCGCATAGGATCTTAGATGGACACTTTGCCTCACACATAACACTACTTTTCGTTTGCTACCATCTTGATGGTGCAGATGTCCTCAATCGAGATAGATATGCCAGAATCGGGAAAGTGACGTATACAGATCGAGCGATGTAATTAGTCTGTAGATATCAAATGGATTTTGTGATTACCTGAGTGTATCTGTAATTGCTTGAGTTGGGACTTGATAAGCCTTCCTCTATGAGCGAGTGAGGGAGGGAGTGAGGCTGGTGGCGACGGCAATTGCACGTACTGGACTTGGCAGCGATAAGATCGAGCGTGATGGCAAGGCTTGCTTTACAGAATACGACAACGATGCTGTAGAGGAAATCTTCATGTGATGTGACAGCGGGACTCTAACTCCATGCGGCAGAAAGTGGAGATCGTCCCATTGATATCTTCCGCCACGAACCGTCGGGGGCCAGATTATGTTGGTACGGATGGCGTTCTTGGCAGGGGGAAGCACCTCCTGGGAGGGAGGATGGAGAATTGATACACTCTTGTAGGCTAACTTTGGAGCTAGTGGGGTTTCCGCTATGAGACGTCCATCTACGTCAGCTTGACTTCCTTGATGAGAAGGCTTTGCGAACCGAAGCTCAATCAGACGGACGGGCCAAGAGCTTGGTAGCCTTGTCTTAGTACTTTTTGACCAAGCTGGTGAGATTTGATTGAATACCTATCGACTGATACAATCTAGGTTAAGGAGGCGATATTGTATCTGTGAATTGAGTGATGGAGCTGTGTATGGAGTCCAGATGTTGTATACATGAGTGTCAGGCTCAAAGGTAGTAGGAATACGGCTCAACAGGCTATGAGTATTCTGTTTACGAAGAGGGAGTAAGCCATACATCATCCAGGCACCGCACATCTAGCATGCTCCCCAGAACGACCTGATCCGGTTACTTGTTTACCTCTCACACTGCTCTTGCCGCTGTGCACCTAAGTCCTGATACCACGCCGCTATGTCGATCTCTATATTGCAATCACAGCCCGTCTAGCCAGGCCCCGTTAGCATTGACAGTCCCACGCTACGACAGATAGGCGAGCAATCACATAACGCATAGTGAATTCTCTTATCTTGCAGCACCAAGATATCCTTTCAGTCTACAGAGACAGAACTATTGGCCTTCAAGATCTACAAGATAACGATGCGTGTGTATGCGATTCGTCTTCTTGGTAAGGAGGACGAATATATAAAGACATGTCTGTACTTCATTACCATCGATCAGAAACTACAAGCAACATCAATCCACATCTACTCCTTTAAGTAAACCACAATATTCCAGACCGGAATCCATCAGTCCATCAACAACTATGTACAAATCAACCTTCATCACTCTCCTCGCTGCTATTGCAACCAGTGTCACCGCTGCTCCTACGCAGAATTCCCCTCGTCAATTCGACCTTTGCGCCAACCTCCTCGACTCATCGCCGCTATGCTGCGAAGCCAGCGTTGGCGGTGTTCTCAACCTGACCTGCGACCCTCGTAAGTATTCCACCCAGGAGGTCAAGACTCCACTGATGAAGATGGTAGCATCGTCCACTCCGTCGTCAATTGAGGATTTCGAGAGTATCTGCGCTGCATCGGGTACTGTGGCTTACTGCTGTGCCGCTCCCCTCCTTGGTGATGCACTAAGCTGCTCGGCTCCTACTGCTGGGTAAAGGAGAGGATGCGAAAGATTCGGGTGGGAGACGTAATAATTCAAGGATCATAGAGTGTAAAGATATGTAGCTATAAAAAGCTATTTATAGGCTTAATCTTTTGTTAAATGACTTGATTGTGAATGAGAATTATAACTTGCGTCGCGGATCTGTATAACATGTTATAGCCTTGTTCGGCATTACACAAGCAGTCACACGAACATTAGGCTCTAGTGGTCTACTCTTAACAAAGTCTCTATCTTACGAGGGAAAGAAGAAACGCAAACATAGTCCGGTCAGGTTAATCAATGGACCGTAGATCCAACACACCGTTAGTCCTTCAACTTCTGGCCAGCTGCAGGCGTCCTATGTTCCTTCAATGCTCTTCCATTGACCTTGAAGATCGCCTCGCGTGCCCCTTCCCACTTCTTCCGGCTCCCAGCCCTCCCGTCGAACAGCCGATACAGATACGGCGAGTTGATCCCATCGACAATAAGCCGATAAAGCTCCCTGTCACTCCACCAGAACCTCCACGCCTCCAAGCCCCAGCCCAACTTCTCATTCACCTCATTACCCGCCGCATCATTCAGAAATGCCTCCAACTGCTTCGCACTGACACCGACCTTCGTAATGCGCCACTTCTTGATTTGCTCTAGATTTGACTGGTAGTTTGCGTCGCACCACGCCTCCATCTCTGCTTGAGGCGGCAATGTGTAATTGCCAGCGAAGACCTGCGTGACGGCTTGGCTAATCAGATCGCCATTGTTGAATGCTGCGAATGATTGTCCGCGGTATGGACCTATGAACGCGAGCGACTGGGGATACTTAATACTAAAGATGCCTTGATACAAGCGAGGGTATAAGAGGCCGTTGGAGTGCGGTGAGGCGTCCCATTCAGGGGTAGGGAAGGCGGTAGGATCGGCTTCAGGTGCGAAGATGGAAAAATCAGATTGGTAGCCGGTTGCGAAGATTATGGCGTCGATATCCGGGATGGATGTGCCGTCGGGGAGTTCGACCGTGGATGATTTCTCGCCAGGACTACTGGGGGCTTTGATGCGAAGCGAGCCACGGATGGGGATGATCGTTCCATCGGCGAACTTCGAGATGATGTGGTCGTTGATAGATGGTGGAGAGTTGTATAGTGGAGGCGCTGGGAGAAGGTTCCATGATTTTTGATACTCGGGGTGCATTCTGATCATGCCTTTCTCCGTCATGAATGCACCCAAACCAAACATGAGACCTGGTAATTTTGCATTGAGAGTCTGCGCGATACCAGCCACTCGTCGACTGATACGGTGATCTGTTGGCTTCGGAGATCCTCTACGTATCTGTGACTATATCAGAGAGTGTAAGTTGAGGGAAGTAATGCACATACGACACGGGCGCCAGATCTATGTGACATGTATACCTGGGACGCAACACCAACAAGGTCTACAGCAACGTCGCCTCCTGTTTGAGCAAGACCAGCGACGATGACTCGCTGGCCAGCGAAGTCGGCTGGGCTTCGGCGGCATCAGTAATGTTGGGTAGGACAGAGTGAAGCACTTACTCCTTGAAGGCTTGCGAGTGCAATATCTTGCCCTTGAAATGGTCCTGACCATCGATTTTGGGAAGGAATGCTTTCGCATATGGGCCTGTGGTGACTATGACTTTATCAAACACCTCATCCTTGCGCACGCCGCTCGTGCTAATTGACTTGATCAGCCACGAGCCATCATCTAGTGTTCGCTCGACACGCTCAATTCCCCAGCCTAGTCGAAAGTGGTCGTGTAGACTGTAATGGCTGGCGTATGCCTGAATGTACTTCAGCACATCCTCCCCTGGAGGATAGTCTGCTACATCTGCATATGTTGAGCTTAGCCGAAACTAACCCTTCAGGACGTAACCATACCATCTGGAAAGGGGAAGTCTTGAAAGCAGCTCTGTTACATGTAAGTGAGTTGACTCCTTGTCATGAAGGATTTGCTGCGACTGACGCTCTGCTTCGAGATATTTGCTTTTGTATCTGTAGTCATCTGATCAACACACGATTCATCATGGTCGCACATGAATAGACATGCTCTTTAAGATAGATGTCTGGTTCGGGTTCTTCGTCCATTGCCAAAGCCCTCCGATGTACCCGTTCTTGTCAAAACCGACAGCATCGAGTCCAATCTCAACGAGGTTCTTCACAGTCGTGACTCCAGTCAATCCTGTCAGTGTCAGTTTTCCGTGATTCCTCGCCAACAAGATTCTAATCTGCTGACCAAGTCCTAGGACTGCCACTCTTGTTTTCTTCGTATCTTGAGCCATGTAGAATGTAAGTCGACGCTTCGAACAGGCCTTTAGCATTAAGATTCAGATGATGACGGGCTCACAAACGATAGGTCATAGCTGATGTACTATCGGGCCCCCAAGGAATGACGTTCCAAGTCATCGCGTGATATTTAGTTGCGAGATGGCGGACGCTGACAGAGCAGACTAGCGCAGATGGATCCTACTACGTAGAATTATGCACACTTGTGCAAGGGAGATCTCCATGTTAGGCTTGGTGGAGTGGCGGTGCAGATCGCTTCTCATTGGTCGAAAGCTACCTGAGGAACGTCAACCGGATCAAAGCCCAGCTCACGGTTACTTCCTGCTAGAAGCAATGATGGTGACACTTCGACCGAGTACGTGTGACAAACTAAGTCACACAGTCATCTCGGAGCGTCTCCAAGCAAATCAACAAATCGTCCTTCGTATAAACATCGAAGTCTTCTGTCTGACGAACAAACCAAGCTATAATGAGCATGAGCCTTGAGTACAAGTCTGACAATTGGTCGTGTGCCCTTCTTAAACGATATATAAGAGTGCTTTGGCCCAAAAATGAGGAAAATCATCACATCTGCGGCTAAAAACCCCAATGTTCGCTAACATCTGACAACTCGAAATACTCAATATGAAACTCTCATCAGCGATAGCATTGACCGCCTTAATGCTCACTCCGATATGTGCAGCACTTCCTAACATGGAAAAAGCACTTCCTGCTGTAATAGGCAAGTTCTAAGGTCTATTGTAGGCGCTAACAAGTGGATAGACACTTGAGCGAAGATGTCTCGAAAGTGGATGTGAGTAAGACGATGAACATTTCGTGGAGTTTAACTCATTGAGTTAAGCGTTGTGTCGTATCAATGGAGCCTGCTGTTCGAAGTTCTGTGATCTGGGAGAGGGGATCTGTGGTTGACTCGACGTACATGTTCGTAGAGTGGAGCTCCGGCAATGGGAGCGACTGCGAAGTTCCCTGTAATATGGTCTCATATCCTATAACATACTGCTACAGCTGATGCAGTGCCAACGCATAGTTCGGATAAACGTGACCCCCCTCCCATAAGTGATTTAGACTGTGTTGCCTGATGAATTCGACAAGCGCTCGTCTTACTTTTTTGATATCCTCCTCTAGGACAGTCATCCATTTCAGCAGTACTGCCTAAGTCAAAGCTCTATCTCCGTATCTGGCCATGCCTCAGCGTCCATTGTATTAGGATGGGATAACCAGGAGCAGGATCCACAATACTGATGTTGAGTTGAACGTCTTTGTTAGCGATACACATTTCCGCATTAGCCAATTTCGAAGGCACCTCAAGCTTGCTCAAGAGTATTTGCTTCATTTAGAACATTCGGACCCACAATACATTCTACCTCCGTCAGAAGATCCCATTAATCAACTCCTATCAGTCCTCGACGAGAGTTCTACGGACGAGCGACGAAGCCGTTCTTACTGCTGTTCCGAGAAATACTCCCCTTATATGCAAACAGCTTTACATTCTCAAGGACAGTTTATCTCCCAAGAAAGGTAGGTACACCGTATAGTTGGTAGGAGATGAGCTGGTTCTAGTCCCAATGGATGCTCCTGTAGACTGCGCTCTTGTTAGTGTTCTACTGGCTATCGCCAAAAAGCTCGACCGCTCTGTATTCCCCGTATATCGTCCAATTCATATCTATGTTCCGCCGAGGGATGACGCCGTGGTCCTGCGAACACGAACCTCTCGCCTCCTTGGTATGGTTGAAGAAGAATGGAAATCGAGAATAGCTGGTTTCCTGTTGACATACATCGATTGCGGCTATAAGACACTGTTCTGCGCTGGGCGGGACCCGGAATCAGGCCTCGCTACGCGAAAGAAATGGGCGCAGCAAATAGCGCATTCGGCTCACGAACTTCATACGCACTAGATCTTGTAAGTTGACGCGAAGCTAATAGTATTCTCGTTGACGTGCTTGAGAATGCTTAATTAATTACTTGTGGAGGTGGGTACACGAAGGGATGGGTGCATGAGGAATTGGCGAACACTGTTGGGGGCGATTTGCAGGTGCTTGAGCAGATAGCAAAAAACTTCTTTGAAGCACCAATCTGATAATCTTGCAGACGCGGATAATGTGTGTTCGGAGTACGCGGTTGCTGACGCGGTTGCTCGCAGCTGTGCTCGTGAGCAACATATCTTACGATCTTGTGTATAGGCGAGGGTACTGTAGACTAGCGGTCCATTGGAAGAATGTCCAGGTACAAAATTCGGACGTTGAACAGGTGCGTGTTGAGATTGGTCCAGGATAGATGCTTGGTGTTTCTCGACTCGGAGTCGTGGCCGCAATTTGGCTCACTCCAAATCCATGTCTTGGCACTTTCTTGGCTTCACCATGTGAGCCCTGAACACGTCCACTTTACTAGGCATATTCCACTATGCTCAGGGACAACTGAACTAGATCATCATATATAAATTTCAATATCCGCAGCCATGCCTAAGGGCATCTCCGGAAGGGCTCCACCTAAGCGTCATCCTGCAACAAAACGTCGTATTGACCGAAGCAAAACCGCCCCCAGCCCAGGCGAGGAAACAGGCTCGGCTGAAATCGACGATTCTGTGACAGCAGCAGATGTGCTTCATGGGCGCGTTAATATCAACATACCCGAAGCTTCATCATCCAGTTTACCTGCTTCGGATGAGGCAGCATCCCCGGACAATGGCGATCAGCCTATGCACGACGCACCCACACCGCCCGTGCAGAGCATTGAGTCTCCACAGGCCCACTCGCCTCAAGTAGCGCCAGAAAATTCTGGATGGACTGTAGTGAACGCTCCGAATGTGCAAGAGGCGACTACAAGCTCTAATCCAGCTGCGAGTCCGTCGACCCCGGCCAGTGTCAGACCTGCACCGCTCTCGAGGGTGTCTGCGCTCAAAGCTTACAGTGCTGCCTCGCCTGCTCGGTCAGTTTCCCCTGGAATGTCATCTGTCAGAGGTGGGAAGAAGGTTTTAAAACACCAACCCTTTTTTCAGGGCAGAAGGAGCAAGGAAGAAAGAGATGCTCGTACATCAGAGCTTCAGGCAAAGGAGCGACTGAAGAAAGCAGCACAAGAAGCAGAGGACAATGCTGCGGCAGCTGCAGCGCTGAGAAGAGCAGGATGGGGAGCAAGAGGAGGATCTGATAGGGGACGAGGAAGAGGGAGAGGAAGGGGATCCAGCTATATGGGTGATCGAGGATCATCACAACCTATAGGTGTTGCAGGTCCTTTTTCTGCTGGTGTAGCACAAGGTAAGGAGGATATTATGCATGACACAGAGCGCTTTACTAAGATGTTCAGAAACGCGCAAGTTCGTTCAACGCGCCCGCGTCGACGATCGCTCGAAGATCAAGCAAGAAGACCCTTCTAACCCTGCTCTCGCGTCGAATCAACAGTCAGTAGATGGGGGATACATCTCCTCCGATCCAGATGATGAACAGCAAGGACCGCGTTTCAATGTGGCTGCGTTTGAGAATCTCCTCTCCGATGACGATGACGACTCACCACACACCACGTCTATTTCACGTCCGAAGAAAACACCAGCTTCCAATTACATTCCCGTCCGTCTCGCCCGGCTTGAACACAAGGATCGCGTTATGGGCATCAACACGGAAGCGTCCGCTGCACCCACTGGCGTGCGCAATGGCAATACGTCAGTCAAAGGTGAACCAGGCGCCTCAAATACGTCACCTGTGCAGCGTAAAGCTAAGCTGAAGACGGCCGACGTTGAAGTCGTATCCTCAAGCCAATTCAAAGGCGTATGGAATGACTCGTCGGACGAGGCACCTCCCATCAAGCCAGACCCTGAAGCCGCGCCTCCCTCCCCAACTTTACCTACCTCTCCCACTGCAAAAGTCAAATCACCCTCGACCTCTCCAACGCGCAACCGCAAACCCGCGCGCCGGCGTTCCAGTCACCTTGGCCGCGACGCACCAAATCTCCAAACAGAAGAGGACCGGCAAGAATGGGCGCGACACAACGCCGGTCTCGCAGCTATCCGCAACGAACTCGGCAATATTGTGCTCGACCCGACCAAAACATACGACGAGAAGAAAGACCGCGTGTACCTATTTCAACTCCCGCCTATCATGCCCTCGTTACACCCGTTGTCGAAAGACAAAGGGAAGGAGAAGGGTGTTAAGTTTGACGAGAGTACTAAGCCTGGGGTCGACGAAGATGGTAGTAATGTCGAAGCTGAGCCAGAGACACACCTACATCCGACATTCGCGGCGGGCTGCGCAGGCAAGCTGCGCATACACGAGTCTGGGCGGGCCTGTCTATCCTGGGGCGGCACATCATTCGCACTAGATATGGGCATCGAAGCAGGGTTTCTCGAGGATATCGTTGTGATCCGGACGGACAAGGAAGTGGCAAAGACAGAGGACGAGGACGTGGAGATGGGCGATGGGGAGTTGGCAACGAAGATGGCGACACAGGCAAAGGAGCGTGCTGAGCGCGATGAAAGGGCAAAGGGAGGCTTTGGCGGTGACGCGACGAGCTTCGGGCAGGTCAGGGGCAAGTTTGTGCTCAGCCCAGACTGGGGTGAGATCGTGGGTTGACGACTGCGCAAGCGATGCAGTACTACAGTAGAAATTTGTTGGACGTGAAGTGCTGACGGAGAGGCACGATTGCCATAGGCCACGTCAACATGTCAAGGTCCATGATAGCATGGCCTACGTGGGTAGATGGTGCGAAGTACTGACACTAAGAGAGGAGCGTCGACTCCTCAAGAAGCTCATCCGCAGTCGGGTGGTGGATGAAGCTGCAGATGAGAAGGAGGTTGACGAGGGCATCTGAGCAGTCAAGACACAGACACACGTCAAGCAGACAGCATACCCACGCCAGATCCCACGAGCATAACGAATCCACGTGTAGAACGACACTTGATGCATATGTGTCGCATGCTTCGTAGACCAAGCTATGGTGTTTATAGTAATTAAGGTCTTGATCTATACCGGATGCCCCAGTATTGTGTTATGCCTGAGGTGTCACCGACTCTAGATCCTGCCATGGCATTTTAATGCCTCAGGCATAAGAGCTGATGCCTTAGACAGGCAGAAGCCCGTGTTACTCTACTCCATCACATCGAGTCAACACCAGCTTATCAGTGCACGGACCACTATTGCCCCTTCCATTCCCGGTGAGATAGGCACGGGTTCGGGCATAGGCTGCACTTGCAGTTTCGGACGTTGCCGCGGTGTGATTTGGGACACACTGTGGCTGTAGATGTGGCTGTAGCTGTGGCTGGAGTCCAGTTTGTTGTTGTTGCTTGAATGGAGGTGTCTGGGTGGTGTTGATTAATGTTAGAAAAAGGGTTCTAGCTAGTAAAGAAGTGAGTGCATTGTCCATTATTTGCATTATTGATATCGAAGTCCCATGGGCATAGGCGCGAGCCTGAGTCCTAAGGTGTCGACCGGAGCCAGACAAGCAGGCAGCTCTCCGGCATTAATAAGACTTATACAAATACATATATACATATAACATATGTACACCATCATCGTCTAGAAGCACTGAATGATCACATCCTAAACAGCGAATATCGACTGTGTGTTAATATGCGGTCAGTCCCCCAACCAGACAGACGCTAGAAGTCGATGTCACACGCTCTGGAACAAATGATAACTGATAAGAGATCTACATAGTACGGCTAGGGCCCACCTGGCGCCCTTCTCGGCTTCAGACTAAAATAATAACCGCGCCATGCCTCTTAACGTTCGTTATCTATGCTCAGTTTTATGTTTCTCTTCGGCCAAACATAGCACACTGCTCTTCTTCTTTTCTTCTTTTTCAGCGAGAATACTTCCTCCTATTGAACCATCTTACGCCTTCTTGCCGACACTCCACACGCTATACCTAACACTGATACTCGTCGCGTGGCCCCCCAAATCTCAGCTTCCGACTCTCCACACTGCTCTTCGGCCGAGCTATCAACCACGAGGAATAGAGGAATACATATATACTGATCCTCTCCTCTTCATCGCGATATTATCTTGCACAAGACTCCTGCTACGATCATCCATCTTTTCGGATACTCACATCGGGTTTCCGGAAGATATTGCTCTCCATATAAACCGCCGGTTTGGCTCGTACTGACTGCCACGAGCGCTCCCCGCTGCTCATCCCTATTGGCGCTCCCTCATCATCATCATCCTCCCCCACGACCTACAATCCTTCCATTCCTCACGTCCGTACCATTCAGCCACCATCTCCCAACTTCCCATCCTCCTCTTCTACTCCAGTCGCTCGCCACTTATACCAAGCTCTTGCCCCGCCGGAGTTCGGTCAAGCTGATACCGATCCCTTTGGAGCTTTCTTTGATAGCATTGAATCTAGCATCATGGAAAAGATGAAGCATTCAAAAGTTGGCCGTCTAGTTGACAAGATCGCTGTTGAGAGTGAGCCTGGATTGACGTCCCGTCAACTGATGCTACACAACCATGACTTGAAGCCAGTTGAGCCTGAGAGAAGACAGTGGGGTGCCTGGAACTTCGTTGGTTTCTGGATTGGTTCGTACCTTTTAATCAATCCACACTGGTAACAGTGCGTCTAACATGCTACAGCTGACTCCTTCAACATTAACACATGGATGATCTCCTCCTCGAATCTCGTCGATGGCATGTCCTGGTGGCAATCATGGCTCTGTGTTTGGATTGGCTATCAGATCGCTGCCGGCTTCGTCGTACTGACTGGACGTATTGGTGCCCAGTACCACATCTCTTTCCCCGTCGTCTCACGTTCCTCATTCGGCATATGGGGTGCCTTATGGCCTGTCTTCAACCGTGCGGCCATGGCATGTATCTGGTATGGTGTGCAGGCATGGATTGGAGGAAACTGTGTGCAGCTGATGATCCGCGCCATCTGGAATAACTGGCGTGAGGGCAACGGGATTGGCTCTGACAACCTCTCCGGCACCTCCACTGTCATGTTCGTCTCCTTCCTCTTCTTCTGGATAGGCTCTCTGCCCGCCATCTGGTTCCCCGTCCACAAGATTCGCCATCTCTTCACTGCGAAAGCATTCTTCGTGCCTACTGCCGGTATTGCCTTCTTCATTTGGGCTATTGTTCGTGCCCACGGCATTGGCCCAATCGTCCACCAACCCGCCACGATCTCTGGCAACACCTTAGGCTGGGCTATGGTCAAAGGCATAATGTCCTCTATTGCCAATTTCGCAACTCTCATCGTCAACGATCCTGATTTTGCCCGTTTCGCCCGCAAGCCACGGGACGCGCTCTGGTCACAACTCTTCACCATTCCAATCGGCTTCGCCATCACCTCCTTTATTGGCATCATCGTGTCGTCCTCATCCACCGTGATCTTCGGCGGTGAGGCAATTTGGAACCCACTCGATCTCCTCAAAGCCTTCCTCGATGAGCCCAACGCCGGCTCCGGCCAGCGCTTCGGGGTCTTCATCATCGCCGCTGCCTTCACTCTCGCCCAGCTGGGCACCAACATCGCCGCAAATTCCGTCTCCGCAGGCACAGACATGACCGCCCTGCTACCGCGCTACATCAACATTCGCCGCGGCGGCTACGTGTGCGCGCTCGTGGGCCTGGTAATGTGCCCATGGAATCTACTATCCAGCAGCAACAACTTCACCACTTACCTCTCCGCCTACTCCGTCTTCCTCTCCTCCATCGCCGGTGTCATCATCGCAGACTACTATCTCGTGCGTAAAGGCTACCTAGACGTGCGCGCCCTCTACTCCGCCCGCCGCTCCGGCCCTTACTACTTCACGTCTGGCGTACACTGGCGCGGCTACGTCGCGTACATTGCGGGCATCCTGCCCAACATCGTCGGCTTCGTCGGCGCAATCTACGGCGCACAGAAGAATGGCAAGACCGTGCCTGCGGGCGCAATGTACATCTACAACCTCAACTTCTTCGCTGGGTTCATTGTTGCGGCCGGAGTGTATTGGGGCTTGTGCACGGTCAGCCCGGTGCCGGCGTGTGCGGACAGCTGGATGGAGGTTGGAGATGAGGTGCGTAACTTGAGTGTTGCCGATGGCGCGGATGCGGAAAGTGAAGAATTTGATGGGAGACTCGATGTGGAGAGTGTGGCAGGCAAGGGCAAGGGTGGTGTTAAGTACTAGTGTCGAAAGTTTGTTTTGTTTTGGACAAGACGAGGGATCAGGGGACCTGTTTACGAAATTCAATGGCATCACGAAGTTCCGAATTCTGCCAAATAAGAGTGCTATGACGATGCACAGCTTCCTGTCCCTGTGTGTGGAGTTGGGCTGCGTTGATGGACCCTTAAAATATCGCTTTTAAGGGAAGAAGCAGTGTGTGACATTGCAGGTGGAGCAAATGCGCAACAAGAGACAGACTAGACTGGATTGAGCCTCAAGGATGAAGACGGGAGCTAAGCTACGCTATACTGGGTTAGATCTCTCGGTAGCTCCAAACCTTTATCGTGTTTCTATTTCATGGACACGTTTTCTTTTCGCTGCTTCGACGGAGTTTTATGATTGACAGTTATGAGTCTTTTCCTCATACTGTTATCTCATGTCCGGGTCCCCCTTAATTCACTTACGTTTCCTCGGCTTCCACATCAGTTCCATCAACACAGTACGTACATAGTATTAGTACCAGACTGCGGCATGGCAAACAATCCGAATCCATGCAAGCTCGATCTGGTCAAGAATTCTAATAGAGAATACAAACTCAATCTGCGCCTCAAAAAAGATTACCAAGACGATATAACCTTGATCCAACGGGTCAGATTGCTTATGTTAGATTGAATATATAGGGTGTATATAGACTAAGGCCTTACAGGCGAGATTCAGGCATAATAGAAACCTAAGGTTTGAACTGCAGCCTTAAGCTTTAATTTCTGTCTTAGGTTTCTCTACTTATACCTGAAACTCGCCTATAAAAAGGTCTTGGTCTATATACTCTATATATCTAATCTAGCTTGAGTAATGTAAATCCCTTAGTATAAATTATAAGCTTAGTCTGTACTTTTAGGGCGACTAATCATATAAACCTAATCTAAGCCCTCAGATTGTATCCGATTGTACATGCCGAAGTCTCAGTATTACTACTCTTCATAACCTCATAACTATACGACGCCGCCTCGGTCATATCATTTGTCATGGCACAACTGAATACGACGTGCTGGTAAGAGCTTCAAGATCATGAACCCGCCCGTTCGAGAACAGAACCTGAGAATGGACCGTGGGGATTTACAAGAGCAGAGGTGACATAAAGATTATTTTAAAAATCGTGCCAATCAGATGGGATGCTCTGGATGTGGGTGTGGAAGGTGGCAAGTGATGTATCGTATGGAGCCTACCCGAGGGGCGCAGTTCGTTTTCACTCGGCCCCGTGATTGCCTGGGAAAACTGAAAAACCATAATATGCAACATTTCGATTAAGCTATGAAGTGGGGATCGGGATACGGGAGTGCTTCCGTACCATAGCTTAGCCTTCTGTATATGTATATATTTGGGCACCTTTCTGGCTCGTTCTTGTATTCTGCATGCCCATGCATCAGAGCAAGACAAGATGGACGAATACAACGAGAAGACGGACACATCCAACAAGAAAGGGGATGAACTCAAGTATGTTTGTGATGTTAACAGCAAAGATCAACCGTCACAGAGGTGCGAGGCAGGTGTAAGCCACCCCTATTATGTACGTAGACAGCGTCGCTAATAGAGTTTGAGAAACTACATTCCTCGGTCACAGTGGACGACCTTCGCAAAGCCATTCCAGCTCATTGCTTCAAACCCCTATACCGCTACGCCTTCTACTACACTGTCCGAGACCTGGTTCTCGCCACAACTCTATGTGCTGTTGCTTTCCTCTACATCCCGCAGATTCCCAACGCTCTGCTACGCACCAGTGCTTGGCTCTTATATGGTTACGCCCAAGGCCTAGTCCTGACCGGACTCTGGGTAAGTCCAATGATTTATATATTCACCCACTCCACTCTCCTGCCCTTCGACTGACCCCTTTCCAAAGGTTCTCGGCCATGAATGTGGCCATTCAGCCTTCTCGCCCTCTGATACCCTCAATAACACTATCGGCTTCCTCCTCCATTCTGCCCTTCTCACGCCCTACTTTGCCTGGCGCTCCACCCACCGCCGTCACCACATTTACGCCAACAATCTTGCCAAAGACCACAACTATGTGCCTCCACGCAAGGCCGAATATCTCGCCCGTCTGTCCAGGTCCCTCGACTCTCTCGACCCCCTTGCCCACCTCGCTGAAGACTCCCCTCTTTCCACCCTCCTGCGAATCGTTCTCCAGCAACTCGTCGGCTGGCCCTGGTACCTCTTGACTAATATCACCGCCGCTCCTAACAGTATCTCAGGCCCGCCCTCGCAGCATTTCCTCGGCAACAGTCATTTCCTTCCATGGAGCACGCTCTTCTGCCACTCTGAAGCATACTATATCCTCGCCTCCGACATGGGCATTCTAGCGACTACATTCCTGCTCTATAAGCTCGTCCTAGCAACCTCCTGGCAAACCGTCGCCCTCATATATCTGTTCCCCTGGCTCTGGCTCAACCACTGGATCGTCGCAATCACATACCTACACCATACACACCCGCAGGTTCCGAAGTACGAAGATTCAGCATGGTCCTTTCTACACGGCGCCACGGCGACGATTGATCGCGATTTCGGATGGATCGGACGCCTTCTATTTCACAATATCATCGACTACCACGTCGTGCACCATCTATTTCCGTATGGCCCCTTTCCCACCTTTGCCCTCGCCCAATCTCCCCAACAAAGACCAAACTAACACAAGTCCCACAGCCGCATCCCCTTCTACCATACTGCCACCGCCACATCCGCCATCAAACCGCTCCTGGGCTCCACCTATCGCGAAGACCGACAAGGCGTGTTTCTGAAACAGCTCTATGTCTCGTTCACACAATGTCAGTATGTCGAGCCTGTGGATCCGTACGACGAGCTGCATAGGCAGGTGCTAGTATATCGCGCGGGACCGGCGCCCGGACCAGTGTTTGGAATGAGATCCTAGTGGATACATGGAACGCGTGGAGCTTTGGAGGAATTAGAGAGAAAGCACGGGGATATAGGAATGCGAAGTAAAGCGCATTACCTGCGTTATACATACGTTCCTTCAATAATTTAAGGTCTATATCAAGCCTGAGTAATAGATATGGTGTAAGTGATTCGCGGACATTAATAGAACTAGCTTATTATATTTTCGTACATCTGCCAAAACCTTGCAGCAGGGCCCAAAGCCGAGCTAGTGTTATCCGGATGTATCTTGGTAAAGTGGTCTCAGTTTACTAAGATCATGCCAGTGGTAATTACCGAAGACGTGACAGAAGACGTGTTACAGATAATTATATTATTAGAAGATACATCCCTAAAAGATTTCGAGGCCTATTTTTAGACCAATCACGCTTAGAACTAATGACGTTGGAACAAGCTAGGGCCAAGAATGTCTACTTCTATATTTTACTGGTTTAAAGAGATAGAAAATCCCGCGCTCGTGCTTCTTAATGGATCTAGATGGTTTAACTTATTATTATGACATAGACAGATCAAAAATCTCTCGGAATTTCAATTCTTCGCGACTTTCGTTCTACTATACCATGGTCTCTCTAGTACTATTCACACTCTTTATTTATCTCTTTCGCCTTCCGACAGCCACGGCGGGAAGATATTCTCCAACAGGCACGACGAGACAATATTTTAGGACAGGCACGACGCCACAATATTATATCGATCCCTCATGTCTCACCGCCGAGTGGACAGGTATCGAAGCGGCTGTCGAGGAGGTAATAATAATGGCACAGCGAATCTGGTCTCGTATGCAAGGCTTGAAGGATTATAAAGATCATGGGAGTGCAAGGGGTAAGAAAGATATAGATATGCCAATTATTCTGCAACAACTTTTCAAGATTGATGGCCCGGACCATAGCAACTTCACGGATGTGTTAGACACAATGCGCCGTCTAGGAGAGATGACACGTCTTAAAGAGACCCCGATGCGAGGACAATTAGCAACGCGCATCTTCTGTGACAACGATAGACGCTGGAAAAAGCTCCCTGATGAACCGAGAACCTGGCGGCGACCGATACCAAAAAAATCATGGAAAGATACGACAGAACAGTTCACCTTCATGACAGAAGATGGTATTCTTAATTCCCACTTCACCGAAAATGAACCACCGGTTTGTAGATCTAGCAACCTGCTGTGGAGACGTCCGCTCGCCGCCACTTATATTGATGATGCTAAAATGTTTAGCGCCATGACCATCTGCGATCTTTGTCAAGACATGGAGCCCAAGACGATGTACGATCTTACGGAGAATTACCCTATCGACTTCCCACTTTCGCATTGGAAGAGTCCGGATCCGGATAGTGTTTTAAGTCTTGTAATATTCTATCAGTGGATGCATACAATAGTGTCAATCAAAGGTACGTCCGATAGATATGTCCAAAGTAGAGATATCACTAATATTTATGAAAGGGCCACCGGAGGACTTTGCACCAGTCTATTCATGGCACGTGTGTACGAAATTAAAAACTGAATTTGCGCTATGGAATGTACAAAGTTATGGTAAGTATTATATGCTTATATATCTGTAATTTTGATTAAGCATTAACTTGTTATATAGCGTACCTTGCCATGCTTGTCATGTTAGGGGATTGGGGGATAAGGCTTCGTCCTTACAATCCATTTCTTACAAAATATCGTAAGGGAGATGGGCATTTGATTACAAGCCTGGATCATTATTACCAGGGGGCCCCTTGGCCACCACCACCACCCGCATATGAAGAAGGAAGGTCACTATGACGCCGATATAAATAGAATAAACCTCTATATAAAGATACCAGGCAGTATAATAGTAAAGAAGCACTCTGCATACTATATCTTAGCTTATTTTACTTATTACTAGAAAACACATCATTACCCTATAAGTATAACTGTATAAGAAAGAGTATATCTAACTATTACTACCCTAAAGTATAGCTATATATAAGTCTATACCCTTTTTTACACGCTAATGATCGAAACTAAATACTAATAGTCTTATAGTCACTTTAGAAAAGGTAGAGATCATGTAGGATAGTAATCTCGACCTGTTGGAGCTGCCAAAGAGGTTGAGACACTATTAAGGATCGAATCCCCATGTTGTGTCATTTGAAGCATATGTAATCAATTTAAGGAAACCTGGCACTGATGTCCTGTCACTCGATATTCACCCGCTCAAACAGTTGTTAGATAACTCCTGCTGGACGAGTATAGATAAGACCCATCAAGAAATGGACAAGTGGCTGTCCTTATTGGCCAGTCCATTTGAGACTCAACAGCAAGATTTATCAGGCGTGGCGAATCGGCAAGAGGTTATAGCCGGATTCACCCTGGCTTATAGTCCACAGATTCCCACTAGTCTATTCACGACTTGCTATACCGTCTTGATAATAGGGCAAGTTGGAACGGCATTTCTTGGTGTATCTGGTCTTTTCAATCTCTCCCATGTCATGTAGAAGGGACTTTTGCTCATCTAGCGACAGTCAAGGGTAGCACGGATGCACTTATCCCAGTCTAGTCGAAGATAGACCTCAATGGAATAAAATGAAGCAAGCCGGCATTTGACCACCACACTGACCAGTACAAAATAACTCGCATATCTCTTATGACATAGGCATATAACCATGGAGATCTGACTTGAAGATGGTGCTGATGTCAATATTCTCGAGATGGGAACACTCCACCTTATAGCAGTTCAGACAAAAGGTACAACCATGAGGGATCTATCAAGATGTTGATTGGGTGTGCTACTAGCTGCAGAGAGCTCTCTCAGGCGCCCCTTAAGAATGACAGGAGTCCGGGAAAATGATAAGTCTACTTTTGCAGATTGGTGAAAATTGGTTGATAACGACAACGATGGACGTCATGCTTTACCTCTGGCAGAGGATAGAAAGATGACTGACGTTCACAGGGGTCTTTTCAGAAGCACGTCAAATACCACGAGAATCGCCGCGCAAGAGACGTGCCAAACGACATCATCAGCTACAACAGATATATACCCTCGTGGCTTTGAGTACAACACCAAGCTGATTTAAAGGCTAGTAGCATCAATTTGATATGTGGCAGGGCTGGTCCGAGCCTAGACAGTTCTTTGTTATTATGTTGTGTTATAGTTGTTGAATATAAGATGGACAAGAAGGGATGCGGTTGGAGACTTGATTTTCCCAATGTTTGGTGTTTGAATATTATAATACACTAGATGTGACACTGAGCCGCTCGGTTATCCGCTGGGACTGGTATCTTCAGTCTTGTTACTATAATTCTGGCAGTTAGTGAATTTTATGCTCAACGGTAGGTTGAAAACTTGACGTTTTGATTGAGGAGATCGACCGCCATTGATTCCGCGCTTTAGTCAGGGCAAGAAAATGGACATACTACGATTTATTATACCGAGGTTATGCGACCAGGAGCTGCTGAATCTGAGTTTGAGACGATTGCACCTTCATGCATTAAGGAAAGAACCCATGGTTGCAGAGGATGGGAACGCATGCATACAGTTAGAACTTGTTTGGGCCAATAAAATCACAGCGGGCTATGGGATTAATTTCTTTTTATTCTACGATTCTCCTTGCATTACGGTATTTCGCGGTGCCCAGTTATCTTCAGCCTTTACAGGACTATCTAACGATGATTGGGTTGTGCTTAGTTGATCTTGACGAGCTCGACCTCACTGCTAACGTGTTAGATGTTCTTTCTCTTATCATCAGATCCGCAGTAGGTACTAACAAGATGAGATCAGAGTGAGGAGGAATGAGGCCAGGGAATTCCTGCGAACCATACGCATAATCAGACGAGATATCAAGTCTCGCTTTCTCGCCAACCTTCATAGTCGGAACGCCCTCGTCCCAACCTATTGCGCCACCTGTCAGCTATCGTCCCTGACCGCGATTGACTCCACTCACCCTTGATGACCCGGCTAACACCAATCGGTGTCTGGAACGGTCCACGACCCGGCTTCTGTGTGCTATCAAACTCCTTGCCCTTCTCCTCAGGCTGGCCTGGTGTGCGTAGCCAGCCGGTGTATAGCATGGTGACGGTGTCGCCCTTGTTCGGCGAAGCGCCGGAGCCCTCCTTGATGACGGTCTTTTTGACGCCCATTCTGATAGCAGTGAACGTAAATGTGCGACGGATGAGGTGCGAAGCCAGGTTGATCGAAAGGTGAAGGTGATGGGTAGTATTTCGTGGAGAAGAGTTGGTAATAAGAGCTCTGGGCAAGGAAGGCTTTTGAGTGTGGCGGGGTAACCTAAGAGCTAAGCTCAGCCCCGCGCTAATAGCCAAGGAATGGTTCATCAATGGAGGGCAAAACAAATAATGATCTTCAGGTTCAACGCCACTGTTGCATGTTCCGTCATATTGGCATCAGAGTGACTGGAGCATTTGACGGTATTATTTGGGATGCTGGGACGAATCATGATGCTGTGAGACTCCATACAAATGCCACTCAAGCTCAAGAGATATAAAAGCATATAGTGGGTGATACATTTATTTGAATGCTGGTGTCTAGGATTTGAATTGAATTTACCAAGATACGCGGCGCTGATATTGCGTCGACATGTACTTGCGCACGGTCATGCCAGATTCTGATGAGTAGCATCAATAGATTAAGGAGATCTCGAGTCGAGGCAAGAATAAGAAGAAAGAAAGAAAGAAAGATAAAGAAGAAGGAGACTAAGCTATATACACCATGCACGCAGAAGTAAGAAACCTTTAGCTCCAATCTGCGTGACGAGGAAGATAAGAAATGAAATCATGACACGGTGGGTGATATCATTGCATGTGAAAAAGGCTTCCCACTGCGAAACAAGAGAGAGGCTAGGCGAGAAACGAGCAAATGTGCCTGCAAACTTTCAGATCAATGGTCCATGACCTTCCACCCTTCTCTCACCAAACTTCTTGTGAAGAACACCGTACCAAGGATAGTTCCTGCGCCAGCAAGTCCCATCGCCGTGTACATCGCACATCTCCATCCCCATACAAAGTCCTCCATCGTACCGTCATGTGAGGAGACACTGACCTCAACAGTACCAGCAATACCGAGTGCGATAGAAATTGAGTAATTGACAACAGTATTGACTAGTGAAGCCGCTAAGCCCTGATGTTCTCTAGGCATCGCATTCGACAGGATGATTGTCGCCGCTGGAAACGACATGTCCATACCAAAGGGCATTATAATGATTGAAAGAAACGTTTGCGCCCAGTAGACCTGATGCATGGGCATCACAGCCATGATCGTGATGCCGATGAAAAACGCAAGCATGCTCATCATCATAACGAAACTGACTGGCGCGTGCGTCAACAAGAACCCTGTCAAGCCTGCAGCTAGGAGTCCACAGATGACAGCCGGAGAGAATTGAGCAGCAACAGTGAGCGGTGTCTCAGCGCGCGCGATTTCGAGAAAACGACAGGTGTAGAACACCCAAACACCAAATGCGGCCCATCCAAGACCAACAAGGCCGAGCGCGAAGGCAGACGTGCTGTTGATCACACGGATGGGTAAGAGAGGCCACTCAGCTCGCAGTTCGAAGATCAGAAAGGCTCCCAGGCAAATAAGGCCGATGATGAGGAGGAAGAATACGTGCTCTTTCGCCCAGCCGTACATAGGCGCGTTGTTGAAAGCAACGTTAACGAGAACAAGTCCGAAAACACCGAATATTGAGCCAGTTACATCGAAGCCTGGTGGATTCGGAGGCAGAGCTGCCAACTCCCGTGGGATAACAAGCAGCGTCATGAGAGAGAGTGCCAGGCAGGTGACACCAAACGACCAGAACGCCCACGGCCACCAGACGAGCTGACTGAAGAAACTGCCCGACGCTGCGCCAATGACGAATCCCGCTGGGGCCAGCGCACCAAATATGCTAAAGACGATGTTCTTCTTGATACCAGCGGGGTACGCACGTCCAAATAGCGCCAAGGCATTTGGCATTAGCAGTGCGGGCCCGATGCCTTGCATAGCTCTGCATATATCGAAGAAGATCTGCCGACCAGGATAGATACTGAAACCAGCGAAGCCGCTCCAAACACCGAACCAAGCATAGCCAAAGGCAAACACGCGCTTGTGACCAAGTATGTCCCCTAACCGACCAGATATCAGAATGAAGGTGCCGACAGTGAGACTGTATCCAGCAATGAACCAAGACATTTCTCCAGGATTGCTCGTACCAAAGTCTCCGGCAATAATGTCGATGGGAGCGAGGGCTTGTCCAAGAGCTGCTTGTGTCATCAAGTGTGATACTGCAACTACGCCAATGAAGAGGACTTCATGAGGTAAAGACATCTTGACCTCCTGGGGCTCAACAACGATTTCGTTAGGACAGTCTCGAAGCAGTGATGGCTCTTTCATGATTTCGATATACTCGCCACCAGGTGACAATCCATCTGCGTTCATATCATCTTGAGCATTATGCACCGAGTGTAGAGTATAACTTGATATCCGGCCTGGCCTGTTGATGGCAGAAACCTCGAATATCGGTGTATCAGGCGGTAGGCGTCCCACAACCGTCGAGCTTGACTGCCTCGATCTATACGACTCATGCAAAGATCTCGATCCGTGAATTGAGTTTGAGTCGTCTCTATCATCGTCAAATTCCTGGAATAGGTATGGATTGGAATCGCTATTGTTGAGGGTGGACCGGCGTTGGGATCTTCTAAGTGATTCTGTCGATTGATATGTTTCATAAGGGCGCGATGGTAACGTGGTGCTCGATGAGTATCTGCTCGCCATGCTGAAGAAAGAGCTGGAGATGATGATGATAATGATGATGATGCAGAGAAGCCGGAGAGGTACAAAGCAAGAGAGGAAGATTCAAGACGAACCGCGGAGATATCTTTGTTGGTGAGTTTGAGCGAGGCTACAATAGAAGTACGTGCAGCTTGCTGAAGCACTGATACTCACATGGGGGGTGAAGAATGTCGATGAGTGCAGAATGGGTCAGAAGTTGGTATGGGGCATAGCAAGGGATCAAGATTGAGATGTGAGGCAAAGGAGAGAATGCCGGAAGTAGGAATTGTTTGACGAGGCTGGTGTCTTTGCGTACAGCTCAAGATATTCCCGATCGTGGCCAGCGGACATGAAGAATTTTGTGGCCACGTCGCATGATAAATATGGCTTTTTACTGTTCACCATAACATCTAAACAAGAATTGGTCAGCGAGATGGAGGCGTTCACCGGTGCCCTGTTAGCCATCCATGAATCTGAGAAGTTCATCGACCATGAACATACAAAGGCCAGGAGTCATTGGTTCCAGCCAAGATGAGACAAACGAGATAATCCTCCGAGGTCAACTATACTTCTGCTGGGTCTTGATCAGTGGCTGGACAAGGGCTGCGAAATTTTATCTCCTAGCAGACTGGTTTGTGCCTGTGTGAGTGTCATCTCCTGAAGCTTGACTATTTCGATAAACTCCTTTTCGTTCATAGTCGATTGAGATTGAGACCCATACCGAAAGCCGATAAGATCTGCCACCATGAAGAAAATCTTACCGGCAGCAGTGACGTTTAGACTTGGCTTTTGCCGATGTATCCTATGATGCGTAGTAGTCTGACCCATGCAGAATGTTGGTGAGGATGACCACATTGTTGCACAGAATCGAAGCAGGTCTGCAGGCGCTATCCCGCTTTTCAACAAGTGGACGGAGTTTCAGCTAGGACATCGGCATCCCCAACGACTCCGAAAGTGATCTCCACTAGCGTTCGCGGGTCAACTAGCCTGTGGACCCTAGAAGAATTGGATGTCCAGACGATCGGAATCTTCTTTTGAATCGATAGGGGCGGCGACGCTCCATATATTTGGTCCGAGTAAAGCGCCGGACGTAACCTATGTGAACCCTTAGACCCAGAAGTTGTATCACAACATGAAAATGCGTCATGTGTAGTTGTATGAACGACAAATTGGTTGTATATAGTTGCTTCGTTTCGAATATCCCAAGTATCCCAGAAGGCTGCCCATTGAGCTTGTCAGTATGGGAGCGCTCGTTTAGTCGAAACTACGAAACCTATACTAGATATAATACTCCGAACGCCGCAGTAGTCATCGAGCAGTGAAATAGGAACCAGAGCTTTTAACACATGAGTAGGGATATGTATAGATACGGTAGCAGGAATAGCACGCACAAGCCTGAGCGCAATTTTCACGCACAGATACCGCCGAGACCTTTTCGCATCTTGCGAACAGCGCGGTAATGCAAAGGCAATAGGAAGAAGGGGGCTTCGGGTGGGAATGAAAAGCACAAACACCGTCGAGAAACGTCAAGAAAACACAGTAAATCCTTGACCTCGTTGACAAACACGGTATACATGCTGCTCGATCGTGTAAATGCGACCAATGTGATCGGGTGACATGAGAAGTCTTTCGGTCACAACAGTCGGAATGGGTTATATAAACTGGAATTTTGACTTCCAGAGATTTTTCGCTTGAAGTGTATGGGAAAGCAGATAGGAGCGTTGGATGTATACACCAGAGCATGAACCACCTATGTCGTTAACGTGGTACCCCCTTCATTTCTCTACGATGCGATGGCACGAGCGCCCTGATTGCCACCCCCTCTCCTTTTACCGCGGGAACGAGGCTCAGGTACAGTGCTCCAGCCGTCGGCATCGAGGGTTTCGGCGGTAGTTCCTTGCGCTACGGATACAGGGGACTTCGTGGCAGGCTTTCTCCACGAGTTCTGTCCGGAAGGCTTCCGAGGGGGATCGCGAACAATTTCTTTGGGCTTTACTGCTTTGTCTTCGACAATTTCTCCATTGGCATCTTCAGCGTCATTATCTGTTTCGGCATTCTCGTCATTCATGCGGCGTAAGATTTCGTAGTTCTTTCCGGCACCTGTGTCATCTTCCTTTGATTCCTCTTTGCCCTCGACAATCGAGGCTGCTTCCTTCTTTTCACTCTTTGCAACAGCATCCTTTGCACGCTTCTCCTCTCGGGCTTTTTCGTCAGCTTCCTTTTTCTCCTTGAGAGCAATCTGCTTCTTCTCTTCGATCTCTCGTTCGCGCGCTGCTGTGTCAATGGGCCGTGCAGCACCGAAAGGACTAGCCTTTGCATCAGACGCCGCAGAGGAGGGCGATGGGTCGGATTCGGAAACGGTACGCTTTTGTAATTGTAGCCTTTGTCGGACTGCTGGGATGGCTGGGGTCGCTGTGGGCGACGATGGCGTACTGACGTCAGGTGTACCAGCGGGCGAACGAGCAGTAGCATCGGGTCGCATCTTAGAGCGCCATTGATTGTCGAGTTCTGGTGCGGTGGGTTCCCTTGCACGAGGCTCAAATGCTGGCTTTTCTTGGTATTCGCGGCGTGGAGGACGAGACGTCTCCGAGCGTCCTTCACCCCAGGCGGGTGACTGTTTTCGTTCTCTGACAGTAAGGTCATTCCCTCTTGTGCGACCTCCTTCTCTCATACCACCTGGTGCGCCAGGAGCAGGGGACAGAGGACCCTTGCGTTCCCATTTATCGAGGTCACGCGATTTCCCATCTCCTTCAAAGGCAGGCGGCCCCCGTCTTGGACCACGCTCGCTACCGGCCTCTGGCTCAGCATCGTTGAATCGGTTGTAACCTCTGTCGGAGGGACGGCGTTGGTTCGGGAGGTCAGCAGGGGGGCCTTTACGAACCCAATCGATATCACGTGCATCGCTACGCTCCTTGGCTATACGAGGGTATTAGGCTATGAGGCAAGAAAAGAGGATTTAGATGAGACGTACGGGGATCAGCCACGCTGATGCGAAGCTCCCGACCATAGAAAGAAGCACCATTGATTTGGTCTCTTGCGAACTTAAGCGCGTCGACAGAACCAAACTCAACATATCCAAAGCCTTTTGATTTGCCCTCGAACCTATCGGTGACAATACGGACATTGGTGACAGTAAGTATCTTGTCACCTATTCCGTCCTTGTTTGATGCTTTGGCCTTCTCGAATTCGTCCTTGAAGAAATCTCCGATCACATCTGTTGTCAGAGTGTCTTCGAAAGACAAGTTTCCAACGTAGGCAGTATATGGTGGCCTTGAGGGAAGTGGAAGAGCATCGCGAGGCGTAGAACTGGGAGTGCCGCGGTCTTCTATGTGTCAGCTATGCGGTTGTTGGACAGAGGCGGTCAAATGTTTCGTACCGCTCAAGCCACTACGATCTCCGCCCCAACCCCCAGTTGGGCCACCAGTGCTTCGTCCGTACCCGGTGCGGGATTCTTTGAAAAGTGTTAGTTTTGGAAGGGAATTCGAGGTAGCTACGCAGCCATGGCACAGTGTGTGAGAAATCGTCCTTACCAGCTACAACTAACATTAGTATTCGACAGTTATGACAATTTATAAGACATACATGATGGCATCGGCATATCTTCCATCTCATCAGCCCATGATCCGAGTGCTAGAGGATGTTAAAATGATACCGACAGTCAAGCTTTAGCGACCAGAACGTACCTTGATCATTGAGGAATTCTCCCAGACTGAGAGTCTGAGTGTTCTTTTTCGGCGCTATATAGTGGTTATTAGCCTCTGCTCCGTTGCCTGTTGGTTTCATAGGCTTGAAACTCTGTGCGCGAAAACGGCTGCGTGGGTATTTTTTTGCGTGGGGAACTCACCCATGATGGCGAGGAGTAGTCAACGCGCTGATCTTGATATGCGCGTTGCCTAAAGGTAGTATTGAGAGGCAAGATGCTCTCAATTGCAATTTGGGAGTTGTCGAGGATTGTTGTGCGTGGAAGATAGTACGCCGAGGGCGGACAGTAGGGATTCAGGTAGAGTGTCATTGACCTCTTCATTAGTTAGATCTCGCACCGTCGGTTAATAATTTCGCCGCAGCGGGTTCGCGGGCAAGAACGAATTAAATCTGCGGAGCTAGGTAAATAACGCGCGTTAGTCATCAGAAATGAAAGACTTGCTGGGCAACTGCCAATAGTACCGTCCCCGATATGATTATGATATCGTATTCATACGCTATACCCTGCTATTTATCTCCTCTGATAACTTTGTTCCCTATTATGGTATGTATACCTCTTGCTTCTTGACCATGCCGCATGATCGGCACTAATATGAATCGTGCACCCCAGGTATCTTCCAGCGCCAAGCTAGCTATTAGACCCTTCATTGCGCGTTCGTTGCTATCCCCTTCCACGGGCTGTTTCAATAGTGTTTATCAGCCTAATCGTGTTTCTGCCTGACCGTATGCTATTAGCACGACCCAATTCATGACTGTATCCTCAGTCATAATCCATCTCATCTCCTTCTTGATCTGCGGTTGCGTCTTTCGGTCTCTTTTCGTAAACCCGTTCCACAAAGCCATCAATTACCCCCGGCCATGCCGAGTTTTCACTATCCCACCAATCGAGCTTCTCATCTTTGAGGCACTCCTCTGCAAACTTGAGTGTCTGATCCCATAGATCTTTGTTGACATCCTTTTTATGTTCGGCTTCCAAATATGCGATCCACCAGTCAAGCCATGGCGTTGTAGGGGTTGACCATCGTACAGGGGAACTTGGCGATGAAAAGAGTATTCTCCAGAACTCGGTGGCGTTTTCGAGCTGGAGAGCTTTCTTTCCGTCAGCTCTGCCCAGCGGAAATGTGTGCTTATAAACTAGAGTAAAGGTGGTATGATCTGATGGAAGTGACTTCATGATTTTCGTGATGCGAGTCTTTTGTTTAGAAACGGTGTCCGCGCTATCATAATTAGATTTGTGCTTCCGCGACCGGGATACCCCCATGACCTACCCTACTTTGCTCCATCCGTCAATGAAGCCCTCGCGAGTAATTTCTCCAATGGTGGGGCAGTTCAGAAGTTCTGATACAACAAGCATCTCTATACCGGCGAGGTCGACGGCTAGTTGTTGAAAATACGCCATAGAGCCATCAATCTTGATTGTGTCGGGGTATTCTCTCGGCTCATCTGATTGTTATATTAACCCTTGTCTACCGGTGCTTGTGCAATGCGGCATATCTTTCCATATGTTGACGTACCTCGTAGCGCATCAAACTGTGTGTTTAAGTTTGACCTCAACACGCTATTTTGGGGAGCTGTCGAGCTTGAAAGATAGCTGTGCTCAAATGTCAGCGTCCGAACTTTGCAAACGTGACGAACGGTCGTGAGCCCCGAGATATGGCGCAATGTGTCCTACGCAAATCTCAATGTATTAATGAGGGAAGAAAGATCGTACGCGTTCAGAGCACTATCAACATTCCAGCCATGAGATTTTAGTATCTACATAAAAGTGATCAGTCACACTCAGTGTATCCTCAGGGCTCATGCTAGCCAACTTCCAGAGGTTCTGGAAACGGATCTAGGCCTTGCATAGTACCTTTCTTTGACTTACTTTTGCTGCAGTTTTCTGGTCGGCCTGTGTGATTTCGACAAATTTATAAATCACCGCTTTCTCAGCGGCTTTGTATGCTGCCGGCATCTTGTCAGTCTTTCTGTTAGGCTGATGATTGAGCTCGAGGAAGTCGAGTGATGTGGGGCTCGTTGGTAACATGCCGGATAGCGCAACGTGTTTGCCTTAGGCATAAGCGGCTGTCGTGACAATATGACTAATCAATTAAGGTCGTGCTTCAATGAACGTACAGAGTTTTATACTAGCAGATGTATTGATTTTCGACCTCTTTGAAGACTGATCTCCCGTCCATAGGCTGGATACCGCGTTGGCGCGACGTTTTGCCATCGCAAAATGCAAAGAGGATAATCAAATGTTCAGACGATGACGGTTGGTGCCTGATTCTTAGGAAATAAGAAAGATAACGCTATTTATAGAATAATCTTGTAGTGAACTAAATCATGATAACATATAAAAAAGGTATGGTTGCAAATGTAAAGAAGGCACAAACATTGCGCCTGCAAGAAATAATATCACTTTCCAGCACAGGTAGACACGACAGTAAATGGCGGTCTTAGCTCTTGAAGTACGAATGGCTAATTTATCTGTCTGTCCTTCGCTACCCGCAGTATGTTGGGATTCGTTACTACCCTGATCCAGCCGTGACATCCTTTCAGTGAGTATGTGTTGCGTGAGATGACGTACGGCAATTTTCGCCACTGAAATCTATACCCGTTCGTATTTCCATCTGGACAATGTCAGATTATCCCCACCTGAGCAATATGTACAGGTCACTCATAAGTCTGGAACTCATACATACGGGTGGTAGTATCTCAACTACATAGCGATTGAGCAGCAATTAATCACCAAGTGGCATGTTTTCAACTTCCTCACTTAACGTCCGCCAATTGTCAGCCTGCAGCTCCGCGTATTTCACTCTCTCCTGACTCCAGTCTTGATGTAGTCTACTGATGTGGTACTGAGACTTTGAAAAGAACATTATCTCGTCTCTCACACACTCCTTGATGAGAATCCCACGTGCGTGCTGATCTACGATCGATTGTTTGTCCTGCAACTCGTTAGGTTGATACGTATACTGTCATTGATTGTAATGTACTTACTCGCACAATCGCTTCTTCAACCTTCTCTGCTTCGCCAGGTTTGATGAGATTGTCGGGTTTTGCTCGAATATTTGCGAGCTTGGACTCGTTTCCGTTGATTCTTTTCTCAAGCTGTGAGATGTTATCTTTCGCATATTTATCTCGTCGATCGAACATGTCTCGCATGCTGACCAAGCTATCCCTTTGTCTCTTCAGGTCTTCAAGGACGCCCTCGTCCCAAGCCCGGGCTTCATCGTGTAGTAAAGACCGACTGTTCGTCAGATACCGTGCCGTCGAGCTGATACCGCTGTTGAGTAGCGGCACGTCATTTGTGTCAGTGGCGTATGTGTCGTTGGAGGCCTCCGTCAGTAACGTTAGTGCGTTTGATATTCGCAAATAATCTGCTGCAAGACCTTCGTTACGCTTGACAAGGCGCTCTACGAGGCTACAGAGATCTATGTAAACCTCTGCAGACCGTTTTATGCCGGAACGAATCTGGTCAAACAATTCTGGAAGAGTTGGCGATAGAGAGTCTTCTAAGCCTGAGGGTAGAGATTTCCCCGTGAACTCTTCTTGTACAGATATTTGAGCTTGTTTGCGCCATACCGCAAGTTCCTTCACGGTGTTAGAGTTGGGGTTCGCGTTTCATGGAGTTGGACAGAGACATTTACCGTTGGGACTGTTAAAAACATTACGACGAGCTGCTCTTGAGATAAAACAGGGTGTCGAACTAGTGCACTTGCAAATCTAGCTAATCCTCTTCGGCGTTTTTCGATAAATGATACATTTGCAGCAAGGTGGTTACCGTTGACTTATAGGTGTTAGTCGGGCCAAGTAGGACGGATAACGTTTACTCACTCGCGACTCGTTTAGGTGGTAGCAGAGGAAGTTGTCGGAAAGGGAACCGCTTTTGGAGGCAATCCAACAACCAAACAAAATCGCTGTATCTTCTGACAACTTTGCTATTTCGCCGTGCGGATGTGACTTCGTAGTTCCTATGTTGGAAAAGGAAAATGCCCTCCTTCTCTTGAATTGCGGTGACCGTGACTACCTCTTCCGTTCCAGTGCTGGCTATTCTTGTACTACCGCCCAGGGATGCGCCAATCCCGGGCGGTCCACGGCCGTTCCCTTCACCCCCAGGATCTCCAAACCCTCCACCCAAATTATCATTGGCAAATTCAGCGCTTGTAGGAGCCACGTAGCTACTCCATCCTCCCGCTGTGCTTATTCGTGGAGCGGATGCCTGATTGTCTACGGAATCAATTTCCTGCTGATTCGAATGTGTAGTGAAGTTGCTTGTGGTACGAATCGGTGAAATACCGCTGGGAAGCCCTAGTCCATTATTATACTCACTCCTAACCGGCACTTGATGATTGTGTCCTTTGTGGAGAGCTGGGGATGCCCAAGGATCATTCTCGGGAAAACCGAAGGATTGTTTTCGCATTGTCTGGCCCCGTTCAGGTTGACGTTTAGAAATGGAGGTGGATGGCGTTTCCGGGTCTTTGGTAAGAGAGGCTTGTTCTTGTCGCTCGGATAAGGGTAGGAGGGGTTGTGGTAGATCTGGTGGAAGTGTCAAATCCCAAGGCGCAGCACGTACGCGTAGGAGTCGTGTCGCTCTTGCTCACCGTTCTTTCGCTCATCCACACCGTCTAAAGTAACATCTTCTCCCTCTTGTGCGAGTCCAATCAGAGCCAGAACGACGTAGAATTCATTCCGGTCCAATGCTACGAGATCTTGCCCTCGTGTCACGATTTCCAGGATCGTAGCCTGAGTACTGGGGTCCACTTCGCTATCAGTGAGAAAATCCCTGACGACAGTTAGTTTGATGCTGTTCTCTTTCCCATGTCCTGTAGCTGTCAAAGAATCGAACGCGCCGATGTAGCTCTCCGGAACGGCTGAATGAGGTAGCAGGCTCTTGACAATATTCCCACGCATGGTCTTCTTGGGTGAGGAAAATTCCCATGGAGAGTCATCCGAGCCAGTTAAGTCGTCGGCGAATAGACCGGAGCCTCCTTTATGTTTGGCTTTGGGCACCTCGTCAAAGAGGCCGGAGGACTTGGTACGCGAGGGCGAGTCGTCATCGCCGAACAGCGACATGATAAGACTTGAGGCGTTAAAGCCTGGATTTCAAGGGGTGAAAAACAGCCAGGAGAACCGATCGCTGAATTACCATGTAATAGGCACTAGAAGACTCCAGATACGCACCACTCCAAGATGCAAGGTTGAATGAGCTTAGATACCAATAGGGAAGCTAGAAGCTCTCTATTCGGGCATAGAAGGTCAAAGCTTGGACGGATATCGCGATGCCAAGACACACCACATACGGGCCTTTCTGCAAATGGGAAATCACGGTTCCTTTCGCACTGTTGCACCACAATCAACATCAGTCGCTGAGGGGAAATAATGCCGGTATCCAAGAACTACAATAACGCTTCAAAGTCTACCAATGCCCCCAGAGTGTACAAAGTTAGGGCAGCCTCAGACGAACAGCAACAGAAGCAGACGTGCAATCCGAGGACGTCCGCAGCAGGACTCCCTTTGGACCTTCAACAACTGGTCTTGAATATCTTCCGCAGTGCTTTTTCCGAACGCTTGAGTGCCGACATAAGTCCGCTTCTGCAAGAGATTAAACAACACCTTTACGAACGAAACTTTACTGCAGCCTTTGGTCAAATCGATTACCTCGAAGCTTATGCTGCACGCTGGAGTCCTAGCCGTGCTTTAGGCTACCTTCAGGTTCTCCACGGTCTTCAATCGCATCTGATCCCTCCTCAAAAGGAATCATGGAAGATAGCCTGTCTCGGAGGCGGCGCGGGAGCAGAAATTGTTGCTCTAGCAGGAAGCCTACGCCTGTTTTTCGGTGCAGGAACAGAAACGCCGAAGCTGGACATACAAGCAGTGGATGTTGCGAATTGGTCTTGTGTCATACAATCGATTCAAGAACCACTCACTAAACTACCACCACAAACTTCTTACATCAGTTCCTGTGACCGAAAACCTTTCATCGATCTGTCATCTTTCAACACCACGTTTCACCATATGGATCTATTGTCAGCTACATCAACAGCCTTGAGGCCAATCATAACACCCGCTAATCTGATCACCATTCTCTTCACTCTGAATGAGCTATACAGTACGTCTATGCAACTCACGCAATCCCTCCTTCTTCATATCACATCCCTCAGCGTCACCGGGACTCTGCTCTTGGTTGTCGACAGTCCCGGTAGCTACTCTACTGTCAAATTGGGCAAGGAAGGCACGGAAAGGAAGTATCCTATGCAATGGCTCCTCGAGCACATGCTACTTGAAAGTGCATCTGGCGTGGGTGGGCAGAAGAAATGGGAGCAGGTAATCAGTGAGGACAGCGTTTGGTTCAGACTAGACAAAAGATTGAAATATCCCATGGAGCTAGAGAACATGCGATATCAGATGCATCTATATCGTAGGCTCTAGAAAATCGACCTCTGCTAATTCAAAGGTTTGGGTACTATGCCCCATGACAATGCTCTATGGCATCCGAGTCCATCATTCATCCTCTATGTCCGCTGCCTTCTTCCTCTTTTCCCACTGCTCTTCTAATGCTCGCACACGGTCCTCGCCCTTCTTGTTACCTATGCTCGCCTCCCATTTTTTCCAGCTGTTGAAGACAAGTTGTCCTCTCCGACTTTTCATCCGGCTTTTGCCCATCCTCTCATACAAGGTCCGCACGTTTGCCTCTTCGCCGTGGGCTTTCTCCAATTGCACAAAGCTGTCCCATAAATCCCATTTCTTGGGATATATATTCAGCAAATCTTCAAAGATTGTGCGGCCGAGCTCTGCGTTACCGTTTGGCGATTTGAACTCTAAGCTTGCAAATTTGGCCGTGAGATCTCGATGTTGAGAGGCTGGTACTGACTGAACGGCGCGAGCGAGGAGGGCTTGCTTTCTCGCCGGGGCGTTTAACGAGGTCAGGAGAAAGTTGGCGTACGAGACCCAATATACAACGTGGACCGTGATTTCTTTGATTTTCTGCATAGACTGATACAGCATATCGGCTTTCTGAATCCTGTTAGCGTGCAATTCGACCCATAGTTACTGCTGGACTTGCTTCGAGTTTCTTCTCCTTGATATAGATGTCCACTAGTCGGTTGTGCATCTCGTATGGCCCATGAACCTGACAAGCTGCTTTAAATACCTCTTCAACGGTCTCATCACTACCAAATCTGATTTCAAGATTAAGTAATGCAGTTCTTACTTCCATCTTTGCCTCCTGGTCTTTCATATTGATTGTATCGAGCGCACGTCGGGCTATATCACGACATTTGTCGATCTCATTAAGCGCTGCCTGGAATGCCATATACTGGATCCACAAGTATGAGTCGTTCGGAGAACCGAGAAGTAGTCGTTCAAAATCAGCCACTGATTGAGGACCATACTTGTCCAAGGCATCAGTTCGATCCTCAACGATTTCAGCTCGCCGCTTCCGCCTTTTTTTGATCTGCGACGCATCGACCTCCTCGTCAACGGATTGTTCGGCGTCATCGATATCCATGTTTACGCCTGTCCAGTCAAAGCCTGAAGTAGCAAGTCCATCAGCTTCGTCTCCGGACCCTGCGTCAACATCCATTATTTCGAAACACCCGCCTGAATTCGTTTCAACATCATTTGTGACCTCCTGAGCATCGGCATCGGTAATACTTCCATTATCCTCGACTTCGTCAAGATCAATATTACCTTCATCGATGTCAGAATCAATATCTTCTGCATCTCCGTGCCTTTCAAAATAAGAAGCTTTCATGCCGAAGCTTATCTTTCGCTGTTCTGGGTCCAGCTTGAGAATTATGGCTTTCACCTTGTCGCCTTTCTCATACAGTGCTTCTAAATTGTCAATGCGTTCATCGGCAATTTGGCTTCGATGACACAGACCACTGACGTTTAGAGAATTGTCAACCAGTATTATGACACCGTACTGAAATATCACTCGAATGGTACCAGTGACAATTTGACCTTGCTCAAAGTCCTCAAAACGTGCCGGTGGCACATAATGTTCATCAAGAACGGAAGCTTTCAGGCTGAGGGGTACGGCGTTCTCTGAGTTGGCGTCAAGAACTTTCGCTCTGACAAGCTGGTCCACTTGATAGCCACCTTTCCAGTCTTTGATGTAAGAATCAGACAGATCAGACACTTTGACGAATCCATCTACGTTTGGGCCAAGATTAATAAAGATACCATTGGCAGCTACATTCTTGATGAAGCCGCGGACGACATCATTGGCTTTGAGATCAGTCTTCCGAAGTATTTGGCGATCGGTGGGCTTGATACCAGAGTCGAGCACGTTTGACGGCCGGACCGACAGAGTGATATGCTTATTAGGCTTATCAAGATGAACGACTTTGACCCTTACTGTAGACTTCGCGTCTAAATTGGTCGGACTAGCTTCATCATAATTGTCGGCCAACTCAGTACGGGGGATGATGCCATTGATACTGTCGCTAAGCTGTATCAGAACGTAGCGTTCGAAGGATCTGCGAACACGGCCAAGCAGGATGAGTCCATCGGAGAGCGCGTCCCAGCTCAGCGGTTCTTTGACGGCAACGGAGGCCAGATCCAGTTGGCCCTTTGCAACGTCTACGTTTCTGACCTTGATGCGCACCGCTGACCCGATTGGAAAGCTTTCTTCCGAACCGTTCATAGAAGATCCAGTATTGAGAGCTTCGACGATGTCCATGCGTCCGCGTACACTCGGCGACAGGTTGAGCCATGCGAAGCCATCGGCTACCTTATTAACAAAACCAGTGTATGTGTCGTCGACTTTTACTTTATCCATAGTCAAAATACTGTCTTCTGAGCCGTGGTTGTAGTTCCTTCTGGCGGTAAGCTCTAGTATAGAATTACCACTCTTGCGATGGCTCAGTGGTAGAAATCGGTAGCCTCTGACATTGTATGATCCAATGACCGTGACGTCGAGTTTCTGACCTATCTCAAAATCCCGGAGTGGTTGCTTCTTGTTACTAATGCTATCCCAATCATCATATACCTCAGAGACATCGATTCGACCAGGTGTTTCGTTTTCAGTCTTGACCAAGATTTGAGTGCTCATGACCTGTGTTATTGTGGCTTTTGTTTTGGTGCCGGCTTCAAGGGCTACGAGCATCTCAGTGGTATCTTTAGTGGACTTCGAAGGCTTCATGCTCAGGAGAAAACGCTTATTACCGAAGTCAATGTGCGAGATCCGTGCAGCTAGAGACAATCCAACTCGCAGACCGTAGTTTGGAAGACTTAGTACATCCTCGTTGAGCTGCGACTTAAACAGGGCTCCTACAACCTCGCCACCAAACTCAACAAAGATTTTAGCTGTGTCAAAGTTGCGCACAAACCCGTCCACGACCTGGCCCTCGGAAAGATCCTCGAACTTAGTGATCAATGTACCATTCTTCGCAGCCTCCACCAACGACGGCTTGTTCGTTAGATCAATTTGGGATCGCTTGTCGATTTTCTTCAGTATAAGCAATCCATCAAGCTTCTGGCCAACACGGATACGCTTGAAGGCGGATCTCTCTTTCTTTTCGGTCCCATCGGTCAGATGGCCCATGCGAATGATACCTTTGACATCTCCTGCTACTTCGACAGCTATGGAGTCGTCTGACTTTTCTAGTACAGTAGCGGTGACTAGATTACCGACTTTCAGAGCCTTAAAGGCATCTCTTTGAGCTGTGTCGATAGCGCTTGGGTCTCTACACGAGACTATCATGCGAGACTCCCTTGGATCCACAGAAAGGACACGAACATTAACAACTTGGCCAATCCTAAAATGTCTTGATGGATTGTCGATGTATGCTTCACTCATCTCTGATTTTGGGAGAAAAGCTGTGACTCGATTGTAGAATTCTACCACCGCCCCGGTAGGAAGGAGCTTGAGAACAGTACCAGGCGACTGGTCGCCAACAGAGATATTATCATAAGTTGACCATGTATCGGCATCGGAATTGACGAGAGACTTCTTGAGTGTCATTCGAAAGCGACGGTTGGTCAAATTAATGGATAGAATCCGTGCTATAACTTTTACACCTTCTCTAAATTTCTTCTCAGGGTGCTCAAGGTGAGCGTCTGCGAAATGACTTTCTGCCACTAAACCTACTATACCTTCGGCAATTTGGACGGTCAGATTCGGGGTGCCAGTTTCGTTGATGAACAGCTTTTTTACGGTTCCATGAACTACCTGCCCGATACGAACATCCTCTAGTTGAAGGAACGGCTGCTCTAAGACGCGTTGCTCCAAGGACAGTATGTGCAGACCATCCATAGGATTGAATCCTAAAACTCTTGCCCTGTGAGATGTGCCCACTGCGTAGGGACCTGATGCTCCAGAAATATTATCAATCCTGCGATCACTGATGCGCGAGATATGCGCAAAGCCTGGCATTGCCGGTACTCCAATGTCAAAAAACAGGCCAAGATTAGGGTGCACTTTAGTGACCTTCGCGGCTTCTACGAATGATGATACATCGAGTGGCTGAGGTGTTTCTGCCGATGGCCTGTCATTCTTGTCTCTTGGGGTCGTAAGATTTGTGACATGATGGAGGAATGATACCGCGACCCTTCGAACATCTGCATCAGGAAACGTCGCGGTAATCCGGCCCTTTACTTTGTTTCCGATCTTGTATCGGTTTTCGAGATCTTTGTGGGAGTTCGCGGCCCCAGAATGAATTATATCAACGGAGGCATCTAACATACCCATTATTTTGCCATTTACGCCAAAAGCCGAAATATCTGTCAGAAGGAGCTCAACAGCGGTTCCAGGGAGGAAAGTATCGACTGTCGGAGCGTCCACCAGAAAATGCGTCTTCTTGACGTTTCCGACCTTTGAGTGATCCGCGGAGAGTTTCACTATACGTCCGTCCGAACTGAGTCCAGTGATCAGGCAGAGGAGCACAGTTCCTTCTAGTACCTCCTCGTGTTTCAGATTACTCGGGAGTTCTTTGGATGACATGAAACCCCTCACTTTAGCATCGCCAAGCCCTAAGTCCATAACTAGACCATGATCCTCGTTGCTGAGGACGGAAGCCTGTACCATTCCATTAACCACTAGTCCGGACTTTCCCAGGCCTCGATTCGTCTCTCTAGGATCTACAGAGAGCTCAATGCGTTTCTTCGCTATGTTGTTGCTTGATTCACTTGCGTCTTTTGAAGTTACGCACACCCTGAGATACTGCCCGACATAGAAGAAAGAACTGAGCTCAATGTTGTCGTCGACGCCGTTGTCTTCATCTTCTTCTATTTGAAATTCCTGTTTCTCTCTCTCTTCGCCTTCGGCTTTTTCGAAAAGGTTGGCAATCTTGCTGTTGAGCTGCTCAGAAACACCAGATAGTTGTACAAAGCCACTGAGATTGTTCGGAAGCTTGACCACGACATCGCGAGACGTGATCTTAGCGACCTGTCCCAACACCAATGTGCCGGGAGCTAGGTTCTTGCAAGATGTCAGCTATGCCCTCAATTAGTGTGTAGTCTCTTACTTTGTAGCTCAGGCTATCAGTCCTCATCGCTTTCTCTGCTGTGGCCGCGATGTCCGGGCCTTCGCCGTTCCGAATGCTTTTATGTCTCCTTGGTCCCTTTCCGGTAGTCTCCGCAGCGAATTTGACTGCTTCTTCGCCATGACTGTGGTCCTCACGGCCCTTCTTGTTAACAGACTGCTCAAAAAGAACGTCCTTCGCTGCCTCATTCTGAATCTGCTTGTGTTCCAGCGGGGTTAGCACGCTGCCACCGCCACGAGGAAAACTCTTGCTCTCGCTCTTCAATACGGATTTCGCTCCGAGCGGCTTATTCTTCGAAAACTCATTAGTGGTGGTTTGACCATCTCTGGTTTGTTCAGTGGAACTGTCGGACTTGCGCACGCGTTTGGGGGCTGGCTCATTTGTATCGCGAAATTTGGCCTTGGACGTGCCAGAAGCGTCAGAGGCGCTTCTTTTAGTTGGCGCCATCTTCGATCCTATGTTGCGCAGTTCGAACTGATCTCTATGCTATGAAATTTTAAAAAGCGACGAAGCTCGGATACCGCTAAGTTTCCATTTTTAAAGTGGGGATCTCTAGCTTCCCGGCCACCTAATCACGCTACACGCGAACGCGAGAGCGCGAGCGCGTTCTCATTAATGACCGCCACTTCGCCCTTTTATGATGCCCACTCCGAGCCATTTATGCTCTCGTAAACTGAAGTCGACTTCTCCACTCGATCCGATCCGACCATTATTTACATGTGAAGTCTAGACATGGCTTACGATCGATTTGAGTATGCTTTACAATCACCACCTTCCTCCCCGCCACGGCAGGCGAGTCCTATGCTTGAGAGCAAGAAGCTCAAGAAGCCTCCGCCAATAACACCGAAAAGATTCACCCGCTTCTTCACCCCTCGAACAGCATCACTTGCGAGCTGTAAATCAACCCACAGCCGCTCCAGTAGACAGCTACGCGATATCACACGGGTTGCAGTCAACCAACAGACACCGAAACATCATAAAACTCCAAGGAAGAACGTATTTTTCTCCGAGGACGATTCTGCGATCGAATGTCATCATACACCACACCTCAGCTCCAACAGGAAGCGAAAACATCCCTTGTCGCCTCCACCAAGCTCCCCGGTCCAGCAGACACCTTCTAAAAGACTTCGCTTTGAGCGGCGTCAGCCTGAGTTTGAAATTCGAGAAGATGCAGACACGAAACAGATTATCAAACCACATGACGATTTCCAGAATCCTGTACCAATACGGAGACTTCGCGCTAGCAATACACATCGCCTTACACTCGAACGCTCTTTTGGAGATTCGAGCATAGGACGTGGCAGACTATCATACCGCACCGATTGGCAGTTGCAGACCGAAGGGTTCCATAGTCGGCCTGAAGATGTCTACGCATCGCAAAATGGTGTTCCATTCTGTTCGACAAGCTGCAACACGAACTCCTTGATTGCGGTAGGAGACGAAGATGGCAACATCTCCATCCTTGAGACGGACACTTCCAGGCCTTTCAGTCAGACACAGGTAACCTTACGTCCTCACGGCAATGCTATCATGGACCTTGCATTCTCGTCTGATGATCGGTACTTGGCTACTGCATCTGGAGATCAGACTGCACAAATAATTGATATGCAAACGCAGAAATCTAGATTTAGTCTAGAGAAGCATCGTGCTTCCGTGAAGCAGATTTGTTTCCAGCCAGGAAACGATCACTTCCTAGCTACATCTAGCAGAGATGGTACCGTTCAACTATGGGATTTGAGATGTAGTGGATCTAATGGCTCCCCAAAGGCTGTCTTTGTCCAAAACACCTCGTACAATACCATCGACGGAGCTCACACAGAACGCCCAGCTCTAGCATCGTCCTCTAGTTCTAATTTTGTCCATATGAATGTTAGGGATATCGCTGGGAAGACTGAGACACCCAGTCGACGAGGCGAAGCTTCTATCACTTCACTGCAGTTCCTAAAAAACGGACGTGAGCATCTGCTACTGACTGCATCCGACGGCTCCGCCACTATCAAATTGTGGGATATCCGATCACGTTATTCCCGGCGAGGACCTGCCACAGCCCTGGCTGTAACTAGGCAGCCAGAATCGCACAACAGACACCGAAATTTTGGCATCAATTCGTTGTGCCTTAGTGGTGACGGTGCACGATTCTATTCCCTCAGCAAAGACAACACATTGTACGCGTATTCAACAAACCATATCATTCTTGGTAATGCATTCGAATTCTCTACGACTACCTCCCGCCCTCGTCATTTGGGGAAGGAAAAGGATGGCCTGGGACCTTTGTACGGTTTTCGCCATTCGAAGTTCCATGCTACGTCGTTTTATGTGAAAGCTTCTTTGCGCCCTGCTGTGGGTGACAAGCCGGAAATGCTCGCCGTTGGGAGTAGCGACGGCTCTCCTGTGCTCTTCCCAACTGACGAGAAGTTACTTTCCGGGAGCTCTGGAGACAATAAAGAAAGGGTACAAAGCTTCTCGACTACCATTCCATCTAGCCCACTGGTACCCCAACCAATCCTTCACAGAAACATTAGTGTTTCGAATCATCATCCCCGGATGAAGGACACTATTCCAATTTACGAACAGGGCACACCACTTATCAGGGGTCATACAAAAGAAGTAACTAGCGTCGCCTGGACTCATCAAGGTGATTTGGTGTCAGTGAGCGATGACTTTACAGTCCGATGTTGGCGAGAAGATGCCGCCACAGCACGAAACCTAAGATCAGGGGGAGAAGGAGAGGGCAGGCGATGGGGATCGGGTTGGGCTGAGATGAACAGCACGTGGGAAGACGATGAGTAGTGGGGAAAACTCATCCCTGTCTCCACAATCTTGTACTTGTCTCCTATCAGCGATGGTATCTACAGGGTCATGTTCGGATTGCAAAAGAGACTCTCTCTCGGGGAATTGAACCCCGGTCTCCCGCGAATCGCGCTGTTGAACAGATAGCATTTGACAAGCGGAAATCATGACCACTAGACCAAGAAAGATGAATACGACTCGAGTCATTGAGTTTCATCAAGTATTCATGAAAATATTTTCAGAAAGGAAAATCAAGCGTCCAGTAGCTCGTGGAAGCACATGTATGCCGCAGTATTATTACACTTCAATTCATAACATGTCTGTGAACCACTCGCTTCCTGGAAATCTATCGTTGAATCATTCGAGAGTCGATATCGCCGGTCTACTAGACGCTGTCGAATTAAATTTGATTTGCGCCCGAACCAGTTTTTCCAATCGTTCGCAGCAGCAGAGGGTGTCCAAAGTCCATGGACATCTTGGAGACTTGTCCCAACCGACTTCATACTACTTTGATACAGTCCATAGCGACCTAACAATGCTCTAAGAAGCTGGGCATTCTATCAGAGGTCGTTCAATAAAGCCAGACGAAGTTATCTATCTAATGAGGGATTTTATGAGCCAATGGTCGCCGAGGCTCTTTGTAACTCGACTTTGGTATGTACCTAGCCATATAATCACAAAGTGGAGCGCTGTGCTGCACAAGAATCGCACGCTGGAATATATGATTTTTTCGTGTCACACGTGCGCGGCAGACACGGTCCGACTAGCACGCCTCAAACTAAGAGCTAGGTACTACATAGCTCCACTCTTGATTCCCGAACCCTCTCGAAGACTCATCAGACTTTGTGTTCATCTCATACCTCCAATAGCCTCACTGATAGACCGTCTCAGGCGCGGAATACCGCCCAACATGTCAACAGAAGATCTCAAACAACACGCAACCAGCACACACGACTTTTACGAACTCCTCGGCGTCTCATACGAAACCAGCGAAGCAGACATCAAACGCGCCTATCGCAAGACCAGTCTCAAATATCACCCGGACAAAAATCCCGGTAATCTTAACATCGTTGAGAAATTCCACCTTATCGGAATAGCACGCGATGTGCTTCTCAATCCTGAAGCCAAGGCTCTCCACGACAAGACACGCATCGCGCGCATACAAAAGCAGCGACAGAATGACCTGCTGGAAGGGAAGCGACGCACGATGAAGGAGGATTTGGAGAGGCGAGAGAGTGGATTCAAGCGTAAAAGAGCAGAAGAGGAGGATGAGCTTGAGCAGCAGGAGCGCGATTTGAGAAGGTTGGCAGAGGAGGGTAGACGGAAGCGCATGCAGATGGAGCATGATAGGAAGAAGCGTGATGAAGAGGATGCATCTATTATTGAGCAGCCGCCAAATACGCACACACCTCAACAAGCACAAGCACCGGAGATCGAGCGTCGCATCTTCGTCCGATTCTTAAGAGAAGGCGCAGGTCTCACATACGAAGAGAAGAGTATTACGGATATGTTCTCGCGCTTCGGGAGGATTGAACATGCATTTGTCTTGCGTGAGAAGAAAACACGGCTCGCGGGCGAGAAGCACAAGAAGCTTGTTGCGACTGCTGCCATCACATTCGGGTCAGCGTTCTCAGCCCTCAGCGCACTGGAAGACGGCAAGGCGCTCTCTGAATTGTTTGTCGATATCAGCGCTGGCAATGTAGCGAGGACGGAGCTCGGAGCCGCGCCGTCTACACCAATTGGTAGTCCGGCATTGAACAGGTCATTTCGGTCATCTATGGGGTCAGTGGGAGGTGTTGGTGCGTCACCATCATTTTCTTTCTCGCCAGCACAGGGGAGTCCATCGAACAACATGGAGGCTACAATGATGCGTCTGAAAGCAGCGCAACAGGCTGCCGAGCGGCGGAGATTGGAGGAACAGATAAGACAGGAAGATGCTGCAGAAGGGTAAAGGCATGACACGTACCCAAGTACTCACATCAAGGACATTCGCGCGGCGTTTTGGTTGCCTAATATTGGATATACCCCAGTGGCCATGAATGCCCACATAAATTTGCATTACTTGTTTCATCGGCTCCAGCGTTCCACTTACGCACTCGAGACTCGAGGTCCTCAATACCAAGGACGTCCCAACATACAGGATACTTCACCTTCACTTTTAAATTTTTGCATACTGTATAGATGTATACCACACCTCTGACGTGTGTAGTTTCGACCACAACTTGCGAAGCAGAATTGCCAGTGAGGCGTTTCAGCTCCCTACCACCCCCCGTATGAAGTTACAAAGACTGTGAGACACACAGTGCAGACTTGGCAGAAATCGAAGCAGTAATGGCCATCGGAATGGCCATCGGATACCTTACGCATTACCAGGTGTACGTGACTTACGAGCGAGAATTTGAATCCCGTAATAGCGATGGCACAGCCAACAGTGGAGACTAATGAAATCTTTGTGATTGTCGAGATAGTGGCATGTTCATACTCTGAAAGCCAAAGAATCGCCGAAGGTCTTATGAGATAGTGTTATGTTGTATACAATAGCCGATCAAATCCAAAGTTCCGCTCACGATCTATAGGTCCCAAACCAAACGCCGTTCCGCAGCGAATGAATGAATTATCAGTACCAATGGGGCATGTCTACCATCCACCAAATTTGTTCGCCTTGCCTACCCTCTTCTTCTTTTTATGGCTATCCTCCAACTTACTACCTAGGAACCCTCCGGCGATAGCACCAAGGAACTTATGATGGCCCGGCAAATGCTTGCCTCCAAAGAACCCGGCCGTCGCACCAGCAGTCGCACCCTTCCAGCCACGCTCAGTGCTTTGTCCGTGGTTGGGGTTGTGACCAGAGTAACTGGGTTGCTGGCCATATGGCCCTTGCTGGGGATATTGGCCTGATGGAGTACGAACGTCGTAGGTATTACTGTGTTTGGCATCATTATAGTAGTCGGCAGCGCCTCCTTGGCCGTGTTGATAGCCACCTTTCTCGGGTGGGCCATACGAGGTTCGGGAGACTTGTTGCTCGGAAGTGTAGCCAGTTTGTTGGTATTGAGGGCCTTGGTGGTAGTAGTTGCCGCCTGGGGCTGGAGAGGAGTGATTGGAGTAGTATTGATTGTACTGGTCGGACATGGCGGCTGGTTAGATTTTGTGTAGAGAAATCTGAAATTGGTAAGGTAGTTGTGGTATATATGGCTTATGATAGTGGTGATTTTGTGACGTAGGGTGGGTACGGTTGTCAAAAGTAAGGTCCGAATGTTTCGGAGGATTACAAGTGAGAATAGAAGATGGTTGTAAGAGTGTGCAGTAAATGTTGATGGAGGAAAATCGAATCGAAGCGAGATACTTGGGCTTTTATGATGCTTGCGGCACTATGGAGCCGAGATGAACTCCGGAGAAACGCGTCGTAATTCGCAATGTGCAATGGCTGAGCATCACGCGATAAAGTGTACTCAGCCTCGAGATCACGACAGAAGACCCATGCAAGCTCTAGCATGGCGTCTTGGAGGATCGCCTGAGATTTCGCTTGTCATTCTCTACTACGCTAGTGGCCTTCTAGAATGTCTCTCGCAGATGCATCTTTGACGATGGATGTAAGTTCCGGTACGTTGCGTCATAGGGGCTTCCAACCGGCGCAGCGATATTCTTCATGATACGAGTAACGAGAAAAACGAAAGGGTGATTATGTTGCAAGTCTGACGAAGATCACATTTCGCACCTCATATGATCAACGGATCAACAGATGACTGTTGAACAAGAGATATCAATGGCCGAGAACGCGCAGTACTGTACGTGGCTTTCCCCACATGTTTGCGGCGCAGCATATCAGGCTATTAAGAAGGAAAAGTACGAAAAGAAAATACGAAAAAGATCTGAGCCTTTCACCGAGTTGCCGACTTTGGCCTGAGGCAGTAAGATCTTTCAATTAGGCCACAAGGCAGCGAGATAACCCGAGGCTACACTATATATATTTCTAGTTCTCATGTTCGAAAAACACGAACCGACGTCTAGAATATCCGTTCACCTCCGCTGAGTCCACCGTCCTGCCGACATATCGGCTGTGCTAGATCTCACACCATGTCACACTCGTGTTCATCCGAGGAGGTTTCGTTGCTCCACCGGCTCCTCAATCTGGTGTCTCGGTAATGTTTCATGTTCGTCTCCTTGGGGGCTGCTTGGCGTCTCGAGATGCCCAAAGAGGCGTAGAGGCTGCATAGGCACTCCAATTTTGGCTCTTCAGACGTCTCGCTCTCCACTCATTGGTGCAGGATGAGCCCTCGGACCTGTTGTTCCACTCAAGTCTTCGTGTGTGCTCTGAAGGCTCATCATGCTTTGTCGCCGCTTGCGGTGAGATGCCCTTGTAGGCGCACAAGGGTTATAATTCGAATGCACCAACCAAACCCTTCTATCGTCTCACGCAAGCGCCATTCATTCCTTGTTAGAGCCCCGTCTCAATGCAATGCAACAATCAAATGCTTGATTCTCCCTCCCTCGCGATTCACGTTTCGTGACTTGTACCAACACCGGCACTCTCTTTCTTTTACTTCTGATTTTCCTTGTCTAACTTTCTCATCTAGCAGCCGGTCTGCTTCGACTTAACTTTCGGTTTACTCGGCTCTGGTTACTCCTTACTGTCTGGGCAGGCTCAGACAGCACTTCCTATTATTTTGTTGTGTCCTTCTATCGAATTAATAGGGATTGCTAGTTCCACGACAGGTCACAGCTGCTGAGCTGGAGCTCGTACAGTAAACTCGAAAGGACTACCGCGGTCGTCTCCTGAATCACCATGTCTATGGAACCGAACTATGGGCCCCTACACGAAAGAGCATCTTTTCGCCAAGCTGTACCATCAAGATTTCTATTCGACCCTAAGCACTCTGTCCTCGACTCATCTGTCAAAGAGGCATCATCCTTTTCTTCGGCCTTCATCGAAGTAAGGGACATTGAGGAGGGTGATGATAACGGGACTAGTACAGTATGTTATATATCTTGTGATACGACTGCTGAAGCTGACGCAAACTGTCCCAGATGATGATGGCAGGCTCAAGGCGGAGTAATGCGGCATCAAGAACCGTGCGAGTCGCTGCTGCAATGCAAACCAGCGCGGATGGATATCCTGGGGCCACAGTCTTACCACCTTCGCATGGGAATTCGAACCTGTCAGAGGGCACAGAGCATATTTTGATAGCTGCTGGGTCTATCGGTAAGCACACCAGGGTCACTTACGATTCGTGAGCTGACATGAGACAGGAGCCACGATTTTTCTTGTTCTGGCCATATATGCGATTTACTCAATGCGCAAGCGGAACTTGAGTTTCCAAGACCTCCTCAGGGCCAAGACGTGGACAGACCGAAGCTTAGATAATGACTCAATCAAGTTCACGCAGCATGGTTATCAGTACGAGATCGAAGGAGCTTATTCCAAGAGCCTACCAGTCTCGCCTCCCGAATCTGTGCTAAGTCATCCAAGCAATGCTTCGATTCGGCCCTTAGTCAATCCACGCGGTGTATGCACATATCAATCGAGTCATAGAGATAGCGAAAGGTCACGTCTTCGTGAAGAGAGGGAGGAAATCAGAGACGACGTACACCCTCTACCAACTCAGATTCCGCTAGCTCGTACAGCTGACCATAGGCACACAAGGACCAGCTCTGATGGTTCTGATACATACATCATACAATCACAAGAGGAACCTGCACCCGATTTCGGCCGGTCTCCACAAACCTTCAAGCAATTCATCGCCAACCGACGCATTAGCGCGGCACCCCTAAAATCCTCACATTTCAGCTGGAACACATCCCAGGCTGCTCAGACTCCTAAAGATCACGATTTCAATCGCATGTCTGGATCAACTTTCCGGTCAACTGGCCCACGATTCAAGACAGTGGAGAGCTGGGTCAACTCTCAGTCAAACAGGGTTGAAGCTCAACGGTTGCAGCAGAATCTCGCTGAGAGGCAGGAGGAGCGTGATAGGCCACACGTGCCAGACGTACCAAAGCAGTATCGCGGGCCTACACATACCCGAGACCTCTCACGACAGACTACCAAGAGTGATGCAACAGTCTTCAGACATCATCCAGGGACAGAAGTTCAAATACCTCGAGCCAGCCTCGTACCGAGTGAGATACTGGATAGCAAGACGAGGCCACCATCGCTGTGAGACACAGCCTCGTAGGAGATAATGACTAACAGCCTATCATTTATGTGCAAGTTCACATATACACCATTTTATACCCAGGCAGATTCTGTAAAAGAAATGAATAGTACTTGTACATACACCAGCAGGCACACACCTCTCGCTTTTCGATGTGATCCCATGACATCGCAGTCTTCCTATTTAACGCCTTTTGAGCTTCAGCTACAACAGTCATAATAGAGGATGGGCAACGCTATCACGACTGTGAGACTTACTCGTCGTAGAATTCTTTTGTCGACCTACCTCCTATCTTCTCGTCATTTGTAAATACAGTTGCTATTTGCACTCTATATCACTGGTTAACGTGGAGATATGTGAGAAAATTGGGATCTAGTTGATGAGGGTGGCGCGTGTGAACGCGGAAGGTGAGGAACTGAGGGGATGAACAGCTCAGGGTACAGAACTGTATCTTATGCTGAGGAGAGGTGAAAGGGAGATGACATTAGGAAAGAGAATACGGACCACCCGTGTCAATCTACGCCTCAGCTTCCACGCAGATCCTACTTACAGCTGAATGAGAGGTATGTATCCAATTATAGAGCTCAATCGGAGATCATAATTTAGCAACGGTAGTACTTAGGTACCCTGCTTGCTTCCTCCGCACCTCTGCTCGAATACAGACAGTATGAAATACGTAAAGACTAAGATGCTGACCGGTGTTGTATGCTCCCCCATTGATTTAATCCTCGAGCGGACCACTTTTGAAAGGGCTCCGGATTTGTAGTTATTGGACTGTATGGGCGATGTCAATCCGCAATTATATGCTTAAACACGACGTAGAGCAGACACATACGGTCGATCATAGAAGCATATCGAATCATTACATTTGTTATACATGTGATATGGTACAACTTTGGCATAGTGTACAGTCAAGCCCTCAAAGCCTTCGCCTTTTATGTACCCAATACGCCTTCCACGGCAGCCGCCAGTCCGTGGTCCTCAGACTCTCATCAAACACATTAAAGTCCACCTTCTGCAGCCTATCCAGCCACATCTGTGTCGACACCGCCTGCATTAGCACTCCAAAACCCCGATCTATCTCCTGCAATTGCTTTTGTGTTCCACTTTCCACTTGTGCGTAATCAGCCCTCTCCGCATCCCCTTGATGCTCAAATTCATGCCCAACATCAGCCCCAGCACGCACATTCTTTAACATCTCCCGCGCCGTGATCAGATGATCGTTGGCGCGCGTCGCGACCTCAAACACCGCGTCCCGTAACCCCGGTGCACCTGCGCCTTCGCGGAACACTTGCTCTTCGACAACACCAGTGGATGCCATGATGTCGAGTGGAAGAAGGACGGCACCTTGCCGATGCGCTTCTAATTGAGGGTTCAACGCGGACGGGTTGTGTTTATTTGGCGGTGGCGGAAATGCAATGAGCGGGAGACCTCGGAGCAGGGTTGTTATGCCTGTTGCTTTCCCGATATGTGATGCCAGGTGGTCCGCGGTGAGGGAAGCGAGGCCGAGTGATTGGAGGTTTAGGTAAAGGAGGGTGGAATATGTGTTCTCGGCATACGTCTCCACCGCTTCAAGACTCGGAAAAGGCGGGTTGGAGAGATGTGCTGCACGTGTATCGATGATGCGGTGGAACCAACTCTTACTCCATCGCGTCGTGCAATTGGACCTTGCTTGCAGGGCGTCAGCGGCGACTGCGAGGAGAATTGCGATGGGCTCTTTCGGAGGCGTGCCGGAGAGGGATTTTGTGATTGTGTCGCGCCAGAATTGCATGCGCAATGTACCGACTGTCGCGGAGGAGGTTGCATCTGCGACGCGCGCAATATCGATATTGAAAGCGCGGAGGGATATGTAGGCGTCTAAGGACGAAGGCGGAAGGAAAGTTTGGAAGGTGAAGGCTGGAGAGTCGTACTTCCTACGTGGTTGTCAATGATGGATGTACTAATGAAATTTGAAAAGACGAACCGAACAAGATTCGCGCAGTATCTTCGTGCCGATTCTACTTCATCAAGTGAGAATGTTGCAGCTATGGCTCTCTGAGCTTCGGTCGATGAGAAGGCTCTTGGTGTAGGACTCCATGTTCGCAGCTGCGCAATTGCCACTCTCTTATTGGCGCGTAACATGGGCATAACCGATTTTACAAGCACACGACTTGTTTTGCTGCCATCGCATGAGGTGTAGCAACAGAACAAGCTCGATTAGATTTGTGCAAAGTGAACATTTCGAATGTTGTCATAAAGGCGCAAGGTGAGCAGTTCTTGGCGCTAAGTCTATATACCATACCAAATGGAGCTAGTGCAAGCCTTGTTATTGTAAGGTTGAAGGTCCCTCAAACCATCATCCCGCTATGTCATCTGCCATTATCAACGCGCAACAAGTGGTCTTGTCAGATCCCTCTATGCTGTTTGCAGTTTCATACGATGGCAGTTCCTAGCTAGAGATGAGGATGGTTCGCCTACAAAGCAGCGCTCATCCATAAATTCCGTTCCGGCAGCCTCCTTGTCGAGTGCCTTCAGTAAGAGATAGATGCAAGAGACGCCACATAGGAGATGCGGCCGCTCCGAGTTAAGACGGGAAGCTAGTACACTGTTTCTACAAGCTCAGCGATGCTGCTTCGACGACAAGCAAATTCTTTACACGCCCAGCGCCCCTGGCGACACACACCGGCGGAATGATTATCGAGTAATCGCGTTGGTGCGATCGATCCATACCTGCAGTATCGGCGCTGCTGTCATGAGACCCCAGTAATAGAGCAAATTGACCATTGAAAAGCCTTAAATTTGATGTGAAAAAGGTTTCCATATGCTAACGGACTCGGGTTTCCCGATATCATATGTCTACTCACGGCACCAACATGTTCAGAAAACAAGATCGGACTCAAGATAAGGTAGCACTTACTACTCTCTTGATTGATGATAGCATAGCTGACACACTCTAGGCTTTCCGAACGCTGCTGATCTGGATGCCGTTTCTCCATATAAAGATGCTGCGTTGTGTTGCGGTCATTCCGATAGCTTCTTTAACCACTTTTCTGCGTGTAATAGCGCATGTGGGCGCATTAGTTGATGATCCGTAAGGTCCTAATCCATCATATATACAATAGCGACAACGTGACAGACAAGATGCCACGGCGATCATCGGTTGCTACTACTGTTCTCGATTTCGGAGCGGCCGCCCAGTCGTCGTATAACCATGACGCATCTATATAATGTTCTGTGGCAATCAGCAAGGACTTTTTCCGTGGCATCGTACAAGGAACAGGACTGTAGTCACTAATCTATTCCACATCGAGCGGACATAGTATGTGTGAGTGGTAATGACCGCGTTCTTCTATACGTCATCTCCGGGTCAGCTTCTCCTGGTCCCTAGTTACTAAATTTAAACGCAGTTAGGGATATGAGAAACATTTACGGCCGTAATCTCGTACTCTAAATTGGTCTACGAACACGATTTTGCCGACCAGGTAGATGATTTGCCGTACATATCATCACAAGATGACTAGAGACAGGTCTTTGGAATTTCTCTTCTTTGTGGACTCGAGTACTCAGACATGAATCCCTGGCGACTGCTCATGCAGAAATAATTTCACCCTGAAATATACCTAACTAGTAATCAATGGACCACACCGTTTGCTATAGGATCGGCGTAGTTGGTTCAAATCGCCACTATCATAATAGTCTGACGTCGTTTTCTTAGAGTTTGATCAAGACACCGTAAGAAAACTTTTGATCACCATGCGTGGCAAGAGGACGACCTCCAGATGCATGCTCTTCCACTGCTAGACTTGGCGCGTGGCTATGACACATCCAATATCTGCTCAAATGACGCACCCGATATTCATTCTGAGCAGTAGTCGTAGTGAATATGCATACTAGTAATCATATTAGCTAAATCTCTAGACTTTAAATAACGCACCCTAGTTAGTTTTATATATTTCTAGTCTAGTTCTGGCTTTATCAGTACCCCTTAACCTGACTATGTGTATATTCTAGGCACACTATTAGGGCTGAAACTCGGGTGTCAGTCAGTGAGGGGCCGAGTCAGATATGTAGGAGCGAAGAGCGATTAGGCCCGGCTATTGATCATCACTACGCCGGTTCAGAGTGAAAGGCTAGGAAGTGGGTAGTGGTGGGAGGATTGTATTAGCTACATGGTCTTATGTCTGGTTATAGACGCTAAGCATAATACACGTTAGCTCAATCTAGCATACTGGGATCAATGTTACGTAGATCCTGGGTGTGCCACTGAGGCGCATCAATCTTCTAGGGTACGGAAATGCCTCCGGTTCTACCTATACTCTCTCCAGACACTGGCTCAATATCAACAAGCGGGACGTCACAGGTTTACGTCAGATGGCTTCCCTTGCACTTGATACACGATAGCATGGGCAACCAATGCTCTTTTACCAGACAAGTGAGGCCGTGAGTCGACTGTTAGGACGCTCTTCCCGAATCTTGGCTTGGAGACGTTGAAGGAATTGTAGTTGGCATATCTGGGCACGTACTCGTGGCTTTGGTTTTGACCATGTGTGAAACATCTGAGGCCAGTCACTACTCTCCACCCGACAATGACCAGCTAGTGGTGCACTATTCCTGAGCTGGGCTTATTATCTGCTTTGCCACCGTGCCCACCAGTGCCGAAAGGACCCTAGATAGTAGCGCAAGTGGCATCTGACGCCCTCGGGTGTGCCGAGATCATGGGTTTTGGCTTCGATTTACACCAAGAACGAACGCCAGGAAACATTCAACTACGTCAGTCGAGTTTGTTTATCAACGAAGGAGAAAGCTCAGCCAAGCTGGTGGGGTGTGATTCCAGCTGATCACTTTCTACCTTCGACATATTGCTCTCGCATGATGATTGGCCGAACGCACGGGAAGGATCAACAAGGGGCTTGGAATCCTTTCTTAGGCTCCGTGTACACGTATTTAGTACTACTGAAAATCTCCTATACGCCTGCTAAACTCTCCTTGTCAGGTTCCGCTTCTAATGCAGGCTACTACTAGACCGTTGATGGTGTCACGGCATGGACCGCATGGCAAGGGCCGCAAGGCTCTTACCGCTAGCTCGGATGTTACCCTCTATCCTTCAACGATTATCCCCATAATCGACGGATCGACATAGGGTCGATCAAAGCAAGCACGTAGTCGGCACCAAGCCGGGAGTGATGGATACTGTTGATATCCACCATGGAGAGCAGAACTACTGCACCTCTATTTGTCATTTATTCTATCAACCGTTTGGCCTTAGACTACACTAGTATACGCTCTAATACGGGCGCTTTCGCAAGATTGAATCCCTCTGAAACACTGTGCCGCCAGCAAGTCATACTTTAGCGTCAACTTGGGGTTGGCGCCTCCGTTCTGCTTACCGGATTGCAAACGCCAAATATTCTCAGTCATTGATTCGCTGATATTTAAATCTGGCAGTATGTGGTCTGCTCCTAAGCTGGCTCAACGCAATTTTCGATGATTCAGTTTAATGATGTGCAGTTGAAAGTTGGCTGGAAAGTTGTCAGGCTACTTCAAGACCCGAGATTCCACTGATTGGCGGATCCGGAGAGCTGTTAGTGGCGACCAGTCACCGTCGATAGGGGATCGGGCAGACGGGCTGGCGAGAGAGAGATCCGACTGCTGCTTGGGGTTAGTCCTAGCTTATAGAGTGGATCCATTCATCTGACAACTGCGGGCGCTAGTTCTGACTACCATGTTATACGATGATAGTCGGATGTGTTTAATATCCCGACACCGACCACCGACATTGATGCACTTTTGCTTCACAAGATGACAAATTGAAATCATATTGTTGTCGCCTGGGCAAGAGATGAATGTGTATATATGGATATTGGGATCTAGAAATCCGCAGGCGTCTTAGTCTGGTTAAGAATACCGTAGGTAATTCCGCATTCTATAGATCTTCCGGCGACCAAAAGACAATCCGCCTTACCACTCGCCCCTATATGAGCTGCAGCTCACTTGTTAGACTCACCATGCTGTCAAATACCTTTTTACCGCCACGCATGCTGGCATGCGGTATATCGTATGTTTGGTAGCCCGCAACTTCGTTTGCGCTAAAGTCTGCAACTAGACGAGGCAGCGAGTGCTTTTGTCTAATGCGCTCTCATTACCTCTCCGGGGACACGCGCCTTGTTGGACTACTTACGAGGCTCTTTAGCGGCAGACTTGTAGGTTCAATGAACTTGCTCATGTCAGGTGAAGTCTCTAGCCCAACAGCCCCTTGCGTCTGATTTCCATCTACCAGGTTACGAAAGCCTGTCAGTGGATCTATGCGGCGTCTAGGGCTTACGGACATCTTTAGTTGTGACTGAAGTCAATTGTAGAACTTTTAATCCACATTTGGCACCAGAGTAAAAAGATTACACTAGCAATAGCATTCCGCCAGCTAACCTTTCCATCTTAGTCTCTGTCTAGAATAATAGTACTAGGTTTTAGAAGCCATTGATCACAAATCATGATAGGTTCTTATCAATTATTCCCCTTTCAATCTCTATCCGTCAAATCCGAGCCCAACGACCGAGGTTCTTTACGCTCAGTGGTTGTTTCTAATGCCAGCTTGTTTAGAAATGCAGCAGCCTATTCTGTCAGCTCAATCCATAACATATAAAGATCACTTACAGCTCTAGCATGCCATCTAGATCCAGTGATTTCGTACCAACCGAGATGACCACCAGACTTGGTAGTACAAAGTACTGTATTTGAGTTACTTTCAAACTCTTGGTAAGGAATCGCCTCTTTGCAGGCCAACTGAGTTATGGTTAATATGGTCGATAGAATGGAACACTCTATCATACAGGGTCATCTTCTGCATGTATGGCAAGTAACGGGATTTGCACTTTCAGCAGCCAATTCACGCTTGCAGTGTCTCGATAGTATGCACCTTCGGTCGGATAGTCCCATGTTGGACACTGTATGAACCTGTGCTAGGTCAGTTCTACTCATCTCTGCAGCTGTTGCCAGGCAAACCAACCTGTTAAACTCATTGAAATCACCCGCCTGCTCGAGCTTCTCAAAATCGATATTTTGGTTCATCGAAATTTCCGCTTTATGCCTACTCTTGTTAACAACCTAAACGAAGATCTAGACAAGATAGCTAGCCTTTTGACCAAGTTCTTCATGGCAAACAGCATTGCTTTTGAATACATATTCCCAATCCAAGTCCTCTGTAGATGAATACTGCAAATATCGAAGTTCCATGGATTCGAACAAACGACTGCACCCTTTAATACACAGTTGTTCCCTTGCTGTCCGGCATACTATATTCTGTTAGCTATGTCTATCTGAAGGAAGTAAAACCCACTGTTGTCAGAACGTTTGCACCTAACGAAAACCCTAATCCATATAATTTCCTATTCGGGAACCTCTGTGTCAAGAAAGTCGCTACTTGGTGGAGGTCCCATGTCGCTGAAGAGTGGTATAAAATCGGTGAGCTCAGCTCCGACTTTGCACAACCCCTAGAATTTATTACACATGCCTCCCATGTCTTGTCTTCGGTCAGTAGACGCAGACATTCTTTGACATAATTCTCATCTGATCCGCCGCTAAGCCCATGAAGAGTGATAAGCATGGGTTTTGTATCTTGGGACGTGAAGGCCTCAAATTCAGTAGTCGTGTAGTACGATGTTCGATGAGGGAGTCTAGGGTCTGGAACACTAGGTGTGTGTACGACGAAGTCCACTGTGAAGGTACCGGGGTATGTATCGTGCGTGGCAGTAAATACGTGCCGTTTGTAGGTCACCGGAGTGTCGTAAGGGGTAGCGACATTCCAGGCTGTTTGGAGGTGAGGTGAGGGGAGGAGAGGGTTCAGGAAGGGTTGAGGGATGGTAGACTTGCATAGATCTGAGAGGGTTTGAGCGCTCTGATTTTTCAGAGGAATTGGCTGTTGCGTAAGTGAGTGATAGAAATTCATCTTTGGCTGAGCAATATTGAGAAAGTTCATTGTGACATCCGCAGGATAATCTTCGTCTGTGTTTTACTGTCAAAAGACTGACTCTGGCTGCTACAACTTATCGAAGAGCTTTGAGTAGGCGTCTTCTACAGCATGCAGCCAACCACAGTTCTCAAGATGCTCTACAACGAATGATTTTTACGACAAACTTTGGCTACGAGACATACCCAGTGCCATGCAGGCCCCACTTCTCCACCCCCGTCTACCAGAGGCTAGGGAAGGCCGGAGCTTCTTGTGTCATCTTAGTACTCCTTGCATTTAACAGTAGATTGAATCCCTACGACCAAATAATACCATATTCTATAGTACAATGTTCTAGATATTGAAATGTACTTGAAATGATATACGTAAATGATAAATAGAAGGGTAGTTTCTTCTTTGTTTTGGTCATGACTATACTTGGACATTATAAGATCATTAACATCAGCTTGATTGACTACGGGACTGCTCTTGTTTACCCACTGTAAGATAACTCTCTTTATGAGTACTTTAGATGTTATATATGCAACTATTCATATATCAACTCAATAATCGAATAGTATTACGTGATGGACGGGGGTTAGCCTGAATCGAATTTATCAATCACACATATTTGTCGTGACATCGGTGGCAAAATTAGACTATAAAACTAGCTACATTAGAGAACTAAGCTGCGTACATGTCATTGCATACGTAGTGAATATTTCAGATATGCCACAACCATAAGATACTTTCAGGTTGCTAGCTTTTGTGAACTCATGTTAGTTATATAGCTCTATTGAGTACCACGTTGTATGGTCGGGACCTCTATTGATCGACCCGTACCCAGAATTAAATATATGAAATTTTTGAAGATCCTGCAAGAAGGTGGCGTTCGGCCGTAAATCAAGTCTGTATCTAGTCTGAGTAGTAGCTCAAGGCTAAGAACTAAATATGCCCGGTGGCCACTTCTCGCACACGAGGAACGAGGGATTCATATGCAAGGGTATTTAGACGCCCGATTAGCCATATGTACAACGTACAAGGATGTGTACTGTGGACATGTATCTATACTATGGCACACGGGCGGTTAATTCTAAATTACAAGGGTATTTCCCGGTTAGGTAGGCGACTGGGAGAAGTCTAAGTCACATACGATTAGGCCAGAGCCTTTATACTTATCAAGGTTTAGAGTATGCCCGAAGTAGAGCATCGCGTGTAATTAAGCACTGACCGTAAAGCCAAGACAGAAGTACCCACTTAAAATCAACACGAGTACCATAGTACTATGCAATGTGTGCAGGGGACATGGCATCATACCTCTATAAGGTATGTGCAACCATCACTGTAGTAGACGGAGCATTCGGTGCTGCTGTTGGTGCATGTAGGTCGAGTCAGGGAGGTTCAAAGCATCAAATCATCATTTGCTTGAAGCTTATAGATACTATCACTAAAGATCGATGCCTGACGTGAGATCAATCAATGTAATCACGATCGTAAGAAATCTCCTCTATAGTATAGTATATGTAGCTTCATATCAGATGACACGAGTCATCAGCGGAGCATCAATGGCTCCATAGAGCTAAGTTGTCAAGAGAAGCGTAAAATCAGGATTTAGAAAACGATCATACGCTAGAGGCATGTCTATAAACATGACCACTCTCTCAATATTACTGTCCGTCATCTGACTAACTTTTGAGAGCAGTAAATTGGTGTCTTTGAGAATATGACATACCGTCAGAACTGCGCTTTCATTGCGCAGAGTCTTTACTTTCTCCTCTACAATATCCTCAGTATCTTTCGAGAGTTTGTCTTCCCCTCGCGAACTCGCACAAAAGGAGTAGAAGATATTGCCATCAAGCAGCCTTCGTATGCGCGGTCTCAGACCTTTCAAAATGCGAAAACCATATTCCAGGTACTTTTGAGCAGAGTCTCTGGACAGCCTATTGACGACCGGGCCTTACTACTCGAAGGCATCGTATCGCTTCTGCAAGATCTGCCATCTAATAGCCCGGCGAATGCCACAATATCTTCCGCATTCATACGTCTACTCTGGCACGAGGTACCCCATCCATCTGCCACTTTAATTGGACCCGAGTCTCGATACCGCCGTCCAGATGCGAGCGGCAACAATCCTTGGATGCCGATGGCGGGAAAAGCAGGCTCACCATATGCGCGAAACGTGGCACCTAGCAAGCCCCGAAGCCATATCCTACCAGACCCGGAACTTGTCTTTGATGCCCTGCTAGTCCGAAACGGACCGTTCCGTGCTCATCCATCGGGCTTGAATAGGCTCTTTTTCTCTTTTGCAACAATCGTCATCCATGAGTGTTTCCAGTCATCGTACAAGGAGCCGTGGCGAAATGAGGCGTCGAGTTACGTGGATTTGAGCACGCTATACGGTAACTCGGATGCAGAGCAACACGATGTGCGGACGTTCGAGAACGGGAGGATCTATCCGGATACTTTTGCCTCGAAAAGGCTCTTGATGATGCCGCCTGGAGTAGCTACTGTGCTACTTCTATTCTCGCGTAACCATAACCGTATTGCGGAGAACCTGCTACAGATAAACGAGGAAGGGAAGTACGGTTCCTGGAAGGACCTAGACAAAGACCAGAAACAATGGTTGGTTTGAATCCTGTCCTTCACTATCTGTTTTTGCATACTAAGTCGCTGTTCAGGCAAGACGAAGACATATTCCAAACCGCGAGAAATATCAACGTAGGCTATCTTGCGAGCGTCGTCCTTCGAGATTACGTTGCTGCAATCCTCAATACAACGCGGGCTAATTCAGACTGGTGGCTCGATCTAGGCCAAGAGATGAAAGAAGGGACCAAGCGTACTGAGCGAGGCAGTGGCAATACCGTTTCAGTCGAGTTCTCTGTTCTATATCGATGGCACGCATGCGTTAGCGCAGCCGATGATGAGTGGATGAAGAAGACTATGAGTGAAGCAGCGCCTCAGCTAACTTCGCAAGAGCAATTAACGCCAGAAATGCTGCATGGGATATTGGCCAAACGAGCCTCGGCATTGAACTCAATTCCTTGTAAGGAGTGGACGTTTGGTGGACTTGAGAGGGGCCCAGACGGAAGCTTTTGCGACAAAGCATTGGGAAACATTCTGAAAGATTGCATTGAAGAACCTGCCCATGCGTTTGGAGCACATGGCAGTCCTGCAAGCTTTAAGATTGTCGAAGTTCTTGGACAGATCCAGGCACGCGAACATTTCAAGACGTGTACTATGAACGAGTAAGACCTCACCACTATTCACGATTGGAATTCTGTAGCTGATGCCGTGGCAATAGATTCAGGCGATACCTTCATTTGAAGCCTTACAAAAGCTTTACAGAGTGGAATCCGGACACAGCAGTTGCTCATGCTGCAGAAACACTTTACGGCAATATCGAGAGTCTTGAGCTTTATCCTGGTCTCATGGCTGAAGAGACTAAACCTGCGACAGCCGGTAGCGGTCTCTGCCCTGGACAAACGATGGGACGTGGCCTGCTCAACGACGCGGTGGCACTGATTCGTGGAGATCGATTCCTAAGTCATAATTTCAACTCCACCTCTCTCACGAATTGGGGATTCTCCAAGTTGAAAGAGCGACAACCAGGAAGCGGTGGTTTCTTCTTGCCAGGATTGATGCTCAGAGCGTTGCCAAGTGAACTTGACGGCACTTCACTATATGGACTCATGCCATTCTACACACCCACGGCGGCGATGAAGATTTTTGAAGGTAGAAACGAGCTATCGCGTTATAGCATTGAGCGTCCGCTGTCAGACCGACTCCCAATAATTCTTCGAAAACACCAGTCATGTAACGCAATATTTCAAGATAGTGAGAGGTATGTCATCTGGAACTGGCCAGCAAGACGTCATACTGGAGCCACTAGTGCCGCCACAGAGAAACACATAGTGCGAGATCAAGTTCTCAATCGGGCATTCTTCGAACAAGGCTTCGAGATCAAAGTTTTGAGCTTTGTACGCTTCCATGTGCGCAGATATATCCAAGAAAGATCGCACAAGTTCAACGGTGGGAAGAGATCGATAGACATTGTCAACGACGTTACGAACAGAGTGCCGATAGACTGGATTGCACAGAAACTTGCAGTGCCTATCAAAGCAGACAAGAGCGCGGTCGGTCTTCACACGCAAGATGAGTTGCGAGAAATGCTGCTTGGCATGTTCGCACATCAGACACTGAATAACACTCCAGAGAAAGAATGGTGTTCTCGCGAGGTCGTGACTCAAGCTGTGGAAAAGCTCGAAACTATAGTCGAATCTCACTTGAAGATCCATCGTATGTCACTTGACTCCCTGACGTCCTGGATTGCGCGTGACACCGCATTCGAGAGCAGTGCGGAAGCAGTCCGTCTCTATTGCGCGCTTGGGAAATCCTCAATATCACCTGCAGACTTGCCTGCGGACTGGATAGCTATGGCCGCCTCACTCGCTGGTAATATGACAAACTACGCGGCGTATATCATCGATCTACTTCTTAGTCCTAAGCACGAAAAGGCCAAGAATCGCATTGTGGAGCTGGTGCATATGGGGGAAGGGGAGTCGACAAGTGAGTTGCTCCGCTACGTGTATGAATGCGTGCGACTTTGTGGTGCGGTGCCAGGTTTCGTCCGGACTATCACTCGTCATATGAGCCTGATGGATGACGATGGCAAAACTGTGGACGTGACCGCTGGAGACAAGGTTTTCGTGGTGACTTCGGAAGCCGCTGTAGATCCCTCGGTCTATCCGGATCCGCTAGAGATTCATCCCGACCGGACAACTCAAGGATTCCAATTTTTCGGTCCCGGAACGCTCTCCGAATCGGGTATCAGATGTATTGCATACACTCTCATGGCCGTGCTGAGAGAGGTATTCAGGTTGAAGAATGTTCGGAGGGCAGCTGGACCTAGAGGTCGATTCTGCGTGGTGGAGAATAACGTCTTTGGGGTGCCGATACGATCTTTCATCGATGCGGACGCACGCGAGTGCCCCTATCCAACATCTCTAGTCCTAGAATACGATCCTTAGGTCAATCCAACTAAGTGATTCAGACATCTCCTCGTCAAGACTAGAGTGGTGAACTGAACAAACCTCCTACGGTCAGATGGGTTGCTGTTCGGTATTGATATTTGATTGATGACACGCATGCTTGGCTTGATCCAAGCGGTGTGAGAACTTTCGCTGTGGAGACTCGGGAGATACCCAAAGACTTTCTATATTAGTGTCTTATGCCGTGTCATGGGTTGACTTACTCTTTACTGTGCCACAAGATCCACTCTTACCGTACCAAGTGCCGTTCAATTGGCTGCTGCCTGGAACGTGACAACATCGGGGTAGGCCGGTGCCAAGCCAGACCGCTTAAAAAGGCAGCAAATCAAATTCTCTGTATCATTTTACCCCGAGCCTTGCCACAACAAGTCCTTCGCTAGAGGCCTGATAACATGGCTCTTATCGCTAACTCTCATTCGCTCTGTTCCTGGGAGCCCTATTCCGGGAATTGGGATAGACAATGCGATCATTGCGATGGACGGTAGATGGTGGAGCTCGGTGGTTTAAATATGCGGCTCCACACCCCATTGAACAACTGCTCTGCTGCAGCTCTCTTTATGAAGCTCGTGTCAAGCTTGGTTCGATTTTGTTATTCTCAATTGGCTTCTGCACGCGTTCAGGATGCGGCTTTCCATCAGTTGGACAGTTCTTGGAGCTTTGGTACTCTCTCAAGCCTCGAGCGCAGCCAAGATCATTCTTGGGAACGATGATGGTCAGTCCGGAAGAGTTGGAAACACTTTCATCAGCTAAGAGCATATAGGCTGGGCGAGTGCGAACATTCGCGAAACCTACCGTCTTCTCAAAGAAGCCGGTAACGACGTCATCATGGTCGCTCCAGTTGTGGACAACTCTGGACAAGGAGGTCGTGTACGTCGTGTTGCACCGTGCCATCAACTACTGAGCGTACTGACCCTTTCCAGTCTGTCTTCACGACTTCCAGAACTCTTGTGACCAACGGCGAATTTGACTCTGTTGCCGCTGGTCAACCCTCCCTAGGCTCCGACCCGTCTGATTCCCACATTTGGTATTACAATGGTACTCCAGCTGCTTGCACGTTTATTGCATTGGATTATGTTGCTCCACAGATTTGGGGTCCCAATGTGACTGCCGACCTGCTGGTAGCTGGTCCCAACGTAGGACAAAACTTGGGACCCTTTTTATATACGTTATCAGGTACAATGGGAGCTACGTATGCTGCTGTTGGTCGTGGCATCCCTGCGATTGCATTCTCCGCTGCGCCCAATGGCGGACAAAGATACTACAAATGGGTGAATCAAACCACCCAAGCAGGCTTGAAGGATCCAGCAACGATCTCTGCCCAGCTTACCGTCGACTTGGTTCAGAAGCTCATCAAGAGCACGAATCATGGGGAGCGTATTCTGCCTGTCGGCTATGGCATCAACGTCAATTATCCTCCGATTACCTCGTTCACCAACGATTCATGCATCAATCCACCATTTGTCCAGACGCGCATGACGGGAGGTGCGTTCACCGACAAGGCGGTACGAAACGAGACTACAGGACTCTTCACCTACGCGAACTTCCTTGGCGAAGGTGTGAACAGATGCATTAATGGTGACTGCCGTCTTCCTGGTGAGACCGATGTTGTCAACAGTGGATGCCAGTCTGCAGTGTCAGTATTCACTGTGGATTACGATGCGCCGCTCAAGCGGGACACAAGCAAGGTGCAAACCAAGATGTTGCCGTTGGTTAGCTTCCACGGCGGAAGCGCCTGGAAACGCCATACGGAAATGCCTGCTTCGGTGAAACAACTTGAGAGCCCGTTGAGGCATGAATAGATAGCCTCACGTGGCCTTGGAATTCAGGTGCCAGGCTATATTAAATAGAACTCTAAATCAAGCTATCAAGGATATAACCTGACAACTACGCATCAGACCACAACGTTGTGCATCAACCACGCTTTGTTCGCCCACCAGCATGTGACACATGTGATAGAACGTTCATAGCTACTGACAAGGCTGACGCGAAAGTAATATGAAGAGTTTCCTGGCCAATGACAGTGCACTTGTATCATTCATTCATCACGGCCGAGAAGTGCTTCCAGATCCATACGCTCTTATCTTTCTGCAATGCGTCCCCTGTTGAATAAGATCAAAGGGCGATCTAATTGTCCGTGCCCACCAGCGCGCGCAGTGTGTCCCGTTCGTGTCTCGCAGCGCGAAAGCCAGCAAACCACAGAAGAAATGACAAGCACACCCTGTCGCTGCACGGCCAGTGGTGAGAGTTTGCTGGACTGCCAATAAGTTCAATTGAGAGAGGTTGAACTATTGTTCGTGATCGTGGACCGATGATACTAAAGAGTAGTAATAAGCGCAACAGATCACAGATGGGATGCAGGTATGTCGATCTGTCTACACCTTCCACATCGTGCTCTGTATGCAAAGAAGAAGAGTCTAAGGATTCAAGCGGGACAGTCAGGAAGGGCTCCGGAATGATCTGGTGCCAAGGGAAAAGGCAGATACTTGCGGGCCTGGCAGGCTTCTATGCATCGGCTAGCCCGTCCCCCCTTCTACAGTCATGCAAACTTGCAGATGAAAGACAGGAAGGGAGATGGTTGAAGACTCCACCCTATCGTGGAGACGATATCAGATAAAATGCCTCACACCTTGCGCAGTCTGGATGGTATCGCAGCTTTTGCCAGATTGAAGATGGCTAGTGAGTATAAGAGACGGGAACCATTTCAAGATGGCAATGGAAAGTTGGGGAAGGGAGCTAATAGTGATTAATAGTGTCGACCGCTTTTATGGCATTTGGACATATTGTGAGCAGCCTTGGGAGTGGGGGAGGGGGGCATGTTGGTGAGAAGGCGTTCTTGTATCAGGATTCTAGAAGGCGACTAGGCCTGATACGGAAGGCCATATTGTAAAGTCGTCAATCGAAGGCGCAGTAGCCTTGGTTGCACTATTAGTCGAGACGCTTGAGGCTGACGGGATGCTTCTGCAGTGCCTGAACATCAGCTAAATGATTCTTTGAAAAGGTAAAGCATCGGTTGATCTTCAAAGTCTGGGGAATTGATGGGCAAAAACGTAACAGCGGTGGCTCGGGACTGATAATTGGTTGTTTGTGGCGCGTGAAGAGGTACTAGTGCAGCCTAAGTTGGTGGTGGTAGTAGTAGTAGTCGGGAAGCCTGCCCGCACTCAGCTATCGTCACGCTTCTTCGTCCTCACCCCTCGACTCAGTCCTCACCACCACCACCACCACCACCAATTCTCATTCTCCTCTTGCCCTCTAACTCTCACATCTTCTCTTTCATGTATATACCTCACCTTACCTTATATATATAACTATCTCAATCTACCTCAGCGCGCAAAGATACGCCACCCATTCCCACAGTGAACTATCATCGCACAAGTACCGGCTTTACGCTTTTAACCCGGCGCAAGCCGAGCTTCATAACGCTCCATGTCAACGTCGCCCATGGCTGCATACCAGACCAGCTCGGGCAGTTCTGAGCCTCCACAGACTGCTGCTACCGCTGGTGCACAATCATCTGGTCCTCGCTCTGGTCCAGCTCCGCATACGAGAACCTATCAAGCGTGCATTCCATGCCGACGCCGGAAGGTACATGAAGCTGAACTTTGGCCTACATACCACTAACATTCGCTTAGGTCCGGTGTGACCTAGGGCCAGTGGATAATCCTCACGATCCACCATGCACGCGATGTCGCCGTGAGAGTAAGGAATGCTATTTCAGTGCTACCAGGCGCAAGCGGAAGACAAGTGAGGATGCGGACGAGGATGATGGTGAAGTGTCAGACTATGAGGTTCGCAATGGGAGAAAGAAGGCAAGACCATCGCATAGCCTCACACCAACGGCGCAGCATGTTGCGCCAATGCTGGAGACACCGATGTATGTCCCAAATAACATACCCCGCCCTCTGACGCCTGGAGGATCGTTGGGACGACCACAGCCTCTGAGACGCCCTACGCAAGACGGAAGTCGGCCCCCATTTCCAAAAGTCGAGGATGATGATATTCATAGTCCAGAGCCACAAGTGGTTTTACAAGATCGAGAAGTCTTCAATGGACATGACGCTTTGAACCTACTGTTTGAAGCTGCAGGTCGGAATGGGGATATTGAACAACATCATCGGACAGGCAGTTCGGGAAGCATGAACATGCATCGTCCTCGAAATTCAGGTGGTATTTCACCAGGAACTGCAAGCTTGACAAGCCCTCGCACAGTTGGAAGTAAAAGCGCTGCAACGACGGGACCTACTTCTGGAAACATACCAAGAAGCGCTGGTCCAGACATGACATATGGTCTTGAGGAGTCTCTGGACAATGTCACGTACCAGAAAGCACTCCGATCGTGGTCGAGGCTCAAGTTCGTGCGTGGCGGTCTTTTCACTGCACAGGAGGGCATCGCTTACATTGATTACTTCTACGAACACTTGTCCCCATTGACGCCAATAATCGTCCCAGACTACCAAGAGCATAGTACGCACCCGAAGCTGCTAGCAGATGAGCCTGTGCTTCTCGTGACGCTTCTGACGATCACCTCACGGTACATGAAACTGCCTGGTCCAGGTTCCGTCTCGAGGCCGTACCAAATCCATATGAAGCTTTGGGATTACTTGCAAAGTATGCTCTCACGCTTGATATGGGGCCAGGAGCAGTTTGGCGGGGGATTTTGTGGAGCTGGCGGCCAGCCGAGCAACGAGATCAATCCATTGACTCGGAAGGGGTTGCGAACTCTTGGAGCGGTTGAGAGTTTGATGCTCTTGACTGAATGGCATCCCCGTGCGTTACACTTTCCTCCGAATAACGACGATGACGAGCTTCTGCTCCCTGATCAGACACCAAGCAGCCCCGATGTAAGTGATGCAGGCCTACTTCAATCTGACCTGCTGAAAGGCGTCGGGGGCGGACGCATCGACGCATGGCTTGAGCCTTGTTGGCGTAGCGATCGTATCTGCTGGATGCTCTTGGGTATCGCCATGTCTTTGGCGTTCGAGATAGGAGTGTTCAACGAAGCAAGCGACCAAGAGTACCTCTCGGAGAACATCTCAAGGCCGGTGTCGCAAGAAGAAGCCCAAACGTATATCCGTCGCAAGAACCAACTCAAGACTCTCCTCGTGGTGTATTCCACTCAGACTAGTGGCCGGCTGGGACTGACGGCAATGCTTCCCAGAATGGAAGGCAATTCCTCAATTGCCAAAGCACCGGCACTGAGCCAGCTGGCCACCTACACCGCAGCACAGATGACTTCGCCATCGGTGTTTCGTCCGGCAGCTGCCGAGTTGATGCCACAGTCGCCCACTCCGACGCATGGCATGAATCGACATGCCATACAGGATAGGGTTGTACGATACTGGTCCGATGTAGCCAAAACTTTTGAGGCTGGGAACCTTCAGCTATTCGCCACCCGCCGACAGACACGAGAGCTTATCAGTTCGGGGCGGTATGTAGAGGTCCTCGAATATTTCCGTCCCATTCTGCACGCGTGGCGCCGAGAATTCGATAGCTGTACCGCGAGTAAGTCTGGCTCCAGGCGTAGAGTCTGCATATCAACTGACGCAGCCAGTTCCTCCGCGTATGAGATGTGTCCTAATCATAGAGATTGAGTACAGCAGGGTATACATCAACTCGCTTGCACTCCAAGCTGTGATTGATCGATGCACCCACAATGCGCCCAAGAACCGAAATGGCGCCAATACGGCTGATGGCGGTGCTATTCCATTTAGCGTTCTGCAACAATGGACTGGCAATGACCGGCAGTACGTCGATGAGACCATCGAGGGCTGCCGAACGGTACTCTCGCTCGTGGTCGATCATCTTCTGCCAAACGATGCTCTCAAGCACGCGCCAGTGCGAACATTCTTCAGAATAGTGTCTGTTGCAATCATACTACTCAAGACGTTCGCGCTGGGCGCCTCTGAAAGGGATGTTAGTAATTCTCTAGGGTTGATGGATCGTGCCTCTGAGGCGCTGGCCGGATGTATTGTGGATGATGTACATGTCGGCAATAGATTTGCGGAGCTGCTAAGCTCACTCACACAGCGCATCAAGAACGGATTCGTCCGGCTCCCGTCAGGAGGAGGCAATGATAGCAGCCGGGGTGCTACGCCAGGATCACAACAAGTGGGACGCGAGCAGACTCCAATGATGCCTCCTCCGCCGGTCCGATCAAACAGCGTGGGCTGGACCGGCTATACCAACAATCATAGTCTTCCCATGATGGGCAGCCAGAGTCCGTCAATGCAGAACATCAGTGGCTGGGCCACGCCCAACAACCAAACAAATCCGCTATACGGCATTTCCACCGAAACGTATGACCCCACCAGCAATAACGCGGCTACCATCGTCCCGCCTCCGACATACAGCAGCGGCTACGAGCAGAGCAACTTTAACAACGTGCAACAAAACGCGTTTCCGTTCAGCGTCGACAGTGCAAGTGATGCGTATGACTCTGGCGCTTGGCTTGCTCTTCCGCTGGACAATCTTGTGAACAGCAATGGCGCGGACGTGACGCAGACTGCGTACGGGACGGAAATTGGCGGGTATGACATGCTGGATGTCCTGTTGGCGGGCGACATGGGCCCGTACTGATGGAAAGTTGTAGCTGTCGGATGTCAACAGCCGCAGCAACTACGGTCTCTACTGATCATTGATGCCAAAGCCGGATCTATCACCTTTCTATTGGCTATATGCACCTCTATGCCGACTCTGGACAGACATGAGTGTTTTTCCTTGAAATTCTTTTCTTAATGCGACACGATACCATACGACACCACCACCACCACCAACAATAACGAATACGCCCGTTTTGGCAATACTTTCTTAGCGACGGTGCGAATCTGCTTTTATTCTATGAGATACCCCCCCAGTCCCCAGTGACACGATTTGGTTTTTTTTTTTTGATAGGTAGCTAGTGTTGAAACAGTGCTTTATTAACGGTGTGGGCCGGGCCGGGCGTAGGCGTTTCTATTTTATTTTATTTTATTCTGGCCGCCGTTGTTGGACGTGTGGGAGAGTGTTTTTTATGTAGCGAAACAGCGGACATGATGACGTTTGGGTGTGGAGGGACATGGCAAAAAGTGGGATGGACGGACGGACGGATGGATGGATGGATATATGTCGCAGGATTCACGCGTCGTAGGATGGGGTTTATTGTGGCATCGCGATATTAGTAGGTTAGGTAGCTATGAGTATTGTAGATCGTAGGGTAGTAATGTTGAAGCAGGTGATGCAAACGATTAGTTTTCGCACAGTTCCCTAGGCTGGATGGTCTACTACTAATTACCCCGCCCGTGTGTCTAGCTGCAGCACCTGTCGTCGTCGGCCTAGCTGACTGACGTCATATTGACAGCCCTGGCCTGGGGAGTAGCAGCAGGAGTAGTAGGAGCAGTAGGAGCAAGCAGGAGGTAGTAGGAGTAGTAGTAGGCGTATAATCCCTCGCACGCACGCACGCACGGCCACAGGGAGCAGCATATATACATATGCATCACATGTACGTGTCAAGTGAGTAAGTAAGCAGTAGTAGTACACGCTTTTTTGGTTGTTGTCCACAAAGGAAGGATAAGAAGAAGGATAAGAAGGGAAGCAGCAGAAAGAAAAAAGGCCGAGGAATTGAATGAGTGAGTTGTGAAACCGAGATGACATGTTTTTGTTTTTGATGCGGTAATTTTCTCTGACGAACGCTGTGTTTGTTGGGTGGGAGCAAAGCAGGAGAGCGAGAACGAAGACGAGGTGTTGTATGTGTGTATGTGTGGGAAGTGTGTGGAAGTGTGTGTATGGGTATGTATGTGAAATTTGACGCGTGGGTGACGGGTGGGTGATGGGATGAGGATGAGGATGAGGGATGAGGGATGATGAGCTGTGATGAGTGATGGATGACTCGTGATGACTCGTGATGAATGAATGAATGAAAGTTTGCCGTGGCAAGGCCGGAGCGTGGGACCTACCTTGCCTTGCCTTGCCTGCCTTGTCTGCCTGCCCACCTTAGCTACCGTACCTACTACCTATCCAATAGACGGGCCACTGATACTGATGACTGAGGCAAGTAAGTAGGTCAGCATCTGCAACAGCAAGGAATCATCCGTCAACAGGCAGAGGTCACGTTTCCTTCTAGAACATCTCAGCAGAAGGCATTATCATTGTGTGGGGCTTATTATCTATCCAGGGCTACAGACAGACAGACAGGCAGGCCTGATCCTTGCTCGAGGATGAGGCTCTTTTTTTTCTTCGTTTCTTCTTTTCTTCCTTGAAATGTCCGCAGACATGGCACGACCGGCAGGCATGTATTGGCGATAGACGAGCCAGGCGTTTCAATCGCCGAAACATCCCGGCCGGTGGCCGTGGGGTGGGGTCCTAAGGAACTAAGTGACTGGCAAAGGGGAGCGAGCAGGCGACTATTTTAGATCCAAGCTTTTGTTTGTGGAAAGGCATCACGAGAGGATTGCTGATAAGAGAGAGGGGGAGAGAGATGCAAGCAGCGAATCAGCGCGGGTGTTATTTTTGAGGTGGTTGGGGTTGTTGATGTTGATGTTGTTGCGCAATGGGCGGGGAGTGGAAGATGGGCTCTGGCTGGGGTGGGAGATAATAGTAGTGTTAGGGCTGCAGCGTAGTCAGTGTATTAGTAGTAGTGTTTGTTACTCCTCCAGGCTGGAGATGGTCGGGCTGCTCGGGATAGGGTAGAAGTAGGCTACTGACTGCCTGTTTTTAGGGAGGCAGCCAGTCAGCCAGTCCTGCTCTTCGTCTAACAACCGCGCAGAAGCAGCCAGCCAGCCAGCTAATAATTGACTGCCCCCAATTCCCAAGCATGAATCCCCCAAGCAACGTCACTTGATCGAGATAATGGCACCTGAGGCAGCAAGGCTAAGGCTATCTTCCACGGGAGCCAAGTCACACCCGGCGCTGATCTGCGCGTGTGGCTGATTCAAGCTCTGCAACATCCTGTCGACATATGCGCCGGCGTCGTCATTTTATATGTGCCGTGCCGCCTCGAGTCGCGTGTGCATCTTCTTCATCTTCATGTACTGTTATTAGGGCAAAAGACTGACTGACTGACTGACTGACTGACTGACTGACTGACTGGCAGGTAGATGTGCTTCAGCAGTCCGGCCGCAAACTGAAATGTGTCAACCTGCAAATGTAATAATAATCGCAATCGCCACTAAACAACGCTGCTGCTGGTGGATAATGGGTGGGCCCAATCCCCAAGGCCCAACGGTAACGAGACGTGAAAACTCTTTCTTTCTGCTGGTCCATAATACGCGCATCAAAAACAACATCACCACACCCACACACACACACACACACACAAGACACCGCAAGAACCGCATCACCCCAGCCAGCCAGCAGCTACTTGGTCGGCTGGCTGTCCGGGCGCGGTGAGCGACACTGATAATGACATTCTGAGACGATGCCGACTCTTTTACTACTGATGATGACCTCACTGCCCACCCGCTCCACCACCACTCCACCTCTCCACCGACTACTGTACCTCTCTTCCAATATGCTGCCCTGCTATTTCCATGCCCAATCTCGAAAGGGTCATCCCGTCCGTCTCAAGCGATCCCATCCCCACGGCCGCAATTGCTGCTGCTGCTGCTCTTGCTGTTGCCGATGCCGATACTACTACTGCTGCTGCTGCTTCCTTCAGCTTCCTAGACGCCCGTCTGTCCCGTGGTACGACTACGATTCGCTAACCTCATTCTTCATTAGCATCACTACTCTACTCCTCAATTGGTGCCGTAGCTGCTGATAGCGACCTCGCGGATGGGATGCTGGCCCGCCCTCACCCTTCCGCCGCCGTTGTGCTGATCCACACTATATATCTAGGCAATTGGGCAATTGACTATCGCATTTATACTCTGCTCTCTGCCCTCGTGTGCTTCACTCTTGCAACTTGTCGCTGCTTTTTCTTAGCTACTTTAGCCTCTCTCTCTCTCTCTCTCTCTATCTCTCCTTCCCTTCCGTCTGCTCCACTCCACTTTGCTCCATCCGAGCTCCTCTCCAACCTCATCTAATCACCACTTCGCCCTCCTTGCTCCACATCTTCCCCCCCCTCCCAAATCCGGATCTATTGTTCATCTCAATCCCTTCGTCGCCATGGACGTTCACGATGTGTCGTCCAGCTCTCGCTCCAGCAAAAAATCTGATGAGAAACATGACTATCCCGAGCCTGGCCTCGCCCTCAACCCCGTCACCACCATCGATGAGGGCCAGGTGAACACAAAGTTCAGACGTCTCGGCTGGAAGCGTCTGACCATCTGTCTCATCGTCGAGGCCATCGCCCTCGGCTCCCTGAGTATTCCCAGTGTCTTTGCTACCATCGGTCTGGTGCCCGGCATCATCGTCTCCATCGGTATCGGCTTCATCGCAATCTACACCTCCCACGTCATCGGCCAGGTCAAGCTCAAGCACCGTCACATCGACCACTATGCCGATGCTGTTGGCCTGATGTTCGGCAAGGTCGGCTATGAGATTACCAGCGTCATGTTCGTCTTGCTCCTCGTCTTGATCGTCGGCTCGCATGTCCTGACCGGTACCATCGCGCTTGTCTCAATCATCAAGAACATGTCCATCTGTGCGCTGGCCTGGACCGTAATCTCCGCAATCATCCTCTTCGTCGTCGCCCTGCCGCCTACCTTTGCCGAGTTTGCCATTCTGGGTTACATCGACTTTGGCTCCATCATCTGCGCCATCATGATAACCATCATTGCGACCGGCGTGCGTGCCTCTCATGCCGATGGCGGTTTCAGCGCTGTCGACTGGCACGCCTTCCCCCAAGGCGATGTCAGCTGCGCCTCTGCCTTTTTGGCCGTCACCAACATCGTCTTCGCCTACTCCTTTGCCGTCTGCCAGTTCAGCTTCATGAGCGAGATGCACACCCCGGAAGACTACCCAAAGTCCATCTGGGCTCTCGGTCTCATCGAAATCTTCATCTACACCGGCACCGGTGCTCTCGTGTACGTCTTCGTCGGCAGCGATGTCGCCTCTCCGGCCCTGCTTTCCGCCGGTCCTGTCATCTCGCGTGTCGCCTTTGGCGTTGCCGTCCCTGTCATCTTCATCTCCGGTAGTATCAACACCACCGTCGTCTCGCAGTACATTATCAGGCGCACCATCAAGAACCCCAAGATTCGTGACATTGAATGTGTAAAGGGCTGGGCCATCTGGATTGGTCTTTGTGCCGTCGTCACCGTCATTGCCTGGATCGTCGCCGAAGCCATTCCCTTCTTCAACGCCCTCCTCGGCCTGATCAGCTCGCTGTTCATCTCCGGCTTCACCTTTTACTTCCCCGCCTTGATGTGGTTCATCCTGATCAAGCAGGGCGCTTGGTACGAGAGGAAGAACCTCGGTCTGTCCTTGCTGAACTTTGCCATCTTCATCATCGGTGTGATTATCCTGGTATGTGGCGTGTATGCCAGTGTCGTTGACATCAAGAATGGCTACAGCAGTGGCTCCGTCAGAGGGAGCTTCACCTGTAGTGCAGAGGCCTATACGTAGACTGGGAGTTGGGATTTTTCTCAAGGATTACAATGTTCTGTTGTTAGCGTATTGGAGATGGCTGAATTTCAGGAATGCTCGATAATATGCTTTGCATGCAGTGATCCAATCATCCTTTCTCGTTTTATTATTATTATTATTATTATTATTGAACTCTTGATCTGTTGACTCATGAATGTGACATTCCGACGAAAGGCCACGACTAATGATTAGGCTTGGCGTGCTGACGTAACAGAGCTTAGCTTCGAATTCCCGCAGGCTTCCAATTGAGAGTTGGTATTATTAGGTTCCTAAGTAATTAATTAGCTGGCAGTTCAAGTTGGCCGCGTCGTCTACTGTAAGCTACGCCGCGTTCGCAAACTGTTGTCCCAAGACACCCACCACCACTCTACCACTCTCCTTTCTCCATTCTGCCCCCTGCGTGTGGGGGTGATCGTTTGGGACGCTATCCATCTTTGATCCGTAAACCTCCTAGAGTGCACACCTGCGCAGCTCGCGCATAGCTTCCACCTCTTCCTACGCCCTGCCGGGGCCATCATGAAGCTCTCTCTCCAAACACCACTGCTACTCTTGGCCACAATAATCACCGCGGTAGCCGGTGTTGAAGTTGAGCTTGTGGGTTACCACTGAAAAACAATCCGACTCCGTGGTCCTCCCTTGGCTAATGTTCAATCGCAGAACCAAAAGGATGGCCAGAAATGCTCGGGCATGTACAGCAGAAAGTCCTGGGGCGGCTCCGAGGAACCCTTTATCCTTGCAAAGTTCCTGCAGAAAGACACCGGCGACTTGAATCCACAGGTTGGCATTGTGATTTGGGAATACAAGGACTACGATTACATCTGGAAGCCTGCGGATGAGGAAGTAAGAGAGACAGACCACCATCGGAGGTCTACTACTGCCTAGTTACGAAGCATAAAGCTGACCTTGGTGCACAGCACAATATCCTCTGCGATGACAGGAATGTTAGTGAAGGGCTATGCAAAGAGGAAGACAAGGGCAAGTTCATCCTGACGGACGACGTGGAAGAGTCGAGAGTCGCCGTCCGCACAGATACCGTGTCCCTCAAGGAGCCCCACGCCGTCAACTACCCAATACTCAAGACTGGCTACTACTGCGTCGCAACGACGTCGTTGGTCGATGGAGTAGACTATACTGCCGTGATCGAGTTCCGCAATGCGTTTGGCGAGCTCCCTGCAGCTCAGATTCCCAAGCTGCCGTTCTATGGTGGCATGACAATCGTGTATGCTGTCATTGGCGCATTCTGGGCATTCCTCTACGTACAACACCGCCAAGACATCCTGCCCGTCCAGAACTACATCACGGCGATTATAGTGTTTCTGGTTGTCGAGATGCTCATGACCTGGGGCTTTTACGACTACGAAAACAGGCATGGGCGCAACATTGGCAGCAAGGTGCTCATGATAGTCGTGTCGATTCTCAATGCCGGCCGCAACTCTTTTTCGTTTTTCCTGCTTCTGATTGTCTGCATGGGCTACGGCGTGGTCAAGCCCTCGCTCGGCAAGAACATGGTCTATGTCCGCTATCTCGCGCTCGCACACTTTGTCTTTGGCGTCATCTACGCCATTGCTTCGCTCACTGTCAGGCCGGACGACGCTGGCCCACTCGTGCTACTTGTCATCCTCCCGCTCTCCGCCACCCTGACTGCGTTCTACGTCTGGACGCTGAACAGCCTCACGGCCACCATGAAAGATCTCCGCGAGCGCAAGCAGACAGTCAAGGCCGGCATGTATCGCAATCTCTGGTGGTGCATCCTCGGCAGCATTCTTGTCATCTTTGGCTTCTTCTTCCTCAACAGCCTCACCTTTGCCGGCGCCTCTTCGCCGGACTTTGCGCCCACCCACTGGCAGACTCGCTGGTTCGTGCTCGACGGCTGGCTGAACATTGTCTACTTTGCAGACGTCTGCTTCGTGGCATACATCTGGCGACCCACGGCCAACAATCGCCGCTTCGCCATGAGCGACGAGGTGCGTAAACATCATTATCATCATTCCTTGACCTGAAAACCCCGCGCTGACAATGACGATGCAGATTGCACAAGACGACGAAGGCTTTGAAATCGCCTCGTTGCGCGATTCGCTCGACGACGTCGACGACGACGACGACCTCGAGGGCCACGCAGCGAATCGTCCGCCCGCATATGACCCCGTGCGCAGCAGCGGCCATCGCCGCGATGAGTCGCCGTTGCCTGCGCCCCAGCCGACGAAGCCTGTGCCCCCGCCACGGGAGAGTCTGGACGGCGACACGATTTTCGCGGTTGGTGAGGAGGATAAGTGGAGTGATGATGAGATGGACGAGGACGAGGAGGGAGATGGGAGGGGGGAGAGGAAGAGGCTGACGGGGAAGGATGATTGACTTGGGGCGGAGGGGGTTTGAACATGTGGTGGTGGTGGTGGTGGTGGTGGGGAATGGAATGTGATATGTGTGAGTGTGTACGTGTACGTGTATGTGTGTGCTGGGGAGGGGGAGGGGGGGAGGATAGTAAGTTGAGTTAAGCATTGAAATGGCGTTTTTTTCTTCTTCTTCTTGTTTTTTTCTCGTAGATTTCTCTCCGCGTTGTCATTGTCTGGTGCGTGTGTGTGTGTGGTTCGTTCTGCTTCGTAGGAGGAAATGCAAAAATGACTGTCTATTCTATGTGCAGTGCTAGTGCTTGACTTGTAGGAGGTACTGTAGTAGGTGTTGTAGTATGCAGTAGGTAGGGCTGTTCAAACACACGCGGGTATGTATATGTATGTATTTATATATATATATAGCATGTGCGGAGCAATCACAGACAGTATCCGGGGCAAAATCACGTTCCCGTTCTTCCCTCTGTTCCCATTACTGAAAAATGGACTGGCTGGATAAGAAGAGGGTTTAAAACGATGACACTTGTTGTATTACGTAGGTACTTTTGTAATATACTCTGTATGTACACTAAGCTGTGTATACCTAATTAATTGGCTGATTGGGTGGATGAGTGATATAATGAGGTGAGGTGAGAGGTGAGGACCAAAGAAGCTTTTCAGCGCTAAGCCGGACACGGAATAGTTACCTCCAAGCTTGACTCAGGTATCCGATGTGCCTTATATTATTCTACGGCCTGCCGGATGCAATACTTTTTGATATACCTAACTACCTCCCAGACCGACCGACCGTCCGTCCGTCCACCCGCAAACATGACGGACAGCAGCATACCCAACGGAAGCACAAAGCCATGCGGTCGCTGCACAGAAAACCCCGCCACGCTCTTCATCCGCGCATCGCACTTTTGCGAGTAAGTCTTCCCCCTCCCCCTCCCAATCACCACCACCAGCACCACGTGAACCCCCCAACCCCCCAACCCAGTACCCAACATACCAAACCAAAACCAACCCCCAAAACCCAAACTAAACAAACACCCAGCACCTGCTTCAAAAAATACATCCGCACAAAAGTCACCAAACGCCTCGACCCCTTCAAAGTCCGCAACTCTGCCTCTCACCAACAACACAAACCCCCAACCCTCCTCCTCCCCCTCACCTTCACCCCCTCCGCCCTCGCCCTCCTCGAAATCCTCGACTGGCACTACCGCGCCCAGAAAGCGCGCACCGGCGGCCGCGCAGGCTTCGAGTTGTTAGTCTTGTATGTCGCCTTGCCGGCGGAGGTGAGGGAGGTGGTGGGTGCTGAGGATGTGGAAGAAGGGGTTGTGGATTTTGATGTTGATTGTGATGGTGGAGAGGGGTTGGAACGGCGGATCGCGCGGCTGCGGGAGATGTTTCCGGCGCATGAGGTTAGGGTTGTGTGGTTGGGGGAGGAGGGGGTTCCGGGGGATTTGAAGGGGGTGCTTTTGGGGGAGGGGGGGGGTGGTGGTGATGGTGGTGGTGATGGTGGTGTTGGTGATGGTAAGCTCTCGCTGGCGACGTATCTGCGCGCCCTTCCCTCGCGGACTGCGCGTGCGGATGCGCTTGCGCTGCTGAAGGCGCGCTTCATCACTTCCTTTGCTACGGCCCCTTTGCCATCCCCTCAATCCCCTCAATCCCCAAAACCCCCAAAACCACCAAAACCACAAGCCCAAGCCCAAACAGCCCAAACAGCCCACGCAATCCTCCACCCCCAAACAACAACATCCCTCGCCGAACGCACCCTCTGCGAAACCGCTAAAGGCCGCGCCTACGCCCTCCCCCACCTCACCTCCGAAGCCGCCCGCCCGCACGGCATACCGACTTACTTCCCTGCGCGGGACCTGCTGAGGCGCGAATTGGGTGTTTATCTGCGTATTGTGGGTGTGCAGGGGCGGATGGAGGGGTTGGGGGAGTTGGTTTTTGGGGGGGATGATGATTGGGTGGGAGGGATGGGAGGGGGTATGGAAACGGGGAGAAGAGAGCAGCCAGTGACGAAAAACACGACGATCGAGGGGCTGATGAGGGCGTTTTTCGAGGATGTGGAGAGGGGGTATCCGGGGATTGTGGCGAATGTTGTTAGGACTGTGGAGAGGTTTGAGAGGGTTGAGGGTGGTGCTGGTGGTGCTGGTGGGGCGAGGGATGGGGATGGGGATGGGGATGAGGGGAGGAGGTGTGTGTTGTGTCGGATGGTGGTTTTGGATGGGCGGTTTGGGGGCGTGGGGTGGGGTGGGGATCAGGGGGGTGGGGAGATGGATGAGGATGAGGGGGATGGGGAGAGGAGTGAGAATAAGGGGCGGAGGAGGTTGTGTTATGGGTGTTCGAGGTCGGTGCCTTGAGTTGTAGGGTTTGGGCTTAGGTTTGGGCGTGTGTGGGTATGGGGTTCAGGGGTCTGTGGTTTGTGGTTTTGAGTGGAGTTTGTGCGGCAGGGCAGGGCATGATATCCTTGACTTGGGACGGACGGTATGCATAGAATACGGCGGCGTGGTGATGTTTTAGTCCAGCCCTCAGCTCAGGTACGCAGGCTGGTCTGAAGATAGATGAATAGATACTGGGATCATACGGCAAGGAAAACTGTCCCCAAAAAGTAAATGTAAAAAAGAGGAGAATCGCAAGTTCAAGTTCATTCCGGTGTGCATATTAATTACGGTGCTTATTACTATGTGTGTACATACATTACATTCGTCGTGGGCGTCTCGTCATATCATTCAATCGGGGGATTAACAAGAAGTCATCGGAACACCCTCCTGTACTCAAGCCAACTCTCAACACATTCATACCAAAATGGACCGCCGAGTCTTTCGTCGCACACACCTTCCTCACTGCCGCCCCTCCGTCCTCACCGCCGCTCCTTCTTGACCGACTTCTTCCGGCGCGGATCGTCCTGCGCCGGCGCAGCATACACCGCACCAACACCATTCCCCGCCCGCCCACCATCCTGCTGCCTCACCGGCGCCGGCTGCGCAACCCCAGACCCACCACCATCCTGCTCATACCGCGGCAACCCCTCCTCCTCGTCGTCCTCAAAAAACGCATACTCCGTCGCCGGCGGCGGAATCTGCTGTCCCAGCTTACTCTGCCTGCGCTCCGACTCCCGCAGCGTCTTGGGCTTGTACACCTTGTCGAGATGCCTCTCGAACAGGCGCAGGTTGCGCGTGTTGGCGCGGAAGGAGGCGTCGAGGATGTCGCCCAGGATGGGAATGAGGCCGATGACAAAGTCGATGAGGATGTTGATGAGCATTTGGAGTTGGGTGGTCGGGTCGATGCCGCACTCGCAGGTGCGCAGGCGGGAGAAGAGGGCGAGGGCGAGGAGGGCGTCTGCGACGTCGCCGAATCTAAGGTTGTAGGTTAGAATGCGGATTCGGATGGAGGAGCGTGTATGTATCCAGGTGGACGACTCACCCGGGGATAATGCCAATCACACTGCTCCAGCCGAAGCGCTGGCCGAACAGCGTGAAGAGCGAGCAGTCGAGCCAGTACGCGCGCTGCCGCATCTTGGCTAGGATCACGGCGTCGTGCTCCGGGATGTAGTCCGGGACCTGCTTCTTGACCTTCTTCTTCTTGCCCTTTTTGCGCGGGTGGTCGATGTAGGTGAAAAAGGGGTCCTTTTGGGAGGAGGTGTTAGCATTGGATTGGATTGCGGGTTTGGATCTATCGGTGATTGAAGACTCACATCTTCGCCGGCGGGATCCTTGTGCTTGAACTTCTCCATGTTCTTGCCTAGGAGCTGCTTGGCAGCGTATTTGGTGATGTAGGTCGTCATTGTGGCTTGTGTGTTGGCTTGATGATGTTGGAGTTGTGAGGATAATGTCTTGATCTCGAGAAGCTTGGTCTGCTTGCTGCAGGAGAGTGTGGCCTGGCCGAAAGCGTCAACGATCTGCTGTGAATGCTCGCGTGCTGGCGATAGTGACACAACGACAACAATGAGAGGTTTGGTCGATTACCCGTAGCAAGTCGTCAAGAAACAGATGCACAGAGAAAGGAAATTAAATAAAAAGGCCGGGAGCAACAGTATTTATCTCGTGGCCAGCCAGGCGGTGGTTGGCGTAATTTGACTGGCCAGGCCCTGACTACGACGTCTTAGCCATGAATTTCCGCCGCCCAAACAAGCTGGACGTGATGCCAAAACGTCATTTGCCCAGCTTTTAGTGGACTTGGCCCGTGCTTGTAGACGCATGCACAGCCACATGTGTGGCGTCGACCGCCACACTCCGGAACTGTTGTCTGTTGTCTTAGTCTCCATTCATCACAACATCCAATCCACGTCCACCACCGCATTCCACGTCCCCACGTAGAGCCTCTTTCGATCGGCTAGACACGGTCGCATACCTACAGCTACCCTAGGACAACTACCTACCGCACTCCCTTCCACCTGCGACTGCTCCTCCTACTCGCCGTCGCTCTGGCCACGAGTCATCCCAATCGTTGGTTCGCGCTTCCTATAGGCCTGCCCGCGCCCGCGGATATGCTACGGGACACCGGTCAATATGGCAACGACCAAGATGAGACTCGTCAACTGTGAGTATGCCTCTGCGCTGTGTTTCTTCTCCGCGACTGCGACGTGCCCCGTTGCGACCGACTACCCGTTAAACATGCGATTGATACCTATACTGACACCAGACCACCACAGGGCTTGACGACTTATGCGTGCGTTTCATCATAAACCTACCCCAAGAAGAGCTCACCTCAGCCGAAAGAATATGTTTCCAGGTGGAGGAGGCACAATGGTTCTACGAGGACTTTATACGGCCCTTGGACCCAACCCTGCCGTCTATGAACCTCCGGAAGTTCTCTCTCCTGATATTTCAACACTGCCCGCTACTGTCGCCATTCTCCGGCGAAATGCACGAGGCCGCGTACAATGAGTTTCTGGCCTACAAGACACGGGTGCCCGTCCGAGGTGCAATCATGCTGAACGATAGAATGGACCACGTAGTGCTTGTGAAGGGTTGGAAGAAGGGCGCGCGATGGAGCTTTCCCCGGGGCAAGATCAACAAAGACGAAAGGGACCTGGACTGCGCCATACGTGAAGTTTATGAGGAAACGGGATTCGACATTCAAGAGGCCGGTCTTGTTCAGGACGAAAAGGAGATGAAATATATTGAAGTTTCGATGCGCGAGCAGCATATGCGGCTGTATGTTTTCAGAAATGTTCCCATGGATACCCACTTTGAGCCCAGGACAAGGAAGGAAATCAGCGCGATTGACTGGTACAAGTTATGGGACCTGCCGACGCTCAAGAGGCAGAAGCAAGTCCAGGCCATGGCCGAGCCCGCATTGAAGGACTCGATGTTCTACATGGTTGCCCCCTTTTTGGGACCATTGAAAAGCTGGATCAAGCAGCAGCACAAGCTCGACCGCGCCAGGGCTGCACAAGGCCACGTAGCTGTCGAGACAGACGTGGAAGATGTCGGCACTGCGGACGAGTCTGGTGCACTTCACAATTATCTTGGAGGAACAGAGACCGAGTCTGAGGATCCACCTCCACAACACCAGGATGGCCATTTCAGCAATTTATTGGCTGGACTACGATATCCACCGACTGCACCTGCTGCAGCCATCGTGCCCGAAATGCCCGCGGAGCAACCTACACTGGACGCAGCAGACGCTCTGAAACGCATGCTGAGTATCAATGCTCCGGCCATGGCAGCCCAACAACTACAGTCGAGTCAGCCTCCAGCGCATACTAACCCTCTGCTCGCTCTCTTCCAGGGAAATCAAGCAACTGTACCTGTTTCGAGACCCGAGCCTCCACCAAGGACGCCTCTAGATCAGATCAACAACGTACCTCAAGAACCTCAGACTCCGCAGCAATACCACCCACGGCCCCCTTCATCGTCGAGCATGCCACCTATACAGCCCTTTCCCTTCACGCAGACTCCACCACAGTACCCACCACAAGCCGTATCAAGACAGTACAATCGGCAGCTTAACCCATCATATGGCTCACAACATCGGGGACAGAACGGGGCTCTGCCTTTCGGTTCCGGATACCAGCGCCAGCCTATGGTTCCGGGTATGCCCACGCATTCAACCTCTCAGTCTTCTCCTATGGCACCACGCATGGCTCAAGATGGCCCGAAGCCATACCAAAGAACAGGCGATCCTCAATTTTCTCAGAGTGCGCAGTCGACGGAGGTGCATGAAGCCATGGGTCCTCCAGCTTCCAAGCTGCCTGCACCAAAACTCAATGCACATTCGATATCACTGCTCAAAGCATTCAAAGGACAGGCTGCGAAGCCAGCCCCCAAGCTGGCAGATGAGGCACAAAGAGCTGCACAGGTGTACAGCCAGATCAGACGACCATCTACTCATCAAAATTTGTCTAGCCCGATCCATGTGGTCAGTCCACAGACTCGACCCTCTGCTCATATCACATCCCCTGAGAAGGGTATTGTGAAGCCTAATGCCAATGCCCACCAAGATGCTCTTCTAAATCTCTTCCGAGCCCCCTCTACCTCTGTGGCATCTCCACCATCAACCTCAGTCAACAATCTACAAGCATCAGGACCCGTCGAGCTTTCAGCCCTGCCCAGCCCTGGCATCCCACCCCGTTCCAATCCGCTCCCTAAACAAGCTTCGAAATTGGCGATATCTACAAACGCTGATCATTTTATGAACATGAGACCAGGCCTTACTTCCGCAACAGTATCCGGACCTTTACATGCTCCAGATTTTGAAATTGTCCGCAATAAAAGCAGAGGAGCAAGCCCATCAGAATCGAAAGGAGCACCTGCAGGCCTCACGACATCTGCTGCTGATGAGGGCATTACGGCCCCATTTGCGCCCATGTCGATTCTTCAGCGTCCGAAAGGCAGTGATCCGCTACCACGAGCGTCCAGATCGCCGCCTGTTCCAGTTCATACGGTTTCGCCAAAGACACAGTTGCAACAGCCTGTGCCAAAGCCGTTCCAGCCACAGATATTGCGCCGACCTCAACCGTCACCGAGCCCATCTATATCGACACCGCAAGCCCAGGCCCATAAGCCGCCCGTGCAGCCAGCGTCTCCCGCGCAGCAATTCGACAGGCGAGAGAGCCTACCAAAGGAACAGAAGAGCGCTCTGCTATCCTTGTTCAGCGGCACACCGGTGGTGCTGAAGTCTCAGCGGCAAATGCCACCTCCGCCCCGGCCTCTGCAGCAGGCATCCATCTTCTCTGATATCGTCAGCCCTGTGAGCCCACTACCGGAGAAGCAGGTTAGTCGGCCAACGCTGCCGGTAGACCAGAGAAGCAGAATCAGCAGCATAGCTTCGATATCCCTGGGCGACGGAGGTCTTGGTGAGAAGGCTGCTAAGACAGCTACGGCGTCTCCAGTCACTCCTGTGGATCGCAACTTCTTGCTTGGATATTTACAGGGTGTTGCGAAAGGTCAGAAATGAGTTGTTGTTACGTGTGTGTATAGTTAGGTCTGCGTTGTGATCCGGAGAGGGTGGGTGCAGAATCTTATAGTTTGCTTGAACATAGGCATCAGGGAATGTACAATCAAGAATTCCATCTCAAGCGTTTAGCATTCGTTGCGACTTTCATGTGAAGATGTCATTTCTAATGTGATGGTACAATTGGTTCCGCCCAGCACGGTAGGAAGAAGCTATGACGCCAACCTACCTAGTCCAACATGGATGGATCCATCAAGCAGATCCACCTTCAACTTTCTCAGGCAAAAGGTCTACCTCACATTCTCTTCATAGCAGCTAGACAAAGACCTCCAGATGTCTCTCAGTTTGTCTTCTGCCGCCATCTGCAATCGCTGCCTCTGTCAACAAGCTGCGCGTCGATTCCTAACCGCGCACGGACGCCGTTCCTTGAGCTTCGTCCCATACAATGCCGACACTCTGAGTCCGCAAGCAAAATCTACCCGACCAAGAAGACGAGCGCAGACCACGAATGGCGTCCTGCCCGCACGAAGATTCTCACGTCGCTCTGCACTACGAGAAGATGGGGTACCTTCACCGCAATCACTACCGCAATCGCAATCACCAGCGCGGCCATTACCGACCGAGTACCGCTCCGAGGGCTTCGTGCACCTGCACCACCGCCGCTTGATATCGATAACTGGACGAGACACGGCGAAGTTCCTCCAGGGTCTCGTCACTGCGAATATAAAGCCCGAGGGCTTGTTTGAGCATGGCTTAGTGTATACTGCGTTCCTGAACGCGCAGGGAAGGTTGTTGGCAGATGTGCTACTGCACCCATGGCCGAATGACGACGGTCTTGGTGAGACACTTGCTCAGAAGAGAGGGGACGGAGCAAGTGTCTTTGTGGAAGTAGATGATGCAAGCTTTGAGACGCTGCTCAAGCACCTGAGAAGGCATAAGCTGCGCAGCAAAATCAATATCGAACCCGTCAACCCGGACGACGTCGCAGTCTACCATATGTGGTCGCCCACTCCCCCAGAATCCACACACCAACCATCCACATCCACATCCATATCCACATCCCCAGACCCACGCTTCGCAGCTCCAGGACCGTCAAATCACAGGTGTCTCCGCCGCCGTCCAGACGGCCAAGACGAACAAACAGCAACAGTAGCAGACTACACCCTCCACCGCTACATCCACGGCATCCCCGAAGGCCCGACCGAAATCCCGCCTTCCGCAGCCCTCCCGCTCGAATCGAACATCGACCTCCTCGCCGGCATCGACTTCCACAAGGGCTGCTACGTCGGCCAAGAACTCACCATCCGCACAAAGCACACCGGCGTCGTGCGCAAGCGCATCCTCCCCGTCCTGCTCAGCCGAAGTATAGAGTCTGCGCCTATAGATGTAGACACTCTACCCAGGCGCTATACGAGTCACCTCCCCAGTCTCGATATCAATCCGAGTAGTCAAGATGGCGGCCGCAACATCCTCGCCGCGCCCAAGGCAGACGCCAAGCGACGGGGCCGGCCGACGGGGAAACTGCTAGGTGCCGTTGGGAATATTGGATTGGCGCTGTGTCGGCTGGAGAAGATGACGGATCTGCAGGTCAGTGCGGAGGCAGCGGAGGAGCTGATGACGGAGCCGGTGACGCAGCTTGCGGACGAGGAGGATGTGCTTGGGGGGCCGGTGTATGTCAAGGCTGTGGTGCCGCGTTATGTCAGGCAGGGTATTGAGGATGCTAAGTCGCGGAAACAGAGGAAGAGCGAGGACGTGTGTGAAGAGGATGATGAAGATGGCAATTGATATTACACTCTCTGCGGGCGATGTCTAGAGTTGGGGTATTCTATAACCAGTAGCCTCTCTGCGCTCTTCGCCAAAGTGGTATCAAAACTGTTCCAATCACCATTATCAATCCCTATCCATCCATCCCTCATTAAAACCCCTCCCTCTTCCATCTCCTCCCCCCTTCCCCTTCACCCAATCTCAAACTCACCCCTTCTTACAAACCCCCTCACACCGCTCATGCAGACACTTCAAATTGCTACACGTACTATTCTCCCAATGCGTGCTGCACGCGCACTTGCAGCAGTGCCAGATGCCCATGACTCCTTCACTGGCGCGAGAATTTGCGGTACGTAGAGCTGAGTAGAGGTCAGACCGGACTCGACTACTCGACTGCAAACGGGTTCCTAGCGATATACCAGACACTATGATCGTTGGTGGTGGTGGTAGTGGTAGTGATATATCTCCGGCGCCGACTCCTTTCTTCCCTGCGGTATTCGAACGAGTTGAACGAGATGAACGAGTTGAGTTGAGTCTAGACGAGACTGGACCAGAGAGAGAAGAAGAGAAAAAG